ATAGATCTGACCAGCGCGACGTACACTTAATTTTGGATCAGATTGAAGCGCATGTAATGCTAGAATCATATCACTTTCATTCCAAGAACCAACCATAGTTATGTGGTGAAAAACCGCAGGTCAAAGTGGTAGCGTACGAAAATCTGCCGAAGTGTGCAATTGGACCGTGGACTACGTTATATGATGCTACATTGCGCACCTAATCGTTTGGCACCGCTTTCCTCGTCGGACTGTATGGTAGCATGCTGCTATATCGGGCTTTTTTCCATCGGCTCGGCCGGTTTCCTGGCCCATTTGCTGCGCGGTTGTCGAATGAGTATCAGTATGCTCAATTAGTGACGTCTTCTTGATTTTCTTCTGTTGATCGAAGGATGATAAAGTCGGCAGAGTTGTCACACAACAAGATACGTGAACATCTAAAATGTAACGAAACCTCTAATAGTCTAGCTGCGTAAACCACTAAAGAGTCTATAAGGGTTTGTGCTAGTAAGTAAGTCCTGCTGCGGAGTGCTCAAGCAATAATATCGGGGTTTGACGTATGGAGTAGAGTGCTTTGGGTAACTGAAGTATTCAAGTAGGGTAATCGAGAATAGAGTCGTTAAGGCAGTTTTCCTCACCAATGGGTTAGATTGATGCTTAGATTGATCACTGAAGTAAAGACTGTCTATTTATGAAATGCCTGGGAGTCCTGTCCCTTATATAGCCAACCTCTCCTTCACTGATTCCTTGGATCACTTCCGGCTCACAGCTCAGAAGGTGATCCATTGGTGATCCTTTGGTGAGCCCAACTCATGGCTCACTCACGGCTCACGCCTGGCTCACTGATCTGGTGGTGATCCAGGTCACGTGATTGTTCCTGTCTTTCTGGTAATAGTTCTTCCTTCCCGTGTTGGGGTTTCTGCGGTTTGTCATCGGGCTTGGTTGGTTTAGTGGGTTAGGAACCAACGGTTCGTAACAGCAAGGCCATATATGAAGACCGCATATCTCAGTCATTATTTAATAGAAGGCCATATCAGAACTTAAGATGAATGGGTCATCGGTCGTGATCAGAAAAATGCCGAAGTAGCTGTACGGCGCATATATCGGGGAGTTTTTTCAGAAAGATGCTTTTCGGACATTTCTGGAAAGACGAGCTTATGCCATTTTCGCCGCTACCCTTCAGGGCAACATCACCGTCGTTGGTGGCATTGGTATGAGCGACAACTTGAGCCTGCCCGGGCCCACAGCTTGCTAGTTTGGCAGGACGGAGCAGGACAGGAGCATCTTGTATGTCACTGGCAACTTGCTTGAAGTTACGCCGAGTATAGAGGAGCTTACCCGCGCTCGAGGGAACAGAAAGCACGTGAAATTGCAGATATGGCTGGGGGAAACACACTTACGTATACTCCGGAAAGAACTGCGGGGAAATTAGAAGACCCGTACAGCTATTATCATTTGTTGTCAGAATAGCACAAGGGTCGGACCAACCTCACTAACCTCACCACTCCCACTTGGTTGGTTGGTGATCAAATTAGTAAGCAAAACGCTGGTGATGTTGGTGACTTTTTGGTTGGATTTACTGCTAAGAGATGAAGCTATGACTAACCTTACCGGCGCGGCCCCCCGGGAACATGTAGGCGGAGTTGGCTATAGCCTCCTCTGTAGCCTTGTGCGGTTTATCCAGCTAGTTATTTTCTGTAGCTCTCTTAGCCGTTAGGGCCCTAAGCAGAGTATCTAGTTAGCTTATCAAGCCGGCTCTGTACTAGCTTTGTAGTGTCTGGCACATGCCTATGATATCGGCGTCAAGGCTTGGCCGCTGTGAAGTAACTATTCTACCGGCAGATGAAAATAACCGCTCACGTTCATATCCTTCTGGATATTATGGCTACAGGCTTACTCCTATGACGAGACGGTGATGCGTGCACCTAGGGGGAGGATGCTATAATGCAGCAGTACGCAACGTTATAGTATCTAATTGAATGGGATTCACCTAACCAGGGGGTCCCCCTACCTTTTCGTATCAGGGCAGCAGCTTAAGCATTAGAAGAATACTAAGATAACAGCCAAGTTTCAAAGTACCAGACGTTTTGTAGACTTGCAAGCTAACAAGTCTTACAGGTGGTCCTACAGGGCTGGTAGTGACCTCCAGAAGCTTCAAATTGCCTAAAAATAGGCTTGTTAGGGACCCCTAGTACGGTCAAGATAGCTATTTGAGCCTTGGTAACCATAAACAAACCGGATTGCCCAACCAGGGCCTCTGGTGAGGTTAGTATTAGTAACTAAAGTCCGGAGAATGGTGAGGGTATTGGTGTAAAAACACGCCAACCCTAGCTCACCATGTTAGCGTGGTGAGGCTGTTCCAATTCTTGGAATAGCACATTGAGAAACAAGATAAACGTGTCCGTGACGGTCAAATTAGAGTATTGTCGAAGCTTTGTGTAATCTCTTGGCCATGACAGTGACATCTTGGCTAAAGCTTGACTTCTTGGCAAAGTCTTGACAATTTCTGTGGGTTAACGTACGACCCCACCTTTCCGACCACCCACCTTTCTGGACACATATTATCATGGAGGATTGTGATGTTTCTTCAGCTAAGTTAACCTACGTCAGGTGTAACGGTAGAATGTTACCTATTGAAACGGGGTCAGGCGGTCAGTAGGATATACCTACCACCTAACACACTGAACAGACGGCTCCAGTACCAACAGATCCCATCTGGTCTGGTGCGCGAGTTGGTCGGATGTGCCTCTGAGACTCGTATCGTGATAATAGGATCTCGAACGTAAAGATAAGCTGAATAACTAAAATAACTAAATAACTGACTGAAAAGCGAAGGTGAAGATATAGATAAGAAGAAGATGATGATATGAAGATGAGGATGATGATGCATGAAGATGAGGGACTCGTGTCCTACTCTGCCTCTGTGCCTCTTAAAGAAGAGAAAATAAACTTTCTCCTATCCCCGTAACCTATTTCCCTGATGTCCGGCCTTACCCCGTTACACTATCTAACTAGTGTACATTGTTACGGAGTAACTAGGGCTCCGCCAGTGGACTGTGTGCCACTAGTCCTCTGTTATATTACAATCCAATTGAAGGTATTCGAAACAGTGTATTCAACGTACTATTATAGCTATTCAGATACAACCAGCTCTAATAGAAAGCTGTGCTCCAGGGCTTCCTGAGGTATAGATCTGATAGATTCTGACGCCTTAGCTGGGTCCAGTATTACCTGATTCCGACGTTGTACCTGGTCTCGTTGCCGTTCTACTTCAAGGGCTCGATCTATCGCTTTCTTAATCTGTACAATGTTACCAAATGGTTCATTAGGCCCTAATCGTACCTTCTTACGTGGTTTGGGACGTAACGAAGTTATCTCGGCTTCTAATGCGTGTACACGTTGGGTCAAAGTAGCGACCTCGACGCTCTGTACATCTAGCCGACGAGTCAGCTTCCGAAACAATAGCCGTTGCGACGATCGCAATGGCGTAATCGCTGCCAGACTCTCCCTAGCTACTAAGCTAGTCACTGGCGTCGCCATTATTGTCGGATCAAGCCAATTACCAGCTGTTGTTGGTGTAGTTGGTCGTTCTGATAGGGGGGCTATCGTCGGCTGAGGTCGCGATGGATCTAATGGGTATATTCCAGTTGCAGAGAAGCCTGATTGTATATTACTGATCGTGAACGACTTCGTATATGCCTCGATATATAGCGAGAGGAACGTCGACTTTTTAAATGGAACAGAACAGTACTCGATCGAGAGAGATGTCGCTAGCGAGCGATAGTACCGCTTTAATGGAGCAAATACGGCGACGTCGAGAGGTTGGAGCCCGTGAAAACAGTGTGCTGGTAAAAATAATAACGAGATCTTGTTACAATAGGCTAACCACATGAACTCGACGTTATCGTGAGCGATATGACCATCTAATATCAAGAGCCGCTGCTCGTCGGGATCAACTGGTTGTGTACGAGGTATAAAGATATCACGAAGCCATCGAACGGCGATATCTGTACTGATCCAACCGTTGGACGAATAAGTATATTGCCAATCAGGTATATCGTCGCAATCGTTAAACCATTGGGCTTGGAGGCTCTTGCCAGTGTATATTACTGCTGGGGTCAACGAATTACCCATCGCCGATATAGCATGTAATATAGTGACCCATTTGCGGCTTTCGTCACTCCGAACGAATGTTGTACGTTTCTCTGACGATCCGTACACTGTACCCTCGATCCCTTCGCCAATCGCGATGCCTGTTTCGTCCATATTCCAGACGTTGTGTGGAAAGTAGTCGTGAGCTAACATCAAGGCTTCGTACGTCTCGAAGAAATCGTCGATATTCTGCGTCGATAGGCCATCAAATCACTGACGGTCGAGGCGTCGAGATTGGATACTTTCGACCTCTGGATGACGTTGAATAAAGCGATGAACCCAATGGCGACTGAGGCCCTCTGATTGACGATCCTGAGGTAACAGAATCAACGCCATCTTAGCGATGAATAGCGCCGACGGGCTACGACCCTCGCGATCAATTTAGAGAATCCATCCAATCAGCGCGTCTTCCTGATCCCTAGATAGCTTCATCGACGCGATTGACGCGTCAGAATGGCTGAGGCCATCGCCGAGTCGTAATTGGAGGGTAGAGCGTGGAACGCCCCATCGGAGGGAAGCCTGGCGCTGGGATATCCCTTGATTGATATCGTTGAGAGCGCCTTGAATCGAATTTTCTGAATATCGAGGCATTGTATAATAATAGCCAATACCGACGATAATCTGTTGTGCCGAAGGTTGTTGTAGTTGGCAGATTAGGTGGCCAAAAAGGTGGGTGGCCGGAAAGGTGGGGTCGTACGTTACCTTTTCGAGTATTTTGAGAGTAGGTGAAGGATTGCGTTCATCTTGATGAGAAACAAAGTCAAGATTGATGCGCGGTGGTTTGAAAATTTGAAGCGGCATGTTTCTATTGCTAATTACAAGTTTGCTGCCCCGCGTTGTAGATCTACAACACCAAGTTTCTAATCAATCTAAGCTAAGAACCTCATGTTCTTCCACTTGCTAACATATAATCTGATCAAAGTCTCGCTCACGGGGCCCAGCTGAGCCAATGTAGGAGAATGTTCCCTCGCCTTGGCTGTTCCCATCCGAAGACCTCCGCAACTCATGTGAATGAAATTGCTCTCTAAGAAATCCACCAGCAAATACCCCGGATTCGCTCCTTCAGGGCCATTGTCCTCGCGTCGCGGCCAGTCGCACACGCGCTGAACCCATTCTTTAAAAGGAACGATACCCGTGGCATCCTGTGGGCTTGCCAGCGTGGCGGCCAGCACAGCCATGGTTCCAGACCAAGGCTGGCGAAGAGGATTCTCGATGTGGTAGATGGGATGTAGGGCGACTTGATCGGGCTGAATTGCGATTTCAATCAAAGCCGCGGCCACATCGTCTGGCGTCCATCCCGTTGTTCCCGGGAAATCAGGAAGAGCCCCCAGTGTCTGAGATGACTTGATCAGAAAGGAAACGTGTTCCATGGGGTTCCAGTGGCCGTTAATGCGACTGCCGGCGATCTGGCCCAAACGCACAGCGGTGGCACGGAAGCGGTGGGGATACCGGTGGAGGGTAGTATCCAGCATGCGCTCGCAGATGTACTTGGCATCGCCGTAACCGGTCGGCAACACACTTTCGATGGGAACGCTCCTCGGGTACGACTGGCTTGCCTGTCCAGAGCGGGTGGTGGCCGACCGTGGCGATGGAGAAGACCAGCTCGAACGTCACCAGGCGGCCATCATGATGTTGGATTGAGATATCGTGCGCCAGGCCTAACAGGTGGACCATGATACGCAGCTGTGGCTCAAAGCGCTTGCCTGGCCACTTGGAGTGCATGAGCCAGGCATTATGCACTATGTGCGTGACGTCTGCCAGTAGCGACCGGTAGACATCGTCGGACAGGCCGAGATTTTCAGGATGCGACAGGTCTGTTTCAAACACATCGACCCTGGCTAGGGATCAGGGGGAAACTCAATACCTTTCTTGCGCAAAGCTTGCCTCTGCCGTTCAGTTGGATCTTGCTTGCTTCGACGGTTGAGGCACACAACTCGTTTCACGACTGTCCGAAACGCAGACTCGGCGACCAAGTGTGCACCCAAGCCGCCGGTTGCGCCTGTGATCAAGACACATTTTGCCCTGGATTGACGTCTGGATTGAGAGATGCTCGAGAGAGATGGCGACCCCAACTGGTCGAGGGGATCAGCGAAACCCTGCGTCAATTCGCGCGCATACTTGGCGACAACCTGTTCACGGGCAGCGCAGTCGGCCGAGCTCCCTTTCTTGGGCTTGCAGCCATTGATGGGGGTCTTTTGTAGTGAGAGATCACACCTACTTGCAAGTTAGAACGCGTTCAGGATCCAGCTTGTCGAATGGGAGAATTCTGAAGAAGCGGGAACTTGAGAGTGGGACATGCAACCAATGAGAGAACTTTCACTTCATATAGATTGATCTATAGATCTACATATAACACCCCAAGTAAAGACGAAGAAGGTTGGCGAGATGAACAGGAAGAAGTCAAGTTCATCTCATGTGTGACCATATGAAGGCCACCCTCGAGCATCTATTGAACCCAACTTGAGCACCAAACAGGTGCTTGATATAAGAAAACCATCAAGAACCAGTCAACTTACCGGCTTGTCGAGCTGGCAGCAGCCAATATCAACTTTTCAATATCGCTCTCCGGCCTTTCACCATCCGTCCAATCCACGTGGCCGTACCCGACAGCCTGCAAATCCGTCTTCCACCTCGACTCGTGCGTCAACGCGTGTTGACGACCATCATCAAACAGCCACCAACCCTCGAAAAGACCAAAGATCGGGTCGACCCAGTACGGTGTACGCGTCATCTCAAGCATTAGTAGGAACCCATCCGGTCGCAACACCTTGCACGCATTTCCTGTGCTAATACACAGAGAATGCGTCGCGTGCACCGCATTGCTCGCAAGCACAAAGTGTTGCGTGCCCTTCAAGTCCTTCTCGGGCGCCTGTTCAATTTCGTGAGCCCGGAACTTCATTCATGGGTATTGCTTGCCCCATCTCTTAGGAGCTGCTGCCACAAATAAGGGCGCTAGATCGGTGAATGTGTACTTGACTGGCACCCGCAATTGCGCTAATAATGGCACGACTCGCTTCGTGGTGCCGCCCGTGCTGGCCCCCATCTCCAGGATGCGCAGTGGTCTGCTCTCGCTGATGGAGTTTGTGTCCCGGAGCTTGGCCGTTAAGCGCGTGAGGAAATCCTCCATCTGCGCGTACAGGACTCGGTTTAACGGCCACTCGGCGTAGAAGGTGCTGACGAGATTGCGACCCTCATTGCTGCCGAAGATGAGCTTCACGCCATCGGTCTCGCCTGAGTGAACGCGCAACAGGTTCACTCTCGCATGATACATCAACTTGTCGGCCGATTGTTGATCGGGGAAGCGTTGTAACATCTCCTCGTATAGATCCCTACTGTGTCCCTGCGGGATTGGCATCGCTATTCGGGTAATGACATCACCGTCCAGTTTCACGATCTGTGTCTCCGTCTCAAGCATCTCGTACAGATAATTGAACAAGTGCACATGCTCCTTGCCATGCGGTATGCGCCAGAGCTGGTCGCCCGGTCGAGCATTGCAGAAACCAGCCCCCAGTGTCTCGAAAGCCTCGATTGTCAATGCCACTGTCAGCGCATTTTGAAATGGCAGCGAGTCAGCTACATACTGTGTCTGCCCTTGGTCGGCCATGCGCTTGTCTGTAAGCTGTTTGGTCTCGTTGAAGGCCTCCATGACCGTCGCGAATGAAAGGCAGAGCTCGCCAATTTCGGAGACCTCATGATCATCCTTGTCCGTGTCTGACGCCGGAGCTGGTGTTGTCGAACTGGTTGGAACCATAATACCGACCGAGGAAGCCCCAATGCTGCGGATGTCGCTATCCGAGTCCTTGATAGAGTCCTCGTGGTCAGCTGTAGGGTGCGCATCCATGTCTAGGCCCATCGTACCAGCCACGCACTTCAACAGCTCAGGCATGTCGGTGACGGTAAGAATCTCGCTCTCGGGAAGTTTGACACGGAACGTTGTCTCGATCTCGTGCACCATCTCCATGCCGGCGAAAGAGTCAATGCCCAGGCTGCGAGATTGCTGTTATCTTTGATCTCGTCGATTTCCAAGCCAGACAGGTCCGCAATCAGGGCCTTCAGTTTAAGCTTAAGTCATCCTGAAGCGATTGCTGGTTTGACTTTGGTGGCTTGGATTCTGCAGTGGCCTGAACGTGTATAGGTGAGGCTACTGCGGGCGGTTGGGATGTGGGCGGTTGGGACGCGGTTGGTGAAGATAGATGCTGCAATTGGCGAGGACTTCATCGACATCAGAGCTCTGCAGCAGCTTCACCGCACGATCATGCCCAAATAACCGCTCGAAGAGCACCAGCTGGCGCTTCAGAGACAGGTCATTGCTGTCACTGAATATGATCTTGCCCGTTGTGTGCACCATGCGAGCCTGGCTCTGACTCTGATTCTCGGTACTGAACACCTCAAATCGCCACTCGAAACCTCCGTGGGAACTATTCTTGACCTCGATCCATGTTTTACGCGTCGAGTTCGCACAGACCGGCGACTGGTATTCGACACCCTGAATTTGCGGCTCCCGCCCAGATTGAGATAGCTCGGGGCAGATGCTGCTAATAGCATCAATCACGAAACTTATCTGCACCATGGCAGGACATATCGGTGCCGTCTGTATAGTAAGGTGCCCTGACAATAGCTTCTTGTATTTGTCTGTTGTTGTGTTGATACCGAATCGCGCCTCCTTCTGAGCAGGGCCATCCTGAACTCAGTGAGATTCAGGAACTCCTCGGGCTTCTGGTCTGCCTCGTTCAATGTCTTGGCCTCTGCTGGAAGGTACTTCGGCAGCGTTTTCAGCTCCAGCCAGTGCGGTGCCTGTGGATCAAATTAGTACGGGGGCAAGAGCAAAGGCTTGATGTCATCTTGGCTACGTCTTTGCAGTCCGTGGTGGGCCCAATGTTTCACATGCAGACCGGCCTTCCAAAGAGACACTGTACTATCAGTCAGCTTGCTCCAACCGTCGTCGCAATTGGCAAGGTTGATGCCGTGGAAAGTAAATGGGCCCCCGATGTTCGAGCTGACGAGCGCGCGGGCGGCCATAGATGTGATGGTCGAATTGGTGCCCGCCTCCAGGAAAACGCAAGGGGAGGAGGATTGTTGTCGCGCTATGTGCTCGAGGGTGTGGTGAAAGTAGACTGGGTTGTGCATGTAGTCTGCCATAAACCTTGTCGTTATCTCCGACTTGGACCTGCTTTCTTCGGCCCGCTCGAAGGGGATGACTGCCTTGCGGAAGGTCAATCCTTCGGCGCTCTGCTCAAGGCGTTTCGCGAGCGGGTCGACGAGTGCCGAGTGGAAAGCGTTCCTCACATTCAGCCTTTTGCTCTTCACGGAAGTCTTGCTGGGAAGGCTTTGGAGTTGAGTAGCCACGGCATCGATGGCGACAGTTGAGCCAGCGAGTGTGAAACTTCTTGGTCAATTATAACAAGCAATGGTGGCAGGCTTGTCTAAGTGCCTACTATTGGCTTCATAGATCCTCAAAAGTACTCAAGTCTGCCTCAACAGCCATCATAGCTCCCTTGTCAGCTCCCCATGTGTCTCGCACTATCGTCGCTCGACCTACGATCATCTTGACAGTATCCCCCAAAGAGAGAATTTGAGAAATGCAGAGAGCCGTCAGTTCGCCGAAACGATGGCCTACTAGGGCGGCTGGACGAATTCCCGAGTCAATCCAGCTGCGCGCACAAGCATATTGCACAGCGAAAAGCATTGTCTGAGGTTGGACTATGTCGGAAATTGGGCTGCGTTGGAATATTCCTGGTATGATGCTGGCATACCCAAGTGATTGAACAACAGCGTCAACATGGTCCAAATGTTTGCGCAAAATGGCGACGTTGTCATATAACTGACGATCGAGGCCAATGTAGGTGGAGACTTGGCCCCCGAAACACAGAATCACTCTCAGCTCCAACGAGGAAGAAATAGAGGATGTCGGAGTGGACGCAAAGCTTGAACGAACATTTCACTGGTTCTGGGCTTGGTAAGTTTCTTGACTGAAAGAAGATAAAGGTATCAATATCATGGCTCCAGGGTTAATATTACAGAATGATACTTGAATGCTTACTTGGTGCTACTTACTTGACGTATGAACCTGGCCTACAAGTTTGTCCCAAATCTAATTTCACACTTCCCCATTTGGCCAACAGCTTCTGACCATGTCGTCAATCGGATCCAAGACCCTGGTGCTCATTATCGGCGATAACATAGGCTTAGGCAAGATGTCACAGCATCATTTTTTGATGAAAATGAAATCGATGTTAACTTATGTCTCCGTAGGCTTCTAGATAGTCAAGGCCATTTTTGCCCGTCTAACCCCCTATCACTTCTTCATTGGATGTCGTGGCGATGTGAGCCGCGCAAGCGATGCCATAACCAGGCTACAGCAGCTTTTCCCAACAGCACTTCTACCGAAGAACCACTCTCCATTGATATTTCGTCCGACAAGTCAATCGCGGCAGCTTTCAAGCAGGTCAAAGACAAATTCGGCTATATCGACATCTTTATCAACAACGCCGGTAAGTTCCATCTCACTGGAATTTCTGAATACAGAATTGGGGGATGATAGGGCGGCGAGGGATGTGAGGGATAAGAGTGCCATGGGCGCCATTGATCCGGCCATTTGCGTAGGGTTTTGTTTCGATGTTGTAGAGGGGAAGAGGGATGAGCAGGCTTGGCCGGTTAAGGTTTTGAGGAAGGATACGGTGCAGCCTTGGTAGGGTAACGGATGGGTGTTTGGAGTCATGGAACTTGGGTCATGGATCTATCGACATCGTCGAGTGCTCCTGCGACAATTGAAAAGACACGGCTTTTCCATCATCAGTACTACCAAGTACATACCATTTTTACTACCTAAAAACGAAATATTGAAGTTAAGCATAATCTAGAAAACTTAGTTTCTTCCCATCGCAATACCCCGTCTTCCACATGGAAGGATCAGTTTTCCTGTTCTGGGAAGGTCGTTTGGCCATATTACATAGTCTCGAGGAAGAGGTTAAGCTCTGAAATCCTAACACCACGAAGATTTCTTCTGCGGGTGGGTACGGGCGAGTATCGAAACCAATAATGGGAAGTTCGAAGATCAAGCAAGGCTGGTTGATTTTTGCAGCGAGGCCTCTCGCTACACCACGAATTGTCTGGAAGAATTATCATTTGGTCTTCAACATGGTGATGGGAAGGTAGGCTATGCACAGCTCGTCGCAGCACATGCATGTATGTCAGCCCAGGCGCTTGCCGATATCCTCAGAAATACAGAACGAAAAGAAGCCGGAGGCCTGACATTAGAGAAGTTGATGCATAGTCTGAAGCTGACGGGGACCGAGGAACACGGCCAGTACTTTATGGAGATTCCATGGCTTCTCGCCAAAGAATATGTGTCCCGTTTGCATGAAAAAGAGCACGGCATTGGCGCCTATTTAAGGAACACCATGGGCAGCAGTCCTAGAATAATGGAGGCCGAGGTGGCGTGGTGGGCTCTGATGCTTAGAGGCATAGCGTGGGCCATGTCTGTTCGCCACCACTAGTTTGAAGGTAAGCCAGTGCCTTCTTCGTACTATGGAAGCAAGACACCTTTGTGGATCATGTAACCGTACCCACCAGCAGAAGAAATCTTCGTGATGTTAGGATTTCAATCCCTTCAGGTAGTCGAGTATCTTCTTAAGCTTCTGCAACTTATCGTGATCAATACTGTTCTTCTTAACCTCTTCCTCGAGACCATGTAATATGGCCAAACGACCTTCCCAGAACAGGAAAACTGATCCTTCCATGTGGAAGACAGAGTACTTGCCACATACGGCATTCGATCCTGGAAGAGGGAGGAATGGACTCAAAAGCTTTACTGTGTCGTTGTGTATCACTTCCGCCCAATACACAAACTTTAACCCCCATATGCACTCGCATTAACAATAGGCATTAGCTCGACGCTAGCCTTATCTAAGCCGCCTGGGGATAGCCGTAGCTAAGGAACCCGACCATGTGGAGTGCGTGTAAAGATGGGTGTGGCTGGGTGCCAGGGAAGGTGACTACGGTTGGGCTCTCACGGAAGTCAATTCCAAGAAGTGAGGTGTTTTGTTGACTTCTATCTGCCGAGCTAAGTGTTGCGCGTTTGGCCCCTTTTGAGGAGCTCAATCTCCGACAATTATCCGATCGCTCAGCGATTTCAGCCACACAGCCACACTGTCCTTGACCTCACAGTGCGCCCTAAATTTAAATAGGAGCCGGACCTAGTATGCCTTGTACTTTACATCTGCAACCTCTGCGCCAATTTGGTTACTAGACCAAGAGTGAATGGTATATTAGTAGCAAAATACAGAACATCGTTCAGTCCGCCGGTAAAAATACCGCCATGGTCGACGACAAGGGGAGAATAACCTCACCATACCAACCTGGTGAGCCAGGACTGGCGTGGATTATCACAAATACACTCACCATTCTCCGGACTTTGGTTGCCAGGGATCAAATAGCTACTTTGATCGTGCCTGGGGTCCTCGACAGCTGTGGTTTTGGGTAATTAGAAGGTGTTGGAGGTCCCTGCCAGCCCATGTGGCTTCACTTTCTCCGAACGCGGTAAGGCCGTCTCATCTTGGGCATGAGCCTACGGATATTATATCCAGAAGGGTATGAATATGAGCGATGTTTTCAGTTGCCGGTAGAATGGTCACCTCACAGCGGCCAAGCCTTGACGCTGTTATCATAGGCATGTGCCAGACACTACGACGTTGGTACAGAGCCGGCTTAATAAGCCAGTTAAATACCCTGCTTAGCATCTGAAGGCTGATAGAGCTACAGAAAATAGCTCGGTGGATGAACCAGACGAGGTTATATAGGAGGCTATATCCCATTTCGCTAGCATGTTCCCGGGGGACCGCGCCGGCGAGGTCGGCGATAGACTCATCTCTTAGCAGTAAATCCCAACCTCAATTAGCCTCACCAGGATCTCTGGGTGGTCAAAGTCACCAGCGTTTTGCTTACTAATTTGATCACCAATCAACCAGGGGATGGTGAGGTTGGTGAGGTTGGTCCGACCCTTGGTCGAATGTAAGATACGACGGCATTGACAATTGGACCTTGGTACCATCGATCGCAGGTGCTAGAAAGGTTAAAATAACTGCACATAGCTTGAGTATAGATTCTTGCCATTTCCTTCGATCTGGTTTCCCAAAGCTTATACTGATTCGTCATACTAATGGCCATCTCTTCCGCAATACCGTGCTATACTTACTATCCATCGTTTGTATCCCCAAGGTATACGCCACCTTGGCCATATCTCAAGATTTTGACGTGATCTATGGGAATATCTAGCGCTGGCCTGCGAAGAGTCCTATATCGCCGTGGCCCTTCACAAATGTGGTCTGAAGTGAGCTGGATATGGATGACCTCAAGACAGGAGATGCTACTGCTAGGGTTGTCATAATGGCATTGGAGGCTTTGGTACGGTAAGACCATGAATATGACTGACTGACAGGACTTGGCTGAGATGAACAAGGCTCAACTTGAAGTCAGGCTTTGGCCACATAGGATTGTTATTGGTGAGACTGCTTAGGAAGTGTGAAAGCAGCGCCAGGCCATAGGGCATTCTTCATCGGCAGGCGGAGAATAGAATACACAGATAGCTCGGTTTAGAAAAAGGTGAGGCGTCATGTAACTGCACTCCAGGTGACCAACAGGCCCACAGTCGATGCACCCAGTCAACTTTTATAGCTTTGCAATACTGGTACAAATGGTATAGGAAACTTATAGGTGTAAGTATAACGTATGGCAAGAAGCCATGCACACTCTCCCTTTACCTCTGCTAAAGCACCAACAGCTCCGATCCATTCTCAAAAGATGGAGACTGACAGAATAGATTCGCATTTTGAGATATTCTGTTTCTCGTTATCGTCTGAAGTATGGGCTTCTCCTTGGTTGCCTGCTGTTGTATCAGGACCAAGTCAATGCTCTAAGAATGTACATTGTAGTGGGCGGGTATGAAACAATCCAAATATTGTAGCATCGAGCTCCAATTGATGTTGATATTTTGTAAGTCATGAAAGGTTGTCCTGTGGGGGTATGTAAGTGTGCATATTGACCAAGAAGCTTGAGTGTCTTGATTCCATCTTCATACTTCTTAACGCCAATAAGTTGTACTTAATGTGTACTTGTTGCATTACTTAGTTTTAGTATCCTCGTTTTGTTAGCCATACATACCATTCTGGCAAGATCTTCCAAGAGATTCAAATGTCTCTTGGTGATGCCATCACAGACCGCCAAGTGCACTCCCCCATCATCTGATATCTTGATCCAGATCGCCAAGACCTGGTTAAACGACTTGAAAGAGAGATCTTCATTGAACATCAAAATGGGGAAATAGCTGCTATATGCCAAGTCGCGTTTCTGTTTCGACTTTCGCGTTCGTCTGATCTTGCATCACGTTTCGCTATAGCCGGTTGATAGCTGCCAAGTCGATGCCAAGCAAATGCCAAGTCAATGGTCGGTTTCTATCCCGAAGTTAAAGCTATTGTGACGGGTTGCCTCCCTGGGTACCTTTTGAGTCGTGGATAAATGGGCTCGAGGGAATCTGGTATTAAAAGTGAGAGGAGCTGCTAGATAGGAGGCCATAGTGCCATCTATTTTCATCAGATACTCATCCTTTTAGATACCATTTTGCCTGCCCTTCAAGCAGTCATCTATCATGGCTCCTAATCATGAAACCTCCCTATCTACCATGGATTACTCTCCGAGGAAGTTGTCTTTTCCCTCCCCTAGTTCCATGGGAATTCAAGTTCGAGACTTCGCCCCTATCCAGCCACCCATAAGCTGGACCGATTCCCTTCGACTCTTGGCGACTTGCCTATTGGCTTTCACCAACAGCTTCATAGACATCACACCCATAGTCCTTCTCCCATACATACAGAAAGACTACAGAATCAGCCACGCCATCACATCACTGATATTGGTATCCAATACCCTAGGTTATCTAGTAGCAGCACCATTTACTAGACTTCTCGACCGAGCCGTAGGGAGATCCAATGCGTTCGGAATATCTCAGGGGGTGATGGGTATCGGCTTTCTATTGATTGCTGGTCATTCCCCTTTTCCCATTACGGTCGTTGCCTATTTCTTGGTGGGGCTTGGTCTGGCGATTAGCTGGACGCTAAGCAATGTGTACTGCACCTCATTGGGTGAAGGCGAGACGACCCCGGCCCTTGGGTTACTTCATGGATGTTACGGTGTTGGGGCTGTAGGGGGGTATTCGCTGGCCACCTCCTTGATGGTTCGGGGTATAACTTGGTGTCATTTCTATCTTGTGTTGCTTTTACTCACAATCTTGAATACTGTCGTTTCAAGCCGAGTCTTCAGGAGCTATGAGAATGAATTCCCCGATCAATGTTTTGTCCAGAGTCCCCATTACGCAAAGTCGACAGATTATTCTCGTGGGTTGAACGAAAATATGAGGAATGTAAGCGCGGACTTGGAGCGCGAACCCCTCTTGAGTTACAGAACATGGGTCATGCCTTCGGACCACAACCAAATGGACGACTATAGGACGCCCTGGCCATCGTCAAGCAGTATTCAGAACACCATCTTCAACAGGAGCATGTTCGTCGGTACCCTGTTCATTTTCGCCTACGCAGGGGCAGAGATCTCCATGTCGGGGTCGATACTGGAGAACCGCAGCCGAGAGAATCCACATCCCTCTGTGAGCTTCACCGCGCTTGGGTTCTGGGTCGGAATGTCCTTTGGGAGATTCTTCTTCGCCTTGATATCACCTGAAATGGGCGATGAGTACGCGCTATGTATTCTACTTCAGGTCATTGTGTGGTACGTCCATGGTTTTGCGGGTGACGGGGTCTTATTGCCCCTCATTGGGTTTCTGTTTGGGCCTATTTTGCCCAATGCTATTGCTGTTTATGGACGACTGTTCCCCGGGAGTACGCGTATTACTGGATTCTCCTTCATTCTCGCCATTGGCAGGCTTGGGGGTACGTTGAGCTTTATTTTGGGCCAACGTGTCGTGGAAACCCTTGGGACTGGTGCGTTGCATTCCATTTGTGTTATGATGGGGACCGTTATGCTTTTTTGTTGGTTAGCACTACCTTGCTCTTAGGTATTAAAGAAGATTTGGCAGCTGCGTTCTAAACTATATCTCCATGTTGGAATTGCAAGGTGTGTTGTATAAGTTAATGTCGTTTTTCATATTCTGTAATTGACCGCTAGTTCCCCTGATAACGTCCCACACCCACATCCGGGACACCCCCACATGTGGGACACCCAAAATGCCTCATCAACACCGCTAGCCTCTAACTTCAACCTCTCTTTTCTTTATCAATATCAACCCAATCGTTACGAGATTTTACGTACGTCTTCTTTACACTAATATGAGTCAATATACCGAAGATGATATTTATCGAGCTCTTCAAGCAATAGCTACCGGTCAAAGCCTCCGAAAAGCAGCATATGAGCATGGTGTCCCAAGGTCTACTCTTTCACGACGGATTCAGGGAGACCAGTCAAGAGATACAGCCTTCGCTGACTACCAGAGGCTCTCTCCAGCCCAGGAATCCCATCTGGCTGAATGGGTTCGAATCCAGGCTGCCCTAGGCCTCCCACCAACCCATCAACAGCTCAAAGACTTCGCCGAGCGTATCCTACAGATCCACGGAGACACCGAACCACTTGGAAAGAACTGGGTCCAGGATTTTATCAAGAGGAACCCTTCAGTCAAGGTCCAGAGAAGCAGAGCTATCGATTCCCAGCGTATTAATGGAGCCTCAGCTAATGTGATCAGGCAATGGTTCAAATACCTCGCTATCCCTGAGATCAAAGCTATTAAGGCCTCGAATCGATACAATATGGATGAGACAGGTATTCTAGAAAGTAGAGGATCAAATGGTCTTGTTCTAGGATCATCTGAGACTCGTTCTATACGGAAGAAACAGCCTGGATCTCGAGCTTGGACATCTCTTATAGAGTGTATCTCTGCGACTGGTACTGCACTACCCCCACTTGTGATATACAAGGGGAAGTCTGTCCAGCAGCAGTGGTTTCCTCTGGACTTGACTCCATACGAAGCCTGGAGGTTTACAGCAACAGAGAATGGGTGGACGTCAGACTCTACGGCTATTGAGTGGCTACAAAAGATCTTTATTCCTTTGACTCAACCAGAGGACCCTGAAGAGACTAGGTTACTTATCCTAGATGGGCATAGTAGCCACGAAACGACAGAGTTTATGTACCTCTGCTTCATAAACAAGATACACTTGCTTTTCTTGCCGCCACACACATCCCACGTTCTCCAGCCTCTCGATCAGTCAGTGTTTGGACCCCTCAAGGCAGCCTATAAGAAGGAGCTTGGTTACCTTGACCGATGGGATACTACTACTGTCGTAGGGAAGAGAAACTTTCTCCTCTGCTATAGAAAGGCACGTCTAGCAGCATTGACCGCTAAGAACATTATCAGTGGATGGAAATATACTGGTCTCTGGCCTTCGAGCATAGCTAGACCCCTTATGAGCCCCCTGATCCTTGAGAATACGTCAGCACCAATCAAACAGCCTAGTCAGACTTGCAAAGGGCACTCTAGTAGTCAGGACTGGGCGTTAGAGACATCAAAAGTAGCCTGGTCAACGCCTAAGAGGAGAGATGAGCTCCAAGATCAACTCAGCTTATCAGCAAGCTTGATAGTGATCCAAATACCCAGCGGCTACTCTTTCGGAAAGTTCAAAAGGGCTTTGATGAGAAGGACTACCAATTAGCTGTCGCACAGCGAAAGATTGAGGCAATAGAGGCAGAGCTTGAGGCTAGTAGGGCTAGGAAGCGGAGGAAGGTCAAGATGAGCCTAAATTCGAAGTTTACTAATATCAAGGCTATTCGGAAGGCTTAAATCGAGGCTGGTGAAATTGAGGATAGTACAGATGAGTCTAGCGAGTCTGAAAACCCTAGTGACGGTGAAAGCTGTATTCTAGTCGCATTAGAATAAGTGTAAAAAAAGGTTGAAGTTAATGGTTATAATATACAGTGTCATTTTTAGGGCGTCCCACATGTGGGGGTATCCCGGATGTAGGTGTGGGACGTTACACTTATCAGCTTTCCATCCCGGGTGTTTGAGAGCTATCCGAGGATCCAAATATCTTTCATTAAGCTGATTTCTCTAGTCCCTTCTACCCCTTCTACTTCATATGGGATAACTTCCTGGAGCACATGGCCAATAAAAAAGGCAAGACTGCGCTGAAGCACCTTCGACTTTTAGATAACCTTGTGGCCAAGGAGGTAGTTCCGGCAAAGATGAACGTTCAAGATCTCCTGGATAACTGGATGATTGACCTCAAGCATCTATGGACCTTGTTCACTCCATTCCCCAAATTTCACTCTTCATTCAGCGGTGGGCCCAGTCGTCTGTTCCGCTCTACGAATCAGGGAGGAAGAACCGAACACACCGGAAACTCCATGCTAGCGTGTGGTTACATCAACCGTGACGGCAAAGATTTCAACTATGTCCAGAAATCTTCAACTTCGAGGGATTCAGAGCCATGTCGGCATCTCGGAGCTGAAATACCTGCCGCTCGCCATGCAGTCGGATCTAAATCTACGACAGAAGCTCACCGACAGATGCAACAGTTTTGGGGCGGTTAAATGACATCCATTACAGATTGTACGATGGCGAGGCTGGCATCGAGCGCGGTTCGGATGATGAGCCGCAGGAATACCACGTGAGTTGTTCATTGTGTGAGGCTCGGGGAGAAAGCAGCTTACTAAAGATACGCAGGGCCATACAATTGACAATGCTGCGCAAAGAAACCTGCGCATAGGAAAGTCAAACCCCTAAGGGGATAAAGCTTGATGGCCTCGAGGAGGATCAGTATGTTGTGCACTGACCATGTCAGGGGCTACTGCCGGAAGTACAAGGGATGGGTGTGTTCCCCTTACTTGTCTGATTAGTGACATACAACCCTGTTGGGCCGCAGGGAAGTATCATGGTGGACAACGTGCAAGAAAGCGAGTGGAGTGAGAAGATATTAGAGAACTTGGTTTTCCAATGCGAATCCGAAACGGTCATCCTTGGGTTTGTGGAAGTGCAACTCTCCTGACTGGACCGACTCAATACTTTAATCAGTGGCAAAGGTGATATATGCTGGCTCCTTCTACGGCTGTGTACTTAGCGCGCTAGGAAAAGGAATCGTCATGTTGCGACAAGCGTCCGAAATCAGTAACTGCAGAGTCAGGTTCGTGCAGCACTTGTCTTTATCTATCACATCCATACTAACTCACTAAATTATTTCTAGGCAGTGGTCGAACGAATGAAGAGGCCACTGTACATATTCAGTGCAGGAGAACTCGGTTCATCTAGCTCCACAGCCGAAGCGAAACTTGATAGCATTTCGATTTGTGCACGCACTGGGAAGAGTTTGTTCTACTATACGAATGCGATGTGTTTCTGTAGCAGCATTTAGGTTCAATAATGGACAGAAACAGATTGGTGTGGAGGAAGACGTGCGTTCAACTGCAAAGTCCAAGGCTGAAGAACACAGACAAAACTCTACAGCTTTCTCGCTAATGCTCGAGCACTACCAGATAAGAACGTTCAAATCATAAGAATTACCACTGAGTTGCTTAACGTAGTCCACGGTCCAATTGCACAGTTTGGCAGACCTTATACGACAATGTATAAGTTAATTCAACCACAACGCCTATCATCAATTGAAACTACTCAGAATCTTTATCTTCAGACGTCTCTACATCATTTCCACAAGTGCGCGCATTATGTCCGGGCTCGCCGCAGATTCTACAGCGCCGTACACGGTTATTTTAATTTATATTTTAATCATAAACGCCTCGTACGACCACCAATTTGACGAAATTCGTCATGTAACTGCCCATCAACCTCTCGTTAGACTGTAGGTCCTGTCCAGCTTGTATACGAAGTGACCCTCCACTCTGTAGCTGTTTTTTCTTCGCACGGCGACGTCGACTTAAATTCTCATTTGCCTTTCGAAGTGATTCGACCTCGCCTTCTAAAAGGGCAAGCCGATGCATAACCTTCGTTGTACCTCGCGCAATCTGACCTATTCCAGCAGAAATTGACGTTGGTGAGCTATTTTGATGTCGTACAATCCTATTTTTCACATAATCGATTTGTGATTGGGCTTCGGTTGGGTTGTTCGGAGTCTTTCATTCCCAAGGGACCGGGAGACCAGCCGAGCGACCCGGAGGTGTTGGCGTATGTAATTTCACATCGAGCTGTGATATGACATAATCTGCATCGTACGGAACTATTCCTACCCCTCGGAAACCTCCTTGGATATTTGAAACCGTGAAAGTTGCGTTGTACGCGTTTAAAAACGCCGGTAAAAAGTCTTCTTTCGAGATATGACTTATATGTGCTCGCATGAGATCTTCGATTTCTTTTCCGTACGCTCTTTTTAACCCGCGAAAACAACCAACATCAAGAGGCTGGAGCTTATGCGACGAACGAGGAGGCATACAAAGCGTGACGATATTGTTAGCTTTGCAATATACCTCGAAATCGGTCGAGTGATGGCTTTCGTGACCGTCGAGGATCAATAGGCGATGAGTACCTTTCGTACGAGACTTGGTGTGATGATCGAAGTGTTTTATCCAATCTTCGCCTCTCTCGTTCGTAGTCCAGCCATTTTAGTAACTGCGATAACCCAATCAGGCGGTAATGGGCTGTTTTCGTACCATGACGAGAGGTGGGTTTTTCCGGAGAAAATGATGTACGGAGGGAGGGCATAACCGGACGACCCAACGCCTTGAATAACTGTAACCCATTCCCGATTTCCTTGCTGGGCTGCTCTAGGCCTTCCGCGCCGATCAGAAGTCGTCACGACCATTTCGGACGAGATTTGGCCCATCACAAAACCGGTCTCGTCGAAGTTGTAGATATCCTCCTCCTGGATCGCGTATTTCGCAGAGGACTCTCTGATAGTCTATCCTTCGATTTAAACGCGTCCGGAGGTCTAGTTGTCGTCTTACGAAGCTCGAGGCCCAGTTGACGCCGATGCGTCCCGCGTCGCGACTTCGAAGTAATCGGTTGGCCATATCTTCAACACCACTCAATTGGGGAGGAAATGCTCGCGAATCTAGGTCAGTTATATGTCGTACGATTGCCTCTTCTTCGGAAGGAGTCGACTTTTGCGTTGGCGATCGCATAATCGCTCGAGCGGTTTTACTGTCGCGTCGATACGCAAGGGTTCTAGAAGGTACGTTATAGATCTGACCAGCGCGACGTACACTTAATTTTGGATCAGATTGAAGCGCATGTAATGCTAGAATCATATCACTTTCATTCCAAGAACCAACCATAGTTATGTGGTGAAAAACCGCAGGTCAAAGTGGTAGCGTACGAAAATCTGCGGAAGTGTGCAATTGGACCGTGGACTACGTTAGCTGAAATACAGAATGGCATGTTCTTGACGACAAACCACGTTCCTGTGATTGACCTAGCCTTCGAGTCATGCATTCACCTAACCATCAATCACCCTAAGCTTGATGCCGATTCTGTATTTTAGATTTGGCTGGCCTTCTTGGAGGGTTCTGAAGACCCTGATGCCTATAATGACAAAGCTAATATCAACTTCGTGGGCAGATCAAGAATGTGGTCAAACTGCCAGTCTTCTTGCCCTGAGGGACATCTCCCCACTTGCCATGAGAAATTTGGAGAAGGTGCTGAAACTCAAAGGCGTAGTTAGCTAAAAATTTCTTGGTAGTGACAGGGTACACTATGGATCGGTGAGGATCGATTTGACTAGTAACTGAGGGATTCAACCCTCAGATGATGACTCTGTACAGATCCTGTATTGGTTACGATGCTTGATGCGCAGTGTGATGTGTGTATTGACTTCTCGGAGTGCTATGTAACAAGTTACATCTAAGGTAGGTAGGCAGGTGCCGACCTTTTTATCTACACAAGCGATTTCACTGCCTTAGGCACCACCTCAGGCACCACCTCAGGCACACATATGGCGCTCAATCCCACAGTAATGACTAAGAAGTTGTGAGTAGTCACGACTAGCCGTAGTCGATCAAACTCGATCCACCACCATATCTTCAATCCCAGAGTAACTTTCCATGACGGAAAAGTGCAAGCCACGTTCTGGCCCAGTCATTTAACCAGACCCACTCTTCCCGAGCACAACGTGGACGGGTCGGCATGCCGGACAGAGGCATCCTGGCCGAGTATCATGTGTTTGTAGCGGCTAGCATAATTGCCGTGCTGGCGTACATGGCCCAAGACGAGGCCTGCACTTTGCCAGCCGCCAGGCTCACGTTGTGGATGGCGCTGAATGGGGACTTGCCTACCAGGGAGCCCAGATGAGAACAGACAGGAAAGGGATGTTGTGGTTCTTCGGCAGGGAACTGGCGTTGTGTCAATTGCGGGGTTGTGACATCTGATGAGTAGGTTCATGAAAGTTTAAATCATGTCGTATCGTTTGTGCTAATTGGGTGACATAGCTATCACAAAGTCTTTGTCGGACAAGGAGCTGCAAACGTCCTTGGGAGCTTGTGCGGCCTAAACCATTAACTACAAAACCTCACCAGGGTGGGACCCGGCGCCCTGCTGGTGGGAGGGCACTGGTGTCATCTGCTAGACGGGCAGTTCCGCGACACTGGATCAGAGCCTGGCAAGTGTGACACAAGGACGTAATATAAGCGCCCTTGGCATACTCGGCGGGCTGGTGGAGGTGACTATGGACTTTGGTCGTATTTAAATATGAGTTACAGAGAATATTCAAATCCCACCAGCATTCCCATGGTGATTACAGTACTGCATTTGTTTCTAGAGGTATCTGGGCCACAATCCGGGGCCGCTTCTGCGCTGAAACGTGGGGGATAAACCTTACGCGGATCATGTACATTCACCAGAGCTATCAGCTAGCTTCAATTGATCAATCCTCACAAATTGCACTGCATGAAGTGATTGGAATTTCACAAATACGAATGGTTAAAATGTCGCTTACCCCATATCACACAAGCAGTGCTGATACAAAGTGATAATCATGGTACTCTCCAAGCGTTTCGAACGTAACACGGCGGATATCCCAGTGCACTATGAACCGTAGCAGTTGCCTTGACATTGACCCTCAAAAGACAAAACCTGAGCACAAATAACGTCGTCACAGTAAAGTAAATAGATGTGGGGTTCATAACTTTTTTGTGCATTCAGACGTCAGTACTTGTGACTGGTATGTAGAGCTCAAGCAAGGCGATTTCACTTTCCATAATTATTAGACATTCACCCTTTCTTTTGTTTATTCCTTTTCTCCTCCTTTTTCTGCTGCTTCAGCGCCGCCTTACAGGCCTTCTTGTTGAGCTTCTCTACACTCTTCTCGTAGTTCTTGATTAGGCGCTGCCTCTCCCGTTCCCGGCGCTCGGCTCGGGCCCTTTCGTCCTTGGCGGCCATTCTCTCGTTGGCTTCGACGCCGGAGTCGCCGGTAAACCACGGACTGGGAAGGGCATAGGAAAAGTCAGACACGGAACCGGAGATCGTGGCGGGTCTGACAACGGAGATATTCGCATCGGGGAAGCTGTAAATCGAGTTGCGAGTGGCCTCCCGGGTGCGCAACTCGGAGGCAGACGTGGTCGTCGGGGTGGCGGGGCTAGATTGCACGGGGTTCGAAGCTGCGATTACGTCGGCGGGATCGATTTCGTCGAGACTACTTATGTGATTCGGCGGCAGACACGAAGCGGGCGGAATGGAAGAATAACCCGAATCCGGATTGCCTTCTCTCTTTGGTTTCTCTTTTTGACGTTCCTGCACAGACTTTTGAATCGCAGTGAGTTTTTCTGCATACCTTTTCATCATCTGCTCATGTTGAGCCTTGTGTACGGTGTACCCAACTCTACCCCGTTCCACCTCGGAGTGGAGTACAGGTGTAGACTGTTCTGCTTCAGACATGACGTCGATCGTTACTTGGTGCGTTGAGCGTTCATCGTCATCTTCAAGGATCGGCTGCAGACGCACAATTCGACATGGCGGCTGGATGTCTGCTGCTGGAAGCCGATTTACTGGAATTCGGGATCGCACGTCAGAGACAGTTGCTGGTGTGCCAAGGCGCGGTATAGTAGACACTGCCGGACGTGAGCGTTGCTGCGATAAGCTTTCTGAAGTCTGTGATGTGAGAATACGTCGAAAAGACTCAGACGAAGCAGTTGGTGTCGATCGTAGTGCTGGGTGTATGTCTAACTGTTGATTTCTAGATTCTAGTCGTAGTGCAGCGTGTTGCGAAGGATTTGGAGAAAGGGGGGCAGGGTGTAGTGTTGGTTGGGCTGCGCTCCGGGGATCACTCGACGATGAATTTCTAGACGCGGGTGCCTTGGATACAAGCGGTTCGGCATCTGGATTCTGTGGCACTTCAGCAGTCGAACAGGGTGCGGTACACGGTGGTTTCGGGGGTGAACGAGTGGGTGGAGGCACCGGTGGCAAATCCATTGTTGGTGGCGGGCCTTTCAAGTGCGGAGAGTTGGGCGGCTGTCTGTACTGATAAAATCCAGTGCCTTTACCTACTGGTGTTCCAGCCGGTGGAACGAAAGGACGATGAGGCCGTGTTGCAGTATGCAGGGTGGGAGAATACGGCAATGGTGGTTCCGTTTCATGACGGTATGCTTGTCCTGACCCCAACTGTGGAAGGCTCCGTGCGTTTCGAAGTTTTTGTGCCCGGTTCATATCTCCGGAAGCTACAATGTTCACATTATTGTCCTCCGCAGATTGGCGAGGTGCCTTAGAGGTCTCTTCATGGTGGAGTGCCCTGGGAGTCTCTTCACGACCGGCTGCCTTGGGAGTCCCTTTTCGAAGTGCCCGTGGAGTGGTTGCACACCTTGGGCGACAAGGTTCACGGGAAACAAGGACTCCAGGGGTCTGCTGATTATTGTTGCGTGTGAACGGCGGCAACGCCTCATCCTCGACCAAAGAAGTCTTGTATTCAAGATTCGAGAACGACAATGGCGGCAATACTGAACTCCCGTCATCTGAGGTCTGGTGCATCAAACTGCTTTGAGACATCGTGCGGGGTGGTGCAGTGCTAGACTGCACTCCGAGAGATTCCTGAACATCACGTATAACTTGCTCAGCTCTGTGCTGTAATAAGTTTGGATAGCTGCCTCGAGACTTGGTGGGGCTTGGATTGTATTTGGCCATCTGTGCCTTCTTCAGATCTCGACGAGACTTTGAACGAGCAAGGCGTTCAAGGCTGATCAGCTGCCTCTCCGGGGTCCCCCATGATGCATTGCCTTCTGATTCACTCTGCTTATCGCCCGCGTGTGGAGCGAGGGTGTGACCTTTAGTGTTGCTAGCATGAGCTGTTGATAGGCAACGCTGATCATTCTCGGGAGAAGTTTTTGTCATGTAACCCTGGTCATTGCTGACAAAAGCTCTTCGCATACGACCCTGACCATCGCTGACAGGAGCGATGGACGCATCACTCCGATCGTGGCTGGTATGAGCTCTCGGCATGAGACTCTGATCATTGCTGAAAGGAGCTGATCTTGTTAGATGAGTGCCACTGGCATGCGCTCTTGGACTATCACTAGGGTCACCGCGGGTAGAAGCAGATAGCAAACTACCTGGATCGCCAAGGACAGGGGTTGATTGCATGTTGACCTGTCTTGCCTCAGGAGAAGGCGATGACCCGCGATTACGGCCGGCAATAGCAAGAACTGATTGTGTATCACCTATGCCATCGCCAGAAAAAAGCGACGGTTCACCTCGATGGTCGTCCATAGCAAGAGTTGCTTGCATATCAATCAGATCATTATCGCCAGAAGAACACAGTGGCATAACCAAAGGGTCTCTGCTGGCAAGTTGTGATTGAATACGGTCCCTATTGTGCCCAGACGAAAACGATGGTACACTACGGCAGTTTCGGATGGGAAGAGTTGATTGCATACCGGGCCTATCATTGCCAGCAAGGACTGATGATCCTTCACCAAATCGGTTGTCTGCTACATAACCAATCAGCACTTCAGCCAAAAAAATAAGAAATATGGACGACAAGGAACACACTATTCTTGCGATCCGCCATCTTGATGGAACTCTGAGCATTTCAGTCTGATGTATTGGCGTAGAAAATTCGGCGAAGGGATAAGCCTTCGGGCGAGGTCGGCCAGCTGTTTGGTATACTTGCCGTGATATCCGAGTGAACGGAGTGAATTCGCACTTGGGAAGCGACGATGGATCCAACCCAGGACACTTTGAGGAGATCAGATCTGCGATGGGAATTAATTAGCAGCCTGATTTGAAGAATGAGAACCGAGGATCAGTACCAGAAACTTGCAAGACGGAAGCGGTGATTCAGTGCTGTGCTGTTCTGGCGACGCCAATTACTGCAGGGATATTTTCACGGGAGATCTCAGCCAGCCCAATAATACAGAGGCAGAAAACTGGTGCTGTCCTGTTCTCGTGATGCTAATTCTCGAAGGGATCGGTTCACGGGCGTTGTCAGCCAGCGGTTTGTTATTGGTTTTGTTGTTGGTGCTTGAAGGAACGAGAAAGAACTGTGAACTATGACCCAGGGGATCCGCGATCACGTTATCAACAAGGAACAATACCTAGCCTGCTATAAAATGCATAGGTGTGAGCCGAACATGAGCATAGCAGGCCAGTGGAGCGATTTGTTGAACGGAGGAAGTCCGGATGCCCAGCCTGGAATATGCTGTGTTAAAGCAGGATCGAGTTGAAACAATTGGTGTGTCTGGCAATTTGAGGTGAAGGATAATGGTGCCAAGTCCTAGCTTGAGATGGCTACCAATTGCTCAACACCATCCTCTCTCGCCAACCCTCTGGAGTGCATGGTGCACGGACCCCTAGTAAATGCCCATTGAGTGAACAACATCTTCAGTCTTTCCCATGATAAGAATCCACTGCAACCTTTGAAGCTGTAGCCATCGTCATTTATTTGATGCCCGGACTCTACTCGGCTCAGAAGTCTATTCCCTATCCCACGCGACCACGAAACCACATGTAGTCATGTTCGAACTACTCATGGAAATCCTCATGGAAATCCTCATCGAAATCACACTCGGCCTTTGTGACGCTGCAATCGATTTGTTAAACAACCTCTTCGACATCGCAGTCCAGATTGGCGATATCCTCGTTGATCAGTTGGAGCTGTTCTTACTATACGCGTCTATAATAGCATTGATCCGTGCTTTCGACTAGCCAGCCCCTTGGATCGGCAAATCTCCGAGGCTATGGGCCGTTGTCGTCGCAACAAGGATTGCTACCCCTGATTGAGACGTCAGCCACTGCCGAGACCCCGACCGTTTGAGGTCAACGTATTTCTTGTGGCTTGACCCGCCTAGACGACTTGGAACGCGCAATTTCCTTGCGCAGGAAGTCGCAGGAGTGCTCGCTTTCTCGCATGAACATCTATGTCCATTGAAGAAGAAGAGGACAGCCAAGAGACGGGGAGACAGAAACACCAGTTCCATCGCATTTTGATGAGGAAATATTGCTAGAGACGATAATGTTGACGAAGAAAGGTGGCAGCCCTGCGCTGTTGAAGTTATCAGGGCGACAGTGGGGAAGGCGCATCAGCGCGCAACTGCGCCAGCACCCGTCGCAGATGCTGTCAGCTGGAGCTCTGCGCCGCAGTGCGAATTCGACGGCAGCGAAAGGGGAGGATCAAGATGGAAATCACCCACGTGGATCACCGGAAGTCGGAAAGGGATGCACATTGTTGAGGTTGGGAACATCAGCGGTACAGTACAGTCAATTCTCGACATCAACAATAACAACTAAACAAGCCCGTCGACCACAAGGAGACTACCAAGTCGCACAAGGTCGACCAACATTGTTGACGACGAGGGGAGAGTCCGCACAGCAGCGCAGCCATTTCTCGACCACAGCACAGAGAACTGAGGATGACTTCAAGGAAGATCGCAAGCACCAACGGCCGCAGGGGGAAGATGCCCAGCCCACATTGTTGATGAAGATGGGAGAGTCGGCGGCGACCACTTTAGCATCGGTGCTGGTCTTGGGTTTAGGATTTGCCGTCGCAGGATACGTTTACCATAAGTCGTACAAGTATTTCCAACTGAGCAAGATCAAGAACGCATTCGAGCCGGGCGACCCCGTTCTCGAGCTTGCTGCTATTGGAAAGGAGATCCCGGCGCCTCCTAATTCGGAACATTGGATCAGTAAGTTTACCTTTGGGGCCTCAAGCTCCTTTGCCCTTGTCCTTTTCTGAAGGTGGGGCGGAAAGCGATCTTCATGAGAGCTTGAGAAACGGTTGCTTTCAAGCAGACATGATGTCTCATCGGAGAGGCAAAGAATCTTTCAACCCATCAAGAGTGAAACTTGCTGACTTGGAGAATGATAGTGAGACGCGAGCAAGAGAGAATCGATGCGATTGTACGAGGTGATGAGAAAGGCCACTATTTTCTGGTAATGGGCGAGAAGGGGAGTGGCAAAAGTAGCATGTTGCTGGTAAGTCTCCCTATTCTTGCGATTTTGAATTTGGAAACATGGACTGAAAAACCGAAGGAGGCAATGCGCAAGATAGACGGTGACGGCTGCGCCATGTTCGAGGCTCATGCCGACCTGGAAATTTTCCGCATCCGACTAGGAAAGGCTCTTGATTATGAGGTAAGTTGCTGCATGCCGCTGCGACTTTTCAAAGGAAAACTCAAATGCAAAGGTTGCCTATCAAGTTTCTGTGCTTGTCACAATAGACTTGTGGTTTAAGTTGCGTCGCGGGTGACATAGACGGTTTGCTGATCTCCCTTAGTTCCACGAGGACTACATCGGTGGCTACTTCAGCGAGCGAGGTCCAAGAGACACGACGGCGCTCTTAGATATCGAGAGAGCGCTGAATAAGCTGGAAAAGGTGGCACTTCAGCACCGAGCAGAGAAGAACAAACCCTTAATCATCATCATCAATCAGACTCATCTAATCCGAGATGACGAAGATGGAAAAGACTTGCTGGAGTTACTACAGCAAAGATCAGAGCAATGGGCCGCTTCAAACCTCGTCACTATGATCTTCAACACCGACGACTATTGGATATATGAGCGATTCAAGCAGCTGGCCACTAGAATGGAAGTCCTCTCAGTGACTGACTTGCCTAAAGACCAAGCTGTCGCCGCGCTGAAAAACTACCGGCATAAATACTTCAAAGAAGATGTGGCGAACGACCTTCTTGATCACGTCTACAACATGGTCGGAGGGCGATTGAATTTCCTGAACCGAGTAGCCAAATCGGATGACATGCTCCAGACGTGCGATCGGATCACCGAAATCGAGAAGACGTGGTTCCTGAACCAGTGCTGGATTCTCGGCATGGAGATGGATGACGACGTGATGGACCAGCAGAAGTGGGCTGTAGGTATTCCCGACAGTTCGCCAGCCAGTGAGCGTTGTGACTAACCCGGTATACTCTCTAGTCTGCCGCCATGGTTCTCGCACTCGCCCTCGTCGACAAGGAAGAAGAAATGGATAAAACCTACGACGAAGTGCGAGGGCACATTCTCCCATCGTTCCAAATGCACAAAGCCCAACAGATCATGGCTCGGTCCGACTACATACGAGACCTCGACCGTCTCAACATCTTCACCATCACGAGCACCGCCAGAGTGCGGGCAAGCTCAGTGCCTATGCATCGGGCCTTCAAAGATATCTGTGCCGAACCGGGCTTCCGACAATTTCTTGAGGACACTATCCAGCGCATTGCGGATATCGAGAGCTTGGGCCGCACGAGAGAGCTCGTCGCCAAGGACCTGGTGCTGGGTGGGAAGTATGAGTGGACCAAGGGCTGGACTGGAAAGGTGGCCATGAAGCTGCAGGAGAAGGAGGAGAGTAATGATGGGAAGAATGGTAGTGACGACAAGGAGAAATGAAGTGATCGGTGAGAGATATGGTCACAGGTCGGGGCTGGATTAGTCCCGCGGTCGATTGTTTGATTAAGGCGATTTAGTCATGGCTGGTCCTTGATGATGGAGATGGAGGATTTCTCACAACGAGCTTATTTCCTTTGTATACTGTACATTACTGTAACAGATGCTGGATCAGATAGACGTCAAGAGAAGGGCAAGCCAGAGTGATCGCAACGATCAGTGCGGCTCGGGTTTCATAGTAGTCACAGCAGAGAGCCTTGATTTGCACATAGGCAATATATCCATGTTTCACCTTGCTCCAAAGTCAGCTTTGTTCCTAAACTGGGTTTGTTGGCACAAAATCGATGGGAATAGGGTTAATTCCATGCCCAACCCTTGACTGGAATATTCTAGTTTTGCAGCATGTGGAAGATCCAATCTGATACTCTCCGAGTTCAGCTGTTGGAAACTGGGATACAGTACATATCTATGTTCTTGACTAGGGCTATCCGCTTCTTACTACCCTTGAGTCTTTGCCTAGCGCCACTATGGCTGGGTACATGATTAGCTGAAGGAATTTGTTCAATATAACCCAAGACATCAATAAGGACATGTACAACTACAACCAATTCTTTACCTCAACTCTCGACCAAATCGCCTAAATGCCAACCAATCCTCTTCCATAAGTCATGCCCTGTCAAACTGTCCCACCAAAACAGACTCGATACTGACCGTTCGCTCTGAAAACAACCCGTCACAACCCACCCACCAAATACTCAGCCGAAATGCAATTGTCCTCTATCATATATGTGTCCACGATCGCGGTGGGGCTCGTCTCTGCCACCTGCATTCCTGAGATAAACGCTGCACCCGTAAAACAGGATTGCTTGGGCCAGAGCTGCGACGCAAGCGAGCTGGAGGCCACGACGGAGAATATCTACAACCCAACGACCTGATTTGGGTGTGCGCTGTACTAAGAGCATTATGACAGTAGAGAATGTATTGTTCGGATTGAGTCTGTCGGTGTCAAAAGAATTTGAGCTCTGACTATTGTGGAAAGGGGATTGGATCTTCGGCAGCAGCATCAGCAGCAGCAGCAGAAGTGAGGCTTCATATTCAGGCGTCTGTCTTTGTAGATATAGTTCATGATAAACCTAATGTCTTATGTATGGTTAGTTGGTCGTCGTGAAAGTATATGTGCTGAGGGTAATGATCATGGTGCTTCGCATTGTAGCTTGATCAGAAAAGATCAACTACCGTAGCCGAAAGGGATCACAAACTTTGTGTGGGGGATATAGGCAACAGAGCTGTATTGGGGATTGGAATAACTCCCAAAGGCTGCAGCTACGGAAGGGCTACCTACGGCCAGTTGGCCGAAGCGCTGCACACAGCAAACAGCCCCTGCGTCTGGGCCAACGCAAGACTTCGCATCAACTTATTACCACCTGCAACTTTCCATGGCATTGAAATGCAATGAATAAAAAGGCGAGGCAAGTGTATAACCACAACGGGCGCACTAATAAATTAAGCAACCTATCAGCCCATTTCATCCCTCGCAACATGCCTTGTTCGTTCTCTGTGCCCATGACCAACTGCCAACTGCAAACACAGCGGACGTTGTTTTCTCCAGGTCCCTGCGAACTCTCATTTAAGCGATGCAAGGACTCACCAAACAAGGAACATGGTTGGTGTTGAAAATCGACCCTTCCTGGATGGGTTTGCTCACGTATCCCTGCCAAGGTAGCACGAGTATGGGATCAGGTGTGGTTGAGATATGGATTTCCTTGTATTCCTAGGGCCCCTCGTCAGTTTTGTTGGCTTCTTATTTCCAAGTCTGAAGCGAGCAAATTTCTTCGCCTGCCGCGGAAGTAGTATATAAGTCTAGAGATTGTACCTGGCTGAGGCGAAGCTTTCGTGAACCTTTTCAATTTTTTTTCTTTCGTTGTTCATTTTTACCACTTCGGCGTCGAGATTTCTGTGTTCTATAGCAAGGCGGGCAATTCATGTAAATGAAGATGAGCGAGAATGAATCCATGAATGTGTCAAAAGGCACCTGCTACTACGCCGAGCACAACGTGACCAAGGGCGACTTCATCCCCTGCGGTAATGTCGAGCTGGGGCACTGGCCATGCTGTCATACGGGCGACGTTTGTCTGGGCTATCTCAACGGCAATGCTTGCTATGATGCCGAAAGTTGGTAACCCCTTCTCCAATCTATACATCTAAGCAGTCCCGAACCTGACCATCTGATCTCACCGAATCAGCCGGCAGCACTTACCTCGCAGGCTGCACTGATAACGATCTAACCGACAGGGCATGTCCTCACAAGTCCCTCCTGTTCTATTCTCAGCAATGGGTCGCCATGATCCAATGCTCCAAGGGGTCCGATGAGGACACGCGATGGGGCGGGTGCAAGGTGGAAGACAGCGCGACGGATCTCAAGAGGCTGCCGCAAGCGGCTAGTTGCGATCCGTATTGCTCTTCGCCTGTGTGGTTGGGGACTTCGTCGATTCCCGCATATGCCAGTTTGCCCTCCAGTGCTGGGGGCCGTATCGCATGGAGAAACGGATTCAATCCCGCAGATGTACTCACATCCTCGGTATCAGCTTCATCCACCTCGGACTCGGATTCTCTTTCAGTCTTGGACAGTCCGACGACTACAATTACACCCGATTCTGCGACGGGCACTTTCAGGATAGCAACAGCAACGGCTGTAGAATCAACCGCATCCCCAACAGTAGCAACATCATTAACATCAACACCAGCTTCAGAACAACACGACCCACTCTCAACCGCTTTGAAAGTAGGAATTGGCATAGGCGTCATCGTAGCCGCCCTCCTCATCACCGCCATATTCCTCCTCGCCCTCCTCGTCCGGCGGCGGAAAAAGAGAAACCGCATCGACCCAAATACAGACAACACCCAGCAAGACCAAAGCCAACCATATAGCCGACACTTTCTAACCCGGACATTCACATATCCAGCCAGCAACCCCATGTCGCTGGGTTCTGACGTTGCGGAATGCACGGCCGTCTTCAGATCTGAGTTACCTGCCGATGAGCCCGCCAGCGCGATGAGACAGCCGAGCAGCATGGTGATGCCGAGCTCGCCTCCGGGCTGCGATTCAGGCCGTGAATCGCCGGTGGAAGGGTGTCACGTGGATGGTATAAGTACTGTTTCGGATGAGTCGCCGTTGCCGGGTAGGACTATGGGACGGGGGAGACATGCCTCGCCGCGGCAGGAAGGGGAGCAGGTCCAGTGGGGGCCTGGGGTGCAGAGTTCTAGGGGGATGACGCCTATTTCGGAGCTTTGAGGTGGATAATACAAGTGGTTTTGTGGATTGGGACAAGGCATATGTTGGAGGAGTGAGCTCGTTGTTCGGTTCGGGTGAGGAGACAGTATGATATCGGTTCCCATAACGTAGTAAGAGGTGAAAGTAGTTTTATTGCGATGTAGTCTATTACGAGTCCATGTTACGCCACGAAACTGGATCCTATGAGATATTTAGCTTATTATTTTCTTATGAACTATACTTCCACGGCAATAAAGTGATGTGTTGGGTTGCCACGTTTCTTACCTCATGACATAAAGGTAAGAATCTCTTGTTCTTTCAATGATAGTGTTATCCGAACGCCTCGGATACATAGAGTGTTCTTTACTAGTATTTCCACCTCTTGTGCGTACTTTTATACCTATAACGTAGTCCACAAGCGAACGGGTCACCCAACCAAACGGGTCACGCCAACTAGCAAAACATGGAATTCAACACGATTTCGCAACCACAACGCCGTAAATCAATTAAAACTACTCAGAAAACTCTTGCCCAGATGATTCTATCTCTACCTGACAGGTTCGCGCATTATGCCCGGTCTTCCCGCATACGCCACAGCGCCGTTGCCGTGGCTGGCCACGATTTGATCCAGCGCTATTTCCACGCATTTCCTGCTGTACTTGCTGCGCAACGTCCTTTTGATCTTGAAGATATTGTACGTCTTGTGAATTAAGTGATCCTCCAAGCCGTACTCGTGTTTTTTTGGCCCTGCGCCGCTTGCTAATTAGAGCATTTGCCTCTCGAAGTTCCGCGACCTCAGCTTGGAGTAAAGCCATCTTATGCATAATACTCCGCGCTCCTTTCGAAAACTGATCGGTAGCATCGTAAATTGACGTCGGGGAGCTATTTTGATGCCTGTCAATTCGAGATTTAATAAATTCGGATTGCGAAGTAGCCTTGGTTGGGTTGTTTGGCGTCCGAGAAGCCCAAGGAAGGGTTTCCCGCGTAGGGGGCCGGGAGGACGTTGGAGTGTAATTTCACATCCAGCTTCTCAATAACAATATCTGGGCTTAAATGCACAAGCCCAGCCCCTTGAAAGCCTGCACGAATATTGCTTTCGGTCAGGCTCTTCTTGAACGCGTCGCAAAATGCCGGAAGAAAGTCCTCCTTTGTGATATGCGAGTCACGTAGCAGTCGGTTTGCCATATCTTCAACAGCACTTAGCCGGGGAGGAAATGCTTACGAATCTAGCTCAATTATCCTTTGAATAATCGTATTTTGTTCTAGTTTTGTTAAATTCCGACCGTTGGCTTCGATATTGCGACGTGATTGACGTTTTTGAAGACGCGCCTGGAGAGTAGTATTCGAGACTTTGTAGATTGTTGCAGCACGTCGGATACTAAGTGTTGAGTCATTTCTGATAGCCTGAGTTGCAAGGAGTAATTGAGATTATTTTTGAGCAGAATCCATCGAGAATTAGTTGCGTGGTAAAGTTAGGAAGTTTAGTTCTATTTTTTGCTACGGGCCTGACCCGTTCGCTTGTGGACTAAGTTACAAATTTATATGTTCATAGGTTTTGGTACGTTGAAAACACTAGAACGTAGGAGAAGAGGCTTAGTATTATAGGGCAGTTCACACGCTACTATTTAAGAAGCCAGAAGTGTACTTTGGCCTCGTCGCCAGCGTTCAAGCTGTGCATTTAGATACAGCAATAAATGCCGCGTTTTAGGGTACTACCCGGACGGGACATAGTACCGCCCAGTTTGCTAGCGGCTTCAGCGCAATCTTACCCCAGAACAATCTCGCATCCCACTTCGCATCAGAGGCCATTTAGTATTGATTTCTGCATAGATCTCAATTCGTCTAGTGTATCCCGGGCATACCCCAAGACGAATCCTGTTACCGCGACTCGACATCAAAATATTTCGTAGCGGCGCTTGGGAGCTGCCTTGTGACATCGCAACATATTGCCAAATATTAACGGCAGGGCACACGTAGCCGCGCAGCCAGCCCAGAGCCTTGTTGACCACCTATGGACAACCAGGCTGCAGTAAATGCAAGCCTTTGCACTTATACCCAATATGCTCTTCAACCATAGTTATGGCGGCAACGGGTTAACAGTATTAGTACGACGGTGCAAGCGGCAGGCAGAATACCGGAAGTGCGTACATAAGAACTGCGTACGAAATTTGTTGGTCGCCAAAGCGGGGATTAATCGGATCAGGTTGCCGAAAACCTCCACCTGTACTACAAGCGCTTCACAACGCCGAGTGAGTCAGCATGCGTATGAATCTCATCGATCCTACGGCCGCAGCCGTCCGTTTTCCGACTTCCCTTCAAACATCATCCTTCAACCCATACACCATCCAACCCTTTCTTGCATAAGCCCGTCTCGAAAGGTTTCCTCAACTCGCTGTAAGTCCAATCCTAATCGTTCCCTCGGAAAGAATGGGTTCATTTATACCCAAACAGGACGCAGACATCGCGCCATTGCCATCCAAGGATGTCCTCCTCAGCCTGCGATCTGGCAAAATCCGCCCTCTCGGCGGTGTGACCATCCGGTCAGCAATTAATAAGAACCCACGTAAAGGCAAAGTGAAAGTCACCCGGACGGGATTGGTTGGCGATGAGATGCAATATGAAATGCACGGCGGGTCCGAAAAGGCCCTGCACCAATACTGCGCGAGTCACTACCAGAAGTGGAACGAAGAGATTCACAACCGGGAACATCTGTTCAAGATAGGCGGTTTTGGCGAAAACTTGTCGACTGCGTTGCTTTCGGAGGACAATGTCTGCATTGGCGACAAGTTCCGGCTCGGGCCCGAGGTTATCGTGGAAGTCAGCGAACCTCGATGTCCCTGTTTTAAGCTAAACCATCGCTTCGAGTACAAGAAAGCATCAACGATGGCCCAGAACAGCGGGCGCACTGGATGGTATCTTCGAGTCTTGCAGGAGGGTCATCTGCAAGAAGGGGATGAGTTTGAGCTCATTGAGCGCATCAACCCTCATTGGTCCATCTCCAGAGTCCAGAAATACCTTTTTCACGAAGTAAACGACCTCGAGGCGGCTGCTGAAATGAGCCAGCTGCCTCGTCTTGGCGATGAGACGGCCGAAACCTTTCGCAGCCGCCTGATCAAGGGCGCCGAGGATATGAGTGGTCGGCTTGAGGGAGATCGCATCCCGGTCGTCTGGAAATCCTACAGGCTTGTCGAGAAGATTGTGTTGACCCCGAGGGTGAAGAAATTCGTCTTTGAGGTCGACCAAACCAGCACCGATATTGATGATATCCAACTTGGACGCTTCCCACACGTGCGGCTTCAGTTTGGCCCCAACCACAGCTTCTCGCGGGCCTACTCTGTTGTCTCTGGCGATATGGGACGATTCGAGCTGGGTGTAGCACGGGATGATAAGTCTAGAGGCGGCTCGATTTATCTCCACGACAACGTACGAATCGGCAATTCCATCAAGGTTGCCAAAGGACATACAGCGGAGGGAGCTTTGCGGTCGAGCTGCATTGATAATACGGCGAGTCAGAAACATGTCTTCATCATTGGAGGCATAGGCGTCACAGCATTCCTTCAGGAGATTGCGACCATCTCAAAGACATCAGCAGATCTTGAAATCCACTACGCGGTGCGCAGCAAGAATGAAGCCGCATACCTGAACCTTCTACCTCCCAATCGAACGACAGTCTACGCCAATAACGAGGGACAACGGTTAGACCTCAACAAAATCGTGCCTGTAACTGAAAATGGCGGAGTCAAAGCCATGATCTACTGCTGTGGACCAAGTTCACTCATGGAAGCATGCCGTAACCTGACATTTAAACGACGGTATCCACAATCGTCGACGCACTTTGAAGATTTTGGCGGCGCGACCACGGGAACTGGCGATCCATTTGAGGCCGAGATCAAGTCGACGGGCCAGGTGTTGCAGGTGCCTCGGAAGAAGTCTCTGCTGCAGATCCTCAACGACGCTGGGTTTGAGATCGAGTCTTCTTGTCAAGTTGGGAATTGTGGAATGTGTATGGTGGACTATTGCAAAGGCGAGGTTGAGCACCGGGGTTTTGCATTGGAGGAAGAGCAGAAAGCTGGTACTATGTTGAGCTGTGTTAGTCGTGGGAAGGGGAGAATCATTGTGAATTGTTAGTGTTGTCAACTTTGTTAGTCGAGTGCTAGTCGCTCCAGAGGAACTCAATTCTACCCTTATTTCATTGGATGGTATCGCAGGGAAACGGCGATTCGCAGTCTCTAGTCGCGGAACTTGCAACTGCCGTCCTAGAATTATGTATAGTCTTGTCCCGCGACGAATGCCATTTCTCAGCACATCGTGGATACTCTAAACCATTTGGAGACGTAACATCGGCAACTAATGGCATCTTCAAGCCATACACCTATCTGTCCGGCATTGTTGAGCGGCTACGGCCGCCGCATCTATTCTCCAACGCCGTCACATGCCACCGGACGATGCAGGGTCTCTTATGCCTCGTGTAACCTTTTATTTAGGGAGATCTGCAAAGTCTTGCGGGGGGATTAACAAGTGCGCCTAGCACCCTTTTCTCGGGCGTCGGCCGCCATGCGACTTCGTAGATTTTCTCATCCTCAAGCCAATGACGATGCGCATCACCCCACCAAAAGACTCTGGAGATGCCCCTCCCCCGCGTGAGTCCTTTGATTCTAGGTGGGCCCAACGCGGAAGGAGTCTCTGCAACGACGTCCTCTTGCAGCTATGAATCGGCCTATGTATTAGTACACTTCTTGTGATCGATCGTCTCGCATTAGTGGTACGATCATACTTTCCAGCTCATTGCCTTTATCCGTTGATGGAGGTTTCAATTGCCATACCGCAGGCTCTGTTTATAAACCGTCATCGTTCTCTGACAAACCGTCAGCCCTTGCCTCACTTCGAACGACAATACATTGCATACTGGCAGTGAATTGTTACTTTATGTTTGTAACGATTAGTCCAAGACAGGAAGTAGCTTGAATTTTTAGGTATTTTTGAACACGTTTAGAAGATATCGACCCAGCCCTCACATCATGGAGACCCAGGTCTGGATACCATTTAGCCCAAACGACCCATTGACGACAACCGCCAACATGTCGGATCCCAAGGAGCGGTTCTACCGCCACTTTCAAACGGAGATCACTGGTATGATCTAGAACCTATGCTTTCCACTTGGCCTCCCTCACTCTCGGTGCACACTGCTGACGGTCCAACCAGCCATCCAGGACCAGATCGAAGACCTTGGCACTCTCTCCTCTGTTGGCGGCGAGCGACAAGACTGTGTCGACACCATCTTAGCCGGAATATCCCGCCTCTCTAATGAAGTTACCGACGCCCTCGACTATGTCCCCGCCTACGACCAACGCGCCTACGCTCAAGCCCTCAAAGCCTTGACAGAGAAACTCAACGAAGCCACGAGTAAATTCGCACCGAAGTCACGCTTCCAGTTCAAGCCACGAGCCGCCAAGTCCACAAATACCACCACCCTCTCGGCCTCCGAAACCGTCCAACAACCACAACATGACCCCCGCCGACTATTCCACGAAGCCTCCCCCGATAATAATGAGCCTGCGGCAGACGGCACAGACAGCGCGGCCGAAGGCCGAGACGGGCTGGGCGTCATGCCAGGTCTGAGACGGAATTACAACGAAGAAATCGCGCGACCTGAGCTAAAAGCCGGCGTTAGGAAGCCATCCTTCTCGTCAGCCAAGAATATCGCTATATACGACCAAACTGGGCTGCATATCATGCTCCCTTCTTCCGCATCGCATGCGACGTCATCGGGCTCGCTGACGAACCTTGATGAGTGTATCGTGGACATGACGGTGCCGACAAGCGGGAGCATGGGGGCGCCCTTTGCAGGGCTGGCGATCAAGGATGTGAAGAAGAGTTTGTTGGTTTGCGGAACGGTGGCGGGACCTGTCCATATCACGGGGGTCAAGGATAGTGTGGTAGTTGTGGCGGCGAGGCAGGTCAGGGTGCATGAGTGTGAGCGTGTGGATGTGTATTTACATTGTCGGAGTCATCCCATTATTGAGGACTGCAAGGGAATGCAGTTTGCGCCGTTGCCGGAGTGCTATGTAAGTGCGGAAGATATCTCAGAAGATGGGTTTACTGACTGTACGACAGATGAACAATCTGGATGCAGCCAACAATCAATGGGATCAAGTCGATGACTTCAAGTGGCTGAAGACTGAACCTTCACCGAACTGGAGTCTGATGTCGGAGGAGAAGCGCATCCCCCGAGAATTGTGGGAGAAGACGCTTAGCAACCCGACTTTGTGCGCAAGTAATATCTTGAAGAAGGCAAGCGTCGTTTGAGGGGCGCTCTTTGAGATGTCACGAGCATTGCCAGTTTTGACCATGGATTTGAGATTGGGAAATGAAATAATCTTCATCATACTAGAACAGCGTTGTACCTGTACTCTACGAACGTAACATTGGAAAGGGTACTGGGACTTTCGCCTCGCCTAGTGATTCTGATCGTGACCGTAACGCGTAACGCCTGTCTGACCAAGAGCTTGACTGCTAACGTCACTATCACTCCTACATGTTAGGCCCTTCTGAGGTCGAGTCTGCTACAGATACCTTCCAGAACTCCTCCGCTCTGGACGGCTTGTTCAATCTATATGTTACCATTGGGTGGTAAAATGATTCTGCCGACGTATCCAGTGGGTCCTGTGGTGACGGTGATTTTATGGACGTCCAGATCTCCATACCTTCTTAAGTGTTCTCGGGGTTGTTCGCATCGGAATTTCCGTGAATGTTCCCGGTGACGAAACCTTCGACATGTCCGTAGACAACCTCGCTGGTATCCCTATCACGTGTTCTGACGATGCTCGCGTCTTCCTTTCGTTCCGCAGAGTTGTTCATTCCTGCATCCGATCCTCGTCCCTGCCCTGCCCGGCAAACCCCAGCCCCTTCTCCCTGAGCAAGTTGAGCTGCTCCCTCTGCCGCCGTATCTTGTCCTCCAGCTGCCGCATTTCCTCCTCCTGTTCCGCCATCGTTCGGTCCATGTCGGGAAGCGTCTTAATCTGCGCCCGCGCCTTCTGCAGCTTGTGCTTCAAGTGGTCCGTCGCAGCGGGGACTTCGCGTAGCGACAGCTCGCCGTTCGTGTTCTGTGAGTTGGAGGGGGTGGGCGCTGCTGCGGGGGTCTGCCCGCTACCGCCGCCGCTGGCGTTGGGGAGAGTCACAGGCGTGCGGAGGCGCGTGAGTATCGAAGCGAGTTTGGTGATGGTGTCGAGGGCGTCAGGGCTGAGGGTCGCCGGTAGGCCGAGGGGGGTTTTCGGGTCGTTGGTCATGGTCGAAGAAGAGATTATTGGCACTGTCATGTAGATGCAATGGTCACGGAAGATGCTGGTGAAGTGTGACTGCGAACCCCAAGAGGCTGGTTAGAGTTCGCGTCCGATGTTGAAATTGGACGGGAAAGAGTTGGTCGCTTTCGCCATGCGAAGTCAAGGTTAAAGTTGACTCATTTGGGAAGATCAATTGGACGTAGCCCCGACTCGAAATCAATCAGCCTCGCGCCAAAAGGCCATTGAGTTTGCGCAAAGAGCTGGCCGTTTGGTTCGACACTTTTCGATCTTACAGTGCTTACTACCTGACGTTAGAATGGTTTGAAACAGAGACTGTGCACTAGTCCAGAATCGGCCGATTCCGCATGGCGTATAAGCGAGTATGTAGACCGCACGCAAATAGCATGACAACGACTTAGGAAGTCGCAGCCTTGCTTTTTTTTTCGTACAGGAGGCCCGATTGTCTGATTTGCTACTGGTGCTGTAGTTACCCCTCCATTGGCGGTGTCAGCCAAGGACGATCTGTCAACGGCTTCAGGACACAAGAACTGCTCGTGATTTATCGAAAGTTCCACTGAACAGAATCATCATACTTATGGGAACTATAATCTCAAGATACTTAGGCTATCTACGAGTGTCAAAATACGGTTATTTAAGTGAAAGTAACGTAATCTATTCCTGGTGGCAGCTTCTGCAGATCAGACCAGCAATGCGTGAATAGCGCGCGCCGCAAAAAAATACCCCACCATCATCCCACCATCGGGAAGTTTCAACACACGTCGTCACAGGCTTCTTCGCTCCTCGTTCGGTCTCTCCTGAATAAAATCACGCAACGATTGGATACTTAAACGTGTCTCTATCCTAGAGCTTGTCTGCAATCCTAAGTCCAACTTCTTCATAAACTACAGACACATTCTCCTTCACAATGGCAAAGACAGATCAGAAAGCATGCCTCATTGTCATCGACGGCTGGGGTATCCCCTCGGCTGACTCCCCTCCCGAAGGTGATGCCATCGCGGCTGCCGAAACCCCAGTCATGGACAAGCTGTCCAAGGACACGGCCGGCTTCACTGAGCTCGAAGCCTCGTCTCTCGCAGTAGGCCTTCCCGAAGGGCTCATGGGCAACTCTGAGGTCGGACACTTGAACATTGGTGCTGGCCGTGTTGTCTGGCAAGACGTCGTTCGCATCGACCAAACGATCAAGAAGGGCGAGTTCGCCAACACTCCAGTCATCAAAAAGACGCTCGAGTCGGCCAAGAGCCGCGGCCGCCTCCACCTGTGTGGTCTCGTCTCCCACGGTGGAGTTCACTCCAAGCAAGACCATCTCTACGCTCTCCTCAAAGCGGCAAAGGCTGTTGGTATCCCCAAGGTCTTCGTTCACTTCTTTGGCGATGGCCGCGACACCGACCCTAAGTCTGGTGCTGCATACATGGAGGAGCTGATTGGCAAGATGAAGGAGATTGGCGTTGGTCAAATCGCAACAGTCGTCGGTCGCTACTATGCCATGGACCGGGACAAGAGATGGGAGCGAGTCGAGCTTGCCATGAAGGGGATGATCCTGGGCGAGGGTGAGGAGAGCAACGACCCGGTCAAGACGGTCAAGGAGCGATACGAGAAGGGTGAGAACGACGAGTTCCTGAAGCCCATTGTGGTTGGCGGCAAGGAGGGTCGTATCCAGGACGGCGATGACGTTTTCTTCTTCAACTACCGATCCGACCGTGTTCGACAGATTACCCAGCTTCTGGGTGGTGTTGACCGCTCCCCTCGACCCGACTTCCCCTACCCTAAAATCAACCTCGTCACTATGACACAATACAAGGGCGAATACCCCTTCGAGATTGCCTTCGAGCCCCAACGCATGGATAACGTGCTTGCAGAGTGGCTCGGTAAGCAAAGTGTTGAGCAGGTCCACGTGGCTGAGACGGAGAAGTATGCCCACGTCACATTCTTCTTCAACGGAGGTGTCGAGAAGGCGTTTGCCCTTGAGACTCGTGACGAGTCTCAAGATCTGGTCCCGTCCAATAAGAGCGTGGCAACCTACGACAAGGCACCCGAGATGAGTGCCGCTGGCGTTGCCACGCAGGTTTGCAAGCGCATGGCAGAGCAGAAGTTCCCCTTCGTCATGAACAACTTCGCACCGCCGGACATGGTTGGCCATACCGGTGTGTACGAGGCCGCCATCATTGGCTGCGCGACTACGGACAAGGCCATCGGCACTATTCTTGAAGGCTGCAAGAAGGAGGGATACATCCTGTTCATCACCTCTGACCACGGCAATGCCGAGGAGATGAAGTTCCCCGATGGCAAGCCCAAGACCTCGCACACAACCAACAAGGTTCCCTTCATCATGGCCAACGCGCCCAAAGGCTGGAGCCTCAAGCAGAGTGACGAGGCTGTATTGGGTGATGTGGCGCCTACGATTTTGGCCGCCATGGGTCTGCCTCAGCCCGAGGACATGACGGGTTCCAGCTTGTTGGTTAAGGCATAGACGGCATAGAGGAAACCGGTTGGAAGTGGAAACTAAATGAGGTGACGCGTTACGATAGAAACTATAGAGGAAAAGGTGAATAATTGGCGTAGGAAAAGGAATACCACATTTATACTTGCAAAATTACCACTGAAGAACCCAGGCACGCCTTTGGAATCGTGATCCACCATGCATCTTACACGATCAGACCTTAGGACGCAGCAGGACAGACGCTTTGTTGCGAAATTGAGTACAGCCACAAACTTAAGTGTGTTCCAAAGAAAAGAAAGTTGGTTCTGATCAATATTGTTTGGCCATCAAGGGACATTCATTAGATTAGTGAGGAGCCGCCAGGAACACGCTTCACTTTATATCGGTTTATCGCATAACAGAGGGTTATTCATTATGCCACTCAGACCGACGTCAGGCGCTAAACCATTTTGAGCTCTCCGCCCACAATCGAAATCTTCAACTTCAACAGCCCCGCCAACCACCTGCGCTTTTGATTATCTCTAACTTCAAGACTTTCTAATCCCAGCCCACATCGTCGCCCATCATGGAAGGCGAGGACCCCCAAGAGCGGCCCGACTACATCTCGAGCATTATCAATGGGCTCGAGCGATACAATCCCGAGGCTGTCGGCACCCTCGAGGACTACCTGCGTGCGCAGTGCGAGCAGAGATATTGCGACATGAACGCTAACCGGACACTGTTGAAACTGTGAGTTGTGCCTTCTCCTCTTTGCTTCATTTATGCTTGGAAATGCGGATTGGAATGACGACTTATGTCAACGTTTCCTATTACCTGACTGCTGGCGCTTGAATCACGTCGGCCCACTGAAGTTATTCGTTATTAGCTCTATCTGACCTTCCGCTTCCATACTTGCTATTGCTGTCGCTGCTCTGTTATCATGCTTGCCTAGTCCAGACAGCTTTGGCTAACAGTTCTACGAACGCCAGATACCAACTTAACCCCGACCGCCTGAAGGATGAAGTCATCACCAACATCCTCGTCAAGGCCATGACCTGTTTCCCCTCCCCTCAGTTCTCACTCGCCCTGCACATCATCCCTCCCTCTATCCTGGCACCGACGTCCCGCGGCGAGCTGCCCGAGGCCATTTCCAAGCTCCGCGAACTTGACACCCAGCTGCAAGGCGCACAATACGCCCGCTTCTGGGCCACTCTTGACAGCGACGACCTGTACGCCGATCTGGTAGCCGACATTGACGGCTTTGAGGAGCTGATTCGCATCCGCACTGCAACACTAGCGAGCCACGCCTTCCGCGAGATTGAGATTAGCGTCCTCGCTGAATGGCTGGGTCTGGATGAGGCCGCGGCGACCAAGTTCGTCACGGAGACGGCAGGCTGGAAAATTGAGGACGGACAGGTGAAGGTGCCGCGGAACGCTGAAAATGAGGCCAAGAAGGCCGAGGTCAGGGAGGATGTCAACGTGGAAATGTTCTCGAGAATTGTCCGGAGGGCATGGGAAGAGACGGCTTAGAGAGGGGCACTTCATGGCGACTTGCATTGGGCTACTTAAAAGGCGTTCAGGGTGTAATTTGTAACCGCCGATGAATGATCGACGAACCTCGTTTACTTGACCGTGGATAGAGTACGGATTTGAGAAGACATGACAGACATGATTTCTCATCTACTCCGGTTGATAAGTGACCATACATGTAGTCTCATATCGGCATAATCCAGTTGGTCTCGTTATGATGGCGGTGCTACAAGCATTGGTGCCAATATTGGCGAGGTCAATGCTACCTTCGCACTTTAAGGACCTTCTCAGACTATGGGCTAGGCGCTAAGGCTGAGAGTCAACGCTGGTATGTTCCGGATTTGTTATATCCGAAAACCATACCTTGCGCAACTCAAGGTCGTAGCCTGTTTGGGTTTGAGTCCACGTCTCTGAAGATGGCAGGTCAGATTTTGATGTGACCACAACTTGGACCGCCTACCGATCAATAGAGCTCACCACCAGCGGTTATGCCATAAAGACAAAGGATTGCTTCTCGGAAGGAAAGACAGAGCTGAAGTGCTCCTTCGCCTTACCGTTAGTTTCAAAGAGCACATAATATTAGCAACGCGTGGCAACATGATTGGCTCCCGAGGTCAGTTTAGACTTACAGCCTTACACGCAGGAAGGGTTGTTACCAAACTCCTCATCCGCCGACTCATCATTCCAAAAATGAGCATTGAGCTCGGCACACGGCTCTTAAGGCCCCCCAGACTTCACTTCACTGCTGCCGTTGCTTGGACCTGTGGCATGGGAGGGATTTTAGAAGTCTCCCGAAGGATGCAGAATCCCCAACGGAAGAATGCTCGATATTTCACCAACAGTGTTGTGTAAAGCGGGAGAAAAAATGGCACTGTGCCAAAACCGTCGTAGCTCTTGCTAGCATTATCGAAATTCCTGGATGATTATTTAGTGCATCAGTATTGACGTCACTTTTCCATCCAAGTTAGGCCGAAATATACGACACAGGCGGCAAACATGGTGGACAAGCCGTGCTTATTATCAAGTTCTGCTCGCATTCACTTCGATATCTCTAGGCATACTCGTCACTATATATTTTGTGAGAACAAGGTCCTTGGTATGGTCCAATGCTGACAGTGACGAACAGCTAGGAGCGCTACGGGCATGCCAAACAAACTTTGCCAAAGATAAGGCCTTCGCCATGCACGGGGTGCTAAAAGGCGTCGGCGTATCCGGATCGAACCCAGATGACAGCAGGTCGCTTGGCGAGGTATACCATGTGTTATTTCTTTACCTTCTACGATATCCAACCAGAAATGCCTCCACGAGCGGAATTGGCATACGTATACCAGCATATAGATCTATACGATGCATCCTTTCCGGAACCACCGATGAATATTGGGATCTCTCCACGCAGTGGTGCGCTCTCATCTTGTCCCAACCACCCAAAGCCGACGACCCAGACACAACGCAAGAGATCATGGATAGCTTGAAAGAAAGTTTCAAGTGCCTCCAATACACCCGATTGCCCCAACCGACTCGCTGGCAGAAGACACTCTTCGCCTCGAATACCGACCACATTGGCTCAAATCCCCCCATGCGTCACCAAGAGATAGGCTGGCGCTTTTAGGTGTTTGTACCCATGGTGTTGCAAAAACCAACTATAATCAGCCAGACACATCCGAAGTCGTTGGTCTGGCTTTTGTCATTAGAATTATGGACTTTTCAATGCTCAACGAGTCATAATTCGGCAGTGACTTGCGGGCGATTTATTTCATTTGATCATGAAAAGGGAGGCAGTAAAACTCAACAGTCAAGGCATGTGATTTTCTTAGTGGTGGTCGATATTGTAATGAGAAATCAACTTCCATGGTAATTGTTGTGCATTTCATTGTATGTTGGGGCAACTACAGGACTCATTGCAAGAATAGATTTCTGTATCGTATGTCAACTTCCTGGTATAAACTGCAGAAGCAACTAGCCAAAAGTAATGGTTCTTTGGAATTATGAAGCCTGTTAAAACCATTGCTAGTGAAGGGGATGGAATGGACACGACTAAGTCCACTAAACTACGAGCAGGTATATCCAATCAGGATACAACATAAAGACTTAGTAACCCCCTTCTACCTTGCAGGTACGAACAATAAGGCTAGGCTAAGCAGCAGTAATAGTAGTATAATTACTGTAGTGCCATTTGACAGAATTAGTCTCACCACCGCAACTTTAGGAGTATACGTCGTGTAAACCACTAACTATTTTGGCAGAGAAGCATGGAAAGTCGCACCTACCTTACTGGCAACATATGGGTGTACAAAGTTTGAATGCGTGTTATTATAGCGTTCCCATCACCCCAAAAGAAATAATCTCATCACCTCAAATTTTGTCATCCGTCGCCCCGTGTTCATGAATCAAATAAAATACATCCTCTTCCCAAATCTGCGCCTCTCCAATCACCTCCCTTGCCCACTCCGTCCCCTCCACCATCTTCAACTGCTCTGTCGGCAAATCCTCCGGCTCGCAGTCCCACTCATGCAACGCCAAATACCGCGGCTTTGCTGCATCAAACCGCTTATACCTCGTACAGCGTTGATACCCGCGACACATACTCAGCATCGGCAACTGCTGTTTCCTAGACCACTCCTCAAATTCCCTATCTTTCCCCTCCCCGGGCTCTGTCGCAACACAAACCATCGTCTTGCCCCTTTCCCACCCAGTCTCATTCTCTCTCTCCCACCCCTCAAACGTCTGGATCTTGACATAAGGCCTGATCTCGAAGTTGACAAGATCAAACACGTCAGCGCCTTCAAAGACGAAGCTCTGGCGCGTTTGCTCCGCGAACCGAAGGTTTTCCTCGAGGTCCATCTGGTGATAGTCTTCGACGGGGTAAATGGCCATGTAGGGCATGGTGGAGTCTGGGTTCGTGCTTTTGTACCGAAGGGCGAAGCGCGTGCGCCCGGAGCGAATTACGTCTGGGAGATGCTCTTCGTTGTAGAATTTGGTGAAGAGGGCGTCGGAAGTGCGATTTGGGTCTACAACGGAAGAGGCCACGAACATCAGGCCTGGAGGCATTTCTTTGGGATTGCGGCTTTTGTGGAGTGGTATGTTAGTTGGCTAGGCTTTAATGATACCGGGTACCTTACTGAGAGGTCTGCCGATACTAAGAGTATGATATAGATTTCGGGAGATTTGCTTAATTTTTGCCTCCATGTTAGTGTAGACGTCATGATTGAAATCTTAGCTTCGACAAAGCTGATGTCTGCAGATACATTTGTAGTCCTAGCGCGATGTAAGTGCCTAGGGGACTGGAGTATCAGTTGTTGGGATGAAAGTCAATGCATGAGGGGTTGCGTACTGGGGTAGCACAGCAAAACCCAGTGCTTGTCGATGTTTCCATATAAGTAAACGTCTTTCAATCCTCACGTATACTCTCGGGGTCGCGTTCGAAAGCCAACGTATGAGGGGTGGTGTATTGAGGTTGCACAGCAAAACCCGGTGCTTGTCGATATCTCATAAGTAAACGTCCTTCAGTCCTCGCATATATTCCCGAAGTGGCGTTCGAAAGACCTGGCGGCGCACATGGTTGACACTGTCTAGTATCGAGTCCACGAAGAGCAACCAATGTCGAAGTTTAATGCCGCAAGTGTTGGTGTGGCAGATCGAGAAACCCATAGATAGCTGCGGACACAACCATGCATAGTGGAGTAGGACGTTTGGTGTGTAAGACCGACCCATTACCGATTCGGGACCCTCCTCCGCTGTTCACGATGGCCTCCAGACTCAATTTCCGAGTTATCTTAGTTGCGTTTGCACGGCATCATTTCTCGCAGATGAACGTCGTGTTAATCGTGTATTGGCTCTGCCTTTCTGTCATTCGCTGTCTATCTTCCTATAGTCATGTATAGTCATGTAGTCCAGACTATGGATTCAATCCCGCGCCAGGGCAGCGATTTTATCTATGTCTAGTCTATCAGTGCATTCCAAAAGTCTATTTTCCCATGGGTATCCCGATCAACTCTGCTCAGTCCAGTGGCGATCACTCCGTGTGCCACTTCATAGTGCCAGGCTCCTGCGGGTCCTTCTCTACGTACTTGCAAGTGGTGAAGACGGACCACAGCTGGCCGTAGAAAGAGCGCTCGTCGCGGTGGTAGAGGTCGCCAAGTACAGGCTTGATAGCCTCAGTGGCATCTTCGGCGTAGTAGAAAGGAATGCGTCTGAATATGTTAGAAGGCCGTCATTATCTTAGATAAGAAGGACTCACGCAAAGATATGGTGGACAACGTGAGTGCCGATGATGCCGTGAAACAAGTATCTGTCGATCCAGCCAAAATCACGGTCAATTGTGGCAAGAGCGCCCTTGACATAAGTCCAGCCGTGCTCGTCATAGTGCTTCACATCGGGATGGTTGTGGTGCAGGTAAGTAATTGCGACTGCAAGATGTTAGCTTCATTCGCCAATGTCAACTTCGTGGCAATACGCACTCAGCCAGTGATGAACCCAGAAGTAGGGTACTCCCCACAGCAGGAACACTGTACCAGCGCCAAGTGACTGGGACGCAATGTACAGGACATAGCCAACGATGGCCAAGCCGAGGTCGGTGATCAAGACGTAAATGGCCTCTTGCGGTCGGAAAATGGGGCTGACCGGGTCGAAATGGCTCAATCGGTACCACTTTTTATCCTCGGGGCGCTGCAGACTCTCGGGGCCGGCGGACAAGTCAAGGAGAAGGTACGATGGCCAGGCGAAGAGCTGGTGACCAAGGAGGCGGATGAGGATGATGATGGGGGCATCCTCGAACATGTCTGGATCAACAAATTTGCTGACCCAGCTGCGCTTCCGGTCGTACTCGACGATGGTGGCAGGCACGAAAGCCATGTCCTTGTGCATGTGGCCGGTGAAGAGGTGGTGCCTGGCGTGAGTGAACTTCCACGAGAAGTACGGAACGCCAAGGGCAGAGTGCAACACCCAGCCGATGAAGTCATTGAATCGGCGGTGCTTTGAGAACGCTCCGTGGCCACATTCGTGGGCAAGAATCCACATGCCGGTGCCGACGAGTCCCTGGGCAAAGGTGTAGGCCGCCCATGCCGCAGCGCGGTAGTAAGGGTTGGGCAATTGAGGTATGTAGGTCAGGGCGGTGTAGATGAGGCCGCCCGCCAGGAGGCAGTCGCGCACCACGTATGACATAGACTTCAGTACTGTGGGTTGGAAGCAATAGGCAGGAATTGCCTTGCGGATAGTGTTGACATCAGGAAACCTGGTCACCTCGAGATGCTACTGGAAAAGTCAGCTTGCCATGCAAGGGAGGAAATATTGTGCGTCGCCCTTTCTCGACGAAACCGCAGCATGGACATTTCTTACCTTCTCGCGAGCTCTGGGCTCAAGGACGACCGTCTGGGTCGCCGTAGTAGTAGCTATCATCTTGGGCGAGAGATTGTGGTGATGTTTCCTGTGTGAAAGGAAGAAGCTTGAGCACAACCCTTTTCCGGGGCTGGGGTATGGTCGAGTTTTATTCTTTCCTTCGAAATCCTGCATTGAGATCTTCAGGGTCCAGACTCCAGATCTAGTAAGGGTCTTGGGGCGGTATCACATGCTCCACCACATTATGGTAGCTCCAAACCATGATCCCAGCATCGTCATGTCCACATCAACGGAAACGTTGCGATTTCGCCTAATCAAGCGGCAGGTCCTGCGCCTTTCGCCTGCCACTGTGGTTTCTGGTGGCATAGGAAATGGATAAGATTTTCGGAGAATTATCGAACGAAATTGAAATGGCAGCGTCGACATTGGCTTGACGTTGACACGATGGCCGACTTCTAAGGCTCGCACGGCTGCGTCGTCGTCCTCAACGCTTTCGATCCCTGCGGTAGATCTCTCTGGCACTCGTTGAGCGGCCCCTGTTCACTGGGTACGGGGTCTACCGCTCGTTTGAGGGGATGAAAAAGGAGAGAGAACATCGTTTTGTTGAGGGCCTCCGTATCCGAGTCCGTCATGGTTTCCCGTTTGATGGTGCCACAACATCGACTTCTTCGGTAAGCAGCAATTTCAAGCATCCGTAGAGCTTTGGACAACGCCGATGCTGAAGCGAGAAGGGCCGTAACAGCTCTCTTCTTGACCCAAACTAAAAGAACACTGAACTTTGGCAAATTGTGTCGTTTGCTGCGCGACACGAAAGGAGCGGAGCCAAGGAGCGGAGCGACATCCGCCCTAAGATCTCACCGCTGAGCATTGGCATGTTTTCCTGACTCAATAATTTTGGATGTGAGACGTTTGAATATCCATCTGGTGGGTGTTCCAGAAACGTGGATCTCTCGTCTAAGCACGAGCTAGGAAAATATGACTAGGATCTCCTTGCAGGGCCTTCCATTTTTGGCTCTCGGCAAACATGGTTTCCTGAATTGCGGCTCAACAAAAGGACAAAAGTTGATGGATCTTCTTGTCCTACCGGCGCCGAAATCCATGAACAGCTGGTCCATAAGCTACCGCATTCTTTCCATTCGTCGACAAGCATTGCAAATCCTCCACGTTTCGAAAGGACTTGAACTGTTTCTGGGTGGCTGGTCCCAGACTGCACGGAATCGCGCAAGTGCCGTTGAATCAATCTGCAGTCTCCGAGCAGGGTGCAGCTAGTCTTCCACTGCTAAAAATTGACCGCTGACTCGGACCTGGACTCCATAATTGACAAAATCAGGGGCTCGCGGAACCTCGCTTTGCTGGTTTTGTCATGTGATACTGAAGACTGCATGTCAGTCAATCTGGACAACGAGACGTGAACGTCCTATGACAGATAGTCCTCGAGTTCCCATTTAATGTCACAAATACACTGTCGACACGCATGATGTCCGATGCGGGAAGAATACCGCTCATCTGGCGCTAGATTATCCGTAGACGTGTCCAAAAAGTCAACAAAAACTCGCTGTGGAGAACTGATACATTGATTATCAAGATAATCATTCAGTGTGCGACGGCCAGTTTCTGCAGACGACGTGGCTGGTTAGACGCCAATCAGTATGAGCGACAATATGGGTCACTTCTGTTGGCCAAGAATGCTGTGGGGTTGGGCTCGATGTGTTTTGCACCGTCCTCTCTGGCCAGCAAAAGTCTTGATGTATTGTGTATTTGAAGACAATCAACCGTGGGAGGTGCCAGTGGTCTGCCCGGGTGTCTCTGTTTGGCACGTAGTCGTTCTGCCACTATTGCAGTATACTAAAACCGACTGCATAAGCTCAGCCCTGTCAGGAATAATGAAGGACTGTGTTCACTTGACTAGCATGATACGTCTCGGATCGTGAAATATTCAATACTCAGAGTATTCGCTGGCAGCAGTTTCTGTTGGGGGAAATCTCCATTTAATAAGCCTTTTATCCACCATAGTTCCGGCGCCCCGTACCCAAGATGACATCAAACCAAAGATAATGACTCGAGTCGGCATCCTGATTCAACGACATGTCTCATGAACTTGGCCGTACTGCAGTCTTCCGGGTGCTCGAATGATATAGATATTCTGGTGCATCTGATCAGGGTTAGTCTGTCGTGGTAGAGACGGAGTACCACTTACACTCACTTGGACGTCGTAGTTCCCGGTGCCGTACGTGCTTGTCAACAGTTGTGATAGAGCTTTTGGTTTCTTGACGTGTCGACTATCAATAAGCTGAACTTGCATCGAACCCTCGGGATAGTGTTGATTGTCATATCCAGAGCAACGGGTGGAGGGAGTTTCGCGACACTTGACCATGACTAATTCAGAAAAGATTTCTGCGCACTGGTTTCGAGTAAAAGAGCTGTCTTTTTGGCTGAGTCCTAGTTGCTACGCCCTGTACACGCTTGTCTATGAAAGAGCAGTGCATCGTACGATAACTTGGGACACAACTGTTTAAGTCGACATCGTCACTTTCAAAATGACTGACAAAAATAAATACAAAAGCCAAGCAATGTCTTGCCCGCAACATCGAAGTTGCCACGTAGCAATATTAACACAAATGCCAATAGACGTTTTTTGTCACATTGGGGCTAGCGAGCAGAATCGCAAGTCTGGTTGAATAGACAATGACGGGATAGCACAATATATAAAATAGGGCGGCTGCTGCTTGAAGTATTTCCGATACAGTCAAATCGCTGTTGATTTGTTGTACCGGTTATCCATTCAGGAGTCAGGGAGAACCTTAGGGGATGGACAGTATTGGCTGCCCTGTCCACTGTCAAATCTCTGGTCCATAATCCACGCGGTGAGATAACCAATTGGTTGCCTTAATTGGAAAAGCTGTCATGGCTTGAATGCAAATTAATCTTGAGGAGTCCAAATTCCGCCCATGCACCATCGTGAAATCAAGATTGAGGATCCGTCACCATACCTGATATGTTGCCAAGGGGATGTACATCCACGGATGCCATCATACCCAGCTGCTGTGATCAGAGCTGTATCTCATCTTTATCAATAGCTTATAAGAAGCAACGTAGTCACTACTTTCGAAATAAGCGCGAGGCACAACATCCTGCATCAGCCTGATTGGCTTTATCCCAGGCAATTCGAATGGGAATCGGCCCAGCGATCCTTCAGTATACCAAAATATGTCTTCCTACTGCTGAGTTTATCTGTCCTCCTTTACGGAAGTTTGTTTTTGATTTGAATGGGCCACTTGTACTCGCGCTTTGCCTTAGACATTCTCATGGCACCAACACCGTGAATTTTGTAGGTGTGAATGACATATCAGCGTGTACTGGGCAATGAAAACTTGAATTCAACTCAATGGAATGGCCACGCAGCAGAAAGAAACCGCAATAAACCGGATAAAGTGTTTTCCTCCTGTCAGGGTACGGCTAGGCCGAAGGCAATAGTACAGAGTGATGGGGAGTAAATGGGCATCCCTACTGCGTAGCACCGGGTGGTCACTGGCGGTCACTGGCGGTCTCAGGTAGGGGTGCCCACGACGGTCCATTGATATCTGCTCCTCCCCTATCCTACTCCAAGATGGTCCTTATATAGACAGCTAGACTACCGCTTGGACCCGAAGCTTCACGTAAACGGTAATCATAACCCAGGAGTCCTTTGTCCGAAGAACCCCACCGTTACCCCACCGGTGTCCTGCGCTCCGTGTCCTGACACCTCCAATGAATAGGAAAAGGAATTGCCTTGAAGAATCATGAACGTAATCCCTGAGATTATAACCCCTGAAAAGTGCATATATATGCTCAAACGAGACCCGTGTTCCCGTGTGTTCTCCAGAAGAAAGCCCAAAGTCTTTCTGTGTTTAAGCCGCATATTGGATTGTGGGCAAATGGTCTTGTATTGAAAGTGTCATGATCTCTGGAGAGTCCTGAGAGAAGTGAATGGCGGCCATAGGGGCCTTATATAGACAGTAATGACTTATGCCTGCCCCATAGCCAGGACTTGTGTGGTTCAATGGGTAGAGGTCATATTGGCCCATAATTGTACGGTTTTTGGCCATATACCTTTCTCTTTTACTTGGCTGTCTTGGTGTAGTAGCCTTGAGGGTCCAACACCGCAATGGCAGCACCACAGGTATCCTTGATATTATCCCGCATCCAAGAAAATATCCCCATCGTCATTAAGAAGTTTTCGATTGTGTGAGGATCGTGCGTATTCTCTGAAACGCGTACTGGAGGTGGCAGTGTTGGCCGTTTTGAAACCTGTTGGACCGTTGTGGCAGTTCTCACCATGTCAATTCCGCTCTGAGATTTGATATTATAGATGTTCTGACGCATCTGGGGGTTTATTTAGTTTCAAGTACATGTATGACATGCGAAGACACACCTCAACCTCGTAGGTTCCGTCCCCAAGTTGCTCTCTTAAGACGGCACTGAGTTTCGTTGGGTTTACGATATATTTTGAGTGGATCCTTGCTGTCTGCATCTGGCTACCTCCACCTTCTATTGAGCCACTCATTGGGTAGTCGATGGTATTGTGAATATGCAAATAGTCGAACCGAAACTTTGTATAGGCGCCCGAGCTCGATAACAGTAATGCCACTGCGTTGCGAATGTTAGAAACACAGGATTGGCCTATGAAGGAGTGCGCCGGGCGACGGGACGTATTTGAGCGAAAGATGGGGGGTGCCATGAGTCCTACCATGCATCCTGGTGGCGCAGTTGCTAGCCCACGAGCCGATTGGAACTGTATATGCAAAAAATCTCCTATCATCAGAGGGCGGTAAGAGGCGGTGGCGGGGTCTCGAAATCACAATAACCAAGGTAGCCTGCCTCTCATTTCTGCCTTGCCTCAAACTCATGGACAAACCTCAACGTGGTCCCGATCGAGTAAACAGCACAAGTTCGACGCCTGGTCGCATCGGAGTCGACCCGAAGACGAATGCATGGTAATGAGGTTGTTGGTTGTTACATGCATCTAGAAAAAGGACAGCTCTTGTCTGATCGAAAAATCCGGGCATATGGAATTTGCACCCTCAGCATTACGTTGCATCTGACGCTTCCTACCAGATCAATATCTCTTAAAATGACCGTTTTGAGGACTTGTCTTCGCCGCTAGATCCCAAAAGCACAACAGAAGGAAGCTCATTTCGAATATTTCATGAAGTAATGAGAGGTTATCAGAGCTCGTCATATGGCCTGAATATAAAAAACTGAATCTGGCCACTACTTTGACTGATGCTTAGTTGAAAGGGTTTTAAGATAAGGCTCCTAGGAGAGCCAGAAAAGGGAACTTTAGATGTTGAAAAGTTACACTCGGCTGGGAAATGAATACACCCCAACCCTTTGATTTAGCCACCACGATCGGCGCGAATAGAATGTCTGTTCGGTCCGTCTTTATTTCATGAGGTACACCACTTTGCAGGAATGTGTGCGCCAATACTTTCATACCACACCCTAAACTTATGGCACTTGCACTTTAGCTGAGAATCCTTGTAAAATCCTACAGCCTTCCTTGTCTACTCATGAGGCTCTCAACTCCAATGTGCGAAATGATTGAGGCCTACATAATAAGAATACTTGAGGACCACCGATCCCATGCCCTCTCCCGTGGTACGGGGTCCACACAGCTTTTGACCATTTACATATGTTTTGCAACCTGAGTGACAAAATATCCTTGCAACAAGATGGCCTTGCTTCAAGATGGCCGTAACACCGAGGTTCGTTTAAGAAAAGGCCCGAGAATTCCACAAGTTTCAGCTAAAGCTTGCCACAGTCTGCAAATATCTCCGAAAACGGTTCTGTGCGTATCAAACTGTCACAATCAATCACAGCTCTGCTTACTCGATATTCCTATAGAGCCTTACACCGTTACGCCCCGTATCTCTGGAAGGGCCGACATCATGGAGGGATCAGTCTCCGGAGTTGATCCTCACTCATGCTGAGGATCCAAATGACAGGAGAAGCTTTGAACAGCTATATTTTGCGCAAACGTCTGCCACACGATCTGAAGCCGACAATAGCAGTACTTGCCGGGACAACGGTGACAGCGCCCACCTCCAACAATCATCAGAGCAACATGCCAGGGGGACCGATCCACCCGAACGGGAGCAAGCCGATGGATTGTCGGCAGCAGTTGGATCCGGAGTTCAATTTGATAGACAGGTCGAGTTATTTGACCATATTGCTGTCGAAGCTAACCCTAGCCCACTGGAAGATGCATTGCATGATGCGATTCGGGAACATCCAAGCAAGAATGGAAAGAAGTTTATTCCAATCGACAAATTCGACGAAATCATCACTCGTCAGAATATTTATGAGGAATTGCAGTCGCGGCGTATCTTTAACTCGACCAAGTTGCTCGAGACCTGTGTCAAAAACGTCTGGGACAAGTCCACATACACCGATGGAAGCACCAGCCGCCCATCCCTGACCACCTCCCGAAGAAAATTGTTCGCCGTCTTGATCTTGTTTGGAAAGCCCGAATGGATTATTTCATTCATCAAGGACGACTTGTGGGATAAAGATCTACCTCTACGACAGAATGATGAAACCAAACAGTGGTTTTGTCAAAGTAAAGACAGGATCCGCCACATCGCCTTCATGAACAGCTGGGGTCACCATTATACCTGGTCATTTGACAATTACCAGTGGCTAATGCTTTCTCCCTTCTTCAATATGGCTGGCGACAAGATATTATTCTATCCTCTGGACAACCGTATTGCTTTGCCCCTGATAGAGGATGATCGTAACGATGAGAAGGACGAGCTACGCGGAGGCTTTGGGGAGGTTTGGCGTGTCAAAATGCATCCTGCACACCATAACTACAGAAGCAAAAATGATGCCATGGTAAGAGCTTCTTCTAAATTAGTCAACTTAAGCCTCTGACCACAGCGCAGTCCGACTGTCCTTCCTTTGCAATCAAGCGTCTTCACACCGCCACAAAGAAGGGATTCGACAACGAGGTTGACGCGCTGAAGCGTTTTCGCAACGAAGATCATGTGCACTTGATAAAGTTGCTCGCGACATACCACTATGACGGGTCGTATCATCTTGTGTTTCTTTGGGCTGATGGGAACCTTCGGAACTTATGGAAAGAGCATCCAAAGCCGCAACCGTCCCATGAGCTTGCATCGTGGGTGGCTGAGCAATGTCTGGGCATCGCCAAAGGGCTGAAAATGATCCACAATGACGAATTCAAGAAGTCCACCCTAAGCACAAGGGACGCCCAAAGGATTCGGGGACGGCACGGCGACATTAAGCCCGAGAACATCTTGTGGTTCAGAGATTCCCGCAATGGTGACAGTAACACAATGGGCGTCCTGAAGATTTCCGACTTCGGCCTCTCCCGATGGCACCGAGACGACTCGAATAATCCAATTTATAATCAAGGTCTCGCCGTTTCCCGAACGTACCGAGCGCCAGAGTACGACATGAAGAAACCAATATCCCAGCCTTGGGACGTATGGGCACTTGCCTGCTTATACCTGGAATTCCTAACTTGGTATCTGTGTGGATGGGACGCAGGCAACAACGAGTTTGACAAATTGAGACTCGATGAGCACAAAGAAGAGATTAAGGAGGATTCTTTCTTCACTCTTCGTTACATCAAAGACAAATCTAATTATGAAGCCAGACTGAAAGTTTGTGTTGGCCAAGTGAGAACCCCAATCCTTGCAGTAACGAAGAAAGAAGATTGACTGATGCGTTCGCTTTTGAGTGGATAAACAAGTTACACAACACGGAAGGTTGCACCAATTTCATTCGTGACTTTTTGGACTTCATATCGTTACATATGCTTCGTATTGGATCTGAGAAGCGATCGGAAAGCACTGAAGTTGTGAAGAAACTCGAAGACCTGTGTGAAAAATGTCGAGACAGTATTCGATATTGCACAGACAGCGCTATCGGCCAACCAAGAAAACGGGCGACGAATGAATCCGATGATTATGATGCTGAATTGATGGATTATACAGACACGATGAAGGACAAAATTCGCTCCGCTAGTTCCAGCAAAAGTGAAGGAGAAAGAAAAGCAGCTGGCGAACCAAGACCTCCGGTGGCTGCTTCACTCGCTGTGAAAAAGATGAAATGGAGAGAGCACACCAAACCCGATCCTTACTAGCCGAAACATCTCGCAAAATCTTAAACCAGGAGATACAAGATTTACAGGAAAACCAGACGTCACGCATACTCGACCAAGTTATCACAGCGCGTGACAACGGCAGGATCTCAGTGGGCCACGTTAACCCGGCGCCCAGGGACAACAGGTGTCAAGAATCTCAACGTACGGACAAGAGGCCTCAAAGTCCACCAACAAGTCATCATAACGCCCTGGTTGCGGCAAAAGCGTCCAGCGATTGTGATGAGGCATCCTCGGGGAACCACAGCGGATCACAGGACGAGTCCGAATCCCCAAAACAGACACCAAAAGGAACTTCATCTCACGAAAGTCGTCGGATAGGCAAGAAAGCAAGTGAGAATTCAGAAAAGATTTCCTTTCGGTCACAGTTCACCAACATGTTTTGGGGACTACGAGTTTTGTTCGAGTCGTGTGTGAAAAACAAGGGCAGCGATGACTGATTGGTTGGGAGAGATGGGCCTCTTTCCCGGAGGTTGCTGGGCTACATAAGCCTCGAGGCAACCTCACCAAGTCAACCTGGTTGACCAGGGTTGGCGTGGATGAACAACCACAACCTACCAAATTTCCATTTAGGTTGCCTCAAGGCTTGGCTGGGCATGAAGGAGCGTAAAGGGATGTGCATGAGATACCGATTTCTCGAAAAATATGAATACTATTCTAGAACAGTCGAGAATTTCTCAATATTACTGGCAGAAACGACAAAACGCATGTATGTGCATGCCATGTCAGCATCATGTCAGCCCACCTGAAATGGGGTGGCGATCAGCCTCCACATTAACAAATTAGATTGCGTCGATAACGCCATAGAAATTCGGTGAGCAAGTCCCATGCAAGATATGCACGCCACTTTACTCGTAATGTATGAAAGTGCACTTGTTGGGGATGCATTGAGTGGCGTGACAGACCAGACCCCTATTCGTCAAGCTTTGAATGTGTGGAAATGATCACCATGTGGCTTGCGTAACAAACTGGGATGATTGCAAAGTGACATGTACTATGTAGCGAGTATTCATTTCGAGTACTACACCTTCAGAGAAAGCAGCTTCGGTCTTGAGAAATCAACGACAAAAAGTGCATTGCTCAGAACGGCTGAGGTACAATAGTAACAAAGGATGGTATCCAGATGATGTCTGTTTATTGAGAGTCCGTGACACTGCAAATGTAGACTGTTGTCATTCAAAGGGCAGGCTGTGGGCGCGGTATCGATATATTCTCTGGGCAACACTAGCAAGAGGATTTTATTGGTGATGACGATGATCATGGGACTAAGTTCCGAAGGCTGCAACTACGGAAGGGCCATCGATGGGCAATTGGCCCAAGTGCTGCACCAGCACACAAGCGATGTGCCTGAGGCACGCAACACATTCTTAGTCATATATACACTCACCGGTCAGCCAATAACAGCCGCATTTCACAAAAGGCAACAGCCTGCGAAAGGTTGCAATTGCAAAAGAGTGTGTGCATCGTTATATAGTTTCGAGCCAGGATGATGAGACTCAAAAAAGCCAGCATTGACAATGGAGGGGTCTGTTTCCATATAATAATTCAATTTGATCTAGTTATTGAGCACGACGATGATATATCGTATTTTTTCGGGCTCAGACTAAATGGTTCATCCGGGATACAAGTGAAAGATATCTCCTATTGATCATGGTTATGAATATCTCAAATGGTACTTTACCAAGAATTGCCGTCAATGGGATCGATCATGAATCAGAAGGGATAGAGGATCCCAACCAAGTGACTGCCGCTGATCCAACGACTTCACTCAGCGGTGGGCTTCTGCCTAGACAGCGCCGCTCCCAAAAGCCTTATATCGACGAGAGTGCACCTCTGGATGACATTCTCTACGAGCAACGGGCACGTCACCCAGACCAGCAGGACTTTTTCCCGCTAGACATTCTGGAATCAATCCTTACACCAGAGAGGGTCCGGAAACGTCTTAAAGAGTTCTTCAAGGGAGGTGCTGGTCTCTCGCGAGACATACAACATTATGAAGAACAGATATGCATGGGTACGAAAAAGAGTGCTCAGTCAACCGGAAAGAATACGTTTGTACAGATATTCGCCATATTGCTTATGTTAGATAAGGTTGAATCGATCTTTCGTTTTATTGATGACGGCGTCTGCGACAAAGACTTGCCTCTCGAGAGGTGCGAAGTCTTGCCTCTCGAGATGTCAGACCGACAACTCCCGCAAATCTGCAGAGCAAGTTCCCGAGGCGAATCTCTGCGATGCTTTCAAGGGTGGAGAAAACGTAGCAAGGATGAGTTTCTGGATATATGGCAATGGCGCTTGAACGTGCCCTTTCTCAAGCACGGAAAGGATGGACAGGTTCATTACGAAGACTTCCATTCCCGTGTTGTTTTGCCCTTCGTGGAGAAATCGGCCCTCCAGGCTCCAAAATATCTCACCGAGTTGGGTGGCTTCGGCGAAGTCTCGTGTATAAGAATACACCCATCATGTCATAACTTCCAGGACATCTTCAAAAATGTGAGTAGTGCGCCACCTGTTGAAAAGAATTTGCTAAGAAAGTCAGATTCCAGAAGCAGATGGCCCGTTCGCACTGAAGAAGATAAATAAGGATAGGCAGGACGATCTGAACTTCAAAAATGAGAAGATGATGTTGGAAAAGTTCAACGGAAGCATTCATCCTCATATCATCACTGTCCTATCGACATTCAAGTACAGGGGAAAGTACCATCTCTTGTTTCCTTGGGCCGAGTGTGACCTACAGCAATACTGGAATACCAGACCTGAAGCCCCACCAAAAGACCGTGGCAACTTGCTGTGGATCTCTGAACAATGTCACCAGATCATGGAGGCAGTCCATAAGATCCATGAACCGCCCTCCTTAGGCACACTGAACGTCGAAGAAGAACGTTGGGGTAGACATGGAGACATCAAAGCCGAAAATATACTCGTCTTCAAGTCTCCAAAGGGCAAGTACATTCTCGTCATCTCGGATCTTGGACTTGGCGCCCTTCACCGACAAATAAGCCGGTCAAACGTGCCGAACCAATCTCTCCCGACAACCCCTGCCTTTAGGCCACCCGAGTGTGACATGAAAGACGGTAAGATAAGTCGAGCTTTCGATGTGTGGACCCTCGGCTGTCTGTTTTTGGACATGATAATCTGGTATCTGGGTGGTGAACCACTGAGGAAGCAGTTCGAAAAAGCCAGGATGACGCGGTATATCAATGATGAAGAGACAGACATATATTTCGATATCGGCAAAGATAAGAATGGCGAGACGGCGTTCAGAGTAAAACTAGAAGTGACGAAGGTAAGACTCAAAGGTTTCGTTGTAGCATATCCAAATTTATAACAACTGACGGATTCTAGTGGCTAGCCGAAATGCATTGCCACAAGGCATGTTCCCAATACCTGCACGAATTTCTTGACCTCATCGAAAGAAAAATGCTCGTTGTGGAGACGAAAAAGGACAAGCGGGCAAAAGCAGGATATCTGGCGCAAGAGATGAGAGACATGCACAGAAAATGCAAGACTGACTTAGACTATGGGCTCAAAGAGGTGCCGAAGCCATCTCTTGTCACTAGAGAGCCTCTGGTCGTGACAGAACATCTGGCCCCAACGGCTCAAGAGAGCGTCAGAAAACACAATGTCACATTGAGCAGATGGGCCGGCGAGCCGCAGCAGGCAGAACACAGTCACGATGATAATGAGGATTAGAAGGCCGACGTTAGGCTTCTGGTATTTTTTGTCGAGTTTGGATACCATGCATTTATGTCGGTTTCTTTCTCTTTCTTACCATTTCTGTGATACGCCTTTCCCCAGAAGTAGGTGGCGGCCCGGGTATGAAAAGTACATGATGTTTTCCTTTTAGCTCTATGCAGTTACGAATCCTATTGTTGTCAAAAAAACAAGTTGTCCCAGAAGATTTCACAAATTTTATCTTCTCTGATCAGGGCTTTCTCTATGAGGTTGAAGTGTACTTAATGCGGTTCTAGTCCAGTTTCATCTGCCAACTCTGATTTCATCCTCATAGTCATATTTCAAACTAAACAAATGAATAAAACTCTAACTTGCTTTGTGATGCAGTGATAGCTAGTCCACAGACCTTGAATAAAACCGAGGCCTCAGTCTCGGGTACTCGTTTAGGTCAAGCATCTGCGTAGTGATCAGACTGAAGTACGGATTTGATCCTCTCGTCTTCTTCCTATGACGCACTTCAGCATTAGAGAAGGGACATGTGATGGCGTTGAACCTACTTCTGTCAATGCCCTTGGGATAACACAGTGATATCGACCTCTCTGGAACTGTCTAGACTTAGTATGAGTGGGCATGGGTTAAAGCTTGGGTGGACATACCCGAATTTGGATGCTGCCCTGGGGAAATATTTTCCTCAGTTGCTGATAAAGAGCGGTTTCGTCAGTGTAGCGGGCTCGAAAGACTTGCAAGGCCGACATTTCGAAATGCGAGGTTTTGATTCCACATTCTTGTGATGTCCTCTAGTAACCTCAAGTTGGAATTTAGATGTCTGCCGAACATGGTGTCATTAGAAGTTGGACGGCCAAATTTGTCACTTTCTGCACGGTTGATGCGACGACACGTGGCATCAACAAGTCCAGATTTGCCCAACACGCCTCACATTTACGAATGTACTTAATTGGTCTCCAGAACACCAGTACTGTCAATAAGAGCGCAAAGGGTGGCGATTATTCACGTGGCTCCACTTGTGAGGAGACGGTAAGCTCTCTTGTACCCAGACGAATTTGCGTGTAATATTTGAGACACTTCGGTGCACAAACTACTTGTAGATAGGATATTGATGGACATAATACTTGGGCGTTTTAGTTAAAAAACCACTGCTTCAGTCTATTCTGTAAAAATAGCATGGAAACAACGCCACGATGAAAGCTACGGAATCCCCTCGTCGAGATTCGTCTAAAGTACCTCAAGGTACTTGCAGGCTAAATGCTCAACAAAAGCAATGGTCCAATGAGAGGATACTGGCAGATCACATAAGACCGAGATGAAACGTACCAATTAGCAGCAAGCAAAGCTGAGCTCTCAAGACGGAGGAGGGGTAAAAGAATTGAGAAGCGAAGAGGGCAAGCCATCTTCCCTGCGGCATCGCTTTCTACACTAAACAAATTTGAGAATACGCACAGATCTAAGAGTGACATATTGTATGGGCACTATCGAATGGACTGGCCGCGCGAGAACATGGGCATCAGCGAAAAGGACTTCCGCAATGTCTTCAAATACGAGCCAAAGGTTAGCCGAGTGGTGAAGATCATGTCAACTGATCCCGTGCGTAAAATGTTCAGACGGTCATGAATGAATCAAAAGTACTAAGAGCCTATTAGGCGCCCGCTATAGACCTGCTGGAGACGCCAGAGGAATGGGAAGATTGGCTGGACGTGGTGATTCTGTCCATTACCTTGTGCTTGGCTCTTAAACCACGACTAACTTGAGTTTAGAAACTGCCATCACCCCAAAGCGGACCTTCAGGGCTGGTACTCATGTAAGAGGCCCTTCGAGTTAGTCCCTGCGGTTGACTAACTAGGATTCAGTCTTGCAAGGAGACCAGGCCATAATCGAGTATCACAAGATGATATGGGAAGGGAACTGCCCTCAAAACTGGAAAGATCTGCAACTTTTCCTGATGAGGTTGGTGTTATGCCAGATTCTGAAAAGGGGCCGGTGCCGAGTCAAAATGGACGTCGGAGTGCCAGCACCATGCCGTTCTCTATGGAAACCTTCAAATTGATTTCAAGGAGATTCTTCATGCATGGTTCTATTGCGAGGGTTGTGAATCGGTCCGACGTACCGATATTCTCGCGAGCCGAACTTCATATGGGAAGTCCGGAGGGTCCTGCGTATCCTGCATATGGTCAGCAATCATTATGCATACTGCATTTGATTATAATACTTACTAGTTATCCAGTGTACAACTGCCGATCGAGCAACGCTTGGGAAAGGGATCTTGCCTTAAGTGTTACCCATTTCCCCCGTAGTCGTCTCACATACGCCGTAATGTTCGGTTGTCCAGCTTCTGTCGAACAGAACGTCATTGATCGCTTATTGGTATCAATGGCAGAAGCTTCACACCCGCTATTGCTCCCGGGGATCTTTGCCGAACTAGAGCGGAATCGGCACATGGAAATTGTGGAGTCTACCATGGACAGCATCGAGGAAAGTATTTTCCGACTGGACAATCGGAAACCTACCGAGAACCAGATGCAAGATCCCGAGTTAGAGACCAGAAACTGCAAGGAACGCTCTGCATGGCTAGACACAACCTACTTGAGGAACGGCCTCCAAAGCTGGAGAAAGCAACTGGAAAAGATGCTTGAGCATGTAGAAGAACTGAAAGATCAATCCTATTCAAGGCCAGAGCTCGGTGTCACATGGAAGCTCTTGAATAAGTTGAATATGGATGAGACTTCCGCAGAACAAACCAAAGGCATCGAAAACAGCGGAATAGCACAATTCTGGGAAAAGGAAGAGTGCTATAAGCAGTGCACCAGAGTTAGCATGAAGATCAAAGACCGCTTGAAATGCATCATCGACGAGTATGAGGAGAAAATCAGAGAATGCACCATGCGGGTAGATGGCGTGGCCATGGCCACACAATGGGTCAAGTTCCACGTCTTGTTCATCCGGAAAAGTGCTCAACTGACATTTTTCAGTCTCATGGCGAAACAAATGTCGAGATAGCTCTTGCGGCCGGAAGAGACTCCCGACACATGCGGTCCATAGCGGTAGTAACTATGGTGTTCCTACCAGGGACCTTCTTCGCGGTGAGTTCCGTCTAAGTCCGCTGCTGTTACGCGCTAATACCAGTTTCTAGAGTGTCTTCTCTATGGGTTTCTTCAACTGGCTGCCAGAAGACAATGATTCAGTTATATCTAGGTATTTCTGGATCTATGTCCTGGCCACCGTTTCAACAACTCTGATCACTCTTGGAGCTTGGTATTATTTCATTGTCTGGCGGCAAAAGCGACATCGATTCACATCGGATGAGGAACATTATATCCTATAATGTCAGAAAACACAGCACATTCGGGCACTATTTCGCGGAGTTCATAACGGGTGATCCCGAATGACAGAGACGAGTCTCGGGACGGTAGCAAACGGATGAATGAGACAAGTGACAGATCTGAAGAAGTGAGGGAAATTGCTGACCCAATGCAAACATTGCCAGTCAAGATGATGTTAGATACGACTATTGGGGCTTGTACGCTTTTCTTTTGGTGTGGTGTTGTATGTTGCGGCATGGACGTTGTATTTACTATGGGTACGTTTGGCTTGACGAGCGGTGCTGTGTTACTTACCACTTTAGCAATGCGTGTCGGTGGGCAAATAATTGTAAATAGCAATAGTATATGAAACTTCCACAGCCTTCCGTCCGAATCTGACCCATGGCCGGCCACGTATTCCTACCGCATAATCTTCCTACCGGGAATGACAAGGAATCCATGGCTTGATGGTGTAGGAGCCCGCTCCTTTATTATAAGGGGAACTGACGCAAAGGGCGGGACAGCCCGGAGTATCACTGTCTATCGTCTACATGACGAGTGTTACATTGCCTAGACACCGCAGCCACCAATGTGTTAACAGATGGTATAACGTAGTCCACAAGCGAACGGGTCACCCAACCGAACGGGTCACGCCCATAGCAAAAAATAGAACTAAACTTCCTAACTTTACCACGCAACTAATTCTCGATGGATTCTGCTCAAAAAGAATCTCAATTACTCCTTGCAACTCAGGCTACCAGAAATGACTCAACACTTAGTATCTGACGTGCTGCAACAATCTACAAAGTCTCGAATACTACTCTCCAGGCGCGTCTTCAAAAACGTCAATCACGTCGCAATATCGAAGCCAACGGTCGGAATTTAACAAAACTAGAACAAAATACGATTATTCAAAGGATAATTGAGCTAGATTCGTAAGCATTTCCTCCCCGGCTAAGTGCTGTTGAAGATATGGCAAACCGACTGCTACGTGACTCGCATATCACAAAGGAGGACTTTCTTCCGGCATTTTGCGACGCGTTCAAGAAGAGCCTGACCGAAAGCAATATTCGTGCAGGCTTTCAAGGGGCTGGGCTTGTGCATTTAAGCCCAGATATTGTTATTGAGAAGCTGGATGTGAAATTACACTCCAACGTCCTCCCGGCCCCCTACGCGGGAAACCCTTCCTTGGGCTTCTCGGACGCCAAACAACCCAACCAAGGCTACTTCGCAATCCGAATTTATTAAATCTCGAATTGACAGGCATCAAAATAGCTCCCCGACGTCAATTTACGATGCTACCGATCAGTTTTCGAAAGGAGCGCGGAGTATTATGCATAAGATGGCTTTACTCCAAGCTGAGGTCGCGGAACTTCGAGAGGCAAATGCTCTAATTAGCAAGCGGCGCAGGGCCAAAAAAACACGAGTACGGCTTGGAGGATCACTTAATTCACAAGACGTACAATATCTTCAAGATCAAAAGGACGTTGCGCAGCAAGTACAGCAGGAAATGCGTGGAAATAGCGCTGGATCAAATCGTGGCCAGCCACGGCAACGGCGCTGTGGCGTATGCGGGAAGACCGGGCATAATGCGCGAACCTGTCAGGTAGAGATAGAATCATCTGTGCAAGAGTATTTTGAGTAGTTTTAATTGATTTACGGCGTTATGGTTGCGAAATCGTGTTGAATTCCATGTTTTGCTAGTTGGCGTGACCCGTTCGGTTGGGTGACCCGTTCGCTTGTGGACTACGTTATATATTGGTTGTTCCTCGACGTAGAGTTTCAGACGCTATCATTTGAAAAGTCGGAGCAGGTGTAGTCGCAAGATAGAGGACCGAAGTGGGCAGGACAGTTAAGACATACGTCCAACTTTAACTGTGTCGTGGGACAGAACAGCAGAGTCTCGCCGGTTCGGAGGACTACGATAATTTCCAAGAGCGTGCTCGCATTACCCGAGTTTTTCTTTTTGGCGCCTGCTAGATGCTTCTCGAGGACTTCGTACCAGGCTGGGGACAGGAAGCGATGGGCAGTGCTCGCTTTTACAAAGCCGATGAGCTCCTGAGTAGGAGATAACGCTCATCTCGAAGGCACTTCTCGCACTTTCTAGTGTTATAAAAATTGTTTTTGTAGGATAGCTGGTTTTGGAGCGGTTGTCTTTAACGCCTCCATCCCGGCTTATACCGTAAACTGGCCGCTATAGCGGCCGCCGCGCTTTAGAAGTGAATTCTCTATTCATGGCGAGATTTCCGCTTAATTGAGCACTAAATTCACATAAATCCATTGAGAATTGAATTCTTTGTTACGCGTTAGGTGTTGTACCGCTATTGTTCTAATAATAGTTAGTGCAGAGAGATTGACCATTTAGTGTGGGCATCCAGTTCTGCTTCAGAAAGTATCCAAGTCGTGGAATTCGGAGTTGATATAAGCAAAATGGATAGGAAGGTATTATGATTATATTGGTATCTGATGTACGATGGATAATACATAAAGTCAAGATCAAGATAGTTCAGGAACTTTCTCTAACTTCAGTGGCAAAAGACAAAGTCTATATATACGGGAACTCCCCCAGACCCCTCTTTGCAAAGACATATGGAAAGGAGGATGAATTGACTCAACATTTTTCAATATTGCCTTCTACCAATAGGTCTGTAGCAACTCGACTGTGGCATCGTGCACATTCTCTGCCGCCCACTACAACGGCGTCCGGCCGTCTTTGTCCGCCGCCTCGATCTGGGGCGCCTGCTCCTGCTCGAGCCGCAGCTTAACTATGGTCTCGTACCCCCGACCCTCCCGTCCCCGTCGTGCTACTACATGCAATAGCGGCATCGGGCCGTCTTTGTAAGTCCTCGTAGACTGTCCCTATTGCGTTACTCGTTGCCTAGCCATCATCGGTCTTTTCTTGTTATGCTGCTCTAATAAAATTGACTGCAATTAATAATCTCGCAAAGGGAGAGAACCCACGTTAACCCCTGCTGACCAGCACAGATTTGTCCGGCCGCATTTGTCCGACGCCTCAATCTCAGGCCCCTACTCGGCGAGCAGCATCTGCACAGTCTTGTCGGGGCCGCTGGATAAAGCAGCCTGGAGAGCATTGCCATACTCTCCGCCGTGGGCATTCACGTCGGCCCCCTTGTCCAGCAGTATCTGTACGATTTTATCGTAGCCTCTGGATGATGCCGCCAGCAGAGCATTACCATAGTCTTCGTCCTGGGCATTCACGTCGGCCCCCTTGTCCAGCAGTATCTGTACGATTTTATCGTGGCCTCCCGATGATGCCGCCTGCAGAGCATTACCATAGTCTTCGTCCTGGGCATTCACGTCGGCCCCCTTGTCCAGCAGTATCTGTACGATCTTATCGTAGCCTCCTGATGATGCGGCCTGCAGAGCATTACCATAGTCTTCGTCCTGGGCATTTACGTCGGCCCCCTTGTCCAGCAGTATCTGTACGATCTTATCGTGGCCTCTGGATGATGCAGCCTGCAGAGCATTACCATAGTTTCCGCCCTGGGCATTCACGTCGGCCCCCTTGTCCAGCAGTATCTGTACGATCTTATCGTGGCCTCCGTATGATGCCGCCTGCAGAGCATTACCATAGAATCCGCCCTGGGAATTCATGTCGGCCCCCTTGTCCAGCAGTATCTGTACGATTTTATCGTAGCCTCCCGATGATGCGGTCTGCAGAGCATTACCATAGTTTCCGCCCTGGGCATTCACGTCGGCCCCCTTGTCCAGCAGTATCTTTACGATCTTATCGTGGCCTCCGTATGATGCGGCCTGCAGAGCATTACCATAGTATCCGCCCTGGGCATTCACGTCGGCCCCCTTGTCCAGCAGTATCTGTACGATCTTATCGTGGCCTCTGGATGATGCAGCCTGCAGAGTATTACCATACTTTCCGCCCTGGGCATTCATGTCGGCCCCCTTGTCCAGCAGTATCTGTACGATCTTATCGTGGCCTCCGGATGATGCGGCCACCAGAGCATTACCATAGTATCCGCCCTGGGCATTCACGTCGGCCCCCTTGTCAATTAACTGCTGGACGGAGTTGGTCAGCCCCGCCCTAGATCCATAATATAATGCCGGTGGTAAGTCTCTATATTCATTGAAATTATAAAGATTCCAGCACGTCTTGAAAGAGTTCTTGCAGGAAAACAACTCCATTGCTAGCGTTTGGACTCTTCCACTGTGGGCCTCAGCTACTGCAGCATGACTTGCCCAGTACTGTGCAGAGTACTGTGCCATAAAGCGTAACTCTCTTGTTTTGTTCAGATCCAACAGGTATGCAAGGCAGACTTCCGCGATAGAGCCTCTAGCAGTGGTCTCTTTGAAGTCTTCGGCAATGCTTTTGTACAGCCGATCTGACGTCAGGTATTCTTTGACTGAGAAATGCGCAAGCTGTATCTCAGTAACCGTATCCTCTTCGTCATAGCTGCCTTTTCTCGTGATCAATACTACTAAGCTTGAGCAGTATCTTAATATTTCCTCTGGAACTGGTAGTCTATTCTGAGTAGAGAGTCGAGGTCTGTTTTCAATAATTACGGCAATTGCATCGACAGCTTCTCCAATCCGCAATGGCCGTTCGGAGAAGCTTAGGAATTGCAGAATTCGCTTCGTGTGATGTAGGTGCAGGGACGGTATGTTTTTCAAAATTCGAGCATATGTCTCATCTAAGGTATCCGGCAGGTCTGTGAGTGCCTTTAGCACTTCTTGAGGGCCATAGAACTTTTCTAGAGTATCGAATTGACACGAGACCCAGCGAAACCTGTAGTTTCTTAGTAATAAACCTATAAAAGCTGGACTGAGAAAACTTACATTCCGTTGGCCTTTTCTATCAGCGTGGCCTCGATCTTGCTTTGTATGTCCGGCCTGCCTTGCCACCGGTTTAGTCCATCGGATTGCCTAACTCTTGCTTCGACATATCCGCGTATATCGTCCGCTATTATGTTGCTTTGGAGAGGAATGATATCTTTGCTACGCGCCCAATTCTCGATAGTCTCTTTAATATCTTGTTCCGGACGGCTTGTGACAAAAAGGTGAAGATTCATTTGATATCCACGAAGGCGCTGGATCCACGGAAAGAGTCCTCCAGTTGGGTATCCCTTTCGTGTTTTACACTCATCGAGTGCGTCGAGGACAATCCACACTTCACTAGCCTGCTCTAGCATAGTCTGAAAGGTTGCACATAGTGATTCGATGGTTGGCCTTCGCCTCCCGTTTTCGCAAGAGGTGTAGAGCGAATCCAGGTGTCCCCGAACTTCCTTCCTCTTACAGTATAACTGATCAACTAACGAGCAGACTGCGTTCTCGAGAGACTGTTTTTGGGTATCCTGAAAGTCAAAGTAAAAGTAGAGGAGGTTTTGCATGTAGGCTTCACTTTTCTCAAGATCCTCGATGACGGTAGAGCTAAGGATTGTTTTGCCGCATCCAGGAATACCATTAACCCATAAAAAGGAGCGCTGTTCTTCTTTCCATGCTGTATAGGCTGGGCTTTGGAGGAACCACTTTCCTGAGCCCTGATGCCGTTCCTCCCGTGCTTTGTTGAAGTTGGCTGACGGATCGGCTGGCGAGAGCCAGTTCCTGAGCTTCTCGAGGTGGTTGTATACTGTAAGACGTTCAACTCCGGAGTTAGTAACCTCCAGGTTTGTATTAACTACTTCGAGATTAATTTGTGCTTTAAATGCAACTCGGCTTTAAAACGAAACCCATGTTGTTATACTAAAGGAATGGTAATTATAACTTACCCTGGTTTAAGATGTCTTTAACTGGCTTCTCTCCATCAACATCACTCGGTTGTATATATTGTAGCAGTTCCTTTGCAAATGCCGCTGCCACAGCGGCAGCATGTTCCTGCCAAGCCTTGTTCTTATGCGAGTCGGCATAAGAACAAATACCTCGAATAACGATGCATGGGAAATCGTTCATCAGTCCTGCCGCCTCCATTTCGAAGCAAAGGACTTGACCCTCGAGACTCTTATTGACTTTGTCCCGCAGGGCAGCGTCCTTGATGACCTGGTTCCCAGATGCGACAAGACCATAGTGCACACGCATATCCCTGGCCCTCCTCTTAATGATCTTGGTCGTATCGCAATTCCGGCAGCTCTCTTCTTCCTCTTCGTCGTAATAATCTCCATCGTCGTCGTCCTCTCCCAAACTGCTACCGCTGATATGGGTACAGTTTGCTTTGAATAAAACATCTACGAGCGAGTCGGAACGTAGATACTTTGAGGCAAGTCTGGGATGTTTCTTCCCTAGCTCTTCCAGATACTCCGTTATCCTCGACCCGTTCAATTCATGTTCTGTCTCAAGGGTTGTCAAAGCGGTGCGGAGTGAGGTGGGTGGGTTGTTCAGTGACCCAGTCCGTCTAAACTCTCCGCCGACTTCTGCCTTGCCAAAATCCCACTGGACCACACCAGGAAATTGAGTCACAGGGATGCTGACCACGACGTCGCCGAGCCTGACCTTGGGTGGAACCCCGCCGCCAATGCCGACCATGAGACCAAACTTGATGGACGGAAAGGTATCAACCATCTTGGCGGCGGCAGTCGCGGTCGTGGCAATTCCGATGCCGCCCTTGGGCAGACAAGCTATAACAACATTGTGTTTGCCTATAGATCCTAGGGTGTACGTATTGTGGTCGTGCGGGGGCTTTGGAAGACTGGCATGTCTTTGATCCAGCATGGCCGTTGCCGCAGTTTGCTCCTTTGGCAAAGCGCAGATCCATCCCACAGTGTATTCGCTGTGGGTCATAATGTTATTAGGTTCTTGCGTAGTCATTTCGATGAGGTGCCTCGTAAGCCTCGGAAATAATGATTTGACTTTAACGCGGTGAGATGAATCCGATAGAGGATAGTGCAGTCAGTCAGCACAGACTTCACGAAAGAGACGATACAAATAAAGCGTAGCCGCCGCTAATTATACCAGGTCAGCAATTGCCGTTAAATGTAACCCGGCGCAAAAAAGATGCATATATTAACTAGTACTGTGTAGCGGTGGAGCTCTATTGGCCTGTTAAGTCTGCGTACAGCGAAAAACCTGACATCTGCCGGAACAACTGGGGGTCCCTTACACCCTAACCAACTTACGAGGGGAACAGGTGGATATGCAGGCTGAATTTTGATATTGGGCAGATTTGCCGCTCAGCTGCAGACACTTATGCTGTCAGAGCCACAAGTGTCATCCGAGGCGGGCCGGCTTCCACCAGGTAGGAAGCCGTTTGTGGCGGCTAGAGAGCCGTTGAAGCCGTTTGCAGCGGATAGGGAATCGCTTGGTTGCAGATAAGGAGCCGCTGTCCAAGATATTGGCCGAAGTCGGAGGAACACAGACATACGGAAGCAAACATCCAGAATCCAAGAGAGAACCTCGGCTGGCTATAAGTAAGGAGTCGAGACGGAGGAAGATAGAGAGGGCAGAGATCAATGAACTACTGTGGACACCCCTACCTGCCATCACCAAGTGACCACCAGTGACCACCAGGTGACCACCAGGGGGACACGCCTATTTCTCCCCTTCACTCTGTACTATCGCCTTCGGTCCAGGCCGTAACCTGACACACAGCGCCGTTGCCGTGGCTGGCCACGATTTGATCCAGCGCTATTTCCACGCATTTCCTGCTGTACTTGCTGCGCAACGTCCTTTTGATCTTGAAGATATTGTACGTCTTGTGAATTAAGTGATCCTCCAAGCCGTACTCGTGTTTTTTTGGCCCTGCGCCGCTTGCTAATTAGAGCATTTGCCTCTCGAAGTTCCGTGACCTCAGCTTGGAGTAAAGCCATCTTATGCATAATACTCCGCGCTCCTTTCGAAAACTGATCGGTAGCATCGCAAATTGACGTCGGGGGGCTATTTTGATGCCTGTCAATTCGAGATTTAATAAATTCGGATTGCGAAGTAGCCTTGGTTGGGTTGTTTGGCGTCCGAGAAGCCCAAGGAAGGGTTTCCCGCATAGGGGGCCGGGAGGACGTTGGAGTCTGTAATTTCACATCCAGCTTCTCAATAACAATATCTGGGCTTAAATGCACAAGCCCAGCTCCTTGAAAGCCTGCATGAATATTGCTTTCGGTCAGGCTCTTCTTGAACGCGTCGCAAAATGCCGGAAGAAAGTCCTCCTTTGTGATATGCGAGTCGCGTAGCAGTCGGTTTGCCATATCTTCAACAGCACTTAGCCGGGGAGGAAATGCTTACGAATCTAGCTCAATTATCCTTTGAATAATCGTATTTTGTTCTAGTTTTGTTAAATTCCGACCGTTGGCTTCGATATTGCGACGTGATTGACGTTTTTGAAGACGCGCCTGGAGAGTAGTATTCGAGACTTTGTAGATTGTTGCAGCACGTCGGATACTAAATGTTGAGTCATTTCTGATAGCCTGAGTTGCAAGGAGTAATTGAGATTCTTTTTGAGCAGAATCCATCGAGAATTAGTTGCGTGGTAAAGTTAGGAAGTTTAGTTCTATTTTTTGCTATGGGCGTGACCCGTTCGGTTGGGTGACCCGTTCGCTTGTGGACTACGTTATATCAAAGTCTGCTTAGAGGATGTGTTTTTAAGCATTAACTGAGGCCTGAAGACTCCTATATATGTGTGTGTAAGGGACCGGGGAGTCGGGCTGAGAAGGAACGCCGAAGGCCACTGTATAACTCACGTCACGGGTCTTGTTCGGTCCCAAGTGATACGTGACGCCATGAGGGGTTACCCTGTATCTATAGATAAGATAGATGAGATAAAGGCTATAAATAAGCTCTGGCAGGCCAGAATAACTGACCTGGCTAGGCTTTCCCAATACAACAATTCACACTCCATATGCACTCGCATCACTAAAGGAGGCAAGAAAACCGAACTCTATGGGGACTGCTGTCCAGAGATCGCCTCAATTCGTGAAACATATTCATGAAACAAACAGTGCCAAACCCCAATATCCAAGGTTATCATGGCACTTTTTTCAATGTTCTAGAACTAGAAATGTGAGTTCAGGTCTTGTTAGTAGTGAAGCCAGACGTACGGCGGTCTCCAGACTAACTATGCCCGAGACAGACGCATCGAACTCATACACCTTGTCAGATTCATCGTGACTTGACGAGAACAGAAACGTGTATGACTGACATCAGGTTCCATATGCCGAGCCTTGCATCGATAGCGGATATCAAAGCGCTTGGACAGCATACACTGATATAGGCTTACTTCGAGGCTGAAAGGCTGGACCCACCTGCAGCCTACTTTGTTAGCTTTATAAGATGAGGCTATGACACAACCCTGATGAATGTTACAACTGTTGCTATTTCAGCTTGGGTGGACGTTCTGAGTTGTTCTAGATCAAATTAAAGACATTGCTTGCCGCACCATATATATTCCTCTAGTCCACTATAGTGACTAGCCCCTCTGCGCTGATGCTGAAGCTATAGCACTGCTTTTCCAAGTCGCCATTGCAACCAAGACCTATCTCTTTCAAAATTTACTGCATTCTCCGAGCGAGCAGGAGTTTTACGATTTCAAGGTATAGGATCCTAAAGGATAAGTGGCTGGCTTGCGCGCCTAAATGCTACCACGAACGGTAAACACTAATAATAGCACAACTGCACCAATCCATCAGGGCATGTGATGTGATCTGCAGCATCTTCTTAAGACTGAAACCAACGACGTGGGAGTTGGGGGCCGAAATGTCACCAGGGGTCTGAAGCTGTTGGTTCCAGCAGTAGACGACATGCATGCATCATACAGCCCCTCACTGCAGTCGATACACCTGGAGCAAACTGTGCCAAACGAACCTCACGTTGATCAGTCCGTATCACGTCTAAAGTATAGAATGTTGGCTGGCAACTTAGCTTACCGTAGCGCTTATCTTCCCGTTTCTAGCGATCCGATTGAATGGGCTCAAGCTGGAGTCTCTATTAGTGAATGCCCGTCGTTCATCAACACAACTCTGCGTCTCAGCCTCACGAGGCTCTGGGACTCTCTACGCTGCACGGCCCCTGCCATGATTTTATATTGAACCGTTTAATCTAAGGCCGCATGATGCACCTCGCCCAGAATTGAAGGAACAAAAGTACACATTTGCTGCACAAATATGCACCTAGTCTCGGTGGTGCAGCGGCGCAGCCCGTTCAATGGCGCTCCACCAACGGAGTCCTATAATTGGACTAGACCCCGTTTTACGGGTGCTGGACGTTAGAAGACTCTTCAGTTATCACAAGCCGCCAACCTGAGATAGAATATATATGATTCCAAGTTGAGCCCTCATGATTCATACCTTCTGGTAACTTTGGTATACCATTTGCGTCACTTGACTCAGTAGTGATTGCAATATGTTGTTCACCACTCCCGCATTCGCCCTATCCTTGGCTTCAAGTTTCAGCTTCGCATCTGCAAGCGAAATTTATAGCGGCGTCGCTGTTCGTACACACAATGCCCCAGGCACAAACATTGCGCATACCCTTGAAGCTCTCCACCGCGCTCTTTCAGATGTCAACTTGCACGAGAGAAGCTCCAGAGTGCTTGAGAATAGCACCACGTTCGAGAAGAGTTTTGATGATGCCGTACTCTTGAGTTTGTAAGTGTTTTTGTGCTTCTTTTAATTTCTTTATATTTATCCTGTCCTTTTCTTTCCATCATCTATGAGCTATGCGTCACGAGCTAACACCAACATACTTTTACAGCGGAAATGAGATTGACACCAGCAAGTCTACCTCAGATGAACTATCAATCAAGGTCACTTGCACAAAATGCTACATAAAGGCCAATGCCACGGCTCAGCTCACTGTCGATGGCAATGTAAACGCCACACAAGAGTTTGAGACGTTCAAGAACCAGATTTCCGGGGAATTCAACAGCACGACAGATAAACTCGAACAGTTTTTCAGGAAACAAGTCTCAAACGAGACAGATTTTCTGGATGTGTTTGATATCGACAACTTGGACTTAACTACTACTGATGTCAAGCTCAACATTCATACTGTTGACTTCCCTGGGTGTTTCCTGAGCTTTCAGTTTGACGACATGGAGCTCTACATGATGATGGACACGACTCTCTCTGGTAGTGCCACCTATACCATCAACATATACACTTCCAATACTCCACTTGGCATTTCTATAGGCAAGGATTCCTCATTAGGCATTATCTTCACCATCGACCTGATCCTCAGCACGGAGGCACCAGTTAGCCTTAGTAGTGGATTCCATATCAAAGTTGATGATGGAGCATCTTTCCACGTTCCGCTCCTTGGCGAAAACATTACTGATACAAACATGTAAGTCTGAATTCCACTTTTCACTCAGTACTGTTGTCAAAGTTATACTAACTTGTTGCACTTAAGCCCCGGCGGCAAGTTCGAGTTCCTCCCTGTAACAATCCAAAGCGAAGGTGGCCTCCTCAATGCCGTCCTCCGCATCGGCGTGCACGCAGGCTTCGATATCCATACCCCAAATATTGGCATTCCCATTCTGAGTGCTAGCGCTGGCGTCGAAGTGGGCCTGTTCGTCAACATTGCCGAGTTCACCACCAACGTGACCACCGCCAAGGAAGAAAACGACCTCACCTGCGAACTGCGCGTCGTCGAGACGTACCAGCTCGCCGTAGGTGCCACAGCGGGAGCCACTATCGCGCTGAACAGCCGCACATGGGGTCCTGATCTGGAGACGACGGTACCTCTTTTCTCGACAGTCTTGGCGGATGCGTGTGCCACTCGTACTGCTGCTGCTGTGACCACGACGCCGGTTACGGCGAGTACTAATGTTGGTAAGAGGGCGGATCTGGAGACGATTACGACTACTGAGGAGGTTACTTTTACTGGGGTTATGTGCCAATCGACGGGTTTGATCAATTGTCCTTTGTCCTTGCAGAGCACCACGGTGACATTGTTTACGACGACTCTGGTCACTGCTGTGCCGTCGGGAGATGAGGCGACGTTCCGTCCGACGACGCGGGATGACGTTACGGCAACGATAGAGTTTGGTTCGCATGCGCAGAAGTTATTCGAGAGCAGCGGGAGTCCTGTGTCTTTTACCCCGACTCCGACGCCGACTGACTGGGAGGATGCCGTCCGTGATAAGACCGATGGAGTCGACAAGCGCACGGCTATTGGCGTCAGTGTTGGGGTTGTAGTCACTGTACTGGCTGCTATTGTTGCTGGGTGCATGTAAGTCTCCCCACCCCGACCCCCTTCTACCCCTATGTTTTAGCCGCCTGACTGTCGAATGGCTGCTAATAATGTGGCGAAGATTCTACCGGAGGCACAGGAAGTATCGTTCCTTGGTTCGTAGGAATGATTCTCCACGAACAGCGGTGTTGGAGTCGGATCCATATCAGGCTGCGACTTACGTTCACGGCAACAAGTTTATGAACGTAACAGTTAGCAACGATGACCGACGGTAATAGCCTATTAGGACAAGACATACATCATGACGAGGATTTCTTTAGAACTTCAAAGCTATTACACCAAGAATTGCCAGCTTGTGAGGACATATGGCCACCTGCCATACGTTATGGGCCAACATGATCACCATCCATCGTCCCACTCAATATCTGCCTGTGGGGCAGGCATCGTTCATTTCTACCTATACAAGGCCCTTCTGGCCACAGTTCAATCCTGGGAGGACACGTCAGAGATCGTCACAATTCAATGCAAGACCATTCTCCTTACAGTTCAATATATCGCATATGATTTATTGGTAGACGATTCGATTGAGTGATTGCCTTGGCGCGAGTATATGTGTGTTATACACTGAATCCTTCGGGTGTTGGTGTTCCCTAACAAACGCTCAGTGGCCAATGGCCAGTTGAGGAAGAAATACCCAGCGAGACCAATCGAACCACTGTATACCGCATCCAATAAGATATGCGTATGCACGATCGCATACCAAGGTTTGCTCTCAGTAGTATGACAAGTTGTCATGATCAACTCATACGCTGTACTCTCATCTTTGAGCTTCGGGTCTGCCCTGATAGTCAAGCATAAAACCTCGTAGTCCATACCATAGACGTCTAGATCATCATTCTTGAAGCTATCTTTACGAGGCTATCTTTACTTGGCTAAGCGCCTATCGAAGTCCGCAAGTTCGAATTTAGGCCATGACATTGTTAAATCATCTGTAATTGAAAGACAATGCTTTACCATTGGTAAATAGAATACCTCAGTATACAAGAGCTGTTCTAGTTTCTTGATCATCGGAACAATATAGTCGAGCTTGGTCTGGCTAAAAGTGCTGATAATAGTATTCAGGAAAGCCCAAGTGCGAGGAGTAAACGAGCATTGCAGTTGAACATGTCAGGAATGAAAGAGCGTCAGTCGCACTAGAGTACTAAAGTGGGGCATGTACTACCTGTGATCCCAGACACAAGCAATTCCAGTGCTAACCTTAGTCAAATATACTTTAGCCAAGTCTTTGTCCTTTCATGTTTGTCTGAGCCTTCGGTCTGCATAATCCATCCCACTCCACACCCTGACCAGTCCTAAGCCTTTCGCACCTGAACCCAGAGGTAGAAAGGCAGGCGCCGTTGCACTGGTTATCAGCAACAACCCTAACGAGGCTCGGATTGTATCGTGGAGTATCGGAATCGCCCTGCCTTCTACAGGTCTCCGAGCAGGTTTGTGTGCTGAAATACTGGGGAAACACCGTGAATCTCGCTCCACACAGCGTCTCCTCATTACCCCGCCACAGCACCACCTAGTCACGCGGTACTGAGCTTTAGCAGAGTCAATGGCTCCATCCCCAGAACACAGCCTGGCGGGCCTCGGGAACGACGTTATCTTCATAATCCTGGACATGCTCCAAGATGAGAGCCCAGGGACAGTCGCTTCCATGACCTTAGTGAGCTCGTACTTCTACAAGAAGGCACGATACAGCCAGCACCGCGAGCTGTCCATTGACATCTCCCAAGAGATTGTCACCCCTAAGCGCCTGGATTACGCCGCTAATAACGGTCTTTTACCGGCTATCCGACACCTCAAAGTGGGTGGCATACGCCCTAGGACCAGGGCTGAGCATGATACCCTGTCCAAATTATGCCGCCTGATACCGAGCATGTCGGGTTTGACCTATGTCACCTGGGACTTCACCATTCCCCTCGAGGCCCTTGTGGTGATACAAGAGAGGCCCGGCGTGCGCATTCATACCAATTCTTGGAGTTCCCACATATTCCATAAGGACAAGAACCCCATTGTTCACCTCAGGGGCAACCTGAATCTGCACTCACTAGATATCGGAACTACCTACACCGGAGCAGAAGAGTGCCTACAGACTACGCAGCGGCTGAAGTGTATTCTCCTATCTTGCCCCAATCTCCGTTGCCTCAAGCTGAATTTGAGCCTTCCAAGCAGCCGGTATATTATATATAGTGAGCCAAGCGAGTACTGCGGGTTCGGGTTCACCAACGGGGAACGTCCGCCTCCGCTAGAGGAACTGGAACTGGATGGCTACCCCTGGGGCTACTGGACTGCGGATACGTCGAGCAACGACCCATTTCGTCAACACGGATACCCCCTCAAAGGCCGCGAGGAGGACTACTGGGCTGAGACATTTGACTGGTCACAGCTGAAGAGGCTGAGTACCCATTACTCGGTCTTTGCTTTGCAGATCATGCCACAGCTGATTTCTCTGCGAGAACTTGACTGTCGGGGTTGGGATCATGATCGTGTGAAGACTTTCCATCTAAACGTCCCCGCAGCGTTGGAGAGTATTACCGTGTCAAGCTTTGCCGGCATTGGTATGGACGGACTGTTGAGACACGGGCCCAAGCTCAAAAAGCTCGTAATACACCAGGCGGAGGCCTGCCAGGGAAGATGGCGCGACGCAGTCGTGGATGCCAAGACTCTACGCAACGTCCGGGACGCTTGCCCTCTACTCGTGGAGCTGGGTCTCGACGTCGGCCGTGACGGCAGCTGGCCATACGACATCTTGGAAACATTGGCCACATTCCCACGCCTCCGCTCCCTCACCATCTGGTTCGAACTAGGTCTGGGACACAATCAAGACCCAGTGGAGCCGTATGTCACCTTCTCAGAGGCCGTTAAGCTGTTCAAGTCCATCCGCGATCATTCCCCCGCGCAACCTTCGCGTTTACAAAGAGCCGAGATTATTTCAGGCTCCCCACCGCCCATCGGTCTCGGCCTAACGGCACCGAGTGATTTCTGGCCCAAACAAAACTCGACCTCCTTCGTCTGCACGGTATCCGAGCGCGATGACGAGGCGGAAAGGGGCGTTTTCAGCGTCGTGTGTCCCAATCTCAAGAAGGAAGAGAACGAGATGTTGCGGAAGCTCGATGCGGAGGGCCCGGGGGACAGAACAGGCTTGTCTTATCGGCGCGTCTTTGAGGTTGCTCTCTGGGGCCCTGCCCCTTATTCGGAGGCGGATACCTATGACGACGATATGTGGTGAAATTACTTTCGATGATTATGATGCGTTGTGAGCTGAAAAGTATTGATGCATTTGCATACTCGTTCCATGTCGATCTTCCGAAAACACTTGGTCAAGAGCCATCCCCTGAGTGGAGTGCGTGCAGAGCGATGTGAAGGAATGGCACCGGTGACACCGAACTCTTCGAGGTGCGAAGTGATGCGATGAGAAAGGTACGAGATGGAATTCTTGACAATTATATTGGACTATTTACTCTCAACAACGAGGTTTCCATAACTCCAGTTGCGTCGGAAATTATGAAAGACATTTCTGCTTGATCTGGAATGTAATGTGTAGCCAACGCCCAATACATTGACGTAGATCCGGAAATGGATGAGCCTCATCCATGCCTTTCTTTCGGTTCGAAACACCACATAGTAGAATAGCACCTGATTGGTGAAAAGAATTGAAGGTATCTCAGATTACGCTGTCATAACATACAGCTAGTCAACACACAGCATGGCAGCACGCACCAAAACGCCATGCCAGCTAACAACTAATGCCCCCCACCCTAGAATTTCTCTCTGCTATGATTGCCTCTTGAGAAGGCTTCCAACGCTCGCTTGTATGCCTGTTTTTTTTTCATCATGATATACAAAATAATCTCTAGAACTAAAAGTGTTCTTAGTCATGAGTTATCAGCCCCCTAGCACCAGCCTCTCTTGGTGATGCGATGTGCTCCGTCGTCCAGTCCTCACTGGAACGTGCCCCTAATCTTAGCATACAAGTCCGTATCGAAGAAATTGTAATTATTGTCCAGCTCGCAGAACTCGTGGTGTCTGAGTAGTCTGTCGGCTGTGGGTCGTTCCCCCGGATCCCTATTATCTCTCTCGTTAGCACACTGCCCTCTTACTACAATCCTCACATAGCCCAACATCATCAGAAAGAGGGGGGAAATACTTACACAGTAAAACAATCCAACATGAACCCAAGCGCATAAGGACTGATAGCCTCACGCACCTCATCCGCAATCGGCGGCGTCTCCCCATTCGCAATCTTGTAAATAGCGCCCACGGCCTCCTCCTTGCTCCAGGGCCGTCTCCCCGCAAACATCTCCAACACGACACAGCCCAGACTCCATATATCGACCTTGGCACTGTACCCCTCCTTCTGTGACAGGATGACCTCGGGCGCCATCCAGAAGACAGACCCCTGCATACTATTCGTCTTATCGTTCCCATAAATATCATCCGTCTTCTTGGAGATGCCAAAATCGGAGATCTTGCACGTACCATCGACATCAAGCAGGATATTGTCGGCCTTGAGGTCGCGGTGCAGGATACCCTCACGATGGAGGTACGCCAACCCCGAAAGCGTCTGTCGCGTCAGGCTGCTCACGACGGGTTCCTCGAACTTGCCGTGTTTGCGGAGACAGGAACCGATGGAGCCACCAGAGATGTACTCAAGGAAGATGCTGATACTGGCTTCTTTGCGCTCGCACCCGAGGTACTGCACGATGTTGTCGTGGTCGAGGTATTGCATCGTGTCGATTTCCTGGTCTAGGGCCGCGACGAGCTCGCGCATGCGGTTGCGGTCACCGCCGGCGGCTTTAGGGTTTACTTCGACTTCTTTGACGGCTAGGAATTCACCTGTTGTGGCGTTCATGCCGAGGTAGACGCGTCCGTAAGTTCCCTTGCCGATCAGCTCACCCTTGAACCATCGGAAGGTCGTCTGCCGTTTTGGAAGGGTATCTTGGGGGATTTGAGGGATGATCATGGAGCCGCGATCAGGCTTGATTTGCACCACATTGGCTCCGAACATCTTGGTGCTCTTACGGCGCTGGATCATGGATGACGCGCCACCAGCACCAGATGCAGACGACGCTGTAGTGAAGCGTTTATTGGCCTCGTGCGCTCCACGCGCTACTTGACGGATAGACTTCATGCGGCCTAGGCCACCAGAGCGACGCACGCTGCGTTGGGCAATCGACGCAATAGAGGCAGGCCTCTCGAGGGCCTTGAGGGTGGACTCGTCAGAACCTAAAGTGTCGTTATCGCTGTACATAGATGATCGCGCGGTAGCGAAGCCAGCCGTGGGCTCAGTGAGCGACAAGTTCTCATTGGCTCGCGAGCCTTCACCACCATTATTTTCATCCATCTCGGTGATTGGCGACACTGTGGGTGAAGCCTCCCGCAGCTGCATTTCGTCCAACACAGGCTCATCGAGATCAAGCTCCGGGAAGAAGGCGTCCAGATTCTCAAGCAGAGCCTCAGCGGGTGGACGGTTGGCCCAAACGTCACGTTCAATGAAAGATTTCCGGCGGCCGAGTTTGCCATCATCCGAGTCTGAGCGTGGCGTCGCTGGTGTGCGACGTTGCGAGTTCTTCCCGCTTTGACTGGCGTCATCCTCGAAATCTGGAGTTCTAGCACCAGGCGAATTGAACGACACCGACAACTGCTTCTTAGACCTCGACGTGTTCAGCGTCAAGTTTGGCTTCTTGCCATTCGGATCCGAGTCACTGTCATGTCCACCACCCATCGACGACTTGCGCGCCTTGACCGAGGGCTGTCTTCCTCTCACTGGGACTGCGAACAAGCCATCATCCGAATCGTCCCCAGAGTCGTCATCACCTTGCATAGCAGACAGTTTTGGCACCGGCGCCGAGAACTGCACGTCCGTATCCGTGAAATCCACATCCATGCGGGTCGACTTCCGCCGGTCGAGTTCAGACCCATTCGCCGTGGGGGTGGTGTATGATGGATGTGCCGTACTCGGGCTGAGATCGCCAGGGGACGGGGCCCGTTGTGCTGTTTCACGCATTTTAGCAAGTATTCCATCATCGGGTGTGTCACGGCCCCAGTTGACAGGAGTACCACCGGGCGAATAGTCTGGAATGACAAACGCGAGGTCTCCACGGCTCCATGTCAGGGTACCAGGGGATCCAGACGCCGAACGCGGACTACTCCGACCCGAAGCAGTCTGGCCCCAGTCAACGTTTGCGATTACTCCCTTACCTCGTTGTTCATTATACGCAGCTCCTGCTGCTGGTCCGGAATTCACTCGGTTGGGTGACACAGGTCGTTGTTGCTGTCTGTTGGCTCCTGAATGGGGTCGGCCAAAGTGACTCAGGGCACTTCCCATACCCACCAAGGCGCCCAAGGCTGAGTTGACAGGATCTCTGCTGGCGGTTGCCGACCGTCGTTGGTTTGGGTCCTGGCTCGGGTCTCCGCCGCTTGAGTTCCAGTTGGTCGTGGCTGGTCTCCTCGGCGTCGGGAACCCATCAAAGCTTCCTTGCGAAGGCCTCATTGCGTGACCAGTCTTTCTGCTGAGCGAGTTCGCTTTGATCAAGGTGGCCGTCTCAACTCCAGGAGGAGCAGGCGCCTTGCGCTGGGGGAACAGACCGTCTGGCTTCTTCTCCTCATATGGCGAACTGCGGGGTTGATCAAAGTCAACATTTCTCCCAACAATACCAAATTGGCCACCCTCTTGCGGGGAAGACTTCTCCAGGGCTTGCCGCCGCTTGGCCAAGTAGGCCTGCTGCTGCTTCTCCACTCCAGCCTTATACTCATTGGCCTTCTGGGCTAACTCATTGGGATCGGGCCCATCCCCTGATATCGTGTTGACACGAGAAGTAGGCGGCGAGGAACTAGACCGAGACCTCTGCCCGTTCAACCGCGCATAGGTATCCTCATCAATGGAAGCATATCCAGGCGTGACGACGTTGGGCACCACAGGCGGTGAAGCACCGCCCGTTTTGACGAACAGTTTCAGGGTCCCATTTATATCCGCCTTGTTCCTCTTGTGAATCAACAAACTTTGATCTTCTAGAGGCTCATCATGCTCCGCCCGGCCAAGATCAGTCAGATATATGTGGATTGAGTTCGGATCGGGGAGGCCTAGATTGAGTGAAATGCAAACCCGTAAATCTGCGGCCGTGTCACAGTCGGTCACGTCGCACATCCGGTAATTCCAGCCATCCAAGGTGACGAGGAGGAAGAGTCGAGACGCACTGGCCTTCTGGGTTCGCAGTGCCGGCGTGTTGTCCTGAATCGAGAAGCTCGATGATGGTCTATCCAACGAAGTCTCGCTGGCATTGTACCGGCTGCCCAGAGAAGATGGCTTGAGAATATTAGGGCTGGTTTCGCCATCTTCTGGGGAGGGAAAACTGCCGTCTTCCCTCTGTTTCTTCCTCTTCAGAAAGCTCAAAAAACTCTTGTTGTCCCTGGCAGAATGCGGAGGGTCAGTCCCCGCGGACCTGTCGCCGGGTTCCAACGGGGACCGGCCTCCATCCTGTCCCCGCCGACCATCATTGCGGTTTGAATTCATCATCTCCCCAATGCCACCCATGCCATTTCGTAGTAGCTGACTTGCCTCAGGCGGCACGCCGGAACCATATATGGCGGCACTCGAGGAGACCGAATCAATCGAGTTCCGAGACCTGTGATTTGGAAATCTGCCTGATGGGGAAGAAGCAGACAAGCCCGCTGATTGAGGAAAGAGTCCCGAATTCGGCATTGGGCTGCCTCCGGGACTATCGCTGCGTATTGCTGATCCTCGTTCCCGAGTCTCACTCCCAGTTGGACTGTGTCTCCGACTACTCTCAATGTCCAGATTCTTGAGAATCGTCCTGTGATTGGAGTCGGAGCTCATGGTATTGCTCAAAGTTGGCATCGTTGTGGAGCGGGTTTGTGAGAACCTCCGCTCGCCAAACCCGCGGCCTGGCGCCTTGATAGGTGTATTGGGAGAGTCTGCATCGGTGCCCGCGCTCTGGGTATTATTCGCGTTGGATTCTCTCCGGGCGTGTCCTCCCTGAGCCGGCCTTGATGGCGTTGGTGCGGCCATACCTCCACTATGAAGAATAGCACGAATGAGCCGGCGCATTCTCTTGCCCTCTTCTCGTTCCCGCAATTGGTCCCAACCGGCGCCACTGTTGTAACATTCTTTTGCTAAATTGGGATAGACTTGCTGATGCATCATGCCAAAGTTGCCACGGCCTCCGCGCGCACTACCGAGTTCGAGAAATTGGGCACCGTGCAGGTTCAGTCCTCTAAACGTCTCCTGCCAGTCCTTTGAGAATTGGTTAGTAGCCATCCACAACAGGACGTGGTCCAGGGGCCATTTCGCCGCCATCTCGGGTGGGATTCCGGACGAAGCGCTGGTGGCATTCGAGGCGGTCGACATCATCCGGCCATGCATAGCGTTGGCATACAACCGATCGCGACTTTCGCTGTCTGCCGGGGTCGTATTCGCCGTGTCATTGCTGGTCTGGCTTTGAGACTGCCATGAGCTCTGACTTGTCATTGTTTCGGCCGACTCGTCCCAGCCAAAAGCAGGTATGCCGACGCCTTCGCCGTAAGTATCGCCTTGGGGTATGTAAGTCGCAGACATGCCGCTTGGCTCCGCCTGCTGTTGCTGCTGCATTTGCTGCTGCGGCGGCGGCGGAGGTATACTGAGAGAACCGTTCAGATTCTGCATCGAAGACTGCGCGTGAAGCCTCGGATTGTACGCGACGTGTGGTCCTCCTGATGGTGGAGGAGGGATCGTGAGACCCGGCCGCGAATCGTACATGCGCCCCCAGCTTCCCTGCCAGGGTGCTTGAGGCCCCATCGCACTGTTGGGTGGCGGTCCCGAAGGAGGAGGGGGCAGATTCAGACCGCCCGTCGTCGATGGGGCGCTCGGGTACCTTGGAGGCGGCGGAGGTATGTTCATGCCCGCGTTCATCTGCCCCGGCAGAGGCGGCGACATCGGCGGGGGCGGCGGCATCGCGAAGGGCCTCGAGGGATCTCGTTGAGCGTTCGGATACATGGGGGGCGGTGGTGGGAGAGGTCCGGCGCGGGTCGCTGGTCGGCTGGAGTCGTTCCCGAAGAGAGAGGGCGAGGAAGCGGAGGCAACTAGAGTAGCCGTCGAAGCTCGAGGCCGCACACCCGAGAAGTTTGCCGCCAGGTACGGTGGTGGGTCGGCGGCTGCGAGGGTTGGGTACGGCGACGACCCAGGCGCCGCTGAGGATGGCACGGCAATGGGGTTATTCTGGCTGTGAGCGTTGCTGTTGCTGTTGCTGTTGTTCTCACTGATCAGTCCATCGAGAGTATTGATGTTGTCCTGCAGACGCTGGCGAATGTTCGTTGGGTATCGACCGGTCCCTTCGCCGGTGCTGTCCGACCGACCCAATACTGGCGTACTGCGCGTGGTGGTCATGGCCTCGGTAAAAGAACGTCTTCTTCCACCATCAAGTACATGGAAGCATGACTTTGCTAGTGCTCAGACAGTACCACTAGATTGGTTTGGGGATGGCGCATGATCCAAAGTGGTATAACTGGTGCATACGAGACAGATAGGATGAAGGTGGAGATATGATCGCTCTGTCGTCTGTGTTTCTTTGACTCCGTCTTAGCGCCCGCGGAGGTCAGGATGGGTGTTTTGAGCTATCGGCGGCTACGCGCTTAACGATGGTTCGGGAATAGTGTAAGATTTCCCAGCCTACTGTACCCGTCGCCAATTGGTCTTTGTCGCTGGAAGCAAGCCTGGCGATTTGTCGAAGAGGTGTGCACATGTAGTTCGCGTGCATATAGACGGTGGAGTGGAAATGCCACGACGAATCAGACTGACGGAGAGAAATCGGGAGGTTGAGAATGGCGCCACATCGGGGCAAGGCGACACGAATACACGACGAGTATATCACGGCAGATTTCATCAGTCGGCTGCCGATCGTACAAAGAACATAATCATGAGTTGGAGCCCTAATTTTTGGGCGCCCGCATGATTGGTCGCTACAGCTTGCAGAACGTTCACTTGAAAACCTTGCCAGCTCGAGACTCCAGGCTGCGTATCGTGGTGTTTTGCTGCTTTGCAATACAGAATCGCGGAAATGGAGTGTTGTCTACTGCAAGTTCTGGCATTTGGACAGGGCTATTCGCAAGGATTCTGTCCTGTCAGACTCAGCGGCCTCGACCTGGTCCTGGCCGACTAGGATAGGATGTGTTGCATATATTTCCGGGCTGTGGGTACACATCGGTTGCTTGGCACTCGACCTCGAAGCGCCCGCATGCATCCCGATAGCTGCGTCGTGGTTCGGCTACTGCAGTCATGCTGAAAGGTAGGTGGGTGACCCGTCTGAAATGCACAAGGCTTGCAGATGAAACCGACTAGAAAGTATGCAGTTAAAAATAAATTTTCCACCCATCTGCCATTGGATGCTCGGTGCGCTTGCATGCACAATCTGAGCGCGATTTGGCATGGCATTTGGAATTGGGCTGGGTGCTTTGGAGGCGGCATTCGTCAGTCTGGCATGTTTGGTCCCGATGTCGTGGCTATCAAGAATACTCCGCAGGGTGAACCTGACCCAATGGCCTGGAGCACACCCCAAGCCGCCCCGTTGGGAGATATAACTTGTTCGCAGAAGCTATCAAGTTGACCTGGCAATGAAACATTCCCAAACACTCGGTAACAATATAAACGTACATATGAGCGTTGTATTATCCAGCCCCGTCAGCCCCAGTTCCCCCTTCCCCAACTCCCGAACCTGTTGGCGATGCAGTCATCACCGAGCAGCTTATCGGAGTGCACATGCAGCCGTCCGAGACATCATTGTACATCGGCTGTCTCGGGGTTTCACAGGCTCCCAAACTGTGCCTTGCAGCTAAGGCCATTTCCAGGGTCCTGAGGTCGCATCTGATTGAGTGTGGTACGTCTGATCTAGATCCTGACAGAATAGCGTTTGCGAGCACAGAGGGTGGTATGCCTTTGTAGCATGCTTATACAGCCGCATTCCGATGCTGTTCTCTCCGAATACAATTGTCCTAGGACTGATATAGCAATCTGTCGCGACGGGGTATTATACAAGTCAGAGCAGGGTTTACTGAGATGAGCGACTAGAAAACGGTGCAAGTCCATGTTATCCATCTTCGTCTATCTCGTATTCTGCTGCCTGGGAAGCTCAAGTAAACCATGTACATCACACAGCAACTCCCTCGGTATTCATTAAAACTGGTAATAGGTAATGCGGCCTTATGCTCATCCAATCCAACATCCCTCTCTGATCGATCCCTGCAGGCATTGCTACAGCATCTGCAGGCTCCGCCAGGCCTACATGACGGCGCACTTGCCGACGTCAAGCCCGTATCCCGACTGGCACTGCTCGAGATAGCCAGCCTCGTCCGCAGAGCCTGCCAGCGTGTTATGGGGCCGCACTTGGCCAGTGACCTTTAGCGTCTGTTTCCCATCACCGTGCCACCACCTGATCTTCTGGATCCAAGCTCGCTCATCGTCATCGGTGCTGAGTTCCCACTTGCCCCCGCTCACTTCAACTGTGCATTGCTCTTTTGGAAAGTGATACTCGGGCAAGAACACAGTTGTTGGTAGGTCGTCGGATGGTGAAGGGGCGCCTATGATTTCTAGGGTAAATTCGCAAGTCTTCAAGTCAAAGCCGTACTTGGTCGTCATGCCGTTGACCGCAATGGGTGCTGGCCGAACGAAGGCTTCAGCTGCGCGATAGCCTGGTGCGTTGGTGACTTCTGGATTCTGACTCGAACGTTCTGATGAAATGGAAGGGTTTGTAAGTGTACGTTTGAGGTTCGAGGGGTTGACGGAAGTCTCGTCGTCAACTTCTCTCCTAGAATTGGTTGTGGCCGTCTTGAGGAGGCTGAAGGGGGGCCCTTCGGCGTCTGGTGTTCGAGGAAGCGGAGACACAGGAAGGCTCTGGTCATCTAGAGAGTAAATAGACAAGTCCTCGCCATTCCATAAATCACCCCTCTGGTGATCATTCTGGTTTCACGTTAGCATCTGCTGTTCGGAGCCGGGGATGGGTACAAACTTGGGTCATATATAGCCACAATGTGTAGCCTTCCATTGGTGCCCCCTCTACTGCGAAATGGTTGGCATCCATCGCAGCAGATTGACTTGAGTAGTCCCCAGTCTTGTAGGCGTTTTTGTCATCCATATCATACGGAATTCCAAATTCGGTCAGAAGACATGGGTGGTTGCCCATATTGTCCAAACCCTCTTTCCTTATGGCAGTCAGCTGATCTCTGAAGCTGTTTCGAATGGCTGTTTCTCCGATTTTGATAGCAAATGCAGGGTGTAGGTATTTGCCGCGAAGAACGCCGAAAACATCCACGTTCCAGGTGCGGTTCCATTTCTTCGTCATGAGGGTGATTCCGTCGTAGTAATGCGGCGCATACACCATCTTGAGGTCGTCGTCCTTTGTTCCCTTAATGGTAGGTGGTACCTCTAGTGTCGGAGGCTGGCAGAGCATTATCGCATCCTTGTGATGGGCCCGGATGAGGTCACGATATTTCCGGTAAAACTCCATGAAGTACGTGTTCGTAAACTTTGGAAAGTCGAGGACCTCGCCAGTCTTCGGGTGTTTCTCAAAGTAGTTCTTCTGCAGCAGCAAATCGTTTGCCGGGTCCCAGATACCATGCTGGGCCCATAGGCACTCGCCCAACTTCCAGCCTGGATCTCGTTTCCATCCGTATCTTGAGTCGTCGTAGTCTGCCGGTAGCCAGGCCATTTCGCCATGAGGATCAATTAATGTCCTACCGATCTTGTACGGGCCGAGGCCACCCATATCCCAGGAGTCGACCTCGCAGGCCCTTCCAGACCCAGTAAGCATGGTTTGCCATAATGTTGGACATGTTCCCTTCTTCAGCTTCTGCTCACTCGGGATGACACTCAAGTCGACATGTCCAATCATGCCCCTGCTGGGCTCGTTCATTGATTCCCAACCAAAAACAATATCATTCTCGATATCACCGGCCTCGTGGATGCGCTTTGCGAGGTGTTCGCAGGCACGGAAGAAATGGCCTTGAAGGTAATCTTGAATGTTCATCCCATCTATAATACACTTGGGCGCAAAGTCTCTACCCGCAAAGAAGAGAGTGAACATGGTTGCAGCGGCAAGCCTGTTGTAGTTGGTGGACCATATCATCTTAGGGAACTTCTCGGGTTCGGGATAGGTGTTGTGCACTATCGCAGCGTCTGTGGCAGCGAAGCTCTGAGGGTTCAGTCCGCACGCGTAGAGCGTCCACATGGGAGCTCCCGAGCCTCCACAGTACCGTGACCACTGGACAGGAAGAGGGGTTATCAGCTGTTACAACTTGGAACCATAACATAGAGCCGGAACTTACGACGTCCTGGTGTGGATCCATGAAAATATAGAAACCATAGTCCTTGGCTTCGCGCAGTACATCGATGGTGTGTTGAATCCACTCCTCGTCGTATCTTCCGGGCCCCGCAGCTTCGATGGCTTCCCAGGTAAAGACATAACGAATGGTGTTGTACCCGTAACGTTTCAAGCGCGAGAAGTGGATGTGTGCGTCTTCTTTGCGAAAGGGTCGCTGTCTGAAGTTCACGTCGTCACCGGCGAAGAAGTCCTCGGCAATGTGTGAGGGGACATCTGGCTGGCTGGGCAATTTGGCGTCGCCCGCGACGTTGATGCCTCTAAGCAAGATATGTCTGCCGTGGTTGTCACGGAATTGGCCGTCTTCTATCGTCAATCGAAGGGACATTCTAGTGGTACAAAGCGGAACTTTAGGGAGACGACAAGCAAGATAGGCAAAACGGTTGAGGCTCAAAATTGGCCTAGGATGGTTAACTCAGTCACGGGCGGCTTTGGGCGTCCACGGAAGCGATGCGCCAGGCTTGGGGTCTCGATGACGTGGGGTGCTTTCCAAGGGTTTGGGTTTAGAGCACACGGGCCTGTTTAGTTTCAGCAGATAACATAGCTTTGAATTGAACAATGGTGACAGCGAAAAGAAACACTTTTCAGTCTCGAGAGTAGCAGAGAACGTCGAACTTATACATATCTAGTTATCTCATAGTCGGGATGGTTGCTATCCGTACCTTATTGTGAAAGCCTAAAATGGTTGTTCCGCCATGTTTGTGAAGCTCGAGGTCCGTTGCAGACCGCCTACTGGCTCGGTCGATGACATATGATGCCAAGGCCGGGGTTCTTGCGAGCGACACCCGCGGCTTATCCGACCGAACTTCAGCCGGTAGGTGGGTCCAGGTTGCTTGATGGAATTCTCTTGGCATTGATGATTGCCTTTGGTCCTTTGGTTGCGTCACAAAGAGGATCCAACCAGACGGATTAAACAACGATCATAATGTGAGGATGAGACAGCATTGTACATGATTACTCGCCATCTACGCACAAAAACTCATGGACCATCCTCTTCCCATACGGATTTCTGGGTGAATTTCGTTCCCGATCATTATCTTACTCTATTAACACCAACATGGCCAGCTCTACCGCTCAGCTCAAGGCAGTGAGGGCCCTTCTCGTCCAGCAGAAGTGGCAAGAAGCAATAGAGCAAGCATCAGCCATCGTGCTAAATGATCCGGGGAATTACCAGGCGTAAGCATTCACTCCTGCTTTGATTGGCTGGGTCCTAACCATTTCATAGCCATCTCTTCCTCGGCCGTGCCTATGCTGGGAAGAACCGCCTAGACGATGCCGAAAAGGAGTATGAGGCTGCCGCACCCCTGCGGCCCTCTGACCATCAGGTCTGGCAGGGCTTCATTCAGTTGTATGAGAAGCAAGGTCCCATTAAGTTGATCAAGTACCAGCAAGCTGCCTTGAACCTGGCTGCTATTTTTCGGGATCAAGACAATATGTACAAATGTCAAGACGTCATAGACAAGTTCGTCGACTTTGCCCGTGCCCAAGGATCTCGTCTTCAATATGTCCAAGCGTTGGAAGTGATACTTCCGGGCAGTCCCATATACCCAGCACTTGAGGGGCGGGTACCACGTCCAGACAAGACGTATGACACCATTGCCCAAATCCTAGAGGCAGACGAGAGGAGACGCATCAACACTCTCATTGGCGAGCGACGGACAAGGATTGGTGCGAGACTCAATGAAGTCACCACCGAGGTGAAAAGAGAAATCCTTGGCCAGAGCACTCTGGGCCACATTTATGAGCAGTTGATCAGTTGGTCCAATGACGACGATGTCAGACGCCGGTATGAAGAGAAACTGCTTCAATTCAGATACGACCGCCTCCTGGTTTTTCTCCCGGGTCCTAAAAAAGAAGCCGAGCTTGTGACGGTTCAAAAGCTGGCAAACGACATGGTCATTATCAAGCATCCATTCAGACTTGCTTGGGATATCACGGTCAACTGGCAAGACTGTGAGGACATCAAAGACTGGGACTTTAATCTCCTTAATGATTACTGTTCACATTTTCCAGAGAGCGATCTTTACAAGGTTTTGACTGGATTCATGACCAGCAACATTTCTCCCTTCCCCAAGAGGACTGCACCCGCATCTGAGCCAGCGGAAGCCAAAGATGAGGAAGACACGAGTGAAGATGACGAAGATGGCGGTGCACCAACCTCGATGATCCCTTTCACCGATGAGGATCGATTGACGATGATGGTCGAGGGCGTCGCAACTACCAATTCGCTGCTTGCCCATCGTCTCATGGGAGAATACTATCAACACCTTGAAGAACATGAAAGTAATGTCGAACTGATGCGCAAGGCAATGCGATTTATGATCGAGGAAACAACTAGGACAGGGAAGATCTTTGCGAACACCAACAAGGCTTTTATGTTGTACTTAGGCACAGCTCTGGTATTTTACCAGTCCCCGAGAAACCACGGTGAAGCCAAGTTTCTCTTTGACAAGGTGCTCGAAGTCGATCCCTTGTCCACATCCGCACTGATTGGAGTAGGGCTTATTTACGAGGAGGAAGAAGAGTATGACGCCGCCATCGATTTCCTCGAAAGGGCACTGCAACGCGATGCAAGCAACCTGCGAGTCCGGGCCGAGGTAGCTTGGCTTTACGCCCTCAAAGGCGACTACATCAAGGGCAAAGCAGAGCTTGAGTCCCTCCTCCAGTCCATGTCCGAAGAGAAGATGTCCTCCAGGGAGCTTCTATCTCAGACGCAACATCGACTTGGGATCTGTGTATGGAACCTGGATGACTCCCAGGCGGCCAGAAAGAGCCGTAAGGGTGCCTATGCACATTTCATGGCGGCTCTGAAAAGTGATTTCATTTATGCACCTGCATATACCAGTCTAGGTGTTTACTTCGCCGATTACTCCAAGGATAAGAAGCGTGCTCGAAAGTGTTTCTTACATGCCATTGAACTTTCGTCCTCCGAGATTCTGTCCGCTGAACGTCTCGCCAGGTCTTATGCAGAGGATAGCGATTGGGACAGTGTGAAGCTGGTTGCCCAGCGCGTTGTGGACTCTGGCAAAGTGAGACCACCTCCAGGTTCCAAGAGGGAGGGAATCAGCTGGCCTTTCTCTGCTCTCGGAGTGGCCGAGTTGAACAACCAAGAGTATGCCAAGTCCATTGTGTCCTTCCAGTCAGCACTCCGCATGGCGCCGAATGATTACCATTCATGGGTCGGACTTGGCGAAAGCTATTACAACTCTGGCCGGTACATTGCTGCCACCAAGGCCCTCCTCAATGCACAGAAGTTGGAGGAGGCTTCAGGCGCCGGCTCATTGGGCGACACATGGTTTACCAAGTACATGCTTGGAAACGTGAAGCATGCCATTGGAGAGTATGACGACGCTATTGCGTTATTCAGGGACGTCTCGAATACTCGGCCGAACGAAGCTGGTGTGGCGATTGCTCTCATGCAGTCCATGGTAGATTATGCGCTGGACTGTCTGGAGAAGGGATTCTTCGGTAAATCGATCGGGCTGGCAACGGATACCATCTCGTTTGCATTGGGAGTGCCAACTCAAGTTTCCGACACCTTCAACTTCTGGAAGGCTATTGGTGACGCTTCCTCGATCTTTTCTCAAATTCAGAGCCATGCCCAAGAATTTCCTACTAAGGAGATCCGGGCACTCTTAGGAGAGGGTGATGAGTACGAAGGCGCGTACCAGAACATGCACGACATTGATGGTGTGGGTAAGGGTGTGATCTTTGCGGAGGGCCTCTTCTCAGAAGACGAAAGACTTGGCGTTGATTTGACTCGAAGTCTACATACCTCCATCCTTGCTCACAAGCGTGCAATCCACGCGTCGGCACAAGACCTTCATGCTCAAGCTGTCGCGTACTACAATCTTGGCTGGGCTGAGCATCGAGCTCACGTTTGCCTGCCCGTAGATCTGCGGTCGGAACAAAGCAGATACCGCAAAGCGGCCCTTCAATGCTTTAAGAGGGCCATCGAGTTGGAACAAGGCAATGCGGATTTCTGGAACTCCCTCGGTGTCGTTACCAGTGAGATCAACCCTGCAGTGGCGCAGCACGCATTTGTTCGAAGCTTGCATATCAACGAAAGAAGCCCACACACCTGGACTAATCTAGGTGCTCTGGCCCTATTTCAGAATGACGTCCAGCTAGCGAATGAGGCTTTTACAAGAGCTCAGTCCAATGATCCAGATTATGCCCATGCTTGGCTTGGTCAAGGCTTTGTCGCACTTCTCTATGGTGATGCCAAAGAAGCTCGTGGCCTCTTCACACACGCAATGGATATCTCCGAGTCGTCGTCTACTCTCACGAGGCGGCAATACTCCACATCACTTTTCGATCATGTATTGACCAATCCGTCAGACTTGAGCGTCATTTCGCTCGTCCATCCCCTGTTTGCCCTGGGCCAGTTGCAAGCCCTGCAACCTCAAGACCTAGCGTATGGTCACCTTTCAGCGCTTTTCCAGGAGCGAACGAACGACAGCCCCCGAGCCATTGCGACCCTAGAGAAGGCGTGTGAGCAACTCGAGGCTGATTACGAGGCTACCGAGTCGCCGGTATCACTAGGACGTTTCGCACTTGCCAAGACAGATCTCGCTCGGTCGTATCTTGCTGCAGGTCTACATGAACAGGCCATCGAGTGCGGCGAAGTGGCGCTGCAATTGAGCAGTGACGAGTCAGAGAACGAACTCTCTGCCGAAGAGCGAAGGAAAGCTCGTTTGTCCGCACATGTTACCGTCGGCTTGGCACAATATTTTAGCGACAACGTGGGGGAGGCGCTAACCTACTTCGAGACGGCACTTGACGAGTCAGATGGCAATCCTGATGCTGTCTGTGTGCTAGCCCAAGTACTTTGGGCTGCCGGCACAGAGGAAGCGCGTGACCGAGCTCGCAGCTCCCTTTTCGAGGTCATTGAGAAAGACCCCAGTCACGTGCAATCAGTTCTCCTGCTGGGCGCAATCGCGCTGCTGGATGGCGACGAAGAGTCGCTGGAAGCGGTCGAGTCCGAACTGCACGTTCTCCGAACGAGCGACAAGGTTACCGATGGAGAACATTCCCGTATTGGCGAAGTCCTGCGAGCTGTTGCTGTGTTGTCCACCAACAGCACGGAAGAGGCTGCCGTCACCCAGATCCAGAACGACATCATGCTGTATCCGCACCTTCCCCACGGCTGGTCAAGACTCGCAGAAGTTAGCGGAGAGGTGTCACTGGCTGACATGGCTCTGGATATTGCGATGAAGGCCATCCCGCCCAGAGGAGAACTTGAGGCAGATGACCTTTCTGGTGCTTATGGTGGCACTGGCAAGGTCGCTGATGCTCAGAAGGCGATGTTCATCGCGCCGTGGATGAGTAGTGGATGGGACAGCCTGAGCAACGCTGTAGCTGGCTGAGGTTAAAGGCTTCCAAAGGTTACTGCCTCTGCTCTCTTGTGTGGGCATGCGAGTGTCATGCCGGTAGATATCATCAACTGAGATCTTGGTCGATGGACAAAATGTCACCTGGCCCCTATCTGATCACATCACCTTGTTCCATCCTTTTTGGGGGATGAATAGCTCGTCACTCGTCTAGATATGTGGAGGTTCACTTGGTGTGCTATTCAAGAATATGATTGGTTGCATGGGGCATTGTATAAGGCATAAATGCATGTAGGGAAACGGAAAAGTAGTCGACATTGAGGACAGCGGATTATTCAAGGCTTGGGCATGGAAAGATTCGGTAGTACAGTCTTCAAAGAGTAAAGCAATGCGATTCAGGTCACATCCTCTCCCGTTTTCTATACATTAGAATGGCGCCGAGACCGTTACCCATTTGATTTAAATAGTTTAATAACCTATACGTCAAAATGTAATCCAAACCGTTGCCTATTTTGTGCGACATTAAATCAGAGTATACCGTGCTAACTAATCATCGTAAGAGTACTATAAGTGAATGATTGGTGGCCTAGGAATGAACATCACGAGCTATTGTATTTTACTGTACTTAGGCTTCGAACAGGCATTCTTTTAGGGGTCATAGAGGAGGCCCATGCCATGGGTATTGTAACGGGGTAAGGCCGGACATCAGGGAAATAGGTTACGGGGCTAGGAGAAAGTTTATTTTCTCTTTAAGAGGCACAGAGGCAGAGTAGGACACGAGTCCCCCATCTTCACGCATCTTTTTTGATCATCTTTTTTTCATCATCTTATTCAATCAACTTGACTTTTGTTTTCGATTCTAGTTAGCGAGCTCTTCAATTATGCTGTTCATTCCTACGTGCACTTATACACTACTTTCGAAGTCCTATTATTCTGCCCTCATCCTAGCCTTGATAATGACAGAGGATTGTATCTTGCTCTGATCAGAGCAATCTAATGCCAGCGAGAGCTTCAATTCGACTTCCAGAGCCAGACGTCTTGTTCTGAGAATCATTCCGACGAGAGTCTCAGAGGCACATCCGACCAACTCGCACACCAGACGTATAAGAGCTTCACTCTTATAACCAGTACCACGATCTTCGTCTGATAAGACCACCAGATGGGATCTGTTGGTGGTAGGTATATCCTACTGACCGCCTGAACCCGTTTCAGTATATGACTGTTGTGGGTTTAGTGAGGGCGTTTGTTGGGCTTTTCTTGGATTTATGAAAATGATGCACATGATTTCAGAGCAAGAATGAAATAGAGGAGACCCAGGTGCAGACCATGTAGTTTTAAGAAGCGGCAGTGCTTGTAAAACCGCCGCCTTCGGTGGAATCTCGTGTGAGGCATTGTGGTCCCTTGTTACTCCATCGAAAGCTCATCACAACGATAATTAGCTTGCTCATATGGTCTTCTGAAAATGAACCCCTGCTGGTGAAACGCCAAACCAAAGCAATTTCTAAGTAGAAGATAAGTATATCAGAGACGCGCTTAGTGACCATATATACGAGTGACTCTACCTGGCTTGCATTTGTTCACATGATTCAACACAGGATACCCAGAATATTATGCAAAGTCCTAAGAATAGAACAAGTTCTGCATATACGCGGTAACCTCTGAGAAAGAATCTTGGTGAAGCTAGTGGGGATAAATGATGTAGCTATAATAGTCACCACGTTGTCGTCTCACGCTTACTCAACGACAAATGAACGCCCTTCAGAATACCAACCAAACTCTGCGTCACATTTCAAGACAACCGACACCAATAGTTTATAACGCGGAATTTGGGCTGTCTCTTATCATTCTGGGTGAGTTATTGTCGACCCCCCCTAGTAACCCACCAATGAGTAAGTCAGCATTTTGTTTGCTTGACCAACTAGGTGTTTGAGACCAGGAGTCAACCCGGAAGACGTATTCCGCAGTGCTCTGTGGTTAAACCAACATGTTTGAGCGCTTACACAATCCAAGTAAGCCGAATGTGCCATGTTATTCGTCGAGTTGGCTCGCTTTCCATCCCCGAGGTCCGATTCCTGAACCATAGCTCTTCTCTTCCTTCTTATCTCTTGTGGCATTTTTACTTGACTCGAAGCTTTTACGGCTAAAATGGGTCCAAACCTGGGAATGACGATGATGGAAATGAGTATTTCCAAAGCCGTCTTGTCGTCACTAGGGTTGTTTCCGGTGACTTATACCACGCCCGTCATCGTGACGGGACTTCTAATTCGCTGGAGACTTCGGTGGATGAAAGCTCAGGGTATCATACGTACTTGCTCTTCATACATAGCTGGTCCTCGAGTTTTGCCAAACAAAGCTTCATATGTCCAGGCTGCCTCTTCACCAGTCAAGCATTTTAAACTAATCGCTACTTACAACATGACCACAGCCCATCCCCGGATCTTATTCCCTTCTCTACGGCTATCTTCAGCTCCTGAAGTCTATCTGAGACTCTCTACCCCCCGATGCCCATATTTTCTATTGGAAGTGGCATATGGTTAGAACTGGAAACTAATCTGGACGTGTCCCCAGTTGTTCTACCTCGGCCTTTGGCACATCCCCAATCCCATAGTCTACGTCATTGACCCTAGCCTGTACGACCAGATCATGCTGGAGAACCCGTAACCACGGCCTCGTATAAGCAAATAGATCTTCACGCCTCTCGACGGAGAAAAGAGCTTCCTTACTGCGGACAAGCCGACAGATCGGGCCGGGCGGAACAGGCTTCTGCCTGGGTTCTCCAAGAGTAATTTGGTGGCCCATTTACCTGCTTTGGTGGAAGAGGCGGGTATCTTTATTAAGGATATCAAGCGCCGTGTAGGCATGAATGGGTGTTGGGGAGAAGTTTTCACCCTTCATAATCGGACGGTTAATCTCACACTGGACGTAATTGGGAGGATTGCTCTGTAAGACAAAACGACATGCCACGCTTTAGTCACTGCTATTATGGGTTTGTGCTCACTGCGAAGGCAGAGGTGCACGTTTCGACGAACAACTTCACAGCCCCAGCAAGTTTCAAGACGCACTCAGGAGGCAAGTCAGTTACTTAGGTCTGGATTCAAATCCTGAGACTCAACCCCTCCTACCAAAGAGATTACCGGGAAAACACTAAAGCCATGCATGACCTCCTCCGTCCCGCGATCCAGTCCCGAATAGACCTTGGTGTTCTTCAAACCCAACCAACCGATCCAACCACAACAATCAACAACTGCACGACTGTTGTCGACTTATTTCTAAAGGACTCCAAAAAGCCCAAGAACCCCGAAAAGCTGACACAACAGGCAGATCAAGTCTCTATTCTGGATGAAACAATGCTGTCCGACGTCCAGATCCTCATATTCACCGGCCACGGAACCACCGCCACAGCACTGTGCTTCATCTTCCACGAGTTCTTCAAGCACCCATTCGCCCTCGAATAACTCCACACTGAACAAGACCAAGTCTTTGATCCAGATCCAACCCAATCGTCCCAAGTCCTCCTCCAGTACCCGCAGGAACTAAACGACCTCCGGTATACCCTGGCCCTCATCAAAGAATCCCTGGGACTGCGCGCCGTCAGGGAAGTTGGGAGTTCCAATTCACTACCTCTAACGACGGTTCAAGTATGCGGTTACCAACAGACGGGTTTAACGTCTCGATCGGGACGGTAGGGGTACAGTGTCGAAGCGACCTACGGCGCCGAGCGGACGAGTTCCTGACTGGCAGGTTCCTGGTGGAGAAGGGCGTGAGCTGTACCCACAAAAGAAGAACAGTTGGAGCCATTTGAGATGGGGGTGGGGCGGGGGAGGGGGGGTTGAATTGTATTGGGCAGGAGTTGGTGGTCATGGAGATGGAGGTGGAGTTTCCGTGGGGGCAGTGGGATCGGTTGTGGTGAGTGATTTCCTTCAGGCGTGATAAAATTGAGGATATGGCTAACTGAAATAGGGGAGTTGAGGAGTCCGACCATGTGGTGCATGGGGAAAGGGGGTATCTGAGTGGATTTGGGACTGGGGCGGTTAAACACAGGTTGCCTACTCGCGTTCGGGCTCGCAGTCAGCTGAATCAAGCTGGGGTTGATTTGAAGTGTGAGCTATGAGTAGAAGGGCGGACTCCAGTCATTCACACATGAATAGCCTGCAGGTCATGGCTTCTTTCGGGTAAGGATTCGCAAAACTACACGATAGGTGCCATTAACAGGTGCGCATGTTATGACATCCGCCATGTAAGTTCAATCACGAGAGCCGGCGTATGGCGCTTATCAAATCGTCAGAGTTCATTATTGAACCGTTTGATCATTTAATACTTAATTTCTGCAAGGATACCTTCATGTATTTTATGTCCGTCAGCCTGACATCCTCCACAGATATCCTATTGCACCTTTCTACCCACCCAAATGTAACTCAGCGCTGTGTATTACTCAGCCGTTTAGTCCCCTATTTATCCCCTAATCCACTTCCTCCAACCTCAACTCTTCCTTCAAAACCCCCACCACCCCCCTCAGCAATACATTCTCCTCCCACATCGTCGCCCCATCATCCGACGGCGTCTGCCCAAACTGGTTCTTAACCCTAGGTCCCTACTCAGTCGTTCATTCCTCTCCATCAAACATGCCACTACCTCCAGAAATCCCCCATTTACCGCCGCTAGCAGCGGCAATTCGATATCAACGGCCTCCGCCAGCCCCTGCGCGCGATTCAGTTCACTTTCGGCGCAGGTGGCGTAGAGGGAGCGCTTGATGGATGGGTGAGGTTGGCCTAATTAGTATTTGAACCTGGTGCAGCACTGAGGCAGAGATTGAGGCCGATGTGGCCGTGGGTGCTGAGGTACGATTTGAAGTCAATGATAGTGCCACAGAGGTGGGAACTGATGGTGGGCCCAACTCGGATGCGGTAGATGGCGGCAGGTCAATGCCGAACTGGAGGGCCGCTAGGATCCGGTTATGTGCTTCTCCTCTGCCATTTCTATTGGGTGGAATTGCAGATGAGACTAACCCCTGGCGACCAGCTGCGTCGCTAGGTTGTGGGAACGTCTACCTAGTTGCGGAGGATGTTCTGCTGTCGCATTTAGAACCACCTTTAGTGACTAGTCAGCCCAGGCAATTATGCCCGGCCCGGAGTTAGACCAAGTGTCCAGCGGCTCTGAATTGGGCTACGTGACTAGTCACATCCATATCCATCTGCACAAGATCGTAGACATGCCAATAGTATTTGCTTTCTTCGAAGCTGGTATCATTCTACAGTACTCAATGTCCTTTCCTGATTTCCCGTAAAGAGGCAGTTTAAACAGTACGCCACCCCATGCAACTTGACCAAAGGGCAGCATTCGGGCTGTGTTTTGATCTTATATTTTGCTGTATGTCCAGTTCATGAAAACCCGCCTGTAGCAACCGCAGGCGGTGGCCAGTGGGTGAGCGTCTCTATCAAGGCCGTAGGATAGATTACGCTTATGATGAGTAATGGTGGATGATGACGAGGATGCCGATGCTCTGGATATTTCGGGTTGAATGCGGCGACATGCAGCAACAACACACTGCTGTTCTCAATGAGAGACCGCTTTCCACTACAGCATGGTAGGTCTGCAGGTCTAGGCCAAGGGACAGACAGGAGAGCATAGTCGACCTGGACTCTGGCTTCAGGTCATCGGACTTCGTGTCAAGTTGATGAAGTCCTCACCACTGGATTTTCAACCAGGCTGGTGTCATGACTGTGTGCTCGACTACCAATCAACCACCTCGAGCACGAACCGTCTAAATTTTTTTAAAGGTGGCGCTCTTCCCTGGCTTCTCACCATGCATTCTCCTCCCAGGCTTCGGTCCTTCGGCCGAAAGAGAAGCGTACGGGTTGAACACCTTGCCCCTTCCTCCCTCACCACCACCATTAATAGACTCGCGCTTAGCGTTCAGAACTGTCTTTGCCTTGCTGTAGTCGAAAGGCTGCTCATCCTCATCATCATTATCGGCGCCATCTCCAGAAGTTACTGCTGCCTCAGCTGTTGTTTGTTCGTCCTTCTCAGCCTGTTTCTTGGCCTTCTTCCGCGCCTTACGTTCTGCCTTCACAGCTTTAGCTGCCTTCTTACGCGCCTTTCGATTGTCCTCGCTAGAATCGATCGCAATTTCTTCTTCTGAAAGAGCAGCTGATTGTGGCTCAGATGCTTTGGTTTCTTCAACAGACTCGTCACCAGACTCATCTTCGGGAGCTTTGCGCTTTCGGCCAGCTTTCAAGGTGAACTCGCGATCCTCTTCCAAATGGTCACGTGTCACGTCCATCTTTGACGGGGTGGCGTCTTCTGCGACATCCTCTGCAGCAGGGATCCCCTCAGAGACTGACGCATTCTTCATGAACGAAGCGTAGGGAAGCGCAAACTGCAAAACCTTGGAATCTCGGTCGGGGACTGGCGGGCTCTCCCATCGGCTACTTATGGGCACTTCGCCCCACAGCTGCGACCTCCCGGCAATTAGCTCCTTGGTATCAACCACATCGCTTGCTTTTCCACCTTTCAGTTGAGGAAACACTTGTTGAGCAACTGCTCCAATGCCCACGGTATTATTGCGGAAGAATTCGGTAACACTTGGCCCGTTTGCACCATCCATCTTCGCTTTCTCGACAAGCTTGAAAAGCTCATCGACAGATCGTTTGGCCGTACTAGACGTTTTTGCGTCGAGAACGCTATGTAAAGCCTTGGCATCCGGCGGCAAGCGTCTGGCAATGTCAAAGACCGTGCTGTTACTCATGATGAAGAGTGGGCTCTCATCATCACGACGAGCAACTTCGTCTCGCCATTGGTGTACGGCACGGAACACGGTGAACTGTTCGCGTGACAGTGTTCCCGCAGATTGCTTAAGAAGCATATTGAACCACCCGAAACTACCTTGTCCTCCTGCGGCATCGTACACGGATCTCTCATGCCGGCGCAGGGACGTCTCTTTCGAGCGTTCGAGAACGTGACTGATGAGGTCTGCTTCAGGGTTGTTGCGATCAGAGCGCTGAACCAGCTCGTTACGGATCATATCGTAGATGTATAGAAGGTAGTGAGTATCCGACCGCGCATAGTAGAACATTTCCTCTGGAATCGGACTGAAAAGGTTAGTCATGTTTGCAGGTAACGGAGCTAATTTAGTATTATCCATACCGTATGCGCCAGTCAGCAAGCTGGTACTTTTTGTCGGCATCAAAGTCAACAAAGCGCTTCAACAGGTACGCGAGACTTCTCCCCGCGTATCCCAGAGACACACAAGCTTCATACGTATCAAAAAGCCCCACGATGTACAAACCGCAGTCCCTTTGTAGCCAAATGATATCCATGTACGCACCATGCAACACCTGGATATGTCAGTACGCCCCATCAGAGAACATCTCGACATTGACCGACCTTGATAATGCTGGGGTCGGCAAACACCTCGTTTAGCACTTCAAGCTTGTGACGCCAAGGCTGGAGTGTGTCCACTATCCAGTCCTTGTCGCGGGTACTGATCTGCATGAGTGAAAGAAGGCCGGTATATGTCCTAAAGTCATGGTGCTCGGTATCAATGGCGATCTCTTTAACCTTCTTGAGCTCGGTAAGCATGGCAAGTACCCCTTCGAAGGTGTCGACGAATGTGGCAGTTGTCGTTTCCATTGGTGGGTATTTTACTGGTTCACTGATCTCGTACACCTGCTTTGGAAATTGTAGTTGGACAATCTCTGTTTCGTAGGGATGCTTATATCTAAAGAGTCCGTTAGCACTCCATGTGGTAGTCAGGAACTTGGAATTCTTCAACTGAGTTCGCTTTTAGCGGAGGGTGGGACTCTATTTATACTCTGGCCAGACGACGGCGTCAAGCTATGGGATAAGTGGTGAATGGGGAAGTAAACAGCGTAGGCTTACTGTACGCCATTCTCTTCATCACTGGAAGAGCCTAGGCTTTGCTCCAAGGGCACCACGGCATGAGATTTCTTGGTGAGGATGGGCTTCCACGGCGATGTGCTGAGATTATTCGGCTTCACTTCGAAGGCGTTTTGCGGCTTCAGCACATTGGCGTGGCGCATAGATTTGTCGAGGGCGCTGAAGGTCTTCGGCTTCTTAGGTTGGGTCCCCTAGGAATCGCGTCAGTGTTACAGTCTAGGAGCCAAATGAAACTCCTCCGTTCGTGTGGCCTCGCACCAATTCTTCTGTCGGCGCCGCCTTTTTCTTGACCAAGCCTGTGTACTCATCCAAACAGGTATCGGCTTTTTCGAGCAACGCGTCGATCACGTCTACCACGCGAGACCAATGGATATCCACATCGTCGGCGTCTTCTATCACAGGCGCATTTAGGTCTGTTCCCTTTGATGCTGACTTGAGTAACGATGTCGAGAGTGCCAGGAGGCGTTCCGAGGTGTCGTCCAGTTCTTCGTTGACGGCGGGGTTGCTACTGCGGTGGAAGGTTAGATCTTCTCCTGCGATTTGGTTGCTGGTTCGTGTTGTGGCTACAAGAGCGGCTTGGACCTTCTCTTGTAAGGACTTGAAGTCCTGAGAGAAATCCATGGTGGCCGTTGGTACTCCCCAGGATGTTTGGAGGTCCAAGGGTTGGATTGGGAATTGATGCTATCCCACAGCCGCACCCAGTTGCAACGAGTTTGGACTCGAACAAAACTTCAGAAATAATCTAGGTCGGCCCAAATAAGCACCGATGCTTTTGCAGGGTACTTGTGGTAGCGCAGTTGGTAGCCCCAGCTGCGATGTACCTGCCCAGGCCAGTCCCTGCATGGCCCTAAGATAACGATAAGAACCAAAGGTCTCTTGCCTCAAATCTTTGGGAACTCTTGTAGCAACATCGGGACCATCAAGATTCTGCTTCGAATAAGACCGTCAGCCCCCGTTGCCACAATGTCAGCATCACTTGCACAAGAATGCAATGAGGTGAAGGAGTAGGCATATCCAAATTATCTAGGAAAGTACGGATCTAACACTATTCAGACGGTACGATACTTGCTTCCTTAAGTGGTACAGCGAGAGTAAGTCTTCAATTACTCAGCTGATAGAGTTACTTACTCGTATACAGAATACCTTCGAGGAAATGGCAAGACGGACGACAATGAGTGTGCTGGGTTATTCAAGGACTATCAAAAGTGCTTGAAGGTATGAGACTAGACCAAAACTTAGGCATATACTGATTGCTCCACTCAGGTGGCTCTTAAGGACCGCGGAATAGACAAGTTGCTCGAGGAGGCACGGGAGGATACCAAGGAAAATGATGCTATTCACATGCAACGGAAATAAGCTACTCTGCCCAGGCCGTGCCGGATATCCGGGCGCTCCAATGAGACCACAATCTGGGGATGGACGATCATCACAAGTGAGAGCTCTTTCGGAACACGGCTGAGATCGAGTAAAATACGAAAGGGCATGGATTTGGCGTTCAGGATTCTCGTATTTAGATCTCTTCTCCAAGCATACCCCAGCTCAAGCTGAAGAGCCGCCTTCTTCTCTTATTAAACATGACCCCATCTGTCTTTCTTGGCGAAGAGGTGAAAAGTGTTGATGAGACTCACACCTGACTCTTTTGTTGTTGCTCCAGACATTTGAGCTTCAAAGAGCTCACTTTTCAATGCAGAAAGCCGTCCAAGTTTGGCTTTCCCAGGTTCCTGTGGCTTCCCCCACTCCAGGGACCATAGATGGGTCTAGGCCTTGAAAGTCCGATGGAAGTGGATCGGAGCATCGGCGACAGTTGGAAAGGGTGGCATTTTAGCTGGCGGGAACCGACTCTATGGTGTGATGCGCAACATTTCTTCAGCTCAATTTGGGATACCTAACAGCAGCACCCAATTTGGAGGACGTAACGCTATGCGACGGCAAGGGGCAGGGAACGCAAACAACCATTCATCAATTTGACACTCGTTCGACGCCGACGACGCCCAAGACGCCGCCACCACCACCCTCCGAAGCAATTGTATCCCGCCACGAGTAGCCAAAGCTCCTCCAGCTTGAGATTCCAACTGCCCCTTGTGCGACAACTTCGATATCAACTGCGGCGTCCCGAATTTTAAGCTCCCAAGATCGCATCAATCGCCTGCCACTCGACGTTCTGCTCCTTCTTTCAACACGTACATTTCTTGGAACACCTCCATCACTCGTTCACCTAGACAAAGAGACGGCGAAGGACACCAGTTCGGAGGCTGGGAATGCGATAACGATCTATGCACCCCTTCTCGATTGTCACCCTCGCTATATTTGTAGCTGGCTACGGTACTGCTCGATGGGACCTTGTTACTCGCCTCTACGAGCTTGCTGTTTTTGCGTGGGATAAGGGAGTCATTGTAGGTGCCAAAAGAAAAGGCCCCAAATGCTTCAACTTCAGAGACTAACCTGACGATATCGGCAGCTGCGCGGTGTCCAGGGAGTCAGCCTACTAACACTGCTCTTCCTCGTCATCTTCCTGCCTGTGCAACGCTTGGCTCAGTCTGAGTCCAGTTTGGTACGACAAGACCGAAAATCCCCGCCCTGAGACATGCCTAAAGAACATGCTTAGACAAGATGTGCACGAACGAGGTCATAACCCGCTGACACCACCTCTATGCAGCACCCAAGGTCCCCTGCCTCGGGAATCTCTGCCCGAGAACAGCTCCGGCGCAGAGGCTCCTTCTAGGCCGAGTCAGCGTTCTGACATGCCAGAGCATGCTGGGCTGATGCGAGTATTCTGGCCGACGGACATCGCGAGATCTGATCTACCCGGTGTCATTGTCGGTTGGAGAAATTCAGATCTCGACGTGGTCGTAGTCGCAATCCTGCATCATGTCGATGTCAGTAATTGTATTCCCTCCTGGCAATCGCCCGTCGCTGACAAACAAAATCTAGCCCAGAAGTGTCGAAAATGCCTTGAAGACGGGCGTTCTATTGAGAGGCGCGCCGCACTCCGTGCCACGCATATTCGAACTCTGCGGTCAATCGTCTATGCACGTACTTGGCGTTACGAACGCCGCGCCCGATGCCACGGTCGAACCAGAACCCTCCTGGGTTCGAGCTACCACAGCACCCGCACTGCGAGCCCCCCGGATCGCCTGCTCAAAGGCGTCGAGTGTCCAGACTATCCTTTTCGACAGGCCCATCCCACACCGCATGCAATACATATCGCTCGACCCGATTGCGCTCGCGCTTGCCAATAAGGAGGACTCGTCTTTAATGTCCATATCTGACAGCTCCGAGGCGGATGATGAGAAACAGGAGCGAGAAGCAAAGCAAAAGAGACGCCAGCTGGTGGCAAAGCTGCGGCAGCACGGCGTTGTCAAGCCTGCGCCGTCTATGAAAGACAAGGCTTTGGCGCGAATCGTCAATCAGATCAATTGGGCGTGGGAGCTGGAGCATCTGCTCCAGAAGAACGTTTCCCTCATTGGTACACGGCCCAAACGGACCTTGAGTGTGTCCGAACGCGTGGTTGAGCATGCAACGACTATGCGAGATTATGTCATGCATTGGGTCTGGGATATGATTATTCTCTATCTCTTTCCCGTTATTAGGAGGGCATTCATACTCGCTCTCGTTGGACATCGAGTCGCAGCCGAGCTTTTGCTCATGGTTCTCGAATGGAGACTCCGACCCAGTTCTCCAGCTCTTAAGGATGTATCTGCTACAGCCCAGCAGGTGGAAATACGACTCCAACAGTTTTGTTACTGGCCCATGCAGTATGTCAAACTCCGCTTACGTAAGAACGATTGGGAGAGCGTCACGACGAGCCATCCCGACTATATTCGCTTCTACAATAGCTTATGGCTTGTAGCGAACGACGTCATAATCGGTATAGCTCTGGGCTCCTACATCATCGACAATGCGGGTTGGGTAGCTGAGCAGATCAGCTTGTTACTGAGGCAATACACTGTTGAGGCCCTCCACAGCAGCATCGAGTGGCTCATGGGCTGGCCCGCCGGCTTGAAGCTCAACAAGGAGCTCGCCCTCTTCCTTGGTGACCTCTTTCTGTGGGTCATCGAGTACTGGGCTAGTTGTATCAGTACTTTGCATCCACTGTTGCCTCACATTATATGGTTCATCGGGTTTTCCAGCTTCGCAGGTGCCAGCATGCCCATCGCACTGTTGTCCGACCTCCTGTCAATCCTCACCCTGCACATCTACTCGTTCTACCTTGCCTCGGCTCGAATTTTCCACTGGCAGCTGACCATACTACTGTCACTCTTCCAGCTCTTTCGAGGCAAGAAGTACAATGTTCTACGCAACCGTGTTGACTCTTGCGACTACGACTTGGACCAGCTGCTCGTCGGTACCATCCTTTTCACACTTCTCTTCTTCCTGCTGCCTACCGTTGTTGTATTCTACCTCAACTTCGCAATTGCACGCATGTCCATCATATCCCTTAAAGCGGTATTCGATACTTTGCTTTCTTGTCTAAATCATTTTCCACTGTTCGCCTTGATGCTTAGGGTAAAGGACCCCCGGCGTCTTCCTGGTAAGTCGATCCAGCATTTCACATTCTACAATCTTCAAGTTGATGCTTATTCCTGTGGGACAGGCGGCATTCGTTTTGAACTTCGTGATACCCAAGATAGACTGGCGCTTGATTATCCTTCTTCCCTGCCCTCTCCGGCTCAACCGCCGACATCTGTCATTTACCTAAAGGTTAGATATCACCTCCCTTAAATTCCTGTCCTGCAACTAATGGTAGTGCTACAGCCCATCCCTTTGACCTTCACAGCCATGTTTCATCAATATTTCCAGATGGGCAACCGCATCCGCAAACACTATCTCAGCCCCCGAGTGCTCTTCTGCCTCATGACGGGTCGATTCGTGCCACCAATTCATCGGAAGAATCTGTACTCGCTACAATACAGCATGCTACCAGCCACACGGTCGGGCATCTTCGAGATGTGGGAAGCGCTCAATTCCCTGCCGGTGAAAAAGCGGCCGGTATATGTGTACCCGTACTCATTCCATAATTTGAACTTGCCGAATGGAAACAGCAGGCGGGCCAATGGGCGGAGGGGCGGCGGGGTTTACTGAGTCTCTCAAGGAAAGGGAGCAGAGAGCTGAGAGGGCGGGTACGGCAAGAATGGGATGATAATGACACAACGGCCTCGGCAGGAAATTATAAGGAAGGATATAAACAGCCGCGTGAGCAAATGGTGCGGTGGAAGGGGGTCTGTGGATGGGCTGACAACGGGAAGAGAAGGGAGTAAGGATATTTTCGACGATGACCGATATATTTTGTGTATATAATGACCGGAATTGCTGTTACGCAAGCCCTCGAACATTTTGATGATATTCTTCACTTTGATTGCTGGCAGTGCGGAGGACGAGTATTCAACTGCATATATTCAGCTTGGCGAGACCATTTCCGACTTTGCCTATGGGCGAAGTGTCCATCGATCTGATTGATATATGCACAAAACAAATTTTTCATGCATATTCCATGCTCATGCCGTCCCTGGTAGGTTATAATGTCCTCGCCGGAGCGCGAGCGCATAGACCGACTTAAGAGATGGAAAAATGAAAATAGATACCGAAGTACTTAAGTAGCTTTAGATGTCAACCCTCAATGTTGTATCAAGATCAAATGGGGTAATGATGCCTTTGTTAGTACTGAAAGAAGTAGACATGCTCTGGCAAGAAGGAAACATAGTCTATTCTACCTTCTCCATCTTCTCCAAACTGGGATCAGGATCTGGCGCTGGAGATTCCTCGCCTCCAGTGATGCTCTTCAGCGCGTCTAAGTCGGCCCATCCAATACTAACCAAGGTGCGAACCAACAGGTTACTCTGGTTCAGGCCACTAAAAATTCAGAAAGAATTAGCAGATATTGCGACTTCACGAACATGGGCTTGAGGTGAAGATGTCTACTACCAACCTTTCCCGGATCCGATTCCCTGTCCACCTATTAACAGCAGCATTAAGGCAGAAGGTCGCAAGAGCGATGTAAATCCACCCCGGCAACCCCGTCTCCGCCATTCCTAACACAAGACAACAAAAGATCTGGGTCGCGTAAATATGCCGGTGCAAGTCAAACAATTTCAGCCTCCTTATGACTGGTCCCGCAGCCCTCGCCCAGAAAAACACACTATTCAACTTCACAGACGCCCGATGCAAATCCGCATCGTCACGTGCGTAACCAGCCGTGCTAAGAATAATCCGCAGAATGGCCACACTTTGGAAACTGGAACGCACGGAAATCGGGCCCCCCACCCTGACCAGCGACAAGAATTGCAGCGAGGAGACCGAGAGCGAAAGGCTCAAATACAGGTCGAGGAGATTGGGTTGCACGGGGCCATCGAGGGCGTAGATGTGGTAGCGGAGGACGTCGAGGATGGTGGTGAGGACGTGGATGCTCAAGGGGACGAGGTGGTTCTTGTAAACTTCAGGCCAGTGGGGGACGGCTTTGCGGGTGTCAAGGCAGAAGACGGCGGTGTAACGGAGGATTTGCCAGGCTAGGTCGATTTGGGCCCAGTTGAAGGATTGAAAGCTATAGTTTGGTAGTTCGTAGCCTCGGAGTTGGGTAAGGTTATTGTCGATGTATTGCTTTGCGTGAAGCAACTGGGAAAAGTAGCCCCGTTCTAACATGGTGGGAAATGGCTCAGGGAATTGTCTACTGACGGAACAAACATGCTAATGTGGCGGGGGAACTTCTTACTTCTTATAAGACTGGCGTTACCTGTCAGCAAATGCTTACATGCACGTTCAGATATATCCGACGCATGCCACCGTGGAGAACTCGAACTGTGCCACTATCCAAATATCAATGTAAATGAGACGAAAAAACGATCAGCCAACGAAACCGTTCTGCTTCTTGTAGCCAGAGGGATGTCCTACATTAGTCTTGGACAGTGCGTAAAGGGCACAGTCCACTAATACGTGAGCTGCCTGCTTAAGTATGAGTATTTTGTGACTTTCTGCTGACAAAGATATATTGTATTGATAACAGCACTCAAAGTATCAATCGGATGGGAATCACAAGATATAGAGGCTAGTATTACTGAGCGTTTTGAAGAATTCTGAAATTCTCAAATAGCTAATTACGAATCATTGCGATTAAGGGGGTCGTTTCTACCAAACCATGCTCTTTTCTTAACCTGCCAGATGCGAACGATGCAATCCACGGATTAGTTGAGGATATGTGAAATTCCGATCACTTCAGTTAAGCTAGCTGATAGCTCTGAGTTTATGTGCATGGTCCATACAAGGTTTATCCCCCACGTTTCGGCACATAAGGGGCCTCAGGCGGATTATTATACCATAGATATACATATAGAATATAATTTGCTCAAGCAAGCAGAAGATAGTGATCACAGCCGGGCTAATGAATTTCGTATTATATAAGGGGTTAGGGATAACCACGTAGTAATAAACGAGGCCTACCGTAGATAAATTCAGCTTAAATATGTATAGACTCGTATTTAGAATACTATCATCGAATGTATGAGTGCTATAAGCTAATATATATCCCCCATTATAGTGTATGCCGGCAAATACTGGAAGGGAGAGTCGTCATGGCGGGCCGGCCTTAGCTGGCAAGCAAGCTGTGACGAGCAGATTTCGCTTCCGATCCTGTAGGACTCCGGATCCGCCCTAGCCAAAGAGGAGATCTCGGACGCTCCTACCGAACTTAACAGTATACACACCCGTATTATTAGCCTATAATCTATCGCTCTTTGCACTACCTGACTATTATCCTTGAGATGTGTGGTATCCCCGTTACAATATTAACTATCGCTAATCTCACCGGCGTAGGACACTTGCATAAAGTCCTAGCTACTAAGTGAGAAGAAGCGAAGCCTCAAAGCGCCGTAGAGTACTACCGGACCCTAATAAGGAAGTTATTAATATGCTAGCGATTCGAGTAGAGAAGGCACGTATATAAGCCGCCGGCAATGCACCCCTGTGGGAACACTCGGATTCTAAGGACTCGGAATTGACCGAATTAGACTGTAAAGGTGTTATCGAATTAAATGATTACATGGTAGCGCGCTGTACTTAATCTATTAGAAATCGGGTAATTGTGTGGTTAGTAAACATAGAGTGACGTTGTGTTGAAGCAGTGGGCCGTTGAGTGGGGTAGCCGCAGACGGGCTGGAAAACTTATTACGAAGTCTAGTAGCAATCCACTGTGACGCGTTGATTTGCTCCTCTCGACGTTTCTATATACATAGCCTTAACCATCTCCAGCGCTATAATCAACACCACCGACAACATGATAAAGCATCTCTCAGAAAACGTCGAACTCCTAATCTTAGGCGCAGGCTGGACCTCCACATTCCTCATCCCGCTCCTAGAAAAAGAAGGCATCCCCCATGCTGCCACCACAACCACCGGCCGCGATAACACAATTCCCTTCCGTTATGACCCGGACTCAGAGGACGAGATGCCCTTCAAACGCCTCCCGTCCGCATCAACAGTTCTCATCACCTTCCCCCTCAAAGGCAAAGGCCCTTCCTCCCACTTAACCAGCCTCTATTCCAAAACCCATCCCTCACCGGAGAAAAAGCCCAACTTCATCCAGCTCGGCGCAACCAGCATTTGGAAAGCCCCTACCTGGCAAGATGAATCTTCACCGTATGATGAATCCAGCCCTCGTGCCATCGCGGAGGATGAGTTCATGCAAGTCGCCTCGGGCGCCGTGTTGGACCTAGCTGGTCTGTATGGTGGCGCGCGGCAGCCCCGAAATTGGGTTGATCGGGTTGTGAGGTCGAAGGAGGAGCTCAGGGCAAAGGGCGCCGTGCATCTGATCCATGGGCAGGATGTGGCGCGGGCGGTGTTGGCGCTGCATCGAGATTTTACGCCGGGGAAGAGGTGGTTGTTGTGTGATTTGCATGTGTATGATTGGTGGGACCTGGTGCAGGATTGGGCGGTTACTACTTTGCGGACTGCGGAAGAGGGAGCTGCCAATATTGAGGAAGCGGAGTTGGTGAAGCAGAGGAAGCTGTTGGGGTGGGTAGGGGAGTTGATGGTGGAGGAGGGGGTGAGGGCTTTACCGAGGGACACGCCGTTGCTGGGAAGAGTGTTAGACGGGAGGGCATTTTGGAACAATATGGGGATTTGGCCTGTTCAGGGGCGGGTACGCTGAAGGGATAGTATTGTTAACCACCATGAACAATTTGGCGGAACTAACCCGAATGTATGCAGTACGGTCACATATTCAACCGACTGTGAGATGTGTCAAGTCACTTATATATACATCCATACGCCTGAGTTACATATTATTCGTAATCACTAAACCCCTACGCCACCCTCACACCATACCCAATCCAAACGCGATATTTGTTCATCCAAACTCATCATTCCATGCACTCATCTTCATCTCGTCTCGTCTCGTTCATCGATATTAAATGCCGTAGCTCGAAAAGGCTGACTTCCCATTGCCGCCTGCAACACTTCCAGTAACACCCTTAACGGTTCCCCCCACCGTGTTACCAACTTGGCCGACCGTAGATCCGAGAGCCTCAGTCGTCTGGCCCACAGCGTTGCCGAGACCCTGTGTGGTTTGGTTGAGTCCGTTGCCCAGACCTTGTGTCGTGGCTCCGACGGCACCGGTCAACCCGCCGAGCAGACCGCCTTGGCCTTTAGCTTTGTCGCCGCCCGTCAGGATGTTGTCGACGCCACCGAGTAGACCGCCAAGGAGACCGCCGTTGTCGGACATTTTGATAGTTGGGAGTTGATTTTTGTGGTTATGGGATGAAGTTGTGGGGTTGTTTGGATTGGATGTACAAGCTGGAGCAGACTTGCAGCTGTAATACTTGTAGATTAATGTGAAGTGCAGATCTAGATGGTCTATGTTCCAACAGTGCAACAGTGAGGGTCTTATATCTTCAACGACCGAAGTGGACGTCAGTCAGGCACGTCTTGTGACGTCAAAACTGTCTGGAATGCAGCCGAGGAACATGATATCATATGAACTAGGCGTCTGTTAGCACCCGAAGAACGGAAGAACAGTGGGGGCTGTGAATATGAACCGAGATGGTGTGAGCGAAAAGAATGTGGCGCAAAAAACTTGATTTTTGTCTACGCTCTTGGGCTGACGTCCAATCAGACGGGCGAGGTCGATATTTGGGGCAAGGGAGGCTCTTACACGGGATGGGTGGAGATAGTTGATTTGCTGATCCGGTGATCCCCCAGACATGTTCTAGAATCTTGAGATCAGCTGGGCTCTGTCAATGGACGTCGTAGTCCCACTATCGCGTCAAAGGGATGAAGGTTAAGGAGGGGAACCCGATGGTTTACTGCATATGTTACGATTTGTTCAATCAATCTGAAAATCTCACCTTCACCGATAGTATGAGTGAGCAAGACTGGGATGATGTCAGCTCCTCTCGGACAGGTGGATAAAAGCCAGGGTGGCTGGTCCGGGAATACTATCGATAGACTCCGACTAATTCAAGCAGAGTTCATGAGCGGCAGCGTTCATACCACACTGTTACGGCGACTAGTCTCTGAAGTACTGTATGTGCATATCATGGAGCACCCTGCTCGTCGAGGACTTCAACAGATCGCGTTGCGAACTCAGATCTTGGATCCTCCGATAGGAGTCATGGGTTCGTTCACTAGCCATGCGGGTGCGTGGCAGGCGCCGTAAAATCATCAGACCCTGCATGTTGAAACACATTAGGTCCGACGGCCGTGAGCCTACCATTGCTCTAATACATACTCGAGGCTCTACGTCGCCCACTCTCATGACGTAAGTAGGAGAACTCGTGCATTCGACTCGTTTTTGAAGCTGCACGTCTTCAACCAGTCAAACGTACGGTAGTGTCTAAACTATGCGTATCGCGACGGTGTCATTTACCAAAACCGCTTCCAATCAGCTTCTCTCTGAGACGCGTCATCATGCATGTCAAGTGAAGAGATTCGGCCGATATCATGCACTGTAAATTAGCAATGTACTCCCACGAAGGTAGGACTACGGCTATCGGGAGCACTCATTAGATTCCCTCGGTAATCTGAGTGAACCAAGGAAAAGTCATGATCGAAATCAGCACGTAGTATGGTTGCAGACCAATCAGCTGAGCTAAGAATCCACCCACGACTTGCTACCTACTTTGAGGACGAACACTATGCGAAGCTTTTCATGCAGCGGCTTGGCATGCTGACGGATCAAATCTTCCAGTTTTAATGTTGGAAAAACCCCCATAGTCACTCCCCTCATTTCTATCTTCCTGGCTCGTTGTTCTCTAGTGTCGTGGTCAATAGCCTACCTACCCCGTTTGTTTTAGGAAGCCCGAAGTCCGGCACATCGAGGTGCTGGCAGCTCTCAACGAGCTTAGTTGCCAAGTGAGAACTCCCTCCAACCTTTTTCTTCCATTGCTCAGTATTTACTCAACTTCGCTGTCTTCTGAGAATACTATCATGGCCCTGATGCGGCAAGAAGACATAGGCAAACGCAATATCAAGACCCATTTGGGTTCTCGAAACATCAGGTTCACAGTTGCTGTGTGCATATTTCAAGGCTTGCTGAGATTGCTAAGCTTGCCATAATCCATCATTTCATTAATATTCATCCGCCTCGTCCTCTGTCAGCCCTGTTTGTCTGATTCTCATCTCTTCCCACCGTATTAAACTCATTAGATAGTGGAGATGAGCAAGAGTTTCCTAATAAATTGTACAGTTGTTGATATTTTTCTGAAACAGCTCAGATTGCTGCACAAACAACGGCAGGTACGACTGCGTTGAGAAACTCTCATCAATGTAATAAGACGCATCGGTCTCTGAATAGCCGTCGCCCAGATACTCCAGAACTTCAGACTGGATACTATAACAAAATGTCAGCTACGGAGGCCATAGAAACCATGAAAATGGAGCGGGATGTCATACTAATCGATAAAGATGAAGTCCACCACGTCGGGGGTACTTCCATTGCTCGGAAACCACCCATCGCCTGAAAGAAGTGCGGGTAGGAGTACGAAGGAATTTCAGAGTGCACCGTGTCGTCACCATCGGTACCAAAGGCATCGGTGGTGATATAGCCCTGGGTGAGCTCTACGGTCTGCCGACGTGAGTGGCCGGCATGGGGGTCGCGGGCCTTCATCTCGGACATGGGAGCCAGGAAGGGGTCAATGCAGCTATCCTGAGCAGGGAGAGGCATGGGATTTAGGTTGTCCCTTTTCCAGACTGAACCATACTGGTTCAAGCTATTGGTTGCCATGGTTAACCTTAGTAGCTTCGGGGTAGGAAAGGTAGCACTTACTAGTCCAGAGCGCCACTGGCTAGAGAGTACGGCACATCGGGGATGTACATGAAGATGTCGACAAAAGGTGAAACGATGAAGCTGTCGTCGTGGGTGAAGGGCCCCTTGTGCAGGTCGAAACGAATACTACCCGTGTTGACGAGGGTAAGTCTTGATTTGTCCGCTCGGGTCGAATTGACCACGACACTGCTCAAGGCCTCAGTCAAAAGAGAGTAGATGCTGCCAGAGCTGTTAAACTCAGCGCACGACATGCACCAGTATTGAGGAGCACATCTGTACAAGTCAGTAAGGTTGAGCTGTGCGCGGAAGGACTTGAGTTCGGATGTTGTGTCCAAACCGGCCTGAGTGTCGAAGGTCCGGTTTGTCTGGGAACCAATAGCATGATACTCAAAGGTCAACCTGTTCCAGTCGAGGTATCGGCGCGAGTAATTCCACGGAGCCAGAGACGTATTGGTCGCCTTGCGGCTAGGGGCTGGCACTCCCTCTGGTGCGGAAACACCCGTATAGCCGCTCGAGTTCTTGCTAAATCCCGACATGGACAACCAGCCGAGAGTTTCACAGTAACGTCCTGATTCCAAAGCTGTGCTGGCTTCGTCATACACGACGAAATCACGGATATGACTGTGACCGCCAAAGATCTGAATAGGGGTGCTGGGATGCACGTTTCGGATTGCGTCGTGAACAAATTGAAACGTCCCGGTGCCGTCCTGTGGAAGCGCCGTATTGTGCCCGATCAGGAGAAAAAGATCTACGGGGTCAGACGTGTTGATGGCGTCTACAAACCATGTTTCGTTGACCATGGTCTCGGCCGGAGTAACCCGAGTGACATTCGCGTTGCCTTTTCTCTGTTAAATTTGCGCTCCAAATACGGTTAGGGGAACTTACCAGTGAAGTCGAAGAGAATTCCGAAGGCTAGAATCCTGAGACCGTTCTCCGTGGTGAAGTGCCTGTACTGGTTGCCCAAGTACTCGTACTCGCTGGTGTTCGGGTTCAGTATCTGCACGTTAGAAGTAAGGTACTTCTCGCCCCAGAACTTGGAGAATTCGTTGTAGTCTTGGTAGGCAACGTCGGCGAGGTAAAGTTCATGGTTACCTGATAACTGTAATCAGAAGCTGCATAGTGAAAAGTAGCAGAAGTAGACCAAGCATACCAATAGTCAAGAGGTCGTAGTCGAGCTTCTCAAAGACAATGTTGGACACTTCGCCATCCGGATCAGTGGAGTCGCTCAAACCTGCGCCGTCGTGAAGGTCACCTAAGCCGCACCTGTTAACAAGGCATTCTGCCGGAAAACACAGATTCGACCGTACCGGTGTCAACCAACAGAAGGTCGACTCCCAATTCTCTCGCCTTGGCCTTCATCTGAGCGGCGAAACTGACAAAGTCTCCCCAGTCGGCACCATAGTTGGTTTCCTTCAAGTGCCCCTCGAGCCAACCATGAGTATCTGTCTGATAGCTTGTCAGCTAGAGCTTGGGACAAGAAGCCGGAGAGCCTACAGTGTGCAAGAAGTTCAACTGGCCCCATTCCAATGCCCTTGTCGGTCCATAGGTCGCATTATGGGCATCAGATTGCATGCGCTTGACTTGGCGGACATGTTCGACGCGATTGATGGGACCAAAACAGCTGTCGCAAGCGGAACAGCTCGTCGCCAGCGTGGCAACACCAGCAAGCACCGTCTGGAATCTCATATTGGCTGTTCTGCAGTGAAATCCGAGCCAGTGAGCAGCTGAAGAAACAAGTCAGCGGAGGCGGGCAGAGCCGTCCTTAAAAGGTTGTCCTGATATGCTAATCAAGCGTCTCCGAGTGAAATACGTAATCACTGGCGCAGACCTAGATTGTGGGGTCTGATTGAAAGTAGCTCATGTTAATATTGACGGAGCTATCGTGCGGATCGAACGGCTTAAGCATCCAATATTGGCTGCACCATATCAAATTCTAGCTATGGGAGAAAGTGAAAAAAAAAAGAGCAGTCAATATTTTCTCAATTTGAGCCTCAACTATAATCGTTTTCCTTGGCATCCAGACGTCAAGCATGCAGCCAAGCTTAAGCACAATAAACTCCCGAGATCTACCACTTGCCAGATGTGGGAGAATGCCCTGAGCGCCGATAGCTCCGAAGGTCAACGAGTCAGGGGCTGCCGAGAAGATAACATCTCAGCCGATGAAAATGCTCTTGTGCTCAAATGTTACTAAATGAGGCAGGTGTATATAGTCAGCAAGAAAACTTGAAATTCTTGTGCTGGCGATCCATCGTCGGTGTTGTGCCCTGCATGATATGCATCCGCCTCGGTTTTTGCCTAACAACTTACATAGATAACGGTGTCGTATGTAAACCCGACACAGGCGAGCTCCATGCATAAGCATCGCAATCACGATAATGGATAGGTCGTCTCCACAGTAATTAGTGTCAGATCCCGAGTATTGGGGCTGTATTGATTCTACTACGGTGCTGCCCACTCGGCCCCCCCGGGATCCCTAAATACAATAGTTTCTGCCTGGGTGCCTTGCACCCCTCTATGCCTGAGGCCATACTTTCCCACCCTTAGATTCTTTGTTTTTGAGCCTAGCCTCACAAGAACTACGAGATACTCCTAAGCTGAAGAAGGGGGCGTGACACCTGGTACGCCCACTCGAAGCGTGCGTTAAATGCATTACACTTAGTCGCCTGTATCATGTTGATCGCTTTGGCAGTCATAGAGCGATCACGAGTTGAATTTGTTCGCCGAAGTAAATGTGCACCTAGGAGTTGGGAACTCGCCCCATCTTAACGGCTAATCATATAATTGAAAGATATCAACGCATTTGACCAATCTTTCGCCCAGCTGGCCTGAGGAGTCGAGAACGGGGGCTTGGTTGTGTCCCCGGTTTGCACACGTTGAATGATGAGTTTTCGATACATAGACAGATAGGAGCATGTAGAAGAAATTGGATCCGTACCTGTTCAATAGAGAACAGTTGACGTGGTTCACGGGTGAGGGGATAGAGCCGTTGAAGATTTGTGCTGAAGTGGGGGTTCGATTCTTTGGGATAGATGGACAATTCATTACGGTGCGGGGTCGATGCAGAAGAGCGAAAAGATGCGGAGTGTTGTTTGTGCTACGTATACCCCGGCCCGCTTGGTGAGTCCGGAGCAGTTGGCGTTGAAGAAGCAGGTGTTTGGGAAGTATGGGCTGACAACGCATTGGCCGCATGATAATATTGTGTGCAGGCCGATCGAAGTATACTTTGAGGATGGCACAAAAGGTTGGATAGGGATCAGACTTTATAACTTCCTAAGATGACGGATAGGTTGCTCATGCTTGCTGGCGCGAAGCCATATTAAGTGGATGGATGAGGTTACAAGTTGTGGGAGTTCATATATGTCGCGACAGTGTATCTCCAAGAATATACGATTCTAGAATGGAGCAACACTAGATTATTGCCTTGGATCGAGTTTGTACTGAACATGCATACGCTGATCAGTTCCAGAGCCACTTTGATAAACTGTGAACTGATGTGCAGCCGCTACTAGAAGCCCTTACTCGTTATTTGTGAGGTGCTGTAGGTGCTGTGTACTCTTCGTAGGATGCGACCTGGCTGATCTGGTGACCAGCTGGATGAAGCAACCGGTCTGTCCGTAAACTGAAGGTTTTCATTGAATTATCTTAGACGACTCGCCCTACACCTCCCTAGGCATACAGATTGTTAGCGAATGAAATACCCCATTTTAAGTGACTGACCAACGCATGCAAATAGTGTGAGAGTTCAAGGACTGTTTTACTTGAACATGGGCATAATTACCCTTCATAGGACGGAAAAGGAGTGGAAGACCAAGTACTGTGGAGGTTGTAATATGCTAACAATCTGCATGCCTGGAGAGGTGTACCCATATAGCACCATGTAGCACAAGTAAGCCTCAACAGAAAGCTGCCGTAAGGGAGCACCTAGCCAAGCCGAACAGTTGTTTCGATTGTCCAGACAGGTGTTGAGTAATTTTTATCGTCTGAAATTTCACCAAAATGTCGGGTTACGCAATATGTTCTCCAAAGCGCCATCGTGCCAGCCGGCATCAATGTTTGAGCAAGGATGAGGCCGAAAATTCGGGGCCAGGACCCCCAAGTTTATTTAGTTGAGTGCCCCAGTTCATAATCGTGATCTACTCGTGGACGCATTTAGACACATCTAGTGACTACCTAGTAAGTAAGTCCCTGTCAGCATGGCAAACTCCTTCCCAACTAGACTAGTTATTTGTGTTGATGGCACATTGTGTGACCCGGATGGTCCACACGTTCAGAGGGACAAGAACATCACCAATATGTTCCGCCTATTTGCAAGTGTAAGGAAAGGAGAGTGTGTAGACAGCTCTGGCAAAAGGTATGCAGTTGCCTAGACTCATACATTCGGCACACCTTCATGCTCTCTTGTTACGAGCTTTTCCACTTATTGAAGCCAGAGCTAATCAAAATTGTGTGGGCCAGGTTCTTTCAAGAGAAGTGTTGGACCTTCAAGGCTACTCCGTCAAGACTGCCAAGTCAAAAGGAGAAAAGTAAAGCCGCAAACCGTACGAAGTATGGGTCAATATGACCTCTACCCATTGAACCACATAAGTCCTGGCTGTGGGGCAGGCATCAGCCATTTCTGACTATATAAGGCCCTTATGGCCGCCCTTTACTTCTCTCTGGACTCTCCAGAGATCATGACACTTTCAATACAAGACCATTTGCCCACAATCCAATAAGGAGCAATACTTCAAGGGCATTGCCTCGGAGGAGCGCATGCTCAAAACCAAGCGGTTTCACGCAGGTGCATTTGGACACAGGGCTCTCACGCAGATCAAAGAGGTCTATCGAGAGTGCTGCCGCCTTGATGGACCCGAAGAAGAAGTCTGGCTTTATGGCTTCAGCCGTGGCGCATTCGTTATCAGAGCCGTTGCTGATATACTCCATTACATAACCACCCTTACATCAGCCCATCTTTCATCTTTCAATAACGATTACAACGTAGCCTTCAATGCGTATAAGAGGCTACAGAGACAGGACAACTTCGGAGAGGACCAGGTAAGAACCTGATAACTTGTTGGCTTCCCCCGTGTTTAATTGTAGCTCACGTTTTTGCCACAAGATCTACAATATGTTTGCTGCCAACACAAGAGCTGCACCCACGATTCAATTTGTTGGGGCACTTGACACGGTCAAGGCGGTCGATGATGACTGTTTTTTACGACTTATCTTTCAACCATTCTATTCGACATATGAGACATGCACTGGCGCTCAACGAGCACAGGAAAGCGATGCGGCCAGAGTACATCTATCCGAATTTCCACAACAGGACAAGATGTTTGGTTAAATGTTGAAGAGGAGCAGGCGCCATGGAGTTGCACTACTGAGAATGGCATAGCCATGAAAATGCACGACATTAGACGCGTTCACAAATATCCTGGACATCATGGTACCCGGTACGCTGTCCAGCTATATAAGATGCGAGCTACGCTGTGGCCAAAGGAGAATCGTAAGTCATTCGACGACGCAGGGAATTTGAATGGATATTGCACTTTTGGTAAGGACTCCTATGCTTCCAGCTTTCAAGCTTTATTCCATCCGTCGACGAGTAATGCTAAAAATATTCTGGTAGCACCTCAAGGGGTAATCTTGCACCCTTCGGTTGACTTTGTGTTTGACGAGCACCTCAATGTTTATCTCGACGTGGCACATTTTCCATTGCGCACTTTACTGGAGCAGTGGAGATAGAAGATCCTTGGGACGAATAAAGGTCTGCCAAATCTCGGATTCTGGAACGACAGAGAACACTTTGATATTCAAGATCCCGGAGCAACTCGTATCTTGGTCTGTGGAAATACGGGCGTCGGAAATTCTTTGATCAACAAGATCTTTGGTGTCTACAGAAAACCAGCTGACTCAGGTTTCTGATCGAAACGCTGGGGTTCACAATGTCAACGACGAAATCAGATGGCCGAACGGCCGGACTTGGTCGTGCATAACTCTAGAGGCTTCGAAGCCGGCGGCGTCGAAGAGTTCGAGGCTATCGAGAGTTTCTTACATGACAAGTCGGCCGAAACCGAGGTCGACAAACTTCTCCACGTCATCTAGTGAATAGCACTTTTGCATGGCACCTCGAGAGATAGATAGCTTATGCCGATTAAAAATACTGCCTGAAAACTGATGGCCAGGACAAGCCAATCACTCTTGAGCGCCTGAATCAATATGCCGATGAAGAGCTTCAAAGAGGTTCATGCAAGGGTTATGGAGCTCGTGCAGAGACAAAATTTCCTGAAATCTTTCCGGGTAGACCACGTGCAGCTGGGTATCAGCAAGATTGTGGAATACTACAGAGAAGGGTCGTCAAAGGAGCGACTCCGCTGCCAGTAACATTCTTTCGAAACGAACGCCAAAGGATCTCGACACCAGCTGCATCCAGCGAGGCGAAGACGTAGTGGGCGATATTGAAGACATTATAGAGGCGTCTGAGAAGATCAATCGGGAGACTCAGGGGTCGAACATGGACAATATGAAGGAAATTACCAAGGAGTTAAAGAGCAAGCTGCACGAAATGAAATTGAGTCCGAAATAGTGTTAGGTCACGGCTGAAGAGTAATCTGTCAATTGGATCAGGGGGGAGCCGTAGCTAGCTTGGAGCTGAGCATGAGTGACATTAGGATGAGTAGCCCGCCACGTTTCTAGCATCGTGCAAGACGCCCCACTGCAATACATAGGGCTGCGGATCTTGGAGATCCCCGCCTTGCCGCCACACGTCAGCGATTGTGGCGTTTGGGAGGTCTGGTCTGGTTGGCTCAAGGCAGACCTTAGGCCTGTCTAAATGGGGGAGCTATACTACTGTAGGATTTTCAGATTTTTATTTGGGAAGATTACGCGGAAAATGTGCCATCCGCTTCCACTATTAATTCTTCTGCCCAACTAAATGATTTAGGTATCCTCGTGTCTCTTTTATCGAAGTCTCCATTGTCTTGGCTAACAACGGTATATTCTGGGCTTTCCTTCTGTTGCTGTCCCATCTGGCAAACCGCTCCCACACCTTTTCAATCCCCGTAGTACTCTTACCTCAACTGGCGAACCTTATTAGTAGCGTAGTTATAATTGGCTGTTAAGTCGTTGAAATGGAGGTCTGGTTGGTTGGGGAAGCTCTCGTCGGCGACTGGAGGTCGGTTATGGTGGTAGCTTTGGCTGGGCTATTTTTATGCTCCGGCTCTGGTGTCATAGGGGCAACTTTCATCGCCTCTAAGATAGATACGATTAGATTATTAGGGGATTGAGATAGTGTGATCTGCCAATTTCTGCTTAGGTCATCCTCGAGGAAACCTGTTCTTTAAAGCCAACTTGTAGTTATTAAGGGGTTTGGCGGGTTGTGTATTCGCGGCTACACAAGTGGCTAGATAGATGGATACAGAAACAGATAGACTCACTTAGATACTCGTTAAACATCATTCCACTGCCAAAGACAGAGTTCCTCCTTTCCAGATTGACAGGACCCAGGGCTTCTTGTACCAGTCGCCCTGTTATTCGGCGCCCCAGGTTGAGGTGGTGCAGGGCCTCCTCCATGATGGAGGTTGTTGACCACAAGTGGGTGGGAATACATTATCCTCAGCATAGGGGGGTTCTCTTTACCCTCCAAACTCCCCTAACCAATCGGGAAATTCGTGCCTCATATCGGTAGCTATCTTCCCCGGTTTGTCATTTTATTAGCACGTAAACTAACGATTGCTAGTTGGTTAACTAAGCGCTGTGGCCCTTGTAGTCAGCAATGTAATGAGACGATCTGGTAACCGTTTCCGACCCACTCAGTCTATGCTGTACGGGTACGTCGACTATCTATTAAAATCTCTTGTCTTCATTTCCCTGTATGATTTGCTGCTAGGGCCTCTTCTGGTGTAAATGCGGGTACTAGTATTGAACGTGCTCTACCCGACGTCCTAGATTATCCAAGCTCCTGAACACACGTCAGAGCATCCTTTCCCGCCGGTCATGATAACCGTCGATGCACGCGATAATCCAATTTAAAGAAACTTTTGAGATGACAGAAGTCCAAGCTTTACTGTCTCCGTGGTTACCGATTAAAACAAGCTTCTGCGTAGGTTAGGGGAACCTTCAGGTGGTTTGGCAGCTAAAAATCCTTGTCTCTGGACATTCGGTCTGCTTTTCCGTGTGACATTCTCCAGAATCCAAGATGTCCATGTTATGTTATACTTTCTGTTTCGGTGTTCGACTCTCGATAGTAGCTCCACATTGAAGGTATGGATGGCTATTAGTCAGTCCAAGGAATGCAAAATGATTATTCAAACTAGTCCTTTTGCCCTTGCCGTTGCTATTGCTACCTCCATTCTTCTTTCCATTGGTGTTGCTGTTCCCTCTGCCAAAACCATTACCGGGCCCATCTCCACTAGAATCATCACTAACGTCAGGATCATTACCACCTCCATCCCCCGGTCCGGCTGGGCCAGGCTCAAAGCGGTTGTCCGGGGGACCATGTAATGTTTGCCTATGATCTTTTTGCATTGGCGGGAAAGTTTCACTCCTGGCCATCTGGTAACTCCATTTGGTTGTGATGGAGGCAATTTTTGGGCTGCGTCCCAATCTGACCCGCGAATCCATAAGGAAAACTTAAGCACAATCATAATGCGTGCTCAATCGCTTGCGCAAAGGCTGGATCAACTTTTCCACGTTGTTTGAACGAAGCCGGTCCTTCTGGTCGGCGAGGCTGGTTTTCAAATATGATAGAACTTGTTGATGTATATTAAACGAGCTGTCGCCGGCGTCGTGGCGAAACCAACTTTGGAATGCGTTGGCTCTTCAACGATGATTTGATGCTTGGGGCCCCGTGAATTGATCAGCAGATTGGGCCACTGAGTGGAGAAATTACTGTTACAATGTTGGTGACGAACACTCATGAGAGCGATGATGCTGATGGAAAGTCGTATTGAAGCAAATGGAGATGTGGTTCGCTTAGTGTCGCAAAAACCCCAGTTGTGTTCGTCAGACTCATGAGTAGCTGTGTGGATGGTCTATGAACTCCTCGACTCGGGCTTTTCGACTCTGGGTAAACGTCACATTGAACACCGCCATGGGTCGATACTGGCTGAATGCAATCACCAGTATGATCTTTGGTTCTATTCATACACATCTATCGTCTTCGGGTATTACAGGTCTCATCTCCAGTTGTTCCCATCTAAATCTATGTCTTCCGATCCAATCTGGTAACTGGCAGCGCTGATTGCAGAAATTCTACGAGATTCCATATCGCCGGCAAACAATATATCCCTGTCCCTGCTCATAAGGCGCCCCTTTCTCGCCCCAATGTCCTCCTCTTCCTCCAGCCCCTCGGGTACGCTGACAAGACTGCGTCCCCGTTGTATACCGATAGGATCGTCCGTTAGTGTCGGAATTTCAGCGGCTACGTTCACCTCCCAGCTCGGTTGTCTACCGAGCGAGTTGCCGCGCGGTCTTGCCTGAGAGCTCGTGACCGAGCCGACGCTGACCACACCGTCTAGTCGATCCTTGCTCCATCCGAATTCAGCCCCGAGCGCACGCTCGACACCTTCCTGCAGGATGATGCTTGACCGTCGTGCTACGTATTCGTCGAACTGTGTGTCGCGCTTGTGTCCGTAGCTTGCACGACGCTCATCCGTGGGTCTCGGCTGCGGTGACACAGAAGCATTGGACGATGTGCGGCGGAACGTAAACGACGGCCCGCGGGGCCGTGAGCTTGCAGAGTTTGTAGGATCGTAGGGTACAGCAGGACTAGCGCTGAGGCTCGGCCTGGACGGGTTATTTGCTGTCTCGGCTTCAGCAGAGAAGCCGAAATGTTTCACATTGTGAGGCAGGTGGTAGTCGTCGTATTTCAGAAGTCTTCGGTAAACTATTGCGCCGTATATAGTAGGAATTATGGTGAATAATCTAGCATTCATCAGCATTAATCATGATTATCAGCATGACAGGATATCTTGGCCTTCTGCAATCTTCGAACAAATTGCGCCAACTCTCATGGCAGTACAACCATGGTGGGAAGCGTGAATAAAATTACCTACAGCAGAGCACAGTCCATCGCGAGCGCAACAATTGAGTAATGTCGATCCGCACGTTGAATATAAACGACGACATCGAGGGCAAGAACCGCCAGTGACAGCACGAGCGAAATAATGTTGCCAAACATCATAGCAAACGGCGTCAATGCCTCAGCGATGAACTTGGAAATCTGGATCAGGTTGATTATAAATGAGATCAACGCGAAGCCGATGTTGAAGCATTCCCATCTGAACATCGCATCAGAATCATGTACTCGTTGGGGGCTGGGGGTTGAACCAACAACTTACACGAACTCCACCATGGGAACTGCCCCTCTTACTTTCTCAGCTTCAAAACCGCTGATCGTGTTCGACAGTCGGTACGAGAAGATGCCCATTAAACTCAATAAAAGAGCGACCTGTATGATCCAACATGGCAACAATACCCTCTTTCGCCATTTGGCACGGCCAAAATGTGCCTGGTCCCGGTGCGAGCCGATCATGGTGTTTGTCGTGTCTTTTTGTCGATCTGATAATTCCTCCTGCAGGTTTGGACACGGATTTCAGCTGGCAGTTGGTCGGCAAGCTTCTCCGTAGCTATATGCATACGTCGTATATCATGATCGAGGAATGTATATAAACATGTTGTTGGTGCGAGGTGAGATTTTGGTATTTTTGGTCGTAGAAGAGCGGTTGGTCGGGCAGCGGTAGGCAGGGGTGCAGAGGTCCCCTTTCCTATATATAACGCAGGCCCAGCCGCATGGTTAACCCAACTGGTGCTAGCTAGGCAAGAACCACGGGCGCAGTTGAAGGTGATAATAAAATGAAAGCTCCTTTAACCCAGGCTGTCCATGTTCGTTTGCCTGTGGCCCAGTAAGGCGAGACGAACCAATAAGCTATTGGTTTGCGCCATGGGCGACGGCGTCCCTGTGCGCGACGCGGGTGAGCTCAGTCTCTGCACGAGCAAATTGGTCTGCTGTGGCATTCGTACGTGTCCACAAATGACCAACGCAGAACTGGCTTGACTGGCGTTCAGGGTGTGTTATGACGGACTGGGTTTAAACCGTTCTGCGACATGGAGAGGCTTGCGGCTGAGCGGAGCGGCGGTTGCTTGCCAGTCGAAACACGGCAGGCTCTCATTGGAAGACAGAGAGTCCAGTCTGGAGCGATGGGCGAGGCGCGTTGCCCCATCTGATCCTTCAAGACGAAAATACATCCCGTTTGATTGACCGTTTCGCTTCTTTGTGTCTTGAAAACTACCGGCTATAAAAATGTGGTGACTAAACAGTAGACAGCCTACCGCATCAAGGCAACGCCAAGGCAACGGGTTGAGGTCTGAAAGGTGGGTACCCCAGAGGTGATGTCATCCCTTCCCTCCAAGGTAGTTGAACAGTTTGAAGATGAATCTTTTGGGCCAACTTTAGAAGCCCCACAGGCCGTCAGCCCTGGCGCACTGAGGAAGCAAGAGGCGTCTTGGCAGTCGGGGGGCCCCCCCATTGCGATCTTCGACTAGCTCCTGGGGATGCAGCTGTGCAATATTGTCGGAAATCTCGGCTGCCAAAACTGCTTGGGGCAAGTGTTATTGAACGGGATGGCAACAAGACAAAGCAAAGGATTCTGCGCCCCAAATCAGCACTAGATCCCAAATAAGAAAATATGGATTTCATATCCGCGTTATTGTCAATTTGTCAGATCGAATAATTTGAATTGTTACGAGGCGTGGACAACACGAATCACCGATAGGGGCTATTTGAAAGGCTAACAACGATACTTTGGTGAGCAGATAGTGTACCCAACGACAAGTCACTTATGCTGAATAACAAGGAGTTGTCTCACTGAACCCTCCCTGGATCTCATTGACCCAGGCCCATAGACAATGTAAAGCGGACATTCCCAGATGAAAATGAAAAATGAGCGCACAAACGGAACCAGGCTTTCCACAAGATAGATGTAAATCGCAAGAGTGTTTCCAGCGAAGTTGATTATACATTTGAAGTGGGTCCCTCTGACTCAGCAGTTACTATCCACCTGGAATCCTAGTTTGTCACCCTCTAGCACTCAAGCTCAAATTCCCGACGCATCTACTTGATAAATGATAGTACTAATACTTGCAGTTTACATTAACATTAAAAGCGGATTATTTCAGTTCCCCTGTCCCTTTCCCGCCCGCATAGTTCGATACGCTTCCGCCCAGAAGCTGAAATCTGCGCCCCAAGACTCATCCAGTGGCTCCGTTTGACAAATAATGCACTAAGCATCCTTGAAAGGTTCAGATGGTCCTGATACGGCGTCATTCTCCATGCCGCCTTGAGGATGTCGAGGGCGCATGAAGGCACCATGTATAAGCGATTGCGGAAGCCACGGTTGAACATGGCCCAGCGCGTCTGTTCCACCCAACAGGCATCGATCTGCCTGATGAGATCTATTCCCACTATATCCACCACCAACTCAACGCCTCGGGAAAAGCGTCTATTTTGGACTTTCGAAAAAGCACTCTTTACTTGGCGTCTATGCTGACATGTTGGACAACACTGCCTTAGACCCAGACCACCATGGGTTCGGGTTGCTTGTTCAACAATTCTGCGCAAAAGGCTTTAGTATGACCCAGCGGGAAGAATTCGCTGCAATATCGATGCGGGAGATGTTCTTAAACATGGCGTGTTTATCTTTGATAAATTCTACAGGAAGCTCTACTAGTTATTTAGCCAGGCATGCTTTTATGTGATGAACCCCATAAAAACAGAGGGATTCCCAATGGGGGAGGAGGTACGGGATGGCCTGAAGAGACTTTCCTCACTTCAGATATAGATGTAGTGGACAAGCCAACCAATCACCTTCGGGTCCTGTTCCTGCAGAGTGACAACACCGGTCTTGGTCTCTTGTAGGAGAGTGATCAGCCGTACAAGTTATGGAAGGTGGAACCGCGTGCAGCTTACGTCAAAACCACGCGTCAACCGCGCCTGGAACCATTGTGATCGTGGGCAAAGAATCGCCTTGTGTAGCTTCCACAACAATCTTCGCACTTGAGCATCACATCGCTGAACAGTCTGCTCTTAATATCTTGTTGTCAAGATGACCTTGGGGTCTTGTGGGCGCGGGTCCCATCTCATAAGGAGAGAGAATCGCATGGATGATCAACGCTGAAATTGAATAAAGCTGGGATTAAACAAAAGTGGGAGTAAACGAAGTTGGGAATGGTCGGGATGGGAAAGGATCAAAGTAGGGAGTGAAGATAAGAATTTCTGAGTGCTCATAATATCTGAGCATACCAGGGATACTGATACATCAGAGGTGTTGTTTCTGAAGTTTCAACAACAAAGCGATTGACTACGCGAGTATAATTGATCATCTGACAAGGCATTGTTTTTGTAGGCAAACGCATAAGATAGTTTGGGTCGTGTGATATACAAGGGTAAAAGCTGATGATTCCATTAAGAGCGTTGGAAAACAGGTCATATGACAAAATCATTATGTGCTTAACCTACCCTGTGGCAATTCGCATGTCTATATTATGTGTTCGTTCTTTCAAACTGGACGATAAGTACGTACTGATGACGGTTCGTTCGACTTCGAGAGCTGGCATACTTAAAGCCAAAGTTTTCATATTACTAGAATGAAAAAGGGGTTAATGTGGGATTGAGCGCCATATGTGTGCCTGAGGTGGTGCCTAAGGCAGTGAAATCGCTTGTGTAGATAAAAAGGTCGGCACCTGCCTACCTACCTTAGATGTAACTTCTTACATAGGACTCCGAGCAGTCAATACACACATCACACTGCGCATCGAGCATCGTAACCAATACAGGGTCTGTACAGAGTCATCATCTGAGGGTTGAATCCCTTAGTTAATATGCTAATTGAAGACCTTGAGGCTATGATGCGAGATGTGGTTGCTCTGGAAATCACACTGCCCAAATATCTGACATTTAGACCAAGCGATGGAGCTTATTCAATAACGGCCCTTCAGTGATTCACGTCCAGCATTATATCGGACGTTGACTCTTTAATGGTTTACAGCTAGGGTTCTAGAGTTGCATAGCACGAATTCCTTTCTAGTCATGTTTTATATCTGTGTTCCCTTATCGGAGTCGCCGCTGGAATCATACCCAAAAACCATCTCCAGATCCGATGCTTCCCTTGGCGGGCTTCTCGCAAACATGACAGCATAACTCAAAGCCTTGTCCGCAAGGAGACCCTTCAAATTCGTAGCAGCTTCTCTTTCAACCCAAATCGCTCCCTAAAGAAGTCTTGGCATTTTAAGGTTTCCTGGGGCCGTTGACAGGAATGGCTCAGACAAGCGTTTCTTGGCACGATTGTTAGTTCTGGGATGCCAGGTTATTCTCAAGTGTGGACTGCATGACTCGTACTGGAAGCAACGCAACGGGGATTCGCACTCAACATTAGAGATAAAGCGCATCCAGCGGACCCTGTATTAGAAAGATACGGATTGAGGATTGTAAAATGAATTGCGCGTTGCAGGGCGACTCGATTCGTCGCATCAGGTTATTTGACTGTTTAGTAATTACGGTGCATTGTCGTAATGCGCCAGCATTTCACTTTTCATAGCACAAACACCAACACAGCAAGTCTTGATGGTTATTGAAGTTGGCAAAGCCAATTGAGGTTTGTCTCTGGTATCTTGTTTATTTGCCGGAAGATCAAGCCCGGTGGTAACTAATTTGGCAGATGTTCCCATTACTCATCGCCCCCAAAATCCAGTCCATGGTCCCGATGACCCCGTCCCCTTATGGGGAATATCCGTTATGAATTCCATTGCACTGTTTATGTCATGACCTGGCATATTGTCCGATTACCAACGCCTTCGCCGCTCGGCTTGCTGCAGCTCTCCGTGTGAGAGATAAGAGGCTCACAAGCCGTTGGCCTTGTTGGCTTGGTAGACGTTGGCAGCGTCGAAAGGGATGACGTCGCCATTGGCGTTAGTCATTGCCGGCGCGCTGGTGTCAACAGCTGATTGCCGGGTAACCTTCTCTGTAGAATTGTTAATGCCTATTCGGGGGTTAAGTGTAGTTCATTGGTGAGACTTACTCATCTGTGCCATAGCGACAGTGAACAGAGCAAAGATGGCGATGGAGTACTTCATTTTGGCTGAGGTTGGATTTGTGGAAAAAAACTCTTTTGCTGGATTGGATGAAAGAGTGGTAAAGGTCGGCCGGCGACGAGCTATTGTAGTATGATAGACAAAGAAGTGAAGGCGAGAGTAGCTTGATCAACTGTGGAAGACACGTAGAGGATGAGGAACAAGAGAAATCCGCGAAAGCAGCGCGGGTGAGACGTCCTTTATGTAGAGGCTTGGCTGCCCAGGTGCCAACACCGTCCCATGTTCGAGATGGATATCAGATGTGAGATCAGCGTGGTAGCTGCGTCACAAAATCAGGATGCGATGACAACGACAACGCAAACAAAGGAGCCCGCTTAGGGCTGATCCGTGGGCCGCCGCCCAGATCTTCGACGCTGGTGAGTATCAGCTGAGAGGGCTCAACGTTAAGGCTCTCGGTTGAAACGTCCAAATCGGGAAAGGCTTGGCAGGAAAGACAAGAGCCGTGCTGCGCCTCAACGGGTTCGAGACCACAAGTCACGATAAAAACATTGTCAAACCTTGCAAATTGGCATTTTGATTGGTCCCAGCAGACATCTCAACCGTCCCGGCCTTAAAAACAAGGTTAATGGTAGAGGAATACTACCGGGAGGGAGTTGGTTATTTGCGAGATGAAGTTGAGGCTCGCGGAGTTCGTGGGGGCAGATGCAGGGGTCTGAGACAAATCTCTAACCGGCTGCCAGGTTGAAGTCGCTTTGAGAGGCTCAAGCGACTCTAAGCGACCGCTGCACTCCACATCTGGGTGACATTTTCTTGGCAGAGATTGTTTAGTACCATCGAGGATCTGGTGTCCTACCGGCAGGCGAGATTTCCGTGTTCCAAAAGGGATTGGAAACCGCCACTATTGCTTGGGGACCCCAAGAAATTAGGTACTCGTCAAGCTTAAAAAACGGCGGTTTGACCCACTGCTAACGCAATCATTCAAGGACGTCTATTTGTCCCTTTTTAGCCATTTTTGACCGATACTTCCGAGCTTCACCAATTCACATCAAATTCGAAAGTATCTCTCATAGTTCGAATATAACGCTTAGAAGCATGTAACAAGAAACTCAGAGTCGGCTTCTCAACCACAGCCAGTGCCAGAATATGGAGAGAATAACGAAGATGCAGACGCGGCGGCCAGTGGTGACGACGGGGCCGTGGTTGAGTGGCCAGTGGTGAATAACAGCACCAGCTGGGCATATTGCTAGGACAGGACCCTGAAGGCCAATTTGTCAATTATGCTCCTCATATTCGGATTTGGCCGAGGACGTCCGTACATGGCAGATTAGTTATCCGATTTCATCAATTCTGTCGCGAGAATATGCGCTCCCGTTCGCGATCACGCATAGGACGTACAAACTGGCCGCACTTCAGAGGTACTAATAGTTTGGTGCAGATTACTAGCATTCGGAAGTACCCTAAAAATGACGTAGAGCTGAAAAGGGACCTCCTTGACCCACTGCACTGCTAATGCAATGGGTCAAACCGCCGTTTTTAGGCTTGACGAGCACTTGCGACGAACGAGGTGGTTCAGATGGTCTTGATTTGGATGCATTGACAGCTCGCAGAACGGGACGAAGAAGTGCATGAACTCAATGAACTCCAGCTACTTACTCGAGCTGGATACATCGTGTTCGAGATTTTCCGACACCAAAGGGGCGATACGTTTAACTCGTTAGAACCAGTACTCTGTCCCCTCAAAGTTGTAAGACGGGCGTATTGGCCTCAATGATGAACCTGTTCATTGATCCCTGGGGCATGCTCTCAGCGTAAGGGCTTGGTGTTGAGATAGATCGAGCCTTCTCATTGGTGTGGAACAGTGAGACTTAGAGTGTTGGCCTGGTCGCCCGCTAGGGTCCACCCTGGTCACTGAACATCGGTGCCGGTTATGTTTGATGACCCAGGAGCCGCAGTCAGCCCGTCCATCGGGTCTCGAAAGGTGTTTTGAATCAATGTCAAATGGCGACCTCTCGTCAGCGCCAGCAAGAAAGGTGGACCTCGCTGCACGCATTTTCGTGTTGATGATGAGCTAGTTGCCCGCGCGCTTCGCTTTGTACGAGGTCGAGTTGTTACCCTGAGTCATGCGTCTCAGAATCGGTACGAAGCCTCGGGCCAAAAGTAGGGAGACTGCCCCATTTTTGAACACACTGTTGCACGGAAGAGTTGCAGGGGTTCTAGGCGACCTCAAATCTTAGTGCATCCACATCTAGAACTGATGTCTTGATTAGCTTGGCTAACCCTGCACTTCGTGATGCCTCTACTTCGAATCGTTTGCAACGTCCAAATTGTGACGCCTGTCACCTGGACAATGAGTAGGGATACCCCAGGATAGGCTGTCCCAACCGTATGCAGCCGTTCTCCTTATAGCAGAGGAACGGGCACCTGGACTTGTAACCCTTTCTCTCCTTCAGTTTAGTATTCGTCAACAGAGATAGAATGATATCGTAACGTTGATTCTGTAAGGAAGAGCCGTCGAGGCGGGTAGGTCTCAGCTGGTAAGCTGTGTCGGGGGGATTTCGCCCCCGATCCGATCCGATAGAACTCCGGGTCGCGGCCCAGCCAAAGAGGAGATCTCGGATGCTCCCACCTACCCTAGATTCCTTAAGATCAGTGTTGCAATATACGCACCGTATTATCAGCACATCATTAGTGGCTCTTTGCACGATTACGAAGATCCTTCTAGAAAATACCTTTCAAAAACCCCTGTCCCTAAGTTATACTTCCCTTCGTGTGTTAATAAAGGTATTCTCTATAACCTTCGTATAAGTAAGCAAATAAATGACCGCCAGAATGTAAAGTTGAGGGCATTGGCCAGAGAGCAATGGCCGTAAGCCTGGAGGGGCAGGATCAGCCCTCCCGTTGCTCGGAGTCATAGGGACTCCCGAAAGCTTCCAAGCTCGCTGAGGAGCCTTTATCAACGATCGCAACTAGATCGTGCGTAGCGCATTCTCCCGTGAGAACAGCTCGAGGGTGAAAGCATCGATTACAAAGCGATTACAAACTTGGGGTCGCCGATATCTGCGTCGTCCTTAACGGCGATTCTGTGAAGGACAGATATTGCCACCGAATACACCGAGATGAGAGGACTTGGTCTGTTTGAGGAATTGCATCTTTCATCGAGGAGAAATCCCTCCGGAGCTAACTGAGATCACAACAGTATCCCAAGACCCACAATGGCGTGCAGATCGCATGGTGTGCACTAGCGTATCCCTCTACTTCGGGATCGTGACTGGTGAGATAGAGTAGCTGGACATAGATATCAGGCCTGGTTGTGTCTATTAGCTTTGCTCCCTACGTCAGTCAGCGGCTTCTCTGCCTCACTCCGGTGCAAGCTCCCATAGAAACACTCCCGACGGGTAGGAAGGCGGTGACGACTTTTGATAGTGAAACATGTCGTTTGAGGTATCATTGCGAACTTCTACTTCCTACCAGTACAACCAAACGTTTGCCTGGTAAACCTGTGCATGGCTCCATCCGTTGCAGCTGCCGCGCACGGAAATCGTCGAGCAAATGAGTAGAGTAAAGTTCTAATGTTGATACCGGCCACGAGCATACAGAACGTTAGTATACAGCAGCGGTGTCTGTTACAGCCAGCGTTTGCAGGCACAGAGACAGATTTTCTCAGTCAGTTTCTGCTGTGTTCCGCGCGCCTCGGGATCCTGCAGCTTTAAATCCCCAGATAAAGGCAAGCAAGAGACATCTCCAAATCGCAGGTCGTAGCAGCTCGTGGCACTGTATAGCAGATAAACTAGCTGTTTGATGTGCTGCTGGAATTGCACCTAATGAATGCATCATACATACATACCAAGTGGAGCATGTCAAGCCGTAATGCAGTATTGCAACCACATTATGTGTATACAAAGCCTGCCTTGCCTACTACATGCTTTATAATCCTGGTCTCTAAACAGGGAACTTCTGTAAATATTTGCTTGTGCTGAATATTTTGTTCAACGGAGCGAGGGACACGGAAATAACATGGTCTCTGAGTGTACCTGAGATTACACCAGAATTTGAGACAGCTGAATTGTGGTCCAAGCCAGTACAGCTTAGTGCAGATGAGAAACAAGAGAGTGGCTTTCGGCACCTGGAACGACTGATCTCATAGAGTGGTACTTATGTTTAAGCCGTAACTGCCGATGATTCCGATAAGACTGAGAGTAATAATGCACACCGTATGGGCAAATAACACATAGATTGGCTGCTTGGGTCTGCCTAATAGGCAGAGCTGGCAGGTGGCTGGGTGGTGTAAATGATAGGTTGGGCTGCAATGTGTGGCCAACATCCAATTCACACCCGCATGATGTATAGGACAGTTCTGAGATTCAGTTGACCAGAAAAATTTAAATTCAAAGGAAAGAGACTAAGCTAGGACCGGTGGACCAGCCATGGGTGAAATAGTGTACACTCCTGAGGCCCTATGAGAACCCACGATACCTCTGTGCGTGCAGCCGCTGGTAGATGACGCTAGTGGTACTTTCCCGTCACTTGTAACAGACATATGTGTCCGAGGTACAGGGTTGGTTTGCTACGTATGCGTCAGCCCAACCAGGCTTGACTTTTCGTTTGCAGAAGTCTCGATTGGAGGGCCTCCTGCATCTGCCACTTTGTAGCTATTAGACAGCACTCCCTCTTCACAGTTCATTATAAGTCTTCCTGCCACTACATTCATTGCATAAAATATCCAAGAAAGCCGGAAATCACCCAAGCCTTATCCTCCTCTCCTCACATCCTACTCCTATACAATTCGTGTGGAGACCCGGCTCTTCTATCTCGACAGACACTATGGCTCCTATCTTTTGCTGCTCTTCTTTAAAGCCATATCTACCCAAAAGGCTTGATCATGAGCATAAATTCAACCAGTTTATGCAGTGGGCTAACTTGCCCTCCATGCATCCTGGCGATGGCTCTTCACTCGTCAGCAGCGCACCGTACGCAGTTCAGCTTGTACGACAAATCAACTATGGGCCGCAAGAGTCGATTAGATTCTTTGTTCCAGCTAGCAACGGCCCCGACTTCCTGGAGGCCACTGAGAGCGATCTTCTCAAAGCGAACTTTGAGAAATTGAACTCGTAATGATCATAGCAACCCTTGAAGATTAATATCCGTACTAACCACTCGATCAGGTACAAGAACTTCAGATGCGAACAGCACAATAAATTCTTCGAGGTCAACTTGTACAGAAGAACCCCAACAATACACACCATTGGCGGGTCAACCTTGCACGCCCATCTAGAGACATTGACCTGGCATTTCGACAAAAGGAGGCCACGATGGAGTTGAGTCAGGCAAATAAAGCCACGAAACCGACGTTGAGGCGGGAATCTATATCTTCCGACTCACAACGCAACGCTTCAGATCTGAAGAGGCGCTGCCCGCTCTTGCCGGCTGACCAGGTGACTAAAGTCACGGACGGAGATCATGAGAAGCGATCTTTGGTCGAAATGCTAGCGGGCTGCTCTTCTAGATTGTCGGTTCTGATACCAATACTTCGACTCTTGCTGCAGAAAGTCGGGACAAACCTTGGTGCGAGTCGCCTCCTATCCCTACTATCCCTTGATTGGGCGAACGAAGAACTCGATCTTGATCTCGATTTTGAGGATCACTGGGAGGTCGAAATGACTAGCTCGAATGTCGCCACATTTTTCAGTGACTGTTTTGACCTGTCTGATGGCGACTCGGTAGATCACGCGGAAATCGAGAACCTGGTGATCCTTGCCATGCGCCACATCGAGCCACTAGAGAAACAAAAAGTACGCGGGCGAGTCAGACTCCAGAACATTGCCAATAGGGTCCTCGAGTCTGATGGTGCTGTGAACTGGGCATCTAAGTACGGGGCAGATATAAGGGGTGTGTTTGCATCCGGCCCTAACGAGCAGCTCCTCGATCGTTGTCGGCGCAGAACTGACAAGCTGCAACAAGACTGCATCAGCCGAAATACCAAAGAGGACCTTACAGCTCAGTCCCTAGAGGTATCGTGATGCTCCGATTGCGAGATTGAAGAGAAGCTGATATATTGCATAGGTTGACCCGTGGGCTGATGATTATGATGATGATGAGGGAGCATATGGCTCTGACAATTTCGATTATGAACAGCCAATGGGAGATTTCACGGCCTGCGATAAAGAATGTGGATATTGTGGGAAATGTGATTACTAAAGCTGAGGGGACGAAGTGGGTTGACAGACCATTAAGTTGGTTGCAAGACACTGCCCAGAATACGATGGCAGCCGTTATCATGAAAGAGAGAAAAAGACGGAAAAAGAAGAATTAGCATATGCGGCTTTTGAGTTATTATTGAGTCGATTAGGAAGAACATCCAAATTGCCAGACCACGAATATAAGCACTCAGCAACAATATCTTATTGGAGACACTACATTAGACGGTCCGCGGCGCTATTGAAATAATGCGGTTGCTTCAGTTGTCGTACCTTTGGGTCGATACTTATCTGCATCATCCAAGGACAATGAAACACATAAAGGCTGCGAGCTTCTAAAAATGGCAGATATTTATGCAAGGTCACTGTTTGTTATTTCGGCGGTAGCTACATCGCGTTATCTTGAAGACCAACTTATAGCTGTTTCTGGCCTAGGACAGAACGATTCATTGCTGACCATCTCCCCGTAAGAAGATCATCTCACTGTTCAAGTCTCCGTATTCTATCTGTATTTATGTCGAGTACCAACATGAACAGCCATATGTGTACTATACTTCGTCAAAGGCTTCTGTTTTTGATCATTTCTCCAACCAGGCGGATAATGGACCGGGGTGACTGGTCTACGAAATTGCGGGCGAGGTTATCTCTGTCTTCGGAAGGAATACGACAACAATGATTGAAAAAGACGCAGAAAACCCCCGAGCATTTGCAACAGTGTCGAATATGCATATAGCTTGGGAGTTGCCGTATTTATTGCTGTTATAGAATCTGGTAGGCCTGGCCAATCTGAGGAACTCACCAGCTCAAGTAGTCTGTCCCTCAATTTAAGTCGAGCGGCTCTCGAACAGGCGTTGGGCTTGGAGGTACCGCATAAGAATGTGGTTAAAAGCAATATGTACATGTTCTCAATAAAGACGGAAATCTACTTATTCTCCACCAATATCTCATGATTTTCCCATCGTCCCTAAAGTCAGCGTCTGAAGTCTATGTCTAAATTCTGTGTCCTAGCTTTGGGACGCCCTAGAGTCTGTTCTCCTTCCCATTACCATAGAGATGCTTCTTTCTCGTAACTATGCAGTCCGTTATTCCTCTTCACCACCCTGCAGCAACTCTGTCTCCCAATCGCTGCTGCTCAATGATGTGTCACGTTGAACAGACGATTTCCCGCGTCAGTGCCGCCTTGACCGGCAAACTTGTCGGAGTGGCCAAGTGTAACAAGAGTGATATATACGTAGTTAGCGAGCGGCCCCTCGGAAACGGCCTTGGCTTGGACGAAGCTGGCAACTACAACGATTCCATCGAACTGGTCCGCATTCCATTTATGAAAACTTCCTACACAGAATGACATACGGATGCTCCGTTCCCGGTTCTATGGACCCAGTCGTCCGTGACTATGTTATGGTCTCCAGGTTCTTGGTTGTGGTCGTCTTGATGCTGAGGTATCCTCTCTTTAGCTGGTGAAAGAACACCACCTTAATGCCCACTATGTGTTCGTTACCACTCTGTTCAATCAAACGATCAACGTGGGCTTTTAGGCTGCGTGAGTTCATGGCTCCGAGATTTCCGATGATAAGGGGGTCTCGGATGTTCATGATAATCTCCCTCAGAATCAGCATGGGGGTCGTATCCAGGCTCGGCTCTGTGTAACGTGGATGCTTGACGCTAAGCCCTTCGATGCCACATATCATGCTTTGCATCTTGAACGAATTCGAGCTTGTTTACTCGTTAGGGCCCGCCGGGGACGTAAGCTTTTGTAACGACTCGTAGAAGCCGGACTTCGGGTTGTTAGCTAAGGCCTGGATATCTTCGATCGGAGCGCCTCGTGAGTGTAGAGTAAGGACATAACCCATCTGAGCGACATCTCGCTCTTTTCCGCCGACCGGAGCCATTACCGAGGTCAACATGTTGGGGGTTGCCAAGGCTTAGGGTTTACAGGGATAGGAGGGAACAGTGTGATTTGCGCCAAGGAAGACCATTCGCACTGCTACAGGGACCCCTCGCGGTCTCCTTACTTTTGGCCCGAGGCTTCGTACCTTGACCCTCAACCACCCGCGATGATATTTGCTTTCGATGAATGTCCGCCGAGGCCCTCATAATACCGTTTGTCCATCCCAGCTTGCGCTCTCGCTTCCGCGTTGAATGGTCCCTTAACAGCACCCTTGAAATACCTTTGGACATTGCTCCGAAAGACGTGAACCGGATCGGTATGTTCTTGTTCGCATATCCAGGTCAGCCATCGATGACCGGTCGTCACATGTGTGATCTCGTCGTTGTGGATGACATTCAGGGAATCGACGCTTTCCATATCATTGGCCTTGCGAAACTTCTCTATCGTCATGGGATTCACGTCAAGACCCCGCGCTTCGTGGACCAGAGCAATAATGGATATCCTCGCCCGAAGATCGTGAGCAGTCATTGCTGCCGACTCCCAAAGGCCATGGTGGACTGGAAGAGCTCCGAAGTGGCTGCCCAACTCTTCGAGTCGAGCACGGAGGAGGGAGAAGTGCTTCGCTTCGTCGTTGGCTACTTTTAGCCAGTCATAATAAAATGTCCGCGGCAGCTCCCGGGACAAATCCTGCGAGGGTGCCATGGTATGAAAGGTTGCGAATCTCACGCATATATCAATTGCGAGATCGATTGCCCACTGCTCGATATTGGCTAGAGCATGGAGCATTGCAATTCTGCTCTTGAGGGTGCCACCTTTGCCAGCTTTTGGTATCTGCCACGGCTCGACTTTGCTCTGCTCTTCCCGTACAGGTTCATCGGGTGCTATGACACCGATTCCCAGTCTCATGGGTGACGGTGACTGCTCTTTGGTAGCGAATAGGGAAAACAGATGAGTAGTGAGTTCAATCTTATGCTCGGGGTTAGAGGTCTTCAAGATGTGCACACACCATTCACACATGGTGGCATTGTCGTCCAGGTACACCGGAGACTCTGCGGCGGTCTCTCTTGGGCCGTGCTTGAACTTGACCTGGTCGCTCACGGGCTCCAGCCTGGAGAGTTCCACGTTCTCTTTGGTGGCTATCTTCAGGCTGACTTTGCCATGCTGCACAATGACCGGGAAGGTACATGTCTTGATGCCGTAACTGGACTCTCCAGTCTCTACGTTGAAGTCATATGCATGCCATGGGCATGAAGCGACGTAGGCCGAATCTTCGATGTCTACATGAGCTTCTGTCATGGGCCCGCCGGCATGAGGGCATTCCGCCTCCATGGCATAGTAGATCCAGCCATCTTCCGTCTCGTTGGGGGCCATTGGTCGCGACTCCGATGACGCGATCCTGGGCAAGCGGAATAAGACGAGTCGTTTCCCATTTGATAAATGAATCGCATATCGGGTGTGCGATGATTCCGTAAGCGGTCCAAGATCAATCAACGCCATGTTGAAGATGGGACCGACCCAATCGCATGCATAAGTGAGCGTAAAAAGCGTGAAAAAAAATATGATTGTCGGAATGTGCTCTTCCTGAAAATGTCAGCTGCTGAGATGGTGACACAACAGCTCAGTCAATGCAAATTGCAAGTGTTAACACTCGGGCGTGCGATTCAATCGCGAGTCGCAAAATTGTCAGCTAGAGTTAGACGTTCGGCTGGTTCCATCCACGTCGGTTCCTCCAACCATAGCTCCACCTAGCCCACCTTTAGCGTAGAAATTCCCTGGAACGGCTTCACACTTATGCAGAGTTGTGCATCTGGCATTGATTAATGCAGCGAGCTTATCGCCGTTGGAGTGCGGGGTGGCGCTTGTACATGTACCTGCCTGCTCAAGTAGGTGATGTGATGCCTCCTGTCCAGGCTAAGGCGCGAGGTGAATTCAACCTTAGTTCCCCGCCTCCCACTTCTAAAGTTGCTTTAACGTCTACTTGCGCTTGTTTGCACTCGGCTGAGCAGTCGGCCTTTCCACGCACCGTCACTGCACACAGAGACCGAGGTCTCGTCGCCAGAACCCGACTCACCATGGCCTCGATCGAGCACTGTCTCTACTGCTTCGAGGCCCTCGCCGCCCATCTCGAGGCCCGCAGCTCATTGACGCTGACTGAAGTTGAGAAGTCGTGGGCCGATTACTGCAATAGTGAAGACGCCGCCGGTGTAGAAGCTGACGAGGACGACTCTTCGACGTCCAATCTTGGCAGCCTTAAGAAGCGCCTGCCAGCTATGCGCCGCGTCGCCGCGTCGTCGTCCAGCGGAACGTCGTCACCCTCGTCCGGGTCTAGCATGTCCCTCGCGCCTGAGACGCCGGGAACATCGACATCGTCACTTCCAGCTGACAAATCTCTAATCACCGAGTCACCTCTGTTCGTCACATGGAACATTGTCTCGCCCCGTAGTGGGCACGTCACCCTACGTGGATGCATCGGCACATTTGAGTCGCAAGAGCTCGATGAAGGTCTCTCTTCATACGCAATCACGTCAGCAATCCACGACATGCGATTCGATCCCATCTCCAAGCGCGAGCTTCCTTCGCTCGAAGTGGCCGTGACTCTATTGACCGACTTCGAGGACTGTGAGGACGCAATGGATTGGGAGCTTGGCAAGCACGGTTTGCGCCTCAGCTTCACCGACCGGGGAAGACGCTACGGTTCGACATATCTGCCCGATGTTGCACCAGAGCAGGGCTGGAATAAGGAAGAGACGCTTGTGAGCCTGATGCGCAAGGCCGGTTGGATGGGCAAGAAAGATAAGTGGCAAGATGTGGATCTCAAGGTCGTGCGGTACCAGGGCAAGAAGGACAGTCTGCGGTATCCCGAATACAAGCAATGGCGTGACTGGGTCGACCAGAAGAGCAAGGTATAGATGGGGAAGCGTGTTTTCGGCGAGGCGTATCTACAAGGAATATTTCGGGAGTTTTGGTGGCTGGGTATCAGAACCTCGGAGTTCTATACAGGTAGAGGGCATCTGTTTCTCACACACGAGCCATCTTCATGCAATCAAGCTCATTGCAATTTACGGGTGTAATCACTGCGCCTTGGGACTAGTTGAAATGAAAAGCTGCTTATTGGCTTATCGTCGTTCCATCGATTAGCCCTTGGACACGGCAAAAATTGCGCCGTTCCAAGTATCCCACGATTCACTAGCGATATTGCCGCACCACCCCTTGGATCAAGTTGATTGCCACGCAAAAGCTTCAGAAACACGAGCCTCCAAAATTCACATCGAGGATTACTTCCGGCAAACTAATGAGACCCGGCCATTTAAGATCGTAAGTATGAGGCGGCCGCAACTCCAAAATCTAGAACTTCGTATATCCAGGCTTCTCTTTCGTTCTGCTGAAGCTTTTCTCGGCAAGCCAGGAAGCTGATCTTTAGGAATTCTGCGCTTTTCACTAGGTGGCCGTTGAAATGGACTGCCAACTGTCTATCATGACCCGATGATCGATGTCTCACAGTACCAAACATGTCTCGCATTAGCCCGCCATGAAGACCCAGTGTCTCTTCGCATATTTTCACAAGATCTCGCTAATCACCGTGGTATTTCTTTCAAACTCCTAAGACGAACATGTAATAATATGTATGGACCGTCCCGCCAGCGCTGCTACGTGCAAAACCTTAGAATTTTCAGTGACGGGTCTTCCACTGCGAGGCCATTTCAATTACAACTAAGTCTCCGTCCAGTCTCAGTCTTACGAGTAAACTTCGCGCTTCCCAAACTCACGGTTGCTTTCATTTCCATTGTCGTTTACTTCTTTGGTTCAAGCGAAGAATAATGGCTCGACAAGTAAGACGACCCTCACACAGACGCTCAAGGAATCGACCGAGATGTTGGCCATGCCTCTGAAGAGGATCGATGGGGGGACGGGCAGATCGAAGACCTTGCAAGGGGTACTTCAAGACGGATTTTTTTTGGGTATCTATGGAGTTGCCTGCTTGGCTACTCTGAAGTCGTTTGCTCCATAAACTCAATCTCACAAACAACTGACGAAGTCAGTCACCACCATTGGCAGAGCTCCAGAAAATCAAGAGGTCGAAATTTTCCTTGAAACGGGCTCTTTCGAGCTTTAGGTAAACTTCAATTGCTCAGAGTCGAACGCGAATGACTACTGTAATGCATTTGGGCTCTACGACCCGTCCAAGCCTCCGACGTCGAAGAATGGGTCAGGAAGCTCACCTGGTGTTTACTACACAGATGATATCTTCATATCAGGTTTGTACCTCTGCAACAACACTCGCCTATTGCAATCGCCTCATCCTTTAGAACTCAATTAGGCTGACAATATTTCAGGCCCACAGCAACAATCCGGAGTCGCTAAAAAGTCGAAATTGGTCTGGTTCGGCATCATGGGGCTAGCCAACGGAAATGGTAATGGATTCATCAACTAGAACCCTGTCATCGACTTGCTTGTCGCGCAGAAACTCACCAACGGCAAGCTCTTCAGCCTCAATCTCAGCTTGTAAGGATGGCTTGGTGCTGCTATCACGGGCGACAAGGACTCTGGAAAGGTGACCAAGATCCTCCTGAAACCCACTGACGTGTAATAGTTTTACTTTCTCACAGCCTACCTCATTTACTTTATAGTCACAAAGTATTGACCGATAAACAGGCACTACACGGTAGGTTTCTCGATGCTCTCGAACCACCCCGTCGCAGGGACCAAACTCAAGTTCCGCGCCCTTATCTCCAACACGCCCATTAGCGTAATCGTTGACTTCTTCATCTCGGGCCCCACCTCCTTGGGCCAGACGGTCTAGATCAACGTCCCCTCCTCTGAGTTCATCGGGAACGTCAGCGGGACGGAAAGAGGCTCTGGGTGCAGACCAGATAGCTGCAGGGGAAGCTGAGCCAATAGGCGCGGCGCCATTATCACCGGCTTGCAGATTGCTTCAGGGGCAGTATGCGATGGAAGTGGGTACGCGGCTAATTGCGCAAATTGACGGGCCGTAGCAGCTGAGGCTACGGAAACGAGGAAGATGCCGGTATATGCTGCAGCCGGAGAGCTGAAGCTTAGATGGGTAGATTTAATGGCAGTGATCGTTCTTACAGTTGGAGGCCGCTTGCTCTAATAATATCTAAGGTAAGGACTGGGAAAGAGGAACTTGTGAGATTTGGTTGAATATCCCTAGATATGGATACTCTAACGTATTTGATATTTCATTTAGATAGGCACATAGAATAATTATGGAAGCAAAAGGCTAAATTCAACTATGCCATCAATTGTGAGACATGTGGCCGGTTGATTCCTTAAAAACATGCAAAAGCTGGTTATTGAGGAAATAGGGGTTGTCATTCATTGCTGACTAAGCTCCAACCTCACATAAAACGAAACGAAGGGGGACCGGTGTGATGAAAGAGATCATCAAATGTCCGATCCAGAAATAACGTAATATCCAACCTTAGTTTGATGAGATTTAGTCGATCCCATTGACATGTTGTGTAAAAACCCGATAGACAAATCCACGAAAGGAGAGGATACGAAAAAGCACAGTGGACGCCCTAAATCCGAAGTCCCAGCAGCCGACAATACTTGTAACATCCCCTTCGTACCTTTCAATGTCTAGTATTGTAAATACCGTTTAAATCATCAAGTCCCATGGTCGCACTAGCGTCCGAGTAGATTTCCTGTTCACTTCCATTTTCGTGGGCATAGTATCCCACCCAAGGCTGCGAGTCGTCATCCGCCACACTTGCGATGTTGTGCAATGTCTCATCTTCATATCCTGGGCTATCCATCGGTTCAGGGGATCGGGAACTTGCTCGTCGACACGGTTAGACTTCGCCTTTGAGCGATGGCGAGGCTTAACTTGCCATAGTCAATCAATTCGATGGTGCGATTGCCGGCCACAGATCAGAAATTTACGACTAGTTGGCTGCCTATGCTATTTCCACACGTAGAATACGCTAAAGAATTCGACCGGCTGGATAAGATGTCCCCGTGTATACAAGTCGGCTACCTTGCAGGCTACGCAGCCTCCAACCTGTATAGATCGTGGTTGTCTTTTCTGGAAAAGGTGTCGTCACCAAAGACGTCATCAGAGAACATAAGGTATTCTATAATTCTGAGATGCGGTTGTAACGCTTTCGCGAAGGGTGGCGCTTCAGGAGTCAGACCAGGGGCTCGAAGTTGCTTAGCCAGTGATGTCCTCTCTAGCCGTCAGACGGTCCTGCGCCCGGATTTGCGCCGATGATAGTGCTGCTCATATCTGAGTATATCAGGGATACTGATACATCAGAGGTGTTTTTTCTGGTCCAAACCCTGGCGTACGGCTGTTCTTTGGGACGCCTAGCTACGGAGAGCTTCACACATTGGTTCATCATACAGTATTAATTTCCGTGCTCGATTTTCTACTCTTAACGCTAGATTGTCCTTCCAGCGCTTGGCTCTACTTTTCATGCGGTAGGCTAACTAAATTATCGAAAAAGACAATTCAGCGCAATGTCTCACAGGTCGATCATTTCGGCCTGACTCTATGACATTGAGATTTCCGATATCTGTACGAAGCGCAGATAACAGTGACTTGGGCTGTCTACCTACCATTGTCGGGAGTCTTCGGTGCTTGCACGGTATTATGGAGCAGCCGGACTCTTCCCCGGCCCCGGATGGTGTTCCCTTTGATACCAATTTACATGGCGGTTCAGCAGGTACAGATGGTACAGTATGCGTGGCCTTTTGACATGTTTTTGAAATAAAACAAGCTTGCATTAATATCACCCTTGTCCGAATTAAGTTCCCCCAGCTCGACTTCGTAGATTGACCTGACGCGCATCATATTTAGCGTAAGATAATAGCTTGGTCAGCGAGGAATGCCAATGTGACTGCTGTACCATAAATTTCCGCCTCTCATACCTCAGCCTCAGATGATGACTTTTCCCTGGCGCGTTGGCGTCTTCAGTAACTATGCATAACGCAAAATCGAGATGAACTTAGTCTGTCCTACGACAGCATGCATGGTATAAAGCGAAAGCGAGCGAATCGACTATAAACTGGCGGCATGTTCGGAGAAGTCAGTTTATTATGGCCAATTACTTCTTGTTGTTAACCCGGGAGTATCCACCCTGACCCTACCATTTCATGTAACGTACTACGTAGTAGTGGAACGCTTGGATTGCGGCCGCTACTACCGTCACTCTCGGATTGTGGGGTTCCAAGTCGCCACTTGCCATTTTTGTCAACCCCGCATTCCCGGAACTATACGCCGTAGAAAACTTGAGTTATACAGAAACGGGAACGACATAGTTCGGTCATCTAGCACAAAATGACACTTGATAACATCCAAGTCCTCATTCAGAACAATTCAGTTCAATTCATCTCACTCAGTCGGATCCCCTCAATTCGTACCATTCGACAAAGTCAATCCGTTCCGTCTAGTCCAAGATCCGCAGCACCGCAAAAACCAATGTCTCCTACTTCAAAGGGGGAACGACACTCGTGATGTCTGTTAGTACTCCATCGCCGCAGCTGGGAAGTCCAGGTATGACTAGTTGCGCCAGTTGCCGCGATGGTACATGACGCTACTGTCACGAAGAATTGGTTTTGTCCACCCCTATTGCTTATCCTAGTGATGTAGTGCGGGATTCTGTTCCCTCTAATCCCACAAACCTGCGATTTTGAATGGATGAAGAATAGAGGCATTCACTTACAGTGTGACCCCAAGATTCTGTTCTACCTCAGTGTGCTACCTCGGTGTGCTCCCACGGCGTGGACCCTCCGTCCGAGGATCTAGACATCCCACAACACGGAATCATAGCCAAAGAAGACTGCAAGTTTCCGAAACTCGATGATTGGTCTGCCACTAAGAAGCATCCGCACAGCCTCTTCGACCTGATGTATCCTACCCTGGAGACGGACTTCCCCGCTATTGCGCCTGTATGGGTAGACGTTATGCCCGTACAGTTTACGAGGGCATCTGGATCATCGCACTGGCAAAGCCAACAAATACTTTCCCGGTGAATACACATGTGCCACGAACCAGTGTTCATACCCCAGTCCAACGATGCCACTAAGGGTCATGGATGGCTCATGGCGTTAGTGAATTATTATTGCAGCTTGTCGAGTAAGCTGCATATTGTGGATACACGGGGTTCTCGAAGGCGCAAGCTATTGTGTACCTGCCTATAAGATTGCGGACAGAGCTGCATGGGAACTGGGTTGACTCTCAGCATATCGAGTTATCTTGATATGGTCTGTGAGATCTTTGGGACATTCTCTCTTTGGTGCATAGTGCCCCTTTAGTAAAACAGTGACAGTCTCACAAAACTGTCTCATGTCAAAAGCTCGACCACGAGCATATAAAAGAGACTATACACAACCAGTTAGCTCCGAAAATTTATTTTCACACTATTGTAATCGAAAGCCAGCCCTGTTTTGCGGCGTCGTTACTGGGATTATTGACCCCATTCCTATCAACCGAATAGACCCTCAGCACATGAATACTACTGTGATCAGGTCGGTAAATGCGCTCTGCGCTGGAAGACTCGACGTCGACTACAGTGAAATATTTAGCGAGGAACGTGTTACGGTCGTGGGGATGGCGGAACTTCGTGTTTTTTGATCCTACTTTCAGACAGTCCCATGTAGCCAGATTTATTACATGACCCATTCAAGTGATCAACATCTTCTTAGCCTATATACCGAAATCTGGAGTGAAACATGGGCAGAATAGGGGGTGCATTGGCTACATACATGGCGACGAGAGTCTTGCCGCAAGCCCAATAGCTAGTGTGACGGGATTGGGGTTCTGTAGAAATTCATGTCAGCAAGCGGTGAGATTAGGGACTTGGGGGAGATATAGCACTTACGATGAAGACAAAGATCACTCGCAAGATTGCGGCGATGATGATAAAAACTCCGGCTGACGGAAAGAGAAGACCAAGATGATAATGGTACCAGCGACACCCATCAATAGCTTGTTGACCTTGGACACCCTGGGACTCTGCGTGATTCGTTTCATCAGAAACAGCCTACACAGTTTCAAGGTCCAGAGAAACCGACATTATGGTCTGAAAACACTGATTGAGACTTCTAATTAGAATCCAACGTAGAAACCGAAATACGTGTAAAGATCGATCTGCACGTACCCAAGCAAAAGACATCAAAATGTCGTTCCAATGCAGCTGCTTGATTCTGAGGACACTAATGCGAACACCCGTCCGTCCAAGGAAGATCAAAGTGCAAAATCCGCACTCGATCCATGTCTTAGGTGCAACTCGGCCACTTTCATCATTTTGTCCAGCTTTCTCAACCAAGCATTAATGTATGTGAACAAGACAATCGAGAGACACACAGGTCACCAAGTTGAGGGCAACAGACATGGTAACACGGAAAAGAAGCTAGACTTGATGGAGACATGTTGGATACTGCTGCCCAATTCCTGATAAATTAACCCACTTGGTAAGGATGGAGGCCTTGTCTGCCATGATTGACTTTGCATGCAAACATAATCACAATGTCTTTATGCGGTAACGACTTCATTCATTTCGACACCCTGAGCATGTCACATATGTCATGTTCAATGAGATGAGCCTATCAGAGCGCTTACACGTTTTGGCCTTCGCAGGAATTACTCTTGCTATCGGCCTTTTTCCATTCGGCTACACAATGCTCGGGTCTGCCCCAGGTTTTGGACTGACAAGATCATCAGAAGAGGCAAAGATCATCAGAAGAGGCAAAGATCATCAGAAGAGGCAAAGATCTCCTCAAATTCATGCGTGTCGAGAAGTGCAGGCCCCGCGCCCCCTCTTTCGATGAGCTTAGGAAATCCACGTTGTACCCTGATTAGGCAGCTGTTCAAGAAGCTCCACGCAGTTGATGATCAGACTCGAGGGGACGGTACACCATGAACCAATCAACTGTCTCATCACTGCCCCAGGGTAGTCTTCAACATGCTTAGATGTGACAGCGCACTTCTCTGAGAGATGTTGCAGCAAATACTGCCCTGGAAGCTGTACCGGCTCATCCACCCGGGTTGTTGGGGTCTTGCATAAATTCTTCGCAGCCCCCATGATGCAGAGTCAAGACACTTGTCATTGAAGCACTCTCCGATCATTCAATTCTGGTTCGCTTAGAGAGTCTTCATCATGTCTCTTCTGGAAATCCCCCCCGAAACGTTCGCCAAACTGAAGGAAAAGGTGGTGGTAATTACAGGTGCTTCATCGGGACGTATCTATTCAACCACTCCAGATTTGGCTGACGAAATTTCATTGATACAGGTGCAACCACTGGTATAGGCGCTGTATTTATTTCACAGCTGGAGAGTAATTTATCCTCGCTACTTGATTACCAATTTTGAGGTTCTGACCAAGCCCAGCTGCAGGTAGTAGGGTCATTTACGGGGACATCAAAGAGCCGAAACTTGCTTCTGACACACCCAATGTCAAATTTGTCAAGACCGATGTCACAGTCTACGAGTCTGTTCTTAACCTGTTCAAGACCGCTTGGTCGAATCACGGACGAATTGACCATGCCATAACCAACGCAGGTGTTGTGGAGATCGGTCAGCTCTTTAACACTGGCACGGAGGACGCTGCTATCGAGGAGGCGCCGCCTACGACCGTGATCGATGTCAACTTGAAAGGGACCGTCTTCTTCACACGTGTGGCGGTTCACTACCTGAGAAAGAGCCTGACTGTACACGAGGGAATACAGAACGATGCGTCCATTTTGTTGATGAGCTCCTCTGCCGGCTTTGGCGAGTATCCTGGCTTGTTCCAATATAGCGCCAGCAAGCACGGCGTTATGGGCCTTTTCAGGAGCACGAGGAACTTCTTGCTCCCGAGTGAGCGTATACGGATCAATGTCGTTCTACCTAATGTGACACGTGAGCACCAATCGTGAAATCACTCGCGGCGTTGGCTCATAATCTGCAGGAACGCAAATGGTGACTGGAATCATCGCCCTCTACGACTCTTTTGGTGTACCTTGTAATGACGCAAAGGATGTTTCGAACGTATTCTTCTACGCTTTGGGGACAAATGCCAATGGCGAAGCATGGTACGTCTCGGGTGGCAAGATTTATGAGATTGAGAAGAAGCTCGAAACCGTTAAGTCCTGTTGGCTTGGTGAGAGCGTCTACGATGAGATGCGAGCTGGTCAACAAGCACTTGGTAATGTAAGTGAAAGCCTGAACCTTAAGCTGTGAAATTTCCTAACGATACGTGAAGGGAAGCGAGTGGGTAAAGAGTGACCAGAGACGCGAAGTGTGAGGGCAAAGTGACACCAAGTTGGACAGCAACAAGCAAGAGCGCCGATTCGAGAATCAACAACAAGAGCAAAACCCCCCAACTGCAAGGCAAAACGTCGAGGCATATTCCAAATCCACGAAACTCTGTACACAAATCTTAATTAACCAACATCAAAGCGTCGTTGAGCTCGACGCACCGATCACAGACGTCGAAGTAGGCCCCATCCGAACCACATCTTCAGGGCCGGGCCCGAGAAAACTCAAGAAGAGCCCTGGTTTCTTTCAACATGTGAGTAGCGAATTCCTTTCTCGCAACCGTCGGGCCGGCTCTCTTCATTGGGGTACCATCAGGCAATGACCTACCTTATGAAGATGCAGACGGGAAATGCAGATATGCACGTTGAAACCGTAGCCCCAAACCGACAGGGGCAGGAGGTGCTAAGCTTTTGCAGTTTCTCCACGTATCCTTCAAGCGTGTAAGTGTTGGATCTAGTACTGCTCTTGGTACTGCTTGGGCGCTCAATTTGGCGCCGTCGCAAGTTAGGTCAATACGGACTCGGTTCTTGCCTTTGAGCACGTTGAGTGGCATCGTGCTGGGGCTTGGAATCGGGATGGGCCCTCAGTATATCGCTGGGGTCATTTGGCCGTGGACGTTTCTTTTCCTCATGATTGCTGTTAACTGGTACCGGCTGTATCGGATGGATGAAAAATTGGCTGTGTAGTGAAGACGTGTGGGATCCCCGGCGATGATGTGCGGCAAATCCTAGACAGCCCCCTTTCACACCATAGCAACGCCTCAGGTGACGATTGATAGCTTTGACTTACCACAAAACACTCCAAGCTCTGGTCGCTCGCTGGGTAACAAGCCGCTGTCTCCCAGAAAAATTACTGTAGCGTTTAATCATCGATGCAGCTGGAATGCTGTCGTTGGGCCTCGATTCTCAGTTGGACGTCTGGCGCTAGGCAGGCTTCGATGCTATAATTTAGGCGCTCATCAATCTCAGCAGGGCCAGCAGGCGTATTTGGACTTGAATGTAAGTTGATATTATGATAATCGTATATGATATTGTAATGAGCCGAGCCAACACCAACGCATTTCTCGGCTCGAAAAGCGACTCAAACACAGCCCATCTCTCCAAACGCCGTGTACAGTTTCCCCCGAGGATATAATGTCTTCAAAGCAAAATCGGGAAGAGAGCCCAGTCTCGTCGCAACCACCAGTTCCAAACGCGGGCTTGAACGCAGAGAGATAATGACAAGCCAAAGAAGCAATGCATGCCCGCTCCCACTCCCTCCACAAACCAAAAGTATGCGTCGCTAATAATGTTCAACCCCTCCACCACCCCAAAACCTCTCTCGTCAAACTCATAAGACCAACCCCGGTTCCCCGCTCGGATTTTGAGTCTTCATCAGTTCATATCCCCCATCTATTACCAACACCGTAAACTCCTCCAAAACCCCATCCTCTTCCCCACTCTATCCCCATCCAGCCTCGGCCCCCTCGTCCCCACCCCCCTTTTCTCCGGATCGCTGTCTCGGTCTTCACTGCCTAAAGGAGTTAGGGGCTTCGTGACCCCCCTACGGTCCATCTCAGTATTATCGAGAACCCCCATCTCGGCCAGCCGGCGGCCCTCGACGACTCTCTTCACGATGAGCGCAAACGTCTCCTCGATGTTGACCTCGAGCCGTGCGCTCGTCTCCATGAACCCGCAGCCCCTTTTCCGCGCCCAGTCCAGCCCCTGCGCCGCAGGCACTTGCCGCGATTCCTGCAAATCACACTTATTGCCTGCTATTATCTTGACGGGCGGGATCGTGCGAGCGCCCGAGCCGGCGCCAGAGGTGGACAGGCCGGCGCGCTGGGCCCGACTTGCGTTGTCGAGGCGGGTCTCGGCTTCCATGTCTATCAGGTCGTTGAAGTAACCTAGGGCTTCGAGGCTGTCGTGGCTGGTGATGTCGTAGACGAGGAGAAAGGCGTCCGCACCAAGGTTTGAGGACGCCCACATGCCCCTGTATTCTTCCTGGCCGGCCGTGTCGGTAAGCGAGAGATGATAGGTGGCGCCGTCGATTTGCCGCGTGATGCTGTAGCTGTCTTCGATGGTGGGGTCATATTCGGATGTCCACTGCGAGCGGACGAGGCGCAGTGTAATGGAGGATTTACCGCATCCGCCGTCACCGCATATCGTAATGGAGATGGGGACTGGCGGTGGGGATTCGCCTGCGTAAGGCATGTTGGCTGGCGTCTTGCTTGTTGCCTGGGGTGCAGAGGCAGGGTAGTAGCCGTAATAGAGCGGGCAAATTACACGACAGAACAATACAGGTTCAGGTATCTCTCTGCTCGCACTCACAGCTGAACGAGTACTTCAGCGAAGCACAGCTCTTCTTCCCCAGTCTCGGTCGGACTTTGTTGTTGTAGTTGTTGTTTCCTATGGAATCTAAACGGTCGCCGGGGTTTTAGAGTTTGCCGCGCGGTTCCGCGGATATTATCCCGTTACTCTTCCCCTTCAAGAAGGAGAGGGGCCCGTGGTGTAAGATAAAAGTTCGCGAGGTATGAAATGCCGGCTTGCGCGGAATGCAGTGCGGATACAGTTGGAAGGCTCAAAGTTTGGCGGGACGGGCCTGGGTCGCGCGGAGGTGCCGGGATAAATGGAAATTGTCGATCGAAAGCGAGATAAAGACGTCAAGCAGCACAGAGCCGCAATTCGAGTCCCGCAGAGACGTTGGGACGATTTTCTTGGACAAATCGCGAAGGGGGCGGCGGGCGTGCCACGATATCAAGCCGAGCTATTAGTGGGGTGGGGCGTGTGTGGGTGGTCGGCCAATTCGTCAATTCAATCCGCCGTGCTCGAGCCTCTTACCAGACTTTAAGAGGATAATCAAGCTCACTCTGCAAATCACGGCTTTCGAGTACGGAGGTTAAGGACAGTTGTTTTTTGGGAAGCGGAGGGCAAAGGCGGGGAAATCGGTTGATATGCAAACGAAGCGGGAAAGGACCGTGGGTTTGACCATGAACAAACAGGTTGAGACTCGAAGAAGAAATAGATAGAAGAGGAGAAGGAAGGAAGACTCTCGACCAGTCACGAGAAAAGAAGGCTGAGAACGTAACCACTCAACCGGGATCTGATTGTGGTCTTGTTCACTAAAAAGGGATCCCTGACTGTCACGATAGATTGTGGATTTGCTGGTCCACTCGATGCACCACATTCCCACCTGCAAATCTTCCATGTTTCCACAAACTCGACATGACAAATGACGACAATTGCGGTAGCGCAATGATGCGATCCCAGCGCTGCGCATGTCTCCGCTATCAAGCTATCATTTGTTTTATTTCATTACCGCAGACTCTTTTGACTTCCAAAACAGTTGTCGGGCCGGCTAGCTGAACATTAGGTCGAGTTGTTCATACCGACCGACTAACGTTTCCGTTTCCTGATGTGCGGACAGCGCAGCGGGAGAGACACATACACAGAGAATGCAATGAGATGCAGACTCCAGGAGGTCCAAATCCGAGGACGACATAAAGTAGTAGCGGGATCGCGTATGATAGGTGCGGCGTGCATTTGAGGAGCATTCGTTTGGGAGAGCCAGGGGCGAGCTCAAACCACCTGCGACCGAACTCACCAATGTCCCGAATGCTACTCAACTGTGCGCTCGCTCCCCTTCATTGCTTTTTCTTCATTTCGGGCCAGGCCGTTGAGCTGATAAGCCACAATTGTCGGTTGTTGGAAATTTTGACCCCGTAAGCTTCTGAAATGTCACTTTCACATATTTCACCGTGACACCTCGAGATTCTCGAATCACCCAAAACAAGGACCATAAAAGTGCAATTCATGCTAATTACCTTTTTGAGACGATGGGCAAAGAGCATCCGAAGATAGCAAGGCGGATTGTCAATGCATTTCTATACCGGGTCAAGATCGCCTTGGGCCAGATGGGCTCAACTTCCATCATTATTTCGGCTAACTCGGCTTGCACTGTTTCGGTGCTAGGGGATATGGATCAGATGATTGTTGAAATTGCTGATTTGATATCTGTCAACATCCTCCGAATGGGTCAAGGTCAATTACCAACCGAACTGCACCAACCCCGATTTTCTCAAGATAGATAGGGAATCGGCCAGGCCGGCCAGTGCCCATGTGCGTCCAAGGATTCTCCACCGTTGCATTTCTTCAACCACGAAAGTCTGCTAGCAAGGGTGCAATTTCCCCATTGAGCGGTTGTCATCTGGTCTCTGGAGATGCTTCATCTGCAGTATCTCGACATCGAAAAATGCTGGCCGCCAACAGCAACTCTGTCGGTCCATGGATTTTCACCGACAATTCGTGTTCGGCATCTCAAAATTGTTCGCATAGTGTTCAAGACGACTGACGGCCGCCAGGTTGGGCAGCAATTCCTCCACAACCCCATCAAAAGATGCAGACAACGGGCTCGTGATCACGACATTGAGTCTATCTGAGTTTCCGCAATGACGGCCAAGACCGACAAGCCGGATGCACACCCGGCGCTTTGCCGCTCGTGGGGCATTGGTACCCTAGGGTCCACTGCTGCCATTTTTACCTGTTCAACGAAACAATTACCCCAATAAATACTCCAGACCCGGCGGGTCCATGTCTGGACGTTCATCTTTTGCCATGTATTGGAGACCGTCGATCATGTACACGATACTTCCTTGCCTGAGAAGAGTTTCACTTGGGCAGCGATTTGGCAGATAAACAGCCATCTATGTTGATAGCTGTTCCATTAGGCTTGGCAACTCGACGTTTCAGAGCGCAATGATGATTTCAAGAACGTTGCGTCGTGAGCGTGTAAGTTTCCGCCCGTCACGGAGGTCCATGCGGGCGTCAAGAACTCAGGGCCGAGACAAGTGTCTCACGATCGCATGGCGTCTATTCAAATTACCCGCTGACTACTGTCAACTCAATGGAATAGTCATCGCCGTCTTCGCGGTCTGCGTCCCCATCTGTGGCGCATTCGCGTTTGGAGAGGCATGGGAATATCTACTTAGTAGAATAGGGTAACTGACCCGTACGACTTCTTAGCAATGCGATGGGCCGTTTTTAGGTCATACCTGTCCGATTATCTTCCGTTCAATTGGAATAATGCGGCATCAGCCATTGGCTCACAGTAGCCTGGCGCTTTCATCGGCTCTTAGTTTATCAAGTCAACTGCTGTTGACCATGAAGCCGTCCTGAAACAAGTTTGCTAACGCGATCTTAGTCATCAGCATATGAGAGCATGCCCTCTCATCCGGCTTGGACATTCGCAAAGCCTAGCCCTAAAGCTCAGTGTATCTTGCAGCTGGCTCGAGGCAAAAATAGTTCTTGGTTTCACCCTCGAAACGCCGATCATGCTGTTGACATAGACAGGGACAAGTTCATCAAATAAGGAGGTGTTCTAACGTGCCCCACTTGAAATCTAGACCTCCCCAGACATGGCGCTGGCACATGACCGCGCCAAGGGCATGAATTTCTTGTGGTTGGGGTATCTCACCGGCCTGTTCGGACCGCTCGATGTCGGACGCTTCCGAATCAACCGAGTCTAACGTCGCTTGGGGCGCGTCGGGCTCTCGCTGTTCCCGTCGCTGCCGTAGTCGTCTGGATTGCCCGTCATCAGCCACTTCCGTCGGGAGCAGTGGCGGAGCAGACGATACTCGGGTACTCAAGCTAGTGATAGTGAAGGTCTTATCCGGCCGCCATAGGTGACAATCCATAGGCTCTCCCGGCCCGGTTTGCATTGCATGTGGAGCTGATAGACGCGTTGCACGCCGAGACTTAGGTCCTTGGCGCCTTCCTTGTTACCATCCACAAGGTTCCCTGGATCTAAAAGCTCATCGAGGGGGTTCCGGTTGTTTTTGTAGACATGACGCTCAACCAGGCTGGGAAACTTAGCGTGGAACAGGCCTCGCTCCAGAGGCGACCTGATTGTCTTGCGATCCTTCATTAGATGGCCCGTTTGGAGTAGAAGCCACCACTGTATCTTTTTAGCCAAAACAAGGGCAGTTGACATGGCCGCGGTAGCGTCTGGGTGGAAACTCCAGACCATCGCTCCGCCCTCGAACCTGAACTGCGAGACGCATCTGACATGCGGGGCTAGGTATGCTTGCCCTAGCTCGGAGGAAGGCAGCAATCCCGCATCGAACCGGATCTACTTGAACTCGTTACGTATATCTCAGAAAGGCGCGGCGCCCTAGTTGTGGGTACCTTTCAGCATCCTGTTCTCTGCCAGCTCCTCCACCAGCCCGTCAGTGGGAGGCTCCATGGGCACGGTGAGATCAACCCCTGAGCGCTCTCAACTGGCGAGGTAGTGGAACAGGTACAGTATGGTGGGCGTGAAGACAACGTTTTCAACAGCTTCTTCGGTGTTACTTTGTAGCATCTTGAGATGCTTCGTACTGACTAGTGGTAAGATCATCTCGAAGCGTAGCTTTTGTCTAATTTGAGGTATGGTATTGAGGGTCGGAAAAAGCTACGTCGAACTACTTCAGGTTTGAGCAGGTCGTGAGTGAGCATCCCAAGGTGGTGGTTGCGGCGTGGGCTATCGGGACAGATATTGATGGAACAGAGGAACGACGACCTTGTTGTTTGGCTGATGGAAGGTTGCGGCCTACTTGGCTGCTTTGGGTGTCCAGGATTATCGCTGGGCACGGCGATCGCGTGGAGTTTCAAGGTGACGGTTCCGTCATGCCTGGAGAGAGCTGATTATCAATAACAAGTTCATATTCTTGCAGAATACGGAGCTGAAAGCCCTCGTCCATTTCCTCGCTGCTCGTAAATGATGCACTATTACTAATTGGGGCTAATCATTTCAGTAATGAGTCTAATTGCTTCTAATATCGTTATGAAAATAACATTCTGGAGGAGCTTATGCTCGACAGTTGTGAGCTGAGTACTATACGTCGGTAAGGGCACATGAGTTGATTCATGAGATGATAAATTTGCTGCACGCCTCTACATCAACCTCTTTTCTTGATATCCCGAGTAACAAATTGGCAGGAATCTCGGCGCTCCATCTTTTACTCCAAACCCTCCTTCCCCGACTTGTCCGGTGATCAAGAGCACCCAGCTGAAGAAGGATTCGAGGTCGAAGATTTCGATTGCGGAGCCGGGGTATTGTGTTGTGATTTTGGGATTAGGGGTCCTGTGGCTATAGGCGCCGACATTGGACAACGATTGCGGATGATGCCGGTGATGACGGTGTCTTCTACAGCCATTTTAGTATTATATGCAAAGAAGGTGTTGTTGGGTTGGAAAGCGGCAGCTAGTTTGTTGTAGGTGACTTACTGATTCCTTTATGGTCAATTCCGTTGCAAGACCCGACCTCCTGGATGTCGGCAGGAATGGGAGAGGACCCGAGACCATCGAAGTTGCAGTACACTTGGTTTCGGGAAAAGAGTGTCTGGTGGGACCTGCGGCTGCAATAGAGGCAAAGTCCAAAGACAGAAGTGCGGTGACCTTGGCACAGGAGAATCTGGATTGGGTAGTACCACGGAACCTGGAACAGACAAAGAGTCTAAAAAGGAGTGAGGTAAGTGGATGTAAATAATGCCTGGCACTCTATGGAGCTGCCGCCTGGAGAGAAGTGACGTCGCCTCGGTAATTGCAGAGTGTGGCTCAATTACTAGGCAGGGCTCCATGAAAGTTCATATAATGGGACACTATATGATTCTGAATCCTCAAGAAACAGGACAGAAAGATCTTCACGACAAAGGCCTTGAGAATAGAGGTCATCCTTTTGCTCAAATTATTCAATCGAGTATGGTACCTGATCACTTTGGAGCAAGCGCCCATTCAATGAGTATTGAGGTGGCATATACATACAAGGATAACGACCTATAAGGCACTGAGAGCAGAGCCGCTGAGTACTAGAATCATCATGACTAAAATCTAAAATTCTGGATACTGTTAAATCTCCCTGTCCGATATTTATTATCGACCTAGACTTGACAGGTTCCGTTGGATGAGACAGCCCGGTATATACTAGAGTCGAAACCGATGATATCCTTCGAAGTCGACAAGTTCGGCAATAGCACAATGATACTTACCATATTTAGCTAACAGCTGTATCTTTATATCTCGTTTTTCCTGTCTATCGGAAGGCATTAAATGGTTACCCCTGACCGAGATTTCTGGGACAACTCCCTCTAGGCTCCATGAGTATAAGTTGCGAAAAAGACAACGATATGACAGCAGAACTAGTATGGCGATGGAAAATGTATCAAACTATCTGCGACCTCAGCAAGGATTCCATTTCAGCAACCCCCAAGCACGCAATGATGTCTCCACCTTGATTATCACCAACTATGACGGCCATCAAGCCTGCCTGCAACGTCTTCAAGCTCGAGTAAATAACATCAGCGATGAGACTGAAATCATTGATGCCCCCGCACTCTCTAACTAACGAAGTGCGCACCCTGGTCTATCCGCGCCCATCGATAGTAATCAGGTAACACACGATGCGGTCATATCCAATCGCGGCTTGGATAGTTGTTCCATCGATGCAGTGACTCTGCTAGAGGGGACAACAGCTCACCTAGTAGGGTTGTCTCAGAATACAGCTCGTGGAGACGCGTGCTAGCTTTGAGAATTGCTTCTCTCAAACGGCCCCGCCCTCTATGATTCTCATGGAATGATAGTCGAGAGATTGAAGATGGTGTGTACGAAGTATGTCTAATTCATATTCAAGCTTGCGTGCCTCAGTTTAGCCGCAAGGACCTGATTTCCCGAGCCGAATTAGGAAGGACATTCGTGATAGAATCGGCCCTTGTTGCGTTGAAAAATGCAGAGGAATGAGTCAGACCGGCTCCAGATACAGCACATATAAATTTGATGCTTTGAGAGGGTGCTTAACAGCTCCAAGCAGGGCTCATAGTGCGTATAAATCTTCCATTCAAGATAATACTTTAAATACAATTCAAGAATGTAGGCAAACCTAGTTTGCATAATATATACAAGAACTCTATTTACCGATGCAGCCTTTATTTACCTCCGAATCGCTGGTGTCTTCTACTACCTCGGCCCGGACGCCGCGCACTAGTTGTTGCCACCTGCGTTGCCACTGCGGCGCTAGTAACGGTCGGTGCGGATGTGATAGGTGAGTTGGTCGAAGAAGCAACTTCTTCCGCCTCCGTCGCCTCAGTGGCAGTCACGGCGGCCGCGGTCTCCGTCACGCTGGTTGGAGAAGCAAGTGCCGAAGACGAGCTCGAAGCAGTCACCGCCGGCACACTACTAGCAACTGCCGCAGAAGCACCGTTCAAAATAGCGCTGATTGGCGCTAAGCCGGGGAAGAAAGAAGCGGGCATGGTCGGGACGGCGATGGGGGCGGACAGTCCCAGACCGGTGGTGAGCTCGTCGGCCATGGTGGCGTAGCTGTAGCTGGTCTCGGTCGTCAAAGTGACGGTGGAGGTGTAGGTGGTGGTTGCATCGCCGTCTTCTAGACACGAGCCGGAGCCGTATGCATTGTAGCATGCGTGGTAGACCTCGTCACCAGATTCGGTCCACACGTGGAAATCGTCAATGGAGATATCCGTGCAGGGCATACCTGCGGGGCAGAGGACCTTGACGGGCCCGCGTTCTGTGCCGTCCGAGCAGGTACCGCGCCATCCGCGGAAGCTGACGTTGGAATATCTGGAGGGGGGAGGGTCAGTGGTCGTTCATAGGGTGTTTGAGAATGAGTCGGAGGCCTACTGAATACCGTCGCCATCCACCGTACTCATAGAGCTCCAGGCACTATCGAAATCTAATGTGTATGCGTTGCTGTGGCCAACAAAGTTGTTGAAAGCAAGGTTGTAGACGTTTCCGGAGCCACCGTTTGATTTGATCATGAACATCTGGTTGGCGTGGTGGGTGTAGATGTTGTTGTACTGTTTGATAATGACGAGTCAGCCATCACTGTGCTCGCAAATTGAAGCGGGAGAGGACGTCCAAGTGAAACATAGCCAACGGGATACGGGAGGAAGAGACAGCCGTGACTTACCTCAATATCATGAATATCAATGCCGGATGCCAGCGAGCCCATAGCGCAGCCACCGCTCCAATTGCAGTGGACTTGCTCAACGAGGATATTTGCAGATGGATCTTTGACAGTGACGCACTCATCCTTGTTCGTGACCTCGATGTCATGGATCCAGATGTTGGTGCCCCAGACGTCGATTCCGTCGAGACCTCCGCGGTTGGCACCTCGAATGATCATGTTGTACAGCTCACCATTGGTGCAGGTATCAAGAGACAAGTGGAATGCCGGAGCTTAGGGTTGTGTCAGCTGAGTTTGATACAATTGCCATTATGAGTACAGGTAACGTACAGTCAACAAGAGCAATGTCGTGAACCGAAAAGTCGGTGCACTTGTAAAAGCGCAGGAGACGGGGTCCGTATGTGTCGTCTTTCAGGAACTCGTATCCATAACCCTGCATGCCCCCCTTGGACGTAGCGCTGTAAAATTCGAAATCGTGTGTGTCCCTGATCATGATCATGTTTCCGCCATCGGTCCCCACACGGTACAGGGTCCCCTCGAGGTTGAACGAGTTGTTGGCTCCGTTCTTCAACGTCAACCAGGTACTCAAACCATAATCACCCTCTGGGATATAGACTGAAAGCAGACATGTTAGCCAGGGTAGCGAATGGAGACGGACTTGGACTCACCTTGACCACCCGTCTTGCAGTCATCCCACGCAGACTGGATGGCGGCACCGTTGTCCTCTGTTGCACTGGCAACTCCTCCGTAGTCCATGATGTTGCATATTTTTGCCACTTTATCAGCAGTAGAACTGGTTGGGCCAACTGAGCCAGAGAGTTGAGCTGCCGCAGGAAGAATGTAGCTGGCCGTCGCCAGGAGAGCTGTGATGAAGGCAGCCATAATGAAGTGAAAGAACCAAGCCTGTGGTAAAGAACGACTAGAATCTGCCTGAAGACCGGCGCATTCAAACGACGGTTAAATCCACAAGTGCAAATAGAGACAAGATAACGAATGAAGAGCAGTTACTGCAGTGCCTAAAAATACTTACCTAGATGTCACTGGAGTAGACAGGCGGTTGTTCTTTTATTAAGCTTCCAGCCTTGGCACCATAATGTTTCTCAGGAGATTGTGGGCACCGATCGTACGAATTGAGGAAACCGGGTTCGACAAAATCCATCACAGAGCGGCATTAGAGGTTTAAATTTGCAAACAAGGTCGTTGACCAGGGAAAAGCGTGGACTGCGGTGGGTTGGGTTGCAGGTAAATTCGCAGTCAGGTTCGATTGTTTTATATTCCCTGTCTTCTGGGCGGGTTGGCGCGTCCACCTCCCTGAGATTGACGAACTCGCCTCACTGTCGTGTTTGCGTCTGGACGTACTTCGAAAACAAGCAAGCAACACGAAGTCCTGGCAAGTGTGCATAGCTGCTAAGAAACAACGGAAATAGAGACCCGAACTTATGGTTCATCCTTTCGTTTGTTGTTTCTCCTTGGCTTTTCTCCACAGCTCCAGACGACGACGCGGTAGGGAAACTCGTCGTCCCGCATACATCAGAAATGCAATGAGTGATAATAGCAGCTGTCTGGGTGCCACCCGCCACCAATTTAGGAGAGAAGATTGGTAACATCAGGTTGTTACGCCTTAATTCTCATCTGATCAGTTGGAAATAGACGCACGACATCAGATGTGTAAAATGAGATGAGGCGACGACAAGGATCCTGGCCGTTCCAGCCCTGTGGGAATGCCCCGCAACATGCAAATGGCGCAGAGGAAACATCCGAGGTTCAGACCGTTCTGGCGGGCCTGGAAAATAGCACCACAAAATTATTCAGGGCGGCTTTTGTTGCTTTTGTTGCAGTCTTGCTCCGACCGAAGTTGTAGATGCCGGTCTACTCGAGAGCCATGATAGTTTTTGAAGACAGGCAATGAAGTCCATAATGGCCGACTCATCAAAACGAAACGGCGCAATCCAGATCTGCACCAGGATCCCCCACCGGGTCCGTGCCATGCTTAGCGCTCCTCTTCGCTCCGCGCACGCGGCAGCACGGAAAGAAGGGTGGGATCCCCAGAAATGCCAGATTGCACAACTGACGAATTAGCTTTTTCCTTTTCGGCATCAGACGACGGGCTAGGTCTTTTGCTTCACAAATTTTAAAAAAATAATAATATTAAATACGCCGTAGGTGTTAACCCTCGGTACCTCTACAAGTACTCCCTTAAGGGGCTATAGATGATGTAGCGGGCCCTTAAGCCTAAGTGCTACAACCCCTGCCTGAACTACCGATTAGTGTGGTAATGTGGCACTTAAATTCGTCCTCAGGGGTGGGATGCTGCTGATGTGCAGAAGATGCTCGATTATTTTTTGTCGCGACAAGTCGTAGTATCTGCTAATTGGGGTTCTCGTCGAACGTATACATCTCAACCATACGCTTAAGTGGATAGACCGTAACGTGGTCTAGACGCTCGCAAGAATCGCGGCGAGAGGGGGTCCGATAAGGGGTCGGATTAACGATTCGAATTCTGGACCGGCTGTCGAGTTATATTCCGCCAACGTAGTGCTTGACGGTCGACTGGCTAGGATGCTCGTAATCCTAAACTGCACCAATCTCCCTATTATCGCTAGGTAGGCGAAGTCAACAAGGTGGGCAGCGCGCCGTAAGGGTTGACTAAACCCTCTTGTGTGTCAGCTGCGGGATTCGAACCCGCGACTCGTCACCGACCCAAGTGGAGTGGGCGAGGCTCAAATCGGGACTTATCTACCAGCGAAGTGACCAACTACACCAGCCGACTTTACAAATTTTAATTCCATTCCGGGGTTTCATCCATTTCCATCGCCATTTTTTCGCCACCAGCCCTGCTCCGTGTCCGTGTTTTGTCGGCCACAGTGTGACTTCGGTACCGGCAGAATGGGTTGGCCGTGGGAATTCGCAACTCTGTCCGTTGCCGAGAAGCACGAGAGGCGCCGGGTGCTCGACCGGTATGGCACGTATGCCCAACTCTCGGCATTCGTCCCGCTACTGGTGATTCTCGTGATCCGATTTGGCAGATTTGTGTTCAGAAGGATCGCCACTCGCAAAGTCGCGTACGATGTCGTGCCAACTTCGCCGGTTGCGAAGTGCGCGAGACTGAGCACGGCTGGCTCGTGGGGAACCATCGGTAGGCGGGTGGCGTGGTGGCTCGGGGATGATGTCGAATTTGCCGGGCAGAACTGGGGCCGGAGAGACCAGCTCGTATTTGGAGCCGGGTGGGCCGTTTGGTTGCTGTTCTTATGTGTGGTCGGAACTGGGAGTGGTGAGTTGCATTGGATCCGGCTCAATTGGAGCGGGTCTGTTCTACTTTTGCTGTCCCCCATCGTTCGATATCACAACCACGGAGTGTTATCGGCTTCCTTGTCGATTTTACCGCTTCCTGCATTAGCGACTTCTCGTTGGCCATGATCTTCAAGTGAAGAACTAGGCAAGCTGCATCGCGCGCCAAAATCTGGCAACAGAACTGTCCGGGCCTTGTCGAGCAATGATGTCGATTATTGTCCTATGGAGTAACAGCGTCATCCCCGCAGGCATAGCGCTTCGGACTCCATGAATTATCAGTGTTACTTCCATTGGATAGGGGGAATCTCATTGCCAACTAAGATGAGCTGACATACGTGTAGACTACTTCCATCTCACCAAACGATTCGGCATCATCGCCACCTCCCAATTCCCAATCCAGTATATCCTAGCCTTAAAATCCATCAATCCCGTCGCCTTCGCCTTCCGCTCCTCCCACGAACAAATCAACCGCTGGCACCGAGTCCTGGGCTGGATAACCTACGTCCTCCTCTGCTTCCACGGCCTTCTCTACATCAACTATTACATCCAAGCCGGCATTTTGGGTGAGAAGCTCCTCGCCCGCATCGTCATCATCGGCGTCGTCTCCCTCCTCGGCATGACCCTCATGACGACGACCGCATTCGCAGTCATAAGGCAGTACTCCTACCGCCTCTTCTTCGTCACGCATCTCGTCGTCGCCCTGGCGCTGCCGCCTGCCATCTTCTTCCACGTGAGCCATGCGCGAGTGTATATGGTCGAGTCCCTCCTCGTATTCATCGTGGACCTTGCCGTAAAGAAGTCCGGCACCGTCACGGCTGAGACAGCCGTCGAGATGATCCCCGGCACGAATCTCATCAAACTTGTCGCCAAGGTACCGCCACTGAAGGCGGGGCAGTTTAAAGACCACGCAGCTTCGCACATTTACATGAGCATCCCGCCTTCCGCGCGGCCAAGTTCGAATCCAGCTTCCCTGGCGCACATGCAGTTCGAGTTCATGTTCAACCCCTTTACCGTGGCTGCAGTGGACGAAGTATCTGGGGAGATTACCCTAATTGCACGCCAACTCAAGGGTCCCGTCTCTCAAACCCTAGCCCGATTCGCCAACGTCGGGCCAGACAGCAAGATGCCCATCTGCCTCGAAGGCCCCTACGGAATATCGAAGCACTTCACCACCTCGATCGCCACCTCTTTCGACCGAGTGCTCCTCTTCACCGGCGGCGTGGGCGCCACGTTCATCATGCCAATCTACCAGTACCTCAATGAAAACTCCGCCGCTCACGTGGACATGATCTGGGCCGTCCGCGAAGCGGGAGAGGCTACTTGGCCTGTGACGGGGACTGAGAAGAGTATCATCGATGATGATAACATCAGCTTGTACCTGACGGGTAGCATGTTTGATTCTTTTGACGGGAATGGAGGAGCAGGAACTAGCTCTAGTTCGAGCCGCGAGAGCGAAGGGGTCGAGTTGAGTCACATGTACAAGGATCGCCAGGGCGGCAAGCATACTTCGATGCATAGCCGGAAGAGGCCGGATTTGCAGAAGATTGTTCATGATGCGTTTATGAGGGGACAGGAGGAGCGGGTGGCTGTGTTGGTGTGCGGGCCGGAGGCTATGGGACGGGAGTTGAGGAGATATGTTGGAGTTTGGGTTAATAAGGGGAGGTATGTTTGGTGGCACAATGAGAGTTTTAGCTGGTGAGATAAGCTGGGAATAGTTAGTTACTACGAGGAGTTGTAGAGTTTCAAAGAATGACTGCCAATGTATCCAGTCGATTTGGTCAGATCTGAGTTGGAGCGCGTGATGATCTGAACATTCCGAATATCATGAACGTGCTCTGTTGATTCTAAGTATTTTTTGTAGGCTTTTTAAGGAAGAACTGTCCGTACGTTGGCGCGAAGAGAGGCAGATCAGGGGCTGCAGTATGCCAGAGATTTGCAAACCTAATGGTTGGCAAAGTCTTTTTTCTTGTACTCTCCCAGCAGCTGCTAGCACCTGCTATCAATCCTTCAGTGTACCTCCGGCAGTAGGCCTTTCTCTTGGATTGTTGGGGATACAGAGGTCAAAACCCAATTGGCCAGCTCTTGAATGGCCTTTATGTGCTCCTTGCATTCGTGGTCGGCATAGAAAAACTCGTCCCAGTCTTGCTTGTAGCTGATTCGGCCGCCGGAGGTCATCTCCGCGATAGGATGAGAGCATATTGTACCTTTTGGAGGGACATATTTTCTGAAATGGATTTTAAGGCTTTTCCTCGATGCTGGCTCGAGGGTCTGCCGATGCCTCTGTTCGGCTTCCTCTTACTTCCCCTGGCTTCGAAGGACGATTGCGAGATTATTTATACTACGAAGTGTGTCGGGATGCTCGCAGCCTAGTACCTTCTCCCTTAGCTCGAGGGTCTGGCGATGCCTCTGCTCGGCCTCCTCGTACTTCCCCTGGCTTCCAAGGACGAGTGCGAGGTTATTCATACTACGAAGTGTGTCGGGATGCTCGCGGCCTAGCACCTTCTCGTATAGCTCGAGGGTCTGGCGATGCCTCTGCTCGGCCTCCTCGTACTTCCCCTGGCTTCCAAGGACGAATGCGAGGTTATTCATACTACGAAGTGTGTCGGGATGCTCGCGGCCTAGCACCTTCTCGTATAGCTCGAGGGTCTGGCGATGCCTCTGCTCGGCCTCCTCGTACTTCCCCTGGCTTCCAAGGACGAGTGCGAGGTTATTCATACTACCAAGTGTGTCGGGATGCTCGCGGCCTAGCACCTTCTCGCATAGCTCGAGGGTCTGGCGATGCCTCTGCTCGGCCTCCTCGTACTTCCCCTGGCTTCCAAGGACGATTGCGAGGTTATTCATACTACCAATTGTGTCGGGATGCTCGCGGCCTAGTACCTTCTCTTGTAGCTCGAGGGCCTGCCGATACATCTTTTCAGCTTCCTCGTACTTCCCAAGTATATTTTTACTTTCCCCAACATTACGTAGAAGAGTCCACTCCGATTCCTGATTAGAACAACCATCTTGAAACTCCAGTGCCGACTGCCCATGCGCTATATACCTTGTCCATATCTCCTTATTCTCGTGCCGAGGGACGGGGTATACACTTGATAGTCGCTGTATTACATTCGCAGTCCACTCTTGCCACTCCCCTCTTTTCTGAAGCCATTTACGCGTAGCTAGTCGAACGAGCCGGTGGATATCGAACGAGTCGGAGTCGCCCCTCTGGGTAATAAACGCATATCCTTTTAAAGTGCCGATAGCTTTATCTTCTTCAAGAACATCCTCTCCTAGAGGAAGCAATGCTACCGGGATATCTTTCTCTGCGAGGAAACATATAAACCTGAGGTACTTTGCAGCAAGTGGCTGATCCCGTGTGATATGGTCGAACGAAATTAGCCAAGTAGTGGCTACTGGGTTCTCCGTTGCCTTATAGCGTCCGCGATCCTCAAACTTCTCACTAAGTAGTGTAACTAAATTCTTGTTACTCGACTGGCAGTAGTCAAGATATTTAGTAGTCGATATCCTTGTTTTGGCTATGTATGCAGAGGCTTGCTTGATGGCTAGGGGTAGATACGCAAGGAAATCTAGCAGGGTTTCGGTGCTCTCGACATTTTGCGTCTGGCTTTCTTTTAAGCCGTTCCTTAACATCTCAAGAGCTTCTGTCTTGCTCATTTCCTCCACGGTGATGATATTTCTCTCTAGGATATCGAGCTCTACCACAGCTTGGTAGACTCGTGTTGTAAATAGGATCGAGCCCTTCCGGGCGAATGGAAGAAAATCGGAAAGATAGGTTACCAACTTTAGATCATCGGCATTATCGATGATCAAAAGCCAGCTGCCGGCGCTCTCATCTTCAAGGGCGGCCTTCACAAGAAGCAGCTTGACGTCTGCCTTGTCATCTTCGAGCCATTTGACGCCGAGTTTTTGACCGATTTGGCGGTAGGCGTTATCAAAACTGGTGGTGTCCGTGGCCGGGACCCAGAAGACGGAGCAGTCCTTATAGGCATCCCGGACTTGGTAGGCGGCTTCGACGGCAATCTGGGTCTTGCCTACCCCACCGAGACCTACTATGGCGCTCCTCTGGCAATCGTCTTTATTGATGTTGGGTGGTATCCTCTGGAGGACCTGGTTCAGGATCGGCCCACGTCCGACGAAGTCTTCGTTACGGCCAAACGGGACCATGAAGTGATGTTGTTGTACAGCTTAGCTATATTAGATTCAGGTATCACCGAGTAGTTGGTGGATCAAGTTGACTTACATTTCTGTCGGCGACCTAAGACAGAGTGCGCCTCGTTAGAAATCTTTTTTACAATTTCTTTCACGGACTTGAAGTTCGAATCGCCGGGCCCAGGAAACTTATTCATGCCTGAATGTGTTGCATTAAGACTTTGCCGGTCAAAAGTGTCCAGACATGCTGAATCTTGGGTAACGATCTGCCTCGACTTAGCTTGCATAAACGTATCTATTAGTGTTACCTACTAGCTTTCGAGTGCTTCCCATCATGGTGGCGGAGGTTACATCGATTAGGCGGCGTGGTAAGGAAAACTTCCTAAGCATCTCCGTTTTTTGGGTCTCGAAGAAGCAGTGGACAGGAAGTTGGACCGTCCCTCGTCTGGCAACTTCTGCAAACAGTTGAGTCAATTTGCGAAGCTCTTTATCAGCGTTGTTCAGGTTTTCGACAAGTCGCATTGATGTCTGCTTTCCCATGATTCCACCTACCACCACTTGCCATCCAGCCTGATCAGCCGCATCACTACCACGGAAGGGAGTGGCTAAGAACACCACCCCGGCCGTGGACAAGAGGACCTTTCGGTAGGGACTGCCTTCTTGCGCGGCTCTGTTAATGGCCTAGGAGAGGTTAGCCTGCACCTAATCTTTTGTAATAAAGACGTACCTCGGCGAGGACAAGTCCCCCGAAGCAAGAGGCGATGAAGATGAGGGGTCGGAATACGGAGCCTTGGTCCCCGGCTACGAGTGCAAGGAGGTTGTCGGCATGACCCAGCAGCGTCTGCACTGGTGCGTCTTCGAAGTAGTTTGCGTTCCAGTCGTATGTGAATATTCTGGCCTCGGGGACGGCAGCTGGTAGCATGTCGCTGTCCGTTAATCAGTTGATTACCCCGCCTCTGTGTTTCTCATATTCCCATGTTCGTGGCGATTCGGTGCCTAGGCCGTGGATAGCGATGATACTATATAGATTAGCGCAGTATGTTGTTTTTGCTTCATAGACGTACTCGATAGTAGTGTCGCCAACGATGCCCCCGACCGGGGTGACCTGGTGAAGCCCGAGCACCTGGCTAGTAGAAGCGGCCTTAGAAATGGTTAGTATTTGTAGTTTGCAATAGGGTCGGAAAGGTGGTAGTTATACCATAATCGATCTCTATTGTCTTCTAGGATAGCGAGCTGTGGTTGAGATGGGATTCTGGATCTGGTGTACTGTATATTTGTCGAAGGAAGAGGGAAGAAGAGGGGAGAAGAATCAAGGCTCCTTTGCATGACCACGACGCCTTTCTGCGACGTGCGTTATGATTGGTTAATAAAACCCGCTGACGAATAGGGATTAGAAACCTCGGTAGGGATCAAGCAGCACTCATCAGATAATCAATTACCGAAGTAAAAGCGATATTGATGCGAGTGCATATGGGGTGTGAATTGTTGTATTGGGAAAGGATGGCCAGGTCAGCTATTCTGGCCTGGCAGAGCTCTTTTATAACTTAGCTCTTATCTATCTTATCTATAGCTACAGGGTAACCCCCGATGGGGTCACGTATCACCAGCCGTGCTAGCTTTAATTGTACCGAGGTTTCCCACAAGCAAGCAGCTATCCAGCAGTTTCGAGACACCCGAATCTCAAATACTGCGGTACTTTGCATATCCAGGTTTAGAACAAGTCATCAGTTGATATCAAAGGTTCATACTACCTACCTTTAACTTGAACTCCAGATCTCAACTCAGCTTCAAGTTCATCTCAGGAAAAGTGGCTTTCCTCCTTGGTTGAACACCATTGATTCATGTTCTTGTGATCGATATGGTTAATATATGCAATATTTTAAACCGTTCAACCGTTAGTCTTCTAAACTCGTTTGCTAATCTGCATTCCAGCCCGTATTTGTCTAGTGTATTCCCCAGTTGCATTTGTTTTCCAATCAACCCTTCCCGGTCGTCTTTCCCGGGCCCCTGTCTCGTCTGGGTCAGCTTTCTCGGCGTACTTCAAGGACTAATATTGTATGGATAGTCCATTCAATTAAGTAGAACTATCCATGCTATTACTGTAACGGGGTAAGGCCGGACATCAGGGAAATAGGTTACGGGGCTAGGAGAAAGTTTATTTTCTCTTCTTTAAGAGGCACAGAGGCAGAGTAGGACACGAGTCCCCCATCTTCACGCATCATCATCCTCATCTTCATATCATCATCTCCTTCTTATCTATATCTTCACCTTCGCTTTTCAGTCAGTTATTTAGTTATTTTAGTTTTTCAGCTTATCTTTACGTTCGAGATCCTATTATTGTCAGAGAACAGAATGCCATAGGCACCAGTGGGTGTCAGGACACTGAACGCAAGACACCGGTGGGGCGCCGGAGGGGTGTTTCGGACAAAAGACTCCCGAGTCATGATTACAATCTATGTGAAGCTTTGGGATGACGAGAGTCAAGATCCTTGGCATCGCCGACCCTGCTGTTATGCCGGGTCCAAGCGGCGGCCTAGCTATCTATATAAGGACCATCTCGAAGTAGGATAGGGAAGGAGCAGAGATCAATGCATCACCGTGGGCACCCCTACCTGAGACCGCCAGTGACCACCCGGTGCTACGTAGGAGGGACGCCCGTTACTCCCCATCACTCTGTACTATTGCCTTCGGCCTAGCCGTACCCTGACAATTATCACGATACGAGTATCAGAGGCACATCCGACCAACTTGCGCACCAGACGTGTAGGAGCTTCGCTCTTATAACCAGTACCACGATCTTCGTCTGATAAGACTAACAGATGGGATCTGTTGGTACTGGAGCCGTCTGTTCAGTGTGTTAGGTGGTAGGTATATCCTACTGACCGCCTGACCCTGTTTCATGACATAAAATTCCAGGTCATTCAAGTAGGATAGGCAAATTATTAGCATATATCACATAGTATAAAGCAGCTGTTTGTTCAAAACGCCTCATGTTCATTCTGTTAAGCTACCTACTGTAACTAAGTAACCATCTGAAAATCAATCAAAAACGCAACTGTAGAATCGAATACGTCAGGGAATCTTGTGTAATATGCCTTCTTAGCACATTATCGTTTCTAGAGCAATCAAGGGTGGGGAAGATTGTTGGTAGAAGTAGCTTCTTAGACAAACCAGAAGCGGGTGTTGATGTTCTGGATGTTTGTGGCGTTGGCATCCTTAAACTGCATGGGGACCAGCTTAGGAGCAGCCGAGTTACGAGCTCTTCCGGAGCTCAAGGTGCTTGGAGCTTTGCCCAATGGAAAGCCAGCCTTGCCACTGGGTACTTCCTTCTGGCTCGCAGCCACATCCTCGTGGGCTCTAGCTCGACCCGACGCCAGGTGGGCGTAGTAGACGGCGGGGTGAATAGATACAGGCGTGGTAGAGCGACAATACTGATAAGACTGCATGTATATCATGCGTTGAAGGTGCTCGGGAGAGAGTCCAGCCTCGTCTAGTAGCACATGATAATGGGTGGGACGAGCAGTACCTTGTAGAGCTACATGAGCAACCAGGTAGAAGTCCCAAGAGAATGGGTGAGTCGCGTCACGCTCCACGAGCGTGCCAGGCAGAGCGTTGCCATTCTTGTCCGCAGTTGGTGTATTTGGCTGTGGAAATACTCTTAGGTGATGACGCTTGGTAGCCACGATGACAGTGAATCGTGGAGTAGGGAATCCGGACTCAGCAAAGATGCGCTTGATTTGCTTCACCTCAAAGTCGATCACGTGCTGGAACTGACCCGTGCTAACGCCGTCCCTGAAGAGTATAACGTGTTGAATTGCCGCGCTGTTCTGTGCAACCCACCACTTGAGAAACCTCGGCGTGAGGAGATCGCACATTGTGAGATTGTCCACAATCTCGACGGCGTATCCATTGGTTTGAACGCTAGCCGTATAGCGCGCCGCTAAGTATAAATGTTAGAACTTGATTCTTCAGAGAAAACTAAGCAGTGAAAGATGTGAACTTACCAATCTTGTCCGTCGACATCGACATTGCGGCAAATGAAGGACCGCCGGATCCAGGATTGCCGTGAGACACGTCAAGACCCAGAATTATAGTCGGTCGTGGGAAGAATGGGGAAGGGGAGCTGTTTCCAACCGGAACAGCTTTGCAGACTGTTGATCCTAGCTTACTATGCACTTTCATGCTTACGTTGCTGCAATATTGCGCGTTTGCCTTGCGGACGTGATCGGCTTGCAAGACCTGGCTGACTGTGCACAGTCTGCAGTCCATGTTCTTCTTGATACGCTCATACACCAACTGGTTCTTGGTGCTGACAACGAAGAAGAGGATCTGAGGTTCACCCTTGCAGTGATTGCCAGTTTCTCTGTACCCATCGCTGCACATGTCGGCATAATTCTTGGCGAACGAATAGGTGGTCACGAAGGGATTCTTCTCGATTCTGCCACCATGACCCTTGTAAATGCGTACAAATTGCGAGACGAAAGCATTCAACTGGTCAAGCTGCACCTGTAAAGCTGGTTGTCAGTCAATATGTCATATATTGGATCAATGGTTGACATACCGCTTTACCATCATTGGATCCACAGCCAATGAAGCCCCATGACTTCAATGGCTCCTTGGTGCCCTCCAAAAAGCGTTTACCTCGCAAGTCCCATCGTCCTGAGACACCCGGGTTGACTTTGGAGCCCGCGAAGTGGACCTCGGGGCTGGGTAGAAGTCGAGCGTTGGAGATGATCATGTTGGGCGAGACGTTCACTTCAGATATAGTTAGCGTTGTATATCCATAATGAGAGACGGCGCAGAACTTACGGCCGAATTCCTTGAAGTATGGATCGGTGTTCCATGCAAGGGAGGCAACACCACGAGCAATGTCCGCCGTGCGAGCTGCTGGTCTGCTAACGGCAATCTTGATCATCTCCGCAGTCTTGGTACATATTAGCATTTTTCACCATCAAAAGAAAAACGCAAGACTTACCTGTTCAGGGTCGAGCTTGTACGAGTAGCGCTGCCATTCAATCAACTTGCACACCTCCATTGGGAAGATTCCATCTCTGGTCGTCTCAATGAGCGGCAGATCCGGATATTGAAGGCGGCCGTTGTAAGTGTTTTTGAAATGGTCAAAAATCGTGACGGGCTTCTCGAGTGTGCCGTCCTTGTTCTTCTTCTGAAAGGTGACGTTGAGAGAGTCGGCACCCCTCTGTCCATACTTCGGGTCAAAAACGAAGTTCTTGATGACGTACACCTTGTCGTTACCCATCTTACCGCGGTGGTGGACAGTAAATCGAAGCTTACAGAGACGTCGAAGCTTCTTGAAGGCATCTGATTGGGACCACACAAGTTGCTTCGAGTTGGGGTTCATGTTTTGGACTGGGCGAAGCGCATCTGCCATTTTGCCCCAAGGGACTATTTCTCACATTAGCCATTATCATGTTTTGAAGTCAAGGAAAGAAAACCTACTGGCTTGCTTCTCGTTCCGGGCGTTGGAAGGACTTAGCATGAATCGCGCTACTATGGCAATCGACACGCCGCCATTCCAGAAGGCCGTATTGGCCACGTCCACGTTGATCCCAAGGCCAACACTATTGCCCTGTCCGGAAAACTGCGATTTGAAATCAGTGTGTGCTTTCACCCAAGATTAAATCGTGGACACACCTCACTAAGTCGGAAAGCAGAGTATGTGCCCTTGCGAACATGAGTGTACATGTCTAGGGTGAGACGAGGGCTATCCTCGGCGTAGAAGTTGCGCTTGATTGATATCATCCTCTCACTAGGTCTCTGTCGCATGAGGTGGTCGAGGAAGTCTAAGCTGTCTTAACATAGGATTTCGCATCTAGCAGAGCAAAAATAAACCTACTCATGCACTCAAGGACATGTTTGTCCCAATCAGCCTGTCCGTTAAGATAGGCGCGAAGGTACTGCATCTTAATGGTGGCGGAAGTTCGAATATGACAGTAGTAGACACCGTCTCTCCCGACTCGAGTCTTGCCTGCCAACTTGTCCAAATCGACAGAGATGCGCTGCTCACCGCGAGGAATGGGCCGAGAACTCCTGTAAAATATTTGTTAAGTGAAGTTCACTAGAAGAAGTGAGTGGTGTACTTACCAAGCAAGTTTGTGTCCATCGTACAGCCACTTGCCACCAGAGCTCTGGAGGAATTGCTGAACGGGAGAAGATTCCCAGACCTTTTTCACCAAGGCTCGTGAGTCTTTGGGGTTGGGTGAGACGTTGACCTATGCTATTTTAGGACTCTTCCAATGTTATGTGACAGGAGAAGGGACTTACATCGTATTGAACGATGTCCTGGGTGGGCCAGCTGCTGACAGGGAAGACATTCAGCTGAACACGAATGGGCTTTCCGTCCTTGCTGAATCGAGGACGCTTGGTGAATCGGGTTGACTCCTTGTCCTATTACACTTCGTCAGTGGCTTGAGTCTGTGGAAGTTGGTGATACTCGCCGTCTTGAACGCCTCGGCGGGAAGATCAATACGCTTCCCAACCAGCTCGGTGGTGGACATCTGGGGTTTTAACGACTGGAGGTCCTTAGGATCGATGGCGGGATCGTATCCGAGTGAGGGACCGAACGGGTTGGGCTTGCCGGAGGTAGAAGTCTGGCTACCGGAGCGTGATCTGCCGTAGCCTTGGGGAGGGGAGCCGCGCTGCGAGCCTCCAGCCTCCGAGCCAGCACGAGATTGACTAGGACTTCCAGCAGCGCTGCCACGCTGGGAACCTGAGCGGCTATCGGAGGTGCCGTCGTAGTTCATGCCGGCGACACGCTCAACAGCGGAGCGACGGGCGGACATCTTGACGGTGCTTGTTAAAACTGATGAAGACAGTATGAAGTTAGTAAGCAGCCATTGGAAATAAAGTGGGATATGATAAGAGTTTGTGTGATATGTGGGAAAGAGGAGCGGGAAAAGACTGTTTTGTTACGCTGATAGGCCTTTTGGATATCGACGGTTATGAGCCTGAGAGTTCATATAAGCAAGGGCGACGATGGAATGTATGATAATTGTGGATAGATTTGGGAGAGGATATGAATGAAAGCAAAAGCAGAATGTGACAGTTCAGCAGGCCGTGTAAATTATGATGGGTTGTTTTTACGCATGAGTTGTTGGAAGAAGACTATAACTGTTTGGGTTGAGTAACGGGGGAAACAGTTGGTGGGTGAAGAAAAGAAAACATAACTTACCGAAGAGGGTATGTTAGTACGTGTGAGGTGCAGAGATTCGAAGATGCAAGTTACTGTAGTGTTCTTAGCTGTCAAGTTGCTAGCGTGGATGTGGAGTGACGATGCTGGTGTATGAGGTTACACTATATGGGGTCGGACTTCTGGGCAACAGTATTACCGCGAGTGAAGAATGTGATACGGTAAGAGATTTAAAGGGTTTGTTGAGTGATTTAGAAGAGAGAGGTTAAGGTTGAGGTGTGAATGCTTGGTGTGAATATGGAGAAAGATCGTATATGCTTGGTCGCAACTGTAGAGATGATGGCGAATGGTCAAGGAAGGGGAATAGGAGTGAAGATACTTACTGGTGATGAAATTCTGGAAATGTGAAGTCGGTGAGATCGGAGGTCAGTTACATGCAACAAGATGCACTGCTGCTGTGGGATGATCAAGTATCGCCAACTGGATGGACAGTTCAAAGCGATATGACGGGTGACCGCTCTAGGAGATTATCAGGATTGCTGAAGTTGAAATTCAGTGACTAGAAAAAGTCAGTTGATTTTTAGGCGTAGGTTTATGCGTAGTAATGATGAGAGACGAAATTGTATGGGTCAAGGCTGATGAATACCTGGAGTGTAGATATATCAAATATTGGAGTAGGTAAGACTTTCTTTCAAGGTGGCGTAAAAGGCAATGACCATGTAAGAAAAGATCGATATGGGAGGAGTTGGTCTGGGGAAGCTGTAAAGATTGGGGATATTGATTTTAGATGCCTAAGAATAGTGTCAGGGTAGAAGCACTTGCCCTTCAAGCTGTCTGAAGTGATTGGGTTGAATAGTGTCCCGCTGGCGCATACCAAAACGAAAAGCTTTCGCCATCACCTCGTTTTGCGAGACGGTTTTGGTAGGCAGTGTCAATATTTTTGATGGGGTAGGAGATAAACATGATTTTGATGAAGTTGTGATGGATACGACTCTTACCTGATAGGAAGCTGGAAATGGTGATGGTGATGGGTACAGATGGGAGGATGGCTTTGGGAAGGGAAAAGGCAGAGGTTTTTTCCAGTGTCATTTTCCGTGGCCCACTTGGGAAGCCAGGAAGGAGGGTTGATATGGGATGGGAATATCAGAATGTACGGGTAAATTAATGGAATGAAAAAAGCAACACATACCTCGAGGAGTGGCTTGTTGGTACTGGTGGCAGTGTTTGTGTATCTGTGTTTGTGTGTCTATTTTGGGGGAGTTTGGAGTTGTAGATTGTTCATGGGAGGAAAGATAAAGTGTCGGAGAGGAATATAGCTATTACTACAACACAAACTCACGCAATCTTTGTGAACCAAGAGTACCTACCTGAATTCTGGTTAGTCTGGGTAGATGAGGGAATTGGAGTGCTTGCTCAGCCAAAAGAAAAAAACGATCTGGACTTGTGTGACGTGTTGAAGGGTCGAATCTTGGCACGCAGGACAGGCACTGTATGCTTTTATGGAATTTCGGTTGGGATTGCGGAGTAGAACAATGGCGTGGCAAGAGTAGCAACTGTGATGGGGTTTTGTAGAACGAGTACCGAAGAGAAAATGTCAACTTACTTGATGATTTTGTCGTTTTCGTATCAAAAGAAAATCCTGTTGATGGGGCTCGGCCGGTGGATGGATCATGTGTTGGGAGGAGATGTTTCGTTTGAGGAAAGGATTTAGAGAAGGATTCAATGGGCAGTTCTTGGGTTTTCAGCAATTACGTACCTGGAGACCTAGTCAGTAGGCAGGAAGTAGCGAGATATTAACAATCCTCAAATGTGTCGATCTAGAAGAAGTATGGGGATGGATGTTGGGTGTGTAGATGTGTGTCGAGCAAGGTGACGAAGAGTAGTGACGAAAGTTGGGCGATGTTGGAAAAAGTAGGTGAACTTCTTAACATACCTGAGAGGCTTGGTCAGTACTCGATCAAAAACCTTTACCGATGCTAGATATTAGAGAAGTGGTTTGGTGACGAGTGTAGAAATTCTTGGGGTTGATGGATTTGCGCAGGTCGATGGTTGATGCCTAGGGAAGCAGGGAAAATGCTGTTCGAATTGATCACCAAAAACGAAACCTGGGTAATTTCTGGCCACCTTTAAATGCAGAAGTGATCTTTGGGGGGATGTACAAACGATAAGCATATGGTATTGGGTAGTTTTGGGTAGAGGTATGTCTATTCGTTAGTATTCGGCGCTGGGCAGTATGGGTATGGGTTCGATGGATGCAGGGAAAGCACGATGGGAATTCCAAGGATTTTCTGGCTTCCTATATGTATGACAAGCCTATATCAAGCTTACTTACCTATCAGAATGCAGTGATCATGATTATGATGGTTTTTTGGGTGATGTATGTTGTGATGGTGTGGGTGGTGCTAATCTCAGGGGAAACTAGTGCGACGACCGGGGGATGAGGTTCAGGTATACGTGAAGTAAAAGTTGTGATTTACAGGTCTTTGCTGTTCATAAGTATTTACCTGGTTGCAAGATGAGGATAATGATGAGTAATGGCAGATGGGTTGTTGGTAGAATGGTGTTGGAGAAAAAGGTTGAGGGGTCAGGCAGATGGAAATTGATGGAGGGAAATAAACAACAAGGGCAAATTATCCAAGGCCAGATGTAATTACCTTCTCTGTTGAATAGATGCTGCCGGGTGCTGGAGGGTGATCGGTTGGCGTAGTGATGTGCAACTGGTTTGCCCACCAAGAGATGTGCAGGAGGGAACAGCCAAGTCAAAGGGGACAAAAGCAAAGATGTAGAATATTCAAGGCTTCTAGATGACATAGAAAATAAAGAGTAAAATCATTAACTCACCTCAAGATGCTTTTCAGGGTTGTTGGGGATTCACAGCAATTGGCGAAATATTGGTTGATGAAAAGAAGAGGGAGAGAGGAAGTTGGAATTCCGGGGAAAAGTTGAGTGCATTTATTGTTCCAAGGGAAAGATTCCCGCCGCAGTGCTCACTGGCAGCACTATTTAAGTATTCGGCGACGAACGTACGTCTGCCTGGTCTTCACAAGTAGTATGACCATATATTACTATTAAAACTACCAGTAACCCCATTTGGCGGCCCGCTTACTGACGTTGGCACCATGATACTAAATCAAAATGTAGACGGGCAATGTTCTCTGTTCAGCATGTAGAGCACATTGGCAATCACAGCCTATTATTTGAAGCATTGGAACTGTATAGCACCAAACTGGGAGGATATTTTCGATAAACACTGAAATAGTAATGTCAAGAGTCTTTGTCCCACCGGCCATCCCAAGGGAAGGCGGGAAGGGTGGGCATGTGGGGACTCACTGAGTCTAAGGTAGGTACCTGCGGCCTTGTTCGCAACTGCCTGGGATGCAGTAGAGTAAGCAGGCAGATAATTTCAAGGTTGAAGATAAAACAGAAAGATATAGGCACAGCATGCTTTCTCTGGGTCAAATTGACAGTTTTCTCTCTGGGATGTCATAAACTTGACCTGGTTGGCTTGGGGGAAACAAGATATACAGAGAAAGCAACTTGTAGTGGCATTTCAATCACATTTATCTTGATAGTAGGATGGCTTTGGCGACGATCTGAACCACAGATATTGACTCAATAAAGCGCAAGAGAATGTAGTGGCCAAGCTGGCAAGATATGTGGGATATGCAAACGAGCTTGTGACGCATGTCTCATGCCATAGCGTTGGACCAATCGCCTGTCTCAAAACCGCAATCTAACATGTTGGTTCGTGGAAATTCCATAGAAATGGCCATGAAAATGGTCTAATGAATTGCTGTTATGTCAAAAGCGCAGCAGCGCATTGCATATCAATGTTTTGGGGAAAGTCGTGGACTGTGTTGCCTGTTGGTAAATGGGATCAATTGATTGATTTGGGACAACTGAAAGACAATCTAGGCCTTTGGTGTTTTCAGCCTGGTTTGTTGTCGCCGACCGAATTCTTTGTGTGCGGGGCCCCTTTTCCAGAAGCTGAGACAATATGGAGGTTCCATGCAGTATGGAGCATACAATTGGCCGATATTCTGTGACACTTCTAGATTCCTATCAGGGTTCCAAAGTATGGCGGCAAACAAAATCTTCCCACAAGTCAGAAGTGACCTGAGATGTATCTGGATCGAATTTCTTCAGCTAAAAAAGCTGATGTAACATAGTATATTGACAGTTTGCGTGGCTCTTAAAATCGTTATAATGGTAGTCGATTCATCTGGCTGCAGGAGGACAGAGAACCTGGAACCAAAAGATGTGTTTGTCGGAATCCAAGTATTAGGGGCTGTATTGGTACTATGAAGGCGCGTAAGGGACCAATCCTAAATTGGCCCCGAGGGATCCCTAAATACCTCATACACCTCCACACCTGAAGCCACAACTTCCCACAGTATTTATGATATCAGCTGGATTGCCTGGCAACAAACTAAATGAATGAGGGGTCTGACACTGCCCCAACAAATGTGCTTAATACTCAGTGAACATGTTACAGTTTCATACTGCCCAGAAGCCAGTAAGGCAACTAGTGCTAGCTCCTCAGGATAATTCCGATATGAAGATGATGCGCGCAAAAGGTCATGAAGTGATCACGCCAGTATCATGATGAATACGGTTACCCAAGGTTTGAGCTATATGGGTGCGCATCTAGGGAACTTGCGTAAATGACGTTTCGTTTTTCAAGGCAGTCGGGCTTGTTGATATATGAGCAGAAGGGTTGTTAATGTTTTTAATCTCATTTAGTATACTCTCCTATGCAAGCCTGGGGCCTCTGAAGACAGTAGGTCGAATACCTAAAGTATAGCGAGCAAATTACCCAGTCCTACATACATGTCTACCCCTGTACTGAGAATTATGTCCTCCGCAATCATTGTTTTTCCCTCGCACCAGAAGCTTTCTGAATCAAACCGGAGGTTGAGATCGTTACAGGGCTGAGGAATTTCAGTAGGATGCCCAACTCTACTAGATTCTTTCCCCGTCACTTTTGCATTGGGCGTGTTTGGTCTCCACAACCGCTGTCGGATTCGACCCGACTGTGCTCGTTGATGACCCAGACATTAGGTTGATAATGTTGTAGGTGAGGTATTATGATGATATCGGGCGATTTAAGGAGTGCGTCTTTGGAAATAGAAGCTGCAGAATATCGAAACAGCGGCATCTTGTAAGTGAGAGAGTATGGCGGCTTTGGAAGATTTAGGGACTGTTCCCCTGAAATAGAAGCTACAAAGCTCGAGACAGCGGAAGAACCATTGCGCTTGCACCGTTAAGTTGTTTGTTTGATATCGCTGGATGATGCATGATAGAACCAAGACGCTGCCAGACAGTTAGCAAAGCTTTGGAGTGGTGTAAAGAAGGTTCAGCAAGGCTACTGGAAGAGCACCAATGTAATTCAAGGACCTTTCAGTCCGCCGAGCGCAGTCGGTCGAGAGGTGGTTGAATGGGAACTTCTGGTGTAGTGCAAGGCCCATACACTTCCCGAAGCGTTACTATATGATATTAGTGCATTGTAGGTTGCGTGAATAAAAAGGGTCGTTAATTTGGGGAAGTTTCATTGCCCAGAAGCAGCATCCAAGGGACATGGCATGAGAGAGCAGATGAATGAATTGGGGAAAGACGGTAAAGTTGGTCAAACAGCAGATTCGAGGTTTTCAGTTGGATACAAGACGACAAATTGGTGTCCCTGACTGATACTTGCAGTCAGCATCGAAACATCGAGGATAACATGGATACGCGTGATGTTTGATCCAGGGGGGCCTTTTGAATCTACGTTGCGATAGGCAGAGGGATTGGAGCGCCTGTACTTATGAATATCAGCGGGAAAGCTGGGGTTTTAGGTAGCAGGAGTCCGTGGCAGAGCTTACCCTGTTTCTTGGAATAGCATCGATGAGGCCGTTGGGGACTCGCGGAGTGGGTCCCTTACACAGCATCGGGGTGTTAACAGCACGGCGCTGAGCTCGCATTCAAACTCTCAAAGGAGGTCGCCGTCGAAGTAGGCTTGGTTGAACCGAGGAGAAAGAACAACAGGTATCACATTAAAGCCCAAGAAGAGATAAATCACGCAAAAGTGATGGTAGTGGGTAACATTGTGGGCCCATTTGCTGATACGAAGCACTTATATATGCCCTGGAAATACAGAAGTGGACAAAGTAGTAGTAGTAGCATGGAAATCATTGTTTTCATGCCCCGGGGAATCATAACTACATGAGGGCGATATGATCTAATTACTGAAGGGCCAAGCATTTCATAACCTCGTGCGGCATACCTCAATATATCCGTGCAATATCATAGCCAATGACTCAAGATTACCAACCGAATGGAAAGCGGATGAGCCTCTTGGCGAGCCTCTAGTGAGCCATGGCGTCTCCCGGCTTCGCGCTACCATTAACAGGCTTTTCGTCGTCCACTTCCATAGCATCGTCACCGCCGTCGATAGCCTCTTCTTCGCCCCCAACCTCCTCATCGAGCTCATCTTCACTCTCATTCTCGAGATCAACACTGCCATCCTCGGACATCTCGTCCTCCTCAGCAGGCACCCCAACGGCCTCTTCAACACCACCCATAGCAGCGTCATCGCCGGCTGCGGCGGCAGATGACTCGCCATTTGCCTCGACAGGTTCTTCAATTTCCTCCTCGAGCTCCTCAGCGCCGTACTCTTCCTCATCTGCCTGCACATCCGCCTCAGGCTGCTCCGGGGGGAACTCAGCTGGAGCTGACGCTTCGGAATCCCATTTGATGGCAAAACGAGTAACTCTGGGTTTGTCCGCCAGCACGTTTCGTCGGATCTTCTCGATAATGGGCTTGGCTGGGGGTTCTGCGCTCAGCTCCTCCGCCTCATATTCATTGTTGACGTAGTAGCCAACGCGAACGAACTCGCGGCCATCGTAAGAGCATGTCAAGAGAACGACAGTAACGCCCAGGACATCGGCATCAGGGATGCGCTTCGTATCGGGAGCATCGGCCTCGAAGACGAACTTATTCACGCCGACGGGAATGGGTCCGACCAGCAGGGAATCGAGTTCTTGATCGTACTGATCGCTGGAGGCATGGTTAGTGGAAGGGCGAGAAAAAGAAAATCATGGTAGGCAGCTTACGATGTAGCAGAGCCGACATAGGTGAGTTTCCATTCAAGATCCTTTTCCAATTGTTCGAGACATTCGAAAGTGATCTCAAACTCGTAGTTGTCGGTGAACTTGGCCGGGTTGTTGAGGATATTAACCCCAAGCAAAGAGACGACCGACATCTTAGCAGGTGGGAAATTTTGTGGTCTGACGGTGTGCGGAGTAGAATGATTTAGAGATAAGAAACTAGCACAGGAAAATACGTGCAGTTATTTGGAGAGCCGATGTTCGTTATATGAGCAAGAGAGAGGTGGTGGATGCGACGTGCGATTTGCTGGCTCCCGTGGTGGAAGAAAGTCTTTACGACAGCGGCAAGCTGCGGGTCGGTCAGGACGCGACTTTCTCCAGGGTCTTCAGGAAAGCGCGTTCTGCTTTACAAAATAAAGTGGTTGCATCCGTGCCAGTTGTGATCCTAGAAAGTATGTATTTGTACTCGTGTACTTCAGATGTGCAACCTATAAGCCTTGCAATCACGTCGCTAGCCGGACTTCCCTAAGTCATCCCATGAAAAAAAGATTAAGATAGCTGTGATGCCCTTGGCAAGTTGTATCACTAATTACATGTAGTTGATTTGCATCGAAAGAACGGTTCCTGGCTTTCTGAGGCTGTTGGTATCGTGTACTACGGTAAATCTGACATAGTTTCTGCCTGAAGTCACCGCTCGGCAATGCACTATGCTGCAAGAGGACTAGTTTTCTGAGTGGACATTACGGGTCATTCCATTGTCTCGGAAGGCTGGCAGTTTTTGGCACGCGAAAGCTTGGTCTTTTCTCGTTTGACAACAAGTTGAGCAGAGTTCGATTCCTTTGCGACAAGACCTTCTTTTGTGTCGCCGGTCGGACAATAATCATATTCCTTCGCCGCTGTTCTCAGTATCTGTTGCAGATGAGGCAGAAGAATTGAATTGAGCATTAACCGAGTCGTGGCCCAGCGCATTCTTTCCTATTTTGCAGGATTAAGCTCCCTGCCCAGATCTTACGTTTCTTTAAATCGCCGACAGTCAAGCCGCCTTAATCATTGTCACCGACAAGTGACCAGGTTCTTCCCTAGTTGTCGACATCGTACTTCCGATTGCGCCGTATTTGTCCATCTGCCACCACCGCCAACACCGGGTGACCTCCTGCCGCTCCTCCATCGCCGCCGCCGCCGCCTTGACCATGGCTTCCGAGAGTCCTGAAGACACAACTAGTGCTTGGGAAGGGAACGAGGGATATGGAGGTGCTGAATATCATCAAGCTTCACATACTGAACAACATAGCCTTCATCAACCAGTGCAAGAACGTTCTACTTCCATTGACCCAGCTTTCAATGCACCTGGTGAATCTCCTTCTCCGTCTGACGTTGATGAGGATGGCGACGAGTATGACCCAGAGTCCATCACTATCACTACAACCGCACCAGCGCCTGTCGCACCTTCTGCCTCTAAGAAGCGTAAGAAGGCTGGGGGATTCATAGTTGGCTCCTCAGACGACGAAGATGACACCCCTCCCGCAGCACCAAGCAACACCCTCAAGCCAAATACAGATGATGTACCGTCTCATACCTTCAGTCATTCCCCTCTTCAGCAATCTAATACCATGAACGATGCCGCTCAAGTGAGAAATGGACATGGTGTGTCCGCTGTTCCTGCTCCTCAGAATCAAGGCACAGTCCCATCAAAGTCACGATTGCCTGCAGATGTCATCGGTATTCTCGAGGACCGGGTCAACAACGACCCGCGGGGAGACATGGATGCTTGGCTATCTCTCATCGAGGAGCACCGAAGGCGCAACATGATCCTCGAAACCAGAGCCGTATACGAGCGCTTCTTGAAGGTGTTTCCCCAATCGGTAAGGTCCCCCCTTCGTATCTACTGATGCGCCAAACTGACATGCTCCAGGCCGAAATCTGGGTTCAGTACCTCGACATGGAACTCAGTCTCGACAATTTCTCAGAAGCCGAACGAATATTTCAACGAACACTGATGTCGGTGTCCCATGTCCAACTATGGACTGCATATCTCAACTACATCCGTCGACGCAACGACTTGAACGACCCTAGCGGCCAATCACGCCAAGTCGTTAGCCAATCTTATGAATTCGTCCTTGACAACATTGGCCAGGACCGGGATTCTGGACACATCTGGCAAGACTACATCCAGTTTATCAGAAGTGGTCCTGGTCAGATCGGAGGAAACAGCTGGCAAGACATGCAGAAGATGGATGTACTTCGGAAGGCTTATCAGCGCGCCATCTGCATACCCATGGCAAACTTGAACACGCTGTGGAAAGAGTATGATCAGTTCGAGCTTGGCCTCAACAAGGTCGCTGGCCGCAAATTTCTCCAGGAGAGGTCTCCTTCGTACATGTCAGCAAGAGGTGCAAATACCCATCTTGACAACATCATACGAGGTCTGCAGAAAACTACACTGCCCCGCCTACCGCCCGCATCTGGCTTTGACGGCGAGCGAGATTACCTGGAGCAAGTTGAGCTTTGGAAGAAGTGGATCGCCTGGGAGAAGGATGACCCTCTAGTTTTGAAAAACGACGAACCTGATACATACCGCTCACGAATTCTACACGTATACAAACAGGCCCTGATGGCTGTGCGCTTCTGGCCGGAGATGTGGGTCGATGCTGCCGAGTGGTGTTTCGAAAACAACATTGTTAGCAAAGATGGCAAGGATGCGGGACTCGAGTTTCTTGTCGAAGGAGTAGCTGCCAACCCGGAAAGCTCCCTCCTCGCACTGAAGCACGCCGACCGGATTGAGTCGACCCATCCGACAGGTGAAGGGGAAGATGGCAAGGAAGCTCTTGGCCTAGCAGTTCGAGCTCCTTACGACAAGGTGCTTGACACCCTTTATGATATGGTCAAGAAATTGAAAGATAACGAGGTGGCTGTCATTGCTAAGATTGAGAATGATCCAAGCTTGGCGATAACAAACGATGCTGAATATGATGAAGACGAAGGCGAGGTCCTGGACAGGACCTCAAAGGAAACCATCAAAAAGGATCGGATCAAGACAGTGCAGGACGGTTTTGCGGTGCAGATCCAGATGCTGTCACAGCAGATCTCATACCTCTGGATTGCTCTGGTGCGTGCATTCAGACGTATCCAAGGGCAAGGAAAGACCTCAGGCGGTGTTCGAGCGATTTTTATGGAAGCCCGGAAGCGCGGTCGTCTTACTAGCGATGTTTACGTCGCTATTGCTCATATTGAAGGGGACATATATCAAGACCCCGTTGCCACAAAGATCTTTGAGCGCGGGGCCAAATTGTTCCCCGAGGACGAACATTTCATGGTTGCTTATCTCAAGCATCTGCACTCTAAACACGATACCACGAATGCCCGGGTGGTGTTTTCACAGACCGTCAAGCGGTTCAAGGAGAAGCCTGAGCTGGCACCCAAGTTGAAGCCTCTGTACGCCTACTTCCACGGTTACGAAGCAAAGAATGGGGAGCTTGCTCAGATCAAGGACTTGGAGAAACAGATGGCAGAAGCATTCCCCGAAGATCCGGCCCTCGCGCACTTCTCTGCTCGATTCTCTTCGGACAGGTTCAACCCAATTGCTACTCGAGTTATCATTTCGCCGGCTACTCAGATGCAATCCAAGAACATCATGCAGTCGATAGAACAGCAGCAACAACAACGCGCTGTCACAACTTCCATTCGTGGCAGCCCCCACCCCTCTGCTCTCGCAAGCCCAAAGCCGCAGTTTATGCAGCCGCAAGGCGTCAACTCCCCCAAGCGACCTTTCATCGACGAACCTGACGACTACTCGAACCCACCCCGAAAGATGGCTCGAGGAGTTTCGCCGCTCAAGGGCGCTGCCGGTCGACGCCTGGATCAGCAACGACGAGCTGGCGCGGCGCCGACAGCTCCGATCTCTCGAGACATCACTTTCCTATTGGGTCTGATACCCCCGGCTCATCAGTACGATGGAAGCGCGCCTCGGTATCGAGCGGATGCCATAACGAGGCTTATCCGCGATACACATGTGCCGGATTTCAAGGAGTGGCAGGGTCACCAGACACAGGGTCACCAGACACAGGGCCTTCGTACCGATTGGCGACAACAACAGCAACAGCCACAGCCGGCAGCCTCGTGGCCCAATCAATGGGATAACCAGCAGGGATGGAGGAACGATTGGCCGAATATGTGATAAACTTGTACAGTTTGGAACTCCACACATCGTTGAGTTCAGTTAGCCTGGATTATATCAAGCTGCGGCTGTTCCGTATAGGAACGAGTGGACCGCGGTGGTTTTGTACGCATTGGAGGAAAATGGACAAAGGCATTTGCGATGGTCATTCTACACCATAGAGCGGTGGGACAGCCTGTCTTGGTATTTGCTGCATAGGAGGCGCACGATAGGATTGCGTCCATGGACTGAGCCGTAGGTAGCCAGTGATTAATGCGTCGGCACAAATTTGGTGGCTTCATAGATCGTGACACTGATGTTTTGATCTTGTATACCTTGTCCCGCGGTCAAATTGAAAGGTGTTTCCAGCGTTTCTCAAACAGCACTACTGTCAAGTTTCACTCTCTTCCTCCACCAGCCCCGGCCCGTTCTTGTGTCCCTGCTTTCAAATATATACAGCCCCTGTACGTGAAATGCCTGTCTTCAAGAAGCAGCTATCCCGGAGGCGTACATCGAACATGAACTTGGTCCGTCATTGTATTTTCACACCGATGAGTGTCATGCGGCAGATTGCTAAAGGGGACTCGGAACGTACAGGTGGCATAATGAGTTTGGTGAGCAAGTCAATCAGCGCGATATTCCTCTTGGAGCATCCCTGTTCTCCGTTGCTAAGCTATCAAGGATGGCATGTGGGCCATTGGAAACTTTCTTCTCCTGCCATTCTTCAATGCGCGATGACATGCGCATAGTCTAGGAAACGTTGGATATTGCGGAGTTTCCATAACGCAAAGGTATCATAAGGCTTTCCGACTTCTGCCTTGGCCCTTTCTTCTTTCGTTCGATGGCTCGTACAGGTTCCCCGAAAGAGAGAGCGCAAATATGGACTGGGCAGCTACTTTCTACAGGCCGATGGTCCTACTGTTGCCAGGGCGTCGGTTTGTCTATGGGTTTATGTTGGCTGGTCTCACCTGAGTCTTGTCCATGTTTTCCTGGGTCGTGGCAAGGTGCTGGAACAACTCATCCATACCAGAATGTTGTCTCATGGTTGAGGGAACTGCACCTGGCATCAGTAGGGACGAGTCGAGAATGTAACTAGGTGGAGAACAAGTTGTCAGTTATGACACAGCCACAGAGCATAGAACTTTTGCGCAGACACATTTTAGACATCTTGCGACCAAAATGGTGTACCTAATGATATATTTCTCGGGAGAAATGAGATCCAAAGGAAAGGAAATGGCGATAGTGATGGAGCAGGCGTAAATGTGTCTCGAAAGAGTATCTTATTCACATCATTCTGCCAAGTGCATGGCTATCATCGTACACGTGCCAGTACATCGTCAGCTCCCGCCTATTTCAGAAGATTCTCGAGCAAATCATACCTTGATGGTATCCCAAAATGGGCCAGCGTCAAAAATATGAATGGTTTCGTTGTCTTCATCGACATGCTTCCGCTTGGTCGCGCCGTGTTTCCCGATCTCGTAGACCTCGTGGACAGCACTATCATTAAACCGTTAGTGGCGGTCCTTGGACGCTGGAATAGTGTAGCCTCCTCAAGCTCAGCACGCTTCTCATACACATCCTCCGTTGCAGTCTTGATGGCTTCGCCAAGTTCAGCGTGATGGAGATATGGTAGTAGTTGATGATCCGTGAAGGATCATTGGTCCAGGGCGTCTGTACGAGGACTCTGTCCTCATATGCAGTGTAGAGTCCTCCGTATGCTAAGGGTAGGTGTGGGGTGTCCTGGTCGTCACTGGAGTCCGAATCCAGGCTTTCCAGTGAACCTGCTGCATTTCTGAAGCCTGATGGGCTGCTCTCAGCAAACTTAATTTTTAAACGGTGCATCCGACGAGTTTGACCTGTGGGGTAAGGTAGCATATCGCTGGCCCATCTGGATGTTGTCTAGATGGGGCGCTTGGGAGGTGAGAGCGCACCTACACTGCGCTCTTCCTATGTTGTAGCGCGGCCAGAACTTCCATGTACATCCAGAGAATCGCGCAGGTAGCAGGAATGGTGCTCCACGACTTGGTGCATGAGGTACTATTGCTGGGTTGGCCGAGCAATATTACACCATTTGAGGATAGAAGAAACAGCGTTGAGATTGGACCAACATATCATGGTAAAAAGGAAAACAAGAGAAAGTTACGACACATCTCTTTATTTGTAGCATCCTGCTTCCAACGAAATGCCTCGTACACCAAGCCTTACCTGGCCACCGCAGCTACATCAACTCATATACGGAGTCGCATTTGCGGCCGACGCTTTTAGATCCATTGGCGCATTAAGCGTTCGTCCAAATGGACTGCTTGACTGAAAATGGCACACAGAGACCTCCCTCTAACCCCGGCTGTGCGATGGATGGATCTCTAAGTCACTGATCATGCTAGCTGTTGTTGGTGACGAAATTGGTGCTCTCAACATGGGCTTTCCAAACAGCACTCTGACAACGCCCTGAAGGCTGGTTTGGCACTGTAATGAGAACCGGCTTGGAATGGTTCTCAACAGGCTTCGCTATATTTGAACATGGATCCAAACGCCCGAGCGACACTTCACTGCCAGGCTTCTCTAGGCCTATAATGCAATAATGGAATGCTAGATCGCGGTTGCTAATAAGGTTAGGAAAATGGCCGTACAGCCCAGTCTGGAACTGTTTCCCACTTCACGACTATGGGATCAAGACTTTGTTTCCCGATGATTGCATATAATTTTTCCCATGTCTCTGCCAAGCTCATACCTAAGCACTTGGAACTGGCATCCCTTAGGCAGTCGTTGAGCACAGCTACGGTGGGACAATTCCTTCAGGACTCAGGGGAGCTACCGGGTAAGTCCTCCCAATGTCAGGTTTCGCGTTGATCATAGGGAACTGTTCAGGCATATCTGCCACATATGGAACAGCTCTTGACTAAGTCAGAGAACTTCTCATCCCAAAATTTGCCATTATTCACACCAAGTGATGCTCCAAACGCTCATGTCCTTCTGGTGACTTGCATCTCATCCGTTCCGCTGGCGGCGTCAATATAGTTGGAACCTTCTTCAGCTTCAATATTCACAGTTCCGGCAACTTTTAGACGAGACAGTTGTTAATTCACTGTAGTTTAGTTGATATATCCGAATGCATTGTCGCATAGCGACTCATTTGAGGCAACGGATTGCAGAACATCCCATTCCCGCTACAATCACCCCCTGCTAGGCCGTTCTTCCTGCCTTGAAACTGCACGGCCACGTCGTGCACAGCCTTGAACCACCTAACGTGCGAGATTCAGCCATTTAAATCTTGTAGCGGCTTGCTTTGTCTGGTGACGGTACCGCCGTGCTGCTCGGATTAGCCACGGCGAGTCAGGAATTTTCCGAGGAGTTCAAACGCAGGAGATTCAACTAGATGGCACGTGTCTGAAACACAATCCTACAGCCACAATAAGGCTGGCAGTGATTTTTTCATTCACTGCGAATTCCCCGACTTGCCTGACCACCTTGGATATGGAGCTTGCACGATTTCATGGTTGGCAAAACTCAGCGTGGAGCAAGACTTCACCACTTTCGCAGCACTTGCAATTGGCCGGCATCTCGCATCGGAGGAAATGATGATTGATTAATGGCGATTGTATTACCAAAGGCAGTTGATCAGTGACTGCATCTGATCAAGCTCTGCGTTCCACGGACAGCTCGGTTCCAAGTCGTCAGCTGCATTCAACCATGTGCCCCAGCAGTTAGCCTTGCCAGAAAAAAGGGCCAAAATGGCAAGATCCAAGTTAGTCAAAAAGGCAGAGCAGGTACGTTTCCCATACGAAGGGTGCCAGCCCTCAGACCTGGCCCGTTGATGGGATCCACATGATCGGCACTGCCAGTCTGTCCTACGCCGACTCGCAGTCATACGGCTTTCGGCTTTCTGCCGTACACAACATAACTGTTCCTGTAGCTTAGCTGGTGCCCCCATCACATCTCCGGGTGAGCGCGGCGCAACTTACTAAGTACAGTACCAATGGATATTCCTATTGCATGCATCGGCTTGGACCTGCTTCGACAGCTCGTTGATAGCGTCGACCGACATTCCTAGCCCTTTCTGCAGTACTCTAAGCGAAATGCCTTGTATGGAAGAAGTTGTGTTTACGGCCTGCCAGCGGCCTAGCTCTCGCTGGTGAGGGTCTACGGGCCAGGAATTTCCCGGGCAGGCTACCTTCTTCTCGATGATGTCGACAAAGCCCAGTTCCACCATCCAATCCTTGTACTGCTTCGTCACGTTGAGGTTTCGGCCTAAACGGCATATCGAATTAGTAAAGAGTCCAGGGTGTCTTGACATTACTGACCTAAATTAGCAGCTCCAGCTATCATCAAGTCGCACCATCTCCGCAGCGCCGTACCTTGCATTGTATCATCGACGCAACTGAGATCGAAAACGGTATCGTGATACTCCACCCAGCCACCGGGACGCAAGTGGTCCAGTATCTTTGCCATAACATCCTTGGGGCGGTTAAAGCACGAAACCATCAACCGCAGATGAACATTGTCAAACGGCATTTCAAATATCCATTCCTCCTCGATATCGTCCAGAAAAAAGTGGCAGTTCTCCGGCTTGTTAGGCGGTTGTATCAAGCTGAGATCCGTCCCAATAACATTGGAAAGCGGATGTTCCTCGGCGAAGTCTACAGCCCAGATCCCCGTTCCTGTGCCAACGTGCAATACATTGCTTGGCGCATCGCCGACAGGTGCCCAGCCGAGCGAGTTGTCCAGTGCCATCGTCCAAAGTTTGTGTTGGAGATCCAGACGATCTTGCTCTTTCGCGTCATTGGGGAAGAAATACTTGCCCTCCTTGTACCCATGGAAGCTCCGGCCGTTTTCCCACACGGCTATGGGATCGGGGATGGTGCTGCCAGTGTGCTGGTATTCTTCGTCTTGAGGCTGTCGGTAGGGTTGAGCGGGAGCGATGAGGTGGCTTGTATTGACCAGTCCGGTGTTGGAGGATTGTGGGTCAATGCCAGATGCCATGGCATGCCCTGGTGCCATTATAGGATGGTGAGAGTTATGTGATTGAATTTTAGATGGAAGTGTGACTGGTGGAAACCGTGGCTTCGTGTCGGCTGGTCCTCCCACCCCAGCATTCACTCCTCCAGACTTAGCAAAGGGATTGGTCGGGTTTTCCGCCATTGGGTATTCTGGATTCTGAGTTCCTCATCAGTGTCTTAACAGTATGATGAGATCAGAGTTCTTGTACAATTTGATGTTCAGCTGGGATCAGGGCATGCGGCCGATCATATTGCCCCTCGTAGCCTTCTGATTTCACATCAGGGCCCCGTTCTGAACGATGTTCCATTTTTCGTGCCACCCGCGCGTTGGACGATAAACAAATCTTTTGGGACATGATGAAACTGGAAAAGTGTTCCACTTGCTTTGATCTACTTTCAGTTGCAATCAGTGAGGGGCCGTGGTCTCTCCCTGCAGGTTGGTAGCATTCCATTGGTGTTCGAGATGGAGACGACCCCTGTAGTGATCAGTGCCCCCATGTAGTTGCGATGTGGAATCGTCCCAGCTAGAAATAGGGAGTTAATGCACCGTAGAACACCTCACGGCGCTAACTGATAAAACCTGGTGCGAGGCTACATAAGAGACTTGATCGTTACTGGTGTTGGCTTTAATGAAACTCGTAGATTCCGATCACAGAAAGTTGGTCAGTGAGACTGCGGCACATCCTACCATGCCACCGGCCTCTCGGCTGTGGGGTACTAGTGAACTTTTCGTTCCATACTTGCGTTGGAATATCCCTCAAGCATAATTTCGAAGTTTCCTTCCCCCAGTCACCTCATTTGATGATTCAGGTCAGATTCACACCATTATAAGCCTCCCAAAGCGCCTCATCCTTAGCATACCTCCCTATGTAACCCTTGGGATTTATACAAACCAACCAAGGCTGGGACTCAGGCTCACATATAAACCCCGACTCTGGTAACTCTGGCCCCCTGAAAGTAAGCGCGGACAGCCCTCGCAGTGCAAACAGAAGGATTCGTAAAGCTGCAGTGTCCCTCAACACCTGCCTGGAAGATCACCGACCCCGGAAAAAGCCCCGAAGCCCTCCGTGATTCTGCAGCGGCGTGATGGCGTCGAAAGTATTTCCGATGATTAGCATCGGACTGGAAGTGTTTCCGGAAATGGTTCTGTCAAACGTCCAGGCAGGTCTCGTGGGCAAGTGTACGCAAGCTAGCCTCACCGTGGTTCCCCAGACACAACCCAGCCTATCACTTTGTTTCGCCAACTTGACGAGGTAGAAATTGAAGCCCCTCCTGGTGGTATTACTGACATCCACACCATCTGAGCATGTAATGCCGTGTGAACCCGCCGTTGACTTTGGTCCTGACCCAAACATCGGAGAAAGGACCGTTTCGCATACAGTGCTCGCTCATAAAGATAGGCCTGCTGGTGATATCTACCTACTCCAGCATCAAAGTCGCGTTTTCGCGATCCAGCTCGGCGAGGACTTTGACGAGGCGTTCGCGTGGCGATGTGATTCGTACACGGTAACTTGGAGGACGTCCATGACATCGTCATTCTTAATGATCGGAGGTCCATGATCAGTACGTACGGGCACTGGTTCATTGAGAAACGTTCTTATGTTTTGGGCATGCTTTGCCTGGAAGGCGGCTGTTGGAAGTTCGCCTCCAGAAAAATATGGACAAGCGTGCTCATCACCGGCCTGGAAACAGTATTCAGCCCAGCCCAAAATGATCTGATCCGTATCCTGCTAGTTCTTCAGCCACAGGGCTTTGTAGTGGTGCTTACTGTCGACGAAGGCATCAATAAACATACGGTTGACTCGATCGGGATGCATGGCAGCGAAGGTCTGGCCCAGCAAGGTGCCATAAGAAAAGCTCTAGTAATTCAGCTTTTCAGTACCCGTATTCCAAAGAGTCCTCGCCATGACGTGCTCACCATCTGAGTTAGAGCGCGCTTGCGTCTCCAACACTAATCTACTTGCTTCCATGTCCCGCCATTCCCTATGCTTCTCAAGTATAGCAACCACATACCCCACCACCAGCGCGGTGTTCATATACCTTACGATATCCGGCCCCTCCCCCCTCTCAACCGCGCACGCCCTCCTCAACGCCTCCATCCTTGCCCAACTCTCCCCAGCGCCCGATTTCTCATCTGCAGCAACCTCCCACTATGCTCATCCATAAGCCGCTCCCCTTCTGCTACTACATCCGTGAAGCACGTCATGTGCGGCGTCATGTTGTTCACACCATGAATCAAATCCAACGATGTCAAAAAGCTTCCTTCTATTAGCCCAAAGCAGGGTCAATGACCTCCAGCACGTGCGGGCCGCCGGAGTCCCAACAGGGGTGCCATGTTCAAGCTTCGGATGGTTCAATCCGGAGAATTGTTGAATGGAATGGCTGTAGCTCAAGGTGTGGAGCTTAAATTAGCTTAATCGAATTCATATGATATGGCATTCAAGGATCCGACTCGCGGAGGAGAGGATAGCCGTGTCATGATCACCCATCTCCATGTGTGCACCACAGGAGACCAAGCAAACTTGCGAACATGAATTTCGTGATGCGATCAGCCATGAAACTGGCCTTGGCCAGTCTATAGATATGGATGTCTTCGCCACGGCCATGCCTTGCGACTCTTTCGGTGAAGACATGACATATACGGTATATGAAGGTGCCTTCATGAGGTCAAGGAGGATGTGAGTGTATGTTAGCCCAGATATGTCTTGGGTGACCCATCGACACTGAACTCGTCAGTGGACAGGCTGCATGACGCCAAGATGGGAAGTGACCTCGGACGGAGCTGCATCCCTGGTTGCCTGCTGCATGAATTAGGTACATTTTTCCGTTATTAATCCCGCTATCTCCGCCGCTCAATCAACCTCTCTCGGTCATCTGGTCTGCTTCCAAGCGAGCAGAGTAGTTTCCTATCTTATAGGCAACTCTTTTATTTACTTCGGAGACTCTATTAGTGGAGCAGTCGGGTAAGCTGGGCCTTTGTCTGGGTTCAGGCAGCACTTCAGCTTGGTCTCTGCTGATTGAGAACGTGTATTTGCGCTCCAGATCCATAGGAACTGCATTTAATGTATTTTTTACTCGGTGTAACCTACCCTATGTTATGTATCCATACATTTGTATGATTAATGTGCATTGGAGCTTGAAATAGCTATGGACTATGCTGTCATTGTTTAGCTCTTAATGATATGTTGAATTGTCCCACCTCTGGAAAGGTTTAGTCCTTGAAATACTACCTAGGTATGCCCGACTGTTCAACATCTACTTCAACTATATGAAGGTTCGGCATTGTAAGCGCTTCTTCCTACTAGCCTGGTATACTAGTCTGCGAGCTCTCACAGCGCACTACGCAATCATTATACCTGCCGCCTTACCTAATCTCGAGCCTTCGATTTGAGTCAGCTGTCTGAGTCGACATATCAGATATCACCGTGTGAGGAGTGGGGATTGACTCCGATTCAGAAAATCTGCCCAACATCTAATCTAGCTGTGGTAACGAAACTTTCCCGGCCATCAGGCTTGGAAAAGAACCCCAGTGTCAGTCATCACTAAAGCGATAATGTTGATCGCATACGCAGAGTTTCGATCCACAGAAAAAATCTCTGATGACCCAAATATACATGCACTCAGTATTCGGATGGGTTCTAGACTTTGGTGCGTCTTCTCATGGGACGGACGCACTCATTGCCAAGATATCATACGGTGAAAAAACATCTAGCTCGGGTTAATCTGGCTGCCATGTTCTTATCATCGAGTCATGAGGAAATCCAATCTTCCCGTGTCTAAAATTAGGGTATTTCAGTCTCTGATCTTTCAATATTCTTGATGCTATACAGGGCTATCCCTGAAGCAGCTTCTGTGATCTTTCCATCGGTGCAGATCTCGAACCCTAATGGGCAGTCTAGGCTTTGTAAATAAGCTTTGGGACATTGACACGACTAAAATCCTCCTTTACTTGCCGTTCAATGTGGTTGGCTCAGATGGGAAGTGGATTTTCGCGGTGGGTATACCCTGAACGGAAGTCTAGAAGAGCCCAGATTGAGACAGTTCGCGAAGTTCATCACACCCCTCACCGAGCTCCCATCCACGAGCAGTCCTGCGAATACGTTGAACCGAGCATACTGAGATTTCAGATCATGCTTTCATTGATCGATTCAAGCTATGACTACTCATATGCGGGGTAACCGTCTTCCAGGATTTCCCTTTCACCAAATCTCTGTCTATGGCATCGGGACTGGACCAAGTGAGGAGCAGCTAGTTCCTGGCGAATCAAAATGCCCAATAACTCTACCTCAGGTTATGCGGGGTAGGTACTATCCTCTGCCATCCACCGCTTTCGAGTCTTTATATCACAAAAATATGGCATTGGGCTAGAATTCTAGACGCTCCGTGGAGCCGTTAAACGAATGCCGTGGATATTTTGAACATGACTTGGTCAACAACCAGAAGCTTCTGTCAAAGTTGCTCGGTTACTCAAGTAGGCAACCCTTCCGAAATGGAACGTACGGTGGGTAGTTCACACCTGTCTACCCAGCTGTGGTGCTATCATGCGAACATCGTGCTCGAGGCCGAGTGGCCCACAATGGATCGCCGATGATTGACAAATATCTGCATATTATTTCGAACAGGTGATTATATAAGAAGGACATGTCCTGGATGAGACACACCTTTTTTGTCCACCAGGCCAGCTAGTTTTAGTGTTACTGTCTCTTGCTCGCCTTCCCCCCTGAGCACCACAATCTTCATCTCAGCAACTCCTCACTCCACTCATCTCACTTACACAACCACTTCACCGAACAGCAACATGAAGCTCATCGCCATCTTGCTACTTTGGGTGGCCCTGGCTTCCGCTGTACCCTCTCCCCTAACATGGGAACATCTCCTCAAGCGATCCAGCCGCTGCGACAAAGTCACCACGACTCGCGTGAAGGCAGGTGCCAAAGGCATCAAAAAGAACATACAAATCCAGAAGCAGGAGCTCAGGTACCTGAAGAAAGTTGAGAAAAGCAGCCCCGGGGTCAACAATTATCATAAAGGGCATAAGCGGGAAGTTGGTGAAGATAAGGTCGGCCTGCCGTTCCAGGATGTTGTCTATGAGCAGCCCGGGGAGCTTCATCAACGGGACACCGGCTTAGAGCTTTTGGACACAACATCTAAGCAGCAACATGACGAAGAGCAAGATATACATAAGCGTGGGGTTGACGAGAAAATCGAAGAGAGACCCTCTGACCAGACTACGGAGCTGCACGAGCGGGGAGCGACTGATAAGGAACCCGAGGATCAACCCGAGCAATTACACAAGCGCGAAGTTGCCACCTTGCAGTTAGGAGCGCGGCCCAAAGAACAGCCGAGTGACGAGTGGGAAGGAAAGTCGCAAGAACTCCCCACAGATCAGATGGGCATCAAAATAGCCAACCCAAATGACCCAGGGTTGAAGGCGCAGAAGAAGATGAGACTTCGCATCGGCACCAAGAAAATTCCAGACGGCAGCGAGGACCCATTAGTCGGCCAGAAGCAGCCCACTATAAACTCGGATGCGCGAAGTGAAACCAGCAAGATGTCCAACGTGGACTCACCGACCCAGAACGAGCTCGTATCCCGCTCCAACAGGCATAGTAACAGCAACTTCCACAATTCCAAGGGGAAGCTGCTTAACACCATTAATAAAGGGGCTAGGCAGCGCAAGGCGAACCAGCACACACTGCCCAGCAATTCACCAGCTCAGCCAGGACTCAGGAAGGTACAATTCGGTCATTCCATCACACCGTCTTGGTCACTTTTCAAAGTTATAGAGCCATTACTGACAATTTTCCGCTTGGACAGGTTGCAAACGCGCAAAGGAAAGAGAAACAGCTTGCTGCTTCGTTGGACGGGACCAGAAGGGATAAGGGGCGTATTGACACACTGCGAGAAGACTTTAAGGGGGGTATCAGGCAGAATAAGCTGAACCTTCACAATGTGAGTACTCTTATCGTGAGAACTGTTATGGAGCTTTACTGACTTTTAACGCGACACATAGGCTAAGTCTCAATGCAAGCGTGATCTGGAGCAGATGCAATGGATTAGGGATAATATGCCTGAGTTCATGAATGTTGAGCAGAGGAAACAGGAACCGATAGAATAAAAGTGTTGCCTGCAGAACGATAGAGGAAAATAACTGTATTGGTTCTTGAGCCGAAATAGTTAATTAGGTAATTTCACTCATAAATATATCAATAAGCACTACCAGTCGATGGATCTGATATGCATATTGGCCTCGCACGTGGTAGAGGAAAACGAACTTGACATTAGCCATTACCCTGTAATTTGTAATAAACATGGGCTCAATCGGCGCAATACTATCAATTGGGTCTGCGGCAGCAATTAAATTCGACCTGCTGGTTTGTCTGCACGTTGTGTAGGATCATCTCTGCTCGTCCACCTACCACTCTGCGATCGTTTGTTAGATATACCAACTTATCAGAACTCATCGTCTCCCACCACGGCTTTCAACAGAAAATCCCGTGTGACGTCCACGGGTTTCAGATCTGCTTCTCTCTCCAGAACGTCTAGGGTTTTCTGGGCATCAATGCCGAAGGGGACCCAGCCGGCCCTCCACCACTTGTCCAGAACCTCGGCATGCATCTTCATCTCCGCGCCGCCCTCGGCCCTCAACGCAGCGAACCACACTTCGGGCGCAACGACACGGAGTGGGTGGCCGTCTAGCCCGTTCTCCAGTAGCTTAGCCAGCTCTCGATAGCTGATGTGAGTCCTGGGAACTATGTGCCATATCCGGGCGCAGCTGTCACCACCACCCGCCGCAGCCGCACTTTCATGCTCGCCGCCGTCGCCGCCACAGTCCTCCAACCGCCGCGTAAGCGTCAGGTGCTTGAGGGCCGCGGCTAGAAAGTCAAACGTAACCCAGCTCATACCGCCGCCGCGTTCGCTCCCAAAATCGGGCACCAGACCCGTCCGCAGCGAACCAAGGATGATGCGACGGTTGATATCGCTCCGTGGTAAGGGGACGCCCGCGTTCGGAGCCATGGCGCACATGCTGCTGCGGATTATGGAGACAGGTAGGCCGCCGTGGGCCGCCGCGTGCAGGATCGCCTCGCAGGCCCAGCGTACCTTGAGGTAGGCCAGGCTGCCATCTCTTGTGCCGGGCTGGATGTGAGCGAGCTCTCTTTCATCAAGGACGTATCCTGTGGGTGATCCATCACCGTCGGGGAGCGATGATCCGGTCTGTTTCTGGGTAGTGGTGGTGTCGAGCCAGGACTGGAGATGCACCGTCGCCCACGTCGACAGATGGTGTAGCGGCTTGGTGTTGCCAATGTTGCCGCGGGCCAGGGATATCAGGAACCGGACCACACCCAGGTTGCCTGCCCGGAGTTTGCTGTAGTTACCAAACAGTGATACGTCCGAAGATAGGTTGTAGATGGCGTGCACCTCCCTATCCAAAACGGCTATGTCTTCCGGACTGAGGCTCAGCGTTGGATGAGTAAGCTCTCCCGGGAAAACCACAATGCGGTCCAGGGCGGCCGGAGCAAGGTATTCTATCAGCCTGCACCTCTTGAGTGTTTCTATGACAGCCTGTTTGGCCGCGTCTCCGTTTTCGCCACGCTCTCCCAGGCACATTATTTTCAACCCCGTCGTGGTCAGCACGAGGTGGATGAAGTAGGCACCGATGATTGTTGAAGCACCAGTAAGCGCAATGCAGGTCGGTGGTATCGTTGACTTTGAATTGGTGATTTGGACAAAGTCTGCTGGGAGGGTCGTCTCCACGTGCCAGTCGATTCGTCCCAGTTTCTGCTGATCCCCCACCACAACAGGGTTAGCCCCGTCAATGCCGTTTGGCTTCTTTGTGCCATTTGCAACACCGTGTTGGCCATTGCTAGAAGTTTTTTGATGCTCCAATATGAGTCTCTCCGTCCCTTCAAGGGTCGGCTCTGAGAACATATCGGCCAGAGACAGCGTGACGCCAAACTTGTCTAAGATGGCGCTTTGTACCTGCATAAGCGCCAAGGAGTGGCCTCCCACGGAGAAAAAGTCATCGGTCGGGGTAATAACCGCTTCTATGCCAGTGGCTTGTCTCCAGATCGAAGCAATCGCTTGCTGGATTGGACCAAGGGGCACGAACCCATCGCCATTCGTCTTCGACCCGGCGTTGTCGGAAATAGGTGTTGGCCAGCCCGCTATGGTGCGGTAGTCAGTCTTCCCCGAGACCATCATTGGCAGTCTCGACACGAGAACATAAGCGCCGGGCCGCATGTGTGTGGGGAGAACAGGCTGGAGAGATGATCTCAGGTATCTTCTGACTTCTTCCAGGCTCTGCTCGTCGTGCTGGTCGTCCAAAGCACTCGCGGCAAGATATGCGACGACCAGTTCTGCTTGCTTTCGGTACACAACGGCAACGTTCTGGATATCGACCGGCAAAAGCCCGTCGGCCGAATCGAGGGCTTGCCATATGGCTCCTTCGATCTCGCCCAGCTCTGTGCGCTGGCCGCGGATTTTCACTTGCCTGTCTCCGCCGACACGCCCCATGTAGTGAAGCGTCCCATCGGGGTCAAGCCGGAAGGAGTCACCAGAGCAGTAGAATATGCCCTCGGCTATTCGGGGGGTAGACGCCGAGAAGGGTGACTTATGGACGAACTTTTCGGTCGTCAGCTCCGGCCGATTGATGTAGCCGGAGCAGAGAGTCGGGCCGCCGATGAGCAGCTCCCCAGGAACTCCAAAGGGCACGCTATTCCCCTGTGGGTCTACCAAGTGGAAGGAGGCAGGGAATATTGGTCCCGACAAAGGCGCGGAAGCCGACAAGCAGTCTGAGGCTTCGAGCTTCCGCAATGACACACACAATGTAGCCTCTGACGGTCCGTACCCGTTCCATAAAGCGGCTTGTGGCAGACCGAGGTTGAAGAAGGCCATCATAGTGCGTTGGGTGATGGCTTCTCCGCCCAGGACCAGCGTACGGAGCGACTTCCACTCACTAAGCTTGTGGCTGTTGGGAGCCGATGTCATAGCCAGAAACTGCGTCGGTGTTATAGTCAAGCTGGAGACCCTTTCGTCGACGACAAGATCAACCATACGCGCCGGAGAGTATATAGCCTCGCGCGGCGCAACCACCAGCGTCGCTCCACAACAGATTGCCCCATAGACAGAGACGAGAGCCATATCGAAGTTGAGAGCAGATGCAAGAAGTATCCTGTGCTCGGCCGAGGTGCCTAGAAGACCGTGAAACCCTTCATGCCACAGCCTGACCGCCCCGTGGGTGAGGTAGAGACCCTTGGGACGTCCGGTACTTCCGCTGGTGAAGATGCAGCAGATCGGCTCGTGTGCTTGTATCGGGCTGGATAAAGTCATCTTCTCGTGGAAGACAAAATCATCTTGGCGCCACATCTCGTGAACATGGAGAATATTGGCCCTCTTCAGTCCGCAGCTGATACTGCGAGAGACATGTTTGTTATCGTCGATAACGACTCTCTGAACATCGACGTCCTCCAATATGACACGCAGTCGCTCGTCTGGGACGTCGTTGATGGCCAAATACGCACACCCGGCCCTGAGAATGCTGTAGACCGTGATCACCATCTCGGCTCCTGGCTCAAACAGCAGCGCTATTGTCTCGCCGCGACGAGCGCCTTGGGATAGAAGAAATTTTGCACCAGTAGCGGTGGCAGAATCGATCTCGGCATAGGAGAACGACCGGGTCTGGTCTACCAGTGCCGTCCTTGCCGATAATGCTGACGCATGTTCCTCGAAGAACTTGTCAAATAGCGACGCACGGGATCTATCGATAAGCTCCGAATCGACTCTCGGCTGGAGATACGCCGCCATGAGCTTTTGGTCTTGCGGCGAGACTAGTTCCAATTCCCCAAGCGGCTTGTCGCCAGCCGTTGCGAGAACGTCTTGAATCAGATTCTGGTATACGCCGGCGAATAGAAGCATGCTTTTCGTGTCGTATAGAGCCGTGTCGAACTCAAGGTTGAACTCCAGAGCGCCACTTTGGGTCTCCTCGATGTCGATGCTGAAGTCGGACTGACTGCGAGCGTTGTAGTGGCCGTAGCGCGTAAACTTGAAATTCCCAAAATCAACCTCCCGGAAGGCCCCATGGACCTGGTAATTGACTGTGATCTGGAAGATCGGGCTATGAGATGTCCGCCTGGGCACGTCTATGGCCTGCAAAAGGTAGTCGAAGGGCAAGGAGCGATGCTTATAGGCGTCCAGACAGGTTTGCCGGAAGTCTTGCAGGTAGTCCCGGTAGAGCTGCTCGGGGGAAGTTCGGGAACGTATTGCCAGCATGTTCACCGTGAAGCCTATAAGTTTGTCAAAGGTGGAGTGGCCCCTATCACTGTCGGAAATACCGATCAGGACGTCGGCATCGCCCGTCAAGCGTCGCACAACGGCCCCGATAGCGGCGGTCATGAACATGAAAGACGTCAACGCGTTCTCCGCGCAGTATTCTTTGATCTTGCCGCTTAATTCAGGGGAAATCGAGAACTCGACGTGGTCGGTTGCTAGCTGCTTCACCGTTGGTCGCCGGTCGACCTTGGCGAAAGGGAGAAGACTAACAGCCTCAGGTGTTCCACGTAGCTGTTCCTTCCAATAGTCCACCAACGGGTCGACAAATTTCGGAATTTTCAGACACTGCTCTTGCCACAGAGTATAGTCAAGGAACTGGTAGGGAACTGGCGGCAGCACTGTGTCTATGTCTTGCCCGGCAACCAAGCATCTGTATATTGCTGTTATTTCCTCGAAGACGATGGTGCTGGAAGCCCGGTCCCAGGCCAGATGGTGTGACCCAAGGAGCAGCGCGCTCGATACGTCCGATTTGAGAAACCAGCAGTGGATGAGCTCTCCATTCTCCAACGCGAACTCATGTTCCCTTGCCTGCGCCGTCAACCGCTTGAGTTCAGCTGTATACTCATCCTCAGAGCACTCCGACACATCAAAGTGGAAAGGCGCGTCAGAGACAAGGACTTGTTGGGGTCCGTCCGGAGTCTCTTCAATCCTGGATCGTAGGACTTCGTGTCTCGCCGTCAGCATCGTCCAAGCCTTTTCCAGCAGAACAGTGTCGGCCTGTCCCTCAATGTGACACACTAGGAGCAGGTTATTTGCTGTCTTATCCGACAGATACCTATGCAGAAACCACAGTCGACTCTGCGAACGAGAGAGCGGGCGGCGGGCGGACTCTTCATAGTGGACGGGGTCCGGTATAATGCTGTGAGTGGCCTGTCTGAAGTTTGACAAGGCTCTGGAGACGAGGTCATCTATCGATTTGCAGCCCAAAACGTCGAAAACCGATATGTCAAGTGCAAGTTCTGGGTCCGTGTCAGCGGGACCCGGGAGAATGGAAGGGAAGGGAAGGGGCGGGAAGATCCGGGGACTATATAAGAAGCACTTACCTTTGAAAAACCAGTACCGACAGGCCACCGCATTAAGGGAGTCGAGTCCGTAGGCCCCGATAGGAGAGTTCGGATTGAAAGAACTGGTGTTGTATCCTAGAATGCTGGAAAGGCATTGCAGAAACTGGTCCAAGAGGAGCTCGCGCGCTTCCGTGTCTTCGAGCAACTTCAGGCGTTCCGCAAGTGACAGGTCGGTTCTCTCGGTGTCGGAGCCGAGTTTATGGTCCAACAGGAGCCCAAACTCGGGAAACTCGGCCCAGAACACCTGGGTTTGCGACGCCTTGGTCTGCAACTTCCCGTCGACAGTCGAAAACATCTGCAGCCCAGATTCGATGATGGCCCGGCCCGAGGCTCGAGACTCCTGGATGGCGGCCTCGGTGAGCTTGTAGAGATGCTTACGTTCTGCCACGAAGTAGCCGGCGTTCTGCATGTATTTGAGAAGGAACTCTTGGTCATGTAGGACGCCGAAACCCGTAAGTGCCGGTACCAACAGGGATACGGCAGTCAAGCCCAGGGAGCGGCGGTACGTGGCAAGCTGATTCAGGAATGAATTACCAGTCGAATAGCTGGCTTGCATGCGGCTTCCTATCATGGTGACACAGGATGAGAAAAGGATGAAGAAGTCTAGTTCATCTTCGAGTGTGGACTGGTGTAAATTCCAAGAGGTTTTGATTTTGACCTGCAAGGGAGCATCCCATTGCTGACTCGTCATGGTCGCCACCGGAGAGTCGTCGAGTAGAATGGCCAGATTAATGCAACCAAGAATTCTGTGATCTTTGCGTACCTCGTGGAGGGCCCGGCTGAGTTCTTCCAGACAAGATGCATCCGCACGAAGGACTTCCAGATGTCCTCCTAGCATCTCGACCTCCTGAATGACCTCCTGGGCGTTAGGTGCGTCTGGACCGTTTCTGCTGACCGTCACGATGTGCTTGGCACCGTTCTTCACCATCCACGATAACAACTCCCGGCCAACTCCTCCGAGCCCACCGATCAAGACGTAAGACCCGTCATCGCGGAACAGCCTTTTCGGTTTTAAGTAGGTGATCAGTGCCTTGGTGGGCGCAGATGACGGAAAGTGGAGCAGCACTCGAAAACACGCATGCTCACCTGGGCTGTTGACGTCAGTAACAAAGGCGGCCGGGTACCGATCGATCGGGTATGCTTCAAAGGCGGTATCTCCTGATTCCAGGGGTAAAGCTGCATGGCTACATTGAAGCGATGGTAACCCATATCGCTGAAGAAGCATCTGCAGCACGACTAGCCGACCATTCGCAAACAAACCTCTCGACGCATCGTATATGATGTCTATATCACATACTTTCTCGTGCTTTTGGGTGAAAAATGCGTGATGCTGTGCTGCTACGTGTGACAGGGCCTCCTGTAGGTCACGTGGGATGTGGGTGATCCGAATCCTGTCCCCGGACCTGACACGACATTCGTGAACAAGGAGACAGACGGCGATGGTGTAACATGCATGTCGAATCAGATCTTTTGCGGCATCACCACCGGGATCCAGGCGAGTCGCACTGTCAGCTGGAAGCATCAGGTAAGATGCATGGGCACCGGGATACCACCCGAAGACTCTGTCTCCGGGGACGAAAGCTCCCGAATCGCTTGCGGCTACGTTTCCAACGAAGAAGAGCCCAAGACCTGATCTGGCATAGGGCTGGATGGCTTGGATCCTCAAGAAGTCTTCGTAGTCGACCAGTGAGGCCTCGACGATTACCTTGATAGAACCAGGGCCAGGTTTCAACAGAACACTATCGGTCGAAGTACGAGCCAGGAGGCTGACTTGACCTGGCGATTCACAAGAGACGTGATGACTAACCAAGGGGTCTGACAGTGACAACAAAGCTTCGACCGGAAGAGCCAGGCCAACGGAAGCCGAAAGTTTGTCGTCGGGAATATGTCTTAGTGCGTGGATGGCGCCGTGTTTGACGAGGAGCTCCACCTCGTTCTCGCCGTGCAACATGGCATCGTATACTCTTCGGCAGGTTGCCCCTATCCGACCTATATCATGCTCATCTTGGATAACGAGGCTGACGGCCTTGAGTGTAGGATGCTCCGTACATAACGTGCGAACGAAGCTGGCTGCCAAACCGTTGAAAGGGTCGAGAGCCGTTTGTCGGGAAACCCAGAGAAGCTTCCTCAGACGCGGAAGCAGGGATTGGATCCACGGTAGCAACATATCGCCAGGGATGTCCACCAGTATTGACCTTTCGCCACAGTCCAGCACAATGACATCGTACTCATGGGGTGAGAGCTGTGGATCTAGTTCCTGCGCGGATAAGCCGTCAATCTTGATCGTCTCAGTGGCTCCAAAGTCCAACTCAGAAACTTCGACACCATTAGGAATGAAAAGTTTCACATGTGCGGATGATTCTGGTCCTTCCGTTGAGTATTGCAATGGCCTTCCCAACAGCCACTCGCTTCCTGATGTTGTTCGGACAGTTGAGCTTATCGGGAAGATTGCGTCCGGAGTGCTCATGTGTTCTGCAACATGGTTCTCGGGGGCGATGCAGACCAAACCACCATGCTCTAGGTGGCTCGTATATTGCTCGATGACTGACCAGGGGCCAAAAAGCACATGTAACTTGGAGCCTGGATTGAAGCGGTCAACAGCGCGGAGGCGGATATATTGGGGACCTTGGTATTCCCCGACAATAGTGGCGGATCGGAAGCGCGACCGCTCATACGGGCTAATGCCATGCAAGCACGAGAGGATCGCGTCGACATCATGGGATCCAAGACCCACTATGCCAATGTCTGCCATGGGCCATTTGTGTGTAATGAGTTCTAACACATCATGCAGCTCTGCTGTTCCCAAATTGTCGCAGTAAGTGATGTCAAATAGCTGCTTTTGCTGGAAGAATAGCGAGCTTATAGGGGGGGTGTGATTCATTGGATCTCTGCTAGCCGCATACTGGACTCCTTGCAGATACATCGGTATGGCTCCATAATCCTTGCGGAGATAGACATCGGATGAAACTCTGGCATTCAGGGGCGCTGAACATCGGAGATTGAGGATGCTCGGTTCTTCTGGATCCTGGCCAAGAGCGAACTGAGCAAAACTGATACTGCTCAGTCTGAAACTCCTCGGAGTACCAGAACCAAACAGCATGGACTGTGGTAGACGTAGAATGGCGTCAAGCGTAGTTGGGGCAATGGAATACTGAGCAACCTCGTCTTTGCCTTTATGCACAGTACCGACTGCGTGATTGGCCGTATAGCAGAGCTCTTCAATACCATCGAGCTTCGGCAGCGGGAACGTCTCGGCAAATTCTCGAACCTCAGCCTCAGGAAGTATCGAAGGTACTTGGAACTCTTCAGCATTCGACGATATGTACAAAGCTACACCTAAAAGATGTTAGTAGGTTTCACAGCCAGGAAAGCAAAGGTTTCTCTCACCCGAGACCATCTTCTGCCAGTCAAATCTTCCACCCTTAGCATATGCATAGATGCAGAGATGGGAACAGTCTTGCTCTTCGTCATAATCAAAGTGAGTATGGAGCTCGACTATGGTTTCTTCGGATACAAAGACGTCAAGTGGCAGGTCATTATGGAAGACAAAATCTCTCAAGACGATCGTCTCACTGTCCCTTATTGACGCCTGCTTCATGGCCTCAAGGGCCATCAGGATATAGACTGAAGGAGGAAGTATTGAAGAATGTTTTTTTTCCTGGAAAATGTTAACATATAGCGTGTGAGTTTCGGGTTATCCTTCGTGACTTGCCGTCATGTTTTTGAGCCACGAGACTTGGCTCAACATCAAAAGATTTCGCCAGGATCTTGATTGGGGGTTTAGTATGGGGTTTTCGGACCCGAGCAATTCATGACGAGGGTACATTCGATGCCTGTAATTCCAGCTCAACTCGGTTTCTCCCCAGAATGCCACTTTGTGATCCCAGGCGTACTTAGGGACATCAGTCAAGACTGTGCCGTGAACGTGTGAAACGTTGCCACTCGCCTCCACGCTTTCCATGGCGTTCACCCGATCACAGCATATGTCCATACCCGACGTGATCATGCGTCCTACATTCTGAAGAAGCGAGATGAAGTCATGCTGGCCTCGGCTGCAAGACCAGAAGTATGGCAGAACGTCAATGTTCTGGGAGGCCAAGATATCTTCCGTCGGCCCCTTGAGTGCGGGGTGTGGGCCAATCTCTACCATGGCATCAACCTCCAAGCTATGAAGCATGGCCGTGACGGCCGCCAAGAAGCGAACGGTTGATGTCATATTCTCCTCCCAATAAGCGGGGACATACGCTCCTCTGTCCAGGTTTCTGCCCTTGACAGAGGAAAACATGGTACATATTGACGTCCGTCTGCCATCTATTGGACCGACTCCTGCGGCCGTCATGGCCTGCCTATACACAGGGGCCATGGGCAACATGTGGTGTGAATGATAGGCCGATTCAACACGTAGTTGCCTGCAAAAGAGGCCCTGGTCCTTGGCATTTTGGATGACCTCACGGATGGCATCCTCATCGCCTGATAATGTGCAGCTTCCCGGGGAATTGACACAGGCCAGGGCTAAACGGCCGGCATGGGGGCGTATCAAGCGCAGAGCCTCGGCTTCGCCTGCACCAACAGCGCACATGGAACCTTTCTTTCCATTTGACTTGGAAGAGTCGCCAGAAAGATACATACCGCGGTAGTAAGCAATAACCACCGCATCACGAAGCGAGAGGTGGCCTGCACAGTACGCCGCCGCGATTTCACCGGACGAATGCCCAACGGCCGCCACTGGGTTGATCCCCCAGGATCTCCACAGCTCCACCAACGCAATCTGCAGTATGGTGCATAGGGGCTGGGAAAAGCTCGACTCGTACACTCGCGAGTCCGTCTTCAGCCTGCATAATTCTTCGATTACATCCCAGGACGGGGCGTCCGGGAGGGCTTTCAACGCGGCCGAGCATTGCAGTACGACAGAGCGAAAGAGTGGCGAGCACTCGATGAGTTGTTTGCCCATTGAGGGCCATTGAGCTCCCTGCCCAGTAAAAATAAAAGCAACATTCTTGACGACGCGGTCTGGCTGGATCGAGGCCATCCAATCGTCACGTCGCAGTTCCATGGCCAACTCTTCGTGTGTAGCAGCCGTCACGAACAAAGTGTTCTTTAAAGTGGACCGGCGGCTCAGTAGTGTATATGCTATATCTTGAAGCTGGGGCTTTGCCACTTCGACGTATTGGGCATATTCTTCGGTCATTTTCTTGAGGCTGCTCTGCGAGGAAGCTGAAACCTTGAACAAATACGGGCGGGCGTAATACGTGTTGGTATCAGTGACCTTCCTTGGGGTGTACTCAAGCACCGCATGTCCGTTCGTCCCGCCAAACCCGAAGCTGTTGACCGCGGCACGGCGGGTATTGTCGGGCGAAAGAGGCCAAGAAGTAAGAGATCGAGGGATCTCGATGGCCGTAAAGTCGATCTTGGGATTCGGCGTGACAAAGTGCATTTGCGGCGGAATCAGGCCCCTTTCTAAACTTTCCACTGTCTTTGCGATCCCGGCCAGTGCTGCGACGGCCTCGAGATGGCCAATGTTGCTCTTCACGGAGCCCACCATCAGCTTTTGTTCAAGGTGAGAATCCCGGTATACGGCGTCAATTGCCGACAGCTCCAAAGGATCGCCAACGGCCGTCCCAGTGCCGTGGGCCTCGAAGTACTGCACTTCTTTGGGGTCAATGTTCTCCCGCAGATAAAGCGCTTCCATGTTTGCTCGCTGGGCATCAGAACTTGGTTGTGTGATGCCTTGCGTCCTTCCATCCTGGTTGATACGAGTGCCGCGTATTACGGCTCTGATGGCGTCGCCGTCGGCCATGGCCTTGTCTAGGGGCTTGAGTAGCATTGCGATAACACCCTCAGCTCGTACGTAGCCGTCGCCTCCGGCATCAAAAGACCTGCATCTTCCGGAGGGGCTCAAGAATCCGAGCTCGGACATATGGACAAAGACGTCCGGGTTTAGAAGGAGGTTCGAGCCGTTGACGACTGCCATATCGGCCTGGCCGCTCTGCAGATCTTGAACTGCTTGGTGGAAGCCGACCATGGTTGACGAACAGGCTGTGTCTAGCACAACACTGGGTCCATGGAGATCAAAGAAGTAACTAACACGATTGGCTGCAATAGCATTGCACCCTCCCGTTGACATGTATTTTGGTGTCATGTCCAGGTCACGGGAAAGACTAGTATTATAGTCGGACCACGTCATTCCTAGTATAATATTATCAGTCAGCGTTGATGGGCTGCGATGAAAGAGTCTCGCGACTTACCTGTGTAAACCGCCGTGTTAGTACCCATGAATCTTTCAATCGGTATGCCGGCATTCTCAACCGCTTCGTAGGTGACTTCCAACAGCATACGCTGCTGGGGGTCCATCGAGCCAGCTTCCACCGGTGGGATGGCGAAGAACGCGTTGTCGAATTTGTCCACATCATTATCAATGAAGTATCCCTGGTTGACATTGGTGAGACCTTTCTTGGGCCCCCCTTCAGGGCTGTAGAAGCCAGAAAACCTGGGGTTCTCCTTCTGCACGTCTTTTGACAAGACGAGGTTCTCCCAAAGGCGAGCCGTTGAGTCAGCTCCCGCCACTCTGCACGCCATGCCAACGATGGCAACGGACGTCTTCTCATGAGCTCCCTCCATATTGAACAGACTTTTACAGTCAAAACCCGAAGATGGTTATGATACGTATCTGCTGATGCTTTTTATATATAAAATATGGCAGAACAACAGAGATCATGACGGTGACGGTGACTTAAATACCACGGTTTCAGTAAGATCTGGTTTTAGGCAGAAGTTGCTCATGCCGATGCTTCAGACAACTTCTGCATAAGTTATGCGAGATGTCATTCTATCATCCACGTGCTGAATCCAAGAACTGAACAGGTATGTGGCACGAGTCGGGATACTGTGGGTACGAGGAGGGATACATTGAAGGATTGCTCACCCATCCTACAAGGAAATTCGCGGACAAAAACATCTCTACCAGGTACCAATCTCCTCCCACCCAGATACTGTATAGAAAGAATAACGTCGCTTTCGAAGGATTAGGCCGTCTCACTACGTATTCAGATTTCGGCCCGCAGCTTGTCAGAGTAAGTGGGGGAATGTTTAGCTTACATGGGGTGGTTAGTCTGGCAGGGATAACATCCTGGTTTCAACTATCTGTACAGTCGCCGACAATCAGGTCACAGTTGGCCAGGGTTAAGAAAACTTGACCAGGGGGTAGAAATTTTGTGGCATAGCAAAGTTGATCGGGGTTAGAAATTTCCTAACCCTGGCCAAGTTTTTGCTAAGTGTTAGGCAACCTTGATGGGCTTTACCAAGACCACCAAGGTTACCACGTGACTTAGCCCTTCGGGACTAAGTCAACCTTCGTGCTCCATAGTACTAGATAGAATATCATGCTTTTACAACCTCATAAATCTTTAACTACCTTTGCGTGTAACACTAAGGATAGCTTACTAAACTAGGTATAAAGCACAGTACTAGACTTTTATAGTATATGATATGCAAAACATAACGTGAATGTACACCGAGCTGGCCACCCTTACATAACCTCGCATAGAGATTTTACGATAGTAAAACCACAACGCCGTAAATCAATTGAAACTACTCTGAATCTTCCTCTCCAGAAGATGGCAATGCGATCTTACAAGTTCGCGCATTATGCCCAGTCCCGTTGCAAATACCACAGCGCCTCGGGCATGTTTCAACACGCTTTGCGCGACCACCATTTCGGCGCTCTTCTTGCTGTATCTGCGTCGCCAACTCCCTAGAGTCCCGTAGGTCCTGTCCTTCTTGGAAAATAAGTGATTCTCCTTCCCGTAATTGCTTTTTTTTAGTCCTCCGGCGCCGGCTTAGCATCTTATTTGCCTCTCGAAGCTCAGCGCACTCGGCCCGTACGAGGGCGAGCCGCCGTTTTTACGCGTTTGGAGTGTGCTTCGGGGGACTTGGTACGTTTTTGCCGCTTGTCGGAGACTAAGTTTTTGGTCATTTTTGAGAGCTTGAAGGGCTAGCATTAAGTCTGCTTCGTTTTATGACTTTTCCATAATTGGTTGTTGAGAAAATCAAACATTAAGTTGGCCGGTCGCGTTGGCGCATGAAAGTGGCCAGCTCGGTGTACATTCACGTTATACTATTAATAAATACTTGGGCGGACAACTGTAGTGCTTTCAGATGCCCACGAAAGATTAAATAAACTATTAGACACATGACAGCCTCACAAAAATGTAGAGTATTGACACGAGTGTCGTGGTTTTCGTAAACCTTGCTCCTGGGTTTTGTCACTAGCTCTTTCGGACTAGTAACAACATGGCCCCCTAGCACCTTAACCCCTGATGTGTATTGCGCCTGCTAGGACATATGCTACGGTACCTATTAATGAAGATTTGCGCAACCGGTTTCATGTATAGGATCTCTGCAGCCAACAGCCAGTTCACTTAAGGACGATAACTGGGCCTCGCCTAAGACGTTAAGATCTTGGCGACACTAATCAGACCTCACTAGGTGCCTTCTCCTCGGCCTCTGGCTTGGCCTCCGGTGCCATAAACTTGTGCTGTTTGCCCACGCAACAGCAGATAAAGCATGCACAAGCCGCCCCAAATAGCAGCCACCAGCCATTCTGCAGACTGTGCGCGTAGATGTCTACGATTCGCGGGATAAGGTCGGCACTGAACCTGGTGTGAACGGTGTGGATATCGGCCATCACGCCCGAAACCTCGGCTGGCGTGAGACCTAGGTTGGCGAGCCCATCGGCCAGCTCGTTGACGTAGACTGCGGAGAAGAGAGCAATGCCGAAGGCATCGCCAATGGCCTGGATGAAGAGACACAGGCCGGTGACAACACCGATCTGCATGGGCACCACGGCGACCTGTGCCGTCAGCAACATGCCGCTCATAGCGGCACCTTGACCGACGCCTAGGATGAATGGTACGATGACGGCTTCGGCCCGTGTGGTGGATGCGTTCCAGCGGGTCATAAGGCCCATGGCCATAACCTCCAGCGCAGCGCCCGCGATAGCGTTAATGAGACTGACGCCCTTCTTACTAGTAACAAATGCAGCGATGGGATTTCCCACCAGAAGACCAAGCATCATCGGCAGGAGGCCAATGCCAGAAAGCGTGGCGGAATCCCCAAAGACGAGTTGGAAGTATTGCGGAAGATAATACATACCACCTGTTTCATCCAAGTCAGCCGAGTTTCGAGGGTCTAATGCCGGTTATAGTGAGGAGATTTCCTCGGCAAAGCAGAGGGAGAAGGCGAAAAGTCTTACCGAGTAGAACAATCCCGTAGAAGAATTCGGCGCCGAATATGCTAAGCAACGCACGGCTTCTGAACATGGACGGGAAGACAAGCGGGACCTTCACAAAATGCTCGACTACGATGAAAGTGACGAAGAGGGCAGCACCGCCGACAATGGTTCCAATCACCCTGCTATCGGTCCAGGGAAATACGTGTCCTCCCCAGGACAAGCCCATATTCAGCGCGGTGGTAGCACCGGAGATAGCAATAGTGCCGACATAGTCGAATGTGAGGAGCTTCTCCTTGAGACTCATATTGGGGACTGGAAGATGGAGGGTGAACAGGACGATAGCGAAGCTGACCGGGCAGATGAACAGATTGATCCAGAAGCACCATCGCCACGTTGCGTACCTGCTCAGTGTTAGCGGTGCCCATTGCGGAGAGGGGCAGAATTGCGGAATTACTGAGAAAATACACCACCAAGCAGTGGACCAGCGACGTCGGCGAGGGCCCAGACGATGCCCGTGATAGCAAGGAATTTGCCCACATCTTGGAGATCGACGAGATCGGTGATGATGACCTGTCAGAGAATGAACATCAGCGTTACTAATTCGCAACATTACTACTTAGATGTAAAAGACAAAACGGAACACTACATTAGTTAAGACATAGATAACTCCAGCCCCGAGGCCTTGCACCGCTCTGGACCAGATGAGCATATCCATGTTATGGGCCCAGCCACACAGCGCGCTCCCCACAAAGAACAGGACAGTGCCGCCTAAGAAGATGTTCTTGCGGCCAAAAACATCACCGAGTTTAGCGGCAATAGGCTGGCCGAGGGCAAAGGTGATGAGGAACGCGGTGCCTAGCCACGCAGAGTTGGAGTAGTTATTGAACTCGGACGAGATGATGGGCACAGCGGTGGCGACGATATTGAAGTCGAGCGCGGTGAGCAGCATTCCAGCGTTCAGTCTATCAACGGGTTAGTATAGATTGAGAGTGCTTGTAGATTTCCGGTGAACGTAGTCACCATATTCCGTCAGTACGTACCCAACGCAGACGATCCAGAACTGAGTAACGGTCAGTCCGGCTCTCTCGCCCGGCTTTGAACGTCGTGGGGGTGCTTCTGGTGCATCTAAGTCGGCAGTCGACGCCACCTGTGTCTTGTTTGCCGGCTTTGTCTCGTCCATGGTGATGATTCGTTGACGTTTGGAATCTGGACCTTTGACTATCAGGTCTGAGAACTGGTGATGATGGGTTGAATGGGCAAGCTCTCTGAAATTTGATTCCTACTACCAAGAATCATATTTGGGGAGGAAAGGACCCGAAAGATACAAGTTAATAGTCACGGGAATGGGAACTTGCGAACAGGAAAAGCAGTCGGCAGAAGATAATGACCAAAGACCGACGGCCAACATCTACCCGACTCCGAGTCGGAGAATGCAGGTGAAAGCTTGACACCCTATACCTGGACATACTAATTTCCCTCTTTCCGATCTTATCTGATGGAAGGGACACGCATAAAGCGCCCGCCGGGGCTGCGGGCAGCCCGACTCAATCTTGGTTGTGGTTTGGGATAGGTTCCCAACGGGAGTAGTAGCGCTCACTGCAAGTTGAGACAGGGGAGCAAAGGCGGCGGGCGGCGGCGACGCTAGACTAGGGTCGCCGACGCTAAAAAGTACCCAGCCGCCGCTAAGCATGCAACCGCCGGGGGGGGGGGGGCGGGCCAAGGCAGAGTACGGCAAGGCATGGGGTTGAGCCTAATATCTTCTGTCTTCAAACTTGACCCTGGATAACGTAGGGCCCGATTGGTCAATAGCGAGAACATCATTCGTGTGCATCGTTATAAAGCGAAAATTGGCAGTCCGGGGCACGTTCTGCTCGACGAATACATGCTGGTGATGCTAGCTAGCGACCGTCAGAAAAATGGACAGATAGTGCTCATTCAACCAGCCCTTGCTCGGGTATCTGGCTTGTATTGATCTCTTTCTTTTGATGTAGGTATTGGTGGAATATCTGGAGTTCAAGTTGTACCTATTACCGCTTTGGGGCCTGTTGACTCTCAGTGGTCGCTCCACAATCCGCATTACAACACCAACAACCATGGAAATCGACAGCACTACGAATTCATGAAGAGCATGAAGCCTGCTAGAAATAAACACAATCCTTTCTAAAATTTCATTCTACAACAACACTTTGTCTTTGGGAAGGTTGAATCGCCAATTCCTTGAAAAATGAATACGGTTGAACACATAAAGCAAGCTTAGATAGACGGCGAGATAATTGTATCTATGTTAGATGGCAGTCGCGCTACCGCTATTTACATCTGCTGAATCACCTCAAATAAGTCTTTATATCAGTTTTCCAGGCTTTCACGCAGGTCCAATCACCCGCTACGACGCCCCTAAGACCTTGACCGCCTCCTCTTTGCTCGGTCAAGCACTTCATCTGGGGGAATACCCCACGTCGAGGCGTACTGCGCAATTCCCAGCATGGATAGCAAGATAAACTAGTACTCGTCAGTCAGCTGTAGAAGATCGTATAGTTGAGGGAGATTCGAGTTCCCACCGTCGCATGAAATTCGAGTGGCGCTGGAAGTCCGTTGCTCACACTCCAGGACCAGACGGTGCCTCCCAGCGTGGGCCCTATGGCCCTAGCGAAAGAGCCTACGGACTGGGCCAGTCCGTTGAGAAATGCACGCTCCGATGGCGCAGCCACATCATTGAATATTATTTGGATGCTTGCCAGTCCAATGACCATTGCGGCGTATCTTAGCATGACGAGAGGAGTCAGAAGAATCCATAGACTGGACCCGCCGGTCGATCCTGCAAGGTGAGGAAGCATCGAGAAGAGCGGGTAAACGATAGTAAAAACCACAGCAGTCGACCGGTAAAGCGTGCGTGAGCCGTACCTTCGATGAAGCGTGCTGAACACCAGCAGGGATCCAAACATAGCAGGACCGGCGAATAGAAGGGCACGAGCAATATCTCGAGGATTGAAAGAGAGACCGATGCCTACTTCGAGGCTCGATGCTGCGAAGAGCGGGAAGAGCTCATCGAAACAGATTATGTGAATGAAGTAGCATCTACGGAAAGTCAGTCCTGGCTAATAACAACAATCGAGAGTGCAACATACATCGCTGTCAACATGGAGAGGCCTTGAATTCTTCGAAAGTTTATTCTTGGTACGTCCATCTCTTCTGCCTGGGAATCATTTGATGTATGACTGCTCTCCCGTGTGGCCTGATCATGCTCTGAAAGCAGGGGATCAGTCTCACAATGGGTTCTGACCCTGTCGTGGTTCTCTTGGATGGCTTTCGTTGAGGTAAGTGACGAAGTTTCATCCATATAAATGCACGTAAGTGTGACAACCACTACGTTGTAAACCGCGATGAACAGGCACGGCAAAAGCCACGGGTACGTCTTTAACACGTTGTACGGTCCCTGAAGTCCAAAGTGGTTTGTAGGATCGGCAAGCGTACCCCCAATCAGCGGGCCAACTAAAGTCCAGTGAGCTCCATGCACCAAAGATAGTCAAAAAACAACCAAGCAAACGTACTCGTCCATCCCGCCGCGAGGCAGAAGCCAAAGAGGCTAAACGCCTTCGCCTTGTCCATTCCCGTGGCTTCTGACAGCTCGCCCACCACAGTACGGGCGATTGGGCTATTGCCGTTCATCAGACCGCACATGGAACGAGACGCGATGGCCCAGGTGAGATTCGGCGACATCCCAAAAGCGACCATACTCACCGCTGTCCCCAAGAGACCTAACACCAGGCATGGCTTGCGGCCAACACGATCAGAAAGAAGACTCCAGATAGGATTAGAGAACATCTGAACTACAAAGAAGGAAGACGCTGTGGCGGTTCAACCTGAAGTCAGAGTCCTGTCTGCAGAACGTAAGAGGACATGTGGTTGGGGGTTTGGTGGACTCACTGATGATGCCTGCGCGAAAGCCTATTTCCCCTCCGGAGTACCCGAACCCCTTGACCATGAAGTAAATGAATGGCAACAAAACGGTGGACGATACGGGCTCTGCGAGGACAACGCACGAGATAAAGAAGAAATTCCTGCGAGCATGGAGGCTCGGCCTCATCTGGACATGGTTGGTCGTGGTCATCACGATGTCTTCTGCTGCTCCTCTATATCCAAATAGCGATGTACTTGATCGGTGGAAGGTCGCAGTCTAATGACAGCATCGCTCCCTTGCTCTTGTATGTCATTATAATCACTAAACAGAGTAGTAAGCTCCTGTGGTAGCGTACTGCATATGGTTTTACAAGGATATGCAACTACCAGGTATTGTCACCGGTCGTTGCCGCTGCCGGCAGAGGGTTGAATGCTTGCATACATGATGACCGAGTGTCAGAAGGGGGGGTGATATTAAGTTGGTAGGGGGTGAGAGACGAGGGTCGCAATCAAACTTGATCGGGGGTGAAGGTACTGTCCGTACAGACGGTAGAGAGGGAGTACGTTAAGCATATGCTCAGCACCTTCGGGCACTATTACGGTAGCATACTATAAGCTCATATTACGCATATGCTCACCATACTCTATGCCCGGAGTCTGCACGGATAGTACTTTCACCCCCCATCAAGTTTGATTGCGACCCTCGTCTCTCACCCCCTACCAACTTAATCTCACCCCCCGCCAGCGGTAACCTCCATGATGACAAACCCCCTCCACTCCCCTATATAAATCGACTCTGCATCATTGCACAAAGCCAACTCACACATCCATCATCTCGTGTCGTTTTAGGTACATTACGAACAATTCATCAAGCTGAAATCGTCTCACTCAGGCTCGAATCGCCGCAATGTCCCTATCATCACTCAAGCATCTGACCAAACTGGTGGGAGCCCGCGTGCTCGTGATGGGGGGTACTTCGGGTATAGGATTCAGCGTCGCTGAGGCGGCCATGCAGCACGGCGCTCATATCATCATTAGCGGCTCCGACGCAAATAAGCTCAGGGATGCATTGACCCGACTGCGCCAGTCGTATGTATCCCAAGCTAACGGTCCCGCCCGCTTCCTACTGGCAGCCTATGGCAGCGCCGCCGATGAGGCCATCAGAGGCTGTACATGCGACCTAGCCGATCCCGAAGTGATAGAGTCCAACGTCGAGGGCCTGTTGCGCTTTGCTTCCTCATCAGGTCTAATTGACCATGTCGTCTTCACGGCCGGTAACGCCTTCGACATCACGCCACCCAAGAATGCAACCATTGCCGCTGTGCACGATACCATGATGGTTCGCTCGACGGCGCCAATAATCGTGGCGAAGTACCTGCCACAGTACACCAACATGGCGCCAGGCGGCTCCTTCACCATCACAGGCGGATCAACGGCAACCAAGCCCCAGCCCAACTGGTCTATCCTCGCCAGCGCCAGCGCTGCTGTAGAGGGCCTGGCACGCGGTCTCGCTGTCGACTTGCAGCCGCTGCGCGTTAATTGCGTCGCGCCAGGCGTGGTGCATACAGAGATATTCAACCGCGTCGCCGAAGAGCGGAGGGAGCTGCTGCTGAATACATTCAAGAAAGCGTCTACGACAGGGACTGTAGGGCAAGCGGAGGATCTGGCCGAGGCTTACTTGTATTGCATGAAGGATAAATATGTGACGGGGACCGTCATTTCTTCCAACGGCGGGAGGTTGCTGGTTTAGGAGTACTAGGTGCATTGTGAGTTACACTACGAGACAGTCATGGCTGTAACCAGTTTCTAGATCGCAGTTAAAAAAATGTCTATATCCACATATTCTGCAGTTGAGACTCATACTCGTTAAGGGATGCCTGTGACAACACACAAATGGAGTCAGCGGCTTTCTTGTCACTGCACGGACCTCACAGCTTGACAAGCTTAGGCTAACCGAGCAATTCATGATAAAATACAGTTGACTAAAATTGGTTCATGTCCCGCTCGTACGATGGCAAATGCCCAAAAGTGGTTGCCTTACCACGTACATACATCATTTATGCACGCCATCTGTTACTTGATCCTTTTAAACCCATCCCTGCTTCTTACCTCGAATCCCTTACAGTTCGGCAGAGAGCGGCTCACTTTCCGACACAACCTCGCAAGGGTTCTCCAGCATGAAACTCAACGACAGCTTCCTTTCCACCTGCAATTCGCTTAGCGTCTGGAATGCATCGTTGCACGCCCGAGTTTCCTTCTCAGAGGCGCTGGCGCCGACACCCCCAAGGACCCGCCGCGTGCCCACAGCAAAAGCACCATCTCGCCTGTCGAAGTAGCTTAGGGCCAGGTCGCCCAGCGTGCCATCGCCGACGTCCAGCATCCTGGCTATGTAATGCTCCTGGAACGCCGGCTTGTCTTGGTCGGAAGCGCGGTAATTCATCGCCGTCACGCGACACTCGGTCAACGTGCAGTCTCCCGCTATGGAATACTCGTACCAGTCATACGAGTCAGAGCGCGGCTTGCAATGCGTGTGGTTCATTCTACCGGGCTCTGCGGGTAGCCACCTGGAAAGTCGGCAGTTTGTTAGCAAGCCAATCCTGATGAGGCAGGCTGGTGGTTGAAAACTTTTGTTTCTTCTTACCATCCAAAGCTCAGGTAGCCCTTCTCTGAAGCGTAGCAATAAAAGTTGCTTGTTTTGAAGGTAGCATCGCTGGGATACTGGGACGATGATGGCGTTATAATGACCGAGTTGCCTTGGAATAGAGTAGGGCCTGCCGCAGCAGCTGCTGCTGCAAGGGAGCCTAGCTGGAGTAAGAAGCGGCTGTTCGATAACATTGTGATGGATGGATACGAGAAGCAGTATGGGGATATTTGTTTTTTTTGGAATTTGAGATGCCAAAATATACTAAGGTGACTACTGAATTCCAATAAGTAACCTTCGGGCGCAATTTGATAGCCGCATTTTCCGCATAAAGCAATACTCGCACCGTCGGCCTAGGTTACTCGAGTCCATCCCACGCTACCCCAAAATAAGCGGAGCCACACTTAAGCTGCAACACTTTGCTCTAGCCCTATGCTAGGGATAAGCATATTGGGATCCCTTATTTGACCAGGGGTGCGGACGCTAATGAGCTGTTGATCAGTGCACCTGGGGGGAGGATGCTATAATGCAGTAGTGCGCAACGTATCAAATTGAATGGGATTCACCTAACCAGTGGGTCCCCCTACGTTTTCGTATCAGCTGTGTTCATTTTCCTGTTTCGCTTGCAGATAATTGATCGGAAAGTGGTCCGAGGCTACATGGGTAACCTAAATTCTTACGTTGAGCGAAATTTTACGTGAGCAGGTAATTGAGCCGAAAGTGGTCCAAGCCTATGTGATTAACCTAACCTAGGTTAGAGTCTTACGTTGAGCGAAGTTTTACGTGAGCAGATTACGAGACGTCTCGCCGGTGATCTGGTTCATGGAATATCCCTCGAACAAGATTCTTGTTATAGCGCAGGCGAAGCTACATCAAAACATTGACGGACACGTAGATATGGCTAGCTATTCAATAGTGAATACAATATAACTATAACTCTTTAACACTGTTGCTGATTACTCCTCACTCCATTCTCAGTCTTCTAACTAACTCATGCATCTAGACGCGTTTTGGCCTCCTCGAGTCGGTCTCACTGCCTCATGAAAATAATCAGAATCATGATTGTCACTGTATATATGATATGTAGTCCAAACCTAGTCAATGATGAATCCTTATTTAAACCCGAGCATGTTCACTTGCTGCTGGTATTGGCTCCCATAACAACTAATCAACTATAAACTTTTTCGTGCTTCAGTCTTTGCGCATTTTCAATGGCAGAACAGGCAGCGCGTATGGCTTCCGTGGTCCCTAGCAAATTTTCGCCGTTGAAGATGGAGAAGTGGCAACCAGGAATATCGACAACACTAAGTGGGAATCCTTGGAGGTACCGCTGCCAGCCGAGGTCTTGCTCATCGCGGTAGCCATCGACCACCGCTCGTTCTTCAACGCTCTTCATCGGCACTTTGCTCGTGGCCCTGATCAGGACACTTGGGGGGAGCAAGTTGCCATCTCTCAACGCCACAGGCATGCCCGATTTCAGTATGGCCGACGAAGCGGGAGACCGGAGTCTGTCCTGAACAGCAGTGGCGTTCTGATTTGGCTCTTTTGATGTGTGGATGTCGCCAGCGCTGTCGAGAAAAAGAGGAGGAGACCAATTCTCGGCCATTTTCCTTGTGTGAAAGAAAGACTTTTGTACTGCCATCCTGACTTCTGGGCGGCAGTTTTCCTTTAAGGAGACGATAAAGGGGGACAATTTGAAGTCGCCTGAAGATAGGGGATATGGCGTATCGATCATGACAATGCCGGCGACCTTGACATGACGATGCCGGGCAAGCATGGCAGCCATCTCCAGAGCCACCAAGCCCCCAAATGACCAGCCGCCCAGAATGAAGCCATTCGGCGCTTCAATATCGAGCAAAAGCTCACAGTACACAGCGGCCATCTCGGGCAGGCCGCCGCGCCAAGGTCTCATGGATCGAAGTCGAGGATTGTTGATTCCAAAGACAGGACGGTCGAGGAGGCCGAGCAGATAATAGCTGAAGCAAGTACCTCCACCATCGTGAATCAAAACGAGCGGAAGATGATCAGTATCCCGCCGCTCACCATGTTGAATCATAAAAGGAATCTCTTCAAACATGACTTGCGATTGGGATGTCTTGAAGGTTGTGGGGACAGAACAAGAGCGCGAGGCTATGACTGGCGGCAGGTAGCATGACAGAGTTATACAGTCGTTATACCTGAGAGCACTCGAGAGAAAAAAGAGTGGAACAAGGCGTGATACATAGGTCAGGTAGTACGATCCATCACCAAAGTGCTATATCAATATCGGCGCCGATATGCAGACGGGTTACGAGGGTACAAGAGTACAAAGGTACAAGACCTGTGCGCGATTTTTCCTTCTCAGACCACCTCCAAGGGTCGTCAAACTCCTCGTAAGGTTGCAAGCCTTCAACTACTTTAACCTTGAAGGTATTAATAGACGGACCCGCTGATCCTTATGGTACTATGCCCATGTATCCAATAGTCATTTTTACGTAACCCACGAGCCCCGGACCCATAGCTGCCTAGGTAATCATCCTAGGCAGACAGACTCCAGCTGAAAGAAAGTTGTTGCATGGCACGACCAGTCAGCCTTTCAGTACTACAAAGTGAGTGACCAATGGGTGGGGCGCTAAACCAACCTAGGAATGAGGAGGACCTACTCTACTAGTCATATATTCATGAAAGTTATTGTGTTGCATGTGTATTTGATCCAGATGGGTAATGAAGCACAGTCTGAAAATGAGGTGGCTAATTGATTAACGTAGAGATTGATGGTTCGTGGTCTCTGCTTGTCCTTTTCGCGAGACCATCTGTGTTGATCTAGACTCTCTCCCTGCAAAAATGTGTGGAGATCTGTCTTCATCAGGACGCATCTCCTCCCTTGCTCCCTATATGTGGACTGTCTATTATAAAGCTTATATACTACGGCTTATTTAGATATATATAGCTTATAGAGTAGCTATAATCTAGTATACCCCCTTAGATACCTTACTGGAATTATGTTGTTTTATTGCACGCAAATCTGATCAAAATAGGTAATTGAGGTGATTGATTGATTGAATTTTTGTGATCGATGATTCGTTGTCTCTTGTCCTTCGAGGGAGTCCATCTTTTTTATCTGGAGTCTTTCCCTGAAAAAAAATGTGCGGAGATCCTTCTTCGTGAAGATGCGTCTCCTCACTTGCTCCCTATATGTGGAAAGTGCACCATGATTCTTATATCCTGCCGAATATCTGGCTATATGGGATTGTAACGTGGTGTTAGCTTATTGTCTTTTGGGCTCATGACGCGATAGCTGTGAGCAATTTCCCAAAGACTGGATGGAGCTGATTCATATAGCATAATATGCATTATACAATCTTAACAAGCAAGTCAGGATCTAGTAAATGTTAGACTCGAGACCCCATGTGCCCCCATAGTTAGTCTTTCTTCACTCTTTGCCTGAAATAAGAGCATGTCGTGTATGATCGTATCTTCCTCGTCTTAACACCTCCCTAAAACCGACAAAGAGTCGGATCATCATCTGGCAGCCTGAACCGCTAGCCAACGGACACATACTACCTCAACGTAGGTAATTTTTCTGAGCGCGACTCTCCGGTACTGATTTGTGGATGGCTTGAAAATGGGATGATTCCGATAGTGTAGTCTCTATCCAACTTCTCTCCGCTGTTCTTTTCGTTTCCTTGATATCGCTACTGACAAAAGCCCACAAGTTTGAAGTTGTCCTTCAATCAGGAAGCCAACAGGCTGCTTTGCGTAAGGTTAATGGCATTCTTCGATATGCAGCATGCAGAGCCGTCCGTTGGGCGCTCTTGTTAGAGAAAATTTTGTAAGTGATCTGTGCCTTGAGGATATACCGAGTATTACGGACGATTCATGTTTCAGAGGCTAAAAGCTTCTTAATAGTCCCTTCTACGGCATAGAAGGCTATCTCTTCCCTATCGTCATCATTATCATCAGTTCACCCAACTCTGACATTCAACAGTATTCTTCTTGCTCGCGGCCAAAGCGGCCGCCTCCCAGCTGCTGCATTGTGCCAATAGATCCTTCACGCCGCTGTTTTTGATCCGACTCAATGTCCTCGTGTCCTGCGCCAAGTAGTAAAGCATGCCGTTCTTGAACTTTTTGCCGATTGCGCCGAACAGCTCCTCCAGCCGCTCGAAAACAAGCGTGATCGCCTCAATATCCCGCCACAGGCTTTTGTCCCCAATATCCCCGAGGTTTTGCGTAGGAACTTGTGAGGCTAATGACTCCGAAGAGAAACAGGACCGCGGGGACAATGTCGCGTCGGATGGGACAAGGTACTCAATGATCAGAATACGACCACACAGGAAGATAGCAGAGGCTATGTAAGGGTTGAGCAAGGAGTCGACCGACATGCTAGCGGCCTGGCGGATTATTCCAACGGTATTGCGAGCTGCCGTCACACAATGATTCCAGTGTGTCCCAGAGATTTGACCAGAAGCGGCGTTCTTGCTGTAGTTTAGAAAGATGATGTTCAAATTCAACAATACGTTGACCCACACGGCGTTGTCTAGATCGGAGTAAGTGGTAGCTGTGAGGCTCGTTGTCGATCGAGGCAAACTGATTTTCAAAGCAAACAGATCGGCCTCCAGTTGACCCAAGGCCTCGTCCTGCAACGGGTCCTCCTCCTTATCCCGCGAGTGAGACACTACATTACTGAGCATCATGATATTCAAAATCACATGGTGGAATGTGTTGTGATGATTCGTCTGCATCGCTGCCTCCCGGACGGCAGCAACCATCCTTTTCAGATTCGGCTTGTAGGGGATACTCAACAGTCCCAACGGCGAAGCGGTGGAATATCGAAACAAGGCATCGCCCATCGGTAGATTGACCCCTATTTGGTTCTCATTGATGGTAAAGTCGAGACCGATAGGGAGACATGCGGTGCGATCTAAAATGTAAAGCATCCAGACGATACGTCTTACGGCTTCGCGCTGGACCCAGTCCTGGGGCAGGGGGGGTGCACCAGGGATGCGTGGGACAGACGTTTGGTCTAGTCGATGGTATCCAAGGGCGACAACCTGTTTCCAGGCTTTCCCAAGAACAAGCCACATTGACGAAGAGTCGCCCGAGACCATGGCTTGCAAGATGATGCAAACGGCCGTTTGAAGAGTCTCAATGGGAGCATCGGGAACGTGGCTAGTTGAACCGTACTGACTTTTGGCCTCTTCATACCACTGGGCTTGCAGAGCTCTGCATCTCTCATCTCGTCGTTCGTTTGATGCCAGCGCTAAAACGGCAAAGAGGAGCCCACGAGAGCTGGCAGACCGGGAGCTGTCGGCCGCTATCGAGGACCTTAATGTCTCTTCGTGAAACAAAGGCAAGAAAGAGTAGACCATCTTGAAATACACGTCAATGAGGCTGACGCATTTATCGTGAGATGGAAGGAATATTTCGTCTGGGAAGCCACTTGAGCGGCTACTAGGTGGCGTATGCGTGCCCGGGCCAAGGGGTGTGACAAGCTGCATATTGTGACCCAAGCCGGGAATAGGTAGGGACAAATTCGAGTCCCAGTCGCTCGATTCCGGTGGCCAAATATCAAGAGTGTCCCACGATACCAAGCCGGGCTCGAGAGCATTGGCTGAAGATTCCGAAGAAAATGGCGTGTCTATAAGGGTGCCATTCGTCGCCGTACGTAGGGTGTGATCTGCGGTCCTTTGGGGGAAGAAGGGACTGGGGTTGAACTGCCAGTGCGCAGACTCTGAGGCGCGGAGCAGAGAGTGTTGGTTGTGAGCAGCGGCGGATGAAGGGCCGTAGTGGCACCGCTCATTCCGGTTGCGACACGACAAACAGGCAGGGCGCTCACCCTAGTAGGCCAGCAGAAGTCAATTTCCGAGTCTAGAGAGCTATGGGGAGCCCAGAGGGCAGGGAAAGGGAAAGGAAAGAAGAAGAGGACAGGCGCTTACACTACAGCGTTTCTTCCGGGCACGACAGGAGCGACACACCAGCTTCCGCCGCTCCGGCACTGAGGGGACGTAGCCATTCATAGAGGCAAGATGTGGTGAAGGTAAATATACAGAGCCACTTGTAACCAAGAGCACTATGTTTTCATACGTCGGGAGTAGAGTTCATAGACGACCCTCTGGATCAGGGACGAAAGACCAGGGCTTTGGCCTCATTCTCAGCCCAGCGTGGTTTCATGAGAATTCAAGGCTGGAGCGAGGTCGTGAGGTTAAGTCGACCCCACTCTGGAACATCCATGTCAACCTCACTTCTGAGCGAATCCTTCAGATCTGAGAAGGGCATAGTCAGCAGGGGTTTAGAATAAGTGGACCGGTCGGTTCATTTCGAAGGGACAGTCAGCAGCAGGGGTTAGAATTTTCTGCCCCGCACGTGCACCGCATACATAGCCATGTCTGTTTGTACGGCTTGGACTTGAATAAAACACACTCAATCTAGTACACTTGTGGGATCGCACTGGTACTGGCATTCCGGCTACATACGAAGGTGAAGAAGGGAAGTACAGGTAGGGGGGTCCAAGCCGCACAAAGGCACTTAAGTATCTTGCCCGTATCCCACGTGACCGTAGGCCACCAATCCCACAACACTGAGGTAAATAAGGACTTCAGGGTCAGCTGGTGTAGTTGGTCACTTCGCTGGTAGATAAGTCCCGATTTGAGCCTCGCCCACTTGGGTCGGTGACGAGTCGCGGGTTCGAATCCCGCAGCTGACACACAAGGGGGTTTAGTCAACCCTTATGGCGCGCTGCCCACCTTGTTGACTTCGCCTACCTAGCGATAATAGGGAGATTGGTGCAGTTTAGGATTACGAGCATCCTAGCCAGTCGACCGTCAAGCACTACGTCGGCGGAATATAACTCGACAGCCGGTCCAGAATTCGAATCGTTAATCCGACCCCTTATCGGACCCCCTCTCGCCGCGATTCTTGCGAGCGTCTAGACCACGTTACGGTCTATCCACTTGAGCGTATGGTTGAGATGTATACGCTCGACGAGAACCCCAATTAGCAGATACTACGACTTGCCGCGACAAAAAATAGTCGAGCATCTTCTGCACATCAGCAGCATCCCACCCCTGAGGACGAATTTAAGTGCCACATTACCACACTTATCGGTAGTTCAGGCAGGGGTTGTAGCACAGACTTAGGGAGGGACAGGAGGTTTAGTAGTCGTTTGGCTACAAGTTTACCTGTATAACCGCCCGCCGCGGCTTAAGGGCCCGCTATATCATCTATAGCCCCTTAAGGGAGTACTTGTAGAGGTACCGAGGGTTAACACCTACGGCGTATTTAAAAAAAAAAAGGACTTCAGGAAAAGAACAATAATGAATTAGATATGATAGAGTGAAAGGACAAGGTTACCTGGAGCTTAGTATACTATGAGATTGATATAATAACGCAAAAGTTGACTCCTTCCGAAGAAGAGGCAATCGTACGACATATAACCGACCTAGATTCGCGAGCATTTCCTCCCCGATTGAGTGGTGTTGAAGATATGGCCAACCGATTACTTCGAAGTCGCGACGCGGGATGCGTCGGCGTCAACTGTGCCTCGAGCTTCGTAAGACGACAACCAGACCTCCGGACGCGTTTAAATCCAAGGATCGACTATCAGAGAGTCCTCTGCGAAGACCCCGACGCGTATCGCGCGTGGTTTGACCTGGTACGGAATACAATTGCGAAATACGCGATCCAGGAGGAGGATATCTACAACTTCGACGAGACCGGTTTTGTGATGGGCCAAATCTCGTCCAAAATGGTCGTGACGACTTCTGATCGGCGCGGAAGGCCTAGAGCAGCCAACAAGGAAATCGGGAATGGGTTACAGTTATTCAAGGCGTTGGGTCGTCCGGTTATGCCCTCCCTCCGTACATCATTTTCGCCGGCAAAACCCACCTCTCGTCATGGTACGAAAACAGCCCATTACCGCCTGATTGGGTTATCGCAGTTACTAAAATGGCTGGAATACGAACGAGAGAGGCGAAGATTGGATAAAACACTTCGATCATCACACCAAGTCTCGTACGAAAGGTACTCATAGCCTATTGATCCTCGACGGTAACGAAAGCCATCACTCGACCGATTTCGAGGTATATTGCAAAGCTAACAATATCGTCACGCTTTGTATGCCTCCTCATTCGTCGCATAAGCTCCAGCCTCTTGATTTTGGTTGTTTTCGCGGGTTAAAAAGAGCGTACGGAAAAGAAATCGAAGATCTCATGCGAGCACATATAAGTCATATCTCGAAAGAAGACTTTTTACCGGCGTTTTTAAACGCGTACAACGCAACTTTCACGGTTTCAAATATCCAAGGAGGTTTCCGAGGGGTAGGAATAGTTCCGTACGATGCAGATTATGTCATATCACAGCTCGATGTGAAATTACATACGCCAACACCTCCGGGTAGCTCGGCTGGTCTCCCCGTCCCTTGGGAATCAAAGACTTCGAACAACCCAACTGAAGCCCAATCACAAACCGATTATGTGAAAAATAGGATTGTACGACATCAAAATAGCTCACCAACGTCAATTTTTGCTGGAATAGATCAGATTGCGCGAGGTATAACGAATGTTATGCATCGGCTTGGTCTTTTAGAAGGCGAGGTCGAATCACTTCGAAAGGCAGATGAGACCTTAAGTCGACGTCGCCATGCGAAGAAAAAACAGCTACAGAGTGGAGGGTCACTTCGTATACAAGCTGGACAGGACCTAAAGTCTCAACGAGAGGTTGATGGGCAGTTACATGACGAATTTCGTCAAATTGGTGGTCGTACGAGGCGGCGAATTGCGCGTGTACGGCGCTGTAGAATCTGCAGCGAGCCCGGAAATAATGCGCGCACTTGTGGAAATGATGTAGAGACGTCTGGAGATAACGATTCTGAGTAGTTTCAATTGATGATAGGCGTTGTGGTTGAATTAACTTATACATTGTCGTATAAGGTCTGCCAAAGTGTGCAATTGGACCGTGGACTACGTTATACCGAAGATGATATTTATCGAGCTCTTCAAGCAATAGCTACCGGTCAAAGCCTCCGAAAAGCAGCATACGAGCATGGTGTGCCAAGGTCTACTCTTTCACGACGGATTCAGGGAGCCCAGTCAAGAGATACAGCCTTCGCTGACTACCAGAGGCTCTCTCCAGCCCAGGAATCCCATCTGGCTGAATGGGTTCGAATCCAGGCTGCCCTAGGCCTCCCACCAACCCATCAACAGCTCAAAGACTTCGCCGAGCGTATCCTACAGATCCACGGAGACACCGAACCACTTGGAAAGAACTGGGTCCAGGATTTTATCAAGAGGAACCCTTCAGTCAAGGTCCAGAGAAGCAGAGCTATCGATTCCCAGCGTATTAATGGAGCCTCAGCTAATGTGATCAGGCAATGGTTCAAATACCTCGCTATCCCTGAGATCAAAGCTATTAAGGCCTGAAATCGATACTATATGGATGAGACAGGTATTCTAGAAGGTAGAGAATCAAATGGTCTTGTTCTAGGATCATCTGAGACTCGTTCTATACGGAAGAAACAGCCTGGATCTCGAGCTTGGACATCTCTTATAGAGCGTATCTCTGCGACTGGTACTGCACTACCCCCACTTGTGATATACAAGGGGAAGTCTGTCCAGCAGCAGTGGTTTCCTCTGGACTTGACTCCATACGAAGCCTGGAGGTTTACAGCGACAGAGAATGGGTGGATGTCAGACTCTACGGCTATTGAGTGGCTACAAAAGATCTTTATTCCTTTGACTCAACCAGAGGACCCTGAAGAGACTAGGTTACTTATCCTAGATGGGCATAGTAGCCACGAAACGACAGAGTTTATGTACCTCTGCTTCATAAACAAGATACACTTGCTTTTCTTGCCGCCACACACATCCCACGTTCTCCAGCCTCTCAATCAATCAGTCTTTGGACCTGATGCGAGTGCATATGGGGTGTGAATTGTTGTATTGAAAAGGATGGCCAGGTCAGCTATTCTGGCCTGGCAGAGCTCTTTTATAGCTCTTATCTATCTTATCTCTAGCTATAGGGCAACCCCCCATGGGGTCACGTATCAGGACCCCTCAAGACAGCCTATAAGAAGGAGCTTGGTTACCTTGACCGATGGGATACTACTACTGTCGTAGGGAAGAGAAACTTTCTCCTCTGCTATAGAAAGGCACGTCTAGCAGCATTGACCGCTAAGAACATTATCAGTGGATGGAAATATACTGGTCTCTGGCCTTCGAGCATAGCTAGACCCCTTATGAGCCCCCTGATCCTTGAGAATACGTCAGCACCAATCAAACAGCCTAGTCAGACTTTCAAAGGGCACTCTGGTAGTCAGGGCTGGGCGTTAAAGACATCAGCAGTAGCCTGGTCAACGCCTAAGAGGAGAGATGAGCTCCAAGATCAACTCAGCTTATTCAGCAAGCTTGATAGTGATCCAAATACTCAGCGGCTACTCTTTCGGAAAGTTCAAAAGGGCTTTGATGAGAAGGACTACCAATTAGCTGACGCACAGAGAAATATTGAGGCAATAGAGGCAGAGCTTGAGGCTAGTAGGGCTAGGAAGCGGAGGAAGGTCAAGATGAGCCCAAATTCGAAGTTTACTAATATCAAGGCTATTTGGAAGGCTCAAATCGAGGCTGGTGAAATTGAGGATAGTACAGATGAGTCTAGCGAGTCTGAAAACCCTAGTTACGGTGAAATCTGTATTGTAGTCGCATTAGAATAAGTGTAAAAAAAGGTTGAAGTTAATGGTTATAATATACAGTGTCATTTTTAGGGCGTCCCACATGTGGGGGTGTCCCGGATGTAGGTGTGGGACGTTACTCCACCAAACTCATCTTGATTCAGCCCAGCAACGTCCACAACGCGACCCCCGTCCCGAACAACGGAAACACCGACCTGATTAAATTCAAACCCCTCCACCTCTCGAGCAACTCCCTGGTGGTCTCCATAGTTATCCCCTTCCTTCCCTCACCCACCTCCCCCTCCGCAATCTTCAACAACGCCTCATTCGTACTCGACATCATAAATATCGTGAATGGCACAATGCATAGCGTTAGCATCCCCGCCACTAAATACCTCTTCCACGAATGAATCCCACCCGAGCGCTGGTTGTAGGAGAGGTAGCCGTAGCTGAGCGCGATAATGATTGCGCCAGGCGGCATGCTGGATTTGCCGCGGGTGAAGACGTTGCGCCATTGAAGGGCGAGGATATGTGGAGAGACAGAGGGCGTGTCTAGGAGTGAAGGGATGGATATGGTGGAGAGGCTGGATATGTTGCCTGAAATGAGGTTAGAATAGGGGTGATATGGAGGGAAAGGAAAAGGGAATAGAGGGAGATAAAGTACCCGCGAGCCAGCTGGAGCCAGCGATGCCGATAGAGGCTGCGATGGAGCTTGTAATGGAGAGTCCTTGCATTTCGAATGCTTGAAAAAGCTTGTTTGGCTGCTGGTTTGAAGGGTGTGTGGTCTCGGCTGTGACGAAAGTATGCCTCCGGGCTTCAGGAGTGGGTGTACAGTCGCAGGGTTTGACTTAGTTCAACTGGACAATTCAGTGTTTTGATTTGAGACAACTTCTTCGTCTGATCTAATACAGCATCTAAACTGAGAGAACTGAAAGGTCGTTGTACTTTATAGTGGCTCGAAGTTGGATCGGACAATTCGAACCGTAATTGTCCAGCGCTGATCAGCCCGAATCGGGTAAATCAAGATGTCCGAACGTTCTCGTCCCGCATTTTCGGACTTAGCTTGGTTCCAGCCCACCAGCGCTAGCCTAGCTCTCCTCCATACAGCACACTTCTATCTCTCTGTGTGCCCCCAACATGGTGTAATGTGGCTCCACTACGAGGCTTGAGAATAATAAATAGGCTACAGTCGGCGCTAGCTGATAAATTCAGTCTTCTGCGCTGCCAGTAATGGTACAAGTGGCGTCTGTTGCGTGCCCCAGGCACACGCTGTATGCTGGTTGTAGCGCTTGGGCCAACTGCCCATAGATTTCCTGCGAGTAAATCCCATCGTCATTATCATCACCAATACAGCTCTCTTCCAAAGCCCGCCTTAGATGACACGCTTGTTCTCATCCAACCCCTGAGCATGTCGAATCTTCTCCTGCTCCGCCTTCGCAGCCAATGTGGCCTCGAGGTCCAAATTATCCTTATTCTTGCTGCCCTGGAAGACAGAATCCGGCAAAGTGTTCAGTGCCTCTTCTTCCTTGTCGAGCTTCCGGAAGCTGAACCAAAAGCCTATGCCGCCCAGCGCCGAGATGATGGCGACGGTGGTGTACAGCCACACGAGTAGCGGATCCTCCGAGAGGCCGACAAATGCTTGCGAAATGGCAGATGAAAACGCATTAGAGAACCAGAATACACCAGTTACGAGGCCTCGCATGTTTTTGGGGCTTTTAGTGAAGGCATATTCCAACGCGGTGCTGCAGATTTTTGGTGTTAGTAATATCTACCCATATCGCATTTAACGACGGCCAATTCATGTTCAAGTCAGGAGAAAGAGCAAGCCTTTAACAGGCGTTTTCGCCATGATTTATAACGAGAAAAAACTGCTCATATTCAAAGAGCTACTTACATGGAAGCACCAATCTCAGAAAGTGCGATAAGGATGTATGCCGGTGTTTGGACCCAGACATTGATGGGTGACTGGGGTGTCGGACAGTTACTCACATGGTCGCCACAGGGAGATTGTACATAAATGTAGTGTTGAATAATAGCAGCAACGACCATAGCCATGGCACCCAAAGCAAACCCGACCGTGATCTTCTTGATAGGGGTGAATTTAAATCCAGCGCGGGATATGGCAGGGTAGATGATCTTGTCACAAATGGGAATGAAGATGAGCAGCGCCAAAGGGTCCAGGTTGTTGACGATTTCGTTAGGTACCCCATTCAGTGTCATCGAGGAGGCCTGCGAAATGAGATTGTTGTAAAGCTGGTTGTAGGACAGGAAGTAGATGGGTAGCCAGCAGAAAACCGTGCAAGCTTTGAAACCCCGGCGTACTTCGTCAACCCACGCATCGTCGAACGTCATCCATGCTGGTTTGTTCTCGATGCGGCTCGGTTTTGCGCTGTCCCAGAAATCTGGAGCACGCAGGTTGTGGAAGGTAGTGACCGGATTGAATGACCATTTGCCTTTCATGGCAAGACCCAGAATCTTCATAGACTTTCCCAAAACGGATCCTGTGGGTGGATGCCGCACATATTTATTCTTACACCAGATCATGACCAGAGGGCAGGTGAGGAACAAACAGGTCGGCAACAGATAAGAAAGCCAGAAGCCGACGTATTTTTCCGCATATGTCATGCAAATCTGACCGACGAGAGACCCGACGTTGATGAAAAAGTAGTAGCGCATGTAGATGATGGAGATGGTCAACACAGGATCGACAATAACTCTTTCCCCGCTTTTGAGCGTTTTGACGACTGCCCGCGGCTGTTTTGCTTCGTACTGCTCGGCGATCATGGGGGAGATGTTGGCCTTAAAGAAACCCACACCGATTCCGAAGAAGATCAGCCCAATTATGAACGCTGCTAGAGACCCGCCTGAGCTCGCGATGACTGGCGGGAGAGCCGAAACTATGATGAGGATATGACCAAACGTAGCGAATATGCTGTCAAATGCGTTAGCCCTCAAATGAGGCGGTTTCATTGGAAGAGATAATACTGATCATATAAACAAGTTGAGTTACTTACATGGCAATGTTGATGGTCTTGTACTTGCCCCAGAAGCTATCGGCAACGTAACCGCCAGCCAGAGGCATGAGATATGACCAAAAGCTGTTGAACAGCGTCAATCCAGTCGATGCTCGCTGACCCAGTCCCAAAGCGCCTGCTTGACCATCGGTCCCAGCTGCACCAGTAGTCGAACCAGGTGGGAGGGGTTCAGAGATGAAATTGACAACTGCACTTGTGTGAGACAGCACACATCATATCAATCTTCGTGTAGGGTCGGATGCTTACAAACAATAGTGGTACCGTAGTAGGCGAACCGCTCACAGAGTTCACAAAAGGCGATGGTATAGATAACCCAATTGATAGAACCCTTGACGCGTCGCAGCGTCTCGAGCTCGTGCTTGGTAGGGTATTCTTCGCCATGGGGCCCCCGTAAAATGTCGTCCGAGGCTGTATCTTCTTTGACGTGTTCGTCTTTGAAGCCGTGGCCATCAGCCAAGACTGCCTTCTCATTGTTGTCGCCCTTCCCAAGGGGGGTTATGTCGCCTATTGCCCCATTGGCGACCTCGAGGTTGGCGCCGGCCGACATGGTAAGATTAAAGTGTAGACAGTTGAGATTTGCCGCGGAAACATCTGAGTTCCAAAATAAAAAGGAGGCTAATGATAAACTAGTGACGTGAAACTTAAAAGGTTCTTATATGCGTTGATCGGTCGCACGTCACGTTGCACCTTCTACGGCTTGAAAATTGTGGTGCGGCACATGTATCCTAACCGTTGGTTCGTTGATTTGCTTGGCATTCGTCTTACGCGCATGTAACGGTCCTCCGAAGGGATACCAACCTGTTATTGTTGGTGATATACGGCGCCTGCTTATGCGGGGATGCATGCGGTGCAGATCCCTTTCCAATGTTCCCTCGATGCCGGCACGGTGATAGGTCAGACCTTTCTACACGCGAGCTGATCAAATACTTACACGGGTATGCATAGAGGGATTCAAATGAGGCTCATCGTTCTTACGAGCATATTATATAGGGTGGCCTTGACCGTGTTGCTGAAATCTTCACACCCGAGGACTGGCCAAAGGGCAATTCGTTGATGGTAGTAATCGACATGCATGACACCATGTCGAAAACGGAAGTTCCTTCTGGGTAACTGTGGCGGGGCTCTTGGCAAGTCCAAGATTAGAAAGTCCCAAACAGCTGTCGAACCATACGACGATGACGAAGAGGACTCAGAGACCGATAAGACGGTATTCAGGATATATCGTAAGCTGATACAAAATCTCCAATAAGATGCGACAATTCACCTTTCCCATAGTCATGGGGCGAAAACCAGCCCGAATAAGATGCTTATATAACTAAGCGTGGAGTTCGTTCTCCCTAATGACAGATTGTAGACTCCTTACGCATTAGGAACCTGTCAGCCGCTATTTTTCAGTGAATAGTTGACTACTTGAGTTATTAATCTTCAATGAAGAGGCCTCGAACGATCCTGAAGTATGTAATGACACTCTTTTAATACTCTCAAAAATAGGTAAGACTGCCGAATGGCCAAATGAAGATTCTTGAATACTTAATGAAACCATAGCTTGCACTTGGATTTTATGTTCCCGTTGAAGGAGCAAAAGGAGGGCACATATGCCTAACCTGTATGTATTGTAGCTAACTCTGGTCCTCTCTTCGAGGGTCTATGTATGGAAACAAAAGGGTTCTTATATAGTCAATGAATGGTAGACTTGCTGATTAATTCAGACAAGTTGTAGAAGCATATAGATAAGTAGGGAATGTTCTATCCTTGCCACATTTCTCGTAATAGAGGTATGTGGGGATGGTCGCCGTTCTAGGTGGCGATAGTGGCAAGTATAGGACCCACATGGCCCACAGGGCCCATATTGTCCAACTCTTGCTCTGGGTGTGAACCTTTTCCCCAAGTATCACGCGCTAGTGTATGACACAACCGATCTTTTCTTTCTGGTATGTGCTTCTCGGCTTACTTTAATCTGCTTGTGTAGCTAGTATTGTTACTACTATTGATTGCGCAACGCCTAGGCCAATAGCAAGGCAGCAGTATGGCAGATCTTCCCGGGGGCACGGGGCGTGCTACGCTACACGGTGTACCTCACATGATCGTTGCCTCTAAGGCGTTTTGTTCCTAACGTGTGATCCAATCCATCTTGGACTGTCAGGCCTTGTTTCCACCCAATTAGCCGTAAGCCATAATATCAATGCGAGCCCTCGACCTGGCGTATTCATTTGCTAGTACAACGTGTCCAGTGCTTAGTAGCATCTTTATGTCCCCATTTAACCATGCTTCCACGGCCTCTCTGCCACCAGGGGCCCAAGAAAGAGGATGTTAAATGAAATAGTATCTGTGAAGGGCAAAGAGCACAGAGGCTCTTGTTAGCACGTGTTCCAGGCCGGGGTGGCTCTCCATCAGTAGAGTACCCCTGGCGCCTGGATCTAGAGCCACCCGTCTTTGACCTCTTCGATTTCGTCTGCCTGTGGACAAAATTTTCTGGCTTCCCTAAAGGACGGGCAGTATTATATGAAATAATATGTAGTCTTACAGAGCCTTTGGGGGTTACACAGGTTTCCCATAAGCTAAACACAATACCCATATCTGTCATGTGTATGTGCTAGCTGTAGCCTGTGAAGTCTCATTGGCCAGTCCATGCCTCATAGCGCTTACCCGTTAGCTTCGGAGGTCTCGGCCAGTCCGCCATCCTAGCCCTTGTTTTCCTGCAGTGCACTCGGTATTATCTAGTCGTCTCATACCTTCCCTCCCCAAACCCCCCACCCCCTCTTCCCCTTCTGCTTATATGATGCCATTTCCAACATAAAAACACTTTCATTGTATGCATAATCAGTTGCTACATGCTCAGTGATAAGGATACAGCCAGTAATTGCTTAATTTAGCGCAAAGGTTTGTCCTCCTTCTAATGAAACTTGTCGGTCTCCAGAGCTCTTATTGATTCCTGGGCCTATACTTGGGTTTAGATTACTTGCGTCTAGTTCAGACCACCAAAATGTACAATGCAACATAGTACCTCGGGCACTGATTGTTGCGGTATCACGTCATTTCTTAAGCATGTTACAAAAACCCTTGAATACTTCCCGTATCCACCTGATTTGGGCGAACATTAATACATTTGACGGGAATCATACGTGGTACTATAGCCTTGTCAACTCCGAGTTATGCATATGATTTAAAGGTGAACAATAAGTAACGAATGTAAGCCGTGGCCCACAACATCACTGTTTCTTAATGCTCGCATAGTTACTCACCGATTTTCATGTCACTACTTCAGTATTTCTCTCACTCATGAGCCGCGCCCTCGCTGATAAGTAATCGCTTTATATGTCACCCCGCGCTGGGGCTTTTGACATCAGCTACAAGGTCTATGCGGTTCTTGGGCTTACTCATAACAGGTCCATCATAACCCCATCCCTAATTACGCTCTGACGACGCCAGCCATCTGCAAGGATATGGATTGATGGTACAGGCAACGGGGCCTCTTGATATAATTTCTTTCAAAATTGATGAGGTCAAAATGTGGTATCTAGATTGGTTTGATTCCTGAAGATGGGCCGAAAGCCGGGTCAGTTCTTCTGCGGATGAACATGATCCGGATGATGGAGAGGGAAGCTGGCTTACACACCCCCAGTTTATAGTATTAACGGTGCACCCTGTTGAGTACAACGTGAGAGAAAAATATTTTACAATTAAATGTTTCCTTGTCGACCGGGTATCATCATGCTCGCCTGGACTAGATGGAGCAATTGGTTTGGGCTTACCAAGGACAAGGCTTGTGAAACGAAAACACGCTGCGCCACCGACAGGCACTTCGGCGATACATCTTCTACTACAAAAAGTCTCCGCTGGCTACTTTTCGACGTACTATGTTCCGCCTCTCGAGTATCCAACACGAATTGGGCTCCTCCTCATGCGGCTGGACAGGAAACTACGCAGTGTCACAAAACATTCCCCTAGTTTGATACAATGGCTGAACTGCTGTGAGGGCCGGTCTTTCAAATTCAGGGCAAGCCATTTCTGAAGTGGTTCTCCGACAGGCATGAGTTACCTCGCTACAGGCATAATATTCGTGATGTGTGAGGACAATTCGGGAAAAAAACGTGATGGTAGGAGTACAGCTTTGTCACACCGAGCAGGAAAGACTTCGGTGGCTGAACAAGAACAAAATGGCCGGTGACTTAGTTACTATCCTCTTGGGTTCGAGATTGCCTGTCTTACTGCAACAGAGACCTAGAGAAAGGTATTTCGTTGCTGGTGAAAGCATTGTAGACGGACTCATGTTTGGGGAGGGCATGAAAAACGGTCTTCTGCATGTGGAAGATATTGACATGTTCAGTAAGTATGCACGAGGGTATATCATGACAAACTCAACCGCAGGATTGCAGAGATTCGCGGAAGGCCAATTATTCTTGAACAAGCGTACATATATGAATAGGCAACTCCCCAATCCTTGTTGGTGACAATTGAAACAGGCCCCTTGGTAAGTTGTCAAGCTAACGAGTTGATTGACAACCCAGCTTCCATTACGACGAGTTTGACATTGATATCTTGGGTGACCACTATGTTAGTTCTACCAGATTAAAGCTATGCGCTGTCAGGGCATTATCGTGGTGGTACGGCCGAAGGCGTGGCAATTGAAAGCTCGACTCTGACGGTAGGGGTAAACAGATAAGCAAGGTAAATGTTAAATAAGAACTCTACTTAGTTGCATAATAAGTTAGCTCAAACCTGTTATTATCGACAAGTAGTTCTCTTTGCCTCAGATGATAAGCAAGTAACAAATGACATTGATTGAAGATCTTTCGCATCCCTACTTGGCGGACTGGAAAATGGCGCCCGAGATTTCGAGAATCCATGGAGGCGAAGACAATTCTGGCTAAAGTCGCAATATAATCTGGGGACTACACTATCATCAATGAGGGAGGTGCAGGGGGCGGATTTGGTAATTGTGCCGCCTCGGCGCTTGCGACTATTGGACAAGGAATACACCGATGTAGGAGTGGTTCGATATTGCGAAGACTGACACAAACACACCACATTCCCACCGTCCACGACACAATTGACGGCACTTACGATGTTTCCAACCCGATACTATCGCATAGAAAAACATACGAACTTCCGATGCTGACCTCTTTCGGCCGGCTGGCCACCCCCGGCGGACTGCGAAGACCCGGCATCGCCACTATCACCGGCATCGCGGTCTTCCACATCGCGGTCGGAGCTCTGCTGCATACGAGGTTGGAGAACGGGGCCCGGCATGTTTTCTCAGGCCCACCATTAAGGTTATGATTGTGGGCGAGTCCATCACGCACGGCTGGGAAGGCGACTATACGTGGAGGTCCCGTCTGTGGGAGTGGTTCCAGACAACGGGTGTCAATGTCGACTTCGTAGGGCCGTATACTGGCACCAAGCTTCCAGTTGACGATGCGAAGAAACCTATCAGGTCGCCCAAGCAGAGTGATGACACTCTAATTACGATGACTCCTGATAATGACGGGGGATATGCAGCGGACGTTTCGCCTGATTTCGATAATAATCACTGTGCCGTCTGGGGCCGCCAGATAGAAAAAGTCAAGGCGAGATCAGGAGCAAGTGCGCCGGTACATGTCGGAATACCTCCTCGTCGAATTGGGATTTCACGATCTCGGCTGGTTCTTTGGAGCTAAGGACACTCTCACCAACCTGAAGACTTTCGTCGACAATGCACGCGCGGCAAACACCCCAATCTGAAGTTCGCTCTGGCCAATGTCCCGCAGCGGTCTCTTATAAAAGGGAGTGAGGATATTCCCATCAAGACGGACCAGTACAATGAGCTTCTAGCCGCTGCGATTCTGAAGTGGAGTTCGGAAGTGTCTCCTGTGAAGTTAGTTCAGCTTAGGGAGAACTACAGTTGTATGTTCATATACTCGTGCCAGACATCATAGCTCAAGTCAAGCCGATGCATGAACAACCAGTCCCATCTAGGCGAGCCAGAACCACGACGGCCTGCACCCAAACGCAATGGGCGAATACCAAATCGCGCAATCCTTCAGCCAAGTACTCACACACAACTATCACCTCGGTAGTAAAGTCCTCTCCATCCCAAACTACATGCCCGAACGACCCTGCGCCGCGCCCCTGAAATTGCGCGCGGAGCCAGCAGCCGAGGCGACAAATGTCACCTGGGACACGTTGTACGGCGCGTTCTACGGCGCGTTCGGGTACGATCTGCAGACGCGGAAGGCAGGGGAGAATTGGCGCCACTTCTCGTTTTCGAGTCTGACGAACCATTATGAGACGGTGTGGACGGTCGATGGGAAGAGATGGGATTTTAGAGTGAGGACAATGTGTGGGGAGGGGATTGATTCCGAGTGGTCCGAGGTGGTGTCGGCTACTGGGGTGAAAGGGGGGGCGGGTTCGAATTCGAGGTAGCGACGGTGGATAGGGTCACGAAGTAGGTTTGCAGAGATATTGAAGTTGGGAATGATGATGAGTCCACGACAAACTTTTGAGGTACAAGTTATATTATTTCTAGATACCCAGTCCGGTCTTTTGTTCTATTATTTTGTTATTTTCTTCTTTTTTGACAGTTCGATGATAATACGCACCTTCACTATTATCCCCAATTCCTAAAATAAACTCGTAACCATACACACTAGCCAGGCCTGATAAGTCTTGCTCGATCTTCACCACTACCCACAAAACTGACAACATGTCTCTGGCCAACCGATGCGCAGTACGTCTTCGCCGGACTACGCTGTTTTCTCTTTTTTTTTATATCTTTGCTCTTTTCTCTTTTCTCTTTAACACCAAAGAAAGTTAGCTCAACCGCGCCTGCCTGTTGAGACCTCATCAACTTCTTGTACCCCAGTGTCTTTCGGCCTTGATTTTGAGGCTGTGGTATCAGAGCAAGGAGGTGAGGGCCTGCGACTCTTAGCCGCAAGGTTTGTGGGACACGAACAGGAAGGGCTCGTCGCACATCCCTCACAGTGATTATTGAGGTGCGGGCTCGTGAGGGACAACAGGTCTTCGTCAACATCATAGTAGGTATAGATGTAGTTGCCAGAGAAATTTTGGGCGTCAAAGATCTCAAATTGTGTGCTCGTGAGGGATAGGGGTCTTGATCGTCATTGTTGCTCGCATGGATCTAGTTGTCGGAGACATGGTGGAAGTTCTCCGTGTGGAAGTGTTGTGGAAGTATTCTCTGGAATAGCTGTCAATTATCGAAGCCTCTTTTGCTGGGACTATGTAACATACAGTTCAAAGCCGTCCGTTAGTCCATCAGCCGGAGGTCGGGCTCGTAAGGAGATAATGTGGTATTGTCTCCCGTACGTCTCTCGTATGTCTCTCGATGTTGGCAGGTGATCAGAACATCCATGATAGATCAAGCAAGGCTCGAGTATTCACATGAAAACCGATCAACGTGTTGGTCTCTCGATGGGGTCACGAGGCTTATTTCGGAATATAGTCCGCCGAGAAATCGAGTCCTGTCCTGTGAATTAAATGGGCGTCGGTACAAACAGCGTTGATCTGAAACTGTTTGAATTATGATGCAAGTGACAAACCGGTTACCGTTGGTAACAGGCTCTCAGCACGGCTGCTGCTCCGCGCAGCCGAATCTGAGTCGTCGGCTTGGTGCTGTGCGGGAGCAAGGTTTTCGAGACCTCCGCCTGACTACATGTACAAGCCAGATACGCCTGGTCTTAGATGAGGGAGCGGAAAGACGCATTATTGGCGCGAACTTCGTTTGCTCTGGATTTGAGACGTGGAAAGGCCACGGAAGCTCCGGTATAGAAGAGACAGACGAAGTCGGCGTTGGCTATTATTTACGGGCTGGAATGCCAAAGACTGAGCTCGAAGGGTGCAACGGAATTTTTTTCATGAAATCCAGCAGGCTGTATGGTAGGCACCAGCAAGAGGAAGGGAGGGGTTGGGCTAGGGTGTCATGATGTGTCTGATGGTTGGTGCGCCCACCATGCTCGCGTTCGTTGCTGTTCATAAAGTACATTGCCACCTCAATTTACTCAAGTAAATAAGTGACTCATAGCTAAAACTGGAATCAGTTTTACTGTTAAGTATTATCATACCTATATAAGCCCACTGTCACATTTGGGAGGCTGTGTACACTACCTATCGTTCTAAAGAGATTCTCACTTGGGACATTGGGAATCTCTGATGAGGCTAGAAGAGATATCTTTGCATGAAAATTTTCGCGTAAGGTAAACAGTTGCATTCGAGCGATATAAATAATAATATTAAATACGCCGTAGGTGTTAACCCTCGGTACCTCTACAAGTACTCCCTTAAGGGGCTATAGATGATATAGCGGGCCCTTAAGCCGCGGCGGGCGGTTATACAGGTAAACTTGTAGCCAAACGACTACTAAACCTCCTGTCCCTCCCTAAGTCTGTGCTACAACCCCTGCCTGAACTACCGATAAGTGTGGTAATGTGGCACTTAAATTCGTCCTCAGGGGTGGGATGCTGCTGATGTGCAGAAGATGCTCGACTATTTTTTGTCGCGGCAAGTCGTAGTATCTGCTAATTGGGGTTCTCGTCGAGCGTATACATCTCAACCATACGCTCAAGTGGATAGACCGTAACGTGGTCTAGACGCTCGCAAGAATCGCGGCGAGAGGGGGTCCGATAAGGGGTCGGATTAACGATTCGAATTCTGGACCGGCTGTCGAGTTATATTCCGCCGACGTAGTGCTTGACGGTCGACTGGCTAGGATGCTCGTAATCCTAAACTGCACCAATCTCCCTATTATCGCTAGGTAGGCGAAGTCAACAAGGTGGGCAGCGCGCCGTAAGGGTTGACTAAACCCCCTTGTGTGTCAGCTGCGGGATTCGAACCCGCGACTCGTCACCGACCCAAGTGGGCGAGGCTCAAATCGGGACTTATCTACCAGCGAAGTGACCAACTACACCAGCCGACCGAGCGATATAATTATGCAGCGGAATCTTAATGGGAGGCCGTCGCGGCCCGTTCGCACTGCAAGGCTGTTCCAAAACACCTGCAACACACAGCCAACAGTCTCTCCTCATCCAATCAAACCAGGTTTGATGCTACCCATCAATGTAGAGAGAAAGTTGGAGGCGCATCAACCGAGGTTAGGTTGACAGGGGCTCACGTTGATCATCATCCTGATTGGGCTCGAAGTTACCGTTGGACTGCGCCACATTCAGATGTAGGTTGAAACCCCTGAAAGGCGGCCGGGGCTGCAACATGCATGACCCTGTATCTAATCATTCACAGGCGCTTAACTTCTCCAGGAGACTATCTTGGTTTCTCTTATCTTCCATTGCCACCAATTAGTCGTGGGGTAGATGCTCCCAGAATAATACAGGGTTGCGGAACCGGCAACTCCAGGTTATACACCCAATTATGACTCTGTGAACAGGGAAAGTTCTACTTGCAATACGCCGACAGCCGCTACAAACGACTGGAAAACAACATCAGATGAATGATTAAAGCATACAGTTCGTCTATTCTACGGGCATCTTATGCGAGTCATCAATACTGGATATCAACCATCATGCAACCCAGCAATATGGCCGGCTGCCTCAGAATCCGCACAGGGAATTTACTTCATTCAACACCCTTGATATATTCATGCCGTGGTATTTCACTTCATTGTGCCCATCGACCAGAAACTTTAAAGCGAAGGTATTTACTGCAGTTTCCACTTCCCGCTTCACTTATCATTGGTGTATCTCAAAGTTCTTTATCTAAAAGCATGTATCGTAACTTCTTTAAGTAAGCAAGACCATCAACGCACCCCTCATTATGGATGATATGTCATCCTTTATTCCAGAGAAATTCGGGCCTGGCCTGAAGGGGGAGGTGCAAAAGCTGGTCAAAGAGATTCAATCGCTATCCCCCAACCCCGCAGCCCCTTGGAAGTTTTTCAACCAGCAGCAGCGGCTTTTCCAGCAGAAATTTCGTATTCTACTGCCGCGAATTAAGGCTGAGATGTATCAGTCTCTAGATGAATATTTTATCAAAGTCGAGAGCGGCGTTTTCGGTGCGAAACAAGACACGGCGGACGATGACCCATCTGGCAGTTCACGAGATTCCATCGAAGAACATTCCCAACATGATAAACCCATGGAAAGCCCACACCAGAGGGCGCCAGTCGCCGAGATGGGATCATTCGACTTGGATATAAGAAAGAAGTTCGTCACGATGGGAACCCTGGAACCTACTTTGCCGATGATTCCAGATCAGAATGAGCCTGTTTGGGTTACCAACGACAACTTTAGACCTTCGGGCCATTCCAAACGACCTGCAAATGACGTCAGATCCTCGAATGAGCCCAAGAAATGGAGTAGAATCTCGAAGAATGTGAGTCGCTAATTTGGTCGTCCAAATACCATACCCGGCTGACTCGAACACTTGCGTTCTTCAGAATGAAAGCCTCGACACCACTCTCCCGATTAGGATGGAAGATACTAGACCTGGGGAATTTGCTTTCAGGTATGAAGGATATACAGGCGTATACTTTCTTCGCTGCAATCTGCAGAAATGCAAAGACGTGGAGGGAGATGTCGTCTACTTCACCGAACATCCCTTCCGGAGATTCGACGAAAGGGCGGGGAAGCACTTTATGAACGGCCATAACGTGACGACCAAAGACGAAATTTTCAGGAGGTTTGCACACAGAGGTAAGACGGTCCAACGTTTAAAGTTGGCTGGTCGTGCTAACTCGGACCAATAGTTGTGGGTACCTCTAAGCAAGGTCAGTTAAACCGCCACGGAGATGAACTATTTTCGTTGCTTACGCAAGTCTGTGTGGAAATTCAGAAGCGCTAATCATAGGACGGATATATAGGTCCTATACCGAAAGCCGATGATCCAGAATCATCTCCTTCCCCCATTGACGAGACGGTGTACGACTTCACTTCAAGACCAAGCACTACACCTACAGCTAGAGACAAGGGGAAACAGCCAGTTAGACCTAGCGGGGTGTCGACTGCGACCCACCTCTCATGCGAAGGATGCCGACAATAACGGGCGATCCGAACAGGATGACTCCGAACTATTTGAACCCGAAGATCCTTAATCTTCCAGGAATTTCTCATCTTGTAACGTTTCTAAATTGGGGCGAGAGCAAGCCACACTCATCCGAAACGAAATAACACTCACCGCTTGCACGATTGACATGTGGTACGGATATACTATTCTTTCCTTTTCTACTTTTTCTGCTTTCCGTTCTTTTTCTTCTTTTCTTCTCCCTTTTGGGGGCACCAAGGATTATGAGACTATGATACTATACGATAAGAATGTTACTTTAGTGGCAATACTCATCAGGTACAAAATTGTCAAGGACATTGTGTTCCGGAAGCGGCCAATGAACGGGACTTTTTGCTTTTTTCAGGTTCAACAGGATAGAATTTTCATAGCACTTGCAGGTAGAGCTATCGTGATTATCAATTCCATTGTCGCCTGTGTGAGCAACTAGCTTCCGTCGCATTACCCCTATTCGCCCTCCAGGGTAGCGCTAGCAGCAATCTCCCTTGTCAAATCTCTTGGCATTGCCTATTCAGTGGACTCAGGACATCTCCAGGGTATTAAACCTGGTCATGCTTGATTACATGAAATACGTGGGCAAGTGTGGCCTCAGGTCTGGAGATGTACAGGCACTCAGACACGAACTAGTGTATTTAGTGACGCCCCGAGAGCCAATTGGGCAATTCTTCCGTACACACGTTCAGTGTCAATAAAGCCCCCAATGCTGGGAATCCGGCAAAATATACTTGTTGTTGGTTATCGCGGTCAATTTACTTGAGTATGTTGTCTAAGTGACATGTACTTCGGTACTTCTCAGTCGTGCAGACAGGCAGAAGCCGAGCGTCACGCTAGCCATTTTGAATTATGCGGCAGCACCTGACGATGCAGCAAACCTTCCAACTTTACCTTTTCAGTGCTCAAGTGACCATCAAATCATCCAATTCGAACTTCAAACATTCGCTTTCTAGACTCAATCCGCTATCTTTCAATCGCGGCTGCACCTTCTATATCGCCGGCACTTGGTTATCGCATCACGGCTTTACCCAATTGGGCAGATGCAGTCGCGGCGCGCCTAGGACGCAAAAGCCATGTCAGCATCCCGGCAGGAAGACGGATACACCGTGCACAGCGCACCGCCTTCATTCATAGAAGCAGCAGATAAGAAAAAGAATCAACACCACACACAAGGAACTCAAGTAGATGAAGGAAGAGACGTTTCCCCAGACACAGACGTATTCGGCGCTGGGTACCAAGACGATGTGCTCCCCTACCATGCCGCGGACGAGGACACGCAAGACCAGGTCGCTCCATCGCTGAAAACGAGATTCGGCAGAAGAGCATCTTGGCGGTTTATTCTCGTGATCACTCTCGGTTTCTTCCTCGCGACATGTCCGGTACCGAAACGGAATATGCCGTTCTACATGTGGCTGGCTCTAACCACTTTCACTGCGTCCCTAATGTCATCCCCATTCCGAGCTTATGGCAGGCCTAAGAAGCTCGTCAGAAGGATACTCGTAGCGTATTTGGGGTTCTTTCTCGCCGTGTATGCCTTTTTCGGAGCTGCTGAGGAGATCCACATCGACTTTTGGCGGCAGGGTCTGTTCTGGTATCATGGGCTCAATCGTTTTCGGCCGGGATATCTCGCGAGGTCGCTAATGGTCGTGACTGGATATCACATGCAGAAATCAAGTGGGTTGTATGCCCGGGGTCAGATTTTGAGAATGTACCTTCTGTGTTTTGTATGGGTTTACGCCGACGTGGGTCTTACTACCTTTGATCTTGCTAGAGGGAGGCAACAATGGTAGAAGCAGCAATCTTCGGGGAGTGTGTGTGAAGCAAGAAACGAGGCTGAAATTGTGCTATATGATATGTCTACGCAGCTGCTATTTGACTTGAGCCAATCTGATGACTTTTCATGTGACACAGCTTAGTTACAAGGAGCGTATCAAATGAAAGACCAATTTGGACCCCTGATGATTCAACTTCTCCAGTGTTGGAGTCAAGGTCATGGCGGGATATCGGCAGTAAAGATGGCTATGGCAAGTGTTGTTAAGTTATTTAACAGCTTTCATGAGTTGGTGAGCATTCTTTCATTAATGGAAAAAGTCTGCCAACTTGAATCCAGGTCCTGTGAATACACCTAAGCGCGAAATGCATGCTCAACTAAACCCGTTGTCACCAACCCAAGCACGGTCGAAACGCGAAACCTGGATGAACTCCAATCCTCACTCAAAGTGGACCTGAAGCCCCACTGGCTGCCAAGGGACCTTCATGTCATGGTCAACAGCCCATTGCTTGACGGCATCGAAGTCCCGACATGAGTGCTTCGCCATGCCAGAAGTGACGATGTGGAGACCGTCTGGTCTATACTTCCACGAATGCGTGGTTATATCTGAGCCACACAGGAGTGCTTCTCTAAGAGCCTCAACACAGTGGTCTAGAGTACCGAGGAAAGTCAGCCATCACGCAAAGGACTGGATGATACAAGTGAAATAGCTTACGTACCTTGGTGCTCGACAGCGGTGTCCTCGCTAACATTGTATCGTTCCATGAAGGACCCGTAGTGCCCAGGCCAGACGAGCTTGCGCAGCTCGTCCAGGCAGTGCAGGGAGTGGAAGATCTCAAGAGTGACGACGTAATGTCCGGGATCACCCTTGATCTCCACAGTTGGGTCTGGCAGCAACTTGGCTTGGCTCTCAGGAACTCGGTTGAGGAAACTGTATGATTTCATCCAGGCGTGGTCGACTGCAGGAGATGGCGGGCCTTGGAAAGTGCTACGTTCGTCGAAGCCGTTGCCGAAAATGGTTTCCTTGTAGCGTACTACATCTTGGGCGGGTGCTGAGATGCTCACGTCAGTTACGGTTTATTTGCAACCTGGCACAGGGATAGTGGCTGACAGTACACAAGCTGAGACTCGAGTGGACAAGCGTCATGCTTCTTGGATCGGGTGATGATGGCGGACCAGAAGAGGGCACACCCAGTGAGCCAGAAGGAGGCAATCCAGACATTGCATAATAAGTTCTTGAGCACCCGGGGCCTGGACGTGCGTCCCGCAACGTGATGGATTTGGTCAGGGTCTAAATCAATGCACTGGCTCAAGGTGTCTGATGAATCGCTTAGGAGACTGTATTTATGTTCCTTGAAGAAGTCTGGCTGCGCCATCAGGAGGGAAAAGAGTAGAGACAAGCGCTACGCGATGATAAAATTGTGTTGACACGTTTAGATGTGGTTTGCGAAAATTGAATTACTTGAATGGTCTTAAGAAGTCGACGAGAGCTGTCGGGTCAATGAAGTATACGGTGAGATTCGAAGCATCAGTGTGGCCGGCAGTTGATCCTGAAAGAGTCTCGAGACTGCAATCATCGGAGGAAGCATGTTTTTAACCATACCACGAGTCCTTCAACTAGGAGAAAAACAGTGACAAGTCATTACGAGCTGCGGGAAGCGACAATTTGGGGCACGTAGCTCGACCGAGATTGAGAGATATGGATCTCGGACAATCAAGATCATGACAAATTATCGCAGATATTGTCAAGATGTCGTGATGCGTAACCCAACGACAAAAAGTCAATGCGGAAGAAGCAGTCGTTTATTCTATAACGCGTACGAATCAATAGTTTCACGCAGGGATTTGGTTGCACATATCTGTTGCAAACACTAGTAGTAGACTTGATTATGTAGCCCAACACGGCCTTTAATGGACGAGTACTGAAAGATGGAATTCGTAAAATTAGAAATCCCATCCGGCCCATTAACGAGTTTCCTAGTTCGACATTCGGACCCCAGTGGAGTGGTTCGTGACGCATTGGATGGATCATCACTCACCTTTAATCCCTGACTTCTGTGGTCAATTACAAGGCTGCATGGGAATGATCCGCTCACGTGATGGCCTATCCTAGTAATACCTCCATGGCTAATTCCACTGACACCAACGATCTTTCACCAAGCCTCCCGTGGCGGCCCAAGACACCCAAAGTGGCAGTCAGAAAATTAAAAAAAGGCTTGGCCGACTGTTTTACCAAGTGTACCGAATCTATTTATTTCGAAGGTGGTTGATGGGGAAGTCATTGCGCAAATTTGTCATTGGACGGCCGTCAGGTCGTAAGATAGAGATGTAGATTGCCAGGCCGTTGGAGGCTGCAGAGGACAAATAAAAATACAGAATGTATATTTTCCATGCATGAAGGAGGTTATAGTTGAAAACATGGTTACGGCATTGTCGGATGCAAACCACAACCACCAACAGCACATGACAAATAAACCGGTGGGTTAGACTGCATATCGGGATTGAATTGTGAATCACCCTCCATGATTAAATGACAGGGAGAAGACTCATATTATGCCACACACTCGTCGTCTTGCTACACTATCAGCTCTCTGGAGTTGTCCATGTAACCAACCAATTTCACAATTATGCAAGAGACTGAATGAGAACGCAACATCCTGCCTCACATCGCCGATTTACAGTCGTCGTCTCCGCCAGCATGGCCCTGCACCATTCCAGGTTCGGAATTTCTGGTGACAAATAGATAGTCCGGTAGTACCCCCAATAGCACTCATCGCCTTTTAATATATCTTACGAAACTGTTCGCCCCTGTGAGACAGCAAAAGCCTAAACATATAAACAAGCACATCTCCGTTTCATTTGACACTTCAGTCTTAGCAAGCATATCTCTGAATCACTGTCCCACCTCTCCCTGCACGACCCACACGAAGCTCAGAATTCAATTGTTTTTCTTCACCATGCAGCTCCAAAGCATCTGCGCCCTCCTCGCCCTCCAAGCGGCCAGTGCATTGGCAGCTCCCGCCGTCGCGGTCGGTTCTGACCTTCAAGCTCGCGACACGGCCTCCGAAAACTCGTATGGGTTCATCATCGACTCCACCAATGAAAAGCGTGACACCGCGTCCGAGAACTCCTACGGGTTCGTCATCGGGCCCCCGCCCACTGATGAGAAGCGAGATAGCGCTGGCGAGGACTCATACGGCTTCATCATCGGGTCAATCGGAGAGAAGCGTGGAGTTGCTGCCGAAGACAAGAGGGATATTGCTGGTGAGGGCTCCTAAGGGTTTATCATTGGATCGTAAACGATGGCACGCATGGTGAGTGACTCGACATGAGCCAACTTCAAGTAACTTATTTGCATGGCTGACACTTCAAAGAGGGAACGGCTGGAAGTCATAAAGGGCTGTTTAGAAAAACACTTACCGTGGAAATTTCAGAGGTTGGGATAACAGTAATGGGATCAAGGTGGATGAGTTGCTCTTTGAAGGATTAGCTTGAGGCGTCGGGAGCTTACTTACTATTATTGAGCTCGTGTTTCTGAGTGTTGCTTAACTCTCTTGACTTGCAATCCAAGCATGTATCAATCTGCCGTAATTTGTTCCAATCGCGATAAGCGGCTGAGCTCCGCTCCTCAAGCTACAAGACTACGTAGGCAGCATGGCGTGCTACATAACTCAAGATACGTGAGTGATAACTCTCGTCCGTTAAACGGCGCCAACTACTTCCAGTGAGTTGTAACTATCGAAAATATGTAGTCCAAGTTCGGATTGACCCCGTTATATCCAGAAAGCCAGCATAGCCTGATCCAAATTCTCTCGCCCCCGGCGTTCCCATCCCGGACTTTCGTCCAGAAGCCTCGTCAGTACATGTACCTCGTTCCCCATGTCCCTGTATGCTATTTGAAAAGGTCATTGACAAGGAAAAAAGGAAACAAGAAAAGGGAATAGGTATCAACACACTTCACATCGAGAAAAGCATTCGAAATCATAAACAAGGAGTCGTAGCCACATACCAGAGACGGCCCAGCATCTTCCATCAACCTTTTTGACTCACTTGAACTCGTCCTCCACGTACGGCCTGATCAAATAAGATGGCTGCTCTTTCAATCGACGAGTATTATGATCCTTGGCCGCAATTTCCTCCAGGGTAGGCAACTCAAAATCGCTATCGCTGTCCGTGCTATCGAAGAGGTTCTTGGTGGTGCGCGTGGCATTTGGGGGACTTTTACTGTTGTCGCGAAGGGAGAAGAGGTTCGGGCTGTCGGATGCCCCTGGCTGCTGCTTTTGCTTGTTTTGCACATAGGGGCTTGTGGAGGAGGCCGACTTAGCAGTGCCCGACGCGGCCCGACTGGCAAGAGGAGTCGTGGGTTTCTCTGGCTGCTTGCCCTTGTCGCGCCCTGCAGTCGGGCTGGTCGTGGGCGATGGAGCTCCGTTGCGCAACCGATTGGGCGTCTCTGTGGATATAGGCGAGATATCTGGTTGTTTGGATTTGGGTGTGCCGAGGTTACCTAAATATTTCAGCCATTAGCTTCTGGAGTTGAACGGCGTTTGATGGTGGCCAGGAACTGTTTCTGGGAAACTCACGTGTTGAGGCTGCACCTATGACTATACTTCATTGTTAGTGGCTGATTGATACACGCGAATGGCGGTGGCTCCTTACCTCGACGGGCATACCTGATCCAGATTTCGTCAGGGTCTTTAATGTTGTGAACCTCACCACCAAAGTGGTTGAGTGCTCTGTTGTATTTAAAGGGGTCGGCTTGAAAGAAGAGAGGTCTGCCCTTTTCCTTGCACTTGGTCAAGTTGCAGCGAAGAACGTAGAGTTCGCTCGAGTCCTTGTATCTGAAGATGCATTCACCCCTGTAGACGTCTATTATCTGAACGGGGTTGGTCGTAGGCTTGTCGTTATGCGAGGTTATGTTAGTCAAATTGCGCGTCGGAATCGGAAAGACACATACCTTCGAGGCAGTCTTGACTCGTTTATTGGACTCTTTTGATGCTTCTGGGTCGTTGTTTCGCCGCTTGCTTGTACCGGCCGCTGAGGTAAGAATGAGAGTGCTCGCTGCGCCAGTCGCCCCCACGGTTTCTTTTTCCACATTGTTGAGTTCTGGGTCGTGCTCCGTCGCGGGGAGTGTGACTGACTTTGCGGGGCTCCTCATCCGACCGCAGGGAGATTCCATGGGGGCTACGGGTGCTTTTGTTTGCGGCGTCGCAGCAGAGACCCTAGTAGGAGTGATAAGGAATGCATTCGAAATTGGCCGTGGCGTGATTGGAGGTGACCTCCAAGTCGACAATGCAGCAGTCCCATCGCTGTCGGCTTCTTGGTCGAGCTCATCAAGCATCTCATCGATGGCGGCATGGAGCCATGGCCGGCATCGCTGCAGCAATTCACGGCAGTTTTCCACGTAAAGATGTTGCTGCTGGCGAGATAAAAACCATGGATTGCCGTCGCCCGGCTTGATGGACCAGATTGCCTCATCTCTGGCTTTTTCTAGTAATCTTAGACCTTCGTGCTTGAGTTTCTCGGCAATTGTCTCACGGAGCGTGATTGAAACGAAAGTTCTGAAGGTTGCTTCGAAGGAGCTCAGGGTAGGTGCACAATCCGATGTCGACGCCTCGTCCGCCATTGTCGAGAAGATGAACGACGGTGGGAATAGAGGTATCACAGCGGGTGTATACGAATGGCGACTTAAAGAAAGTGTGGCACATGGGATAGTCCGGGTTTTCGACTTGGATTAAGACTTGTGTTATGACCACGTTTCTGTGGCAAAGAAAAGTAAGTCCAGGTGCTAGATGGGGGTGAGCCAACGGCAGTTGAGAGGATCTGAAGCGTGCAACAAGTGCTACTTATAGCGAAGTGGGGCAATCCAGTAGTCGGGGTTTAGAAAAGATGCGACAGTGCGTTGAAGAAGCCAAAAAAAGTGCCTGAATCAACCGGTTTATAACCTGCTGGGTCCTTGTGCAAGGGGTCCAAAAGCTGTTTCTCATGAGGCAACCGACAAGGTATCACAACCCCTCATGGCCGGGACTTCACCCTTCAGCCCACTCAATCCGGAGCATCTGCCTCGGCTGTCAATGCTGCTCAGCTTCCTTCCAAGGCTTCGAAGCACATCAATGCCAAGAATTATTCGTTCTATGTTTCGACGGAAACATGAATGCTGGCAGTGTACGTCTCAACTGTGAGTGCCCCTGGTCGGCCTCGGCCTTAGGCTGTCTTGATCGTGGACTTGTTCATCGGCCTTGTCTCCAAACCTCGAGTCGAAGTTCGGACTGGGCACCCCAGAAATTTTGGACTTGACAAATAAAATTGAAACCTTTGACGCTGAGTATGACCTATGGGGTTGTTATCAAGACCATGAGCGCCTTCTAATGTAAGGAGGTGAAGAGGTGGTTTCCCGAGTGGCGCCTCATGCGGGGTGATCAGCTACGCCTCTACCCCTGCATGCGGCGAAGCACCAACAGCATAATCTACAGCCAACCAGCTGCAACTGTACATTGGGCCATGAGTCGACTTTCGGCCTCGGCCCAAGAGGCCGGTAGCCAAGTCTCGTGGGAAATACAGTGGATAAACAACCCAAGTATCATGTCAGTTGCAAAAACATAACTCGAAGCGTACTAATGACAAGTCTTTGAAACCCTCATATAAATCGCGTGAAAGAAGCCCAGCATGTCTGCGTTGAGCGTCGTGCCAAAGGCCTGGTGACTGACTATTGCCGTGGAAATTCTGAAAGACGGTCTATCGTCCCGGTCCAGAAGCTCAGCGCTTCGGAATATGGAGTCCGCCACTTAACAATGTAGCCCCTGTATGATTTTCAGAGAATTTTAAACTCGGGTACTCTTTGCTCTTAAAAGTGCTACAAAAAGACAATCGCCAAACACCGCTCTAAAGTTCATTAATGCATTCTGAATAGTTGGGCTGGGGCTGTGTGCTCGTAGGTACTACTTTGCTTTTGGATTGAGGCTGCTGAAACGCAGCACTGACAATTCCAGTAATGGAGATGAAATATCTCTCTGACGAGCTGGCCGACCTTGAAGTGGACTATTTCGAGACGCACAGTGCGCTTCTGATGGTAGAAATTCCGGATCGAGTGTGCAAGTCCTTTGGAGTTACAAAGCCGAGCACCCACATTCTTGACCAAAATAACGTGGCTAAAGTAGGAGATGGCATTTTATGCTTGATAGATCAAGCCAGGCTTAACTTCTATCCCCTGACAATGTGTTGGTATGGGTTTCATTCCTTGAGAGAATCATCTAAGTCAGAGCACACATTTTACTTGTTTACTGTGGGAAGTTGTGGCCTTAGATGTAGAGGGGTACAAGGCAGACAGGCACGCGTTGCAGTATTTAGAGAATACAGCCCCTAATACCGGGATTCCGAAATTTATCAGTGCCCTCGGGTGTCACATAAATAAATACAGAGACAACAACAGCTGTTACTTTTGGCCTCAGACTTTCGTGGGAAATTTGCGTCATGGGAGTGACAATTTTGAGTTCTTCTCTTATTTGATACTAGAATGCATTTTCCATCTTCTAACGGCCAGCTTGACACTATTTCTAAGAGTCGGGGTCGATTAGGGCATTTTCCTACAAGGTTGCTTCCGCAAAGAACTCGTCAACTGATCTTAGACTGAACTCCTTGTTTGACGCCTCGACCACTCCACCAGCAAGCGTATCGTTAGCCCATAGTTGAGAGGCGATGGGGGGACTTTGCTGCATCAATTTGACCTTCTCGTCGGAGTAGAACTCTACCTTAACTTCTGTCCCCAGAGCTTTGGATATCTTTTGTGCCAATTCACCAATAGTAAGCTCATCCACAGCTAGGTCAATCTCCCGACCGGAATACTTCTCAGGATAAGATATAGCGGCCGCGACAACAATCCCCACATCCGCGGCATCGACGAATGCTAGCTTTGTGGTAGGCTTATAGGCAACCCTGAGGACTCTGTCTTGAGCGAAACCAGGAAAGCAAAAGGTGCTCAGAGGCGATTGAAAGTTCTGCAGAAGATGCGTCGGCCTCACAATGGTCCAGTGCAGGAAACCTGCACTTCGAACGAGATTCTCAATGGCGTGCTTAGATAACCAGTAGTCGTACATGGGATGTTGAGGGCCCCAAGCTGTGAAAGTTTCGTGTTGTCCGGTCTTGACCGCTGTCGAGCAGACCATGGCTGAGACTGTTGGCGAAGATCGCGCTGCTGATATCGTATTTTTGGCCCGCTGGAGAGCTTCGGTGCGGTTTAGTGATGATGGGAGGTTCAGGAAGACGGCGTCCATGTTCCGCATAGCGGACTGTAGGGAGTTTGGATCGTCCAAATCGCCCTGCACCAGAGTCGCTCCTAGCTCTGCCAAGGCCTTCGCAGCCGGCGATGAAGGGTCCCGGACGAGGGCGTGGACTTCATGGCCGGCTTTTAGACAATGACGGACCACACCGGCTCCTTGGTTGCCCGTTGCCGTTGTCACGAGGACTTTTGTGGATGATGACATATCTGTTGTTTCTTGAGTTTGTGTTATCGAGACTCAAATGCTTGCGTTTGGCGTTTACGAATATGTGTTTGAAAAACTCAACATGGGTCGCGGCAGACAGTTCCAGCAACTATATGGAAAAGACGACCACGGAAATTGAGGAAAGGTGCGGCTACATAAATAAGCCACGGAGACTGGCCATGATGACAGAGGTATCCCAAGTAGATCCATTCTACTACTTAAGCTTGACATGATACCAGCTAGTCACTCGATCTCGATGACTATGCGGGTTAGTGATATCTGACGGTCAGCTTCTGGGGTAAGACGGCGCTATTCGGAACGATCGGCATGATAGCGAATGCCAAAGGCCAAGGCAGATGCTACGTGTTGCCAACCTTCCTAGTTTTCGCGAAGTGGATGATTTGTCAGATCTCATATTTAACAGCTAATATGATGACATTCTGATAGAGTGAGTCACTCACCTTTTGGCCGGGTGATCTAATAGGAATAAGTTTAATGCTACCACCAGGATGGTGTTGGACCAAATTGACCGTCAAAAGACGAGGAACCCACTCGCTGTAGAATGAGGTATTTTTGGTAGTTATAAGGTCTGACATATGGCTCCACCCGCTCCCGTATTTAGTTGTGCAATGCAGAGAAATGGGTTCGTATTCATTTCACAATGTACTTTACAGTAATAGCAACTAGGATAGGATAGTTGGTGCAGCTCTCCACTATACGTAACGTGCGAGCCGAGCTAGGCGTGGGCACCGTTGCGGTTGTAATATATACCTTCACAGTTATTAGACCCCCGTTACTGAAGATATAATTGTGCAAACGCCCATAGCCTACGAGGATGCCACTGAACTTGAGTTTGGCTTGGTATATATGTCGGTAAATACTACACGATCGCCCAACCGTAAACCATCTGATCTATAGAGTACAAATAAATAATTTCTTGAAGATAGATCGGCCGATAATTGTACACCCATCCACTAGGCAGCAAAGTTAGCCAACTGCCGAGTCTCGCTGTATTTCACGCTCATGCAATCAATCCTTTTGGATTGATGTAGGCATTGAAGGAGCCTCAGATCCACCTTCGACTACAGCTTCGACACCCTCTACTGCACAGGAACCATCAACCGATCTACATCAGGCCCCCAGCCGTCTCCGACCCCCTCAATGACCACTGTATTCCCACTCCCGCTCTTTAGCGGCACATGCAATGTACTAGAACTCGGATCCGCTCCATTCGGCAAGAACGCCACCTTCCTCCCTGTATCCCCATTAACCCTTACATTCGCATACCTCGTCTTATTATCCCCATTCATATACTTAATCCTGACCGTGGTAACCGCATCGACATCGCTCCTCACCCCGGAGAAACTCACAGTCCCCCTATCCAGCCCGCCTATATACCCCGCCGCCAGCTTATTGGAGCACCCGCCACAATCGACATTCCGCGCCTTGCCCCCATACGTCGCCGTCTCGCCCTCGTAGCTCGTCTCCGCGGGCGGTGAGGCCCAGCCCGATGAAGCTGGGGCCCCGTTGAGTATGTTGGGGACCCAGGAGACGAAGTTCTTCATACTGACACCGCCCGTCCCGGTGAAGGTCAGCGGCAGCCAGACGTAAGTACTCGCCATGAGATTACTGCTAACCCAACGGTCTCCCAGGTAGATAGCTGAAGTGTCGCTCGTCTTGAGCACGTAGTTGGTTTGTGAAGTATACGTATTGCTTCCCTTGTCCGCGAAAGTAGCCCACGATGACCAGCCAGACGAGAGGTAGGTTGAGGAGCTGACGACGTTGTCGTTGGGGTCCCAGCCGGTGAGTTTGCTACCAAACATATAGTAGCGCCCGTTGAGTTTTATCAGGGCGGGGGCTTCGATGTGGTCGGGCCAGAGGTAGATGTTGGAGGTTACGGTTAAGTAGTCGTCGGAGAGGCCGACGATGCGGAGGCCGTTTTGGCGCTTGGGGGGATTGGGTTAGAAATATTGCATTATTACGCGGAGACGGCGAAATATACTCACATCTTCGGTTAGCAAATACCCCTTCCCATCGTCATCTTTGAATAAGCCCATATCACGACTCTGTTTCCCGAGCGGTTGGAAGCTGGTCCTGTATTGATACTTGCCACACACCTGTACACAAAGGAACTCCGTCAGCCGTACTCTCACGTCGCCAAATAATAGTCCTACTCACCGTATCGCCCACAGCAACCCCAGTCTTAGCATCCCCGTAGTTGCTGCTATCAATGTGCATCCACATCACATACTTCCCTGTCTTATCATTAAACAGCACCTTCGGCCTCTCAACAACCCGATTCGGCCCTAGGTCCCCAGAGCTACCCTGGCTAAGCAGCGCGCCTACATATGTCCACTGCACCAGGTCCGTAGACGAGTAACAGTTTACATTTTGGAATGCCGAGCCTCCGGTCTTGTCCTCGCCGACGAGGTAATATGTCGAATTGACCTTGATGATACCGCCTCCGTGGGCTTGGAGGTGCTCATTGTTGGACTGAGATCGTTGTTAGCTGAGCAAGATCCAGGTGAGGTTGGTTGGTTGCATGGTGCATGAAAAAGGGGGTGGGCTCGTCGGCCAACCACGCGCCCATCTCAACACCTCATTTTAGACTTAAAGATGGCAAACGCGCGACTCACCGTTGTCCAAGTGCCCCCAGGAACCACTTGCAGACTGGCGTTGACGACTGGGATTACCGCCGCCAGCGCGAGGCACAGGAAACGCATTATGACCGCCATGTTCCCACCTTCTACGTTGACAGAGTTGACAAGATTGTCCGCAGACTACAGTATATGACAAGGAGGTGGACGACGTAAAACTTATATGCAAGGACCGCAGATGTTATGTGTTATTCAAGGCAAACGCAATTTAATTCCGGACGGACCCTTGGGCCCGAGATGTTTGGAGATCTGCCGCGCTGCACCGCATTCAACGAAGGATACAAACCCAACTCGGCCTTCGGTCCTCTACAGGAGACGGAGATGTAATTACCAAGTCCAACAACGCTGGTGCTCAGCTAACCTTTGGCTAACGACATTCTAGTTTTCACAAGCAGTTGAATGAGCGGCTCTGGAATGCCCATGTTGAACATAGACAACCTTTGTAGAAAGATAACATGCCAATTGCCGGTACCTGTCTGCGGCTAAAGTGCTCTCGAACCCAACGATGGAATAGACCAGTATTTCAACCATATTAATCCCCACCTCGCAAAACCAGTCGACAACTAGGATTAATTGCCGAACTTCATCCAAAATCACTACTCTATAACATCCCATTGTTGGGAGCTATCACGTGAGGTGTGACATATGTGTAATATTCATGAGTGTCATCTATCTAGGGCATCCCAAGTTGGCTATCGTAATTGACCCCCGTTAAACCCAGACATCCCATTCCATCCCCAAAATCCCAAACCGGATATCCGCGGGTTCTCCCTCCCGTATTAGTAACTCCGATTTTGAATAGTAAAACAATAAGCCGCCGGACCAGCCGAAGCAACACCTGAACCCCAACCCCATACCGCCCGCATCCATGTTGGGTTGACTCATTCTGAATGCGACCGTTTCTGCTGCTCCTTCCAAAAAAATCCCCGCCTGAGTCTTAGTTTGCGCAGGGCGAAGGCAAGACGGCTTTGTTTAGAATGATAATCGAACTGTGACCTGTAAAAGGCCTGCGCCTTGTCCAAATCTTCGACAAATAAAGCAACATGATCCATCCCGGTCTGATCCATGGGTGGCTGAATAAATGCAAAATTAAAGCTCCCGAGAGTTCGTTCCAATAGTACAAGCGAGGTGGCGTCGAAGTGAAGATACGCAGAAAAAGGTTCGTGACTCGATGGTGAGTGCCGACCTGGAGTATCGAAAATCGGAAGGATATATGTATCGAAACAAAGTGGTATCAACCCCGTACCAACCGCCGAAACGCCGCGCCGCCGTATGATGAACAAGGATATCGTCAAGCACCCAGGTGAGACGACAAACTATTGTAGGTGTGGAGAGGGCGGTTCCACCGATCTGTTGGTCATGGTCAACCACCTTTACCAACCCTTCTTCCTGGCGAATCGTTTGTTCAGCAGCGCCAGTACTTTGGGGACGTTGAACTGCACGTATTCAAGATCCAAATCATCCTGGTTGTCTTTCTGCATTTCGAGTAGATCGTCGAGCTTGAGATCAAGCTCAAGAAGACCTCGGTTACGGCCTAGTGGACCCGTTAGATCATTACATGGGGGACGGATGGGTATATGGTTCTGGGGACTTACCCTTGTAGTGTAAGGAGATGACGAATGTTCCCGGAAGAGGACTGGTGAAGTTGAAGTAGATATTGGCCCTCCTATTATCCGGGACATTACTCTTCTGTATAACACCTTCCTTTTCAAGCTGTTGATGGGTGAACTTGTACGGGCCGAGCACTTGTTGCTTCTGCTGTTTTCGTCGGGTACCTTCTGACTGGCTTCGCACATTATGTAGGTAGCTTTTGTATGTCTCAAGCTGGCCCACGAGGTATGAGTTGTGATCCCTGATGGTCTTGTACACCTCTTCAAGCTTCGACGTCTCGAGGATCACGCCATCTTTCAGTGAGCCAAGATGTTGCAGCTCCTGCTCGACTTCGTCCCTCAGTAGACTGAACTGGTCTGATTTATCAATGACCCGCATCTCCTGGAGCTGACTGAGAAGCTCCATGGCCCTAATCCCCTTTCGGACCATTACCGCGTCGTTCCTCGAGGTGGCGGCGGCGTCGGCGATCCGCTCCAATCGTAGCGGTCGGCGTGCGACAGAACTGTTGGCCGGGATTGATCGCATGACTTGCACAAATATGGACTTGGCTTCCATGAAAAAGATTTCTTCCTGAGTGATGTCCAGCGCGGCGGTCAAGTTATCGATGGCGGTCTCCCAACGACTGAAAAGGGGCAGATTAATAGCTCTGTTCTCTTTTCGGGGAACCTGGGCGGGTCCAGGACCAAGTTCCGATATCATCAGCGCCAGGTGAGAGTTCTCGTCCTTACAGAGTTCCCCAGTGTGCTTCTCGATCAAGGAATGCATGGCGTAAATTTCATTCAGGGTGATTGAAAGCTCCAAATCCTTCTTGGAAAGAGCGACATAGTTGTCCATCTCCAGACTCTCGTAAAAGTCTTGCACCTCGCACAGGTCGAGCATGAATTTGTTGACGCGATCTTTATTTTGTTGAATAAAGGGCTGCAGCTTCGCCATGTATGGCTCCTTGGCATACGAAGGCTTATTTGCCAAATTTTGCAACATCTTGGCAATGAGCGTCAGCGTTCTCCTCGGGCGCTCGGCCGGTGGGCCGTCAATAAGCATGTATGACTTGGGCGTGACGATGGCCGGGTTGATGAAGCGCAGGAAGAAGAAGCCACCAATGAGGGTGCAGATGACCTGGTCGTTGGCATCTGGGTACTTCCTCTTGGTCAGGCTACGGATTTGCTTGCAAATCCATCGGATGCCGTAGGGCGCCTCGTCGAGGCCGTCGATGATAGTCGTCAAGAAGCCATTAGCAATTTCGGTCAACATCGTCAGCCTCGGTTCAATGATGGCCTGAACCTGGGCGTTCTCGGCGGCCTGCTCAGCAGTGATCCCCTTGGGCAATGACGCTGGTAAACTGCCGGTGTCCTCCTCAATCTGTTCACACATCCTCTCGTACACCTTCAGCGGGTTTATCTCTAGGTCCAGGTCCTTCAATTCAATCAGGCTGTTGATTCTATCGGCAAGAACTGATCGGAGAAAACTTTGGCCGGGCCCTCTTCGGGTGTAGGTCGTCATCATTCGCGAGACCGGGGTGTTGGCGCGTAGGAGCGAGGAATATTCGGGCGTGGTATCAAACTGGTAAGTGAGAACGGACTGCGGATGATCGTATCAGCCAGGCTCCCTCATTTCAAGGACTAGTACCTACCTGAAACATAGTAAGCAGGAGATGCTCTTCGCGACTCTCGTACTGGTTTCCGTAAATGGTGAACATGACGGTCTGAAGAAGCGAGTCAATTTCGGACATAGACACCAGTCGGCAGAGATGCGCGATGTGTCGTGGCTCAGACTGGAGCAGGAACAACAAGTTTCCATATTTCTGTGTCTTGTCGTCGTTCGGGAAGGCGCCTTCTTGCAAGTCCGTTGCGTCTTCCAAATGGCTGGCGACTTCGTTCTGTTCCTCCAATGCCATGCGATTTTGGATGAGTAAGGCGATTCTCGAGTCGAGATAGCGAACATCCTTCTCGAGGACAAAGTTCTTTTTTGATTGTGACGAGATTTTGGATTTGAGATCCCGTAATATTTTCTGGGCTGGAAGTCGTCGACTGATCAGTACAACGCCCGTCTACCAAGGAAGGCCGCATGCACATACCTTTGGCTAACTCATCTTCTATTTCGAGATCCGTCTCGTTGGCGGACATGGACATGTACAGCGCGGACATGGAGTACCGCTTGGATTGGCGGGCGGATCGCGATCCATCGTACGAAGACATTGTGTTCTGGCGGGAAATTGGCTGGTAGGAGGAAGACGAGGCAGTTGAGGCCCGGGAAGGTGTCTGCAACATGACTGACATGTTTCAGTCAATAGGAGGCACTCTGGGCGAGGAAACAACTCTTTGCCCAGTGTTCCCAGGGCAGCGAGGTACGTTTCCTCCTAGCCAAATCGCGAGGGGTCGCGAGTCGGCGTGATGTCGCGGAGGAGCGGCAGGGCGGATCTCAGTCGAGGGGTGCCGCGGGGATCGGTATAGCGTTCGATTCGGTATTCGCGGCTCTTCGATGTATTATGGTAATGATTATGGTAATGTGCGTTAATTGACGGTGGTGATAATGGCGTCAAGGGGAGATCAATCGAGATACCGAGGTGCAGCTGGCAAGAGAAAAGAGGGCTTTGCAGTTGTGGTGTTGATGTCCCGGTGCGCTCCAAGTCTGGCACTCGACACTGTTTCGACCGTTTTCGCCGTGTCAGGAATAACAAGGGCCTGGAATGGAGGACAGGGGGGGCCAGCGTTTGAGCACTCGCCGACGGGCCAGCGAGCGCCACAAGTCGATAACGTGGGAGGCCCTGGATGGTGGTCAATGCCGACTGAGATATTCCTACTCCAACCGTTAACTCGGGATCCCCGTCCCAAATAACGGAGCAACAGCAAAGCTTCGACGTCAGCTGCGCCGATAGTGCTTGACCGAGACCTGATAGGCCGGGACCAAATTGGAGGCTCGGGGGCAGCGCGTTGAGGGTCGGGGCTAGTCAGGCAGCAGATATGTCGCTATGAGCGAATGGGGGTATCGATTGATGCGTGGAGTTTCAAAAATAAAAGAAACATCCAACGCAAGACGGTTAAATCGTGTGAGATATCGGAAGCATGTAAATATAGCAATTTCGTTGTCTGACAGCGTAAAGCGATAGGTTGGTCGGGGCTGCGACAGCACGAGGGGAGCCCGCCGCGCTTTCCAGGAGGGTGAAGGTTCTACGCCTTGGCCCCGTCGTCGAGACAGACAGCTGCAGCTGCAATGTTGCACGGATTTGGAATTGCAGCCGGGCGGAGCGGCCGGTTGACGACTTGTGCGATGCGAATCTTGGAGTGTTGTTGACGGCTGTGTGGAAATAGAGAATCTAGGTTTCTGTCTGGAAAGACAAAAACAAAGAGGGGCGACGGAGGAGCGAAAGGGATGGGGGGCTTTTGAACCAGAAAGAGGAAAGGTGGGCAAGGTGGGATGTATCGCGATATGATGGAATCAAAATGGGTTTGGTGTGAGGAGCCAATGCAACCTCACCTCGATGACTTTGGGACGAGGCGCACCTGGGTAGGCAAGGAGGAGGGAGGCTAGGTAATAAAAGGGGAGAGGCGGTCTGGCGCAACGACGGGCGGAGACTTGAAGCGTCTCTTCTAGGCCCAAACTTTGCAACGGTACCTTATAATGGTGGTCTACCAAAAAAAGGCAGCTATGGTGGTGATTGCGAGTGATTTGCAGGCAGACGGTACAGTTTGCAAAAATGATAAAAATGCTTTTCAGACCCCAACTGGGACAGGCCTGCCGGGCTTTGATTGCGAAATGCGATGATCCAAGATGTCGATCGAGGCGGGACCGAATTGTCCTAAAAGGCCCTGGCCATGGGTCAAATCTATGGGCTGCTATGGGGAACGAAGCAAAAGCAGGTAAAACTAGGCCTCTCCAAGCTTCAGCTTACCAACTACGGACATTGCTACGGGCTGCTATGGGCTGCATCAATCAAACAAACCCATGGCCCTGGTTGCCTAGCTTTCGTGTTCTTGGTGATGGGTGGGGCGGTTGCAATACGGCCCCGGTTCGGCCGTCAATGTTTCTACTGAAGTTTGGGCCGGGTTGCCGCCATTCGTGGATGGGCAGTGCATATTCCGATACAACTATAGGCCTAAGATTGGACATACTGAGAGTGGCTGAAGGTGGTTGGGTCGTGTTGTGCTTGCAGATTTCCTAATCTGAAACGCACTTCAGATAGAGCACACACAACCATGCGACATTGTGCCAGGATATGTGGTCATGCAAGCCGTGGGAAACATCCGGCACCTCCAAGCACTGGGAACTCGCGCAACGCGCCACGTCGGCGCGAAATAGGATAGGTTGTGATGAAACAAATCACCAATAAACATCTTACCTGACCGGTCCGGTTGAATCCTCCAGGGAAAGGTTGGTGGTTAGATAACTGTAGAACTTGTTGCATTCACAAATCCATTTGAAGCCAAGGAGGAAGCTGCACTAAATCTGTTTAAGCAGTGGGCAAGGGTTTGGCGCCTCAGTGTGGGGTGCGCAGCGCTACCGCGGCTACCGAGTTAAGCCAACCTGGGTATCAATAGGAACTGTCTGATATGGGTGCGCACTTACCAGGACCGACCAAGTTTTTGATTGTGTTCCTCTTTTTTTTTCTTTTGGGTGCCACCATTGCTCTCCACTGCCAACTCATCATGGCGGCAATTTAATGCGATAATTACCCTAGCGCTATCGTGAACAAAGGGTTAGTAATTGTCGACCATCAGATCATCGACCCGGTGGGCCATCACCGCGTAAATTAAGTTGCGATGAGCTGCATGCGTCATTGTCAGCGACTGTGGAGGCTTCCCGATCTCGTCGGTTCGTCAGCGTCGGTTGCCGATTTGCCAATTCTTCAGGCACAAGACAGGGGCGACAGGAAGGAGGAAGAGGTACGTACATTCTGAAGATCCAAGGTTCCTTCTCACCAATCCGCCCTCGAGCTAGTCAATGTAAGCACTCTTAAGCAACTGGCACTGATCGCCAAATGCCTCAGGGGAAGCAGAACTGGGTTCGCCCCATGTTGTGATAGAATAAGACATTCAATGTTCGAGATACATCCTCTCGGCGTCCAATAAAGCCCTGGCGGATATCTGCAGCCATCCTGCATCTGGTCCAGTTGGCAGAAGATACCAAGCGGCTGGATAAACAGGTTGAGTGCATGTTGCATGGTGTTTCAAGTCATTGCAGCGCCTCGAGAAACAGTGGCGCTGTGTTTTGCTCAAAGCAAGCCCCTATATGTGCAGCGCTGATATAGCAGCCATCGATGCTGTAGCCAGTGCACGACTGTTGACGGAATACTGTCAATACGACTGCCTCGACGGAGGAGCGAGACACCCACATTCGGCTATGAGTTCATCAAGGGATAGGACGAGGTCGTCAAGCCACTCAAAAAAAGCCTAATCCTCCCACACTCTCCTGACTCGAGTCCAAATCGTCTGGATCTGTTCTTCGTCAACGGTACTTGACCAATGACATCCTTTTTTGCGGGGTAGTCGATAGGGGAATGTCTCCCCACACGTGGAGGGAATATGCTTTGAACAAGCATTGCGTGATGACGGCCTGGAACTCCAACAAGTGTTCGAGAAACTCTGACCAAGACAATGGGAATCTAAGCAAGGTGAATTCCCCTAAAGTGGTTTTGACAGATGGCTGACAAAGTCGAACGATAATTTTTTTCAATAATGGCAGGACACGAATACATGCAACCTCTAACGGCTCAACCCTCCCTAACCGACGGTCGTCCACATTCAATGTCACGTCGCAGGAGATCGCTGTATTTCAGATCTCTCTGCGGCCCGTGGCGAGAAACGCAGCATCCTCATCATCATATGATGACAGTCTCCCCATCTCATCGGGAGGCGAGACTGTTCAAAGTCCGAATTGTCCGTGCAGGACATCCTGGCCAGGTGCGGGAGTTGATAAGTTGCTACGAGATGAATTTCGTAATTTCGTCCAAGCTTTTCTCAGTCATCCCATCGCTTTTAGACGCCGTACCCATGGCAAGCCTAGGCCTAGAAGGCCTGAAACGCTAATCTAGATCACTGTGGCAAAATCAAGGAAACGAAATGTTTCGCAGGCACGGTAGTCTTTATGGGCTTAATGACCTCGCTGGTTTCTATGTTTTAACTTGCGAATGCGAACTGCAACATTTGCGAATTGGACATCCCCCCTCTGGATCACGTACCCCAGGATCGAGGTCCGGGCTCTCTGCTGCTTATCATGTCGAATTCCTTCTGGAAAACTATCGCAAGCCACCATGTATGTCGACGTCGAACCGTTCACATAGTAAAAAACCGAGACTTTGCACAGCAAGCAGCCGTCCGCTTGTCCGGCTGCCCCACGAGCCAAGACCTGCTGTACCTGACGCCGTTTCCGTAATCCGAGGCTGCGGTCGAATACACGTCTGATGAGTTTTGCTCCTGAAACAACTTCCAATTGCTGACGGGTGCCACATAGTCAGACAGTACTCAATGAGTCAGTGACTCGGTAGTACGACACCAGACCCTTTTACCGAATGCCATTTTGTCAGTTTGACATGCGTCACACGGCTGTAACCTCAGGCTTCACCGCTTTCACGGTCTCTTATCGTCGTTTCTGTGGGTTTGCCTGTGGTGAAAGGTCCCATAAGGGAATGAGCAAGCAAGCAAGCCCCGCGCTCGGGGACCTCAGCCACCGGCACTTCGAGGACGGCCATCTATGTTTGCCAGGCCTTCATTGTTGTAGCCTTCCGGCATACAGGGGCTATGTAAAGATCGTAAAGCTCAAGTCGTGGTCTGAGGTCAATTCATACGGATTTCAGATTTCCACCAAAGCCAAGACAACGGTAACGAATGCCACGAAGCGCCGCCCCCTGTTGTCCATCAATACAACGATCCATACAACAAGCGTTGGTTCGTGCGCCGTTAGGCCACTGCATGTGAGCTGGTGCAAGGGACAGCGGTGAAGACTGCCAAAATTTCCGGTACAGCGATACCGCGCCATTATGACACCTAGCAGTTTTCGGACACTTGGCTAATGTGAGCGAAAGTGTGGTGAAATTTGTTTGTTGTTATTGCCCCAACCTATTTGAGTGCCGTTTTCAAACTCAACACCGAAGAGGCTGGTGGCATGAGTTGTCTCAGCTCAACGGGATCTACTGTAACCGCCCCAATATGGCGAACCGTGTTATGTGCCCGGTGACAAATTTACTCAGTAACCATCGATTATAGTTGTAACTACAAACCTTCAATACCTTGAACACATCTTTGTGGAGCATTTGGGGCTGATGAGCAGCTGGGGCGATTTCAGTGTGAGTTTTAGATGCACCAACCTTATACGAAGATACCAATGTTCTAGTCCGAGGATCTCCGGTAATTTTCACTCTCATTCGTCGATGATAACAAACCATAAACATAAACATAAATATCTTAAGTCAAAAGGAGTTGATGAACACTAACGTGATACCATAGAAACAAGCAGTGTTCCCGCAAACCAGTGGGGGATTTTGAAGAGAACAGAAATGCTGTAAAAAGACGTTATCATAGTAGACCTATCTTAACCGTTATCTAAGAATCCCTGTAGGATCAATGCACTTCCACTACGCCAAGATGATTTCATCTTTAGTCGGAAGACTTAGTTACGTCAATAATCATACTATTGTCAAGACTAGTAAAATACAAGCAAATAATATTTACTACGAGATGTGTTCTTCCCCCGAAATGAAGCATTTCCTAAACTAGGAACCGATTGTTCTCCTTCTTCTCACATGTGCATGTGAATTGTGGCTGGGATACATTATTTTATTAGATACAGATATATAGATATATCACGTCTAGTCGTCAAACGTGCCCACAGTTCGAAACTCCAACCTACCGTTACACCTACTTTGGAGCAAAAATACTCAAAGGAGCACAAGCCTGCAGATATTCTGAACCCTCCTCGTGGCCTCCAAAGTACCCCCTCCCATATTATCCTTAATTTCCTCAATCTTGGCCTCAGCCTTGATCTCAGCACCCATCATAAGCTGTGCCAATCCCCCTTTCGGAAACAACCCCTGAAAATTCTTAATTTCCCCATCAATCCTCTCCTGAATAGTCGCAATCTTCTCCTCAGCATAATTCCTCACCATACATCTGGCCTTGCAGAGAATCGTGTTTTCCTTACATCCCCGACCTCCTCGGTCCAAATACACGGCCTATTTGAAGGTAACACAGGCTCCTCACCCTTATCATTTGGAAGATTAAGCGCGGCCTTGGTCTCGATCAAGGCAATCTCGATGGACGTGGGTGAGCAGTTGGGCCGCCAGTACGTCAGGCTGTTTCCGGGTCGTACTACGAGTGTATCAGCATCGCCTTATCGATTTCGTCCTGGTCCTCGTGCTTGATGGTACGTTGAATGGGCTGCCGGACCACGTGAGTAGGAGCTGGTGGCGCGTTTGGGGACTTGGCTATGTCGAGGGCGGTGCTTCGGTGGATTGGACGAGGAAAATTCATGAACACGTTCGATGTCGATGGGTTCGAGTGTCAAGCCGAGATTGGCGGCGCGGTCTTTGATCTTGTCCATCGTTGGTTTTCAAGAAGGTACTGATTCGAAGATGAGTTGGCACTTGCTAGAGATGGAATTGAAGACCGAGGTCGGCTTGAGTGCTGCCGCTGTCAAGCAGATAGTTTGCAGCCATGGAATTTGCAGCAATGAGTTTAGGTTGGACAGTAGTATCCTTCGATGAGCTGTTCTTCGAGGCGGATGCTTGATTGACCTTCTATGATGATGATTCGGTTTTGTTGAAACGAAAAAGATTGTTGGTAATGGAAATCAGATACCCTGTTACATCTTATTAGCATGATATTCATCGAGATCTATTACATGCATTGTCCCAGAAAAGCTGACAATGCCCATAGTGCGCTTCGTGATTAAGTGTCGTTCAAATTCTGCACAGCACGTAAGGCGGAACCTACTAGCTTTGTTCACATCACAAATATAGTTTTCAACGTCAGGCTATATGGACGCTGTTAGCTCCATTTACTAGGATTTGGTACGAGTATATGTAAATAATGGAGCCCTGCTCTTTTTCTTAGTACAGTAAGCAAAGCTTAGTCGTCTGACGGAAGCTTTTTTACGAGCTCCATCTTCAACGTCCGGCGAAGCTGCTGGCGTCGAAACATATCAGAGCTGGATGACAGGCTTGAGACCCTATAGCATTAATTGCATGAATATCATCGCCGATGTCCAGCAATTTTTCTCTCTAATTCAATGCGCTCATCATACTCTAATTTTCATATCGTTCTACAAACGTCAATAGGCCACTCAACTAACCCGTGATTAGGAAGACTAGACAATCCCTCGCGAGCCACTGTGTCATCCCGCTATATGGCCCCTCGGTCTCTTTCCTCGTTCAGGTTAACTCCGCCAAGGCTTGACTGGCTCCTGGAGTGAGCTAGTCGCGCGTGCCCCACTGTTGTTCGTAGGTCCGAGTCCTAGGCAGGCCCTTGTGTGTCATGTGGCGTTCTGCATTGCTGGTCCTGTTGACGGGATGCTTATGATGGAGATGCTTTACTAAATTATTTGTACACTGTGCTCTTCTGGGGTTCTTGTGTGGATACAACAATGGTACGGGTTTTATAACGCTTTGGGTTTAGTTTATATGTTATTGATATTTTATTAAGATAAATAGGTGAATTAATGCCGTATTTTATATAGATAGTCACGTTGTTTTAACTGAAAGCCAATAAGCCTTAACTATTTATGGACGTTATTGTGTCTATTATTTAGAATCTCTGTGCTCATGAGGGAACTGGCTTTAGATCGAGCCCAATTTGATAACTTCGAGACAATATGTTCTTTCCAAAGCTGTAAGTGTTATTATGAGAGCCCTATGGGTGCTAGGTTCACCCTCTAGCATTGGTTATATGGTGGGTAGGGTTTGATCACATGTCGCATAGATTACTTCTTTAGAAACCAAGCTTCTCAAAATATTTATACGATAGCACATCCGACTGAATAGATTGTCATCAAAACTTCTAAGTTCACGGGGGTGTAACTTTGCACTATTTAAGCATCGCCGCTTCGCCAAATGGCATGTACGAACAAGTCTCCGAACATATCTCGGCTATTATTCAAAGTGCCCGGATTCTTGATTTGAAACGTTCGGAGAGTTTATGGAGACGTTTGCAATAAATAGCTTTAAGGTAATCGAAAGCGTGTGTGACTTTGGGCTGGCAGGATATAAAGTGCTGCTTCGAAGCTCTGGGCAGTGACAGTTGGTTTGAACAGTCTAATAAGCATCACTTCCTCTAATCGAAGACCAAAAATCTTTACGGAAACACTTTCTCATCTGAAGCTCTTCAAAATGACTTCTCAAACTCGGCATACAGTGTGGCTTTGGCTCGAGGGCATGTTCCCCCGACGAATCTCATATTACCTTCTCATGAAGGGCCTAGTAGCCTCCCCGCAGATCTTCTCGCCGGTAAAATAACCCAGCCTCATGAAGCTTGGCTCCTACGACTGGATATATCTTCAAGCGGATGATCCCGCACCCAAAGACGCTAGCACGCCTTGTTTGCGAGTCACCGACGCCTCAACAAACGAATCGCGCTTCATGCACGAAAGTTCCTCCATGCTGTCGTATTTTGAGCAAATATACGCCGGTCGAACCCCATCAATAGTAGCTCAGGATGCGATGCGGAGGTATCCGGAGTTGACGTATAGGTGGGATATTTTCGAGAGGGAGGAGTTGGTTATATTGGCGCATTGGTATTTGAGGTTTAAGACGCTTCCTTGGTGGGTTGCGTTGGAAGAGAGGCAGGATATGCATCCGGCTGAGTTGAGGTTTGGAAAGGAGTGTCGAGAGGTTCGAGAGCTGAGTCACTTGTGGGTGACGATAAAACATATCATTTCTACTTAACTATAGTTGCAATTCATGAATAAGTTCTAGAAATAAGACTATTGCCTCTCTGTTTTGATTGCTAAGGTGACCAAGCGTCATATGCATACGCGCCGAGGAGTCATTCAGTCTATAGACCTTGAGCTCAAAGGCTATGAAGATAAAGATGAACGCGCCCGTGGGGATGTTGATCCAGGAATACCACCTCCAGGACAACTTGCCAACAATCAGACGACCTATAATCGGCACCCCGAGAATCCTAGAATAAAGAGACCTCTTGAGTAGCCACATCAGCTAAACCAGCATAGTGAGACATCACTGTATCACCCCTGCGTAGCCCAGCCGGAAGGTAGACGAGTACCAGCCGACGTTGGCCACGGGGTGGAACTCGTCAGTCATAGCAGGCAGGGCGATCGCGAAGATTGTGCCGTCGAGGCTCACGAAGACGAGGATTGGCGCGTTGCAGAGCACAAAGAGCCAGAAGCGGAGGCCGGTTAGGCATTGGGCTTCGTCGTCAGCTGATGTAAGAGGAATAGGGACATCTTCGGCTACGTCAAATTGATGTGAAGAGGTAGTTGGTAGTGGCACTCGAAATTATACGTTCTCCTTGAAGCTGAAAGAAGAGATCTCATGGTGGAAAAAGCTGATTTATAAGGGAAACTACATGAGAAGGACATGGGTATCTGTCACCTGCAGACTGGTTTCCTACAACAAGACGTCGATCCACGGAGTAGAGGCGATTGAAATTTTGTTCTTGACGGCAAAATCAGTACAGTGGGGCTTGTTCCAGGGTGTTTGGATTGTTGAGTAAAACGATTGTAAGATATGGTTCTGGCATCGTGTTGTGGATTTGGCGGTTATGTGTGTTCATGGCTTGTTTTTCGATGCCGAGAGATGACGATAGACAGCAATGAAAGGGTTTGGGAAAACTCTTCTATATGTGTTAACCTATCTTTTCTACAGCTGGTTGACATAAAATTACAATGAGACCCTCTGTCTACGATCCAACAGTTTTGAAATGTGATTCGACTCCAACTTATGTTCCGACTCAATGGCCTTGTTCATATCAAAATGCTTCATAAAGAAGCTCAGCAAGAATATCACACCAGATATGCCCAGATAAACCTGCCACACCCCCAAGAAACCAAAAACGTAGGCATCCAAAATCGTCTCCTTGGTGGCGCCACCATCCGGCATCTTCACCAGCTCGGTCACAAACCCCTCGGCATTATACGCAATCCCGCGTGGCAAACCCTCCCGGCCCAACTTCATCGCCATCACGTTCTGGAACGTCGTACTCCCCACGCTCACTCCGACCGAAGTCCCAAACTGCCTTGCGAATCCATACATAGCTGCAGCGGCAGCAACATCCCCTGGCTTCGCCATGGCCTGGCATGCGAAGCTCTGCGTGTTGAGGATAATGCCGTGACCCAACCCGGAGATTACCAAGGTGACGGCCCAGACTGGTTTCGAGACATCGGCATCCCAGAGCAGCTCGAGGCCGGACGAGAGAGTGGCCAGAAGCCAGCCGACCCAGATAGTCGGGCGGTAGGCGTTCATGCGGCTAACGATAGCGCCGCCCACCGCCCCACTGGGGATGAGGACCAGCATGACGGGAAGGAGATTGACTCCTGCTTGGATGGGGGAGAGTTGCTTGACGGATACGAAGAAGAAGGCGATGTAGTAAAGTTGGCCGTACATCTAGGAAAAGTCTCAGATGAAAGGTTTAAAAGAATGGGACTTTAAGATAAGACTCACCACCAACCCCTGCGCAAACCCTCCCAAATACGCAATAATCGAGCTCCAGTTATGAAACAAACTCCTCTTCAACATCGGCTCCATAGCACCATGCTCCTCCCAAACCCCCGTAGCCACGAGCCCACAAACCCCCAACACCAAGGGCACCAGTATCGGCGCACTATTCCAGTCATACTGTATACCTCCCGAAGAAATGGCAAACAAAAACACCGTCAACGAAGCTGTGAACAACAGCCCCCCCACCCAATCCACCCTCCCCAACTTCTGCCTTGTCGTCTCCACCCTCGGTCTCATCGTAAGCAAAGTCGGCACCACCACAAGCCCAAACGCGCAAAACGGGAAATTCAGGTAAAACACCCACCGCCACGTCGTATGCTGGACCACACCCCCTCCAATCAACGGACCAATCACCAATCCCACGGCCCAGCCAATGGAGATGAGGGCCCACCACTTCGGTCTGTGTCTTAATGGTACAATGTCGGTTAGTAGTAGGAGCGATAATACCCATATCCCGCCCCCACCGATGCCTTGGACGGAGCGACCGGCGAGGAGGAGTGGGATGGAGTGCGCTACACAGCAGAGGATGCTGCCGAGGGTAAACATGGACAGGGAGAAGATGAGGCAGATGGGACGGCCGAAAATCTCGCTTAGGCTTGCGAGGGGGGGCATGGCGACGGTGCAGGAGAGGAGGTACGAGGTTCCTATCCAGAAGGCTTCGGTAGTCGTGCCTCCGATTTCGATGGTTATACTCTTTATCAGAAGCGTGAGTGGTATGTTTATCGTTCTGGTGGGTTTAATGGGGAACTCACGTTCAGAGCCGTGACGATAATCGAAGCGTCCAGTGCAACGACCATGTTGATGATGCACAGGGACAGAATGATCAAAAGTTCATGCTTGGCGATTCTCCATTCCGGTGGATTTTGTCTTTGCTCTTCAACCTCCCGTGCTGGCTCTGTGGCATCGCCATGGCTCTCGAGCTTCTCGACAGATTGGCTTGAGCGGTCCGTTGTATCGACGTGGTCTTGTGGTGGCGATTCCATATCCGACTGCTCTGCCTATAAAGGCGACGACAACGGTATAACTTCGAGAGGAGTATCCGAAGATGAGATGGGTGGACTACAACAAAGTACAATAATCTGGAAAGCGGGACTGAATAGAACCATATTTCACACTTTCATGTGTCTTTAAAATCATTCCCAAATATTTGACTATTTCAATGTCAGTAGCGGGACCAGATTACATCCTCGATGACTGATCACTCCTGTATATATCTGACCCAGCTTGGCGATATCTGCAGCAATAATAATACACCACCCCTATTTGCAGATACTATGGAGGTCGTGCACCCCCGGTTCCAATGAAGCACGACCGCGACTCACCCACCCGAGCGCGCGATGCGCTTCGATGGAGGGGACTGCAGTTGTATATTGTAACCCGAGCAGGCAGATGTGGCGTTTTTAGTCGGTCAATCAGAGCCCAGCATCTCGGACGAACCCCATGAATAATGGATCCACAACCCTGCCCCCTAATTACCAAGCTTTCCGATGGGGAGGACAACTCCGAAATCGTTTTATTCCTTTGTTTTTCCCCCGGGGCTCGGGTCCCATGCTGTGCATAGTAAGTTGTTGGAATTATTCATTTGGCCCATCCGTGTCCGTCGTACAACACAACAAATCAACAAGGTCCGTCGGGACACAAAGGGGAAATTCATTGCAAGGCGCATTGCTCGCTGGTGCATTGTGTACCTAGTATGTGTATGTGTGTCCACAGATCAATTTTAGAACTAGGACCGCAGATGCCGTGCTGACACGATCCGGCGCCAAAGCGTATCACCTGTCGATAGGCAATGGGGGCCCGTGGGACCGCCCGTAGGCCGTATAGGGAAGCTGGGCGGACATGGATTATGTATGGCAACTTCGCTATTGGGGTCGCTTCTGCATGGTATTTATCTGTATCTAACTTGGCTGGATTGGGGTGCCAAGCTGTCAAATCAGGAACCGCGCTGCCGAGGGGTCGCTGCATAGCACCCCAAATGTCTTCGCAGAAACCTGCTCCGACCGAGACAGTGTTCAGTCGATTCCTTCGAAAGAAGTGTCGATCCGGACGGAACGGAAAGGAGGTAAACACAACTGCCCGGGTCATTCACGACTTTTCCTGTGCTGCGGGAGTGTTCTTGTTGCCCCCCTTGTCCCACGCGAGACCTCGGGAATCCCTCGATGACTGCTGCGGCTCGTAAGACGAAGCCGAAGACTGTGGTCTGCAACCTTAGAATTTGTGCTTTTAACCTTGAATTCGCGTCGGACAAGGATGCCTAACTTGCGACATCTGTGCGACCCGGCATCGTATCTATGTGCCACGTGGTGGTACTCTGGACGGAGGCACGTTCGCTTAACTAAGCCCAACGGATAATTCTGCACTTCAGCTGTGAGCAGGATGCGGTGAACGAAACGAAACGAAACGTCATCCGCAACATCCAGGGAAAAGAACATCTAGTAAATTTTATTCGAGACAGGGGGTTGCAGGCGTTGTGGCTAGCTAGGTTAAGGGTTAAGTACATATTGTTCCACGATAACCGCTCTTCGCTACGGCGTTGCTGCGTGCAGCCCACGAGCCTTACTTTGAGACGCCTGCCAACGTTACACATCAACGTAAGTAGTTCGGAACTCGGGCTGCAGTTTCGGCGGATGTCGTCTTCAAGGCCAGATCAGACCAAAAGCATCTGACATAAGACGTATGGGGCCCCCTCAGCCCACACCAGCAAATGTGATCTTTTAAAGAAGTAATCGGGGAATGTCCATCTTGATCCCCCTATTGCTTCATGCACTCTGCGATGAGAGAAGAGATGTCGGGAAGTGACAAATAACAGCTTTCCGGGACTCCGAGTAACCCAATAATTGCCTGGGGCCCCATTCGGAGTAACCGGGGCGGAAGAGGATTGGCGCCTGATATCCCGTTTTATTCTCGACAAACCGGGTCAGGTTCAAGAAGTCAGCCTCGCTGTGCCCCAACAATGCATCTTATGATGCACGACGATGTAACTCTATATTGGCACCACCCCAGAGCAAGAACACGTTGGGGAAATATTGATTTTTCGGTAGTATCCACAATGCTTTCCCCCAATTGACTATACGCCAGAATTCTTCTTGCGAGCCACCGATCCAACAGAGAGAAGACATTATTGAAAGGACCTACTACATAAATCGAGCAGATTCGTTATACACTCCTGAATGTCCATTTTAACAATATTAATAGGAAGCAATGACGGTGAGACTGGAGAGCTCCATCGATCAAACTGAGGAAATTAACCAATTAGAATATTTTACATGTAGATCCCACATGTTTTCCGAGGGCGAATGCGCAGAAGCGCATAGCGAATCTACTTGATATATGCGGTACTTCTTGTAACTGGACCAGTGCAGCTTCACCAGCTCTACAATGTGCAGCCACAAGCTCGCATGCATTAGTGTTCTGACTAAGACGACCTGCGATTCCTACGTCTTTGTATATGAACTTCTGTTTGGCCGACGAATATGACCCCTCTTGAACTTCATTTCCTAATGCGGCAGTATTGCCCATACTGACGAGGCAGGCTGTTGAAATATTGATTTCCGTTAGACCTTATAGGCCATCTCCTTAAATGCAGCGTTTCTGCCGGATTCGTGCATGCTCTAGGCTATCTGTGTACTAGGCAAGGTTGGTTCTATACCCGATTACTCTACTGATCCAACGATTTTTTCATGACGTGGAGGATTCTGATGAAACATACATAATTGCTACAAACTGGACCATGTAAAGCCGAGTTCGTTGCTTCAACTCGATATCGGGCAATCAAACAGGTTCATGCGCATGTCACAAATGAAACACAGTCAGTGATGGAAACATATGCTACCTAGGAGTTTGCATATACTAACAGCAAGACACTGGCGCAGTGGGCCCTACTTAAGTCTTCTCGATAAAACAAGCGCCTCTAACGAGTACTTTACAGATTTCAGTCTGCGTCTATCTTTAGAATTCAAGAAAGACAGTTGAGAAATCGTTGCGCAATGGCTCCGTACATGGCTTCGAAATCAGCACCGGTGATTTAACGATACATTAGCTTATATCTCTTTGCGTTCAAAACTCTGACAAAAAACAGATTGTGGAAGATGTTGGAGGCTCTCGAGCAGGAATCAACACCAATGATCGACAACATCAGTTTGAACCCATCGCTATCTGCGGAATGGCCCTCCGCCTCCCAGGGGGTATATCGACCCCCTCCCAACTTTGGGACATCATCCTCAACAAGAAAGACGCCCGGGCCCCAGTCCCAAGTAACCGCTACAACATCTCAAGCTATTACTCCGCATCTGGAAAACCAGGCCACGTGAAATCAGAGTACGGCTACTTTCTCGACCCGTCCGTCGACATCAGCGCCCTCGACACTTCCTTCTTCAGCCTGCCTAAGTCGGAAATCGAACGGCTCGACCCGCAACAACGTCTCCTCCTTGAGCTCACGCACGAGTGCTTCGAGAGCGCCGGGGAGCCGGACTACCGCGGGAAGCCGATCGGGTGCTACGTGGGGTCTTTTGGGCAAGATTGGACTGAGGCTTTTGCGAAGGATGCGCAGGCCAATGGAATGTACACAGTCACAGGGTATGGCGATTTTGTGCTCTCGAATCGGGTCTCGTATGAATATGACCTCAAGGGGCCGAGTATGACGATTCGCACGGCTTGTTCGTCGGCTTTGATAGCGCTCCATGAAGCTTGCCTTGCGATCCAGAATAACGAATGTGAGGGTGCTGTAGTTGCGGGGACGAATATTATCATGGCTCCTGGGTTGTCTATTGCGCTTTCGGAGCAGGGAGTTTTGTCGCCGAATGGGTCTTGCAGGACGTTTGATGTTGATGCGGATGGCTATGCGCGTGCGGAGGCGGTAAATATGATTTACATCAAGAGCCTGCGCAACGCACTAAGAGATGAAAATCCGATCCGGGCAGTCATCCGAGGCGTTTCGAGCAATTCTGATGGCAAGACGACCGGTATGAGCCTTCCTAGTTCGGATATGCATGAGTCCATGATCCGGAAAGCATACGCTGCTGCAGATATTGCAAATATTTCCGATACTGGCTTCGTCGAATGTCATGGGACTGGTACACCGGCTGGCGATCCTATCGAGACGGAAGCTGTTGGCAACGTCTTCGGTGAAAAAGGTGTCTATATCGGTTCCATCAAGCCCAATGTTGGTCATTCCGAGGGGGCATCTGGTATCACGTCACTCCTGAAATGTGTCCTTGCGCTGGAGAATGAGATCATCCCCCCTAATATCAAATTCGAGAGGCCGAATCCCAAGATCAAGTTCGAGCAGAAGAAGCTCAAGGTGCCGATCGAGGCGATGGCTTGGCCAGCTGGGAAAGCTCAAGTTGCGTCAGTAAATTCATTTGGCATAGGTGGCTCGAATGCTCATGTTGTGTTGGAGTCCACGAAGAGTTTCTTCAGTCGCCGTGATTTCGCAGATTTGATGCAGAAGAAGGAGTTTATCCAAAATGACGCACCAAATACTTCACGGGAGTCAGCTCCGTCCTTGTTGGTATTCTCGGCAACCACAGCTGAGTCGCTGAGGAGACGCGTGGTCAATACGCAACAGTACCTCGAGCTCCATCCCGAATCGCAGAAGGACCTAGCTTATACTCTAGGGTCGAGAAGACTACACATGCCACACAGAGCTTTCTCGGTGGTTGGCAAGGGCATCACGCCCAATACATCCCCTTTTCACAAAGCACCAGCTGGAAATCCGGGACTCGTCATGGTTTTCACTGGTCAAGGTGCTCAGTGGCCGCAGATGGGGTTGGAACTCATAGGCCATGATGAAATCTTCACCCAAACACTCCAGCAGCTCGAAAAGATTCTGGCGACTCTCCCAGATCCGCCCCCATGGTCCATAGTTGAAGAATTACAGAAAAGTGCCGAGCACAGCCATATCAACGAGCCATCTTATTCGCAGCCACTGTGCACTTCGATTCAGATTGCGCTGGTTGACGCGTTGGCACGTCTGGGTATTAAGCCAACTGCCGTGGTGGGACACTCTTCGGGTGAGATAGCTGCGGCGTATGCAACGGGTAGACTGACCATCTCCGAAGCAATCATCGCTGCTTACTATCGCGGTGTAACATCAGAAAAAATCAAGCGTTCAGGGAAAATGGCAGCAATCGGTCTTGGTGCGGATGAGTTGCGCCCACTGCTGGCTCCTGGCACTGTCATCGCCTGCGAAAACTCCCCATCCAGTACAACGATATCTGGAGATATCGAAGGGGTTGAGGCCGTCTTGAAGACTGTCCGGGAAATTTTGCCGGCTGTTTTCACGCGGATGCTCAAGGTCGACCGCGCATACCACTCCCATCACATGCAAGAAGTTGGCGAATCATATGAAATGCTCACGGCAAAGCACATTGCGCAGGGGACAGAACACTCAAATCGTGTGGCTTTTTTCTCGACAGTCACTGGCACGAAGTTGCTCGACACAGAGCAGCTTGACGCCAGTTACTGGAGATCCAACCTCGAATCACCTGTGCTCTTCAACACAGCTGTAAACAAGCTCGTTTCTCGAAATGGTGGCAAGAACCTGGTGTTTCTTGAAGTTGGACCACACTCAGCTTTAGCTGGCCCACTGCGCCAGATACTTTCCCAAGGGATGCTGAACTCCACCTACGCCTCATGCTTGACTAGGTCCCGAAGAGCAGACGAGACCTTCCTTTCTGCCATCGGTCAACTGCACCTGCAGAACGTGAAGATCGATTTTAATCGCCTGAATAACGCATCTGCCGGAGCCAAGGTCTTGGCCAATCTGCCCACATACCCCTGGCAGCACGATCACTCCGTTATCTGGGATACGCGCTTGACCAAAGAGTGGCGCTTCCGGAAATTCAAAAAACACGAGTTACTCGGGGTCCGCGTGGCCGAGAGCACTGACAATGAGCCGGCGTGGCGGAATATGCTGGCTTTGGAGCATGTGCCTTGGATTCGAGACCACAACATCAAAGGGGACGTTGTATATCCGGTAAGTCACCAACTTCTGTTTGATTTTGATAATAAGTTCTTCGAGAGATTTTACACTGACTGCCTATTGTACAGTGTGCAGCTTACATCGGCATGATCGGCGAGGCAGTCAGACAGCTCTGCAGCGCCCCTTTTACAGGTCTCAGCCTGCGGAAAGTTGTCATTGATACCGCTCTGGTCATGGTCAAGCCCCAATCAGTCGAGATCATAACTAGTCTCCGCAAGTCGCGACTTACCGACAGCCTGGAGAGTTCCTGGTATGACTTCGTCGTTAGCTCCCACAACGGAGCATCGTGGACCAAACATTGCACGGGGCAGGTATCGTCTCTTTTCCAAATTGATGGAAACTCCACAACAGAAACAATACCTTCATTACCGCGTAAAGTTGACAGTCAGAGATGGTATCAAGCCATGCGAGTCTTCGGTGCAAACTACGGCCCAAGTTTCCAGGGTCTTGAGGACATAGCATGCGCGACGACTGCCAACGAGGCAACGGGCAGAGCTGCAAACACTGTCCAAGATCCCGAGGAGTATTATCCTATTCATCCGAGCAAAATTGACAATTTTCTCCAGCTTTGCAGCGCGGCTGCTTGCAAAGGGTCGGGACATAAGATCACACATATGACCGTACCGACGTATATTGAGCACCTAGATATCAGGGACTGCGAAACCGAGGTCGATATGGTTGTGACGGCAGAATCTACTCCGAGAGGCGCCATATATGGAAGTGGGAAAGGCTTCTCATCAGACAGGAATCTGGTACTCGATGTGTCTGGTGTAAAACTTAGTCCCCTGGACAATGGCGAGTTCAACGAATATTCCGATCTTCATGCTGGAGCAAGGACCTTCTGGCAGCCGGATATTGACTTTTTACCACTTTCGACTTTTATCAAACCCAACGAAGATCAAGCGAAAATGCTCGGGCTCTTGCAAGAGTTTTTCGAGTATTTCGTTTCGGAGGCATCTCGTCGTCTAGCCCATGCAGAGACAAAACTCCCCCACCTGGAGAAGTTCCGATCGTGGCTTACGCGCCAGCCCAAGCCGAAAGTCCATGACAAAATGTACGAGTTGCAGGTCACTCTTGGACGCAGCGCACTTAATCCACTCTCAATCGCCCTACCCAAGATCTGTGACTTCATCGAGCCCATTTTCACAGGGCATGTTGAACCACTTGATATCCTTATGCGAGATGACACACTGACAAAGATATACGACTGCCTTAACATGACGGACCGCAGCCGCATGATCCAACTGCTCGTCCACGAGAAGTCCAATATGCGCATCCTCGAAATCGGCGCCGGCACAGGCGGGACCACGAATAGCTTCCTGCAAAGTGTCAGACATATGCCCAGCAAACAAATGCTGTACTCGAGCTACACGTACACAGACGTCTCAGCTGGGTTCTTCGCCGCCGCCCAAGAGCGCTTCAAGGATTTCCCGAACCTGAACTTTCAGACACTAGATATTTCCAAAGACCCGCTCGATCAGGGGTTCGAGCCGGAGTCCTTCGATCTAGTTATTGCCGCTAACGTCCTACATGCCACACCTAGCCTGCGGGAGACGCTTTCACGGGTGCGCAAACTTGTGCATCCGCAGGGAAGGCTATACATGGAGGAGCTGTGTTGTGAGGTCAAAGCCATTAATTTCATCATGGGTGTTCTTCCTGGTTGGTGGCTCGGCGAAGAGGATGGGCGACATGATGAGCCGTATGTGAGCCCAGAACGATGGGATGCGGAGTTGAAGGCAGCTGGCTTTCAGGGCCTTGAAAAATTGGCACTGGATTGCGAACGACCGAACCATCTTCTTGCGTACATGATCTCTCGACCTGACAGCGGGATTATACCAGCAAATGTGGTGACTCTGGTTCATGACAGCGCATCGTTTGAGGTTGCGTGGCAGCTTCAAGAACATCTTAAACAGAAAGTTCGGGCAGTAGAGCTACACGATCTTCATGACGGCATCCCAAGCCACGATTCAGACATGATCGCATGCATTGACCTGAAGACATCATATCTCCACAATATCGATGAAAAAGCCTATATTCTCTTTCAACAGCTCATCTCCCAACGAGCTGATTCACAGGGAGGGCTGCTATGGTTGACCAGGAGCTCCCAAATGCGATGCGAGGATCCACGATGGGCGCAGATCATCGGTACCGCCCGCACTATCCGCGGAGAGCTTGGAGTAGACATTGCGACTTGCGAGCTGGACGTTATTGATGATGCAACACTCAAACTAGTACCGGAAGTATTCAAAAAGTTTCAGAGACAACGCCAAACTCCCGCATCACAGCCGGAATACGAATATGCCATCGTGGATGGACAGGTTCACATTGGGAGAATTTATCCGGTAAAGGTGGCAGATGAGCTTGTTTCAGTTACGGAAGCTGAAGGGAATAGCACCTCGATTGTCAGATTATCCATTCAGAAATACGGCCGCCTCGACACCCTCAAGTGGACCCCTGCACGGAAAGAACCTCTGATAGGCGATATTGTGGAAGTTGAAACCAAAGCAGTTGGCATGAACTTCAAAGACATCCTAATAGCCATGGGCATCGTCGACTCGAGTGTTTCAACCCTAGGCCTTGAAGCATCTGGCATCATCCACGCTCTAGGCCCCGACGTCACTGATCTTAAAGTCAGCGACCGGGTTTTCATTTTCAGCAACGGCTGTTTCTCCTCTCAAATCCGCATCTCGGCCCAGCTCTGCATCAAGATACCCGACGAGCTCAGCTTCGAGGATGCGGCGACCATGCCGTGTGTCTTCTCGACCGTCATCTATGGAATGCAGTACGTCGGGAGGCTGCGCAAGGGGCAGACGGTGTTGATACACTCTGGCTGCGGAGGTATCGGGCTGGCGGCTATTCAGATTGCGAAGATGGTGGGCGCCGGCGAAATATTTACTACGGTCGGTAGTGAGGAGAAAGCTGCATATCTGGTTGCGAAATGTGGGATTCCGCGGAACCATATCTTCAACTCGCGGGATTCGACATTCGCGGCTGATGTAAAGCGAGCTACGTGTGGGAAGGGGGTTGATCTCGTACTTAACTCGCTCTCGGGTCAGCTCTTACATGCTTCCTGGGACTGTGTGGCTGAATTTGGCACCATGATCGAGATTGGAAAGCGGGACTTGATTGGAAACGGGCAACTTGCGCTGAACCCCTTTGAATTGAACCGGGGGTACCACGGTATCGACCTGGGACACTTAGTCGAGTCAAGACCGCAAGAAGCTGGGGATCTTCTCAGGACTATTGTTGAGTACTACGAAAAGGGGCTGATTCAGCCAATCAAGCCAGTCACGACTTTCGAGCCGGGCCAGATCGCCGACTGCTTCCGCTACATGCAGAAAGGCCAACATATCGGAAAGATTGTCGTGCCGATGAGTGACACCATCCAGGACCATCTCATGCAGAAATCCGGAGATCCACGTACCGTCAAGTTCAACCCTAAAGGCTCTTACCTCCTAGTCGGCGGTCTGGGTGGGATTGGCCGCGAGGTGTCCAGCTGGATGGTTGAACACGGTGCGCGACACCTCATTTTCCTCAGTAGCAGCGCAGGAACTAGCCTCGAAGACAAGACATTCTTTATCGAGCTCGAAAGCCAAGGCTGTTCCGTGACCCCTGTCCGGGGTAACGTCTGCAACCCTTCCGACGTCTCAAGGGCCATTTCCGCCGTTCCCAAGCCCATAAAAGGGGTGTTAAACCTGAGCATGGTACTCCGCGATCAAATATTCATCAATATGTCTCACCAGTCCTGGTGTGAAGCCGTAGATCCCAAGGTGGACGGAACCTGGAATCTACACAAGGCGTGCCTTAAGGAGAGCCTAGACCTAGACTTTTTCGTGCTTTTCAGTTCCATAACAGGCACCATCGGAAGAAAGGGACAAGCAAACTACGCAGGCGCGAACACCTTCCTCGATGCTTTCGTACAATACCGGCACCATATCGGCTTGCCCGCCGGGGTCGTCGATATAGGCATGATGCTTGACCATGGATACGTTGCCGATAACCCACATATCCTTGATCGGCTTACCGCCGAGGGTGGCTACGGGGTTCGCATTCCACAACTCCTTGACTGCTTGAAACTTGCCATCACAATGGGAACCCCTCGCAAAAACTCAACTGCTTTGGATGCTTTCGTCGAGCCTTCTCAGATTGTTCTCGGACTTCGATCCCTGACTCCTCTCGATCACCCATACAACAGACAAATGTGGAAGAATGACCGGCGGATGGCAGTGTACCACAATTCCAATATCAGTTCCCGTGTTCTCAGAACTGCCTCGACCTCTTCTCAGCTATCTTCATTGCTCGCCGACGCAACAGTAAACCCGGAAATCCTCTCCCAAGCATCCACCGCCGTAATTCTAGCGAAGGAGATAGCCCGACACCTATTCGAATTGCTCCTACGCCCCATTTCAGATGATAGGGAGCTCGACGTGGCGTGCTCGCTGCAGGACGTCGGCCTAGATAGCCTAGTGGCCATGGAGATGCGCTCGTGGTGGAAGTCAACACTTGGAACCGATATAAGCGTATTGGAGATGATGGGGATGGGGAGTTTGTTGATGCTGGGTGAACATGCGGCGAAGGGGTTGAGGGAAAAATACCAGCAACAGGAGGAAGAGGAAGCGGGAAAGTACAGCACTGCGGATTTAATTAGGACCAAAATGCCTTGAGAACTTTTATGTAAACGTACTTCGCCCACGTTCATCATTTTGTCTCAATAATATCCTGGTAGTAAGGAAATTATAGTTCCTTAGTTACGCCTTCTGTGTCTCCTTCTACGATCGAGCCATGTCCTTGAGCTTCCTCGGAATCAATTGCACCTTCTCGAAGTCGGCCGATGTGATCTCTTCGAATGATTATAGACATGCATGGGAGTTCCATGTTGGGGTGGAACGAGACTTACTTGCGAATGAGGCATACAGCAACCTCGCCGTTCCACCTCAACAGTCTGACGTTGCGATGATGGTCGCATACCCTGATCGCTTGCTTTAAATTGCAGTCATGAAACTCCAGTCCCCATTTGTGAAGGCAATGTTTGCAACATTGCTGTCCGTTGCGTCCACTCCCATAACTAAGGACCAGTGCAGACGATCGAGGTGATGACGACTTGACGGCCGTGGATGAAGAAATTTGTTTTGAAGGAGGCGTGCTTGTCTTCTTTGAGGACACGGACAGCCTCGAGTTTTCTCATGAAGTGAATGTCTGGTGAGGATTTCCAGAGGGGTGCAAGGTATTAGCTTATCTACCTAACTAAATCTTTAGGCAGCAAAACGGATAATTGTGCTTAATGCGCCCACGTGCCTCATTCCAGCCTTTTCTGGTGACTTCCTATGGGTTCAGTCTCTTGATTAGTTGGAATCCAGGGGTATATCCCACTGGTCAGACATATCGACGCTGTGTGAATGTCTTGGGAATCCGATATCTAAGGTGACCTTAGTCACCTAAGCAGGTATCTTCCAGCTAAAGGTAGACGCGCCTTCATGGAATCCATTCATTCACCACATTCCTTCCGAATTTAGTAAATTAACGAAGTCCTGCCAGTTTCTGCCTTGTGAGTAGGAAATGCCGACTGAAAATCACCTGGGGACTAAGCACGCTCTGGCTCATTCCATTCGCATACCACTGACCCAGGAGTAAGCTCGTGCGAAATATGGTAGACGCCGAGAGATCGGATACCCAAGATGGCAGCTGAAGGGCATTTCCAAACCCATTCACGTAGGCGAGAATGTCCGGCGAGTAACTCATCCCGGCAGTAATAGACTGGTTGATATTCTGGAATCCCACAATATTGCCATCCATTATTACCGTAGAGCTCTCGCTTCTATCCATCATCTCGTCATCCGCTGCTTCATCGAGTTCCCAGGGGCGATCACCACTCTCGATGCACTTAATTGCGACTTAAGTGAACACTTCTTGCAACGTCATCCCGCCGAGCTTCTTCATGGTCAGAGTGCGGATCATGGGCACCTCCAGAAGTCCCCAACCCCGGTTTTCGGCTAAGAATTAGTTCACGTTGAACCCAGTGCGAGGATGAGTTCATCGCCTTGTAGTTGGAGAAAGGTGATGCCAATGACAGCGAACGCCGAGAGATACTAGATGATTTGAATATGATTACTTGTCACGCACAATCCACATATTCATGAAGATAAAACAGGACGCATTGAAAGAAGAGTAAATTGTCGTGAATTTCTTTTCCATTTAGAGGTATGATGAAAATCAGCATGTGTGATCAATTTGCAAGCTGACTGACAGTAGCGAGCCCAGCTATTGTATAATTTGTCCTCCTAGCAGGCTTATGACACCCCCAACGGTCTGGAAGGACAGCTGAAGGCTACAAAGCACAGAAGCTGAACAAGCAACAACTCTTATACAGCTGGGCATTCCTCACCAACTATTATTTAGTGAGTGAGCTGGACTCAATCAAGAATATCATAATATGTGTCAATGCCAAGTTTTACGCATTAGTAAAAGTAATGTAAGGGATACTGCTCGCGCAGTATATTTCCGTTACTAGAGTTATTGACCGGCAATTAATTATTGTTGCGTGCCCCAGACACATCGGTTGTGTGCTGGGTTCAGCCCTTGGGCCAACTGCCCACAGATAGTACATCCGTAACAGCTGCCATTGGGAGTTGGTCCTATCATTATCATCATCAATACAACACTCTTACCTCTCTTGTGCACAATTCTGTACGTATAAGAGTGAAAGTTGACATTCCAGCACTCATGTTGGACCTTCAAGGCTATTACACCAAACTACCAGTCTTGGAAGGACATATGGCCACTTACCGTACGTTATGGGCCAATATGACCACCACTCATCGTACCACACAAGTCCTGCCTGTGGGACAGGCATCTTTCAATTCTGTCTACATAAGGCCCTCCTGGCCGCTGTTCACTTCTTGCAGGACTCTCCAGAGATCATGACCTTTTCAATACAAGACCATTTGCCCACAATCCAATAACTCACATCAGGGGCAATAATGTTCACGAATACGAATAACGTACCCCACAAGCAAGTTGGCCACTTTTTCTTGGCACCGTACGAACAACCTTTTAATTAACATCTTTACACATACCAAGATGGGATCGAATTGGAAAGAAAGCAACATGATTCTAGCGTGTCAGGCGCTTCAATCGAAACCCGAATTAAGCATCCGACGCGCTGCCCAACTCTACAATGTCCCTCGTACAACTCTAGCTAACCGAAAACGCGGACTACTATCTCGACGCGATACTCGACAATCTAGTCATAAGCTTACGGAATCAGAAGAGTTAGCGGTCGTACAATATATACTTGACCTAGATTCGCGATCATTTCCTCCCCGGCTCCATGGTGTTGAAGCTATGGCTAACCGACTGCTCCGTGACCGTGGCGCTGGACGCGTCGGCGTCAACTGGGCCTCGAACTTCGTACGACGACAACCAGACCTTCGGACGCGTTTTAATCGAAGAATCGACTACCAACGAGCCTATTGCGAAGATCCTGACGCGTATCGCGCGTGGTTTACGCTCGTACGAAATACAATTGCGAAATATGGTATCCAAGAGGCGGATATCTATAACTTTGACGAGACAGGGTTCGCGATGGGCTTAATCATCCGAGATGGTAGTTACAAGTGCCGAACGACGCGGAAGGCCTCGTACAGTCCAACAAGGCAATCGAGAATGGGCTACAGTAATCCAGGGTATTTATTCGTCCGGCTGGGCTATCCCGCCGTATATTATTGTCGCGGGTCAAAACCACCTCTTATCCTGGTACGAGAATAGCCCATTCCCGTCCGATTGGGTAATCGCTGTAACCAAAAACGGTTGGACAACAAATGAGCGAGGCGTAGACTGGATTCAGCACTTTGATCGCTATACGAAGGATCGTACGAAGGGTGTTTATCGTCTTCTTATCCTCGACGGGCATGAGAGCCACCACTCGACTGACTTCGAGCTATATTGCAAAGAGCATACTATTATTACACTTAGTATGCCTGCTCATTCGTCACATAAGCTCCAGCCTCTCGATGTAGGCTGTTTTAGGGCTTTGAAAAGGTCTTACGGCAAAGAAATTGAAGACCTAATACGGGCGTATATAACCCATATCTCAAAGGAGGATTTCTTTTTGGCATTCTATAGGGCGTATCGTACGACTATAACTAAGTCGAATATCCAGGCAGGTTTCAGGGGGACAGGACTTATTCCGTATGACCCGGAATATGTGATTTCACAGCTGGATATTAAGCTACATACGCCTACACCTCCTGGGAGCTCGTCTGGCGCCCCCTTAATCTGGGAATCAAAGACTCCAAATAACCCAACCGAGGCGCAATCCCAGTCTGAATACGTTAAAAACAGAATCTTACAGCATCAGAATAGCTCCCCGACGACAATACTTACGGCTATTGACCAATTTTCACGTGGTGCGACAGCTGTTATGCATCTTAGTTTTACTTGAGCATGAGGTTACTACACTTTGGAAGGCCAATCAAGAGCTAAGCCGTCGTCGAAGGACTAAAAATCGACAGCTACAAGATAGATGATCTCTTAGTTTACGAGACGCTCAGGACTTACAGTCTCAACGGGATATTGAACAGCAGCTACAGGATGATATACGTGTAAGTCGTCGTCGTACGAGACCGGCCGAACCACGCCGACGGCGCTGTAGGATCTGCGGAGAGCCCGGACATAATGCTCGTACTTGTGAGAATGATAAAGATACGTACGAGGAAGAGGATTCCAGTTAGTTTGAATTATTATTTTTTAGTTTAGTTAAGTTATTGAAGTTATTCATACGGTGCCAAGAAAAAGTGGCCAACTTGCTTGTGGGGTACGTTAGCTGTTCCATACATTAGACAATTTGTCTTCCCTCTCTTCCAATCGCATGTCAGATTATGGAATGTCCATGTGCTTTTGAACGTATATCCCTAAAATCACATCGAGCATTATTCATGGTATCTTATTCGTGGTGTCGTATAATGACAGCATACACCACAATTGGTACCACAGGCGGCCGCTACTGTATTAAAATAGGGACTAAACTTTTCAGGCGTCCTGGACAACACTGGCACATTCAATGGCCTCGCGCAGTAGCATTTAAATGCCAGAATCTCATCAAACCATGATTGGCAACGACAAAGCTGCATACTGCCAAGGTAAGGTGCAAGCAACGACACGAGCAATCCATTTACCCCTTATGACACCATTATTACTCGAGCATTTCACGACGAATAATCCCGATTTAATATGAGCAATTATTAATTTTGAGTGAGTCAGTAAGCCTGCTCTAGAGTCTGTATACTGTACAATATATACCGTACACACACACACACATGCTACTAAAGATCCACACGTCCCCGGTGAAGATCCACATTAGCAAGCGCAACAGGCTTCGTCCTATAGACGACCTTATGCCCGATAAATAAGGCCAGGAACAGTATCAAACTTACGTACGCGGCGAAGAAGTCGCTCGTGCTCCACTCGATGAAGACGGTGAATCCGTTCGTCAGCAGGATGACAACACAGAAGAAGACGCCGTACCAGGCCAGGTAGGGTTGGAAGGGCGCCTTGTAGGGCAGGTCGTCCCGGGACATGCCGTGGACTTTGAGGGCCTTCATGAAGCGCAGGTGGCAGATGTTGATCAGCCCCCAGGTGATGAAGCCGGCGACGGCAGTGATGTTCAGCAGCCAGTCGAAGACGGTGACTCCGTTTTCGGACAGGTTGAGGAAGGCGAGGAGGCCCATGGCGGAGGTCATGGCTGCGGCGTAGTAGGGGGTTCCCCAGCTGGTGGTGCGGGCCATGAAACTGGGGATGTGGTTTTCGTTCGAAAGTGCCAACAGGATTCGGGATCCCGAGTATACGTTGCTGTTGGCTGCTGAAAGGACCGCCGACAGGAGAACGGCGTTGATGATGTCGGGCAGGACGCGAACACCTGCCAGGTTGGCGGCAATAACAAGGGGGGAAGCGTTCGCATCAGTGGAGTCCGATTGAAGACTCGGGTGGTCGGACGGAACCAGGATGCCAATGAAGAAGACGGTGCAAACGAAGAGGGACAGAATACCCCAGAAAGTCCATCGAATTGCCTTTGGGACGGCCTTGGCGGGGTCTTGCGTTTCGCCGGCGCCAATACCAACAAGCTCAGCACCTTGGTAACTAAAGCCCGCCGTAATCAGAACCGACCAGAAACCCACAAACTTGCCCGCTGCGCCCGGCACCATGTTCTCCACGAAAGGGCCAGGGGTAACCCAATACTTGAACCCCAGATAGCCTTGGTCGCCGACACCGGCGTTGATACAGATGGCGAAGAGGATGAAGCCGATAATGGTGACGACCTTAATACTGGAGAAGTACATCTCAAACTCTCCGAACCACCGAATAGGGAGGAAGTTCAACGCGGTGAAGACGACCCAGAAGATCGCGATAAATATGCCGATGCTGAGGCTCGCATTCCAGTATTGTATGATGAGGCCAGCAGCTGTCAGTTCGACGGCAAAGGTGATGGCCCACGAGAACCAGTAAATCCATCCCATGGCGAATCCCACCGAGGGGTCGACAAATCGGGAAGCGTACGCGGTAAAAGACCCTGCCACGGGAATAAAGGAGGCCATCTCGCCCAAGCTCGTCATGACGGAGTAGACGATGCTACCGACAAAGAGGAAGGCGATCAATAGACCAACCGGCCCGCCCGATGCCAGCGCCGACCCTGTTCCAATGAACAACCCCGTGCCTATGGTGCCGCCAATGGCCAGAAACTGCAAGTGGTAGCTCTTGAGGCCACGCTCGAGCTGGGTGTCGGCGGCCTCGATGTCATGGTTGGGGCCATTGATAGACGGGGAGTTGTTCGCATCACCAGCGGCGGCGCTCTTCTCTTCGACCTTTTTAACTGGCTTCTCCGTGGCGACGTTCACGTCTGTCGTCAAGGTACTTTGGGAATCCATCATTTGGATGGAGGGATGGACCAGATGGGCTTGGCGTCCGATATTCAATCAAAAGCTGTTCACCGCTGAGCTACTCCACGGTTTTCACTTTGACATTTGGCATGGGGAAGGAGAATTTATGATGAATATGACGAGATACAAACCGGAGGGCGCAGAGCTCCAAGCCCATATCCACCACTACCACTTCTCTGCACGCGAACGAAAAATTTCGCGTCAGCCGATCCATAGCTCTCTGGAACACAATGCGTGAACGGCGTCTCCGTTTCTAGAGTTACTGTTTGATGGCGTGGTCCTCCGGTCGATTCGCCCAGGGTACAGGCGGGGAGTTGGGGTCCACTTTCCTACATTGAATTTTCTTCATTGCCTGCGTTGGCTCAATTGGCTACGTAATCAGAAAGAGCCCTCAGCCAAGAAAATTACCTCAAGTGGGTTGCAACCGCGGCCCGAACCCACTTGTCGACGATGTCGCGAGACCTCTATTTCGTACACATTGCAGATTGAATATGCCGCCGCAGGATGCCGAAGGGCGGGAAAGGTTTCCCGGCCACACCCCACTTAATTTGGAGAGCCGCGGGCTCGCACTTGACACATCCGCTACCACTACACTGCGGCACCTTTGGAGAACTCATAATGAGAAACGACATGACAGTTGTTACGAACCGTTGGCACTGAACCAACATTACAGGCCCGTCGGCAGGCCAGGTGGATACAGACGCTAGGATCATGGGACCCCGCATCGGAGGAAGGAAAGGACCGACAGGTCACGTGACCTACAGGGGTGGATATGTTGGATATGTTGCACAACCAATATATCCAAGTGGGGATCAGTGAAGGAGAGACGGGTATATAAGGGACAGGACTTCCAGGCATTTCATAGATAGACAGTCTCTACTTCAGTGATCAATCTAAGCATCAATCTAACCCATTGGTGAGGCAAACTGCCTGAACGACTCTATTCCCGATTACCCTACTTGAATACTTCAGTTACCCAAAGCACTATACTTCATGCGTCAAACCCCGATATTATTGCTTGAGGACTCCGCAGCAGGACTTACTTACTAGCACAAACCCTTACAGACTCTTTAGTGGTTTACGCAGCTAGACTATTAGAGGTTTCGTTACAGAGCGCGCCTCATGGGTGGTATCGCATGTAACGAAACCTCTAATATCGGGGTCTGACGTATGAAGTATAGTGCTTTGGGTAACTGAAGTATTCAAGTAGGGTAATCGGGAATAGAGTCGTTCAGGCAGTTTGCCTCACCAATGGGTTAGATTGATGCTTAGATTGATCACTGAAGTAGAGACTGTCTATCTATGAAATGCCTGGAAGTCCTGTCCCTTATATACCCGTCTCTCCTTCACTGATCCCCACTTGGATATGTTGGTTGTCCAACATATACAACATATCCATTCCCTCTTATTTCTTCTGGATCATTTGGATATGTTGGCTGTCCAACATATCCAACATATCCACCCCTGTAGGTCACGTGATCTGTCGTTCCTTTCCTTCCTCCGATGCGGGGTCCCATGATCCTAGCGTCTGTATCCACCTGGCCTGCCGACGGGCCTGTAATGTTGGTTCAGTGCCAACGGTTCGTAACAAGTTTATCACTTTTTTACGAACTCTAACCTAACATCCAGGTTAATTCTATTTAAACGGTCGATATAGTTACAGAGGCCCTTTTATTTAAGCTTTATTGATAGCTTGCTATAGCGTAGGTAGTGTTTTCTAAGTTAGGTCTTATTAAGTGTCACGATCTGGGTTGCATCGCATTGGTAGAGACCTCGATTAGGTGCTATCGACGAAGATTCTACTCTAAGGAGCGAAGGAAAGAAGATCACAAACTTAGGTTTGAGGGAGCGCGACTAAGTCGTCCACGCTTGGCGGGGCTCCTGCAGGGGTTATGATTGGCTTCCCATCTGGCACTGCCATGGCAGGTGTTCCAGCTGTAAGTCACCTGGTTGTAGTGAGTCTGCGAGGGTTGACCTTCACATTAAGCTAGTCCTAAAGAATACTGTAGTCGATGTTAAAAATTTGCAGTACTTATGTTTTTAGGAGCTCTCGCAGGTAAGCTAGAGCGTTTAAGAACTTGAACTCCGTTGAGGGCAAAAAATTTACTTAGGAAAAGTGGCGTTGAGGTGGGACGTAGTAAGCAAGTAGTAGTTAGTAGATGTTGTCTAGCACTACCTAAAGGTGGTGCGAGGTCGCAAGTCTCCAAATAAAGCGGAGCGTGGCGTGGCCAAAAGGAAATTGTGTTTCGTAAGGAATTGTCGCATTGGGGAACAAGCAGAAGTCTGTACGGCGCGGGACGGAACGTACCGACTAACGTTACTGGACAGGGCTTATCGGCGACGTCAACCCATTATTCATCGGCTGGCCAAGCCCAATCGCTCGGCTGTGATTGATCAGATTTTTTTGACACACCGATAAGCCGCAAAAGGGCGTCAAGACCCACGGATCATCCTCCTCGCCAAGAAGTTACTGCGCGCCGTTTCTGGAACCAAGAATGATGTGAATAAATTGCATTGCACGGAGAGCATCAAAATGTCCATGACGTGAGAGAGCCAGGGGCATTTTATCGCGGGTCGACTTGGCCAGATTTGCATCGGTTCCAATCACCCGAAACGGCCCGAACACGCACTGCACGATGATGATGGCGCCAACTTTGCCTGAAGCTGCAGAGATGCCGTGGCTGCTCGAACGGTAGCGGGTTGGAAAGTACTTGCCGGGAATCACGAAAATAATTAAGTTGGGGCGAGCATTACTGAAGAACTGGGCAAGGGTGTGCAGCACCATCAGTGCACCGGCGGAGCTTCCAGAAACCGAAGGCGATAACGCAGAACATATGCAGATTCGAGCCAGTCCGGGTGTGCTACGGTGAGCCCTCTAGACTTCATGGTGGATCACTCGCAGCAGAGTGAACATAAAGAAACCAAACCTCTGGACTGGTTTACGTCCAATGGTGTCGATGAGGGCGGCTGAAACTCAGTACCCCGGCACGGCACCTGCCAGAACAAGGATGAGGTTGCTGACGGCAGTTTTGTAGTAGATCTAGCACACAATGACACCACCTCTGCAGCCGATCGCATTCAGGATGATGCAGTTATTAAACCCAGGTCTGTTCCAGGCGACGTCCTTTCGGCAATTGATCACTCCCTCCGCCTACTGTAGGGTCACCTAGACTCACCAGGAAGAACTGCAATAGCGCGCGTCTCACTGAACCTTCAAACTCTTCCACCTGCGTTAGAGGCGGAAAATTCACCCCATCCAGTCTTTCCAACTTCGAGCTGTTCGTGAGCGACGGCACGAGTAACAACACAAGGGATCTCGTCAGCGTTACCTTCACCCCACTTGCCAGACCGGTAAGCCTTCGCATTATATATGGCCTTCTGGACGTCTTCCGCCACATCAAAGGTATACTGGCGTGTTTCTAGAACGGCCAGACGGAAGTAGAAAGCGGTGCAGTCCGGAACGCCGCCAAAACGATCATGATGCACCACATCTTGTCGGCAGATTGGACGCAACACGAGTTCGTGGAGCAGTTGGCCTCCTTGGATGCGAGGTACGGCAAGTCTTTGAACCCCGCCGTGACGAGAAGCAGAGGCATGCCCTGCGAGTTGGCTAATACCATGCATGGTGAAGACGGCGTTCATCATGACCCCACTCCATCTGGTCGTGGGCAGAATGTAGGCGCCGTCTACAGCTGTGTTCCCACTGCATAAATTGACTCTAGGTGCAGCTTGGGCAGTTCTTAGTGGCAGTTACAACGATCCGGTTTGGTCAGTCTGAAGTCTCTCTGGCGGCTCCACTCTTAATAGGTCCAACTGCTCACCACTTCCGAATAAAGCCTCATCACTTCAGAAGGTCCAAGTCGTACATTCCAAATGATCTAGCAATGTGAGAAAACTGGGCAAGATCATTGGGTCTCATCAATTCGAGTCTGACACCAACGTGCGTCTACATGAGTCTTAAGATCGAACCATTGAAGTCGAGAAAAGCAATGAAGCAAGTGGGACAAGACGCCAGGGTGTGCACGCCAAGTCGAGATCACAAGTCCGGGGCAAAGCTTATGATGACCCACTCTGCGTGGTATTGGACTTGGCATCGATTGCCGAAAACTTTCTTTCGGTTTTATCACTCAACGTCGGTTTCTGAGAAAGGGTTGATTTGCAAAGTTTTCTTAAGCTAGTTTCGTCCATGGTGCTCCAATGAGAATGATTATATCACTCTCCATACAGATAGAAGGCCGGGGACCATGTCTCCCATTTGAACACAACGGTAGACTCGGCTGTTAGCTCTCGGATCACAATTGTATAGACCTCGAAAGCTGACAGTGGTCTTCGCCGGCGCCGTTGCAAATTCCGGGGATGGAGATTCATAGAATTGAGCATCGCCACGAGAGGTTAATGACGCCGCAAAGGTTCACGTCAGAACCAAACAGATCATCATATATAAGTTGGACGGTGAGGTTCAATGTGAGTGTTAAAACCGATCATATTTGGCCATGCCACCACACGGATCCCCATTCGAGCAATTATGAATGTCTCAAATCGATCTGGAGGAGGTTAGCCGACTTCAACTTGGCCTCAGATATTTCCTTGATATTGTGATTTAGATGCACTCATAACATCTCTCGAAATACGGGTGCTTATACGTGAATCGTGAAATAATTCATGAACTCATCGAGTGTTCCAATGAGATCTACATCCAGCGCAAGTACCTACCTTTAGGGCTAAGAGTCATTCGGGACCAGATGTCTCCGAAGCTCAATTTGCGTACGTACTGAAAGCTATATAATACGTATCGTTACAGATAATTAGAGCTCTCTCTTTCAATTTGGCATTCGTATAACCTTCGGAAGGAGAATACCAGAATAATTACTAGTTATCTGTTCAACTCTTACTTGGGCAATGGGGGTTCCTTTGGTATTCGAGCTGGGATGACAAAGCCATAACTGCTCTTATGAGAACATATGCAAGTCCCTGGTGTTGGAATGAGCCATCACTGATATATATTTACTACTCTAGTAATGTATCCAAAGCCCATTAGAAATCAGTTCATCCCGAAGATGCTGCGATGTACATCTGCATACTTTTATTTGTATGATCACAAGCTGGTCGTCCTTTCATTGTCCGTAAGTTCTAATACCAAGACCTCCTGGGCACCATAGTAACATCAAAAGAATGATAGGCCAATATTAAATTTCTTGAATTATGCAAGTTTTAAGAGTTACCCTGGCTGGCCTTAAAACCGTGGGGTTCCAGATCCCCTTCCTTGTGAGATCTTATCCATAGTAGTGCTCGCTGATGCTATACCCTACGAGACTTTTACAAAACATCTATTTTGAATCACCGTCTTTTCATAAAGATGTGTAGTTTATGCGGTGGGTCATTAATCATGGCTTTACGAAAGGGGACGCTACTCAGCTTACTCCTAAATATCTGCCGAAACCGAGTTATACCTACACATTATTCTCATTCACTAGTGCAGGCTGGCCCCGATCTGTAATGGTTCTAACCGGTCAAAACTTAGGGACTGTGTATCATTGTCCGTAAACAAGCTTGTAGAACATCCTGTCCCTCGCCACGCTAGCACCATTCAAGGCGCTCTCTGTATATAACGGCGAGCTTGTTCCTTCCTGAAGTCAAACAAAATTATTTGTGTCCCAATGTCAGTTCATGTGGTCATCGAAATGGGTACAGTTGTGCCAAATACCCTCAATTCTATTTATCAATGTGTTGCTCTCGGATTATAAGCATTTCCAGTGCTTGGTGTTCTGGACGGAGCCAATTATTATGTGCCGTATCCTCCTAGAAGATAATGTGATCCAAGCCAATGGACGGGCTTTTGATTGAGGTTTGTGCAATCACTGTCTGCTCTTCATCGTTCAACCATCCAAAAATCTCAATTTTGTGCGGAACACGCCGGTCCCAGGGCTTCGACGGCTCCTGATAGACAACTTGAACCATGTGACAGTAGAAGATGGACAGACGTAGTTGGAGAAGGCAAATTGGAGGCGCCTGAGCTTTGTCAGTCGCCGCAGATTACCGCACCGTCTCACCCAAAGCTCTGTATTCTATTCGACCTAACAGATCCGACGCCACTCTGCCAATTATGCAGACATTAGTTGTTGTTACTGGTGATGGCAAATAGCCATTACAGTAGTATTCTGCCGAGCAATGTACGTCTCGTGCATGAAATGCATAGCTCAGGTCTTTCGCGAGATGCATGTTTCCAGTCACTCCCTGGGGTGGTTATCGGACTGGTGAGTTGCCAAAAAGAAATGCTGAGCGGAAAATGAACTGATTTGACCCCAGAAGATTTGGCTTTGCTTCCTTCTTGAACGCCTCACTGGCGCCCTTCATCAGACTCGAAGTGAACCTACAGTCTCTTCTGTCCGCGCTCTTTGAATCAGTTAGCAAAGTAATATTTTAACGGTTGAGGAACATGGATCGATCACATCATGACACCCGATTCCATTAGTGATCAACTTCCTATATAGTAAAGAGTACATGCCTCTGAAGGTGCGTGCAACGAACCCCGGATCGAGCCAGTATTTCTGAGTGGGGTGGCGTGGTATATTGTGATTACTGGGGACGTAGTACCGACCAACTATCAGCAAGTACTCCTTTATCAGATACCTGATTTCTATGTGGAGGCCATGAATCTGTGAAACTCGGTCCCTATTCGCAATCTCCTGTCTTGTTCATCGTAGTCATGAACGGATTGGTCCTCATTGACGAGCGGGCCAATTCGACCACCTTGTATGGGATATTGAGATCCAGGAAAGTTCTACGCTACTTGAAAACTCCAGTCCTTCAATCGAGCCTTCACGAAGTGCGTGCGAGCAGCTCTTTTGACGGAATCGCCAGCTTGGAAACCCATGGATTCATCCAAGCATCGGAGAATACCTTCCTCGTAGGCCTCGACCTCCCGCAAGTTTGGCGGCATTTTGGAAGGTACGGGTGGTTTGGAGCTAGTGTGTGTTGGCGTCGACATGTTTGTGGCAGAAGCTTTGGAGTTTGAATGAGATTATCGGATCTGACGAGAGAGGGTCGAAACTCTTCAGGGGCGCGTAAGTTATCCACGCTCCCGATGGCTACTGGTGAATACGGAGTATGTATGACTTGGGAAGCCCTCGTTGATGACCCTCGAGTTATCGACAGACCAACGCGGCGGGAGCGGTTGGGCGGGTGCCAGTACAGGTTTATGAAGCTAGGAAGACAATGGGTGTAGGTAAAAGAATAAACAAAAGATAATTCGATCCAAAAAGTGAGTTGTATGAGATGTGATTCGGAATACCCTTTTGCAAGGGTTCGGAGTCTGAAGTGATGGGCTAGGCGGTGTGGCCGATTGTTACTTTCTAACGTGATAGGGGCAATTATTCATTGGTAGAGACGACTCAGGATCTACCAGATATCACTGCTATAGAGCCAGGTATCACCATCATCGTCTACTTCAGATGCAAAATCCAGGTGGACGAATTCAGCAAGTAAAATTAACTAGCAGATCGGAGGGGTTCTGGCTTAGAATAGGGGTAAAGTAGAGAGCTGGAGACGGATTCATATAGTCACACGACTACTTCTAATTGAAGAACCAAATTCAGGTAAGCAAATAGACTTCAGTAAGTAGTAAAATTGTGACATGTTGGACCTCGTCCCGGGAGCACCACTTTCAGTCGGTCAAAGTGTGGAATATCAACCCGGGCAAACGGGTGCTACACTTCATATACCCCACTGGTTCGGTAATAGAGCTCTTGGTAATTAGTGACATTAGGTGCCCTCCAATAACTTCATGTAACTCTATCAGGAAAGCAAGGCGACCTGCACTACATAATAGTCATCTCTCCCTACCACGAGATGTGACATGTGTATAAGGTAGCTCCTTAATTTAAAAGGTCAGACGCTTAGGCAACCCCCCTTGTGTATTTCCATGATTTTATGAAGTACTATTATCAGCAGAACGACAAGATAGCAGCAGTAAAAGAAACCGAGGTACAGGGTCACTTTGGAGTACATTCTCTGTGTACGATGGGATCACCAAGAGCTTAGTCTATGGCCAGCCGCCGTTTCAGTCTTTCTCAGCAGAGTTTTATCATAATAGCAACCCTATGTGGTCAACTACCAACTTCAATTCAAGCCTTGGTCACCCCGATGAAGACCCCCGAGTCAGTCATATTCATCGTCTTACTATGCCAAAGCCTCAACGCCATTTTGACAACCCTAACAGTGGCATGTCTTTCTTGAGGCCATCAACATCCAGCTTACGGCAGACTGCATTTGCGAACGCCCACGTCGATAAGAGACTCTCCTCAGGCCAGCGCTGGATCTTCCGATAGATGACGTTGCACTCCTGAGATACGGCCAAGCCCGCACGGTGCATTGGAGCTGAGATGCGACCTCATAGTAGTTGCCGGGCAGCCTTGGCTTACGTACTGCCTTATTGTTCCAAGAGGCATACAGCAGGGGCGGCTTGCCTCGGCTCCAGTCCATTGCGAACCAAGTGCGCTTCCACCTCATGTAAGATCATCGTGCCCTCTTAGCCCGATACTCGCAGCGAGGAGCCCTACTCAACGCTGATCGGATTGAAGGAAGGTTGGATAAGGACCATGTCAGGGTTGACGGCGGTTGGAAGGTATGATAACAGGTCTGTGGCATCCCGATCCAGTTGGTATTATTAAGCTTGTCTAATGCAGCTTGTGCAGCAGCGTGCTCGGATTCGGTGGCAGGAATTGAGACTGCCCCTCCGCCCTCAAAATGAACCCCACCTGACTGATGTCTGACCTCGAAGAATGAGCCGAATTACCGTCGCACTAGCCAATTTTCCAATGGTCCCACAGCTCTTGCACCGTGCTAGTACTATGTAGTGCCTCACGGCCTCTGGATAGTGACAGAGGATTTGTACAGATTAGGAATTGCACCGAGTAGCATAAGTGGGCTTAGATAAGGCCGGAAGCAACATTACCAAGTAGATCGAAACCTTTTGAGTTCGAGGGTTAAAATGTAGGTACAGACGATCACGACCGGGCGCATTGTCTTCGAGAACTCCTAACAGTCGGTACAATAAATCAGTACAAGAAGTAATTACAGTAAATGAGCTCTCGACACATCTGTACTTGTTCAATAATATCCCACACAATCTGCAGAGACACCTCGCTCCTTTGGTTACTTCCCAAACCGGGTTGTAGCTGATGACGTTATCGACATCCCTGCAGTTTTATTAGCTCGTCCAGCGCATCCCTCAGCCTTACGCTTTCATTTCGTGAGGTTAACAACTCTTAACCCGATTTTGCCATCTGTTCACCAACCAGACGGCCACACTATGGATGGCAGATCCAAACGACGCCGGTCTAACGAAGGCTCTACGGACCTCATGTTCAGGGACCGATCTGAAAAGCGACAGGCAACAGCAACTCTGGATTCTGCCATCGGGCTTCATGGGCCTGCTGTGCAAGCGGAATTTCATGGAGAGGGCCTACAAGCTGTCCATAATTCAAACATCTCTATCGGAGGAGACGTGAATTATGGTTCGATGCTCTCGTTCACGCATCCGATGATTAATGGCTAACGAGCAGGACAGGAGTATCACGCAGCCAATGTCTCCCCGACTTACGATCCACTTACCCACCCCACGATAAAAAGCGTATTGTGCAAGCAAAAGGTGGCCTGCTAGAAGGCTCGTATCGCTGGATTCTCCAACATGCCGATTTCGTCCGATGGCGAAACGATCCACAAAGTCACCTGCTCTGGATTAAGGGCGATCCGGGGAAGGGGAAAACGATGCTGCTCTGTGGCATTATTGAAGAGTTGGAGAAAGAGCTCAAGTTGAATACCGAAGCCAAGATTATCTCTTTCTTCTTCTGCCAGGCTACCGACTCGCGGATTAATAACGCCACCGCTGTGTTACGCGGCCTTATCTACCAGCTCGTCGAACAGCAGGAGTCGCTGATCTCGCACGTACGGAAGAAGTACGATTCCGCGGGACGACAACTGTTTGAGGATCCAAACGCAAGGGTAGCCCTGTCTGAGATCCTTTCTAATATCCTGCAAGACCCGGATCTACAGAGCACTTACTTGATTATCGACGCACTCGACGAATGCGAGACGCATTTGTCGCAGCTCCTAAACCTAATCAGGGACACATCCTCTTTGTCTCGCGTTAAGTGGATTTTGTCTAGCCGCAACAGGCCTGATATCGATAAAGAATTAGGTCCTACGGGGTCTAGAGCGAGACTAAGCTTAGAGCTGAAGGAGAATGCAGAGCAGGTGTCCCGCGCTGTCGAGATATACATAAGCTATTGCATTTCGAAGCTAGAAGCAGTCCAGTACGACCAGTCGCTCCAGGATCAAGTTCGCCATATAATGCGACGTAAGGCCAATGGAACATTTCTATGGGTAGCTCTCGTCGTCGAAGAACTTCGAAAAGTAGAGAGCTGGGATGTATTAGCTGTTTTGGACGAAATGCCGCTCGGCTTAGAAGAGTTGTACCGTCGGATGATACAACAAATTCAACAGCTAGAGCGTAAACAACCTGACTTTTGTCGGAGTGTTCTCTCAACGGTTGTTACTACCTACCGCCCGCTTCACTTAGGAGAATTAGCTGTTCTATCTGACTTACCTCAAAACGTATCGATAGCGAAAATCACAGATATGTGCGGGTCCTTCCTCACAAGACGAGATGATATCGTCTATATCGTACATCAATCGGCCAGGGATTTCTTATCTACGGACAAATCCCTCTTTCCCTCTAGTATGCGAGAGAAACATAGCTTGATCTTCTCGAGGTCTCTGCAGGTTATGTCTAGTATACTCCGTCGAAATTTATTCGACTCACCAGATCTCGGATGTCGTATCGAACAGATCCAGACGCCTATACCCGATCCATTAGTTACTGCACGCTATTCCTGTATTTACTGGGCTGATCATCTCCGCGATATAAACGAAATACACACCGAGAGCGGTGCTGAGCTCTCCAAGTTTCTACGTGAGAAGTATCTCTACTGGCTTGAAGCTCTTAGTCTATTGAAAAGTCTATCGGAAGGTGTGGTTTCGATAATAAAGCTTGAGGCTTTCGTTCGAGTAGGTTTGAGGTTACCTCAACTTTCGTCTCCGAAAATTCTTAACATTTTTTAGCAGAAACTAGTCGACTCTGCTCTTGCCGACCTAGTCTACGATGCATACCGATTCATTCTCCAAAATAAATGGATTATCGAGAACACTCCTCTCCAGGTATATGTATCAGCACTCGTTTTCAGCCCTGCCCGCAGTTTGATACGGCAACACTTTAGGAAAGAACAGCCAGACTGGGTTACAGTGAAGCCAACTCTAGAACTAGATTGGAGTGCATGCCTGCAGACGCTCGAGGGCCATAGCCACCTCGTCGGTTCGGTGGCCTTCTCGCCCGACGGCCGCCGGCTGGCCTCGGCCTCGTACGACCGGACCGTCAAGCTCTGGGACGCGAGCAGCGGCGCCTGCCTGCAGACGCTCGAGGGCCATAGCCATTTCGTCGGTTCGGTGGCCTTCTCGCCCGACGGCCGCCGGCTGGCCTCGGCCTCGGACGACCGGACCGTCAAGCTCTGGGACGCGAGCAGCGGCGCCTGCCTGCAGACGCTCGAGGGCCATAGCCACCTCGTCGGTTCGGTGGCCTTCTCGCCCGACGGCCGCCGGCTGGCCTCGGCCTCGTACGACCGGACCGTCAAGCTCTGGGACGCGAGCAGCGGCGCCTGCCTGCAGACGCTCGAGGGCCATAGCGATCTCGTCGGTTCGGTGGCCTTCTCGCCCGACGGCCGCCGGCTGGCCTCGGCCTCGTACGACCGGACCGTCAAGCTCTGGGACGCGAGCAGCGGCGCCTGCCTGCAGACGCTCGAGGGCCATAGCGACCTCATCGGTTCGGTGGCCTTCTCGCCCGACGGCCGCCGGCTGGCCTCGGCCTCGGACGACCGGACCGTCAAGCTCTGGGACGCGAGCAGCGGCGCCTGCCTGCAGACGCTCGATGGCCATAGCCATTTCGTCGGTTCGGTGGCCTTCTCGCCCGACGGCCGCCGGCTGGCCTCGGCCTCGTACGACCGGACCGTCAAGCTCTGGGACGCGAGCAGCGGCGCCTGCCTGCAGACGCTCGAGGGCCATAGCGATCTCGTCGGTTCGGTGGCCTTCTCGCCCGACGGCCGCCGGCTGGCCTCGGCCTCGTACGACCGGACCGTCAAGCTCTGGGACGCGAGCAGCGGCGCCTGCCTGCAGACGCTCGAGGGCCATAGCGATTCCGTCCATTCGGTGGCCTTCTCGCCCGACGGCCGCCGGCTGACCTCGGCCTCGTACGACCGGACCGTCAAGCTCTGGGACGCGAGCAGCGGCGCCTGCCTGCAGACGCTCGAGGGCCATAGCCACCTCGTCGGTTCGGTGGCCTTCTCGCCCGACGGCCGCCGGCTGGCCTCGGCCTCGGACGACCAGACCGTCAAGCTCTGGGACGCGAGCAGCGGCGCCTGCCTGCAGACGCTCGAGGGCCATAGCCATCTCGTCGGTTCGGTGGCCTTCTCGCCCGACGGCCGCCGGCTGGCCTCGGCCTCGTACGACCGGACCGTCAAGCTCTGGGACGCGAGCAGCGGCGCCTGCCTGCAGACGCTCGATGGCCATAGCCATTTCGTCGGTTCGGTGGCCTTCTCGCCCGACGGCCGCCGGCTGGCCTCGGCCTCGGACGACCGGACCGTCAAGCTCTGGGACGCGAGCAGCGGCGCCTGCCTGCAGACGCTCGAGGGCCATAGCCACCTCGTCGGTTCGGTGGCCTTCTCGCCCGACGGCCGCCGGCTGGCCTCGGCCTCGGACGACCGGACCGTCAAGCTCTGGGACGCGAGCAGCGGCGCCTGCCTGCAGACGCTCGAGGGCCATAGCGACCCCGTCGATTCGGTGGCCTTCTCGCCCGACGGCCGCCGGCTGGCTTCGGCCTCGTACGACCAGACCGTCAAGCTCTGGGACGCGAGCAGCGGCGCCTGCCTGCAGACACTCGAGGGCTATAGCGGCTCCATCCATTCGGTGGCCGATAGCGACTGTGAGTATGGTATACACAACCACTGGGTTACATGGCAAGATCAAGATGTACTTTGGTTACCTCCTAGCTATAGACCTTCATGTTCAGTCAGCGCAATACGAGATATTGGAATCGGGTGTTCATCAGGGTTTGTCTTGATATTAACATTCCCAGAGAACCACTATCCTAGACGTTAAATCAAACATACTGACTTCTGCCTCCCATCTCTCCGATGTATATATTTTTCTTACCCTTATCCTTAGAGGGTTCTAGGGGTAACCTCAAATATATAGAATTTCTCGCAAGGGTTTAGAATCTTCTAGTAATTTGTATGACTTCATTTATTAATAATCAATATCAGAATCTATTGCTGATTGGTCTTGCGATAGGCCTGTGGACCTGTTACGGCATTCGGCAATACCCTTGCTATCGAAGGTTACAGAAGGTGTCAAAGCGCTGTGGTCTAGGTTTATGACGACATTGGCTATGCGTATGACCATTGCGCCATCACACGAAGCGCAAGGGAATGTTACTACACAAAGCTATAGAACCTGAGATATATATTATTTGCTATCTGATCCATATCCTCGGAGCTGGATTGCTTGTCGAGAAGTCCAAAATCTTGCGTTGATATCCTGCAGTGAAATGCGGGAATATCCAGGCAAATGTTGTGCTGAGGGCGAGGACTTAGGTTAGAGGACTGGCCCAGCTCCAGTTGATCTGTTACTGCGAAAGGTGGATTTCTAGGTGGCGACATCTGTGGCGGGCGTCATCTGTTTGCCGAGACGAGATGAGATGAAGTAGTACGAACGGGCCAGAAGAGGATCTCTATCCCTAGGGTAATTCACTGTCTTGTATAAATCGCCAAAAACGCAAAAGCAATTTTGTTTTGTCGGAATGCAAGAGATCAGAGGGCTGTGCCACGACTTGTATGACTTTTGTATAACTGCAGGCTTACCCCTATAAAAAGCCATATATCGTATTAGCCCTGGCGATGCAAAGATGCCCGATTTGCCTAGATAGTCACGCCCGTGGCCATCAGCGTAATTCCAGGTCTGTGACAACGGCAAACCTAGAGCCCAATATTTCTATGCTGTCTCTGCTGCGTTTCGAGAGGATTCCAAAATATCTCGATACTCTAAAGTCGTTTCAGCAGCTAAAGACATGCATATAACTTCGTGTAGGCAATTAGTCAGTGCCGGGTAATAAGACAGCACCCGATCATTATTCAAACACCACAACCCATCATCGGCACCCCTGAGCAAACAAACACAACAGCTCCACAACTCTTTCAAACTCAATTCAGATACCTTCCTTACCCTACCCAAGTCCTTCGTCTCCTTCTACTTTAACAATAACAACCGCGGAGCTAGAGCTCCTGGGGAAGCTGGTGTTGTTCGAGTTGCTCTGGAACCAATTGGGAATTTCGGCCAGCCATCTTTGGTATTTATTATGGGAAAAGGGATGGTGTTCGTGAGGTGATTGGTTGTTCTTACTTTTAGTTGGTCAATTTAGTTTGGTTTGGGGAGGGCGTCATTTTGAAGCGGAAAGGCACTTGTTCTTATATCTTGTAAGGGGGCTAGGGGGTGAATGAATGGTTTATGCTGCTATTTATCATCCAAGCTGTTGTTCCTAGGGATAGTAACTATTGATGTCCAGCTTGTGAATTAAACATTAGCACTTCTACGTCTCCTATTACCTCTTTACTGTTCCCGCAGTGAAATAGTTTCATTTGGAGAGTAAGTGCTGCAGACATGTAACCCACACTTAAACCTTCCAAGTATTGTTACTTTTACGCATGGCAGATTCCAGGGACAAAACGCAGTGGCATTATTAGTTATACTACGACAACTTCTATATTGGCGACTTTCTTAAATAACTGTGACTCGTCTTTTAGAGAATGGTATTTTACACCTGTGCTATTAGTTGCCACCATCTCGCCACTCAGTCTATTAATATCATAGGGAGGTATTATAAATTTCTAAAACCAGGTCACTCAACCATGCAATATCATCTATCCAGCACCCACATTTCTAAACTTGCCCGAGAGGCCCTGAGCTGAGTGAGCTTCATGAGATAGAAACATGGTAACTGCTACAATGACACAACATGACGAGCCTAGGCGAGAGATTCGAATGTCGAAGAACGAAACCCTTTGGATGAATGCTGTTGATTCAATATCTCGGTGTAATATTGTACCTTGCTATCTTGCAAGTGCCGCCACAGCCTCATTACCTATGAATTAATGACCTGAGCAAGCTTCCTGACATAAAGACGTCCCAGAACAGCGGCACATGTAGCACTGTGCGTGGTCCAACAGATATATGGACTGAGCGCAGAGTAGCCAGAGCCTAAGACATTTTTCTAATTTACATCTCTGAGTCTTTCGACTCGGGGGAGCCTTGTACCCATCTAGCCTACAGATACCCTAATCTGCAACACATCTCGGCCACGTCCCGAGTCTACGATGAGCTTTCCGAGGAAAATCTACAGTTCTAGAGCCAATGGGTTTTCGATTCCCCCTATGTCCAGGGACTTCCACTGGGATCCGCTACAACCGCCTCCCGATGAACTAGGCCAGTCTGACTTCTAGCCCTACGCACTCGCGGCCGAGGCATTCTCTTCCTGCTTCTCCCTTGCAGCCCGCGCCGCATACTCGGCCTGTCGATTTTGAATCGTCATCCACTGCTGTATCTCCATTGGCGTGGTCCACTCCACCTTACCCTTCTTGGCATCTTCCAGTCGCCGGCGCTGGCCCGCTTGACCTGCCCTACCGAGAACGCTACCTATTACGGCAAGACATCGAAGACTGCCTCTCGTTAGCAAAGGAGTTCCAGAGGCCGAATTATTCCGAGTCTACAGTACCTGTCGTCGTTGGCGGGAATAGCATAAGTAACCCAGGTAGGCTCCGCATTCGTGTCAATGACGCCAATAGTCGGAACATTGACATGCCCACACTCGCGCAGCATAGTGAAATTCTCCATGGGGTTCAAGCAGATGACCAGATCGGGCACCAGCGCCCTCCGCTCCATCAAATGGGAGTTGAACCCTTGCAGCTCCTGGTCAAACTGGTCCACCACCTTCATGGGCATGCGGTTCAAGATCTTGTCACTATTGGTGATTGTGCCGGGGATCCATTTGGTGAACAGCTGGCATGCGCCGGCGAGACGCGCCGCTTGTGTGACGATTTGAGTCTGGCCCGGTCGTGTGCCCACGAAGAGAATCAGACCACCACGGTAGGCGATTTCCTCGACAACGCGGGCTGCGCGACGGAGATGTGCTGCCGTTTCTTCCAGAGAGATAATGTGGATGCCTTCACGAACACCGTAGATGTACCGGGCATTGGCTGGGTTCCAGACGGAGGTATGGTGACCCATATGGGCCTGGGAGGCCATGAGAAGCTCAAGAGTGACATCTTTGGGACCGGGAGGGTTGCGGAAGACGTCGAAGGGGGAGTAAGTGCGCTGGATCCTTGAACCGACTCGACCAATATTCCTGCGCAGTTCCTGAGCTGCTTCCCAGTCTTCCTTGGTCGTGTCGGGGATTACGGGTCGGCGGCGGGTAGGTTTCGCGGCCTGATTGAATAGTGCAGGGGTCTTGGTGACGGTTCGGGTGTCTGGTGAGCCTTGAAGTGCGGACTCAAGAGCTGGATCGGCGAAGGCTACGGGTGTGCCTGATGTTTCTGTCGATAGTGTGCGGAGCCATGTTTGGCGTAGAGGCGTCGCCAGTGCCTTGCGGCCTAGAGAAGAGCTGTCAGATAGCCCAATTAGGGTCCAAATTGTATCCACTTACCATGGCGAAAACCAAACTCCCTGATTATCATAGCCGCGATTGAGGGTCGGCCAACTCAATTGTCCCGAGAAGCTGCCACTCGTCGATGCGGTTCACGACTTTTACGGTTGCACAAGTCAAAAGCTGGATCAAGCGGTGCCGGGTTAATCCGTTCCGAGTAACTACTCGCACATTGACCCGGCAGCCTGGAGCGTTCCCGTATATCACTTTTTGTCTTCCTCCTGGATCGAAAGTTGAAGCAATTCATCCCGAATGTTTTCTTCTAGTGAATAAATTAATTTTGAGAATCTGGTACGAGCAGTTACATGTGGCAGCATGGAAGAAATTCATGGTGTATGACAAGATTTTTACTCATTCATTATGAGCCAAAGGCCCTTGATATCTGGGAGACTACAGAAGACGTCATGGGACTACCCTTCATCTATATCGCGCCTTTTCCATACCTGAATCTAGAAGCATTGCTTTTAGGTATCATACACCAACAGTGATGTCATCTCTTACGTATTCTTCGTCAAGTTTACCGTCTTGGCATGCCACGTCCACGTCCTCTCAACGCTCTCTGCGCAGCACCAGGGGGCAGCGCCTGTCCAGGCGCTTGAGGCTGCGCGCTTTCTTCGTTTCTAATTGTCTCGTCCACACCTAGTATTAGACAACTTGCCTCCGTAGCTGCCTGGATAGCATTGATCTTCACCAACGCGGGCTCCCACACAAATCGTTCCATCATATCCGCAACGCCCTCATTCGTAAAATCAACTCCTGCCCACGTGCTGCCCTTGCGGTGTTCTACACGCAGCTTGTTGAGGATGTCGGTAGCGTCGAATCCGGCATTGTCGCATAGTTGACGGGGGATGATCTCCATCGCCTTGGCGAACGACTTGATGATGGCCTGTTGCTTGTGCGGCACCTTCTTGTCGGCGAAGTTGTGTAGGTAAGCTGAAATCTCCATCTCGCAGGCACCGCCACCACCAACAATCATGTGGTTCTTGATAGCTCGCTTGACGATCATGATAGCATCGTGCAGGGAGCGCTCGACCTCTGCGATGAACTGTTCGGCACCACCACGCAGAACAAGAGTACACGTCTTGGCCTCTGGACAGTCCTCGAAGAAGTTGAAACGCTCGCCACCAATCTGGCGCTCGTCGAAAGACCCGCAAGTTCCAAGGTGATGTGCTTGGATATCCGAGCATGTCGACTGGATCGTGGCACCAGTGGCCTGAACAACACGTTCCATATCTGCGGCGGCTACACGGCCAGCACAGAAGATGTCGCGGTCGGCAAAGTATTGGGTTGCCAAGTCACCGATGGGCAGCTTGGATAAGACAACTTTGGCGCCAGTCTGGTATACTGCTTCCAGCTTCTTGAAGATGATTTGCCATTCGGCATCAACAATAGCCTGGTATTCCGAAACCTGTTCGACTCGTACCTCCGCGTTGTCCTTCTCCGCCTTGAGCTCAAGTTCGACGTTCAGGCAGACAATCTTGGGCTTGCTGAATACTTTAGGTTGTTGCTCAAAACCGGCATAGGAGAAGGTCTTCTTGAACGCAACACCGTTAACGAAAAGCGAGTCGGTGAGAGAGCCGCCGGGGATCTTCTTGATGCCAATGAGTTTCTCATCCAGGTCATCCTGGTCGAGTGATAAGACAGCGTCGACCACCATCTTAGTGAAGAAAGTGGTGTTTCGCTTGATCAGCTTGCTCGTCATGGCTGTGCCGGCAAGCTTGGCAAGGGTCTCCCTTCTGCTAGCCTCGTCGGTTCGGACTGCGATCTCCTTGATCTTGTTCACCGCCATAGTCGACGCCCTCCGTAGACCCTTGATGATGATCTGGGAGCTGACACCTTGCTCGACGTGTTCCTTGATCTCTTTCATAATCTCACCCGCCAATACTACCACAGACGTTGTGCCATCGCCGACTTCAGCGTCTTGTGATCTCGCAATGTCGACGAGGATTCGGGCTGCCGGATGCACAATATCGAGCAACTGGGGGATTTCGAGTCAGCTTTGGTAATATTCCCGCCTTCGCTGCAGTACTTTAACCCACCTTCATAACCGTAGCGCCATCGTTGGTGATGGTCTGTCTACCATTCTCATCCACCATGAGCAAATCACCGCCATATGGACCCAGTGTCGACTTTATGGTTGCCTGAACTGCTAAACATGCATTGATGTTGGAGACAATCTGGCCCTTTCCCTGCGAGGTATCGGTTCCTAAGCAAATGGCATCAGATGGAGGTCCTCCATTTTTATTTTCAGTGAGGGGCTCTCACCTTCTTTCAGGACGATGATGGTGGGGGTTTGCCCGCCGAACGACATGTTGGGCAGAGTTTGCAGTCGTGATACGATGGAAAATCTGGCAGGAGGAGTATCAGAAGACTCGTCAGCGTATTGGCGCGTATGGTTCGAGGGGACAGTCGTTCGTGGGGTTATGTTGACTTCCAAACCTTTGGTGCTGCAAGCTTGGGAGCTTCAGAAAATTGTTGCAGCCTTCCGCGATTGCCAAGCCTGACCCGCATAGGTGTGTGCACAGACCAGTTCTCCCGATTGCACTACTTCTCTTTACAAGGAGCAACTTTCGTCTGTAACTTTTCAAGCTGGCAAGAATAAGATATGGGAGGACATTTCTCCTATGCTTGATTGGATTATTGGTAATTAGGCTTGACGATTATATTCTTGCTTCTTTGATGACCAATGATTTCGACTGACAGTGAACCTATTTCACTGTTTCGCTCGTACTTTCGAACCTTCCACCTCCCGAAGTGCCACCCGTTTTCTCCTGGATGCAGCGCTGGGCATCCTCCCAACACAAACCATAGATGTAAAATTGAAATTGCATGTGGGATGAAGGACACAGGCATTTTTAAATGCAGCCAGGCAACTATAGTTGGAACTCACTACGATTTATTTGTGCTCAGATTGCCGCATCTGGAGAACAAGAAAAGAGGCACGCAAAATAAGACGACTCCATGCTTATGAACATACCACAGTATGGCTTTTTACAAAACCCCTGCATATCCTTTCAGGCTTAGCAGTAGCTCCCTTCAACGTTGCTGTTTGAATGCCATTGAGTGTTTTGCACAGAACACATTATATATATTGTTTCACAGCTTACTCAATCCGAGTTACTCCCTTTGCAACTTGCCTTTAGTAGTTCATACTACGGGATAGGATATTGGGTAATTTTTACAAGCCCACCATGTCATCTGCAAATATGGTTGCTTGAGAAATCCCTTATCCTATGACAATCCCTTGCCGGCTTCCTCCTCATATATGCAAACGAGGCTTCTCTTCATGGGATCTCCAGTATGAAGATTATAGTTCCGGTCTCCAGGACTGCGTATTTCATATTCATGATAGAAACTGAGATCTATGAGATGAAGCGAAAGTCGAGACTTCAAACCTCTCGGGAACCATTTTTGATGTTTTCTCTTTTGTTTCCCTGTCTTTTAGGGGCTTCTTCATCAAGTACTTGTTTGGTTTTCTGGTCGGTTTCGACTGTTATTATTATATGTTGACGTTAGTTGTCAGAAACTTGCATCATCCATTCCCTTGGTCAGAGACTAATTCCTAATCCCCGTGTAAAAACTAATGTCCCATTGTTCTAAGCTCACGCCTTCGCACATTTTCCTTTGTGGCTTTACACTACAAAACGGCCGCCTGGAGTTCGATTTGAGAAGCCTCTTGTCATTTCAAATGGCTGTCTTCATTACATAAGCAGTGTAAATGTTGTCACTTCGATCAACCCAAAATTGTATAGAATTAAGGTTTTGTATCAGTTAGCAATACTAACCTTAGTGAGTTTTCCGATTTGCAACCAATAATACGGAAAACCAAACTACCTATCTTAAATACTTAAGTGGCTATGGTTTGACATGTCTAAAACCGCTTATAGGGGCTAATATTTGCTAGGTGTATCACTAGCAACTACCATGACATGCGCAGTTTGCAAGAACGTAATCGTTCACTGTCCGGCCACACCTATCCCCCCTCCAAATTTATCCGGTTATCTTGTAAATTGTTCTAAAGCACCTACAGCTGATCCCTTTCTCAGCAAACTTACGACCCGCTACCTTTACCACATCCTTTTGCCAGGTTCCGAAATGGATTATATGCCGTTCACCGCCTTTATGGATCGCTTAATGGAAGTATCGACACTTCAAGTGGCCTTTGGATGAATTTCTCTACCCATCTACAAATCATCTGATCGGTCGACTTTCTTACTTTTAAGACAGTGCCATTGGCTGTTTACCCTCTAGCTCCGTCGCAACTCAAGACTTGCCTCAACTACAAATGCGAGGCATCTTCATCACCGCTCGGTTAATCCGTTAAAACACACTTTATGTATCTCCATGAGCAACAACAATAGAACTTACGGTCCCGGTGAGTTCTGCACTAGTTATCGAGCTCCATTGATACGGCACCTCTTGTAATAAACCCATAAAGCTGTCCACGGTCTGTCAATGGCGTCAATCCCCGACAGCGACGTCCTGGTCTCCAGTATCATTAAAAAATTTATATTCAAGATACGTGGTCAACGACCTTGGTTATATCATCCATCCCCAGCAGAAAACAGACGATTCGATTAGCCGAATGATCGTAAAGGCACCGATAAAAGAACGCGAGATAATAAACGCAAGCTGAATTACCTCCGTAATACTGTAGAGGACGGGCTAAGCATCGCCCCGTGGCTTACCGTCAGTGCTAAGGCTAAGGTGAACAAGCGAAGCCATCTCAAGAACGAGTAGGCGTCATGAAAAGAGGCGAGTGATCGAGGATCGCCAAAAACAAATTTGGGGAAGCTCAACAAGAAGGCCTCCAAGGCGATGCTGGAAATGCAGGAAATTGAGGAGAAGAACCGGAATTAACGTAACGTTGACCAGCCCCGCTTCCCCCAGGGCGAGCAAGAGCATTGTCCGCTAAGGAACTGGGTCCTCAAACGGAAGGGATTACAACATATAAATATGTAGTTGTAGGAGGAGCGTCATGTTCGAATTATTGGATATAATTATAACAAAATATTGTATGAAAGGCGCTGCGAAAGCGAGGTTGCAAGCCATCAAGGGATCCAAGGGATCTGGCAGCAGCTCCCTTTGAAATTATGTGATAGCCACCCAGATGGGATCCAAAGGGCTGGAGTTGTTTTTTTCAAGCTGTGGTGCCGGTGTGGTACTTTAATGAACAGTAATAGGGCTATGCATCGCATGACTATTTGTGTTTGTATATCCCCTGCATTTCATCACAGAGCATCATCCTCTGCCGACTCCATCATGGGTTCTGAACATGCCTGAGGTTCGTGTACTTGAGTGGCTCTTGATCAAAATTTTTCAATGGGATACTTGAAAATATGTTTCACTCACGGCTTTACCAGCGTTGCTGTTCTCTGAATGACGCCCCTGTTACCAAGTCCCAAAATATCTATTTCGGCGAATTTCGTATTAGCCCTGAGACGATCGAAGCTTCAGAAATTTGGTAGATAACTCACTCCACACTTCAAAGAGAAACATGTATACTTCGCTTCAAAATGGAAACAAAGGAAAACAGCACTTACACCCACCAACCCGGAAGGGAAGTTGCCTATGCACGGACCATGTAGTCGATTGGGGCTAGACTATGCGCTGTGGTGAGACAGGTGGCTGCAGTAATTTTCTCAGCCGCCTCACTTCACTCGTTCAATGACAAATTTCTCACCGCCGATAACTATCGAAATATTCAAGCTTGCACCCGATAAAGTGCTTCAACTCTCCAAACAAAGTGGTGGCATTCTCAACTTGTATGCTGTCATGTTGCGTCGCCTTGGCTTGAGCCATGGTGTCCAATGGCGTGCAACATCTCGCCTGGCACCGGTCCGAACAGGCTCAAGACCAAGCCCTTTTTTCGGCCAGAGACCCATCCAGCGGTGTCATGGGACTTTTATATCCAAAGGCCCACCACGCACGGTCAAGTCTCTGGTCTCCAGCATGTACGGGGGCATTCTATTTGGTGCTATCTACGTGTCCATCGGCCTCTTAGTCGTATCAGAGCCAGATCTCGACTTTCAGGGCAGACAACAACTCGGTGTAGACATTGTTCAGAGCCTCACACAGGAAAAGGACCAGGAAACCCGCCACCAGCGTTTCTGGGAAATCGGCCCAGTTATCCTCGAGTCTCACAGCGGGTTCCCAGTAACGCAGCACGGCGCGCTACCGCTCGATTCTAAATCAGAGTGGCGGAATCAGATCGAGACCCAGGTGTTCTCGGCGCCGGACCCGGATGACCGCGAGAAGAACTTTGTCGTGTGTCAAGTCTACTTTAAGGAGCCACAGGATTTGGAGTTTTATGTCTCCGTGTATGGGAATTTGTTGACGGACGTGACGGAGGATATCATTCCTACTTATGAAAACACTGCTAAAGCTCTGAATGTGAATCGCGGGGTTTTACTGCTTTTGGCTCCGAATGGTGACTGGAAGAGTATTTATTATGATGGGAAGAGGTATGTGAGTGTGGTGTTTTTGGAGTGGCAGACGGCGGAGAGCATGGGGCTTCCATGTAGGTGACAGATATTTAGGTGATGGGTAGGGGGTATTTTACAGCTGGACGGCGCTTAGAGGGCTGTTATTGACAAAGTCTGGCTGATATGGCCGCGAACATAGGCATGGAGGGCATAATTCTGTACAGGCTTGAGTCTACTCGTAAGGTTCTATAACGTACGAATCGTCATGAACAGATTGCCATTGGTCGGATAAGTTTTTTTTTCATAAGTAAAGTCTAACATATACCGCATGGAAATTTGTACTCAGGTAGTGTGCCATTCATTGCATGCTATATAGTCCTCTACTTCACAATGTGGATGGCGCCGAAACTCACTGAGTCCTTCGAGTATATGAGGCTCGTCCTGAATAATCCTTATTGGACTTGTAAAAGATGGGCAAGGCAAGAAGCACGAATTCTGGACCATATGCGTTGAAGCCATGTGAAGAGTTTCGCATGGGGTTATGTGTTGTTGCACAGAGAAACCAACTGCGCATGGAGGCCTAGGAATTGGGGGAACATTTGTGAGGTTGGAATCTCGAGAAGATGAAGGGATCACATCCATCGAAGACTGTCCGTGTATTACGATGATCAATGCGTCTTGGGGTAGATTTTGGTATGAAAGAGTACAACTAGAACACAATAGTCACAGAGATGGCAATTCGAATGAACATAGCCAACTGGAGAACGTCACACCAATAATGGTACCGCAGAAAGCGCGTTTGCGTGGCGTGACGGATGACTCGCATCGTGGATGTCACTTGCAACGTTTGGACTTTGTCGCGGTCATGAGATCCGGACTGGTCATATGGCAAGTTGGGCACCGACGAATGAGGTCCAAAGTAACCAAGGAGTTATCAACCTGGATCTGTCCCACACCCTCCTGCATCGATAGTACCTCATAGAGATGAGAAGATGGAAGCCGCGAAACAGGAAAGAGCCCCCTGCACATGTGGGGGTGCCTAAGGTTTGAGGAAAACCCGGGGTCTGGGGTAAAGTCGGGGTAGGATTGGAAGTTCAATCACCTGATGTGTGAGGGGAAAGGAAACTGCGGCCAAGGTGAGGAGCCGACGCAAATTACAGTCGTGGCGATTCTTATTTTAACTTCGTGCCATTTGTTTTGTTTCCTCCATTTCGTCAGCCTTTCGCTGCCTCGAATTACGTCGTTTTCGACACCCAGAAACGCCCTCAGACGGCGGGAACCATTCAGACGCATTAGCCTCTCTTTAGGGAAACCACGCGCCACCCCGCGATGGACTCGAATCCAACAGATGAAGGATGCGGCATTTTGAGCTGTATTGTCGTCAGTTCTTTCATGACATTGGTATCGAGAGTTGAGCAGCAAGGACGGCCTATGAAAGGCCCGCATTTGCGTTCATCCAGGCTCCTAGAAAGCGAAGTGATACCAAAGTGCATTGTCGATCGAATATCACCCGTTTCCAGAAGGGCCACCAATACCCATACCAAAGGTCTCTCCGAGGCTTCTTATTGAGGCTGGCTGCCGAAGAATACGCTTGTCCGAAGCAATATTTGTACCATGATCCATCACAGAACCAATCCACCAGATCATGGACCCATGGCTGTCGCCGAGCAACAGCGCAAAAGAGTACAAGAGGGTTCAGCAACGACGGACTGCCCTTCCAAGAAGCTTCCAAGAAGACTCGAAACGAATATCGTCGACATTCCAACAAGGAGTCTTGCGCTGCATACAACCAAGCAATGTCATTGCTCGACCACGTTGCCAATTTCAATCGTCGATAGTGAGTGCTCGGCGAGGCACGTCGGGGGCTTGGTCGTTCGGTTCAACAGCATCAACCACTGACCAAAATACGGTACAGAAGGGTGGCCAAGACGATGATGGGTTGGGGACCTGATCGAACCGAAGTCAGGCATTCTCCCCGGTCCCCTCGGACATCAGAAGAATGGTCGGGCGCTTAATTTCATCTGGAGTTCATCTCTTCCAGATTTTGGACGAAAAGATGCAAGTTGAATGACGGTTGGCAAGCACACGAACCTGGCTCCTCCTCAGTTAGGGCTTCGGCCAGTCCACCCGCTGGACAGTGTCGTTATGGTAGGTGGGCCGGTCAACTTCCTCAAGAAAGTTAGGCATGTTGATTTAACCTCGTCTTCAACCCATTCGTCTGTTTCTTTTTGGGAGCACCGTTACACATGACCACGAAAATATCCATCAGATAGGGATTTCGAAACTTGATTGGAACGCTTCTAGGACTGATGGGGTGAAAAGAGGAGTACTTGTGGGGGTGAAAGATCAAGCGATCAAGGTACGACCACTGGTCTGTTCTCACAGTGTGAGTGGACCCCATTGAAAAGCACTCAGTTCTGGTGTGGGACACCGAGATCGCTATCGAGACAAGCGGTAGATTCAAGTCGATGCGGTATACGTAGTACGTTGGTGGAGTAACGATTGAAGTCAATTGAGTTCAGATCATTTCACACGTTTGTACACATACGGGAGTTGAGCGGTGCCAATCCCCAGGGAAGCAAGTGTGACCACATAGAAAGTTGTTCTTGTGCAGTCGAAAGCCTGGGAAACATTTCCGGGAAGATGGTTATATTTTACAGGTCCCAACGCGACTTCTTAGACTCTGCCGACGAAGGTCACAATGCGATGCTAACCGCCCCTCTCTAGTGCACCTTCTATCCCGCGAGTCTATCTACATCTATTAGTCTATGCTGGGTTTCAGGTGAACACAGGATGTTCCGCAGCATCGTCATGCCGGGGAACATTGACTCTCCATCGCACAGATCATCACACGTTCAGAGCGTAGTGTGAGCACCAGCTTCTCCAAGCGTTGAAGAATGCGTTTAGGTCTGTTTTGAATGTTAGGGTTGCACTTCGTTTTCTGAGGGATTTTCCGGACGACACGTACGAACTTGGCCATGAGGGCAACCATAAGATCGAAAAGACCGATGGCCTCGACGAAGGCGAAACCAAGAATGGCGTAGGAGAAGAGCTGGCCACGGAGGGCGGGGTTGCGGGCAACGCTGTTCAACAGGGCGGCAAAGACGAGACCAATACCGATACCAGCACCGGTCAGACCAATGGCGGCGGAACCCATACCCAAGTTCTTGGAAACCTCAACCATGGCCTGGGCGATCTCAGAGGAGTATGCTCGGCGTGTCTGGAATGCCTGGCGGGTGGTGGCGTTGAGGATGGTGGAGGCCTGTTGGCGCTTGACAGTCTGGAAGGCGTTGTCTGGAAGGTCAATTGGTTAGCCATCGATTGGAGGATTTTGTTGAGACGCCATTGGGACAACATTTGTAACGGCCCTATTGGAATAGCTCCGGGGATAGCTACGGGTTGAGGATGAAAAAAGCTGGTGCTTACTGGTGATGGTGCGCTTGGCGGCGATGCTGCCCATCTGGGCACGCATGGCAGGGCGAGCGACCTTGGTGCCCATGGACGAGGCCATTCTGGAGGCAGCGACGCGAACGGAGGCCATTGTGATGGATGTGTGAGTGGATTTGAGGGGAGAGGTGTGCAAAGCAAAGTTGATGGCTCGAGGTTGCAGAGGCGAAGCTTAGAAAGTGTGGAAGAAAGAAGGAAGGGGAGCTCCAAAAATTGAGAGAACAAGTGTTCAGGAAAGCCCGTAGGGGGCCAGGGCAGTCGGCATCAGCTGGGAAACCGGAATATCATAGGTTCTTCGGGCCAAGGAACAAAGAGTCCACCTCCACCAAGCTGGGTGGATCGGAAGAAGACCCAAGCTCTTGAGAAAAATTTGCGTCAGCTACCCGAACGAGACAAGGCTGACGATATTATCTATAGCAGGGTCTGCGGGGAATATCGGGTGTTTAGCCACCTCCGTTTGGAGCCCCGTCGCACGCAGGCCTGAGGCTTTTTCGTCAGCCTTGGCAACATCCACGACTCACGCCCTGATCTTGGAGAAGGTTTGATTTACGATTAAGGAGATATATCGAGGGTTGCTAAATCTATTACCAGACTATCCGGTGCATCCGCCAGTGTGACTTCAACACCTGTGTAGCAAGCACGTCGATACACCACCGATAACAACAAATACACTCGAAACATTAACAGCAAAGAGTTCGAAGACGTTAGAGTGACCCCACTGAGACCCCCACTTGGCGGCTCGCAGTCATCGTTTGAGATGCTGGGGTGGAACGTCGGCACGTTACGGAAGACGATGAGTGAATATATAAAGACCATGTTCCATCTCCCAAGCCCTGGTTCAAGATGAATCAACGAAGAAAGAGAACGACCAGACCTTCAAAGGGAGCTCGACCCAGTTCGTCCCCGAGTTACCTCCTCTTCGAGGCGGCGGCAGCTTGAGCCGTTTAGCGCCGCTGCCACGACAAAAAAGAAACGATCAACATAGCTGGCAAACAATAGGAAATCAAAAGCATAGCAAGCCGACGGGCGAAGGCGCAACAGCTGCGAAAGGCAATTTGAACTGCCAGAATTCGAGATGTGTACTATGGTAAGAAAACGAGAGTGGGTCTGATCCGAAAAGCTTTTCGACCACTCAGATCCATGAATCGTGACCGTGTGGTTCTTCACCTCGAAGCCTGAAAACGATGAAGTGGCTGCTGGTAGTGCATTTGATGCTGCGCATAAATGCGACAGCTGTGAATTGATCTGGCATGACGTTGTTACATGGAGCTCGATGAACCAAAACCACATATGAACAAATTGTTTGACAACTTGAAGAGCTGCTGCGGTCAAGAAAAACGAAGGTCGAGAGAAAAAAATAAGACGGATGAACAGGGATCCAAACAGGGCCGGATGTCATCCGACAATATAACTGGCTAACTGATTCCCGAGATTTGGTCCGCCGAGCCGGGAGGCCGACATGTAACCTGAAGACTTCAGTGCCAAGCTGCCAGTTTCTCCACGTTATTCCATCTAAATCGATCAGCTTCATCTCCTGAAGTTCCATAATTGAAGATATGATCGGACTTGATGCCTTTGAGTCCTAGATGCGACGGCAATGACGGAAAACCACACACCCCCTGCCCTAGATAGATCTGAGCTATGTGCTGTGTCGGGCCTGGTGTTACAGCTACCCCTGCTCTCCTTACTTGAGCTGTCACATGGGTGCGACAGCAGTTAATTTGAAATGTGCCATTTTGTGCCGCAGGACGGCTTGTGCTGTGGTATACAGAGGGCGTGGCTCGGTGTGACTTAGGCCAAAATTCGTCCTGAATGGGAATCCGGTGTTGAAAGTACAAGACAGCTCTCACCACGTTTGTCTGGACGATGCGACAAAGCCCTTTACTTTACATTTTCATTACCTGAACCCGAGTCGACCTGTCAGGTTATCTATGAGATGGTTTCTGTCCGACCACAAAGATGCTCTGTCTGCTGAACAACGCCAGCCAGCCCCTGACATACTGACTTTCACGTACTTATCGGTGCCGTGGAACAAATCAAGTTGTGCTTCTTCAAAGCTGTTTGTAAAGCTGTTTGTAAAACAACAACTTACGCTTCTGATCCAAACCAACAGCCAACCGAGGACCTGTTCGGTGTATTCAATATCAAATCCCCTGGAATTATTCATATGTCGCTTCCAAGCTGTGCCCGTTTTCTCCCCCGTACCTCACCTAAACACCATCGCATCTACATGAACACAGTCCACGACGGCGTAATCACCGTAGTTCGCTCCCTCTCCCACGCCTCCAACTCATCCGTCTCCCGCCAGCAGTCCCTGCCCCCCCAGTGCGCCCTCCACTTATGCGCAAAGATATAGTATTCCCCCGTAACCCACACCTTATTTCTATACCTCTCCAACAACTCCTCACCGTGCAGCGTCCTCAAGTCATGTGCAAAGCGGTATATCAGATTCTGTACATTCCGCCCCCCATCGAGATAAACTAGTAAAAGCCGCTGTGCATGCGGCAGCCAACTCAGGAAATCGCAGAACACAGTCGGGTTGCTCAGGTTGCATCGGTATATCCGGTCCCGGTGAGGCAGATGCCAGCGCGGCGGGCAGGGCGAGCCGTCCCAGGTGAGAATCTCCCATTTGAGGACGGTTCGTATCTGGGCCCGCTGGTCTTCGGATAGAGGTCGCGTGCGGCAAAGACGACGGGTGAATTCTTCAAGGCGGGGATGGAGGTCGGTGGGGTCGTCGTTCCAGGCGAAGATGTCGTTTAAGGGGTGGAGGTATACCTTGCCGATGGAGTCTTCGTCGGAGGTGTCTTCATCTGAGGTATACTGAAATACGGAGAGAACGAGGGGGAAGGTGCGGAGGCCGCATTGGCGGCTTTCAAAGTCAACTGCGAGAAGGGGTGATATGAGGCTTTTGGAGGGTAGGATGGTGTCGTTGCATATTTGGACTATACGACGGCCTTCTTGTGCGAAGGCCTCTTCCCAGACCTGGAGGCGCAGTTCGACTGGGAGTTGGGGGAAGGGTGTGAACTTTGCTGCTCTTAGTCTATGGAGAGGATTGAGCAACATATTCATGGTGCTTGGGCTAGTAGAATATCTGCTTATATCGTGCGCGGTTGGGTGCGTCTTGTTCGGGGCGCTAGTTCGAGCAGACTATGGGGGTTTTATAATAAAAGCTCTCCACAAAAATCAGCTGCATACCTATATTCACTACTAACTATGACCGGTGGTATGTCATAAGTGCCGGGACACTGTCACAAATGTTTGCCTTCTCAGGGGAGACACAACATGTATGTGTCAAACGACTTGATCACAACGACAATGACAAGCATGACAGACCTTTTGTTCTTGCACTTCAAGTTAGCTCTCTTGACTCTTGATTTGTATCCATGCGGGGTGTTGACCTGGTTGGAGTAAAGATTGCCTCATGTCAATATTCTTAACAATCCAAGCATTCGGTTCCAAGCAAAGCTCCAAAAGTTAAGGTATGTACTTGAGATCCATGCTGTCGTCGAATCTGCATACCGTTGCACAGAAGCCTGGAAGTTCTCGCAGGTAAGCCGAAGAAACCCAAGGTGCAATGGCAAGTAGTTTTCAGAACTCCTCATCCTTTACGTAACTATTGTGCGCTCACTATCGACAGAAACATCTCGAATTCAAAATAGCCATCCATTCTTTTGCTGATAGATAGTGACGGTAAATTACCTTAAAACTCCTATATCCCTGTGTCTACCCCCCACCGCCAATCTTGTAATCCAATCCACATCCCTGAGTCTACTCTTTATCCGAGTTGCACAGAACGACATCTCCTCCACGAACTCTACGAGTAATCCTATACACTCATAACAGTAGTATCATAAAGGAACTCGTGGCAAATCCGCATATGCTTCCTTGTTCCCGCACTTCGATGCATCAACAACAAAAGTCTGTCCCGCATAGAAGCAGTATGTCCTTAAGTACCATTTGCACCACCAACAACTTGAATAGTTTCATGGATCACCCACGACCCTGTTGAGTAGGACAGTCAACTGTCGATAGGGGATTAGTCCGGAACTGCAGCTTCTTGGTGGTGGATTCGTGGTATCTTCGTCGATCATCGACCAGTCTCATAGGCGATGTCGGAGTCTCGTAAGTGAAGCTTGCCTATATGATCTATAACGTCAACATTTCGTTCCTTGCGTACATTTTGGATACTTGCCGAATACCAAGGGATAGGAGGTTTCTAAGGCCGGTGATCTGCTCTCGTAATCGACGATGAGAAATGGAGGCCACAGATGCTTCCCTAGCAAGATATTTTCCTCAATATGGAAGACTAGGCGTATCTCTACCTCTTGACTCATGGCTAATTACCAGATTTGTATTCGTAGCTCGGGTGGCAGCTTGCAGAATTGTGTAAATTGAGCGTTGTTTGTCGTCAGGATGATACGGTCTGTCTTGGCTTTGAGAAATTTGATGGCATTTCTGCATCTGCGGTCGAGCCTGTGGACGATCTGTCCATCTCGATCGATGGTGTCAAGTCGGTGCTTTGTTATGGCTATTGGGACTATCCTGTAATGCTGGCTATTGTCTCAGCCTAGGGCGGATTGGCGAACTCCAGGCGCCGTGAGGTGATTCTGGAAAAATGAGTTTTGAACTCCAATAGCCGTGCTGTTCTTGTGGGAAGTCCGCTAATGGTTTCCAGGCATAGTTTGGTGTGACAAGAAGTTTGATGGACGCTAGATGTTGTGGTGTTGTGGAAAGACGTTTGGTGAATTGCAAACGTTCTGATATCCTTGTGGGTAAGATAAGAAGAATGGATTTGTTATGTAGGACGGAAACTTACAACATGCAGTAATGTAATTACGTTCCGGTACTCTTTAGGAGAGAGCCTTTCCTCGGGTAAAATACATTCGCATAAATGTAATTCCTAAATAAGAAGTACGTATATCCATATTTTACGGTAATATACCACCTAGTAGCAGATATAGATCTTGTAGTGATGTGGTAGCGTAGATAGAAAACCTCGAAACCTCTAGAACCAGTTGACCTATATCTACGTCAGGACTGTCAGCTTAGGCTGCAAGTACTAATACAAGCTCTGGAAGACCTAGAGTCCGTGGGGTTCTATAAAGTAATCTGCTGATCGAGGTTAGAATAAAGTAGGAAGGCACCATACCAAGATAGCCACAGCGGTCTACAAGTACGAACCTATACCTGGCTCTCTTATACACTGTGAAATCAGGGCTACCAATATTCCACAGCTCTGGAGAGCCACTCAGATATGCCTTCACCCCCTTTCTCAAAACACAATAAGTTGCCAGCTTGTACAATAGAACGAAGCGAGTAACCCATCCAACCAACGCTTCTGTGATGGTCTAGATTATTATTCTTAACATTGACAAAATTCTATTTGACGTGTCGAGAAAGCACGACTTAGCATCGACAAGCATTGAGCAAAACCGGGAACTTGACGATTCATCAATCGCTGCCATCAGCAGCTAGGGCACGCATCTATGTCGGCAATATCCATGCATAAAGCTAGCAAATACATTGCCACCATGCAATCACACCTGATCTTTTGCACTTGCTCTTTTGCACTACTCCTCTTCTCCAACCTCAACCTCCTTAACAGCATACCCTTCCACAAAGCCATCCGGATCACATGTCTTCTCCAAGGAGATCTTGTTCGTCCCCACCCACCTCCTAATGGCATCCTTATCAACTCGGACCCTCGGCACCTCCTTCACTTCTTTCTCCTTGTCTTTCTCCTTCCCCTCCTCCTCGACAGCCTCTTCTGTTATTGCCCCCTTAGGCAGCCCTACCCCCGCCTCTTCCACGATACTCATCTCCCTCAGCACCGCAAGGCAATCCTCGGGCGCGATCCAAGTAGCCTGGCTAATTTCCTCAATATCCACAATCGTCTCACGTTGCTCCTCTTCCTCAGCTGGCACAGGTAACTCAACGCTTAGAAGCCAACGCGCAATCTCCCCTGCCCAGAAGCGCTTGTATCCCTTCCTTCCCAGATCCGAGATGGGCTTCTCTGGACCGCCGAGAACCCTCTCGCGTCGCGAGATCTCGTACGAAACGCCCATGAGCAGCGAGCCGAGACCTTTGCGCTGCCAGGGTGGGAAGACAAGGATGCACGCTAGATTATTGTTATCCCAGGACATTTTCTCCTTGGAGAAGAAGCCGATGATTTGTGGTCTTGGGGGAGCAGAAATAGAGGAGGGCAGTTTTGCGGGATCCGATGATGGGCTGTCGTTGCGTGATTGCGTTGCTTGTGGCGAAGGTGGAGGAGGAGGGGTGTAGACGAGTAAGAAGTAGTTGAAACCGGTCACATCGAAAAATACCGATTTGTTATCTAGGAAAAGCTTCGCGAAGAGGGAGAGATTCTGGCAGAATAGCTGTCGGGCTTTTTGTTAGCTTAGATGGCCTTGGACTTGATGTGAAATTGTGATTTACCCCGTCGACCTCCCCGTCAAGCTCCCAAACACTCCATTCGCCCTCGTCGCTTACGACAACTTCTTCCACCACAGGCGCTGGCATCTCCTTCTTTCTGCCCTTGCCTTTCGCATTTTCCACCACTGCAGGCGCAGCAGCCGATACCTTCACCTTCCTCTTGCCCTTGGGATGTATATAGATCTTCTTTCCCGGGATCTCTGCCTTGCTCTCGCAGAGCCGGACATGTTCCGACCACGAGACAAGTTCTCTCGAGTACTTGAAACAACACGGACAAACATACAGCCTGTCTAGCAAGACCTCTTTATCCTTTTTACCCCCACCGATCTTGGTGGCTCCTCCACCGTTGTCCTTGCCCCCGGCATTGCCGGACACATCGCCCAACACCCGGTTGTCGTAGTACGACGGATACCAGGCGCGGAAGCAGATATTGCCCAACACGACTTTATCGATGTTGCGGTCGGATCGTGGCGTCGACGGCGGTTTCTTGGACTTGGAGGTGGAGATACGGCGTTTGGGGGTGACTGCCGAGACAGCGGCTGGATCGGTAAGTGAGGATGCCGGCGCCTGAGCCCGAGAGGAGTGACGGGGTCTTGTATTCGTGGTGCGGTTGGTTGTTTGTGGTGTTTGCGCTTGTGGAGCCTGCGTCTCAGGCTTCGGCTCTGGAATCGGTTGAGCAACTGTCGACGGAGGTTCCTTGGGCGCAGCGACGGCTCTTGATTTCGGTCTTTCGACAAGAGGCCTCGATTTTTCTTTCTCCTTTGGCTTCCCCTTCTCATTTGTTCCGTTGACGACCGGAATCAAGACATCGGCAGCTTGCGCGCGTGTACTCCGTGTCGTCTTCGCCGTCGGAGGTGGGGGAGCAGCCGCCTTGGACTTCGGCGCGTCGACATTTCTCGCTCGGGTGGCCTTGTATGTCGGGTAGATTGTCGGGAGTGCTTCCAATGAATTGGCGCGTAATTTTCCACTGCGCAACTGTTTCCCTTCGATTACTGCGACATGGCGAGTGGTTCGTCGCGGCGGAGGTTCAGTGGGCGACTTGGATTGCGCTGCAGGGGCTTCGTCATGCGGTCTTTTGCGCTTCGTGGGCGCCATCGGGTGGTACAGCACTTTGTGGCGAGTCTTCAACGAGAGATAACTGATGCCACTCTGATTTCGACAATTTTAATTGAGTTTCTGTCGGTATTGGTCATTTGGACGTGGTTCGATGCGACGAAGGTGCTGCCTGGCTGCGCTTACGTAAACTTGAACCGCCGGACAGGTAAGCACGTGACAGTTAATGACTTCACTGCAGATTGGTGACAATGACCTTGGTACAAATGAGACCTAAAAGGATAGCCAACGGAAGTGACAATCATGTGGAACAACCGCAGCGGTGACTCAATTTTATTATATTCTTCAAATTGACCACAAACTACCAACGGTCTGTTTCAACTCCAGCATCTCGATACCTTGGTGTCAATCTGTTCGTGAACTCTGCCGTCACCAGTGACTCCACAGTGGGAAATTGGATATCTTTATGCTGCCATACAAGCTAACTAGGTACATTGAAAGCATGACTACTCAATGCAGAGTTTTCTGCTTCTGACGCTGCATTTGGATTCTCACTCCCTACGACTTATGTGGCTCCTCGCGAAGTAACTGCCTGCAGACACCGATCGGAGATACAAACCATTCGCTGCTACTTGTAAGTGCCAACCCACCCAACTTGTCCATGCTGGAAGACGATTCCTTCTAGAGTCTCGAATTTTGAGTTAGGTGAAGCCGCCACTATATATGATGAGTAAATGACACCGGTTTCTATGACTGCTAGTGGATTCGGCAGTGATACATTCCATGGCGAATGAGAATCGTCGAACACGTCAAGCCAGTTCAGGCATGTTTATGAAGCCCAAATTTGCATGGCCCTCGTCTTAATACTAGTTTTAATTTCCGGAGGGATTGCATCAGGAGCACCCATGACGCTAAAGAACGCCTATAACCACTAGACGCAAGCTACTGACATAATCTCGGCTTACTCCATCCATGTTCCTTTGCCAAAAGCCTCCCTCTGGATCCCGCACCGACTGAATTAGTGCGGCAGGTCGTTCGATGGACACAATTTCGATCAAGTAGCTACTCGCTTCTATAACAAAGGCGAAACCCGCCGAGGCGAGCCAACGTCATCGCAACGATCCTAGTGTACTAAGATCCGAGTTTCGTAACGTTGCCACAACACGTCGAAAACAAAGCGTCCGTGACGAATATGATGCGCCGCCTGAATACATAATCAATGGACATTCTGTGCAATGCTCGTAGTTGGTAATTCCGCACCCGTAGACCAAGCTTTCCACCCTAATGCACATGATGGAAATCGTCTTCTTGATGTGGCTCACTATGTTACTGGCACCTCTGGGAGCGCTTGCAATTCCCGAACCACAAGGGAGGAAAAGACCACCGCCGGGCAAGAGCACAACGCCAGACCGGGCCACAGTCGTCAAACCTCCCCCGTGTCGGGCACTGGTTCCGGCGCCCAGATCGCAGCTGACGGAGAGGCGGTTCGACGACTTCGCCAGGGATTTGCTTGTTAGGAAATCACTTACGGATGCTTTTCGATATGTGTCTGCCTCGTATAAGGTACGTCGTGTCTCAGGCCATTACGTTCTTTTCTCGTAACGAAGTGATGTAGGGGTTGCGTTATTTTTAGTTAGGGAATGTTACAGAGCTGATTCAACCTATCCTAGAACAACAATCCGTCAGTTGGTGATGGCCCCGGCGCTGCCATAGATGCTCTTGCTCCCGCCTGGCCCAACATTCAATTTTCGAATATACATACGGCGTTTCGAGGTAACACAGGCTGGCTGAGCTACACAGCGAGCGGCCAGGGTCAGATCGTGGATCGATTCAAGTGGAAGTCTGGCTGCATTGTCGAACACGTACGTAGAAGTTCCATTTATATTTCATTGAAAGCTTTTGTCGCTTGTCGTGAGACGACGCTGTCACTTGTGCTTGAGATTCGTCTACGGTCGCTCACTATGCTCAAATATCTTTCGTGGTAAAAATTTGTCTAACTTCACTGTTAGTGGGATCAAGGGGAGAGCTTCCCGAACTGCAACAGCGCTACTTGTAAGGAGCTTTAAGTCTGCAGAGGAAGAGGTTGGAGAAACCATGGGTGTAGACTTGGCAATTTATGCCAACTACAGTGGGTTGTGCAGAGTAGAAGATATCCCTAGTGTAACACAAAACTGTAATTTAAGACGATTTATATGTATAAATGATCTTAACCTGTGAAATATGGAGCTTTGGGGTTATAATATTCGACAGGGTAGTTGAAAATATGAAGTTAGTTGCTTTATTCTCATTGGGGGATTCTGTGCCTAGACATTTGTATTATCCCACTTCCCAGTTGAACGTTGGCTCAATTCCTCTTGTGAAAGATGACCTCCTGCATTGGATACCTAAGTTGTCCATGGTACCAAGATGATGGAAGAACAAACGAGTCGGGCAATCGGGTTTGATGTTCTGCACTCGGTGACTGGCCTCCTTGCATGCGGAGCAAGTCCCCGAGATTACAGTGCTAAGTTTCTTGCGCATCAAATTTGAGGAAAATACCAATTTTAATGCTCGTAAATTATGTATATAATTGAAATAATGATCGTCATGAAGATGTGGTTGGTTGGCAGGAAGCAAGGCGGTATCCAAGGTGTTGGTTGAGTTCTGCTGTGCCACCGCCTCGCAGGTGTGAAACGGCGTTTACATTGCCAATAATGCAACATCTGTTACAAAATTAACCAAGAAGAATTATGACTGGTCAACTCTTCGTGATTCTACGATACGTGTTGATCGTGTGTCGCTGGTCATCATATGCTGCTCTCCCGACTCGATGGTTCATGAATGCCCAATGTCGAATAACAACCATACCACTGGAGAAAGACGCAGTTTGGGCAGGCCTAGTTCATCAACGAGGTCGAATGCTACGAAAATCTAGGTCTATCATAGAATGAGGCGGCGCTCATGTTCTTCCTCGTTATCCAGATGAAAAGCCTAACGGCCCGGTGAGGAAGCAGGCGTGATATTACATAGTGCCGGCCCAAAGATATGGTAACAAGACTCGCTACGAATATTGACAAACTGCCACAGAGTATGATTTTAATGGAATTTTAATGTGCAATATAGTATTTCTAATTTGACTGACCTGTGGGCACTGCAGAGGTGGGCTAGGCTACGGAGCTGGGCCCCCCCCTGAGGCCCACGGCTTGCCAGATCTCCGGAGGGACGCCGGCGACACGCTTACGGCACGTACACATGATGAGAAGGCAAAATTACTAGCTGAGAGGTTCTTCCCAGACCCGTGTATAGATCTATCGGACCTCGATCGCGGCCTATTACAGACGAGACCAGAGCTGAACGTCCCTGGGGAGGTGACCACAATGGATATCGAGTCTATCATCAAAGGAACGGCTGCTCGGAAGGCTCCCGGCGACGACCTGATCCCCACTGGCCTGCTAAAGGCCTGCGGTGAACCCCTATGGGAGATCCTAGCGGATCTGGCAACAGCTAGCTTTAGGCTGGGGTACTACCCGGAGCGCTTCCGCTCAGCGAGGATGGTTGTTATCCCTAAGCCTAATAAAACGACAGCTCAGAAGCAGACCCCTGGCGGCTGGCGCCCCATTGCCCTGCTTAGCACGGTAGGGAAGGTAATAGAGACGGCGATGAGCCAGCGTATCACCAAAGTAGCTGAGGCGGCCGGCCTACTACCAAACGGCCAAATGGGTAACCGCGCTGGGAGGTCCACCGAGCTGGCAATACGTATAGTTGAGGACGTGGTCTATACGGCGTGGAGACGCGGGGGCATCGCCTCGCTGCTACAGCTAGACATCAAGGGGGCATTCGATACGGTCAATTACAGACGGCTGATTTCCATATTAGCCCGGCAAGGCTACCCGGAGTGGGTTCAGGAGTGGGTACGCAGCTTCGTGGAGGATAGGACGGTACGCCTCCGGTTCGATGGCAAGGAGTCAGAGCCAATCCCCCTACGAGCTGGCGTCCCCCAGGGGTCACCGCTATCCCCGATACTGTTTATATTATACATTTCAACGCTGTACGAGGAGCTAGCGGAGCAGCACCCACTACTTTTAGTAGTCGGGTTCGCGGACGACACGAACCTGCTAAGCGTCGGCACCGATCCAGACACGACCTGCCGCCGGTTGGAGAGCGCATGGGCTACGTGTCAGCGGTGGGCAGTGAGGCACGGGATGGAGTTCGCTCCTGACAAGAGTGAGCTAATGCACTTTACTAGGGCCCGAGAGCCCTTGCCGCAAAGTATTCGCCTTGGGGACGCCACAGTGTCGCCGGTAGTCTCAGCGAGGTTCCTAGGAGTCTGGTTCGACCGCAAACTGACGTGGCACGCCCATGTTGAGCGTGTTAAAACAAAAATGGCAACTCAAAAGCTAGCCCTGACAAAGCTAGTCAATATGTCGTGGGGCTGCGATCTTATACGGGCGAGGCTGTTATATACGGTGGTTATCCGTAGCGCGATCGCCTTCGGGGCGACTGCGTGGCATACTATAAGTGAGGAACCGGCAGGGCCAGCTAAGAGCCTGATAGGGATACAGAACGAGTGCCTCCGGGTAGTCTGTGGCGCCCACAAAGCGACGCCGGTTCGCCACCTGGAAGCAGAAGCAGCAATCCCGCCACTAGACCTCTATCTTAGTGCCCGGGCTGCTAAGTTTGAAGAACGGCTACGGCTTAGCGGGAAGAGAAATCTGCTTCGCAGCGCGAGCGCTAAAGCGTCACATATACTCCGGCAGGATAGGCCGGCGAAGAGGAAGCAGGCGTCGCAGCTACTCCGACCGGCAGGGTACACTATGGAGAAGGAGGCCCGGGGCTCCGAGTGGATGAGTGAGGAAAAGGAGGTCCCGGCTGCCCTCCTCGGCCACTGGAGGAAGAGATGGCTCACCGGAGCAGAGCATCACGATCGCCAGCGACGCGCTATCGCTGAGGAACCGGAGGGCCCTTCGATGCAGATACCGAAAGGGGGCAGGTATTTCGGCCTGAACCGACTGGAGGCGTCTACGCTGTGCCAGATCAGGACGGAAAAAATAGGACTAGCAGCCTTCTTATTCAAGACAGGGGCTTTTGGCGTGTACTCGCCGCTATGCCGCTGTGGCGACGCCCCTGAGACGGCAGAGCACGTAATCCTCTTTTGCGGGCTGTTGGAAGGACCGAGGGAACGATTACGGGCCGCCATCGCACCACGGCCACTATACTCTCGCAGAGACCTCGCAACGGCAACAGGAGAACCAGTAGTTAGTGGGACTATTGTAAGGTGGCTGCTAGGGACGGGTCGGACAGCTTCAAGGCCCAGATAGCATCGATCTTCTCAGGGGGGGCTTTGTTGGTAGGTTGAGAACCAACGTAGTATGGTAGTGGACGCAACGCAGTCGCCAATAGGGCGAACCGACGACGCAGCGTATGTATTTAGTCCAGCCATTAGGGCACGGTTTGACATACGGGAGTACTAGCAGAGGTACCGGGGGCTTCGAGCCTACGGCGTATTTAATAATAATAATAATAATAATAATTTGACTGAGACGATAGATTAATAGCGGACTATATCAATGAACTCTCAATATATTTAAAGCGGTTATGTAGATAAGCCAAGTGATGAATACACCTATGCCATGATGGTGTTGCAAAAGGATTGCGCGACCCAAGGATGCCACTTCTGACGTAGATTGCGACTAAAATCCTCGAGATTTCCGGCCCGGAACCTTGATCTTTCCAGTGTACATGCATAGACACGCAAGACGTTCTCAAGTAGTGGTACGCTAGGCAAGCCACCTTTGTATGAATCCAAAGTGCCGCCGCGAGTGAAAGGTTCGATGCGGCGGGGAGCAGCCGTCATGCGAGAAATGCCGTTGGGTCGGGGAGAGTGCATCGAGCCAAGTAATGCTAATATCGCTCAGACGGTTGAGGTTCTGCAAAAGCGCTGAGGCAATAGAGGCAAGAGAGCTGTGTTGGTGATGATAAAGATGATGGGACTAACTTCCAAAGGCTGCAGCTACGGGACGGCTGTCTATGAGCAGCTGACCCGAGCGCTGTACCTAGCACACAGGCGGCGTGACTGGGGCACGTAAGAATAACATAATCAGAAGTTGTGTCAAACTTGAAGTATTGGGAATGCGACCCTTCAAACTAGTAATGTCCTCTGCGGCTCTGGAGCAGGTGATATCTTGGTTCCACCATCATTGACCCTCTTCTGAGGGCGTGGAATATCCGAATCCTTTGTATTTCCTCGTCCTTGACTTGACCAGGTCGACCTTTGGCCGTGCCATCCGTTGCTGACTTCGTGGAGAGGAGTTCTGTTATGTGTTCGTTTTCTTTTTCACTCAACTTGAGAGTCGAAAGTCAACAAAATGGCAACAGAGTGCTCTACAATCTGTGACTTCGCAACTGCGCTGGATAAAGAGGTCCATATTTTGTTATGAGCACTAGAAAGCTTCAACTGTATTGATTTCTATATGTGAATTATCTACTTGTACGAAATCTATCGAATCAGTCAATTTCTCCCGTTCTGTTTGTTTTTTACCTGGCCGGTGCTGGTCCTTTCAAGGGCCTACGCCGACGGTTGGGTGTCCTGTGCTATAGGGCGTTACACATTGCTCGATTTCCCAATGAGCATGTGGATTCATCTCAGTTGATATTTATATTAAGAAGAGTCTTCGGGGAAAAGCAGAAACTCTGGCCCGAACGCTCCGTGTTCTATTCCAACCTCTCTCGGGAGTGGAGAACGCCCGACGGTGCAACTCTGCTCATTACCTTACCAATTTTGGCGGAGCAAAGTTACGTCGTGTTTGCCAAGGCATAAATACCAGTTTCGCTGGAACTTCCTTGCCTTCCAATTAATGTCGTTTAGTGTGGCAGGCGGGACCATCGACTTGGCACTAACATCGTTTACACTTGCTTCCCTTTGATCAAACTACAGACACTTTGGACTAAAGATTAGATTAAACATGGAGATTATAGACAACTTATTTCTTCTTGAAGACGTTTACGCCAAGAGAAAATTCCTTGGTTGATAATAACGCCATGGTACTGAATTACAACTAATGCTCTTCACGTCGATCTCAACCGCGTAGTGCTGTCCTTGGGAATTCTTAGATGGCACAATTCTCATTCTGTTAGAATAAATTTGACTTCGTTGATGCTTAGTAAATCTGGCCGCCGAGAACGAGGAAGAGTTTGATGTTTCCAGAGGTGCATTCACAAGCTTGACAGGCTTTGATTATGGGGCGATTTTTATGGGAAGGATTGCACAGCTACCATATTCTGAGCTACCTAGTTATACTGCCGATCAATACAATCTTTACCGGATCTAAATACTTTAGAACGGTGACATGTTAGAACAACGCACGAGTGAGTCGGACGGAATTCTGCGTGGATTACTGACTCTCTTATGGTCACAGAATCGGGCTCGACGTTCTGGCAAAAAGCTTATTTTCTTGCTGAAGCTATCACTTCAATACTCGTATGGAGGCTTATTGTGAAATGAAAACGGTCCCTGCGACGGTGTACTTGGTTCATCCATGAATTTGCTTCATCTGTGAAAGGTGACATCGTCCGCTGGAGTGACTCTGACGTTGCATTGAATATTGGATTTTTCAATCACCCAGCCACCTGATAGGTGAATTCCAAGCTGACAATTTGTTGTTGAGATGAGAAGGCGGAATGCATATTCATATTAATAGAAAAATGAGATAACACATCTACGTACAATCTGCTTCGTCTATCACAAGATATCGTAAAACAGCCACTATATCAATAAAAGATTCAAACAATTATGTAGCTGTTAATTCTCTTTATAATACTAGAAGAGTGAGAGAATCCGTTTTAACTCGGGCTTTGGTAGAAGGGTGTCTTTGGGTATAAGTTGACCCCTTTCCTTCACCCCTTTTTTGATACTCGGACTGAATTGAAATGAATAGTAATGTTGAAGCCAATCTCCTCATCAACTGCGGCTCGCTTTCCATATTCCGCATCTTACTCAGGCACATCGCTGCCAAAGTCCAGCAAGGACACGAGTGTCGAGCCACCCTCGGCGCCGACTTTTGGGGCTGGCACAGCTAACCTGCGCAAATTTGACACGTTGATTGAGCTGGAACATAACGACGGCTTCGACCATGCCGGCTTGCGACCCGGCGGTGATAGGAAATGAGACGTGAATATCTACGGTGCCTCACCGGATGATAACTCGTACAGTAGCAGGGTTAAGGGGAGCGCAGCGAATGAGGCAGTAATTCTACAGGCGTGCACGACTGTTATGTATTTTTCTGTAATGATAAACTAGTACGAATGATTGGTATGCGTGTTAATCTCATAGCGGAGGTCACTCCGACCTCCAAAGTTCAGTTCCCGGCGCTTCCCTAAAAAACATGCCCCAAATGCCTCATAACGAGCACTATGAGCCCGTAGTCTAGCGCAATGTAATTCAGCTAGTATTCATTGGCGTCCTATATTTGTCTGCAGCATGTCGAACGAGTCCACAAACTGCAGTATTGGCATAGGCACTGTAGCATCGCCATTCGGCCTTGGGACCAGGTTCCGCTTCCCAAAATGCCGGGGTTCAGTGGGCTCGGCTGCCGGCAACTTGTGCGGAATCGATAGATATCCCTGCCAGTACAGATAGGTTGGCAGGCAACGTCCACAGGAACAAGCTGGACTTGACTCTTTCAACTGGAGATCGGTCTCCGAGGGCCAATTTGCGGACGAAAATATACTTATGCCATTTCTCGGTTCCGCACAACGTGAGAATTAGAGGCATGTACAGCACTGGCGGCTTGGTGATACGGCGAGAGCAGAGAGTCGAACACATGGCGCTGTAACATTGATGCAGTTCCTGACGTCTTCTCCCCAGCAAGCAGCTCCCAGGTCACATCTGTGTGTCTGCGTCTGCATCGACCGGCCACCGCAGGGACTTCGCCCACGTTCCATTATCACCGCGGTTCTGCTGCAGCCAAGAAGTCACTCGCATCAAGCATTCTCCAAATAATTGACTTGTAGCCTCGGATACCATGAAACACTTCACATCCCTGGCCTTGGCTACCGCCATCGTATCCGCTTTTCTGTGTCTGCTGCGCTGATTAATCTTCGTCTCAATATGACGATCAGCTATCAGTTGCGTAAGTAAGCCTGGATTTACCCACATAGTCTCAGAGCAGGATTCACTATTTTGATTGGTTTCTTGTAATAGTGTTGTGCGCTAGAGTCTGCAGGCTTGAATAATATCAAATACCCTGACAGCAACACGTACGAGAGCCACGCCAATTCTATACTTTTCCTTGTCGACGCGGTTGGGCAGTTGGATCCAACATGTATTTTCCAGCTGGCAACTGCAAAGGGAGTTGCCCTGGCTATCACTGCACTGGTCGATGCTAGACTTGACCTGTCGTTCGTAGCGGTGGCCATACTGTCTGGCCGGGTGCGAACAACAGTAGGTCAAGTCCAGTGAGCATTTGAGTTAATGGATCAACTCTGCTGATACTGATGCAGTTAACGAGAGCGTGACGATTGATTTGGTCAGAGATCAACCAGCCCGGATAGATATAAGTAGATAGCTGATGACGACTAGGATGTATGAACAAGACGACATATGTGGTAAAGACCAACACTGCTCAAATACTGTTGTTGTTGCTGGGTTCTTGACCGGAGGCGGCAAAAATTTCTTTACTGCAAAACGTTGTTGGAGTTGTGACAACATCATCAACTACGAGATTGTGCTTGCTAGCAGGTGAGGTTGGGGTTGGGTAACATTTTCACTATTGTTTTTCTGACATATGTTCTTTCTTCATGGTGATCATCAACGCCAACGCCACCGAAAACAACGACCTCGTCCGGACGCTCAAAGGCGGGTCCGCCAGCTTTGGCATTGTAACTCAATTTGCCATGGTAGTGTGTCAAAATATCGATGCTATAGAATCGTCTATTAATGTTACCATTCACCACAACAGAGCGGCATAATCAACTGGACTGATAAAATCGAGAACTACCAGGACGGCTCAGCCACATTATTCTGAACTTACATGCCCAAGGCGGGGGATATCATGATCACGACCGCTTACGAGAATACTACGGCCACCGTGGCGGCTCCTGCGTTTGATAAGTTCCAGGCCGTTCCTGACAATTCACTTCCACGATGCTCATTGACAGTCATGCCAACCTGACCAAGGAGCGTGAACTGAAGAGTGGACAACGGTATTTTCTTCAGCTCTCCAATTTCGCCTTTACCCCTTCATCATCATCATCATGTGGCTCAACTACACGATTCTGGCTGATAGCCCCTTTCCATCCAGCAACGTCTGGACGCCCGCCTCTACAGCCGCGCTTTACTCTACACAAAGAATTCGTGAGCGACTGGAAATTCCAATCGCTGGACGGTTACTTCATCTGCCACGCCATCGTCCAAGCACCGGACCATCATCTCGCAGCACTGGGTCGTAATGTAGATATTTCTGTCAAGCAACAAACTCTGTCTCCGACGTGGAATTGCCCCTTTACGAACACTAGCTCATAGAACTGTCTATTCTTTTCTATAAAAAGGTTTTATCTTCAAAGCCGGAGAATTGTTGACCGTAACAGATGCAGAGTCGTAAGTGCATGTGGGTGCTTCAAGGGGCTCGCAGGTCACTTCATACTAAACAATCACCGTATCTAGAGGAAATCGCAGTCAGCAGGAAAGAACTCTTGCATGGTACAGGCCCATTATTTCATCTTGTGTTTAGGTTAAACTGTTTAAAGCCGCCCCTCAGGGTCGAGACCTGCCCATCAGACCAGTGACGGTCTCCTTTCGTCCCCAGTACAGCTTGCTTGTCGTCTATTATCTACCATGCCTACAATGTGGCCGCTTTGGCAGAAGGGTGTTTGATTGTTCCCATAAGTGTGGATTTGATTCTTTCTAACATTATCCGCCCAAGATTTACAAATACATGAAACTGCTCATTGTCTTGCCAAATAGTGTTTGTTATCCCTCTTGTATAAATTAGTAAACACCCAAAATTAGAAGTCACCAAACGTTCACACCTGCGTATTCCAAAGAATGACACGTTGTGATTCTTGAATCAACGCATCCATACGCGAGAGCTATCTCTCCATCCAAGCCATATCGTCGGATGTCGTCACTCAGGCCATGACAGACGTGGTGTCGTCAGTCTTTGAGCACACAAATCAAGCACCGAGTCCCTAATCATATGTGATGATACTCGAACAAGACACAAGTCACCCTCACATGGAAGGAAGTGGCGGAAGAGTGCGTGAAGGCACATCCCCGCAAGAGATATGTTGAGTCGGAGCCAGGCTCCATTCTATTGGTTATCGAATATCGAATGGCCTACTTGATCGGTAGTACTGTGGACTGTCTTCCCATCGTTTGGTATGTAATCCAGCAACGACTTCGCCCATTGGGAGCTTCAAGCTATTAGGGTAGCATGTAGGTAACTAATAGATTAGATCTGGCTGGGGCAGAGCCTTATGGTGCTTTTCTGTACCTCTTAACTTCACCACCTCTGTTTCAGGAATGTATTTTCCAGTGGTACGTACTATAACTCAAAATTCAGCCAAGTGGTCGTCCATACCCTCCCTGATTGAAGCGGCCGACACTAGCAGCCTGGCCTGTCGAAAGATCCGTCGCAGGCGTTATACTACTATTATGGCCCAAGTCCCTGTCTGAGGCACTTAGGCCGAAGGACTTACCGGCATAACTCCACCAGAAACAGTTCCCACCTTCTGTTCGATAGCTCTTTCACACAGCTTAGCCCGGGAGCCCCACTGCGTGGCTGTGAGGTGCATTTCACTACAAGAACTTGATCAGCCCCCAAGTCAACCAACGGATCATGCCATGTCGACGACCGTGGGCCAATCCAGAAAGTATAAGCTGAAGAAGAGTGTCTTCAAGTTCTCCATTCTTGTTGATACGAGTCAACAACCCCTATTATGGACGTTAAGCACAACCACCAACGCCAGCAATCGGTGTATTTCCGAACTCATCATCCCCAGTCGTGTACCAAGACAACGCATTAAATTCACGTCAAAAGCCAGCAAGTGCAAAGTAGTAATAACATCACCTGCGTCTGAATTTCTGCAAAGGGGCCCCGAAGCAGCAATATAGGAGGATGATCAAGCAATAAGTATCGCGTGTTCGCCTGGCCAACCGAACCATCCACGCCGTCCGCCCCCTCTCTGGTGCCAACAAATATGGCAAACCGTTGAAAAGGGGTCTTCCTTGCCGTAGTGAACACCATATCTAGTACAAGGGATGGGGGTTTCAATGTGTGTGCTTCGCAAATACGTAGCCCCAGCCGTCTCCATTCGTCGCTTTCGCAAGTAAAGTCTCTCTTCCCGGCTTCCTTCCTAAAAGACCTATATCTTCTAGCCTCTGGCCTGCGTTATTCCTCGGCCCTTGCAGGCGTCCGGACGGAAATGCAACGCTGATTAGAGGCCACTCCGTTATTCCCACAAGTACAAAGCCCGGCTCGGTAGTTTACATGCCCTCGAAGTCTCCACCCAGGTCGTCGTCGTCCAGGTCACCCTCTTGTATCTCCTTGGCCATCTCACGCTCTCGCTCGCGTGCTTCCTGGGCATTCTTGAGCTCTAGACGGTGTTGGTTCATGGGGAAACGCATGGCCTGCGGAAACGACAAGTTAGTTATGCAATCAAAGAAGCCAGGCATAAATGTAGAATCACATACCTTGACGCTCTCATCATGCAGCGCGAGGCAGGCTCGGATGCGGTCGTGGAATGCCTCGCCTGGCTCACGGGTAGCGTAGACGTCGCCAACCTCCTTGCTCTTCATAAAGCCCTTTTCGCGATCGAGAGTGGCCTCAATGACGCCATCCCGAATAGCCTTGGCCACAATGTACTCAGCACTCTCCTCGCTACCAAGGTGCAGACGGATGCAGATATCTCGGAGGGAGATCCTGCTGTAGCTCAAGCTCATCATTCGGATACCGGTCTTAATGACGTTTTGTCGAAGGCGTAGGATCAGGGTGTACGTGCCGTCGCGCTTGAAAGTGTCGACGTGTTCGGCCAGTGTCGTCTCGAAGTCCTCCAAGTTACCGACTCGGACCGCTTGCACGAGTAGGAAGTATGGGTGTAGTGCTTGCTCCATGGTGGCGGCACGGAAGGTAGCCCGCTCGGGGATGTCGCCCATGAGCAGCTCGACCACCAGCAGAACCTTGGTGGCGGTCTGCGCAAAACCAAGGGCACATGAACTTGCGGGTGCCTTACGAGTGGCAGCCGTCAGGTGCTCGTGTGCCTCGGTATAACGCAGCTGAATCGCCCGAATGCGACCAAGGTAGTACAGAAAGCGTGCGACTTGGTTGTTTGCAGCATTCTCAGGGAATTGCGTGTGGGATACGAGAAGATCGGCTTGGGAGATGTGCGAGGTGAGCAGGTAACTCCGCAGAAGCAGGACAATCACCGAGGCCTGCGTATCGATATCCTTGCGCAGGACGGCAGTCCGGAGCGCGGCGAGTAATGTCGGTCGGATAGCGACGATGGGGGACTGCGGAGACGGCGGAAGCGGAGCGAGCTGCTCACAGAACAACGAGTAGTAGAAGTAAACCTTGGCAGAGAGGGGATCCAGTGTTCGCCGGTTGAGAGCATGGATACGGTCCGAGAGGTATTTTGAGAAGTTGGCACCTTTTTGGTATTGTTTGGAATCAAACAGGTGAACTTGGATCAGGATACCCAGGAAAATGTCAATCTCGGGAATTATCTCCTTGACCTCCTTCTCCTTCTTGTTTCCATTCTTGGCCGGTACTTTGGGCTCGCTGTCCACCTCCATCTCTGCACTAGATTGTTGGCCTAGCGTCACATCTTCCCGTCCAATGGCAGCCAACAAATGTCTAGCGACATTTGCGGACGACGTCGTAGCAGGGTATGACTCGGCGATAGCCTGCGAGAGGATGTCTGGGGTGAGGCGTTTGCGGAGAGATGAGATTGATCGAAGGGCCCGCAGCGAAAATCTGGCGTCGAACAGAGCTACGGCACGGTCGAGGAGGGCGAAATTGCTCTTGACGTCTGTCATGGGGGAGGCACGTTAGCGTGGGTAATAATAGAAAGGGAGGCTATGAGACATAGACGTACCTGAGATGGCCTGAGTGACGGGGTCAACCTTGACTTCGACATCCTCGACCTTATCGGAATCATCCATATCTACGTCTCCATCAGTATCAGCGGGCGGTGGTGCCGACGATTGCTTTGTGGTTTTCGACGGGGGCACGACGACGGTCATATCCTCGCCCTCCTTGACGCCCTTCTTGCCCTTGCCCTTCAGCGATGACTTCTCGTCCGTCATGTCGACATCCTGGTTGTTTCTGATGCCGTTCTCGACGGGCTCTTTACCGTTAGGCGTTTTGCCAGGCATGTCGGCAATGTGATGAATCGAAAGAGTCGACTGAGTTGGAGTGAGATGGTGATGGGAGTCCGGTTGGGTGAGCTTTTGATGATGTCGCCGGATGCGGATGGGTGAGTAATGGTTGAAGGTAACGAGGCGACTTTCGCGAAGCGCGCTCCTTCGGACCCTGCAGAAAACGGGAGCTGCTGGGTATGGGGTTGGTTCGGGTGGAGGTCACCAAAGCAGATGCACGGGAAACAGGCCGATTGAGAATACAAGTGGCCAGAAAAAGGAATGCAGTCTTCAATCCCAGCGGTGGGACAAGTTCGACGTTTCGGTGATGGGTGTTGTGTTTTGGTTACAGAGGGAAGATGGAAGAGTTATCGCTTGCTGCAGCGCAGAGGCAGTCAGATGGGCGATGCAAGCACAAACACAGCCAAAAGCCGCCCCGGAGAGCCTGACCTGATAGCAGCTCACCAGATTGACTCCAAAAGAGGCCAAGGTCACAAACTCGAGGATACGAAGCACGGGCCATATGGTACTTGGGATTGCAAGGCAACTACATGGCCCACACAGGTATTTGAGTACCTTGCTGAAAATGATGCCGCCGCTTAGTGGATCAAGCCAGGTCAGCAACCTCACTCAACTTTAGAAATGGGTCCACCCACGCTTTGTGACGTCTGCGAACTGGTGCCTGCTGTTGGTGTTAAAGAACTTCTAGAATTGTCCAAGAACCAATTCCCAACCTCACAACATAAACGCTGACATGATGATTGCCATCTTGAACTTATTAGAAATAGCCATAGTCTGCAATTTCTCCTTCTCTAGCTGTCTCCCTGGGCATCAACTTCATCGCAATGTACAACGAGGTTCTGCTGCAGATGCACGACCACATGTTCACGTCTCGTTTGAGGCACCCCAGCCAATCCCATCATGCAGGTTACCCGTGATCACGTGTTGGAAGAAGCAATCCGACCCATTGTCCCGTTTGAATGTGGGAGCCTCATTTGTAGTATTTTGGAATCTACGTCTTCTCTTGGGTGGGAGGCTGCCAAAAGATCAGCGATGCAATGCAGCTTGTCTGTTGTTTTCGCTGTAAGGAGTAACTTAATATTGTTTGAAGACACCCCGAGTAAGAATATGACTTGTAAAAGCACCGGTGCAAGCAAATCAGTAACACATCCTATCCCCGGATGAGAAAACCACATCACTACATTCAGAGCAATTCTGTGTGTCACTGAAAATCATCTCAATTCACGAACATCTAAACCATTTTGGTATCTTACTGTCCTTCCTTGGTCCGGTCCATGAATTCCTAGAACGCCGTCCAAGAGCAGTAATGTATAGGAGCGGTACCAAAAAGCGGTCCGACCATGAGGAAAGCAAGTGAGAAATCCTTCCGAAAGTCCTAATCAGGCGTGGCAAGACCCCAAACTCCAAACCCAGACATCCTCATGAGACACACCAATCTTCCATCATTAAGGCTTTCTGTGAGTCACGCATCGCGCGAAAACCCTGTGACACGACCAGTCAGGTTTGCACCATGCTTGCAGAGATGAGATGAACGAGGCTAAGCATCGTCAGCTCTCTTGCGCTTGGCCAACGGCATGTAGTCGATCGAACCAAAGGCATGGTCGAAGGCTCCATACCGAGGGCCGCCGTCAGGAAGGCGATTACCGCCGGAAGCGTCAGAAGCAGAAGCTGTGGCGCCACGGTTCGTCTGCAAACTTAGGCTGGGTCGTCGCACAGTAGGAGGGCGCATAAATCCTGCCATTCCGTGGCTCTTTAAGACCGCAGGCGTCTTCTTCGCCGCTGTTCCAGTGTGTCCTTCTTCCTTCTCGCCGTCTTCGCCATTCTTGCCTTCCTCCTTACCCCCAGACCCCTTTCTAGAACGACTCAAGTCCTACTTGTCGTCCTTACCAGGCATGACCTTGGCTGCCTGAACAGCGCTCATCTTTGCAATCCAGGCTGGGCTCGGCTGAGCCTTGCGAACGGTGCGCAACTCATCAGAGGTGTACCCAGGAATACGAATATTGTAGATACGCTCGAGCACCAGCTGAATGTCACGAATCTCAAGAATCTTGGAACCTCGCTCCTTTGCGATACGGCAGGCAGTGTGCAGCACGTTGTCGACAAAGTTGTCTGCGACGTTAAGGACCGACTGAAAATGAGTATTAGTTTTATCTGTGAAAATAGTCGAAAAGCAGGAGAGAAACATACCTCTTCAACATCGGGTGTCAGGTAGTTGCCGTCCTGTCCAGGAGGGCATCCTCCACAGACCTGACGAACAAGCTCATCCAACTTCTTCTTGCTGAGCACGTGATCGCCCTCGGCCTCGAACTCGAACTTGTTGGTCTTAGCAATCGCAGGCGAGTTGATGACTCCGCCCTGAATGCCGGTGCCCTGACTATAGGTTGGTCGACCAGCAGCGGCGGATTGCACGGGGGTGGGAACCCGAGTCGAGACCTCGGGCAGCATCTTGGGAATGGGCATCTTGGAGGTGACGGTCGCGGCTGCTGTTGTAGCGGGCTGGGGGTGCGCGTGCGGGTGGCCTCCTTGTGGTGTGCTGCCCATCAATTGGCCAGAGCCGGGAGTGGTTATTACGCCTGCGCTGCCGGGCTGGTTTGCGGTCGGAGCCGAAGAACCGGTGGATTGGCGGTGGTTCGCAAGTGTGAGCGCTGCTTGATGCGAAAGCGGTTTTGCGGGGCCCGTGACGGGAGTGGCCGTTTGGGGTGTTTGCACGCGAGCTGACGTCTGGGTGGGAGTTCCTGCGGATTGCAAGTGCGCGTTGGTTGCTGCGGCGAGTGCCGTATTGACAGGAGGGGGCTGCGGCGGATGGGGATGGGTACCAGGTTCGATTTTGACCTGAGATTGTTGCTGTTGCGGGGCAGGCGCAGGCTGGGACTGCGCAGAACGTGCACTTGTCTGTGCAGGTCCCATAGCAGCCTGAGTGGTGGGAGTCGGTGGTTGCTGTTGCTGTTGCTGTTGCTGCTGCTGCTGCTGCTGTGCACGATTTGCGGCTGCAATTTGCTGATTTTTGGCCGCATCCATGGCAGCATTGACAGAAGCCGTCGCGGCCTGCATGGAATTGCCAGAGTTTGGAGGCGCCTGGGGTCGAACTTGCTGACTCTGCCCTCCACCTGGCGCCGCCGCACCCTGTTGCTGTGATCCACCTTGGCCGCCGGCCTTCAGTTGCTGCTGTTGCTGCTGCTCTCCTTGCTTGATATGTTCCTGTTGCTTACGGAAGTTGTCGACAAACTTGAGGGCGTCTGCGTGTTGCTTGATATCCGTCTCTTTCTGCATCATGAGCTTCTTCAGTTCATCCCCCTGATAAGGATTGCCCTTCGTCTCGCGGTCTTTCAGCATGCTATCCCACTGTTTGATCCTTCGTCCCATCGAGTCCATTCGAACCAGTGCTTGCGTGTACTTGCCACGCATTTCTATCACCCATCTGGGGGCCTGCTCCTTAGTTACGCCGGGAGGAATACGTATTTCAAATGTGTTGACGTGCTGCACAATTTGCTCGGGGATCTTTTGCGGCTGTCCTCCTGGCTGCGTCGCCGCAGCTCCACCTCCATTGGCTGCTGCCGTTGAGTTTACTGCTCCGGCTGCCATTCCTGTTGGTCTTTGGGGAGGCATAACGGCTCTCTGGGCAGCCATGGCGGCGTTTGAAGGCTGGCCGGGTCCAGCTCCAGGTTGTACTGACTGACCTGGCTGACCGGGCTGGCCTCCGGCACCTTGTTGTTGCTGTTGCTGTTGTTGTTGTTGTTGTTGTTGTTGTTGTTGTACCCTTTGTCTCATGCCCGCCATCTTTCCCACCACCATGCGGGAAAACTCCTGGATCTTCTGCTTTGCATTCTTATGGCTTAATGTCTCGGGCCCATTCTTCTCCATCGCCTCGTACAATGTGCGAAGACCTTTCTCATATTTTTCCTTATCGGCATCGGAGAGTATCGCCAGAGTTCGCATTTGCTCCGGTCGAAACATTGTGGGTTGGCGTTGAGGCTGCCCTGAGGCAAGCTGACCTTGAGGCAGCTGGTTCATCGTGGAGAGAGTTGTTGGACTATCCCGAGTTCGTCTACGGGGCAATCGTCAGATAGTTCGCGGTGTCGTTAGGGAGCAATGAGTCTAAAGCCAAGCAAGACTGATTGATAGGTTTCAAAATGAGCGGTATTAATTTCATTCAATGACCCGAACGCCCCCGGAGACAGCCTGGCAGAGTCTGCGAGAGTTTTCCGCGGCTTGGGAGCTCTGGTCATGCCACAGGTCTAACTTTATGTCATCAGCCAACGTGAGTGATTGGGGTTGGGGAGCCTCGGCAAGGATAAAATCCGCTCCGACAATGCTGTTACCTAATCTACAGTAAATTATGTGACGACATACTCCGTATCTTGAAGCTAATTCATCCAGATGCCCGAGTTGAGGCCATTCGGATTGTAAAAAACACGCATTAACTCACGGCCGCCCAATACACATTTATTTTTGAGATTCAAGTCAATATGGCAAGGCCATTGTTATTGACACCATCGCTGCTTGTATAGAAACGGGCCATGTTTCGGACACATCAAGGCCAATCCAATCGGTGGGGCAAGTGTTACTGGCTGCAACTTACAATCAAGGTACAACACTTATGTACATAGCATGAACGTTGTCGGATAATACGCCGGCTCAATACGGGGGATTAGATAAAAAGTGGAGGCGCGTACGCTTGCCAGATTGTGAGCGTAGTGTAAGAAAGAAAGGTGAACACTAGCTCTGGTCTCACGAAAGTGCATCAAATCTTTGGTGCAGCTTCTCCACTAGACCCAATGCAACTTGTGTTGCCGGTGAAGTTGACTATCTGATACCAAAACGGCCACTTCTACATCATTTATTCTTCACCATGGCAGGATTAGTTGTTGCTGTCATCACCGTGGCGTCAGAAACTAGGAGCGTGGAAAAGTGACAGGCCTTCAGCTACAATATTCAGTGTTTAGTTAGTCCAATATCACTAGAACAAAACACTATTTCAGTCTGGCCATGGTTAATAATGGTTACGGCTATCGTAAGTAACTTACACGTCAGCCCAACCTGACGGCTCTCTATATTAGACGGAATAAGGTTGAGTTAAAACTAATCCAACAATTTGATCCTGCCTGAATACTCTGGTTTCTCAACAGTATGATTGCTGCTTCGTCTCGCAAGGTTGATCGTACTTGCAAGACTCCCAATTGGGCTGAAATCTATGTTCACAGTACAGTCATGCGCAGGCCTCCATATCTTGTCTAACCCTCCGTATTGTGCCGGCGTATTTTCCGACGCTAATCTATATAACAAGTCGAGAATCTTTATAAATAAAGCGATAGATGCATAGACACTATCAACAGGTGAAAATTTTATCAAAGCTATTATTAAGCAATTAACCTATAAATAAATGTATGCCAATTTCCACGTTAAACAGAAAACAACGTCGAGTAGGCGATATAACAGAAACCCAAAAGATAGGGAAATCAAATACCAGTACGGCTCAAGCAGGACCAGCTGCTTGATTCCGTGAGGGGACACCTCATCCTTAGTACCCAACGTCAAATTTAACGTTGCCCAATCGTGATTCCTAACGGGGTAGATAGTCTCATATTATCATTTGTCCAGTCTTGAGGCAGCATCGAGTTATCCTGCGACTGGGCTCCGTCCTCATCGACGTCGATGGGGATCCAAGTAGGCTCTATTTTGTCGCCGTCAATTTACCCGTTGGCGTTTGGCGTTCGAATTTCCAGCGTTGGAACCATGTAAGATGAAATAGCCACACAGATGCAGATACACCGAATAGTTACTTACCTCTTGGTTCGTTTGTGCATCCGTGTCAAGAATGTAGACAGGAATGCTGTCCCAAGCCGAGTCATGGAAATAGTAAGTCATAACGCAAATCTCGTAAGTTCGATAGGATACTTCATTTTGCCCACTTGGTCAACTTATCCATGACAGCTGTCTCTCATCCGGATCCATAATAAGCTGATAGAAAAGTACCGTGCTGGGGTCTTACAATTGTTGGTACATTCCGGGAAAGTCCCAGAGATCCTTCCTCTGAGAACCAGGGTTAATGTCCAGAATAGAACGCCATACTCAGCGCCAGATGTCTCTTTGATCTTGGACTTTTCCTCCAACAGAGACTGCAGATGCTTCTTGGATAGCATCAGTTTGAATCGCATCTATGCCTTCCTTAGGCCAGACAACGTGGGTAGCCGTCTGCCCGCACTGGGGAGCCGGACTCTCCGTAGCTTTCACACTATACGAGACAGTGCTGGTGGAATATGTGTCGTAGGTCGACACTACCGTCAAGCTGAGTGTTTGACACGACGATAAGCTTAAAGTGGGAATGCAGGACACAAAACGGTCGGCGATGGTGGCCATAGAACACAACGTGATATTCGTCACCGTGGCCGTCGAGTCTAAGTCGGTCAAAGCACAGCCGGTGATGGTTGCGCATGCTGGTGTCACGGATGATGTGCCTAGTGTTTTATTTACCGTGTCAGATACCGAGACTTGAATAGAAGTTGTGGTAGAGAAAATGGAAGCGATTTCCGTGCAATCGTTAGGGGGGCTTTGACGGATATGTGGGCAGTTCTGTCATTTTGTGTGTAAGCCGATTGATATGATTGGATTGAATTGCGTGGGAAATATTATTATTATTATTATTAAATACGCCGTAGGCTCGAAGCCCCCGGTACCTCTACTAGTACTCCCGTATGTCAAACCATGCCCTAATGGCTGGACTAAATACATACGCTGCGTCGTCGGTTCGCCCTATTGGCGACTGCGTTGCGTTCACTACCATACTACGTTGGTTCTCAACCTACCAACAAAGTCCCCCCTGAGAAGATCGATGCTATCTGGGCCTTGAAGCTGTCCGACCCGTCCCTAGCAGCCATCTTACAATAGTCCCACTAACTACTGGTTCTCCTGTTGCCGTTGCGAGGTCTCTGCGAGAGTATAGTGGCCGTGGTGCGATGGCGGCCCGTAATCGTTCCCTCGGTCCTTCCAACAGCCCGCAAAAGAGGATTACGTGTTCTGCCGTCTCAGGGGCATCGCCACAGCGGCATAGCGGCGAGTACACGCCAAAAGCCCCTGTCTTGAATAAGAAGGCTGCTAGTCCTATTTTTTCCGTCCTGATCTGGCACAGCGTAGACGCCTCCAGTCGGTTCAGGCCGAAATACTTGCCCCCTTTCGGTATCTGCATCGAAGGGCCCTCCGGTTCCTCAGCGATAGCGCGTCGCTGGCGATCGTGATGCTCTGCTCCGGTGAGCCATCTCTTCCTCCAGTGGTCGAGGAGGGCAGCCGGGACCTCCTTTTCCTCACTCATCCACTCGGAGCCCCGGGCCTCCTTCTCCATAGTGTACCCTGCCGGTCGGAGTAGCTGCGACGCCTGCTTCCTCTTCGCCGGCCTATCCTGCCGGAGTATATGTGACGCTTTAGCGCTCGCGCTGCGAAGCAGATTCCTCTTCCCGCTAAGCCGTAGCCGTTCTTCAAACTTAGCAGCCCGGGCACTAAGATAGAGGTCTAGTGGCGGGATTGCTGCTTCTGCTTCCAGGTGGCGAACCGGCGTCGCTTTGTGGGCGCCACAGACTACCCGGAGGCACTCGTTCTGTATCCCCATCGGGAAATATTAAATGATCCGGACTAGGACGGTAGCGGCCCTGGCATGGTGATCCCCGTTGGGAGGTTGAAGACCGGAAGTGATGATGGCTTCAGAGGATAGAGACCTGGTGGCAGGATCCATTCTATACCACCGAAGTTGATACTCGGTGTGGAAATTGAAATCTAAGTTTCCCTTAGCTGTTATGAAAATCTTGGAAGTGATCATTTCCGCTTACAAAGAAGAACCAGAGGTCACATAGAGTGGAGCTGTTGTCGTCAGTAGCTTCGGTTCGTCAATCTTCGTCATCACTGGTGAAATGATGGCGCTTGATGGCCAGGTAGTGTATGTTACTAGACTTCTGCTTTAATTCTTTGTTAAAATCGAAGTTGCTGAGCCGGTGTTTGAGATGGTGGTCCCTCCAGTGGTCCCGCCGCTAGTTGAGATTTCGGTTCTGGTTTCAGAGGCAAGTCGTATCCAGAGTCGTAAGGATTGCCACTGCCGTGGGACTGAGCAGGTTCAAGTTGTCAGTTCCTATGACCACTATTGTAAAGCTAGTTGGTGGTGATGCAGCCTAACCAGATGCTGGTTGGCTCACTTACAGTTGAACCTGTTGCAGTCGGCCCAGTCATGATTGTTTCAGTTGCGGTTGACTCAATCGCAGTTGGAGTGATGTGAGAAGAGGCGTTTCGGCCACTGTATTGCTGTAGGTGACAAAGCGGCCGTCACGTCCAAGGTGATGATGGTCGTCACTGTGGTAACACGGGGTAGTTATAGCAACAGTACTTAGTCCAATGATGAGAATGGTGGAGCTCGAGATGATGATCTGTCCATCTGGAGCAGTCCATGTTGAAGGAACTGCCGCCTCGGTGATTTCAGTGTTTCTAGATGTCATCGTTGTGACCACTACCGTTGGCGGAACAGTCTCAGTAGGCACAATCGTGATTACCAGTGGAGATCGGCACGATGCCGTTCAAACACCATGCTAGTAACACCGGAAGACTTGTGGATCTACAATATTTCTTTGTCACATCAAGAGTTTATAGTTCTCTCACTGTTGGTACCATAATGGAAAGGGCGAGCAAAGTGAAATAGTCGGTGACATACCAAGCACCGTTGTTAACACATAAAGCGAATGGAAGAAACCAGCCACATTGACATCAAATGGTGCTTATAGGGATGATCAGATCAATACATATTTCCGAAATGATCTTGTGGTCAGTATTTACCTTTACCGCATATATTGTTTTGCCCGTCAGGGGTGGAACAGCAAGCATAGCTCCAGGCATGGGATCCACATCGATCCTGACACCAGTACATATCAATCTTACATCTTGGATCATCGGGGATGAATAATTTCCTAGTGTAGGCGAGGAAAAAAACACCCGTCCAGGTCAGCCACACGATGAACCTGGTCGTTGACCTCGGAGTTGTATGTATAACAACAGGGGAATTAATGCAGCTTTGTACGGTGAAATGAGCACTACTGTCTATAAATTGATGAGTTGAGGGTGGTATTTACAGTATAGATAGGATAATGGGTTACACGGCTTGCGCACGCCGCAGGGCTGAATGCGCAAATCCTGTTACCCCGTCTGCACGTCGGCTGTTGGCTGCCGGGCGAACTCAGATATTGCTCATGAAAATAGTAATTGGTTGCCCGAGTAGCCGGAACTCCTTTGGTCAACATTGTTTGCCTCATACAAAACTGGCACCACAGGCATACGAAGCAAACATCCTTGTGGCCCAGGAACATACTGCTCCTTGGATAATCCTGACCTGGCTGTAACCGATGTTTCACTGAGATGCGGCGGCTATCAGGAAGAGAATTTGGAGGGGGCCCAAAATATGTCTTGCAAAGGGTGAATAATTACCAACAGGAACGTTTGCTGCAAATATCTGACCGCACCAGCCCTTTTCTAGGCTTTCTAGTGCCCAAAAATGATACTGTAGTTTTCTTAACTGTAGCGCCTTAAACAAGCCGATCACCCCGAACTATCTGATCTTATACATAGTTATATTGATGCAACGCTCAATGAGATAGAGGTCTGAAGCACTATCACAACTAGAAGCTCAGGGAAGAAATTTCAAGTCGTGAGCTAAGTGCAAAAAGCGAAACTGCAGTCCCCAGATAGCAAGTAGATCCAGGGGAGCGACCTTTTTGTTAGTACCCTTGCCTCTTGGCCTCCCCCCTTCCAATATTATAGCCGTTCCCGAGCTTTTCCACAACTGTAAATTACATCCAAATGTGTGTAACACTTATACACCCCACATTTTGTGCCGTACACTAAATCTGGGGCCCAGCCAGGGAACTTGAGGGCGACAACTGTGTCGTCACTCCAAACGTACTATTATTGGATGCTGGCCAGGAGCTTGGCTTTCAAGTTCAAACTGGAAGAAGCGAATAAATCGCTAGAGACTAAGGTTAATGGCAAAGAGTATATATGGGTATGCAAACGTAATGGGACACTTTCATGGGCGTGAGGGTAGTCCACGATAGAAACTCTTCACTCTGCTAAAGTACACCTTCGTAACTAGACTTATCTAACATAAGTTCTAGTTATTTGAAAATGTGTGTTGCATTGTGAATTGGAAGTTTTCTTCGGTGCGTGTGATTGTATCTCCGTATGGTACCCTGACTGTGGTGCCATTAGTGCTATAGATGAGGGATTGACAGTAGCCATGAAGGACAGAGATATGCATCAGCCGGTAATGCCCGTAGTGATATGAAAGCCTCCACCACTAGATACAGCCTGGAAAATATGTAGGAGATTCCACCTAGAGCGCATAGAACAAAAATGATAACATGGCTAGGTCTGCGCTCTTGTCCAGCAAGAAGATCATACCAGTACCACCAGACCGACCGCGATGTGTGAGCCAAGATATGAATCAGAGACCACAATAAACCGCTTGAGACTATGTAGATGGAAGAAATTCTCCATAACCATGACTCTAGACTGGAAGGAAACTCGTCATGCCAGCCTGCCACATGCACAGCACCAAATGCCATGCTGACAACCCACAACGTTAAGCCCATGAAGAGACCTGGCACTTGCCGTAGTAGGTCATCTCCAGGCCAATTTCGGGGATGGTCAATCACTAACTCCTTGGGCATAAATGCGCGAGGGGCCTCTTGGGATGTCGGTCTGTTTTGCGACGGTTTCGGGCGAAACTTTTCTTTGACTCGCTGGGGCATTTCTGGGTAAAGTCGAAGGGCTTCACGGTATTTCGACTCATCTTTGTAGAATTCACCTTGTTCTAGGCGGAGTTGGATGGCCGGAAACCGCTCTACGGCCTCACAAACAAGTTTCCATCGTAACCGCTGCATCTCGGTTTCCGCTGCATCTTGGGGGGTATTTTCCTTTGCTGACCCTGGCAACTCCTGAACCATAGTATACATATTGGTCGGAAGGCTTGTACGAAGTACGAGGGAGCCGTATTGGTGTGTCCTGATTTCTTCTTTGACTGGAGTCTGTTGATCGTCAGGTTCAATGCATGGCGTCTCGCATTGCCTCGTAGTAACCTTGATTATGGAAGAAGCGACAGAGCCTTCTTGCTCCCCTGAGTCCGCAGGCACATACAGCACCTTGGATATCTCACTCTTGACGCCAAAGTCACGGAGAATATCCCGGTCTCTCCTGGTTTCCGCGCTCGCCTGGCTGCACATGTACATAAATGCACATATGCATCGAGTCCATTCTCCACTGAGCTTAGTCGGCTCACAAACCCACCTGGGCTTGTGCCACCACAGTATGAAGGTTGCCAGGGCGCAAAGGACGTGGCCTATGGTATTGATCTCAAGCGGCGTAACCGGAAGCCCTACTGCCACACGGGTAGCAGCTTGGAATAACATCCAACCAGCTTGAATGCAGCAAATAAACTTCCCTGTCGCATCCGTCTTACTTTTATCCACAATATCTTCGCGTCTGATATCCGGGAGCAAGCCACATTCAGTTAGAAGCTGGACTCCATGAGGTGTAACATGAAGGCGACGCCACTGCGATATGAAAGGACGACCTCTAGACAGGTCAGGACTCTCCATATCGAAAACAAATCCACCCATTCCGGCATAGAATCCATGCACCATCGTCCATTTATGCGAGGCATCCACGTTCTTCTTCGCATGGCTGGGCTATAAACAGGATTGTCAACATCAAGCTTGATATCATCCCGGGGTTGACCGTTTGCGAACCTCTTTGACCATCTTTGTGAGAGCACGAGCTGAGATGTACTGCCGCCATGCTGTCCATACAACAAGCTCTGGTCCAAAGACACCCAGCATACTCCATTTGAAGTATCTCCATGTGTACTTGAGATCTTTTTCATTGCATTTTGGTAAATTTAAGTGGACAGCGGACCAGACACAGAGAGTCAGGGTCAAGATGCATGAGAAGAGCAGAGAGACTGTGCCGCGGCTGTCAGGATCAGAAACGAAGCCAACCAAGGTCGCATTGCGCGGCCCTGGTTTTTGCAGCTCCACGGTCGACATGGTAGTTCTCTCCGTGGAAAGGAGTAAAATTCTATTAAGGGGATTGAAATAAAAAGATGCCTTGAACAGCCAGGTCCCCAGTGTGTAGAGATGTGGCAAGTCAAACACAACTTGGCGCAGAGATAACAAGCAATAACTAGTTAAGGATATTTCTTTTATCTCAACCAGACATCAACTCTTTAAGAAATCCACGAAAATAAAACTCCAAACACGAACCTTGGCATGACATGCCATTTACCCAATGAGTGCGCTACCAGACGGTCTATTTTTGAGCATCAGTACAGCACCTGGCCTGCAGATGCAAGGCCTGGCTACAGAAGTCGACAAACTGAACGCCCTTCTCGGTTAACCTACTCGTGATTGGCGACACGCACCAACAGCTACAGGAATATCAGCTGGCCATTAGAGGGCTCGCAAGCTGACAAGGTCTCATGCGGCGCAAGAAAGAAGTCATGAAGTGATACCCCTGACAAGCCAGCTAGAATAACTAACTCCTTCACCCAACACGTAGGGATCCTAGTGATTATTGAACTGGTCAAATGGTGCAAAGTTAGAATCTTTCATCGCATCCTCAAGGTTCGATGTTGTGAATTTGTGAGTCTCATAGCTTGGCCCTGGCTAGGACAGAGCCTTACTGTACTTTTTATTTTGTTGCTTTCAGCATGTCTCCTCCAAAAGGTGATTTCCAGTGAAGTACTTGTGAAACCACCATTATTTTGTTACCGCTGCAGCCGCGTGACGAGTTTCCAGGATCGGGTCGTCCATATCACATCGTCCTTCAATCTCATTGGTTCTCTTACACACATCCCAGCCGCCATCAAGTGGCCCACATGTATGATGACATTCCCCGGCCATTGGCAGTTTACGCGCTCGGTTTCAACCCGAGATAGTGGTAAATACCACTTTCCCCAGGGGGCAAGCATTGCCACGGGGGTGGGAAGAAGCCTAGGTTATTAAATTGCGACACCAACACATACGCCCATATTCATATTTCCATGCTTCAGCACTCGTCCAATGCCTCTTCGTTCGGGCCCAATCCGCCGGGAACCTCCCCTCATGTCATCCAAACAGCCCCGTGAGGCGTCCACGCAACGTCAAGACATCGACGAGCCAACCTACAAAGGACGGTCTCGTCTGCCCAAACTCCTGCTCTACCACGCGATCCCACAGTGGCAACAAGAGAATGAATATATCTTATCAGGTTATAGGTAAATGGCGGATCCGGCCAACTTCACCTATCGGCTGTTGGCTGACAGGTCCTTCAGGCCCACCTCGGGGTCCGTCTGGATATCCCTTGAAAGTCTTCTGTATATCAACAATGAAACGATCAGCACCTACTCGCATCTTCTCGGCTGTGCTTTATTCCTCTGCTTGCCTCTCTACTTTTACCGAAATGCTTACAAGCCCCACCCAAATTCCCAAATAGCCGACATGCTCGTCGTCTCGACTTACTGCCTTGGTGTGGCGGTTTGTTTCGCTCTGTCAGCCACGTTCGTATGCCCTCGCGCGCTAAACATGCTCTTCCCATTTGCTAATGTCGTTCAAGATGTCATATCGTATGGAACCACAGTCCATCATTTGCTTCCCTCGGCAATAAATTAGACTACCTTGGTATTCTAGTCCTTATGTGGGGAGCAAGTATCCCAACGATATACTATGGCTTCTTCTGCGACAGTTCACTTAGGCACTTATATTGGACAACTGTATGTACTTGTGTCATACTATAATTATTATACGGGGCTAATTCCGCAGTAGACGAGTTTGTTAGGCCTGGGCTGTGCCGTATTCACCCTCAATCCTCGCTTCAGCCAGCCGCGGTTTCGGCGCTGGCGTGCATGTTTATATGCGTCGTTTGGCCTGAGTTCCATAATATTTGTGGTTCATGGTCTTATACTTCATGGATGGGAGGTGCAAAGTTCTCGCATGTCCTTAGTGTGCATGTCCTGGATGGCGTGCTCCAACACAATTGGTGCGGTCATCTATGCTGCCAGGGTAATGATAATTCCCATCTTTTTTCACCTTGACAACGAAATTCTGCTAATTTTCTTAGGTTCCGGAGAGGTGGGTGCCGTATCGCTTCGACATTTACGGCGCTAGTCATCAGATATTTCATGTCGCCGTCATGGTGGCTGCTTTGATACACTACGCTGGACTCTGGGCGGCATTTGATACGGTTCGATCCCGATTTGACGCATGCACAAATTCATGAGATTGTATTTGGCTATTGAAACGGGGTCAGGCGGTCAGTAGGATATACCTACCACCTAACACACTGAACAGACGGCTCCAGTACCAACAGATCCCATCTGTTGGTCTGATCAGACGAAGATCGTGGTACTGATTGCAAGAGCTTCGCTCTTGCAAGTCTGGTGCGCGAGTTGGTCGGATGTGCCTCTGAGACTCTCGTCGGAATGATTCTCAGAACAAGACGTCTGGCTCTGGGAGTCGAATTGAAGCTCTCACTGGCACTGGATTGCTCTGATCAGAGCAAGATACAGGCTTTTGTCATTGTCAAGGCTAAGATAAGGGCAGAATAATAGGATTTCGAAAGTAGTGTCTAAGTGCACGTGGGAATGAACCGCATAATTGAAGGGCTAGCTAACTAGAATAGAAAACAAAAGTCAAAGTTGATTGAATAAGATGATGAAAAAGATGACGAGTTGTTGAAAGTCGCCTGTTATCTCCGTGTCCCTTTTTGAAGTAAGGAAGACAGGGGAGCCCTCCCTAGCCCCCGTAACCTATTTCCCTGATGTCCGGCCTTACCCCGTTACACTATGAAAATCAGACTGTCGGACATACTGTAGAAAGCTTGGAACGCATATCGACTAAAAGATCAGTCGAGTGAAGCATAGTCGGGCTTGCTGTGGCATCATGACTATTTGGATACCAGATAGACTGATGTTGATTTACTTAAACCGTGAATAAGATTCACCATATTAGTTTCGACTGGCGGGCATCAATGCTATCTGGAAAGCCTGGCGCTGGTATCTGATATTTCAATAGACAGAATGTAAATCAAATTGCCCTTCAAAATAGCATGTAATTGATCGTTAATTTCACCTCATCTCTCATATTTATCTCCTTCACCGCATCGGCAGCACAGCTAGGGCTCCTCTTGGGTTTGATTGAGTCCAAAGCAATTGCGAAACTGCGTCGTGAATCTAAATTTCCTCAATTAGTCGGAGGTAGCTCCGAGCTGACGCATTTCCTGTGAAGTGACGGAGTCCACACATGAAGCCGTATATCTCCAAATCCTTTACAGTCCAATCCTATGACCACGACCCCAGCCAGTGCCAGAACCCCCCAAGCCGACACTTGATTCGAGGCTCCCAAATTTGAAATATTATCATACCCTACCACCGCGTAGTAATCACTCTGAACCATAGCCCCCCGTGTTGTATTTCTGTCGTGAAGCCTGGCCTGAAATTGGAACTCCTTTCCCCCTACCAACACTAAGTCGGTGCTTTCCCATGCTTGGGTCACGTTATATGGATCCCAATTGTACATGCCGACCGATGTAGAGATGTTAGATTTCAGATCATACCCGAAGCTGGTGCCGGTAGCAGTCACGCCCATGAACCAGAGGTCCAATTGATCGTAAGCGCTGCTATCCGACGTCCAGGTGACACGGATAGGAGCTGAGACGTTCAGCTTCTGGTTCGAATCCGGGCTGGTGAACTCAAATGCGGCGACGAGGGTTGCGGGAAACAAGAAAAAAGGGCGATGGGTGACCACATGATTGATTCTTGTTGAGGCAAGGTTGGCCCTGGTAACACAAGCACCGTGTTGTAGTGGAGCGTAGTGGCGAGAAGACGTGAACTTACATGAATTATGGAGGTGTTTTTTTTTGAAATATTAAGAAAATGAAATGTGAACAAAAGGTGTGTTGCATGAGTTACGGTCTCGTGTACGGAAAACTCCAGGATTCGGCTTATTAATTGTCCTGCGTTGGCGTACCGTGACACATGGCACCACAGATTGGCACAAGAGGAGCTGAATACAATTGCCAATCAGGGTCAAGCCTCGAGGCAATCTAATCAACTTCATCACCCCCTTCCGTTAGGTTGATGACTTTACTGGTTGGCCTGTAGTAGGTGCCAATATTTGGCGCTTGGTCCCCACGGCTATGGCAACCATGATTCAACCAACGTCACCAACCAATTGTCCAAATTGGTATGGCTTGGCGACCAAAATCCGAGGGTTTAGTGGGTTATGGTTGTTCACCCACGCCAACCCTGGCTAACCAGGTTGACTCGGTGATGTTGCCTCGAGGTTTGATCAGGGTCACGGTGAGATCGTAACGAACGCAATACCCTTCACGGGTATCAAGTTTTTAGTTCCCACTAATGATGTGTTAGACACATACCTAGGTTAGATTGCTATAACTGAGTAAGAAGATATAAAATAAATACGCAAAAGGTTTTGCAGCTCTGCTGGGTATCTAGATGCATCAATTGTCAAAAGACTGTTGTCCCACATGAAGAGCTACCAGAAGTCCATCGAGATGCACGTGCCCAGATCTGTCTATCAACAAAACCGGGCAAGTTGACAACTTAACAGCAGGGAAATCTAGAAGCCCTCCCCCATCCTCGCCGACCTGTCAGGTACTCTAAAACTGCCCAAACCCCGGTGTTGCAGAGCCGCCGACTCTCAAATTCATTTCCTTACCCTCGTTTGTATGTGCCGTCTATAACCAACTTCACCAATCGGCCCGCACGACTCATAGGACAGGCATATGTTCAAAGAGTGGCTGCCGGTGGCTTTTGCGCTGTAGTTGCAATCCGAGCGGCACTGAGCTCAATAGGTTCAGCCTGGGTTTCTGCTACAGCCAGCCGCATAGGTCTGCGCTAGAAGCCACCTAACTCCCGTATTTTTGGGTGGCCTAAGTAGAGCGGATGCGGTTTGGCAAATACGACGCTGACACCTAGAGTCACAACGGCTACACAAAGCTGCAGGAAGAGATAGCGGGGGTGAGCTTGCTTAGGCTCAGTACAAACAACGAAGAAACCAATAATGAGTACCTGAAGAATTTTAGGCTTAATATCTCGGCTCAGGTAATAAGATTAAGGTGAAGCTGTTGTTAAGCGGAAGCGGAGGCAAACGCGTTGTTCATAGAACAATCCGACACCAGAATCGAACACTCAGGTAGTCATTTCTCGCGGGATGGGATTCGTATTTCCAATAGACCAATAAAGAAGTATGCATGGGTAAAATCAAACTCACCTTTGCGAAGCTAGGCGACATTGACATTGATCGAAATTGCGCAATTAGTAAGTTGCGGAGGTTCGTTACCAAGCACCGGAGAAAGTGGGTTTGATGAAACGCCGCTGGTGGAACACCGCCGCATATTTGTAAGCAAACGCCGGCTGACACTCCATATTTCTCCGGACGCTCCCCGGGGCTTTGGATACATGTCCACCCAACGTATCAGGCCATCCTCAAGACACTAATCTGCTTTCTCAGCTAAGAAATTCTGCAGTCGTTACAAATTCACAGTCTTCGAAAATGACGAACTTCAACATCAAGATCATATCGGACACTGTCTGTCCTTGGGTAAGCGCGCACCTTCCCAAACATCCGGATCCCAGCGATCAACTAACAAATTCGCAGTGCTATGTCGGCAAAAAGAAGCTCGACAAAGCCATCGAGCTCTACCGCAAGGTCTACCCTGGCGGCAAGGATGACACCTTCACCATCAGCTGGTACCCTTTCTACCTCGACCCGACCTCGCCCAAAGTCGGCATCCCGGTGAATGAGCGCATGGCGCAACGCTTTGGCGCCGACCGTCTGCCAGCGATGCAAGCGCGCCTCAAGTCCATCGGCGAGCAAGAGGGGATCAACTTCCGGAACGCGGGCAAGATCGGCAACACGCGTGATTCGCACCGCCTGATCCAGCTGGGCAAGACGAAGGGGAACGAGATGGAGAACCGGGTCGTGCTCGAGTTGTTCAAGAGCTACTTTGAGGGCACGGGCGACATCACCAGCCATGCGATGCTTATCGAGGCTGCCGAGAAGGCTGGGCTCGACAAGCAGGAGACGAAGACGTGGTTGGAGGAGGGTAAGGGCGGCGAGCAGGTCGATGCTGAGGTTCAGGAGGCGTACCGACGGGATATCCATGGTGTGCCGCATTTTACCATCCAGGATAAGTATGAGGTTGATGGCGCGCAGGATCCGGATGCTTTCATCGAGGCGTTTGCCAGCGTCAGGAAAGGCAAATAGATACGAGTCCTGGCGTGGAGGAAGTGGGAAGTTGGGAACATAGCTCATCAGGGTATCATTGTCCACCAACCTAGCACATAGCTACCAAGCACGCAGCTGCTGGTCCACAGCTCATCTACTCATGTAAAGTCCATTGAGGTCCTTCTCCATAGCCTTTAATGTTCGTTGGAGCTCTCTCTTCTTCTTGTCCAGCTCCCTGACTTCCTCTTCTTCCATAATAAGGTCATCCTCGGTCAGGGTGGCTTCTTGGTCATCGGCACTATCTGTGTCTGCCTCTTCCTCTTCATCCCATATATCCTTATTCATCCTGCCCAAAGCCTCCTGCTGTTCCGTAACCTTTGCCTCGTAGTAAGCCAGGGTATTCCGATTATGTGCGTACTTCGCCCTCTGGGCCATTATCCGTTCCGGAGCTCCAGGCAGTGGATATACGGTGCACAGTTTTTCGGCGCCCTTTAATAGTATCTCAACATCCATGTCGTCCTTGTTCCGTCCTCTCTCGCTCCGCCGAATCTGATCGTGGAGATCTCCACCGAGAACAGCCGAGACAGCGGTATGTCTCCGCGGCGCGCCACTGCTTCTGCCCGTAGCGCCACCGGACGGCATTACCTCACCCGAGGCGACATTGAAGACGGTCTGACGACGCGACGACTGTTTTGGCGGGTCGGAGTTCTGGCTTGTAGCGGGTGGCTCTGGCGGTGGGACGGAGAAGAGCGCCCGTTCATGCGCTTCCGTGTCACGGATTAGGGACGTGATATCGTGGTTGGAGAGGAGCGCGTTGGTGAAAATCTTGGGAGGGGGAAATGGTAGACTGTCGATGCCTTGGCAGGAGATGGCAATCTGCTCAAAGTGGGCGGATAAGAGCGACATTGTGAGTTGTTTTTATGCTGGACAAGCTGCAGCGGTTGTGGAAATTCACGAAGATGCTTGAAAACAAAGGGTCAGCTAGGTGGATGTTGGAGGCGGTGGTGCAGCCATAACCTAGCCTAGAGCGCGTCAGGCACATCCGTTGCAAACAAGCTCTTTCTTCGGGCCTGCCGTACGCAGTTCGAGAATGGGGCCGTGCAAGCATCAATTCCTGGCGCGCTGTTGATCCAAGATGCAAGTCAACACGATCTTGCTGCAAGTGAGGAAACGGGACCCGCCCAGTTGATACCCCTCACTCAATGTTACTAGGTAACAATGCTTCCTGGGAAGGCAATGTCTGGTCACGAGCCCTTCCCTGCTAGGTCCCAGGTAGCATTATTTTGAATCAGCAGCAAATCGTCCCGTCAGCCAAACCCCATCATCCAATTGACTTCGCTTGCATCAAAACAAAGCTTGAAATTATTTATGCATGGCAATATCGGATTTCCATCTCAATGTAGTTTGACCACGGCAAATGGATCCAGGCCAGATCTGACCTTACCGTTGGTCCCGATGAAGCTTTCCCGCGCAGGCAAGTCTGGTCTGTCAGATGGCACACTCCGAGATACCGACATGGGCAGACGATGTATTGCACAACAGCATTGTGAAGCCTCCAGCAATGGAGCATCGTGGCAATGCCACGCGTTCGCCCGACGCAGCAGGCCGTACAATCATCGCAGATTGACTGCAGCAAGGCATTCAGAGGCAACTTTAACAATTGTCAACCAGCCAAGCAGCGACTTTTCTCCACCTCCACCTCACACTATCGCCCTTCTTTTCTCTCCATCCTGCATGTCGCGACGCTACTTTTCCCCTTTTATTGGGCACAAATGTTGCAACTTGGCTCCAGTCCATCTATGCTCCTCCCACTTATCGACGTCGCTCCGTCCCGTTTCGATCTGATACGTCTGGAATTGAGCTGTACTCCAAGCAAGCAGCCTTCCAAGCGAATCCTCTTTCGGCACCTTTCAAGGTTTAACGAAAGAATGACCTGGACATGCGGGTTCAAATTCTGACATGCTCCCACCGCAGTAAGTACTTATCATCCATGCTGCAAGCCGTCTTTTCTCTATCAACTTGTCGCATATCCCCTGGGTCTATGGGCCCTCCCGCATGTGCGAGATGGCCACGAGGTAGCCAGGGAGTCCTGGAGCATTGCTGCCCAAAGTTGTCGTAGACGAGCGCGACGCTGCGACAACCTTCGACATAGGCTGAGAGGTCCGGAAAACTGGGCACAATTCTTCCTCTTCCCGTCTTCGTCCCGAAGAGCCTCTTCCCCCGTTGTCTCCACACTCTAACAGTCCATATCTGTTCGGAACTATAAGACTGCTTTGGTCCCGCCGCCAGGCATCCACCCCGGTCTACCGCTCTCTTCCGTAGATGAGATTCGTTCTCATAAGCTCGGACAGCTGGAATACAAAACGTTGTCTCTAGTTTCGGTCTTCTCCATTAAATTTCCATCTTGAAACGTCCTGCCAACGCGGTCGTCCAATTTCTTTGTGCCCCTGGATTTCTCAGTACACGATTCTCGCTGGCCCAGGTTGAGGTCCCGCTACGACTCAAATATCGTCTTTCCCGCGTCGGAAACCTACTTGTCTCTTTTAACGCTCGTCAGTCCCGAAAGCAGACTAGGCTGTCCCTTGTTCGCCTCCTAGGACCAGCTTCGTAGCTGACAATTCGCATCCTCACATCTGGATCAGCCCGCTGCCAATTGCTTCGGCTCGTGGGAAATCGGCGCCACCTGACTTGTTCCCCCAACCCTCTTCAGTATTATCATGACAAGTTATCGAGGCCCATTATCCTCTACTCCACGTTGGAGATCTTTACTGTGGGTGTTGATACCTTGAGGCACCTCGTCCTTGATACTTGCTCTATGCTCTATCACCACCCCGCGATTTCTACCCCACAATCAATTGATTGGGAACCAAAAACAAAAAAAGACGATAAGATTAAAACAGGCACTCACGGCTACGGGCGGGCGGGAATAGTTGCACCAGAACCCCAGACGACGCGACCCCACACGCCGACTCTACATCCCTCTAGAGCGGGACCCACGTCACCGTCCGAGACGCCTATAACGGGCTATCCCACTTGCAATCGCAGACACGGTCCTAGAGGCCGGCGATTATCCAATCCCATGGTCGCCCGCCGGGGGCCGCAGCGATCCCAGATGCAACAGCCGTTAGGCGGCGTAGGGTCCCAATTCAAATTCAGTTGCGGGATGCGCCCCGTGGAAATATTGCCGCAATCCTACAGTTCGTCCGAAAATGAATATGAGGACAAACCCGAGGACGAGGACGACCGTGAGGGAGAAGAGTACGGTTCTTTGGCCAACCCACCAGAATTACTACCGTCTGACGCCCCAATCCCAGACATGCGGCAACCCATGCCACACATTGCCACAAGGACGCTGCGCATAATCGCAGAAGCTAATTTCTCAATTGAGGAGATGCAAGACGACGATGATGATGACATGGGCAGCGACTGCGAGCATTTGGCAGTTCTTCGCCCGTCCGGCTTCGAGTACCCCGAGTCCGACCGCAGCCGTTCTCGATCACGCCCGCCTCCTGAACTCGACACCCACCTCATGACGGGTCTCAAGGACTTGCACTGTTTCGAGTCCGACGATTCGGACATCGACTACGATGACGAACATGGCCAAGACAAGGTCATGCGGGCGGTCCACCAACACCGCAGAAAGAAACGAGAAAGGAGGATGACGTCGGGAAGCATTAGCAAGCGAACAGTGAGCGAGAGGGGAAGTGACTCGGACCGCGAGGATCTCAAGCCCTGGGATACAGGCGAGGCAGGGCCCAATCTACGTCGTTTGCGCCGCAAGACAGACAGGAAGAGTCTGCTGTCTATTCCTCCCGAGGTCATCTACGAGCTCACTGAGCCAAAGGAAGATGAGATCATCTTGGGCGAGTCAGAGCTCCTTGCGCGGGAGCTTCCGTACTTTGAATACATGGCGGTGGACTCTGAATAGCTGGAGCAGGACCGCATACTATGATGGTACATCCGACGCGGAAAGCATTGCATCGCGTATCCACATGCGTGGATGTTCACCAAGCAGTGATGGAAAATACTGTGCATTTCATGACATGAGCATGGCGAGGCGGCACATACAACACGCCCTGCCGGAATTTGGCATACCTATCACGGAACTGAAACATACACCAGCATACGTAAACAAGCATTGCCAAGATTCGTTATTAGAAGGGAAGTTGGCTACATCGGCGTTGTTACGAGGTACACGAGTGTGCATAGCGGGAGGTAGTTTCTCGATACCATTGTTGGAAAGATGGCCAAAAGATGGAACGACGGATGGATTGCGAGCTCCGGAATCTTACGACTGATGACGATGATGATGACCTTTGTATAAAGCGGTTGGTCGTTTTACTAGGACACACGGACTGGAGACGACTGGCTGCGATATTTTCGTATTGCATAGACTCTTAGTGGGTTTGGAGGACATTCGGGGGTCGGTTGGAAATATGATGATTTTCTTTACATGTCTTCTAAAGTTATTATGCTGTGTATGCTTCGAAACTGGCTAGGTGATGGTTGGTTGGCTGTGTACACCCCTGAGAGTAAGCATATTCAACTTTGCTAAGTCACCTGTGTCTTACGTGAAGAGGTTCGTTTCTATAAGGAGAGTTTTAGGTATACCTTACCAGGTATTCAAGTTTTAATCTAGAGCTACTAACCGTATTGACCTACAAATGCAAAACCTTGAAGTTATAGTTAACATAATGTCCAAGTCTGAGAATAGGGCCAACTATTGTATTGTGTTGTATTGTGAGGAGGAGGGGCAGCGGTCCCGTCTGATTATTTGGCTATGCACAGGTGCATGTGGAGGGACCCGAAGGGTAGCCATATCTATCATCCGGTGAGCCTTCTTTCCTCAGCGGGTGGGAGCCGTGACAGCGCATCCCGTCCCCTTGGTTAATACTACCTCATTCTGTAGATTTGTTAAAGCAACCTCCAGATTCCATGCATATTGTAACTTCTCGACGCTATAGCTCAAATATATATTCTACTTGTGGGCGTTGTTGCTTTGACCATCCGCAATTAATAATGAGCGACAAGGACAGACGAAAGCCTGAAAACTAGGTCTGATGTGTGTGTTAGAGGTGCAGTGTTTATGGAACATTCCGTAGCTCCATATTTTCGGCGTTTTAGTGACCATACTTGTCGGCTCTGCGGTAGTTTTGGCAGATTATGAGTCTGTTCTTTGTCGGTACAGACTGGCATACCTCTCAGAAAGTCGGGAGTATTGTCTCATCAACATCAACGATCAATCTGGCAGGTAAGCATTAGCGACTAGTAAACATATTATCCTGCACGCTATATTATAGGATTGAGATAAGTAATAACGACGGCTTCACAGATCACCCAGTACCTCACCGCTTTTTCCATATACTAAACGGGATACAAAGCGTGGGCAAATGTGACCTCAGGTGCAGAGTGGAACAAGGCGCCCAAGCACGAACTAGGTTGATGTATTTAAGGACCCCGGTGGGCCGATTGGGCAGTTATTCCTCACGCACCTTCGTAGTGCCTATACAGATCCTACATAGCTCCCAAACCTGAGATCCGACACAAATTACTTAACGTGTGTAATTGGATCCGTCTCAACTGTAGTAGTCACTAAAGGTAACTTCAGGTTTGAAATGACTAAAACCTATAAGGCATCTTCAGAAAGGGAAAGCACAACTGGCGGCGCACGGGAAGTCGCTTGGGTGACATCACTGCCAGGGTCGAGCGACGTGGGGCACCTCGACCCTTCGCGCAAGATGGAACATGAGCACGCAACACCAATCTTAACTGAACAACCTCTCAACCAAGAGCAGCTCGAACTATTTGCTGACCATTGATTCTCAAACCATCTGTGTCGTCATGGCAGCCTTCTCTCTATCCGCTATACTATTCGCCCACGGGCTCGTTGCTGTTGCCACCCTGCAAGTGAGACCAGCCGAGCAGAACGTCTTGGCGTCCTCCGAGACCTTCTCGAGCACCAGTGCCTACAAGGTCCAACATGAGTATCCTTTCCGGCCAGGTTCCCTCAAAACGGCTCAATTGAAGCTGACGTTACTGTCCAGGTTGAAGAAGGCCGAGATCATCCCCACAGGTATAATATACATAATACGATCCATCTTCTCAAACTTACCTAATGTGTAGTGATTGACGAATTCTTCCCTTCCTTCATCCTCGACGCTTCGTGGTCGTCAGACGACTATGCGTCTCTTGGAAACACTCTCAAAGTGAAGAAGATACAAAAGAAGCCGAAGATCTTATTGAGTCAAGATCCGTCGACTTCAACAACTCTTTGCAATCCCAATGTGACATACGCCGTCACTCTGACCGACCCTGATGCCCCGTCTCGAGACAACCCAAAGTGGGCCGAGAGTATGTACCACCCGAGTCATGAAACATATTGATCTTTCAACTACTAACACTTCTATAGTGTGTCACTTCATCGCCAGCGGTTTCGCCACCACCTTATCGTCAGATGACAGCTGCTCAAGCCTTGAGCTGACGAATCTCACCGATATCATGCCATATAAGGCCCCCGGACCACCACCCAAGACCGGCAAGCACAGATACGTCTTCCTAGTGTTTGCGCCGGCGAACAGCACCACCAGTCCTTTGAACCTGACGAAGCCCGAAGATCGGCAACACTGGGGTACGGGGAAGCAAAGGCACGGAGTCAGAGACTGGGCTCATGAAAATGACCTGGTGCCAGTTGGTAAGAACATCATGTACCGTATTTTGAGACGTCGAAACTAAAATTGAATAGCTGCCAACTTCGTATATGCTCAGAACAAGAAGCAATAAGCCAAATGGTTTGCTCTTAGAGTGAAGGAGAACATGATGGCGTGGTAATAGATTCAAGATTGCACCTTTTGGGCTATTATTAGCTTCAAACCTCTGCCAAGACGTGCCGATGCTATATTCTATTGTACCGGTGGGCGTGGTTTCGTTTCACCACACAACTGAAAATGCTTATCCCCTCTAGCTATTGTTAGAGCCAGAAAAAATACGATGAGATGCGAAAGATGAGGAACCCGATCGCCATGATAGATTACAGTATCCAATCCATTATCATGCGACAGGTGTTATCAGTCGCTATCAAATTTACTGAGTTATACGTCTGCCCACGATATCCTTTCTCTTCGCCAGGCAACCTTCGGCGACATCATGCAAGCCGTCGAAAAGTGGTTGTCTGCTATTCACGCAGTACCTCAGGATCTAGAAGAACTCGATGAAGCCATATGCGTTCAACATTTGGAGATAATCATACTCCTTGAATGACCTCAGGGTATTGGGATATCCCAGAATGTCATTAACCCGTCCCCCCGCGATGTAGGGGCGAGGGGTTCAGCCGCCTATTTGCGGGCAGACACCTTGTCGATTAGACTGTGGAAGGAGTTCATGTCGGACTTGAGGTCCGTAACGGCCAACACGAGCTTGTCGGTGAAGTGCTTCAGACGCACCTCGTCCCTCGTTGGTAAGGGCCGTTTGCATGAGGTCCAGCAGCTCGTTGTAGATTTAGTGGAGCGGCTGGTGCTCTATTAGTGCATTTAGAATATGTTGATGATGTTCGGGGACACGGCTGCGGTGGCGGTGGCGAGAACGTGGCCGCTATGAAACAGATGAAACCTCTTTGGCCGAGGCTCATATTGCCTTCATTGTGGTTTCTTTTGGCGTCATGGACCACCAGCTGCTCCCGCCGGCGGATCACAGCCACTTCGGCATCCGAAAAGCCGATGCCTATGTCGTGTACGTCATCGTCTGATATATTTTCGTCCAACCCCTGCTACTTGTCCACGTACCAACCGGTTGGGCCCAAGTTCGGCCTCTCGTTATGGTTGTCGGGTTGTTGGGCAACCCAACCTGACAGCTCGGGGAACCGTCAGGTAATGGATCTGTCATTCCATAGTCAATTTCGTCTCATGTCACCCTGGAATAATGAGAAGGTTAATCCAATAGAATATCAGTGCTATCCAGGTTCAATCAGAGTGCCGACAGTTTTCTAGCTATTACGGGTAATGTGAGGTGCAAGTTTTGGTTGTTGCAACTGAAGTCACCTGATTTGCTTTTCAGGAGCTCCTAGTCCACACTCTTCCAGGCCTCGAAGTTGATGGCGCGTGCTTCACAGCCTCCAGAGTTGTCAGAGAACAAGGTGATATAACCGACTTTCTGTTAGGAGAGGACCCGAATCGACAACGTTGAACCTTGGGCTGCTTCCGTGATGCGTTTTGGTGACAAGACCCTACCCGCTGCGGTTTGACGTCAACATCACGCAGCAGCCATTGACGACGAGTAGGTTGGCAACGAGTAGGTAGGAGCTGAAATTCAGGTTTTCAACGATGTCGACCTCTCGAAGCCAAAGAACTGATGCTTCATATGTGTCTTTTCCGCAACACTTTCCCGTTTGTACTTCGCGGTGCTTTTCTCAATCACACGGCAGCATATGATCATGCCCACAACTAACATACCCATCCCAGCAACAGTGAAGGCAAAGCCAGGTCCCAGCTTGGTGGCCCAACCCTCTCCGCCAGCATCGGGTGTAAATGATATAACAGACCGGCAAAGAAGCAGTCCAAGTCGCAACAGCATACAGAGGTCCGGCTGAAAGTAACGCGCCTTCTTTCTGGCTGTTACCAGAGAGCTTTACTGAATAAAAGGCGCGACGTTGGGGTCTAGGAAAAATCTGTCTTCGTACGAGGAGGTTGTCCACCCGGGAGATTTATGCGAAGGCCAAAAAAAGATGTTTTTCTTCTTCTTCTATGATGGTTACTTCTGGTTTGAGGCGGGATTTTGTAGCCCTGTACTTGGCCGTACCTTCCCACCTCCAGGGTAGGAAGTGCTGCTTACCATTGCGTTTCCTCCGGCTGATTCTGTTATTCGATGAATTAGTTTCCAGTTTTTTGCATTTCGCTGTGGGCCTTTCCGTGACCATCTCGTTAGCTTGAATGCCGGAAGCGGTCATAGTAGCCACACGAAAGTCGATTTCATCCAAGACGACATTGGTCCTTTATAGGCTGTGGTGATGTAAGACACTGCCCTGGCTAATACAATGGCTCCTCACGTGTAAACTTGATCAAGCCCGCTTTTATATCGTCTCAAGTGCATAGAGATCGGTAGAGGGGCGTCCTTCTTGCTGGGCAGATATATGTTCCGGGCAATACTAGGCTGGCCCATTGTACGCATAAATCCGAGCCCGTTCTACAATTCGCAATCCTCGTGGGGATTTGAAGGAATAAACTCTAGTTCGACCGTCGCACAGGTTCCATGGACTGACCGATCACGGCTTGCTCCCATTGGGGGCACTGACTCGAATCGCACCGCTGACGGCTGTGAAGATACCCATGGCAGCACCTCGCTCATGAACCTTTTTGCAAACTGGTTGCCACACAGAGCTAAAAGACCGCAGGGAGACGATTCCAATTAGTCACGTTATACAGTTGAGTATCGAAGAGTATGCAGAGAAAACATAGAGAAAACATACAGGACAATGTCGGCGAAGAAGTTGAAGGCGAAGCCATCGTCACTATCAATACTGGTAAACACTGTTCCTGCGGACACTCATGAATGGCTCAGGGCCATATATTGACGAGAGATTACCTGAGAAACTGTTGGAGTCAGCATTTGCAAATAGAGAATGCGTTTTCCTGAACACGTACAAATGAGCTTGATTTAGTCTTTGAACCTTCAAGCTCCTTCCCTACAGACGCATTGAACATCAGGACTGGTAAACATGGCTATTGAGACGACTTGAGCCTCAACAGCCTCCAATTTCTTCCTGCTGTCCAGTCCTCCGCGTCGTTGCCGTTGATCACAGTGTCCATGTCTTTCATCTTTCCGTCTCTGTTCTTGATCTCAACGCGTCACTACACCTCTCCATCTCGTCCAGCTCACCATCAAAGGCTTCCGAGGGGGAACATGGCGAATTCCAGCTATGATAACCGGAGTTGGCGCGAAGAATGCGGCGAAAGATATGCCGGTTGTCATCAAGATAAAAGTTCTGGTGTACCGGGAGAAAAGAGGGTAACTCCTGGACGAATTGATATTCGACTGCGACTCGACCACAAAATAGCACCATGAAGCCCCTGACCGGCTATTCCCTCCGTCTCGTGCTGGGCAAGCGCCACACCTACAACAATGTGCTCACTCGAGCAACTTGTAATTTATGGTCTTGTTCCAGGCTCGGCTTCTTTTCCAAGAGTGCTACGACGTCCTCTCGGCCAATGAGGACTGGAAAGAGTTGGCATTGGCGTTCTGGATGAACGGGAATGTCAAGTTGAGACTCAAAACGCTCTCAACATTCATAACGTCATCCCACGTTCTCTACCAGAAAAGTGCAGAAGAGGACCCCATCGGTCCTAGGTCCCAGCTCCAGCCCGTGGCCGATGACTAACTTCCGATTCTTGCGCAGCTCCGCCGTAAACTTGTGTACGAGAGTAGCCTAGGCATGAATGACACGACGAATCGCGTAAAGTCTTGACGCGACATGAACGTCATGATCAGAGAACGGGCCAAGTTTACTATTTTCTATATAGACGTGTCAGGGTACGGCTAGGCCGAAGGCAATAGTACAGAGTGATGGGGAGTAACGGGCGTCCCTCCTACGTAGCACCGGGTGGTCACTGGCGGTCTCAGGTAGGGGTGCCCACGGTGATGCATTGATCTCTGCCCTCTCTATCTTCCTCCGTCTCGACTCCTTACTTATAGCCAGCCGAGGTTCTCTCTTGGATTCTGGATGTTTGCTTCCGTATGTCTGTGTTCCTCCGACTTCGGCCAATATCTTGGACAGCGGCTCCTTATCTGCAACCAAGCGATTCCCTATCCGCTGCAAACGGCTTCAACGGCTCTCATTCGCCACAAGCGGCTCTCTAGCCGCCACAAACGGCTTCCTACCTGGTGGAAGCCGGCCCGCCTCGGATGACACTTGTGGCTCTGACAACTCCTTCCCTATCCTACTTCGAGATGGTCCTTATATAGATAGCTAGGCCGCCGCTTGGACCCGGCATAACAGCAGGGTCGGCGATGCCAAGGATCTTGACTCTCGTCATCCCAAAGCTTCACATAGATTGTAATCATGATTCGGGAGTCTTTTGTCCGAAACACCCCTCCGGCGGCCCGCCGGTGTCCTGCGTTCAGTGTCCTGACACCCACTGGTGCCTATGGCATTCTGTTCTCTGACAAGACGTACCGTATCCCCAGGACCTGAATCGATCCTCTGCCTGCAACTGGATCGGTCAAGGAGATGGAAATTTCAAGTTGATTCTTATATACATTGAAGTAGATATGGCACTATGTGTAACAGGGTATGATCAATCCCTACTGAATCCGGCTGCTGAGAACCCTACCGAGAAGCTCAGAATACCGATGAGGATTCCGAGGAGAATCCCGAGAATTCCGATGGAAAGCCCATTCAGGAAGCCTGATGAGAAGGCGGCTGAAAATTTAGCGAAGGAGCCGCCTGAGAAGGGCAAGCAACCCGAGGCCGCCTCCCTCCAAGAACGCCCGAAGAACGGTCCTAGCTCCGCGGCCGTCTACCAAAATACCAAACCCGGAGAGAATAAGGCACATCCGGCCGCTTTTGTCTAACAAGACATCACGAAGTGGAGCTGGCGCAAGTGGCAACACGAGTATCTACAGTTGTGTGGCGTCGCACGGGTTTCACATCCCATAGGCTGACCCGCAAGCTTGGGGCGTTGCTTTGCCATGCGTTGCACGCATGAGTCCGAATGCTTCATTGCTGCTTTCATATTTCCCTCGTCAAAGGGGAAACGCAATACTAATCGCATGGAGCATCGCGGAGAGATTTGATCCCAAGTGGGAAGACGTTGCATTGGCATGCGCTTATCTTGATGCGGTTGGTGATGACCTAGTTGGATAGGGTGGGAAAGAGAAAACCGAGAATTCTCCCGTCCCCCAGCACAAATATTTTGATATTTCGATGTAGTTGATGTTGGTGAGAAGCTCCTGTTCACCTAAACAAAGATTTATTCATCAGTTGTGGAATTTTTGTCTCGTTCTGAGGCATGAGTTTCAGATTGATTACCGTTGCAGTGAATTGCTAGTCTACAATAGATTCTGTGGTCGACTAACTAAGGCGGATACACGGAACAAGATAGTTATAGTAACTCACAAGAGAATAAGTCCTATGGTTGTATTGGTGATCATGACGTTAGGACTAAGTCCCAGAGGCTGCAGCTATGGAAGGGCTACCTATGGGCAATTGGCCCCAGCGCTGTGCCTGGGCACACAATGATTAGGCCAAAGAGGAGCCTAGAACAGGACGATACGCTCTACCTTGGTATACAGTTTTACAGGCAAGCCAAATCCTAGAATTTCTTGTTAGGAAGGAACAAGATACATAGTGTTATGGACAAACTCATTGCCAGACGTGAATCAAACATTACAACAAAAAGTCGGGTCAACCATTAACTACCCTGAACTTAGTCCTTTTGATTTCTACTAGTTACTAAATCCATCAATTTCATCTCATGTAATTGCCCCAATGTTTTGCCCCAAAGGCTCGCCCTTTGCCTAGCCACATGTTTCCTGTCCCAAACCCCTATGCTTTTACTTATAACGAGAGTACCTGAGTCGCGCTGATTTTTTCATCAACTGGAAGGTTTCTACTAACTTAGTGGAATTATGTGACTAGAAATACAGTACAGATACAGTATTCCGCGTGGGACCCTAACATACAAGGCTTGTGAGTTTGATAGCATACGGCTGCGCAGGACAAGTGCAACAGCGCACAGCATTTAGTACCAATGCTCACAATTTGAGAGATGATGAGAATACTTCTATGTCGTGTCCATGTGGGAAATTAGAAAAATTCGATCCCCCGATGCGTGGATGGTACTTTGATTGTGGATGTCACTTTGCTCAACCAATATTTAATCACTACATTTTGCACAAGTTGACATTCTGCGGACGTACCTATGTCTATCTCATGTAATCTTAATACGAGAAACGTAGGTTCACATCATGATCGTTACAGCATCATTCCTAACCCATCTCACATTCTCAATAAGCGTTGGCAATTGCGAGTTCTGAAGTATCTCTCAGGATTCTCCCGTCCATAACGCCTTTTCCATTACCGCCTTCAACGTTCCCCACACCCTGGATGAGTGTGGGGTTACAAGTTGAACACACCTTTCCTCCCATCATGCCACATATCCATCTCGACTCCGTTGATGGCAATGGGCACTGCGGGCTCCCAGGGGCCATCCTGGTCCTTGAAATACTTGGTGAACCGGTAGTAGGCGGCAGCAATGCTCGCTCCAAGGACGGGACCGAGCCAGTAGATCCAATGATACTGGGGGAAGGATTGACTGGCCACAGCACATCCGAAACTTCGTGCCGGATTGAGCGATGCGCCAGTGAAGCCAACGCCTAGCACTCATGTTAGTACTCGGTACTCCTAGTGATTAGGTATCACGACTTACCAGCAAGTTGGCCAGCAAACACTGCCAATCCCACACTTATGGGGATAATGATGCTGTCCTTAGATTTCTCAGATCCGACAAAGAGTACAATCAGCATCAGTTGTGCCGTGAAGAACAACTCCATGAACAATCCCTGCACGGTTGTAGCCCTAGTTCCCAGGGTCGTGTTGGCTTTTCCAATGCTGCCAGGGTATATGACTTCGGCAAGTAAACCAGCGCAAACACTGGCCAACAGTTGTGCTGAGACATTGATAGCACCCCTTAGAGGCTCGAGATTACCGGCTAGAAATTGGCCCCAGGTAACCTATGAGGTTCGCATGTCAGCTCTGGTATATCAGAGGACTGGGAGCTGGTAGAATAACATACAGCTGGGTTAAGTTGACTACCACTGATCCGCATCGCCACCCACACGTTCACTGCCAAAGACACGGCATACCCCGTACCAATGAAGAGGATCGTCTCGCTGCTCGTAAATCCATTCACGGCATTCTCAGATGCTTGGTTCGCGCCGACGATATTGCAGCCATAGCCGATGAAAAGAAACATGAACGTCCCCACGAACTCCCCACTCCATGAAACCATGTGAGCGGTGGCCGGGCTCATATGTCGTCGGGACAGTCGTTGCGGCAGTCCTGTGTGGTACTCTGTGTCATCGGCTGCCGGGAACGACGGCGGCAAGACCGCGCTGTCGGGCCGGGCGGGTCGTTGAGGTTGTTGATGTTGTTGAGACATGTCGATCGTGTAAGTGCTGTCGCTGTTCATGCGTTCGAACTTGGCGTCTGTACTAATGGAAGTCTCCCAATGAAATGAGTAAAAAGGGATAGATCTTCTCCATGTGCTCATCATCTTTCTTCGACCAGTTCGGTGGGATAGATGCAGCTTATAACGTTTTCTCTCCGTTTTAGAGTTTCCAAGTACCAACTACTATTCTTGTCCCATGTTCCTTTTTGTCCAAACGGAATGGAACGGACATTGCTACACTAGCCGAGCCAAGTGTCAATGAGACGAACGCAAATTTATTTGACGGTACGATTCATGTAATGGCTGCTGCGGCTAGCGACATGATCGGGCTCCTCGGGACACCCAGCGGCGCAGCCGACCGCCTTCCGCCTTCAACCCGTTTACGATAAATATGTTATGGATCCTATGGCCTTATCTTTGTGAGAGTGGATAGACTATGACGGAGCTGTCAAATCTTCTCCACGTCGTGACGTCTCCGATGGCAGAAAAACGTCCAGCCTTTTGCGAGGTATATGCCGGACAAACCAAAGAATGACATCAGAGGACTGTTTCACGTCTGCCCGTCTGATCCCCCATTCGGAAACTGCCGCCAGCGTAATGATGTGATACTATTCCGTGCTCCTACAGGACACTTTGACTGTAGAGTTGAGCTGAGCCTTGATGTTGCGCGGGTGCGGTTGCGAGTGGTCGTCGTCTGCTTTGTGTCAACTATATCCAGAAAACTGGATCTCGTTCATGCAACTTCTGCCCAATCCGGTAACATTATAGAAATGCCCTACCGCCAGCATAGCACAATTGTAACCCAGTGCATTAGTTAGGTCCCACTCCTCTTTGACTTCCTTGGCCTTTCCTGGGACCAATGGAAATGAGTGATCATGGTAATCAAACCACACACAGCAACAGAATCCCCTGTTCCATTCTTGAGCAGTCACATCATAGTTCATCGAGATCAACAAGGTCTTAACTATACCACGCACCCATTTATCGCCGACTTTCTGCCCGCTGATCTGGGAGGACCCCGAGACTCCCCCTTGTGGCATTGCTATCGCTGCTTGTCATTAATGCCCAATACGTCAACCCGTGATAATTTTAGCGGGTTGCATTAACCTGAGAGACGTCATAATGTCACGATGCTGTGAAGCTTTCCTATTGCACAGTGAGCCCAAAACGTACGATGAAAGAAACTTAGTATTGTCTCGAACAAGCAATTTTCTTCGCCGAGTTGAACCGGCTGGTATTGTCTACATGTGAAAGTCAACTTCGCCGTTGTAGCCTACTTTGCATTTCGGATCAGAGCGGCTAGAGCAGAACAGTAAGCAGACAGCTTACTGAGATATTGAGATGAACTGTGCAACTTTTCTGACATTGCATGCGCTCTCTACGAATCGTCGGAAGATCAGATTTTCTGCCTCGTTATTTATAAGGGGTGGCCATTTATTACGTTGGCCAGCGGTCTAGAACTGTTGTCAATCCGGAATAAGTTCGTGGATTCGTGATTGCCGTTTCAGACGGGAAATTCGTGGAACGATATGTCTATAATGGAGGCTCTGATAGAGACATGGGGACAAGGTACTAATAAAATTCCCCACAGGAAATATGCTTCTCTCTATGTCGATCCGATGACCACTGCGTCCCCGCTCACTGAAGATCCGAACACAGATGGTGGTGCGATCATCTGGGCTCTCACATAAGTCTGTAAGGCAATACCGGACTCGCCCGTCTAGCTGAACCCTTTCAATTCCTTACGGTCCCACCATCATATTTTCGCAACCGTAGTTGTGGGTCACATGGAATGCCTATCTCAGGGCAATCCGATGCGTCAGGGAACCCCTACCAAACCCGTCGAGCAAGTAGAAGCATTGCGCCTACTATGGTAGGCTTACTGACTTTAAACCCTATTCCTCCTTTTACACTTTCCCCCGCACCCCTTATTTGCCTTTTCAGCTTTCCACATCCAGAACCTGTACTGCGTTCCAAATCAAGACAACCCTGGTATGATATTGCATTTCGCCGAGTCTATGGCAAAAGGATGATCATCTATACGCACTCGGCTTCGTTTCTTACCCGAGTCAAAGCGCAATCTTAAGATTTACAAAGAGATCAGTTGTTGTAGGGCTGCTCTACTGGAATAGACCGACCTCTCGGAGGAGAAAACTCATACACCTCGATATCATCTTGGCCAATCAGTCTCAGCGGTAAACAATGGTAAATGGTACGACAAAATCGGGGGTTTGGAGGTATCTAACATAGTATGAATTAGATGTCGAAGCTATTGCCTGCCAATGAACTAGTCGCTACGCAGTCTGTCTCGGGCGGCTAGCCGTGCGGTAGCCGAACTCTCAATATGAGATGACTTGAATTGAACGAACTCAATGGACCCTTCCAGATCCTAAACCAACAGAAAAGTATGATCACGACAGCAACACGAAGTGCGAGTCAACAAAAAGTCTTTCCCATACGATATTTACCAGAATGCGGCCATCTCTGTCATGGTCTTCAAAGACCCGTCTAAACCAAGAACACCTGTGAGGAACGAGTATCTTTGGGAGCGCACTTTTACTACTCTTACCACTGGATCAGCAACCTCCCAGGACTGCAGAGGCTTCTTGTTTGAGAGACTAAACAAATATTCACATGACTGATGACACTACCGTGTGGGCACAAGACTTCAAGTTTCCATTGCATATGCTATAAACCTTTCGCTTAGGTGAGGGCATAGTCAGCCAGAATTTTGATCAGCCATGAGTCAGGGCTCCCCAAGTAAATGGCCGATCAGTTCCCTAGGACTCGGAGTATGGGAGTGACTCGAAACTGAAACAATAGATCTGCATATAGTCGGTGAGCACTATCCTTGTGCACTGGTCAATAAACATTTACTGCCTGGTCATGTGGGTGGGATCACGGCGCTTATCTTGTTGCTGCCTAATTCGCCACAGTGGGAAGCTGATTCATGGTCAAATCTTCTGCCTTCAGCCGCAGACCCTGTGAGATCCTACGGGGCGACAAAGCCTATCGGATCTTGGACTGGCGATAGAAAAAATCAATTTGCTCTTTCGATTAGTTCCAAATACGCGTAGCTTATCCGGAACTGGGCAACAAGAAATCCGGAGAGATCACTGCTATTTCAAGCCATGGAATATATCCACTTTAGGCCATTATACGCCTAGCAATGCAATAGCTTCCGTCAATAATTGACTCACAATGAATAACGGTCATGTTAGCTGGCAAAATTGTGAAGAAATCTCAATGACTATAGGCATACGGGCCACATACGACGAAAACCGAGGACTTTAATATATGCGACTACTTTGCGACATGGCCTTAGTCTCGTCCTAACTCCCGAGGCTGACAATCCGAATGGCTTCTAGGTAAGCTAGGTAACAGCTTTACTTGATAAACAGATTTCTATTCTATAGATATTTATCAGTGACTTTAGGCCTTATATCTCTTATTAAGCGACACCAAGTAATGGAGTTGTTGCCGTCGGTATATCGTTAAGTCACATTTATACTTACACATGCTACTAACTTGGGGTACTTTAACTTCCACGTCTGACTCTCGGTAGTTGGAAGTGAGGCGGACCACACACACATAAGGCATCAGTCGTCAAACAGCTTAGGGGTATCACGTGACCTAGCTGTAGTCTCCGAACCGCGGAGCGGACTGGCTCAATTTTGTTCATGGGACTAACTTACTCACGCGTACTACAAGTTCCCCTTAAGTCAAAATGTCACAACAACCCTTTATACGGCCCATTTTACCGGCAGACACTCACGCTCTCCGTCACGCGGTCCTGTGGCCAGACAAACCCATATCTTACGTGCAACTGGCCGAGGACGAAGACGGGCAGCACTTCGGCGCCTTCATAGAAGATGAGCTGGTGAGCGTCATCTCAATGTTCATCGACGATGCAGGCGAAGCGAGGTTCCGTAAATTTGCCACGGCAACTTCTTGGCAGGGGAAGGGGATCGGGTCGAAGCTGCTGGATTACACAATTGCGGCGGCTGCGAAGACGGGCACAGCGAGTATATGGTGTGATGCGAGGACGAGCGCGTTGCCGTTTTATTTGCGGTTTGGAATGGAGGTTGAGGGCGAGGTTTTTCATAAGGGCGGTGTGCCGTATTTAAAGTTGAGTCGGACACTACCGTGAGGGGCTGGGTGGTGAGGCGATATGTAGATGTATGTAACCGGGGGTATAAGTTGTCACGAGTGTAGATGAAGGGCCGGATTGATCAGTCCTTCCAGAAGTCTCAACCATTTGGGAGGTTATCTGTGTGACATGTGGGTGACAAACTCTATTACGTGCACCCAGAAGCTCGCCTACGTATCGACGGATAGCAAGATGCTGCCGCCATGACTGCATAACTGCAAAAGCCCGAGCGTCTCAAGCTGGGTTTATCGTTCACGCCCATTTTGCATTCCCTAGAGGCCTGACCGGTTATGCCACTCGAGGTTTGAATCGGCATAAACAGAGCCTTTGGAGCTGGTTCAAGTTCCTTCCTACCTGCTACCACAAACGTACATCAGGGCTCTGCCGGTTGCATTTACGCCTTGCCTCGTACAAGATTCCTAATAACAAGGACCAACATAGTTATGATAAATACCATTATCACAATTTGCGCGATTACTCCAATAGTTCTGTCGCAAGCCCATGGCGGGAGCTGGTTTGCATAACCTGTCTCAAGGGCCTCATCTTCATCGTCATCGCTGTCGATATCTGGGTAGAACGTGTAGTAATTAGAATGGGTATTGTGGCGGCGAGGTGCAGGGCCTGGGGGGTAAGGCGGCGGATTCTAGAGGGAGACGTCAGCAGTGGCTTAGTCGAACAGAAGTATAGATGGATGGGAAATATCTTACAGTTTGGGAACCTGGGAGATTGGCCATGGTGTTTCAAGAGAGTGTTGATTTGTCTTGAGCTTGGCTTTTTCCATGGGAGGTTGAGTTGTATAAGGGATGTCAGGCTCTGCGATAGAGGTCGAGTCAATGCTTTTGAAGCTAAATAGCTTTAGTGTAGGAATGAAGATCTCTCGTAGGGCAATCGAAGACAATTCACCAAACTGGAAATCTCAGGGCTGGTGTCACGTTTCACCTCATTGGACATCTGGGGCTGGCTAAATTCATCATATGACGACATTATGTTACGCTGGTGACCAGATTGTGAATAGAAGTTGAGACTTTCATTAGTTTGCTAGGTTTCTTCAAACCACCCACTTTCAGAATCTCCTATCTGCGTGAAATCTACGTGAAGTGTAATCTTTATTTCAACGCATATTGCAAAACTGGACCGAGACTCCCAGGAGCTTTAGTTTCTGTGTCTTCCAGGCAGACACTCTTCTTGTCATAGTCTGATGACTTGGCTTTCAGATCGAGTATTTCTAAAGAAGGCCAAATGAGCGAATTGGGTTCATCAAAATTACCGATGGTAAATTCTCCATCAGAACCATACTCCGTTGGCCAAAGACACACTTCATCGTTGTTGGTTCGCTCTTCAGAGATCTGTTTCCTGAGGCTGATTGCATGGCAAGTCCACTCAAACTTCCCGAATTCGTTAATAGTCGCAGTGACCCTACTGGCACACCGTTGTCCCAACGACCGAGGCCAGTTCCTATTTGGAAGTCGCCGGGGTTGTAGGGTAGAACGGTAGGCCTCGGCCATCTTTGCACCCTTCTCTGCCTTCGACAATGTCCTCTCCAGCTGGTGGTGAAAATCTATCTTCTGTTTCTTATCCTCGTCATCCTTCTGAACGAGAGGAATAGACTCCATTGCTAACTTCCAAGCGTAGCTATGTTTCTTGTCGTCCCGGGAACCATTGGGCTGGACTCGTGTGAAACGGCCTGATGCCTCAAGGAATCCACCGACACTCCAAGTATCGCGGAGACATTTTGCATGGCTTGATATCCGTAAACTCTCAAGGTGGATCAACAGGAACAAGGAAGTGGACGGCTTTGTTACGACGGGTATATTCAATAGTATAACAACAACGGAAAAGTCTACGACGGGTACCCCGGCATTGTCGAGCTAGAAATTGAAGAAATATTGACCAAGGAATTATTTCTGTCTGCACAAGACGATGGTTTTCGCAGACTCGCCGAGGGAGCTGGACTTCATTGCGATGACGCTGGTTTGGTAGGACAGTCCCTGTTGGTTTGTCATTGACGAAGGTGAACAGACATAGCTCGGCCAACAGGATCGCCCAGCGAAAAAACATCCAATCTCGACGCGGAATGAGTCATGGCCAAAATCAAGCCAAGTCAGCCACTGCAAACAACGACTGGATCCCTCAGTGTAAGAACGACACGCAACTGAAAATAGAATGGCAATGTTGTAGCAACAATCTGATAAATCAATGTGACAAATAATTGGTCGTGGTCGTTAGATTCCTAGCCTTAAGTGGCTGAGTTGCCCCGCCCGTACTAACTAGGACCTGCAGTTCCTATGTCAATCGCCAAGGTTGAAACTAACAAAGGACACCTGGACTCCTGTTGGATCTATCTTTTCCCTGTGACTGTATTTTTGATTAGCAATTGAGTCGGCGACAAAGCGCACGCGAAAAAGTCCGACTTTTGTGGTCCTTCATTTGATTTGATCATCTCCCTCGTGGTCTGCAAAGTGTTTGCTATCAAGAGCTACGGACACCTATGATATCGGGCAGACTTTAACGGGCCCCAAACCTTGAATTTCAGGTCGCGGCTGCGAAGCTCCAGTGCTCCACAACTCTGGGCTGGAATAAACGACTTGCCGGCCCACTTTCAGCCAAGGCTGAAGAAAGGAGACTCGAATTTGGACCATCTTGCATCAACAAGCCGTCTGCCACCCCGGCCCTGGTTCTGAAAACTTAAAGTCACCGTGTCAATTGATGACCCGGAGACGTATCATCATCAACGACCAAACAATTTCGAACTAGCTACGGCGTCGACAGTCGTGTCCCGAGCCGACCGCGGAGCCTCATTGCTCAATTCGCCACCTCATTACTAAAGTGCCTACAGCCGCGACGACCAAGGCTACCTTGCGCCCATTGAAGACGACCTCAGCTTCGACACCGGAGCACCGAGCCACCGTTGATCATGTCATCAGGTCTGACGAGACGCCGTGGAGGAGGCGGTGGGGGAGCATCACAGGAAGGCGAGGGCAGCAACGGCATGAGTCGAAATACCTCGACTTCTAACGTGCGCGACAACGGGCCCGAGACAAGCTACGAGTCAGGCGAGAATGGCCACAAGATCGCCTTTGATCCCCGTGACATTAACGAGACCGCCGAGCGGAACAAACAGCCCAAGCTCACCTTAATGGAGGAGGTGATATTGTTGGGAATCAAGGACAAACAGGTACGGCACCAATCTCATACGGGGAACTGACCCTCTGGATCTCGAATACCTGCTGATCGCGTCAGGGCTATCTGTCATTCTGGAACGACAACATTAGCTATGCGCTCCGTGGTTGCATCGTCCTCGAATTGGCCTTCCGCGGCCGTATCAGCATGCAGAAAGATCCCTCCAGACGACGATTCCCATTAGCAGACCGCGTAATCGAGGTCGTCGACGACACATTGACCGGCGAGGTACTGTTGGACGAGGCGCTGAAAATGATGAAAGCGAGCGAGAAGATGAGCGTTAGCTCGTGGATTGATCTAATGAGCGGTAAGTGCTACCAAGACAACGTGTCATCTGGCCAGATCGCCGGAGCTGATACTGATGTTTACCACCAGGCGAGACTTGGAACTTGATGAAGATTGGCTACCAGCTCAAACAAGTACGGGAGCGGCTCTGCAAGGGCCTGGTCGACAAGGGTATCCTGCGCACCGAGAAGCGCAACTTCCTTCTGTTCGACATGGCCACGCATCCGGTCGCCGACGGCGGCGCCAAGGAAGAAATCCGCCGGCGCGTTAGAAACGTGCTGACACAACGCACCGTTGTGCTCCCAGCCTCGCAGTTTCTACCCGAGAATCTCGAGTTCCGCTACACACGTACCATCGCCATGGTCTGCGCCGCCTACGCGGCTAATGTCCTCGAAAATGCGCTCAGCACGCTTGGCCACGAGGCGAGGGAGCGCGCCTTCACCCAGACGGACGAGCTGTTGGCCGAGTACAGCCAGTGGCCGTTTGGGAAGAAGGCCAGCTCTCAGGGCATTGGAGCTAATATGCCCCAGGTCATTGCAGAGGTAAGTCAAACCAATGACCAGTGCGCGAAACGCCTAGGGCAAACGCTGACTTGCATCCAAAACACAGGAAGTCGCCAAAGCCAAGGATAAGGACCTGCAGCTCGAAGTTGTCGCTGCCTGCTTGAGCGTCTTCACCCGCCTCGACTCGCTTCTCTGAGCCTTCCTGTCCCGATACCATCACAGCTTGGCTCTGTCCCGATGCCCGAGCTCACCAACACCATATTCCAATCTACCACAACCGATCCCACACCCAATGACCAGCACACTCAGCGACCAGGACAAGAAAAGGGTGAATGCCACATGGGATGTGGCCAACCCTAAAGACCAATTATCCACGGAGAAACGAGGAGGAAGCCCAGGCCAGGGCATCCAATCTGGTGGATGCCCTTCAAAGCATACATGGATGCAGCACGGGCAGGCAAGGTGTATGACATTTCTTCGGCCCTGTTATATTAGTCTGAAATGAACGATTTCCTGTTTTTTCACGTCATGTAGGCGGATATCTGATGTTCATGACCACTTATACAGGTTCTGGGCGTTGTCATATGTGGATCGGCGCGTCTTTCATGTCTTCTGCCAAGTGATGTGCTGCGATATATAGATGCTATGCTCCTGTCCGCGTCTGCTGCTTTTGGCAGCCACTGGTATGTCGCGTATTACTGTGTAGACCCCCGCCCAAATTAACCCACAGCATATCGGCATTGCGGCATTGCGGCATTGCCGAGGTTATCAACTTTCTTATTCCCCACGGCTGGCTCACTTTCCCCTGCGAATCCGCTCCTTGAAGCCACCCTTCTCAAACAGCCAGATCGCCTCCACTGCAAACGCATGCGCAGTCCTATGCCCCCTGCCCTTTCCGTCCCCAAGGCCCCCATCCAAATCCATTCCCGCCTCCTCGTACAAGCTCTCCATGATCTTGCCCTCCACCATTTGCCCCCATACACCATCCGAGATCACATCGCCCGGCCCACCAAACTCGCCCCGCCCCAACCGGTACATAATGCGCCCAAGCGTTTGGTATGCCATGCACCTCTGCCCCGGCACCGCGCTCCGCGCCAGCATCGCTAATTCCGCAACGGTGTAACCCGCTGCCTCGGGTGCTTCGCCGTGGTGGTGCAGTCCTTTGGTGACGGGAATGGCTCGTGATATCTTGGGAGGGAGTAGCGCACCGCGGAAGTCGAAGCGAAGGGCTGTGACGGGGAGAGAGGTCTGCGAGGGATGGTAGGGGCTGTCATAGTCGGCGGGAGAATTAGGCGTGGGCACGGGCGACATCCAGGCTAGTTTCGAGGGGTCGGCGGGGAGGGAGGGGAAGTATTTGGTGTGGAGGGAAGAGAGGAAGTCGGGGTCGGAGGGGTCGAGGTCGGCGGTTTGGGGAGGCTTCGGCCAGTGGGGTTTTGAGTGCGCGTCTTCGGCGATGATGTGATCTTCGGGCGGTACTGATGGTGCTGTATCGTCATCGACGACGGATTCGTGCTGGCGTTGCTCGAATGCTGCTTGCGTCGTTGCTTGAGCCGCGGGCGAAGGTGCTGTGTTGTCTTCTGCAAACGTCACCCTCTTTCGTGGTGCTGGTTTTGTCTCGGTAGCTGCGTCTTCGACTCGTGTTTGTGGCGGGTCTTGCTGCGCCGTTGCAGACTCGGGTTCATCAAACGGTGATTTGCCATGTTTCTCATCAAGATTCGCGCGCTTGAGCAAGATCTCTAATAGCGACGAATCCATTCCATTGAAAAGCTCTAGTCGCGCCTTCTCGATCTCCTCGTCAGTCATGGTAGCTAGACGGGCATTGTTCTCGCGATCTATGCTGCTTTTCGCGTCCATGAGAGGATCGTCACTCGCAGCGGGGTTGGCTATTGGCACTCCATTGCTGCTACCATCCAAAGGCTCTGCAGATGCGGTCGTGAAAACTGAAGGCTTCTTTTCGGAGTCGGTACTTAATTGGCGCTTCTGTTTGAATGCCGACAGGCGCGATCGCTTCTTATGCTCCGGGAATCCTGTTGATGAGGATTTGAACTGGGGGAAGGTGGGGGCTTTGGGCGAGGCTGTCTCTTTCTCCTGGATGTCGGAGATCAGAAGTGTCGGCTCCATGATCATAAGCCTGTAGTATGTCTCAAGAGAGGATCAGAATGTCCGCGCCGAGAGTGTGGAAGGCTGCAAAAATGAAGAAGTCAACAGTAAATTTCGACCTTTGGAAGCGTTGACACCTTTGGCGACTAAAATTGGTTGGCAGCCATGATGATGCAAAAGAGAGTGCTTGGCGGCAAGACTATCCTAGTCGTGCACGGGCCGAAGACGATTCTGCGGGTTGCCCCGATTAGCTGACCCTTGCATCATCAATCGCCAAAAGGTCGGAATTGCCAGGTTACCCACCAAATGCCAAGGCAACTCCTCACTAAACGTACGCGCGAATACGGAGCACTGAGCAGGCAAATTGAACTGACTGAAACTCACTGATGGTGAAACCAGTCAAACGTCAACTGGGGGCTCAGTGACCTCAAGTACTAGCCTGAATACTTACTACTACTAGGCAATGGGAGGAAATCTGGGCAGAGGGCAATTAGGGTTTTCCACACGAGAATTCAGGATCGCACGCAGCCTGGGTTTACTCATCACATCGGGGAGACTCCGACGCCCTAGATTCCAAACTGGGTTACACCGACCTCACCGACCTGAGTTCCAGTAGACATGCCAAGACCATATACAATGCAGGAGCCAGAGATGACGCACATGCAGTCAGTGAGCCGCGGCTGCAATGCATATCAGACATAGACTCTTCCAAATCGTTTCTGAAAGAAAAGAAGAGAGGATGATATTCTCGCAGAGCTATTCGCGAAAACGGCACGCCTGAAATCCTTACTATCACCCAAATCCAAACCGACTCTTCGTAATATTGGAGCCTCAGAATAGAGTTGTGGCTGATGTCCCATCGCTAGCCCAAATCAGGGGAGCACATTAGCGTCGATCCACCTCGGCACGAAATTATCCATGCGTATTCCAGCTGAAGCGAAGCGCGGGTGTCACGCTTGTTCAGCCAATGAGCACAGCATCCGGGAGCCGTTTCAATTTGATGGAGATTTGGGCTGAAACACATATTCGGTACGTACCTTAATCCCCCAAACAATTATGATCCAACAATGCTACTATTTCCAAATATGATTCCAAATACAGGGTTTTTTTTCCTTCTAATCACGCTGTTTGTGTCTCTTTGAAAGCCTGATCACCCGTCGTATTGTCATCGGACATACCGCGACCAAAAAGTTTGCTTCTGCAGAGACAAGCATTACATAATTGCAGCCTATTGCACATGGAGGAAATGTAACTGTACACCTCTGTTAAATCATGAATTAACAGCGTGCATTACTTCGTACCACGTACTGGAAAGGACACGTCAATCTCATTAGACCTGGAGCCGAGTCCTTGCATCAATGTTCCCTAGCAATATACGAATAGATATTCGGCGGATACTTCACTTCCTCAAAGCGGGATGCGAATACTCCAAACCGACTATTACAAATTGCAATATCTGGAAGTGTAGCTACGAAAGGACAACGATCGGTCATGAGATTTGCGCAATAAACAATCAGTAGCCGTGTTTTGCAACCCGCATGCTTTGGTGGATATGACTATTCGCTGACAACTCGTCGGACAATTACACCCTGGTCCAGACATCCCTGTCTGTTCACGCGGCTATCGTGCGTTAAACGGGCAAATTTTCTGTCAGCATGGATGGGTTCCACAACTTTTATCGAAAAGTGACAAGCTCGATGTACCTGACGCTGCGCGTGTCTATGCAAAAATGGCCTTCCCCACGGTCTTTTGTCAAGGACAGACACGGTCCTGCAAGTACCTCAATATTCCACCAGCCGCGAACCGCACCCTATCAGCGGCGCACATGAGCCTGCGTTTTCATGAATTCTGGGTCAATCTAACTAGCCCCTAGTACAGTGCCGGATGCTATTCCCCCCTCCCCCTCCCCCCTCCCCATAGTATCGGCTTTCACCCTAGTCATACAGCCCCGGGTAGGTCAGAAGTGGGAAGTCTGATGATCCAATGTTGCCGAGCTAGAGGTACACACACGCTGCGTACTTTCGCGAGTTGCATGCTCGTTTCTTCTTTTGGGTCATTGCCAAACTTGGGGTTTTCCTCTCTCCCTTCTGGTGCCCAAGGTAGGTCGGCCCTCTCCCATGCCGACTCAGGCCAAAACGTGTCAGTGATGGTCCTCTCCCACTCGTTCCGGTGGGCTCTCTGGCACGCAAACATGGTGCAGCTGAACACCCTCGCTCGTCTTCCCATTCGCGATCTGATGCCTCTCCCTCTACCCTCTACCCTTGGATCGTCCCCCAGCCTAGTCCGATCTTTAATTCGTTTTTAATAATAAAATTTCCCACGCAACTCTCGACAATTGTCAGGGCCCCGTTTTTCCCTCGCGTTCGCCGCCTTGTTCGAGGAATTATTCTCATTTCCAAAAAAACCATAGCCATCCCCAATTCCCACCCCTCGACCGTCTCTCCTCTTTTCTCTTCCGCTTTTCTCTGCCAACGTCAACCAAAATAGAGAGCGAGGAATACTTCATTCATCAAAATCCATCAATCGCACCGTCTATCGCTTTCGTTTTCTTTCGGAATCTTGTTGAGCATATTGCGCTGCATCGATTTCTGCCGTAAGCGGACGTCTATCGACACGTTCTGCACCACTTTTTGAGGTCAACAGCGCCGCCGGCCTCACTTGCGCATCTCGATGTTCGCGACCTGAGGTTATTCAGACTTGCAGCCCCACTATCCTCTCTGCAGGTCACGTTATTTTCAGCGACTAGTCCCCAAACTGCGCCCAATAGCCCAATTCGACCATTCTATTTCCGATCACAACCCGACTGGGCAGTTCATTGGATGAAAAAGCAACGAATAGTCAATTCAGTTAATTGTTTGTTCGCCATTCGCTTCAACGTGCGACAACAATAACATCAGCGAACAACCAATCCAATCCATTCACCACATTCGATTGAAGGCGAATTGACCTATTCAGTTTCACTTGGCTAAAGTTCCCATGCTGGATTTTTGTCCTCTCAATTAATTGCGACATACCCACTCAAAACTACACCCAACACAAGCACCGAATACCTGACCGGCTTGGGGGATGACCATGGCCGCACCCGGGGATGTTCCGATGCAAGAGCGATACAGCTCCTCACCAGATCTATCAGATCCCCCCTCTGGTCTCTCGGCACCCGCATCGCCCATAGGCTACGGCAGTAATGGTGGAGACAAACCTGGTCGCCAGTTGGACGAGATAGTTGTCGACCACTCGAACTTCCGGTTTGACGTGTCGGGCCAGCCGGTTTTGACCAAGGATGGAGTTCCGCGCAGGAAGCCTGGTCCTAAACCGGGCACGAAGCTCAAGCGCAACTCAAATCCTGACGGATCTTCTGCCGACAGCGTCAAGGCTAGGAAGCCGCGCAAGCCCAGGGACCCCAATGCACCACCCCGAAAGCGAAAGCTGGCATCGTCTGCCGATGGTGAAATGAGCGACTCCAACACGCGGTCCGTCAGCCTCGGCGCCCCATCCGTGTCGCGGCCCCAACCCAAGTTTGATATGGGTACCACCCCCCGACGTTGGGGCGTCTGGAATCAATCACGCAGAAGGCCACTTCCGCCTCAAGTCGTCAGAGCATGCCGAGTATTCTCAACGCCGACCCAGAACCGCAACCACGACCCAGCGCGCCTTCTCGAACTAGTGGAACAAATTATGATCCTATCAGGTCTAATTACGATCCTGTTCGCGAGACTATGGTGACACACAGCTACTCGAATCCCATGACATCGCCCCGAGCACCCACCAATGTCGTCAACCGTGCCAGCGCATCGCCCTCTATCGCGAGTCTTGTCGATCCTCCTGCGAGTGTACAGAACATTATCTCCCCTGCCCCCTCTCACACAACCTTTGCGCAGAGCAATACGCATCGACAGCCGTCGCATCCTGCCCCGCATCAGGAAACCAGCTCAATGCCAGCGTCGCCGAATCCCTTCCGGAAGGAGTTCGCCCCGCCGCCGAAGCCGGCGATCGTGGAGACGAAGAAGCCAACCCCTACGCCTTCGTTGCCTACCAGGGCGCAAATCTCGATCCGCCCCGACTCCATCACTACAATTGGCGCTGGCTCCAAACGCACTCCTCCGAAGAACCACAGCACCACGTCGTCGTCGCCCAGGGCGGGGGCACAGAATGAGGCACTCGCGCCTATTTCCGGCGGAGCTGAGCGATCGATTCTCGACTTTGGCAAGGCAGAGCCGGGCTCGGAACTAACTGTGCCCTCAATCACCCTTAACATTCCGCTCAATGGCGAGACGAACAAGTACGTCAACTTCATGCGCATGGCTGAGGAACGATATGGCTGGGATGCTCTGCACCCGCGTCAGGCTGAGCACCGGGCACGGAAGGCACGTATCGCGGCAGCTTCAGCCGCCTTGGCGCAGAATGATTCCAGCCGCGAGGGAGATGAGATGAGCGTGGACGAGTCCGACAACGAGGACAGCAATGTGGATATGGGGGAACAAGTGGCCCAGACAAGCCTGGCGATAAGATCAAGAAGAAGAAGCGCCATTTCAAAGAAGATGAGTACGACAAGGAGGACGACTTTGTCGATGACTCTGAGATGTTGTGGGAGGAGCAAGCTGCTGCCAGTCGTGATGGCTTCTTCGTGTACTCGGGTCCCCTGGTTCCCGAGGTCGAGAAGCCCGAACCCGGACGGTATGTCCATGATTTCTTACCTCGATCGGTTGTCTATGCGTATTTGCTAACTTCAACTAGTGGCGATGGCGTCCCAAGACGCGGCCGAGGCTCCCGTGGTGGACGTGGATCCGGACGAGGTACTGGATCGACCCGAGGCACAGGCCGTGGTGGCGGTCCGGGTTCCCGCGGTGGTGTTGTTAGGAAGCCTCGTATGACCAAGGCTGACAAGGCCCAAATGGATCGTGAGAAGGCTGAGCGTGAAGCTGCATTCCTGAAGTCGACCAGTGGTGCGGCGGCCAACTACAATGTTTTGCATCCTGGCAGTCCTCAGTTCGCTGGCTTGTAAGAACGGTGTCTACAGACGGGAACACTAATACACTGGACGGGATATCTACCCGCCAGGGTCTTTGCTCGGGAGGAACTGGAACATGAAGAGCTCATCGAATCTTGACGTGGACCTTTCGGAGACAGGCCATGTCCTATGATACGGTCTGATTAACGTCAACTTTGTTTGACAGTTGTATTATGAAGAACAGACTATGGTCTGGGCAAAGTTGATGCGTGTGCAGAAATGCGTGTGCAGAACAGCGTTGGGCGGCGTTTGATCTAAAGAAATAACACTAGCTATGCTAGATGGCTGGATGGGTTGACGCGACAGATCTGGAGTCACCGGAGTTTTATGGACTTGATACCAGCACTTCCATTCTCGACTTTGTCTTAGCTAGAGACGCTGGGTATGGGACAGTTTAACTTCACATAAGCGATTTGTAGACTCTTGCATTAGGTAGACCTAAACTACCAAGACTTTGTTTTTGCTTGAAAGTTTTCAAATTTTTGAAGTGAGCTTTATGATTTATACCTGTAATCAAGTCAGTCGATGAGGGTCTACCACTCCCCCAGGTGTGCTCCTATTACAAGCATATCTTTTGTGAGTTACAAAACCATGATAATTACACGGAATTTTTGTTCTTTCCCCACGAGACCCGCCGCTCCTTATACCTGGACGTGAAGCTTGATCAGCTACCGTTATCCTTATCCGGGTCAATCCCTTTGCTATTGACGTAGAGGTACCGGAGCCGGCCGCCTCGGCCGACGTCAATGCCTGCCCCGCAAAGTCGGTATCTTTGACGGACGGATAAAGATTGACATCTTCCAAATTTTTATCTAAGCCTTCTTTCTTCGGCTTCGGGTCGGAGGAAATAGTACGTGCTTGCCGCCATTCAGATGCTCATATATAGCCGCTATCTCATCTCATTACGGCTTAATACCCTTTCTAAGCTTGAGCACATGTCATAACCCCCTTACATCTCGCAACAACGTCCGCAAATCTAGTCATTGGAAACGCCCCCTTTTCTGGGCACTGTAACTCCGCATTAATTTCCGCACAATATCTGTCCACACTATGACTAAGATTTCACCGGCCGAGGCCACTCAATACTCCACAACAAAGCTCCGGATCTCATCCGGCAACGGCCCGGTATCCAGGGATGTTTTATGTACTCCGCTCCGGAATGCTGACCCGTCCGAGATTCCCATCATCGACGTCTCCGGGATTTTCAGTCCGTCCCTTCACGAACGCACCGCAGTCGCCAAGCAGATCCACGACGCCGCCGCCAACAATGGCTTCTTCTATATAAAAAACACGGGCATCTCGGCCGAAATCACCAGCGCAGCGCATACATCCTGTCTTGACTTCTTCCGGCAACCCCCTGATCTCAAAGAGCGCGCCAACTCCAACCAATCCAAATGCTACAACGGCTACAAGCCGCCCAAGACCCAACGCATCAACCCCTTCGAGTCCATCGACAACCGAGAAAGCTTCTCCTGGAGGTACGACCCCGAATACGACCCCTGCATTGGGGACATATCCTCCATACCACCCGAAATCGCCGAGTGTCTCCACAGCGAAGACTTCATCTGGACCGCCACCGCGAACCTCCCCAACTTCAAACCCTCCCTGATCACCTACTGGCGCGCCTGTCTCGCCCTAGCCCGCGCCCTAGTCCGTTCCTTCGCCCTCTCCCTGGACTTGGCCGAAGACTTCTTCGACGCCAAGTTCTCCCACCCCGACGCTTCGCTCTCGCTGAATTACTACCCTCCCATCCCGAAACCGGATTCGTCGTCAGTCGCAGCAGCTGATGTGGCCCACACGCCAGTGTCCATCGGTTCGCACACCGATTTCCAGCTCTTCACCATCCTATGGCAGGATAGAAATGGAGGCTTGCAAGTCCTGAATCGACAGGGGCAGTGGATCAACGCGAGCCCCGTCGAGGGCACGTTCGTGGTGAATATCGCGGATTACCTGCAGCGAATCACCAACGATCGGTATGTGAGCACGGTGCATCGGGCGCAGAATTGGAGCGGGCGGGAGAGGGTTAGCATGCCGTTTTTCTTTGGGTTTAATTTGAATGAGAGCTGTGCGGTTTTGGATTGCTGTGTTGAGCCCGGGGAGCAAAGCAGGTACGAGGAGGTTAGCTGTAAGGAGTGGGTTAGGAGGCGGGTTAAGGACATGCATCGGACGGAGGGGGATGAGGAAGAAAAGGTGCTGTTAACTTCATGAGATGGTATTGGCATGATGGCGTGGATGCGTGTTAGAACCTCATAGCACTTCTACGTCTAATTGTGGGGAAGTGTGCAAGTCGTGGTTCCTGAATCTCCATAGTTGAATTGACACGTAAGGAAAGGTATTGCTTGAGAATTGCTGGTTGAACATTGAAGCTAGTTACGTCAAGAAGAACCCATGAGGTTCTTATTTTCCGAGATGATTTCGTCGTGGTTGAAAGCCTGGCATCTTTTCGTCGGAGCCGATGGCCGGGCAGCTGGATAAATCCCCACTCCCGAATATGCAACAAGGAACAGCGACTTGGGCGCACGACAATCATTTACTACTGCAACAGAGGCATTGGCACTCAGAATGGCGCTACCACTCAGCAACAATGGCTCTCCAGACTCTGTCCTGACGAGCCAGAACTGGACCGTCGACGTCGCCGGCCAGAAAGTCGCTCTGCCCATTGTCGCAATCAAGCCAGACTTGGGCATCTCACTGATGATGGTCATTGATCTCGGCGTCGAATTCGGCGCACACTGTGGCCGCGAAATCGCAAATAAAGTCACGTCGGTTGAGCCCGAAGTCATTGTCGGCGCCGCAACGATGGGAATTCCCGTCGCTATCGAAGTCAGCCGCGCCTTGGGACTCGACCGTTTTGTCATACTGCAGAAGTCACCCAAGATTCATCTCGCCGATGCGCTGGTGCAAAATGTTACGTCTATCACATCGATGGGGGAGCAGAAGCTGCTTTTGGATCGGAGAGCGGTGCCGTTGCTGGCCGGGAAGCGTGTTGTCGTGGTGGATGATGTGGTGGCGACAGGGTCAAGTCTCAAGGGATCTATCGAGCTCGTACGACGGGCGGGCGGAAACATCGTGGGAGCTGCTGTCATTCTTACGGAGGCGCGAGAGTGGGAAGCGACGCTGGGGCAAGATGCATCATTGGTGCAGAGTCTGGCTCATATGCCGCAATTTGCCTTTGATGGGAAGGAGTGGAAGCCGATTCCGGGTACTCTGTGACCGGAACTTCCCATTCTGTTGTGATCCTTGATGAGATCACAAGCCGTACTAGCACTCTTCTCATGCCACAAGTCCGCAAGACCGCATGCGCATTTGCAGTTCTACCGGTTAATAGGAGGCTCAGAACCTTGCCATGTACGGTCAAACATGGTGAGGCGTCACTTCAGGTGGGGTGGATTTAGACTCCGAGCTCCTCCTGATAAGCGTTGCTATGGAGCGTGCCATCCCTGCTTCCGCTCTCCGCGCCCACTTTGCCTGGTTGCTTGTCCTCCCCCTCCAACTGGACTGGAAATTTCGCATGCATGCGAATTTCCCCTCACCAAGCAACTTTCATCACCACGAATATCTCAGAACGGCGTAAGCCCAATCATTCGGCACAACTGAGTGTTCGGGTATAACGTGTTAACTAACGTGAGTGCCACAAGTCCCGTTTCGTCCACCTTGCTGGCGGTCAATTTCGTGTGGCATTTGTCTGGACGTGCATATGGCTATGACCATTCTCCAAAGCGGGAGCGGTCAGAGCCCGTGGGCCGCTCATATTGATTTATCGGTTGCATTTGCAACACAAGTTGCTGACCAACATGATGGTTAGAACTAATAATTTTGACTTCGCTACCCTGCAAGGGCTCGTTGATTGTCAAAATGCCGGCGATCATGGACGATCCGTCCAGTCCTACCATTTATCGTGTAGTCGGAGCACCGCCGTTCCCGGAGCCGAACAACCCGGCAGTCCCGTCCAATGTGCTTCCGCGCCAGGTGACGCTGCGAGACCGACAAACGGTCGCTACGGTTGTCCCGTTTGCATCGCGTGATCAGGTCCCTGCTTCACTGCTCAAGTACTTGTCGGACCAGTTCGCGAAGGAAATCGAAGGCGGAGACACGTATCCCATGATCGAGCCGATGCCGCTCGAGCAATATTCCAAGTACTGGTTTCAAAACTTTGCAGCCATCATGCTCCTTGGCGACATCAACAGCCCGGACGAGGTCGTTGAGGGCAAGGACTGGTCCAAGGAATGTCTCGGCAGCTTCTACATCAAGCCCAATTATCCTGGGAGAAGTAGCCACGTCTGCAACGCTGGCTTTCTCGTTACCGATGCTTCGCGCAATCGCGGAGTAGGCCGTCTTATGGGTGAGGCCTACCTCGACTGGGCACCCAAGCTGGGCTACACCTACTCGGTATTCAACCTGGTTTACGAGACCAACGTTGCCTCGTGCCGGATCTGGGACGCCCTGGGCTTCAAGCGCATCGGACGTGTCAAGGGCTGTGGCAACCTCAAGTCATACCCCGACCGCCTCGTGGACGCCATCATCTACGGACGAGACCTTGGAGCGGCAGAAGGCGCCGACGGGCCGGTGAGTGAAGAGCGTTTCGACAAGATCAAATTCTACCTCAAGTACGGGCGCTACCCAAACGGATCTGACCGCGCCGAGAAAAGTAGGCTTCGTAGCGCGGCGACCCACTATAAGCTGCTGGACAACGACGTGCTCATGTTGAAGGATAAGGAGGTCATCAGCGACCCTGACCGGCAGATGGACATTGCGAGGCGGCTGCATGAGGGTGGGAGCCACTCCGGTATCAACAAGACCACGGCCATGATTGCGGAGCGCTACCATTGGAGCCGTATCAAAGAGACGGTGTCGGATGTAATTAGGCTGTGCGGTGAATGCAAGGAATTGGGGAAAATGCCTGTCCAGAACGCCGCCGCTTCTCGGAGGGGAGTTGTCGGTGGGAGCAACTTCTCCCGTACAAGTGCTAGCCCTGCGCCCGGTACATTGCCGGCAGAGACCAACCCTGCATCCGCAAGCGTTGAATCCGCCAACAGGATCCTGAGTTTGCATCCCCATCACGGCATGGCACCCCTCAGTGCGGCTTCGAGTGCATACGCCAATCCAAGTGACATTTCATCGCTGTTAAACCCACCACACGGTCTGTCCACATCCGTAGACACAGGCCTGAAAAGACATAATCCCATGTTGCAAGACCAGTCCCAAGGCCAGATCGACCAGACCCACCAACTACACCATGGAAACTCGTCTCCCCTAAGTGCTCTCCACGACGATAATTCGCTCTCATTCCACCCGATAGACCCGCAAATCATATCCCAGCCCTCACACCAGCAAGGCCACCATTCTTTCCACAACTTCCATCCACACAACGTGCCACACTCCAGTCCTCACCCATCTCACACTTCTCTTTCCGAGCACGAACCATACGAGGCCCACATCCGGTCCCACCACCCCCACACGGAACACCCGGATTCTTTCCAGGCTCTGCTCCACGACCCGGTGAACGAGGTCCACCATCATCACCATCATAGTGGCAGCATACAAGAGCACGACGAGTCTTCGGATCAGGACCAGGACGCAGTGGATCGTGACATGGATATGCTCATCGAACAAGGGGACGATTCGGACATGGAGGATGTGGCGACGCTGGGTCATGTTGGGGGAGAGGAAGGAGATGAGGGTAAGGATGGACTAGGAGGGACGGATGGGAACGAGGATGATGTGCAGGCAAGGGAGGAGGAGTATGGGAGGCCGGTGAGGCGGCGGAATTGGGATAATGTTGTTTTTGATTCTCCGGATTGACGAGGATTGCGGCTGGGTTTCAAATCTGAGCTGCCTAGCCTTTCAGACTGGTAGGTGATCGTTCTATGGTAAGCGTCTTCATCGCGAGGGTGTGATGATTACGACTTTGAATTTGGCAGCTAGAAGACTTCAAAGAGTAAAATGGTGCTCTGTGGGACACTATGATTGGGTTCGGGCCTAATGTCACAGAGGATCCACCAAGAGCAAGAACGCCGGGCTATCCTGTCTGGAAATCACGGTCCAGCACTCAGTGTCTCTACTTGTGTGCGCGCAGAAACCCTGGGAACAAGAGCTACTGCCCGGCTGTTGGAAATGCCCCTGGCCGGTATGACTGGGGACCTCGCAGACAGGAAGAGGCAGCCTCGTGACCACTGCGGCATTTGTTGCCTCGAAAAAGACGACGTGGGGCTGACGCAGTCGTATTAAAATTGATGTTATACAGATTAAATGGTCGACTTCTAGTGGTAAAAAGCTGCCATCACATATTCTGCGACGCCATTCTCGATTAGGTCCATCCGGCGTCTGGGCCAACACTTCGAGTAGAAGATGATGATCCTTGTCATGGTAGGCATCAAAACACGCACGCGACTATATTGACTGTCAGTGTACGGTCAGGCCCATGGTTTGAAGATGGCGTGGTGGTCTGAGTCTATCCGGGTGGGGATGTTGGTGTTGTCGATCTTTGCAAAAACGGGCACACATATCCAGGACTATACAGGGCAATAGTGTGACCTCGCTGACGCATTGATATTGGCATGGGAGTTAAGCAAGTACTGCGTTGTAAATAGAGGTGCTGTGACATGAGAGCGAGGGGTGTACAGAATGATAAGCGCCTAGAGGACAGGCCTGGAACGTAAAAATGAAAATGCAGTATGGATTGATAAGGATGGTATATTATTACCTTCAAGAAACATCGCGAGCGTTGACATTGTTGCCGAAAGGAAGAAGAAAATAGACACTCTGCCTACTCGATGTAGTTTCTTTCGCCTCTCAACGGCCATTCGTGCTGAATGTCGACCATTTCAGTCCGAGTATTTTGGGTGCCTAGTCCAGATCAGATACAACTTAAGGACAAATGTTATAGTCTTACCGGCATCCAACTCATACTTTTAGTTCTTCCCAAATGAGTGCTAGGCAGCAGCAGTCGCCTCCTTCTTAAGCTTCCAACCAAATGTTTACAAGGTTGCGATATGATGGATGATATTACAGTCGGAAAATTTCCGAGGGGGCGCGTCATCGAGAAGTGAGGCCCGGTGTTGGGTGACTAAGTTTAGATGCTCAATGGAATACTGTCCGATGAGGATATCGGATATCATGTTATCGAGAACACGCGACGCCCAAATTTGGGCTAGTACTTTCATCGGCAAACTCGAGTTAGTCTTGAGCAGACTCTATTGCCCATGCTCGTTCCTTGACGAATCATGGGCAAACGAAGTTCAGTCCGAGCCGGTATCCGGGTTTGCACAACCAACGCAGTTCCCAGTCTACAGTCGACACTCCTTTTAGGTCTCCCAACCCCGTTGGCCCGGAGAGATGGGGTCACTGGCACCAGGACAAGACTTTACCAAATGGCAGTTCCAACATGGCTGACGTGGATTATGCCTCAGCCCGCAAGATCACGGCCTTTATCTCGTACCTCAGTACAGCGCTCGTGGCACTATTACCCTTCGGCGCCATACGCGTCCGATACATGGTAAACTCAAACGGCCACAAGCTCGGCCTGCCGGCTTTGTTCACGGTACTGCTCGCGTCTGGCGCGAGATTGTTGACGAATGCGACGAATTTCGATGTGCATGGTGCTACGGCTGCGTATGCAGCAGTTTTGGTTGTGTTCATCGACGGGAACGTGGGTGAGCAGGGATCACCATAAAGGGGGTGGAACTCCAAGAAACAAAAGCCACATTCTCCGCAACAACTTAATCTCGTTCCGTATGCGGATCGGTGCCGGTTTCAAACACCTCGAATAACGAGATAGGTACGGTTACGGACACTTACAATCAGGTTGGTAAATAATGGCGAACTACACGAAGCACTTGGATAGCGTCTGAGTAGGATAGCCTGGGGCCCTATTGCACTTGATGGCAATGCCATTACACGAATAGAGTGACGTCAGTAGAAGCAGGGTGCACAGTGACAACTAGTGCAATGATTTTTTAGTCTATGCCGTAATATCATGTCTGTTCACACTTGCTTCGGGTTGGCATTAGCTGCCCGAGGAATTGTAGAAACGCTCAGGGAAGCATCTCCCCATGCATGACCCGAAGCATCAAAATGCCCCAACTCCTATAGGATGCATAATAGTGGCCCGGCGTGTTGATTTCGCTTCGCAGCTGCATCATCTCGCGCTTCTCTACCGGCTGCTCAATCTCGAAATGGCAAAGACACCAATGATGACCACGGCCAATGTGACGATAGCACCCGGCAGCAGAAGCTCGTTAGGCACGCCGGCAATAACCTCCTTCTCCACAGATGGGTTGCTGTTCCTCGACTTCCGTCTGCGCAGTGTCGCATGATCTTCCTCCTCGCTCTCGTCCTCTTCCTCGCTGGCCGGAGCCCGTCGTCTACGGACATCGCTGGCAGCCGAGCTAACAGCAGGCGTGTACTGATCGATTCCAGGCTGGGGGGCGGCCACGGTGACCGGCGACTGATTGGGATCATGAACAAACAGATCCACCTTCTCGCGGCGGCCCTGGCGTGCAAGCAGGATGGCCTCGAGTAGATCTTGGTCCGTCGTGATAGAGACGGTGTCGCCCTCGTCATCGAGGTAACTCAGAGCGAAGCCGGAGACTCCAACGCGGCCGTCCTCCACAACAGGCACACCGCCAATAGCGTCGACTTCCGATCCTAGTTTCGAGGTCACGTTGGACACAAAAGTGGCGATCCCGTGGTTGGCAATGACTTGCAGGCGATGCACGCGCCCACTAGGCGCCTTGAATTTGAATGCGAATGGAATCTCGGACGGAGCCTGCTCGGGCGTGACAGACAGCATAGAGTGTCCAGGAGAATCTACACCAACGTGGGATGCTGAGTCTCCTGGGGCGACTAAGTCGTGAAAACGGTTTTCGCGGGACATGTCGGGAGACATCATGGAGCGGGTGCCGACAGTGTGGTGGTGCGAGCCGTGGTGTGAGCCGTCGCCCGAGACCATGGACTCCGTCTCGTTGTCGATGGAAAGCCAGAACTTGTTCCACGCAGGTCCTTCGCTGTCGCCTGCAGACATGGTGTTGATCTGCTCAAGGGTCGCGTAAGTCAACTTCAGAACATCGACCATGCCGACAATTTCGCCTTGGTCGTTCATTACGGGCAGATTAAGGTAGTGGCCGTCTGCAGTTGTGTTAGAGATTTGTATTATAATAAAGCAAGTAGAACAAAGGGGGGGGGGGATAGCACGACTAACCATGCATCTTGCGGAGAGCGGCCTGGATGCTCATGTCCATGGGCGCAAAGTCGGGATGCGGCGTCATGACGCGAACAACGCTGCAGTTTGCTGGGTCCAAACCGGGAGCAATGACGCGAAGAACGACATCCTTGCTCGTGAAGATACCAGTAATAGCTCCTTGGTCCTGCACCAGCACCGCAGTCGTGTGGTTCTCCTTCATGAGCATGGCCGCCTCCTTGACCGAGGTTCTGACGTTGACGGTGGTCGGGGGCACGCCGTTCAAAACAGACTCGAGTGTTGGTCCAGACATTTTGGAGCGGAGGGCTTCGACGTACTGAATTATCTGCTGCGGCTGGCTGGAACCGAGCTCGGACTGCACTCCTTCTAAAGCGGCATAAAGTTTGGTAGAAGAGGCATACGCGCGCTCCAGCTTCTCCATGGCATCGTAGAAACACTTAGTGATGTCGAGGATACCCGAGATATCCTGGTTCTCGTCCATGACGGGCAGGTGACGGAAACCCTTGCGCACCATGAGATCCAGCGCGTCGGTGGCACTCGTATCTGTGCGCGCGCAGAGGGGGTTCTTGGTCATGATCTCGGCGATGGTGACGCTGTTGGCCTTTTGGCCCGTACCGACGACACGGAAGGCCAGATCCTTGGCCGTGAAGATGCCGGCAATGCGGTCATCGTCATCGGTAACCAGGACGCAGTCCTCCCGCTTCGCGGCCATCAACTGGGCGGCTTCGGCGACGGTGGTGCCGGGCTTGATCTGCAGGGCCGGGCTGGGCTTCAGGGCGAGGACGGTGCCCGGAGGGGCCTTGCGCGAGTGTCGAGCTCGGCTCGTGAGGTTCTTCTTCTTGTTGAGGTCATTTTCGAGTTTGCGGCGGATGGCCTGGCGATAGTAATCAGTGTCCATTTTTTCTGCAGCGTATGCTGTTTACAGCTATCCAGCAATGCCCTCGGGAGTATCCACGAATGTGCGAACGCAAATACCACATGGAGGGAAAAGCGCGCGATATAGGGACCATCGGGGCATACCTCGTCTCTCTTGCTTTGCTTCTGTCTGCTGGCACTCATGCCGGATGCTGCCGCGCCGGCTTCGCTGGGCGGTTGAGCATGGCCCTGCGCGGCATGGCCTGGTGCATGAGGCTCGAGAACGGGTCGGGGGATGTTGGACGTGACGGGACTGGGGACGTTGTTGAAGGGGGCGCCGGCACGAGATTGGCCACGGTTGGGCGTTCCTCTCAGGGTATTGCCTGACATTGCATAAACACGGCGGAGCGGCGAAGATTACCGTGATTTCGGCGTTGACAGATGGGCAATGCGAGCGGCGGCAGGAAGAGGACGTGAATGAAGCGTCGACAAGTTTGAGGTTTGGGTTGAGCTGTGATCACAGAACGGGCAGTTCATCCGATAAAAAGGTGATTGGCGGAAAGCAAGATTCGTTGCTGCAGATGTCATTTGAGCGCAAAAGCACCTCGAAATATGGGGCGCCCATTCATCGGGAAATGTCGACTCGGATCTCACTGGTCTCTGGGTTGCTCCGTGAACCACTTAATTGAATCAAAAATGGTTCTAGTCGACAGTCTCGATCGCCCCACGTCATAAGCCCCCATAAACCCCCGGCTTGGGTCGCTTTCTCTGTTAGCAAGCACTTTTCCCGTCTGTGCTGCAAGTGAGGGGTACCAGGTAAGTTCCCTCCAATATTTTCATCTGAAGATTCGTTCATACGTAAGTTGCGAACCCCTTTTATTTGGATTGGGCCATTTGACACTTTGGTTTCCCAGGCAAGTCTAGAGGCATCTGGTCACCTACGCTGCTTCAAGACTCGACGCTAGGTGGGGGCGCGAGCTGATTAGGTTCAGTTGACCGCCTATCGCGGCTGTTTGCGCATGCAAGTGGTCAAGTGAGCGAGCCTACCCTACAGAGCAAAGGGGCCACAAGAAAGGGACACCTTGACTGCACCCTTTCTGAAAGCTGTGTTGATAGAAGCTCTTGCTATTTGCTCAATAAATTTCACCTATGCCTGGTCGAGGCATCAGATGATAGATGCTGGCAATGTGTCTAACCTAGTGCAGGCTTCGGAGATGTAGTACTGCCTTGGCTTGAATATCCATCTCAAGTCGATCTTGATAAGAGTATGGCAACAAGGGAGTATAGGCGGTGCATGGGGAGCAAGTTGGAAGTACTAGAAACACTCTTGGGTGGTTGGTCAGTCGATAAGGACTCCACGGCAGCATGCGAGAAAACACGTCTAACAATGTATGAGTATATATTTCCCGTGGATTCAAGCGAGCGGCAGATTGTCCATTATATGTGAGAAGACCCAGTGTGCGACTCTCGTCTACCCAAGATATTCCGGTCCTATTCAATGAAATTCTGTGACATCTGTCGGCTCCCGATAACCCATCAATCTCTCTCCGACTCCTCGTGCTTGCTTTTACGTGTACGGTCCAATCCTCTTGGAAAGAACGCACCAGCCACTCAAGACAACTTCTTCCAATACAAATTACTCTCCCTCCCATTTTCGTCGTTAATCAGAGTAAACCGTAGAATCGTCTCCTCTTTGCCCTTGGTTAACGTATACGGCCGCAACTGCTCTGTCCCCACCCAGGACGGTATATCGGCAACATACAGAGGCCCATGCGTGATGAAGCCCGTATTGGCTGTCGACTGGTTAATAGAGAAGGGGCCGGAATACCCGAGCGTGTGCCTCGCGACCGTGGCCCAGTCTAAGTCCGTCTGGTTGTCCTGGGGAGGCCAAGTTAGGCCCTCGGGCCGGAACTCTGGTACTGTCGACATGGTGTTCGCGGACATATAGCCGTATTTGTGGTATGTGAGGATACCGGCTTGGGGTTCTGTATTTATGCTTGTACCGTTGCTTTCGAAACTGGTATGGGCCCAGCAGGTGAGTCGGGGTTACAGACATAGGAGGTGGGGGTTGGGTAGCACATACTTGGTTGTGTTGACCAGCTGCCAAATCCCGACAATGGTGTCGAGGATATCTCCAGATGCCACCATTTTCGATGACTGATTGAGCTTATGATGAGGGTTGGAAGTTGCTCACTGATGAAGGGGGGTATCTTCTTGGCGTTTATATGGACTTTTCACCCTCGTGATAAGTCCTTATCGCGTTTAGTTCTCACGTACTTGTTCCTCGAGTTTGATTACAGAATTTACTAATCCGGGTAATTCGCCATCCCCCATGCATATGGATCCAACACATCCTCAAGAGAGACAAAACCCAGTGACATGGTGAAATGTATGAATTAGTTCTTATTATACAATGCTGCAGATCATGTGAGGGTGATGGTGGAAAATTTGCCCCCAAGCCTCCAATCAATTGCTGGTTGAGGTTGCACTGCATGTAAGCTACACGCAGAATGTAGCTTTCGCAAACCAATACCATTGCTGGTAGAGTGGAGTGGGCTTACATCAGGACGGTTCCATAGTCAATAATGATGTAAAACCCGTATATCGACAAAACTTCGCCACCACCACCCACGGTACGTGATGTTTCCCCGCATATTTTCCGAAGCCGTTCATCAAGGGGCAACCATACTTTCGACGCCTTCTTCAGCTCACAAATTCCATCGCTCGGCGACAACATGTAACGACAACACTCATGCAACATACTGGGGCAGCGTTTCTCGATAGCATCGGGAAACCTGAGGTTCTTCTCGGCCACAGTCAAGGCGGCGTATACCCACCCCTAATTGCAGACGTGCGGCCCGCGTTAACCCGGGCCTCCAATGTCATCGAGCCGGCCGGTCCTCTTTTTGAACAGGCCGTTGCAAGTAATAGTTCAGCACGCGCGTATGGAATGACCGGCCCTCCACTCACATACTCGCCACCACTGATAGGCCCATGCACGGTTCTTGTCAAGCGGACTAAGTAAGATCTAGTCCCTTGTATTCTCCAGACCAGACCAACTCGAGCGAGCCGCGACAACTGACCAACCTGGCTTGGCGGCATTGCGGATTCTCCTCATGACGGGAGAGGCGCCGTATAATGCCCCGTGTGACTACTGCACTAATCAGCATTGTGGATTATAAAGTCGTGAAACAGCCTTATTAAAAAAACGAATCTACAGTATCTGTGATCTATACTTAATTAATCTGCACTAGTCATTTATTTGGCGTTTGCACATGCTCTTAGTTCTTGGCGAAGTTCGCAATAGTTTCTATCCACAAGTTCCTCGCCAGTCCATCTTTTAAGACTAATAATCCCATGCCTTTTCAATTCTCCGGCTGCGGCGCAATAGTTGCGCCAACCCCATGCGAACTCGATGATTCCGTTGAATGAAGAATAAGAAGGAGCATTATGCGTCGGTTAGTTCGGTATGAGCATAGCAGTCATTAACAGGGATCCATTGATTCTGGACGTCAACATGCCGAGACCTGTCGAATCTTGCAGATTCATAAGCCTAAGCAAAAAGGATGTTACGTTTGTCTATTTTGTGGCTCCTGTCTGCTCAATCGGTCCGGTGCGAGGCCTACCGTCTGACTGTATCTTCCCATCTCCCATAGCTCGTTGGGGGAAGCCCAGCACGGCAACTCCCCGTGGCTCCTGCGGTTGCATCCGGCTGGCGAGCGTTTCCGGACTAATATCATGCAACAAAATCTGTAGAGGAGCTTTCAAAAATTTACCGGGCACCAGGGATGCACTCGTAGCCGACGTATAGATTTTGAAGTGTCATAGAACTACTACCACCTCTACTTTCTCTTTCACCTCGGATCTCCCCTCCGTCCCATCCCCCTCAATGAAAAAAGCTCAGATAAGCATGGCGCGCGAGCTGAGATTGGAAGGGGCTGCCCCCTTCCTGTATTCGGCCTGCACGGCAAAGGCAGTGAGGGTTTATTTCTGGAAGGGGGAGAGTAATAACGTACCCCACAAACAAGTTGGCCACTTTTTCTTGGCACCGTACGAACAACCTTTTAATTAGCATCTTTACACAT